AACGAACCCTGGGGAGGCTTATAGTTATAATCTGTCAACTATGGGTTCGTGCTCAAGACAAAAGAACGTTTTCACCAGTTTGTTTGCCATCACCCCAAACCTAGGGATGCGGAGTGATCAGACAAACCCTCCCCCATATCTATCACTATCGACCAGCCTTGCTCCTCGCGCACGGCCCAGACCGAGGATGCAGAATTGCAGATGTCGATACAGATGCGGATACGATCGGAATGGGGATTGGGATGATCATGGAGATGGGCACGTCACCCGAGGGGAATCAGGATCACGATGGGATGAACCTCAGCCATGGCATACATAAGTAGGGGCCGGGCAGCGCATCGCGTGGATTCATTCCTCAGCGCGTCTCAGTCAAGGAGTCCTGCCTAACTGGTAGATCAACAAGCCCTCGATATGGGTAGGTGGTAGTCCTGTGCTGTAGTCCTGTACATGGAGTTAGTCCCCCCCTGCGTACTTAGTCGGCCCGGGGAGTTCCCCCGCGCATACCCATCTTCATCCCCAGCCTCAGCCCTGGGTGTAAACAACGATGGAAAGTGTTCGATCACTAACTCCTGTGCTGAAGCAGCTAAGCAGCTCGGATCATGTTCAGGGCATCATTTTTTCGTTGGATTATTGATGCTCAAGGCGGAATGAGATTAATTGTCTTACGTGTTTCTCGCAAGGCAAACATGATCACGATCACAAAATTACCAACGCCAGACCTAATCTCTAGCTTCACGTTTGAGTATACATAGGATGCGTACTTTGGAATAATAGCTAGGTAAGATAACCAGCCTCGATAAGGCTATATCGGGGAGGTACACTCACCTCACAAGGGGAATGTTGGCACTGCACTCCATGGATGCACGCCTTGGAGTGAATTGACTCATCCATCCGTAAGGCCGGGCCAAACTTGACAACGCACCACTTCGGCTTCCAAGTACCGAGTACATCGATACTTAAAGTACCCGCGACCGGGGTACATCTGGCTGTTGTCCCTGTACAATATATACATCCCAGACTGACAAGCATGCTTATCTTGCGGTGAAGAAGAGCTACCTGTCCATAGCTACTCCGCTAGTCCGCCTACCTATCTTATCTGACAGCTATCTCGTACTTTCTTCAACGAGAATAAATTTGAGTACAGTAATTATTCGCCCTCACTAACAATCGACCTCTCGTCGCGAACTCACTATCAGGTTACTGGCATATGAATAATCTTCTCATAATCTCCCTCGCAGGCTCCTCAGCTCATACCCAACAATCTGGAATCTGGACACGTACCCCAGAAACTTAGAACACCCCATCAAGATCCAAGGGCGAGGAGAACCCTCCCCGAAGAATGCGACACGCAGCCACGAAGCTCCAAGATCCTGGTAATCCTGGCATCAAATTCTGTGGCATGTTTAAAGCGAGACATTCATTCTCCCCTTGCTAGATAACTTGATATTGCACATCCTGTATATGTGTGTCTTGCTTGATCTAGGAGACGTATGTTCATTGGTGTGTAAACTTTATTGATGCCTTTCGGAAGAATTGCTTGGGCTTCCCCAGGAAATCCGTCCCTGGACTGAGGACTGGAGTCAAGTGGAGAATAGGGAAGAAAGGGGCGGTTTCCGGAGATATACTCCGTAAAGTGGCTAAACTGCGAAAATACTCCGTACTCCGTGTGGTTGGTAAGTGGTAGATATGAATGCCCAAGTACCATGCAGGCAGGTTATTTGAATAGTCGCGGCTAAGTCGTGACTAAGTGGGCTGATCTACGGAGTACGGAGTACATATATTGAATAGTGTGAAAGGTGATGGATATGAAACTGTGTGAATTGGGACTACAATCGCTATTGTTGATACTGTAGATCCATTGGGCTAATAATCAACGACGATGTGGTTGGCAACTCAGGGATTAGAAGACATACTTGGTCGAACAAATTCCTTCATTACTGTTAGGACTCCTAAATAAGAGCGCTTATCACCCCCAACAACACAGCACAACCTATAATCCGGGGAAGACTTCGATCCGACCCGAACATCCGAACCCAGAATTCAACCACGCTACCAAATTTACTACTGTAATATAATTGCTGCAGTGACTAGTCTAAACCCTTAAATGGATCAATCATTTCTCATTTAATCGAACGATGATAGACTGCGGACAGAAAGGATATCATTCCGGTAAGTAAAAGAGACAAGATCAACCGCATCTGGGCCCACCGGCTAAAACATGAATCGCCCGGAGTACGGATACACCACGGAGTCCAATCCAGTCTGGAGTACGAATTCCATATGGAGAAAGGGGAAGGCTAATTACAGTAGCGAGGCCGAGATCAGCCACTGATGATTGACTCCGCATTTCCCCCGGATATTGATGCGAATGTTCTCCGTCAATTTCTAAACGGAGAGTTGCAGTGCCAATAATCAACCGGGGTTCTAGTGGTGAAGTCAAAAGTGAGGCTGGCTTCCCCCTGCGTAAGCTCGGCTCCACATTTGAGAGGATTGGGATCGGGAACCTCGTCACGACTCACAACGGTAGTTCTACTCGGGAAGAAATAGTCCGGGATAACATAACGTTGACTTTTGTAAATTGTGAGAGAGACTCATGTACGTGAGTATATTTGCCGAGTTCTTTGAAGGTTCAGAGTGTGGGAAATTTACCGCGGATATGGGTAAAGTGTAACTTAGGTACTCACTGAAATGTTTACCTCCAAAGGTCGGAAATAATGTTCCCATCATCTCTCCGATATTTCTCCATATAACATCTGTCTACTGTATGTATGCTGTCTTCCATCGGTTCTCGGGGGTTAACCCCGACAATCTGGTCCATGGGCCCCTTAACCAATGCAACGGAGGATCGCCCTCGTGGACCGAGGTTTCCCCCTATGGAAACCCCCTAGAACTCAACTTGGAAGGATTTCGCCTCCTTCTCAAGCCTTCAAGGTCCTCTGCACTTTACATGAAACGAACCTTGAACTCCTCTGGCACGAACTAAAATACCACCTTCCCCAATAATAATTAAAGGCTAGAACTATCAATAATGGTTTAGCTTGCAATCTGTTAACTTCTAATTCTACACCTGCAGGCTGCAACAAACAATCATTACAGTATGTATTACTGTGGTCAATTATTCGTGTAGGTTCAAGTTCAACTCAATAGCTGACATTCCGCCGCTTCTTACAGTAGTGTAGCCTACCGTCTTTCCCTTCCTTTCATCCTGTCCTGATTCTTATTCCTGAAGGATAAATGTGCCACCCCCACACAAACCGAAAAAAAAACAAATTCAAATTCAAAAAAACCCACATCGGCCTTCTAGCCCGCTTCCCCGGTAGCCCCTAGAAGCCCTCTAGTCCTCCCTACAGTAATAGTGTGCGTTTGTGCCTATCCACCCCCATTTCCGGGGCGGAGAAGAGCTGATCCATGATGCCATCGGGCGCGATTCCCCCGGGCAGGGATACCCATTTCCACCCCTGGCAGGCGTAACCGCCCTTGCGAATTTTCTGTGAGGAAGCCAATGGATAGAATTGGATTGGATGGATGTCTAGGCTGGGCTTTTATGTTCTGTGTTGATTCCCCACACGGAAGGGAGTGGAACGAGTCAGGGTTGGTGATGTACAGGGTACATGGCCTTGTACATGTGAAGTGTTGGGCTGGCTTTGCTTTGCTTATACGGTGTGTATGTTTGTGGTTTTCGCTGGTGTCGGTGAGTTTTATTGTTAGTGTTGAGATAGTCTAGCCGGAGGTTTTTTGGTTGCTTTGTTTGGGCATGCCTGAGGTAGGTATTTTTGTCTGATTATTGGGGCCTTTTGGGCGTGAGGAGAATGGGAGTGAGGCGATGGGGGTTGTGGGTGTGGGCTTGGCGGGTCGATCTTCAGTCCAGCGAGGGAGTGGGTGTGTTGTGGCTAGACTCTTTAAAAAGGTGGATTTTTTGTGTTAATTTACCCTGTATGAAAGATGGAATAATTACTATGAAGTAGATTATACAGAGTACTTGGCTTAAGAATATAGGTCATCGATAATAATGAGAGGGATGAGTATACTACTGTACCCCAGTACTTGCTGGAGTACGTTGTCCTTCGTATCGGGTACTTGTGGTTGTTTTCCCAGGCATGAGGCTTGCTGGGCTGGACTCCACACGGGAATTCTTTTGGGTTTCCCCGTCTTGTTTTTCTTTTTTTTTTTTGATTATTTTTTTATGGGGTTTTCTTTCAAATACTCTAGAATTATTATCCGATTATTCAAGGAGCCTCGCTGATTATATCTTCCCCCCGGACTCCCCAGGCTCAGACTGCTGGGTTTCTTTTCTTTCTTCAAACGTCTCGCCATCTTACACTCATACTTCACCACTGCATCTCTCACAGAAGATAATTGTTCAACCAACAACCAGACCTTCTCTGACTTGAGACCGGAATCTACCTGCTACTTTGCTGTCTTATCACCAACTTTTTCTTATCTCACTACCGATAAATATCACCATCTCTCCCCTCCACACCACGCCACGCACTCTTCACCTTCAACAACCTCACTCACCCGATATCCCTGCGACATCGACTACTTCACTTTCCAAAATATACCGCATCTTCATGTGAGTCCATCCTTTAAACCGCCATGATCTTCGTTACATCATCCCTTCTCGCCACAACCTCCGATCTCCCGAATCCCTTTCGCTCGGGCAGTTCCGGGAACAGCACCGACTTTAGCACGAGAAAACGCACAAGAACACGAATTTCCCCGATCCCAATGCTAATTCTATCTTCATAGCTAAAATAATACACATCACAAAACACGAGACACAGAAACAAGCTCGGCCGACCCTCATTAGCCGCAACTCTAAGCCTACCACAAACCACGATCGTGCCGAGGTCCAACTCTCCACACCAAAACCGATCACAAATACAAAAGAAACAAGCTCCTTCCAGCTTAATCGAGCTTCTCTCACCATCAAAAACATATCTCACTTAATCCTCACACGTCACACTCTTCGGTTTCTACATCCACCTTTCACATTCACAATGTCTACCCGTACCGCTCCTCCTACAACTGCCAACTCATTTGACACCTTCTCTGCAAACATCTCCCGTGGTGTCATCTCCTCCTCCACCTCAACGAACAACAAGTCCACCCATGGCTTCATCGACGGTATGCCTCCCGCGCCGCCTCCATCACCGGTCAGCTTTGCCATCGGCAGCAATGGTGGGAGAATCCCCCATATGGAGCAAATCGTTCGGTTGAGCCTTGAGTAGAGGACTTGGAGTAGATGGGGCTATCTCCACCCATCTCAACTTATTTCTTCTCGGGGTGGTTTTGCCTTGCACTTCGGTCTGTCTGCAGGATCGAGATCGTTTTTGCGATGACATTCTCTTTTCTTTATTTTCTTGGGAGTGCTTTATGGAGTTCATCTAGAAGAGGGTTCCTTTCTTTCGACTTCTCGTGAACCATGGGGCTTAGATTTGAATTAGCGAGCATGGTGGCGTTGAATATGGGTTTCCTGGTTTTTGCTTTTACACCAGGATCAATTACCTGCCGTACAAATTTGGGTTGGTTTGATTTGATCCTGGTTATTTTCTTTGGGTATTTAAATGCAATACAGGGGTTGGGATTTTAGTTTACTTTGCTAAGGACTTCGGTCATAATACATTATCTTTAATTTGAATTTTTGCAATGAACAGTGTAGATTGGAATAACTGCCTGGATTTAGTTGTGTTTGACTTCAAAGTCAGGTTCCGTTGACCGGTTTGTTGCGGAGACAGGCGGAATATACCCGAACTCAAGTCAAGCCGTAGCTAAATTCACTTATGTAGATCCCAAAACGACACCCCAGAATTACTGTATTTTTAGCAGGAAAACTGGTAGCCTTAGTGATCAGGCGGCCAAGGAATAGGGCAGATCAGTAAGCAGTTTGACAACCAGGCACGTTAAGCAGCATATGCTGGAACGTAGGCATGTGCCCACAGGTACACACACACCCGCTGATAAGTATGTATTCAGGGCATAACATAGTATCCGCCTATCTTATAGTAACAAGCTAATTAAAATCCGTGATCTACATAGCTTTTAGTGATAGCCATTTTGTTCCAGAGTATTCTAGCCAAAACGCTCATTTTGCGTGACCGCGCTAATGATAACTCAGCTGTTTCCTCTCACCTTCGCTTCCTAAGCGTCTGAAAACAGCTCTCAAGAGCTGATTATGACAAATCTCCCTAGTCAAGATCTGATTACTTGATAATTAACTCACAGTTCGTGTCAGACTTCCACATAATGAGGCCTCCGTCATCCGATTCCCCTACGATGCTACAATGTCTTTCATCCGTCGGTTCTTTGTAAGATTTATCACGTCATAGAGAAGTGACCCATACTCGATTGGGCAACTGATGAGCCCGGTCAAACTACAAGTGTCTTAAACCCGATGGTTGATGAAGCTCTATTGGATGAAGGATCGCAACTTTCGCCCCATCTATCTCGGCCCCCATGTCTACCCCGTTGCAGAAGCCGAGGCAGTCTGACGAAATCTTATAAATTCATAGTCTATGAAGATTCTCTAATTCTTTCTCTTCCATTCTTGAACATACATCCTACTGTCACTCACACTGAATATCCAACCGTGAAATTGTCCTCTTCAGCCTGTACATTTAAAGTTGCATTGTTCCACCCTCATCCATTCTGATAATGCCATCCACTCCACAAGGCCAACAACTAGAACTCGATGCAGTAATCGCAGGAGCCGGATTCTCCGGAATCTACATCCTCCACCGTCTCCGAGACGAATTAAACCTAAACGTGAAAATCCTCGAAGCCGGCTCCGATATAGGCGGGACTTGGTACTGGAATACCTACCCGGGTGCTCGCGTGGATTGTCCCGCCCCGATATACGCATTTGGAATAGAAGAAGTATGGAAGAACTGGTCTTGGTCAGAGTTATACCCGGACCAGAAAGAGTTGGGTGCTTATTTCCGGCACGTCGATGAAGTGCTTTCCGTGAGGAAGGATTGTATTTTCAATGCGCGGATTACGGCGGCACAGTTCGATCCTGGCGAAGGGAAGTGGACGGTGAAGACTGAGAATGGTGTCACGGTTGTTGCGAAGTATTTTATTCCGGCGATTGGGTTTACGGCGAAGCAGTATCTCCCTGATTGGAAAGGTCTGGAGGATTTCCGGGGGACTATTCATCATACCTCGCTCTGGCCGAAGGATCATGTCGATGTTCGAGGTAAGCGCGTCGCGGTCATCGGGACGGGATCAACAGGGCTACAGATTACTCAGGAATGGGCCAAAGAGGCTGCAGAGACGTTTGTCTTCCAGCGAACCCCGAACCTGGCCCTGCCTATGGACCAGAAGAAACTTGATGAACGCAGCGCAAAGCAGATGCGAGACGAGACGGCCGATCTCTTTGACCGTTGCAGGAGGGACGTGGGCGGTATGCCCTACGATGCGCCGACAAAGGCATTCGCAGAGTTCTCCTCTGATGAAATTACCAAAATTCTGGAAGAACTATATAACGGCGGAGGATTCCGATATTGGGCAGGAGGATACACCGACCTCATGTTAAACCCGGAAGCAAACCGCGCAGCGTATGATTACTGGGCTAAACGAACGCGCTCACGCATCCATGACCCGGTTAAACGCGACTTGATCGCACCTCTAGAACCACCGCATGCATTTGGAACTAAACGTCCCTCGCTGGAACAAGATTACTACGAGCAATTCAATAAGCCGAATGTGCACCTCGTCAATACAAAAGCGCATCCAATCGTGCAACTCACGCCGCACGGTATCATGACGGACGATGGGCAGGTCTATGAGGTAGACATCATCGCTCTAGCAACAGGCTTCGACGCAACGACCGGCGGTCTCGCCAAAATGGGCATTCAAGACGTGAATGGTGTGCAACTGAGTGAGCGTTGGCGAGATGGCGTCTTGACATTCCAGGGCCTCATGGTCCCAGGCTTTCCAAATATGTTCATGCCGTATTCTGTCCACGCTCCAACACCGTTCTCGAATGGGCCCGTGGGCATTGAGTTCCAAGCCGATTTTATTCGGGATATTGTGAAGAAAATGGAGGATGAGAAGATCAAAGCTATCGATCCGAGTCTTGAAATTGCGGAGGCTTGGAAGGCTGAGATTGAATTCATTGCTAATATGACGCTGTTTCCGAAGACGAAGTCGTGGTATATGGGTGCTAATATCCCGGGAAAGAAGGTGGAGTTGCTCTACTATTTTGGTGGACTACATCGGTATCGGGAGAAGTGTGCAGAGGCATTTGATAAGTTCTCGGAGACTTTTGTTGTATGTCAGGCCTAGATAACTTCTATGAATTGATTAATCAATGTTTGGTACTCGTATTTATTACTTCTAATTGGGAAGGGTCAGAGTAAGCTCGAAAATGAGATCTTTTTACGGGTAAGAGGAGGCTTTTTTCGAGGATCGGCATACCCTTACCACGCTAAACCCTAAATGGGTTTATATCGTTCGTATTCCCAAATTAAACCGACGATCCAACCACTATTTACACTTCCCCTCATCCCCTCATTCAAGTCGCGTGAATATTTTTCAACTACATATACCTCAACTCAACCCCTCAGCCATTCAACATCTTGGTCATCTTCAAGGAAAAAGCACTCACAACTAACAATCCAAGCACACAACCATCTCACTCCTTCCCCACTTTCCTTCAATATAATGGGCGAATTCGACTGCTACTGCGCTCTATGCAGCGGCCCCCTCTACGCCTACGTGGTCCAAATCGGCTCTTCATCCCGCACCCGCTTAGATCGTCGCCGTAGACGGGTGTTGAAGAAACTTGCCGCTATAGAAGCAGGACAGAGTTTTCATTCATTTGATAGTGATTCCGATTCGGAACATGAGTCGGACAAAGCCTCGTTTACGGCTAATGAAGACGATAATGGTGAGGAGGAGGAGGATGATGTTTACGAGGATGATGAACGGCGCAGCTATGATCCGGAAATTGCTACTGAGGAGCGGGTTGGGTGGGTTGAGGATATTAGGGTTTTGGGGGTTAATGGGGATAGGTAAGTCTGCTGTTATCTTTTTGTTTGGATGTGAAGTGGGAGGGGAGATATAAGAGATGCTGATTTATCTGGATAGGCCTTTTATATCAGGACCGGCGAGGTATGATGATGCTGTAAGATCTCATATTCTAGATTCTCTGCAAATGATGTTTGGTTGAGGTAAATGGATCTGATATGTGTATAGGGTTTGATTTATGTTCAAAAAGGCGATGGTAAGTAACCCCAAACTATCTAGACTAGAATAGACTAACTGACGGACTTGAATGTCAGATCCAAATCAGCCACCGATAGACGAGAAACCATTCTTTGACTGGTAAATGCCTTCCGTGTTACCTAGATCTGAACCTACCTAGCCAGTAGGTATCTCATCTTATCTTCACTAATACTGACTACTGTAGTTACGTTTCATCCAACGATAACGAAGTGGTATTCCCCTTCCACGCTCATTGTATGACCGTTCTTGAGGAAGCATTCCGATGGTATTCTAATCGTTCTGAGAGTAACAAGCAGAGGTAAGTGAGAAACCAAAAATATATTCAACGTTAATAATACTTACTTACCCATTATAGGTACGTACAGTCCTAAGCCACGATCTGAATGCCCAGGGTACGATTAACTAATAGAGATGAATCGTTACAGTCTCAATCTAACCACCCTCTACAAAACCGCCCTCCGAACCGGGGGCCTGGGAAATCTCCAATTGGATTATGGTGATATCAGGGGGGTTGATCAATGTTGGGAATCGATTCCGGGAGAAGAGGTAAACTTACCACTCTTTGTTCTGTTTTTAATATCCCAAAACCCAGCTGACGATAATCCAACACCTACAGTTCTCAGTAATCGACCCCCTCTATTACCCCCAAACCACCCTGGACCTCAACCCCAAACCCACCACCAGAACACGACCACTCCCCCTCCGAGAAAGGGCAACAATCGACCCCTTCCAATCCCTCCCCACAGAAATCATCCACCTAATATGCCAAAATCTCCCCGCCGAGGGACTCCAAGCATTCCTAACAGCGTCCGTTACTGCGTACTATGCCACGCTTGATCATAGATTTTGGAAGGGGCTTTGCCTTGCAAGGGTTGCTTGGGTTTGGGAGGTTTGGAGGGACATCGACAACGCATCTCCTGAGGATGGTGAAGTAGAAGAGGAAAAAGGGGAGGGGGAGGAGAAGGGTGTTGATGTTGATTACAAGAGACTCTATCTACATCTTGATCTTAATACGACTAAGAGGATCGGGCTCGGTGTTAAGGATGGTCCGTGGATGGGTTTGGTTAACCGGAGGAGGATTTGGGATGCTTGTGTGCAGCTTTTGAGGGAGTATGAGAAGGATTGTTTGAAGAGCTAGCATGGTGTTTTAGAAATGGGAGGGTGGGGATGGAACGTGAGGGGGTATTTGGTTGATGGAAACAAGAGCAAGTCCGGCTACAAACATATTATTTTTGAGGAGTTTGATGAGTTTGAAAAAGAGATGGATGTGTCGATTTTCATGACTTGGAAATGGTCGAATGTTGGTTGAGTTTTTACCAAGGAATACATAATACACCTATGTACTTTAGAGCCCAGTCCCAACCATCATTCCTCCGTCGTGTATCCATCCCCATACCAGTTTGCACCGCGCCTAGAATTGTGTATGTATACCCACCGATCACGACGTCACACCTCGCCCCCGAAGACCGGTCACATCCCAGTACAAGGATCTACCGTGGTAAATCGGTGATCGGGGGTTTCAGTTTCGGGTATGAGGGTACTTCAGTGTAGTGAATTCAAGGAAGGCGAGCACGTGAGGGTTGAGTGTAGATATTCAAAGTGGGTATTGCATGGTATCGCCGAAAATTTGACTTGTGGAGAGTTGAGTGGGTTGTCTAGTCATTCTGGCATCATCGCAATTGCTCAGGGCGTATCGGATAGATTATGACGTTATCATCGCAATTGAGTAGGTGATCACCAGCTAGCTCATGTGTTCGCGGAGGAGAATCGGGGCTGGCAAGTTTGGGGTTGGCGGGTGGGGCCGACTCTGGATAGAGCGGAAGACTAGGTGTAGCCAAGGGTCATTTATACGTGCATGAGGATCCAGGCGAGTTTCTCGGGACGTAGCGCTCATGCGGTTAATGTGTTGAGGGCAAATTTGGCCCACAAGGCAGATTAAGCAGTGCAAAGACAAGCTGTGAGCTTCTCACCTCGAGGATTCGACATGGAGTGCCTCCTCGGGCTGCGATCACTGATGGAAGCACTATCCGCACCGGAAACATAGCAAGACCGAGACTTGATGCCGACAGCAAGATAAAATCCCCGATTTTCCGTCGGCTGCAATTTTCGGGGCCGATCACCAGGGTCTGGATGTAGTGCAACAAGAACTCCTAGATGGCCTGGTCTTCAAGGCAAGAGGTATCGCCGCCCTTTTCTCAAGATGCAAGCTCGCCTTGTCGCTGGTTGCTTTCTCTCACATCAGCTGAGGATCAATCGGGAATGACGAGCTCCCCTCTTGCTCCTCCTGCTCCTCCTGCTGCGGCTGTTGATTCCGCTGCGCAAACTCAATCATAATCCGTTCCAACTCCGCAAAAGCATCAACGTCGCCCTTATGCGCCCGATCATTCAACGAATGAATCTCAGCCAATTGAGCCTCCGTCCTCGCCCACGCGCCCAACCGATCCGCAATATTCACATTCCGCCGCATACTAAACGTCGTCCGCACGGTATCCGTCTCGCCCCTCGCAGCCTTGATATTCTGCAGACGGGCTAGGAAATTCGCCTGATGCGAAGGTTGTACAGCGCGGCGGGGGACACTGGTCGCAGGTACGGGAGTGGATTGAGCATCATCCGCAGAGATAGGCGTAGCAATGCCCGTGCTGGTACCTGTCTGCACCTCACCGACCAATCCCGAGCTCGCGCTGGAGGTAATGTTGGCCTTGCGACCGAGGATCTTCACGCTGTTGGCGGCGAGTAGTTCGAAGGAAGGACCCTGCAGGAGTGGGGCGGGCTGACCCTGGCCCGTATTGCTTGTATCGTTGTGATGAACATGAGCATCTGGGTGGGAAAAGATGAGCTCTGTGCCGATTTGATCGGCCCAGGTGCAGCTGAAGAGTTGGTCGCAGTAGGAGACGATGGGATTGCACGTGTGGAGACCGAGGATTTGGATTCGCTCGTTGGTTAGGGCCTCTTGGTCGGTGGTTTCGAGGGGCGTGAAGGGTTCGCTGGTTGTGGTGTTTTCGAGAGTGTTTGGGAGTGGTGTGGATGAGGGTAGTAAGCCGTCTTCTTCGGGGTTGGGGGTGGATGAGATGGTGTCTTCTTGTTGTTGGCGGCGGCGTGGTGGGCGGATGGGTCCGTGGACGGAGGAGAGGTCTAGGTTTAGATAGAAGGACTGGAGAGGTGTTAGCTGGGAAGTGCATGAGGAGGGGGTGGTTGGTGTACCTCTGTTTCTGTCTCATGGTACTCGTACTCCCATTCATCTTCGCCAGAGTCTGTAGGTTGATCCATCTTGAAGCTTGAATGTTTTTTTTTTCTTGGCAGGGATCTTTGGTGATTGGAGATGATTCAATCGCGATAAGATTAGTTGGCAGATGGAGACGGTGAGAGAGGCGGTAAGTTAAAGCGGTGAGACAGAATGAAGTGGGCCGAAAGCGGCGGGGCCAACGGCAGAAGTGCCGCAGTACTGAACAGAGTTGCGGAGTCTTGTTAGTGCAGTACTCCGTTAACAAGATCATGGAGGATACTCGGGATTTCATCGGGTTACTTTCATTTGTTTGTTGACACTAACTATGCAACAGTTACTCATGAGTAAGTCAAATGGAATCCTTTCATACATCTATCATACCTATAATTGAGTACAATGGATACTATTACACCCCTTCTCAATGTACTGTACCTCCTCCCCTCACGTACTCATCTATAAGGTTCAAGGTTCAATTCACAGGGTTCACCATAGACCGGGTCTCTCACAGCCTTACGAGATCGCCCTGTTCTGTAAATTCTGTTCTATACATTCTATCCTTTTCCCCTCCTCTCTTCCACCCCACTTCATGTCTATCCAGAGAGGGTATTAGGCAACCCTCAATCCCCCCTCCCCTCTCTAGCCTTATACAGTACCAAAGACACCAACCATGGCCCGAACCTCATGTATTGGTAAGTTGTGATCCGAGTCTTCCGTTGATCCCGTCAGGCCCCGGTCTGTATGGTCCTGCAGGAGAGTCATCATAATTCAGGCCTCCATGTACTGTACCTCCCCCATGTACCTACTGTACCTACTGGACGATCGCATCCGGCTTGGCTCTGGCTGCCATGCATTTCCGCACGTTCCCGGCCGCCCGCACTGACTTGTTCGAGATTCTCCCCTCCCTTCCATTAGTGATTATTTTTTGACTTTAGTCATTTTGGTTCTGTATTTCTGTATTATTTCTTCTGCTCACGGGGAGATCGCTGGACTCGGAAGTCCCGGTTCCAAAACAAAAAAAAACGATTGATCATCAACCATGTGTCCATCGGTCTGACTCGCTCTTTATAGTCTCTCCTCTGCCACTACTCCTCCTACTCCTCCTATTACTGCTGTTTGTTTCCCTCGTTGCGTCTCATCCCACTATAGATCATCGTGACCCTCTCTCCACGGCATGCTCGCCAACCACAGCAGCAACACCCCTCGCTCCTAATTGCATTGAATCGGACACCGACCACACCTTATCGGCTTCGTCCGGAATCCTTGCGATATCCGCCCTCGCAGTCTATGAAAATTCCACTCCCACGGACCCCCCGGCGAGCTCGACACTGGGACTCGCTGCCGAGTCACTTCAGCAGATGACGCGCAAGGTCAAGGCGTCCATTGCCGCCCTCACCACCCTCATTCTCTACGTCTCCATCAACAGTCTCGCCCGCACCGTCCGCCCCAACGCCTGGGTCTGGTACGAAGAAGACAAGGAAGAGCCAAGCTGGCTGGCCACCTCCGAGTCATGGTTCGACCGCAAAGCATGCCGCTGGCTCGGAGTCTGCGGCGCAACCCATTTCCGCATGGTCAACAAACACTACGGGCGTCGGGATCCGACTCGTTGGTCTGAATTGAGCGACGAGGATCTGGCGAAGAAACCCTGGCGCGAGTTTTGGTCTGGCGGGGCCGATAAGCATAATCAGTCTGAGTGGGATGCCGATGAGCAGGCAAGACGGGAGATCCCCGACTACGTCTTTGATTATGCCCCACTTGTGCATCTTTATTCTGGTGAACAGTTTTGGCCGGGGGATATTGCGGAGCATTTATATCATACTACGCCTATGTTGAATTATACTCCGATTCAGGCGCAGTGGGATCATCCGACGTTGGAGGATTTGAATGGCTTGAATCAGTGGGAGGGTGGGAGACATGTGTTTTTGACTAGTGATGATGACCCCACTTCGCGCCCGCCGTGGCTTGAGGGGGAGCAGAATATTCCCCAGGTGCCGGGAAATGATGATGGTAACGACGATGGCAACGGCGATGGCAACGACAATGGCAGTACGCGCGGATTGGAGGAGTCGTGGGCTGATTGGGATGGCCGGGTCGATGGTGAAATTTCACATGAGACCGATCATGAGTGGGACGACTTGAGAAGATATACTGAAGAAGGACGCGAGCGCATAGAACAGGAAGAACTGGCGCATGAATCCAAGGAAGCCAAACGCCGATTCAGACAGGAATTGAGGAAGCGATACGGGGGTCATCCTCCTGTCCAGGAACCTCTTCAAGGGAATCGCAATCAAGCCGCCGGAGGTCGCAGCGAGGCGCCCGCAGTTCTGCTAGTCATGGACAAGGGCAATGGAATCGTGGACGCCTTTTGGTTCTACTTCTACAGCTTCAACCTGGGGAATACCGTTGTCAACGTGCGATTTGGAAATCACGTTGGTGACTGGGAACATTGTCTAGTGCGATTCCACAATGGCCAGCCGAAAGCACTCTTCTTCAGCGCGCATACCGCCGGCGAGGCATTCCGGTACGAAGCAGTTGAGAAAATTGGACGACGAGTGAGTAACACCGACAAATCCCATCAACCCCCTCTCCCCTCTTCCCTTCACTTCAATCCCAGCTGAATACAGTACTAACATCCTTCAAGCCCGTCATCTACTCCGCCGAAGGAAGCCACGCAATGTACGCCCACGCCGGCGTCCACGAATACATCCTACCCTGGGGCCTATTACACGATATCACAGACCGAGGCCCACTCTGGGATCCCCTGCTAAACGCCAAGGGTTATACCTACGATTACGACACCGACCACCTCCGCTCATCAACATTCACCCCCGACGCGCCAACCGAGTGGTTTTATTTCCGGGGCCACTGGGGTGATAAATTTTATCCGCTTGGAGACTCGAGGCAGTATCGCTTTGCGGGTCAGTATCATTATGTGAATGGGCCTATTGGACCGCGCTTTAAGCATTTGAATCGCCGGAAGGTGTGTCAGGGTCCTGATCGGTCGACGTGTGTGATTAGAGATTATATTGGGGAGGATGGGAGGGTTCCGAAGTGGGCGGAGGCTGGGGATGAGGAGTGATGAACCAGCCATTCGTCTTGCTACGCGTACGCTTGGCATCTACAACGTCGCCTATTTCCACGCCTTGACATGGTGCCATTCTCAAACTTCAAATTTGGAGGATCTCGATCATTCTTTCCAACACCTGGGAATTCTATCGCGAATCCCATTCAGAGGGTCAGGTCCATAGCGACAGACACCCTCGACATATACCCAGCATTTTGTTTGTTTTGCGCTATCTGCTTTTGATCCGATATATACCCTCATACCCCTCTGGTTCTGCTTCTTTATTCCTTTTTCGTTTTTCTGTTTGTTTTCAACCTTGTGTTCATAACAAGGAACCCAGAGTATAGACTTGCCCCCCGGCCTGGCGCCTGATGAAAGCATTTCCATTCCTTTCCTTTACTACGATATGAGAGATGACACTGACTCTGAACGTTACTGACTTGACTTGACCTGAAATTGCTTTGAATCCGGCGCTGGTGATATCCACATTCCCTTTCCTGCTTACACATTCATTGATTCATTCATTCATTCATTCATTTACAATACCCAGATTTGGCGTTGGCTATCGCTTTCGCTTTCGCTTTCGCTTTCCCTTGTCTTTTCCTCATTTTCATTTGCGTCCTTCGGTTTTCGGTTTTCGGTTTTCGGTTTTGTTGGATCTGATTTTGAACTCCGAGTTTGGCGTGATTGTGATTTTGATTTGGATGGCTCTTTTTGGGGGCTACGGAAAGTTCACCTGGTTGCAACTTAGATTTTTTTCTTTTTTCCTTTTTGGGTTTAACACAGCTACAGATTTACAGATAAGAGAAAAGAAAAGATGATGGAATACAAATATATTCAAGATTTTAGATTTCAACCTTGGTTTATCTTATTTTGTCTGAACTTGTAATTTGGATATTTGAGATTGAGATGGTAGGTTTGGTTGGGAGTTGTTGATAGGTACCTGTCTAGTCTGAATTTGCGGGTGGGTGGTATTGCTTCATAGTATTTAGTATAGTGGCTGTCCATACATTACTCCAGTTGTATATACGAGCAGGCCCGGGGGGAAATACATCTATGGATCTAGATAAAGTCATGAGGTGCTCATTTCAGGCCTCATATCCCATTGTCCCTTGTCCTAACAGGGGCCATTGCTATTCTGAGTGGTTTATACCCCATTTTAAGTTTCAAACCAAATTTTGATGAAAGTGGTACATTCATGCTGATGCCATATCTATCTAACTTGAGCATGGAACATGCTATCAATCACGCCGGATATACAAAATACTCCGAGAATCCAGAATACAGAATCCAGACCACACAGCATCTACCCCCTAATCTCAAACAGACGGATACGACCCTGCTCATTAGCGACAGCCAATTGCTCATTGTTCGGCGAGATTGCCACGGATGAGATACGGCCTAGGGGAGTGTTGGAGGTGGGCCAGTTGCGGTAGACGGTGCAGGATGGGAGGTGCACTGTAGGATACAGTTAGCTGTATATTCAGACAAATACCAATGAGGCAACGGGGAGGGGGGTACTGCGTAGTGCTATACATACCAAGTCTCAGCGCATCACGCTTCCATCGACTAGCCATAACCATCATCTGTCCATCCGGTGCAAAGACCAAATGGCTGACCGGCGTGGTAAGCTGGTCAAAGACACGAGTAGGTGTCGGGCTCCGCGGGACACCCGCCTGCGTCGAGTCATCCTGGACCGGGACATTGCTCTTCGCACCCGCGGCTGCAGCAGCAGCCCATTCGCGACGATCGTAGATATTCACGATACCGCTGGTACTACCAATAGCAACCCACCGATCCCCACCAAGTTGATCCCGACCACTCTGACCACCAAGCGCAATCACGGTATTACCCACAGCACCCGCATCCAACCAGCGCGCAATAATCCTCCGCTGCCGTCCATCCCACTCTGAAACCTCACCGTTTTTACTAGCAACAGTCATACCCTCACCATTCGACCACCACGCGAAATCAGCTACACCGCCGCGTCCATCAACGCGCACCTGCGCAATCCATTGCGCAGTACCGGAGTCGAGCACGTTGATCATACCACCGCCCTTGCGCGATGTACCCACCAGACCGACGTATCGGCCGCAGGGGGATACCTTGAAGCGCTCCATGGACTTTTGTTCTTCCTTGCGGTCCGCGGAGCCGTTGACTTTGTCCACTTTGCCGGTGTCCAGGTCCCAGATGTGGAAGTAGCGGCGGCGGCCGGCGGCGAAGATACGGTTTCCGCTGGGTGGGGCGAAGGCGGAGGTGTGGAGGGGCGTGTGCTTGATGTGCAGGGAGGTGAGGAGGGGGTTTGGTGAGGGTGCTGAAGGGGAGATGTGGTGTAGGAAGAGGGTGGAGGCTGGGCCGGAAGAGAGGAGGAGTGGGTAGTGCGGGTGGAACATGAGGGAGTCGATGGAGGACTGTAGTAGATATGTTAGAATGGTATACTTTGGGAAGCCAATGGAATCGTTTAATCTGGGGTTGATCTTACCGGCTGCGTCTTGCCGACGTCCTTCAATCGCTGAATATCAACCACTTCCTGGCGCAGCTTGCGCTTGCTACCAGATTTGGTATTGTCTTCGATGCGAGTGAGCTCGGTGGTGTTTTGAAGCAGCTTGGCCAGCGGCTGCGCGGCCAATTGCTCATCCTCATCCGATTCCATGTCCTCGTCTCTGTCCACATCCGAGTCATCGGAATCGGTCTTGCGGCGCTTAGATGCAAGCTCGGGGTCCGCCCACTCGGGAGTCGGGTTCATGCGTTGGAATTGTCTGCGCAGTCGTCGAATGTACTCCGTGCCACTGATGATATCTTCGGATTCGGTGTTGCGCAGTTTGCGCAGCTTAGATTGACTGACGAGAGATACGGCGATGCGCTCGTCGTCACTGTCGTGCCAAATTGCTGGGGCAGATTCCTCTTCCTGTTCTTCATCTGACGGTGTCTCGGGGGATTCGATGAGATCGGTGGTAGTCTGAACATCGCCAGAGTCGAGGAAGAAGAGCTAAATATTGGCGAATAATTAGCCTGACTGTCAGAAGTGTCGTCGAGCTCAATAAAAATCACATACATCTGCGTCGGCCATATTATTCAAATCACCCTCTTCATCATCCTCTTCATCCGCGCTCGCGCTCTCCGCATCGCTATGCAAAGTGAGCTGCATACCACCCTCCCGCTCCTGCTGGGCCTTCAATGCGCCCATAAAGCCCTCATCATCTCCGAAAAGCATACGCTCAAGCTTCAGCTCGTCCTCACCCTTCTCGGGGATGCTCTCCTCGTCCGAGCTCGTCTCATCGTCCATGTCAATGTCCTCAACCGCGGAATGGGTTTGAGGCGTGGTGTTCTCGAACGGTGACCGAGCAGAGACCCGCTTGGTCTCGGTCTTGAGTCCAGCGCTGGACATGGTGGTGGCTCTGTGCTGTGAGATCGGAATCGATCTGAAAAATTGCTGCACAGATTAATTTCTCCGCGGCGATCGGCGTCGAGAGCTTGCGGCGGCGGGATCAGAATATTTTTCGCTTTGATTTTTGCAGAAACGGCAGAAATGGGCGGTGGGAAAAGCGGAAATACTGTATGTATGCCTGAGGCAGAAATTGTAAACACCTTATGCTCTCATCGACGAAATCTCCATTTCTACTATCGATATACGCTATTAAATACGGCTGAGTGATGGTTTTGAATTGGCAGCACAAAATTGATGAGGCTTATGTCAGAGAATTTCTCAATCCACCGCCGAGCCATCATTTACAGTCTGTTGACGTTAATTGCTCACAAGATAAGCAAAAAACTTCACAGAGCACTGCATGATAGCCCACACAAGCTTATCTTGAAGTCAAATTCTAGGGAAATTCCCTTGGATTTCGAGTCTTTCCAAGGTATGAGAAAGGTTTTTCTCCGAAAAAGTGTAGGTTGTGAACTTAAGTTGCTGCTTTTGAACTGCCTGCTATTGTACTTGTCTCGGCTGGGAATATTCCAAGGGCCGTCGAAATAGACTGTGATTCAGTGAGATACACAACGTGCATATCATCCTCTCCGTATGACCTCCACCAAATTTTGTCATTGGCGGGTGTCTCAACCGCTTTTATCTTGGTGATGCATATCGCTACTCGTCTCGGCCCACGGCAGATCCTGCAGGGGAACACTTGCTCCAGTTCATAGACCCTATGTATATTTATTTAGCAACATTGTGGCCAAGACAATATCGAGACCCCTAGATCATCACTATACGACCAAGTCGGACCGAAAGATCTCAGGATGGTGGATAAACCTCGTAAAAGCGATCCACATGTTCCAGTGTGGATAACTTGAATATCTTGGCCGTAACAGTCCATTTATATCTCGGGACTCGCATTTTAAATCGAGAATCAAATATGCACTCCCATTCAACCTAGGCCTGTGAAACAAAAATCTACGCAATTCGAGTCATGCTTTCATTATTAAGACTAAAAGATTAAAGCCGAGAATGGTAGAAAAGCACGTGAAAGAAGTTAACGGGGAAGCCGATGGCGGAAGTTTCACGTAAAGCTTAATTGGGGGCGGGGTTTCAGAAAACTTTTCTAGAAGCTCGTTAACACGGACTAGAAGTTGAATTGCTACGATGAAAAAAGGAAAAAAAATCCGTCAAGAGATAACATCAATGGTTACTCCCATGATTTCATAAAATATTGTACATGGGCATTTGTTGTTGAAGTTACTTCAAAATGCCGGCCCGGTTCGGGTTCAGCTTCAACTGCTATATGTCATGCAGCCTCCGAACGAACTGTCAGGCTTCCCTCGTTTATTCTGGAATAGTCGAAGTAACTACAATTCCGCTGATTGGATATTTTCAGGTTTGTACGTATGTCTACCAAAGACTGCCCAATAACCAGAGCCAAGTATAGTGGGCCCGGCCCCTTAGCGCACGTTTTCCAGCCTCGGGTGGCATTCGATGCTACCCTGCTGCCGTAGCTCCTCAAGTCTAGACAGGGGCTTCTGAAAAGATAGACAATCTTTCCGAGAAACAATGGGAGAGTGTCACGGCAATCCTCTTAGTGCGGCGACTAAAAAGTTATTTATTGGACAGAGCCATCTAAGCGCGATGGAGACCAGCCGGACATCCAGCGGGATTGATCCCTATCTTGGTATTCGAGATGCCTGATCCCTCGTTCTATCGATGCCCGTATCGACTTCGGTAGCTTAATTGATGAATTCACGAATCATCTTTACAAGGGTGGCTCCACTCTGAAAGGGCTCGTGGGTAGTCCGTCGCTTCGAATACTCTCAGTTCCAAGGTCAAATCGCAAATTCTGAAACTTCCCCTCTCGACCTTTGCCTCCGCGGTGCTTTCTTTTGGAAGGAGGATTTGCTTCTTCTTTCATGGTGCCGGCTTGATCTCTACGCCGCATAGTGGGAGATGCGACGGTGAGAGTGAGAGATTCGCGACTATTTTATCACTGAGCTCACAGCAGCCATCTTGATAAGTCGGTCCGGCGTGAAAAGAGAGCTAGCAAGAAAAATCCGGTAATATCTTCAGAATGGGCTCAACAATGCACCTGGCCGGTCCAAGTCTGGCGATTTTCACAGTCTCTATCGTGATGATGGTCGTTTCTATCGTGGCCGTTTCGCTCAGGACCTTTGTGCGACTTTACATCGTTCGAGCCTTTGGCTGGGATGATGCCATCATGCTGGCAGCGCTGGTAAGTTCTTTTTTGACGGCTAGCACAGAAATCATGCTAATCATTTTGCAGGTATTATTTGTGGTGTTTGACGTGTGCTGCTTCATCGGGGCAATGAATGGGCTTGGCCGAAGTCGCACCGATTTCACAAGTTATGAGGGCTATAGAACGGCTCTTCTGGTATGTGCTAATCATTCTAAAGATATTTTGAGATTTTGCTGCTGCAACTCATCCCACGTTTCTAAATACTAACTATCATGGCTTTTTCTAGTATTGGTGGCTATGTCAGATTTTCTACACCTGGTCATCCGCACTAGCCAAAATATCTATCGCCGTCGCCCTCCTTCGATTAACAGTCAAGAGAATTCACCGCATCATAATCTGGAGCATCATCGCTCTAACAATCGCCGTCAGTCTTATGTTTTGGCTGGTTATGCTTCTTGATTGCCATCCGATTTCCTACTTTTGGGACTATGCGGACCCTTCAAAATCAGGCACCTGCATGTCCACCACTAGTTTGGTCAAAGTTGCATATATTTACAGCTGCTTGACGATTGTGTGCGATTTGACGCTTGGCTTACTACCTATTTTCCTCGTCTGGAAGCTACAGATGAGCCACCGGACGAAGATTGCAGTTGGAGGAATTCTCAGCATGGGCGCGATGTAAGTGAACGTTCCATGATCAATATCCAAGTTGAAGAGACTAATCTTAGTGAAACAGTGCGAGTGTTGCGGTCATTGTGCGAATCCCGTACCTCCACTTCTATGCCGATACCAATTTTCTCCGTAAGTCTTTGATGGAAGATGGCCAGCACTGCGGTGGCTTTCCTTTTGATCGTATGAGCTATGTGCTAACCTTTTTTTTCCAAGATTCTACATTCCAAATAGCCATCTGGTCGGTCGTAGAAACGGGTCTCGGAATCACGGCTAGTAGCCTATTCACTCTCCGTCCTCTCTTCCGCTGGCTTCTCGATGAAAAGCTATCATATGGTCGAAACTCACGCAGTGCTGGAAGAGGATATAACAAATACCCGCTCTCAAGTCTTAACAATGATGGTTTGAGGGTTTCTCCAGGAATTCGGTCTACGAACAATCGGTCTGGGGGAGAAAACAGGGTGACCAATACTGTCACGATTCCGCCATCGTGCGATTTCATCACTGCTAATAGCAGCGAGGAGGCTTTGTACCCCGATACAAGCCCCGTAAGCTCGAGAAACTATGTCACGGTGCAAAGGACCTTTGTACAGACTATTTCAGAAAGACCAAAATAGGTTTCGCTGAATGGTTGTACCTAGTCTGACTGTCATGAGTTCTGTCCTTATTTTATTTAATAATGAAAATAATACACGACATATTACTATCCCTGAGACTGTATTCTTTGTCCTTTTTGAGGCGCACAGTCACTTAAAACTTCCAAGGTTGTCTATCTACGCCGAGGAAATTGTAATCATCTCTAACCATATAGATCTATCAAGAGTGGAAATTTCAAGGCTTCTAACGCCACATCACATTTGAATAGGATGCCACGAACAAATTGTGATACTACGAAAAGTCGCAATGCTACCAAAAAGGCGCGGCGCCACGAAAATATCGTGATGTTGTAATGCCACGAGAAGATCGTATACCACGAAAAGATCTTATGCCGCGAAAAATTCGTATATCGCGAAAAACTGTATACTAAGAAAGCCGTTGATACCACAAAAGAATCTGGATGCATCGTATTTTAAGAACATCTGTTGACCATTAATTGTCTTGCGCGACAGCAAAATGGCGCGAGGAGGTCACGGGATGTGTGAGTGATGCTGAAATACTGTAAGGATATTTTTTAAATGTCTAGTATATGTAAGTGATACAGGAGTAACTTTCTAGTACTACATCATCCTCTTAGGGCATATTACATCGTAGTCTAAAGATAATATTGCAACATATGCGAGAATCCCTTCACATAGGATATGAAATGAGATTACTTACAGTTATAATAGGTGCACTAAGATGCTTGTACTCGCTCTCGTCGCACATACATACAACAGGTGTCACAGGTGTCATTCCTTAAGAGTATAGCACTGCTTCTGCTTAATGACATAAGGCGTTTGATATATCATCTGTAATACAGTTTAAGTCAGATAGTATTAGGCTGGGATATCACGAAAAAGCCGTGAAGCAACGAAGCAACCGTGATGCCAACGACAAAATCGGGATGCCAACGACAAAATCAGGATGCCAGGAAAAACAGTGATACTAAGAGAAACGGCGATACTAGGAAAAACAATACATGAAAAAACGGTGAGGCATGAAAAATGGTGATGCCAGGAAAGCCTCTGCCTGATACAACGAAAAAGTGTTTAACCGAAAACACCACCCCATCACATCCTTTCATCTGCTGATTTAAAACATCTACAAGTTAGATGTGTACACAGTGTTAATATCACCGGTCACGATCATCTTGATGTTCACATAGTCGTCAATTCCATACTTGCTGCCCTTACGGCCCATGCCGGAGTGCTTGACACCGCTAAATCTATAAAAGGTTAGTAAAACTAAGCATCAATTCTTTTTGACAGGTGAACTCACGTTGCAGCAGAATCTGAGATACCATCGTGTTGATCGCAACCATACCAAACTACAGTCTCTCAGACACTCGGTATGCCCTACCCTGGTCGCTTGTCATAAGGTAGGATGCGAGACCAACCTCGCAACTGTTTGCACGGCGTGCGACCTCGTCCTCAGTCGAGAACTTGGCAAGTGCTGCAACGGGGCCAAAGGTCTCTTCGTAGGCGATCTTCATCAAACCGTCCACATTGCCCAGGATTGTGAGTTCGTGGAAGTTCTTTCCAAATGAAGGCAATGGGTTGTCACCCAGAGGCACAGAAGCGTTCTTGCTGACGGCATCGCTGATGTGCTCCTGCGTCTTGACCACGCCGTTGGTGAGTGGGCCATGAGTTGAAGCTGCATTCTGACCGTCACCAACTTGGAATATCTTCGTCTCCTCCACAAAGTGCTTGCTAAACTACTCGTAGATACCCTCCTTGATGAAAAAAACGATTTGCACAAACAAAGTTTTGTCCAGTGACCTTGAGCATCTATTCTATTCGCTCTTATCAAAGCAAGCTTCTCTCTAATCTGAGAAAGCTCAGTATTCGAGTGACAAGTCGATCTAAATCAGATCATCGCTCCCTTTCGCTGTATCTTTCGTCATCACGCTCATGAAAGTACTCCGAGCCCGGACCTCCTTTCCCCAGACAAACATCAGTGTCGGAACTAGTGACAGCACTAGCGATACAAAGGCAAGCAATGTGCTTGCCCAGTTTAACCCAAGGTTTTTGTACATACTGAATGTTGCCAAGGGCAAGAAGGCAGAGAAGATGTTTTCCCCAGTGGCAACAGCTCCCATCGCACTCCCAGCGTAGTGGCTATACGCGTCTAAATCAATCTAAAACTATATATATTAGACAAGTAGATATGGACATAGAGGCTTCTAATAACTTCCTCGAGACGAGTACCGTTTCATTGTATAGTACTGTTGCTCTTGCAGACCTAGCCTAAGCGGTGTGATGTGTCATGAGCCCTACATCGGGGGTAGGCCGCTAAATAGGGTGGTGCTAGACTGGTAAAAAATTAAATTTCGCTTTCTGACTACGGGGGATCAATAGTCCGCCCCAGTCAAACTCAAGGCTCAAGTGCTTACAAGGAGCGGCCTGAGGGGTCGTAATTTTCCTCCGTGGAGAGCGAACCTGGGCGTCAAACCACATTTTCGACATTCGCGCCTGACTATTGACGAGCATTCTATGACGGTGCTGTGCCAATATTTCACGTGGATGGATCGACATTAGTACTCTAGGCATCAGGATTCGAAAAAAAAAACATAAAAGAGAGCGGACTGTGCCTCTTCATCCTCCTCGTATTTTCCCTGTTACGGCCCCCGTTTGATTAGTACCCGATTCACATCCTCGACAATGTCTATTTCTCAGATTGGCGGATTGAATCTATACATTGGAGGGTAAAGAACCTATTTTGAAGCATAACAAAGACGATTCAACAAGCACTAACTAAATAACAGAGTACTTGGGCTACAACAATCCATTGAAAATGCTAGAATCACACATGTTCTTTCCCTTGTCCATGTTGACCGGTACTTCAAAATGATATCGAACGCGGATCCCGACTTCTTCCAAAAGAGGAATATCAGACATCTTACGATCCCCGTGGAGGATTCCGTCAACCAGGACCTTCTCCGGCATTTTCGCGAGACTAATGAATTTATTCACTCGGCTCTTACGCATGAAGGAAGGGTACTGGTCCACTGGTTAGTTTGTCGAAATGTTTCTGACACTGAACATTGACTTTTGATTTCACTACTTTTGCATGGTAAAGCTGACAGAAAAAAACCGAATTCGAACGATGCAGCGGCCTAGGTGTGTCACGATCAGCTGCCATTTGTATAGCCTACCTTCTCTATCGGGATCCGACGAAACTTACGCCAGATACTGCATTGACTCTTTTGCAGCGAAGTCGGTCAAATTGCCAACCGAACGAGGGCTTTATGAAGCAGTTATGGCTCTTCCATCAGATAGGTTGTTGTTTAGACCCGACAGACGACGAGCTGTATGATAGTTGGAAGAGAGAAAGGCTTGATGCGTTGCGCCGCTGAAAGGCTCTACAGAGGAATATTGAAATCGCGCTAGTTTTATTGTTTCTTCCAATGGTTGAAGGCCATTAGCTTAACGAAGAGCTTCTCGATGAGGTTCAAGTCCGGAGCAAAGGTGGGCAAATATACCGGTTTTACGTTAGCTTCCGAGCACTTCTATTCTATTCAGTTGGAGTGATGAAAAGACGCGCTGTCTTTGACATCACATTTTGTTATGGGCAAGCTGCATGATGTACATGTTTTCACTGATAGATGAAACACAATCCTGGTAATAATTCTATGTGAAGTTGGCAAAGTTTTCATGCGCGTTTGTATTCCCCAGCCTGTTAAACCTAAGAAATGTTGACAGCAGCAATCTCGTTGTCCATGGCAGGGATCAGCTCGATGCCAGTGACCTCGGATACCTTAGCCAGGACTTCATCGCTGTTCCAGGCGCCACATGTGAAGTGAGCTCGCCTATTGATGGTATTAGCAAGTTGTCGCCCAGGGAAAGAAGTTGAGGACAACTTACGCGGATCCCATTCCACGGACAGTGCTCTTGACAAACTCAGACATGTAAAGGCAGTTATCCAGTACAGGCTGGCTGAAGATCTCAGCCCTCATCTGCTTGATAGCTTCCTCAGTGAAGAGGTGGGATGGCGCGGTGACAGCAACGGGAGAAATACCCTGTCCCTCAAGGCCGATCTCCATGGTGTAGATCTTATTGGGAGGCTCATAGCACAGGTGTTTCTTGGCATCAAAAGACTGCTTAGTCTCAATTTTGGCCTCGTCCATCAGGAAATAAAGAATCGGCTCAGTGGGACGGGTTGCACGCCATGTGGTCTGGCCAACATGCTACACCTTGGGCGCCACAGTTGGGGTGATCACTTGAGTAGCAGACATTTCTTCAAAGGGGATGAGAAAAGTATGCTTGTCAAGTTGACACTTTTGGGTTTGAGTACGATTGATGAGAAACTTGTCAGATGTTATATTAAGGTTATTCATAATGTTCAACAAGAGGCACATGATCATTCTAGAATGACACCTAACCCCGGACTTGGGATTCTTTTGGAGGAGAGAACCTCATGTCGGATGAAGCACCCGAGGGAGGTTTCCTGGAGAATTCGAATGTTGTACATCTGGCTTGTGCCCCGATCCTGTGATTGTTCTACATGCAACATCGAATTTTCATATTCTTGGCGGCATCACCATTAGGTCCGAAGTTTACACTCGATATCGGGTTATTCAGATTTGTCGGGTTCTCGGCTAAAGCCCGGTAAATAAGCTTTAGTCCCAACATACATCCAAGAACCTTAAGCTCTTCTCGTATAGGCGGAATGGATCTTCTGGGGAAACAATTCAGTAATGAGCAACGCATCGCTAAACCCAACGTATTTTTCTGCGGAGACTGGTCTTCATCTTTACTATGGATGACGATTCACGTATCGTGACTGGACTGCCCTTCACATTCGCTGGGCCTGGGAAATTAACAACGGCCTCTGAATTGGCAACCATTCAATATTGTCAGTTTTCACTGGTCCATGAGAAAAGACATATTTATGACTAATGATTTCGCAATGCAGCGTAAAGAAAGACCAGAATTCCAATCCCCAAAGTCCTTGATTGGAGCGACGACGCATCAAATAGGGTTGGAAGCGAATACATCATCATGGAGCATGTGACTGGTGTCCAGCTACTGCGAAAATGGCCTCACATGTCGGGGGGTCAGAAAGTGCTATGTATTGCTGCCCTTTATGAAAAGCTGAAACAGATAGTTGGCCTGGAATTCCCCACATATGGAAGCATATATCCTTTCACTTCATCTCTGGACTTTCTCTCCAAAATACAGCTAGAGACCGGTTTTTGCATCGGGCCTCACTGTGGAACGAGGTATTGGGATTGTGGAGACGACCGGTCTTATCATCATACAGTTCCCAACCAAGGTCCTTGTGGGTCCATTTTGATCACAATACTTGAGAGAAGGAGTACTAACACATGAGATACAGGGCTATCTCTAACTTCTTTCTCTAACGGCCTTATCGATGGCTGGTCTTTCCAGGCTCCCAGCAAGAGGCTCCCCACTACCAAACCAGCCACCCTACCAAGGCTCAGTCCAAACGCATTTAGATCTTCTCAACGATGGCCGTACGCTACTAGACGCAATATCCACGGACAAGCGTGCCCAAAAGGCAGCCTTGCCAACCCTATTTCATCCAGATCTACACAAAAGAAACATATTCGTTTCAGACACCGACCACAATAACAACCCGCATCATCGATTGGCAGTCGTGCAGTATTGCACCAACTTTCTGGTATGCAGATGAATTTCCGGACTTTGTCTCTGATTCATCCTCATCCTCACCTTCTACTTCGGAGATTAAGGACAGTGATTTATGAGCAAAAGCGTTTTGATGCTTGTATCCAATATCACACGCCTAAGCTCGGTCGTCCGCGATTAATGGATGAACGCATATTTCGTCCTTTCAGATACTGCTACCGAACCTGGAAGGACGGTGCAGTTGGCTTTCGACATGAGCTGATTGAAACCCGCAAAAACTGGATGACTCTTGGATTTGCTGATTCTTGTCCATTCCCTTTACCACCATCTGGAGAGATACCCCTGCATCGAAAGCGATACTGGTGTTTCGAGGCGGCTCAGGACTTGAAGCGTGATTTATCTAGCTGGCTAATTGTGGAACCGATGGGTGGGTGCCTCCTGAGCACTGGGCAAATGCGAAAGCGGGAAACGTAGCCATGTTCGAGGGGATGTTGCAGGCGGTACTAACAAATAAAGATGTGGACGATGACGAACCAGTTAGGGATGAAAAGGACCTCCGAGCTATCTGGCCATTTGATTTACCAGGGCAATGAATGCTTTTCATGGAGAGAAGATTCGACTTTGGTGATAGCATATATTCGTGTACACATGTAAGATCATAAGAAAAGCCTAAAAGCAACAGCAGAGTAATAAAACCATTATCCAACGCCTTTAATCATGACTTTGCTCGTAATCCGGTCGTATCGTATACACAATTGCAATTTTCCCCTGTGGGTCTTTACAAATCGCGGTCACGTTCGCGTTCGTTGCGGCTGCTGCTAGAGCTCGGCGGCTCGTATGGCGGAACCGGGGAGAACTCTTCCGTGAGAGTATCCTCTGATTCTTGCAGCGCATTTGCAGTAGCTTTTGGTTGAGATAGGGTAACTGACGGCTTGCCGTTTGCTTCGTCGTCATCAGAGTCGGTGGAGTATGCCTCGTCCAGGCCATCCAGCAGAGCTTCTCGCCGGTGAATATCTTCTTCATCATCAACTGTGTCGGGTGCGGTGTACATGTCGTATGAGAGGGGTTTCTTGATGAAATGGTCGATGATGTAGTACTGGATAGCGTTCATGATGACAGGGAAGAGGAGCATGACAAAAGCGATCTGGATTGCGGTGTTTCCTTCTGTCCAGCCTAGTGCCCAGTCACCGACTTTGACGATGAAGGGGAATAGATTGATCAGGAAGAAGACGCAGAATTTCATGCCGAGGAGACCGATAAAATATATCATTGACTGCTTGAGCCACCATAGTGCTCGGGGTGGGTGGCCGTAGTTTCCTGATTCGATGGATTCGGGTGGGTTGGCGAGGGGTGTGTAGAAGGCTAGGAAGTTCAGGATTCGGAGGATCAAGATCAGGATGGGAATACCGAGGGTTGTCTGTTCCGGGAAAGGTATCAGTTAGCGACCTTCTTCATCAAAGTTGCCTAACAGTGTTTGGCTCACTCACGTCGATTCCCAAATTCAGCAAGTAGAAAGAGCACGGGTTCGGCTTGTACATCATTCGAATCTCAAACTGGCCCGCCGATATCATGGACATCAGGAGATTCGCCAGATGAAGCATCCCCGATCCAAAGACTTGTTTCGACGCATCAAATGCCCACACTTTCAGTGGCCGCTGGGGCCGTTCCCTCCACCGCTTGTAGACCAACGAGAGCAGCGCTAGTGCACCCAGAGCTACCTGGACAAGCAGAGAGAACGGTCCAAGAAGTTTACACTCCCCATCGTCGCCGCTTGGATCCTGGTCTGGCGGAGGAGCCCCATGGTAGTACAGCATGTGTGATGAGGGTGACGGCGATGCGGAGGTGCTTAGGTATGATGCCGGACCGGGCGGGGCAGTCGCAGCGATAAAAGATGTGGCCGCGGTGGCAGCGAGTGACAGAGCGGTGGCAGCAGGATCCATCTCTGCTTGAAGCATTTTTCAGGGCAGGCGAAAATCCGGTTTTGCCCTGAGGACGGAAAAGCGACCTGCGCTGTGATGGGGTCGTGGCAGTGTAACGTTCGGAGGCTGGAATGACGTGGGGGGCCAGACGGGCCTATTCAGTGCCGAGACAGCGAGTCATCGGCAGGTGACCTATGATAACAGGAACTTCGTATTGCTTGCAAGTACCCGAAGTTCGAGAAGAAAAACGCCTAGAGCACGACCAGCGCGGATGGGAGAAGGCTTCGATGTAATGACGCCGAAACCTTGGAAGGTCGTCGTGAGCTCTGCCTAGAGGCGGTGTCGGCCCGATCTTCTCCTCCCCGCAAAGGGGATCGGCGCGGCTAATCCTTGGCTGTGCTTGGCTCTGGTTCTCAACCTGCGACAGATTCAGGGTCTAGGATCTATATCTGGATGTTTCTGAGGATTGAAGATTTCCGGGTAACCTGTTTCTATCTCCACTGTAAATCAATGTCCCCCGTTTACATACCGTACGTCGCTAAGGGGTCGTTAGTAGCGTCTGCCAAGATCAGAGACCCGTCCTTTTGCAGCTGAGTGGGGACCTCGTCCTTCAGTGACGCAGTCTCAGCCTTATGAGTTAGACCTTGTCTATATATTGGAGACGTGGGAGGTACGTTTTTGAAATGTTTTAAGTGTTGTTCCATGGGCGTATTACAGTCGACTCGTTGCTGGCGGGCAGGTTATCTTCAGTCGAATGCCTGTTAGTGTCAGGTTATATATATATAGGATGTCTTGGAACCCAGCATAATTCGACACTCCCAACTACAATTCGCCTAGCATGCCTTTAGACTGCTGAATATCGGTATCGGGCTTACATGAAGGATATTATCGTTGCTTCGATATCACCCATCAGCATTTTACGACTGGAAAGAGCGTCATCTGATGTGGCCCATTCTCTACAACGAAGGTTTGTTTGCTGAGCGAAGTGGGGTTTCGTATTGATGACGAAGTAGAAAGTGAGAATCAAAACATAAACATGAAAAGATAAACCAATTCCATCACTCGGCAAAGATGCTTCGAGCGATAATTCCACCAGACGATCATCGAAACTGGGATTTGACCCATCGAACCATTTCATCACCCAAAGGAGTCGTCAAGAAAGCAAAATATCCCGAGGGAATAAAAAAGAAAACATAACGCCGCTAACCCCTCAAACCATCCCAGGAATCAACGTAACAGGAGATCCGTTCAACACCATGCGCAGCTAATTGCTTGCAGAGGGCATCATTAGAGTCGACACAATTCCACCAACCTCACTCTATCCCATGCTGCTGTTTAAGTCGTTCCAGATTTTCTTGTCTTTCTTGGATATCCTCCTTTGAGCGGACCATCTTTTCTGGCTGGTGGTATAATACTAAACGGAGTGTGTCAGTTTTCAGGGTTTCATCCACCATGGGTGATGCGCGAGTTGCCGCTGCTCCGGGGTGCCACACATACCGACCAAGTATCTGCTCTGGAAGTTGAAGCCATTGAGCTTATCGCATGCCTGCTTGGCGTCGTGTACGTCCTCGTAGACTACGAATGCTGTGCCCTTTGAGTTATTGGCAATGCCTTGACGGATTTGGCTGCAAGGGAAAAAAAAGCAACAGGTTAGCGGAGGCTCCAAACGGCGCAATGTAACGACCACGCAAAGCTCACCGAATAGGCCCGAATTTCCCGAACAAGTCAAAAAGTTGCTCTGCTGTTACGTTGTAGCTGTTGAAGAAGACGTCAGTGTGCTGTTCATCGGGTTTGCTGTGGGACTGTATTTGCGGAAGAGATGTGGGCGAAACTTCCGATCAACGGCGGGAGCGCGGGCGGCGGGCATGCGTACCTGAGGTTCTTGACGAAGAGAATCCTATGAGGAAAAGTTGTTAGTACAAACAGCTAAACATAACTAGGACAAGCGAGAGAACAGAGCCATCATCTTGTCTGCGAGTGATGGGTGATGGTCGATGGGCGCGGAGCCCGAGTGCGGGAGGGGCATGAAAAGGATTCAGCACATACCGATTTGCTTCGGGGGCGAGCTTCCGGCTCATTCTTAGGACAAAGGAGGTCCAGTAAACGGTTGAATAGAGAGTTGAAAAAAGGTGTCGAATACCCGGGGTATCGAGGGCAAGTGGTGGTTCCAAGAGACGAGCAGCGCAAGACGAAGGAGAGACACGCCAGAGAGAAGCACGAGGTGGGCTTGGCACAGCCATTTGTGGCTTAGCGCACACCTGAGGCCAACCAGATGAGGTAAGCGTCCTTCTGCCTGTAACCATACATGACAATAATACAGCACGTGCCGCCAGCTCCTTCCGGTCTATTTGGTGGGAATCCCCGCGATCCTGCTGTTACAATTGGTATCGGACGGTATCAGCGACACAGCTCGGCGAAGACGCTCTCGTCGCAAGTCGAAGCTCGGGGCCGCCAACGGGCTCTTTCCGACTCTTCCCAGACACAATCCAGTCGCGAAACACATTTCAGTCTTGTACAAGCATCAATATCGACTTGAAGGGAGGGTCAAACACACCAAGACACTCCCTCCGGCTACAGCAGCTGGTTCCGCGTCCCCATACCTTGCGAACGGGCTCTCGACCGACCTACCAATCCTCCCTCCCTCTCCTACCGCGACTCCGTCCTGCCCTCCTCGCTCTACCAAACCCACCCGGAAACGCTTCCATCCATTCGTATACCCCCCGTTCGACATCCAGTTTGCAGGATCTGATTCCTGCTGACTGGATTGCATTCGATCCGATCTCCTTTCCTGCCCGCGGGTTGCGGCGCGACTCCCTCGGCGCCTTTGTCGACCCGCCGCCCTCGACGCTCAAAACCCCCTCAACTCCAAACGCTTCGCCGCGACTGGCCTCGCCTCCTCGTCGGCCATCTCCTCCGCCGTCCTTAATCGTCCCTCGAGCATCGTCGTTTGTCTCACGGCCCTGTGTGCGCATGTTCTGCCACCAGGAATGACACTCCTTTCCTCTGCGACGGCCTCTCGCTAGTCCGTGTGGTTCATCATCCCCGCTTTGCACCCACTTCGCCGCAAAGTCGCATCTCGTCGCACCTTCGACCCTCTCCCACCAACCCCGTCCCGCGCGCCCGACGCTCGTCGGAATTTGCCAAAGATGATGAGCGCAGCATCTTTTATGATGCCCGTGGGCGAGCGTCCCCCCGCAATACCGCACTCCGTCGCCTCCGAGACGCGCCGTCGAGCCCATCACACCGTCGACCGCTGATTTTCGAGCATCATGGGCCGAGCGCGGTATTGCACGATCTGCTAGCCTCGATCATGATCAGCGTTCGTCAAATCATGCCCGGATCCCCCCGCAGATGCTGGTTCTCATCACCGGTCGGGTCATGGCCGGTCAAACTCAACCATCGACACACTTGCGACGATCGCCCTAGCAACAAGTCCTACCTTCGCGCCTCTCCCACCTCGACCATCCTCCCCCAATTCTCGATCCACCGTCCCATTATTCCCTCCCGAGCCTCAAAATGCCGAACGACCCGCGAAACGGCCCCGATCGGAGCGGGATCCCTCACCGTATCGTTCTTCCTCCTCTTCCTCTCGGGCAATGCCACCGGGCAATCCCCAACCATCTATCCTAGACAGTATGAAAACAGATGCCGAACTGTTACTGAACTTTGCCCGGCCTGCCAACTTCCAGCCCAGCGGCCATCATACGAAACGAGTCAGCATCGACGAATCTTATCACCTGCACAACAATCTCTACGGAGGTGACTCGGGACAACATAACCGAGTCGGATTTCCTTATGCTGAACATGGTGGCTCTCCGGAGGATATAAAGCTCGCGTACCACCACTCGGAGGATCACATTCCGCTATCACGTATGAGATCCCGTTCCGATGGATCGGCATTTCTGTCGCGCCCGGCAATCCGTGGCGTGCGGCCCACCACGAGCGCAGGTACACTCCCCTCCATCGTCTGGGAAGAAGACAACGAAGACGCTGCTCCAACGACAGAGGTGTCACGTTACGCGGGATACGGAGAATACAAACCACTTGGCCCTCAGCAGGAGCCCCATGGTCCCCACTCAACAATGGATTTGACACCCAAGGTTGAAGATGAGGACGATGGGAGTGATACAAACCAGGCAAGCTGTGCTGCTTGTCATATGATTCGTATTCCAATGGAGCCGGAAGAACAGCAAGAAGAAGATACGTGGATTGGCTGCGACGGATGCAAGCGCTGGTTTCATATCGTCTGCGCTGGCTTCAAGAACGATCGAGAAGTCCGCACAGTCGATAAATTCATTTGTCGTAACTGCCGATCCACACATGGGCAAACCACCTTCGTGCGAAAATCGTCCCGAGCTCGGACCGCAATCGACTATGCTGGTCTCAACCAGGGTGTAGTGAAGGCGGCTTCGGATTCGATGGAGCACCATTACCTCGAGCCTATTCGTCAAGGCAAGATTCGATTCCTCCCCGAGAGCTTTCCCAGGATGAAGCCCGAGCTGGTCACTGCCGAATATTTTGAACGGGGAAACGGGTGGGCAGAGCCGGTCGTAATACCTGCTGCATGGAACACCCGGGAACCCGTCCCGGAGCTAGACGCAGAGTTTGAGTCTCTCGTGCAAGAAGCCTCCACCCAGGAGATGTTCGACGATTTGCTTGAGCACCTCGAAGAACATGAGACGCCCCTTCGAGAAACAGTTGACTGTGGACAAGACCAGCTGGATATGGTCATTCCCCAAGGGCTGACCGTTCGTGCCGTGGCTGAACTATATGGCCCGGAGGAACGAGTCGAAGTGATCGATGTAAAGTCACAACAAGGCGAGGACAAGAGGTGGAACATGCAGAAGTGGGCCGATTACTACGAAAGCAACGAGCCAGACAAGCCAGTGCGGAACGTCATCAGCCTGGAGGTCTCCCAGAGTAAGTTAGGCCGACTCATCAGGCGACCCAAGGTTGTTCGAGATCTTGACCTGCAGGATGCAGTCTGGCCAGAGGAGTTCAAGGCTATTGGTGACTACCCCAAGGTTCAGTTCTATTGTCTCATGTCCGTGGCCGACTGTTATACCGACTTCCACATCGACTTTGGTGGATCTTCAGTATACTATCACATCTTGAAAGGGAAGAAGACATTCTTTTTCATCCCGCCGAAAGACAAGCATCTCAAGAAATACGAGGAATGGTGCAACTCCCCCGCCCAAGACTCGATCTTCCTCGGAAACCAGACGAAGGAATGCTATCGCGTGGATCTGTCCGAGGGCGATACCATGTTGATCCCTTCGGGATGGATTCATGCCGTCTGGACTCCGGAGAACAGCTTGGTGATTGGTGGCAATTTTCTCACCAGACTTAATTATGGCATGCAAATAAAGGTGCTCAACATTGAGAAGGAGACAAAAGTGCCCAGAAAGTTCCGCTATCCTTTCTTCCAAAAGATTCAATGGTACACGGCGTTGCGATATTTGGAGGATGATCCTATTCCCCAAAATGTCATGGACGCATTCGCGCAGGACGAAAACTACAGATTCCACCGGCAACACCCTATTTACTATGAGTTTGGGGAACTTGCCAATCAAGAGCCTGCGGGATCACCATATTTCAATGCTCGATTCTATTCCCAGGCCGAGTTAGAAGGACTGCCAGAGCTGACCAAGTACCTTTTGCGGACAGCACTCATCGCCAGTTCTTACAATGTCGAGGGTGTCACCGTTGATGCTCGTAACGCTGTCAGACGATCCATCCCGAAAGGCGTCGTCGAGCCTGTGAACATGATCAGGAAGTTTGGCATCTGGGTTGCCTGGAAGCGCGGTAACGAGAAAGCACCACAGTGGACTCAGCCGGGCGTTATTGAATCGAACCCCAAGGTATCTCTCAATGAGAAGAAGTCTGCTGGGCGCCCGAGCCGACGATCCGAACGCAACGTCGACAGCCAGCGTACTTACGCCGAACGACAAGCAGTACAACGTCCATCAGATGAAGTTGTCAGCACACCTGCCCCCCGGTCAACAACAACCCGCCCGTATACCCGCCAATTGAAAGTACCACGCCAGTGCCGGCCGCTTTCCTTCCCGAGTTTGTCGCTCGAGAGTCATCTTCCGCCTCTAAGCCACGAACCGCTCCACGCGGATCTGGTTTAGGACCCAAGCGCGTGGCCTGTGATGCATGTCGCAAACGCCGGATACGTTGTCGTCATAAGGATGAGCCGAATGACTTGGGCATGCTGGGTGGGCAGTTGGGCGTGAACGGCTTTGGGCCTGCATCAGGCCTCAGCACTCCGTCCTCTCTGGCGCAGGACGCCGTTTCCGCATTGAACTCATTAGCGGCGATTGCTTCTCAAGCGGGCTTCCAGAGCAATGGCGTCGTTGGCTTCGATCGATTCGATGGCTCTGGCAAGTTCCACTCGGCAGTCATGGGTACGTCGACGGCTGCTGCCAACCGACTCCACGATTTGAGCCCCGATGGGGTGAATGGGGGTAAAAAGGGACGTAGCAAGGCGTGTGACGACTGTAGGAAGAGCAAGGTAAGTCCTATTGATGTGAAAGATCTCCCGTCTAATGATTTGATGCTAACCTTCGTATCGAACAGCGCCGTTGCATTCATGACGAGTACGGTAGAGTCGATCCAATCAAGGCACAAGAACGTTCCAAGCCTCGTGGAACAGCCTCCTCAAAGCGACCTCGACCCAACGATGACGACTCTGCCCCTGCGCCAGCCAAAAAGACCAAGCAGGAGAGCACATCCCCCATGACGCATCCTATGGATTTCGATGGGTATGCCGCTACTGCCGTTGTCTCGCAGGATATACCGGCCGATGTTACCGCATACGATGCTATAAACCACCTTCAAGCTCAGCCCAGCAACGTCACTGAGGTGGTGACTGTCGGCCAAGCCTTGTACGCCTCACCTCCAGTCCACCATGTCGATTCGCTAGACATCAAGGATGCAAATTCTTTGTCTGCCCCTTCCAAACCAACCACGTCCTTGGTGTCACCTCCCACGTCGCTGGCCGACGAAATGGACGTGGTGCAGGACGGCGAACCGCTCGCATCAGTTGAAGGCGAGGTATCTACTGCTCTTCACACACCGAACTCTAGTTCTCGGCACTCGTCCCGTCAGCCTCGACATGTCGAGCGTTTCATTCCAGAAGCTACTGCCCCTCGCCCCTCGAAACCAGCGATGCCGTCTACTGCACGCCGGACTACGCCTGGCCCATCATCGTCGGCTAGGAAACCATCATCTCGACCTTCTTCCTCACATGCTAAGAAGAGCTCACCAATGGTTGAGAAGCGCTTCGACCGCCATGCCACCACCTCCTTGTCCCCGCATCAATCTAAACATGTCAAGCATCGCATCGAAGATGATGCGGATGCCGAGAGTCTTCGGCTGATTCGCGAGCTTCAAGAAGAAGAGTTCGGTCTAAGAAGAAGACGTGGCTGAACTTGAGATGGTGCTCTCGCAATAAGGACTTCCTTTTCTTCTTCTTCTTCTTCTCTCTCTTTCTTACCATCTTTCCCCATTTCCTTTCTCAGGTCTTCTTTTTTAGTTCATCGCGACTGGTTGTTCAGGATATCATTCTAGGAATTGGGTCTGGAGATTCGGAGTTTACATATATTTATTCTTGCTTCTGCAGGCGTTTTCATTAGTTAGGGCCGGATGGAGTTTTCATGGGTTTCTCCCATTTGAGTCATTGATGATATTTTTCATTCCGATTGCCTGCGTGCATGGGCTACTTTTACTTTTTCTTTTCCACCTTGAATCTGGCTATGGCCTACTTGCTTCTCTCATGGACTTTTTGTTCTCCTTTGTTTTTTCTTTTCCGATAATTCTATAACAGAGTTTTATATGGACGTTCGTCTTAGTCCTGGTTTACTACCTTAAGTTTGATTTCGTATACTGGTTATCTTGTTTACTTTGTCAGTTGTTGTTTGAATATGACTGGTGTCTTCTGCCTCAGAGCCTTAATTTTGTATGGATTTTGGCCTTTGCTCCTCTTGTCCGTGGCAAGCTTGCCTGGTCCCCGTGCTTTTGGCTAGTAAAGTAGACATGACGAGGACGAAATTTTTAACTCTTTGAGTAATGGATTTGGAACAAAGTCTGCGAGATGAAAATCCCACGCTCTGTATTTATTCCATGACTCGACATCTATATACAACTTCCTCCGTGACTCTAACAATCCAACCTCAATTTCCAGTCCACCAAACATAATCCCCCGTCTCCTCCGCCGTATCAAACACAAGCAGCGAACTGCTATTCTCCGGTCTCTCAGGCCAGACATTCAACAAACCATCCCAAATTTCGACATTAGAATACTCCACCTTCGCACCCGGCGCAGAATACAACGCGACACCTGTACTATCCTCCCGACTAGGATAAATCCGAGTAGTAAGAGCGAAGCGCTCATTGACATAAACCTCAACCAGCGAGCCATCGACGAAGATACTCATCTGGATAGACTCAGTCGTATTCTTGCCGTTATGCTGGCGCAGAGTGTAAGGCTTGAAATAGCCCTCATGCGTGGAATTAGCGAACTTGTCGATCAGAGAAGAATGGCTGCGGTCCACGGCGATACTGTTGTTAGAGGGATTGAAGAAGATGTTTGTGTACTCTTCGCGGTTGGGGGAGGCGGCGATTGTGATGCCTGCGAGTCCGGTGGTGTGTTTGATTTCCACGTTTAGCTGGTATGATTTCGAGAGCTTGGTTGGGAGGTTGATGTTCTTGGATTTGCAGGGGTACTTCGTGTGTGTTGAACCCTTGCGAAGACCATTGACGACGTCTGCTGCTGGACGGACACCAAGCGTGCTGGCGGTCCAGGTGCTGTTTGCGTTGGGGAAGTAGCGTGCGTTTCCGGGAGCTGTGTTGGTAGCGTTGTGGATCACGTTTGGAGTATCTTTGATGAAGAGTTCTCGGGGTAGGGCGAAAGATCCTTGGTAGCCTTGCTGGGTGATTGCGAAGTCGTTCATGTCTTCTGGGGCCCAGCCCCATTGGATGCGGCGGTTGTTTTTGGTGTCGTTGAAAGTAGTCAGCTGTGAGCACGTTAGTATCGGAGAAAGTTCGCCAGTGGTACCTCAACGAAGCAATAATCACCGCGTATAGAAGACCCCAATCACCTGCACCACCAGAGACGGGCTTAAAAGCAACGCTTCCATTCTCCCTGACGGACAATGTCCCCTCATTCCACAAGGACCATCTCTGCTGGTGGAAGCTCACATTGCCACCCTCAGCACCCATACTGACAAAGTACCGATCACCAATGGAGTAGAAGTTTGAAACCTCGAAGTTAAACCCATAGCTACCTGTCTCCTCCAGAGAACCAAGAGTGGAATTCTTCTCCGGCTCCCAAAGAGCTCCCAAGAAAGTCCAGTCCGAAAGATCCGAAGCCGGCGCGCGGTATAGAGGTATACGAGGACCAACATCCTTGATACCGGAGCCAAAGACGGCATACCAATGAGGCTCTGTCAAATTGAGGAACGAATCCATCTCTTGCCAGGGACTGAAAAATGGATCCCGCCAGCCGGTGATGTTCCAGTTTGTGGGAGGCTCGGACAGAACTGGGTTGTTCTCGTACTCTTCCCAGGTAACTCCGCCATCGGTAGAGTAGGCCAGACTTTGACTCTCGGTACCCTTGAGGTAGGGCTTGTTCCAGGAAGTAGGGAGACGCGATACGGAGGTGTAGAAGGTTAGGAAAGTTCCGTCGACTCCGCCAGTGAGATTGGCGGAGTGACTGGTTCCTGAAAAGATACCCAGATGATTGTATAGAGGTGGGTTGTGTTTGCTAGTCAGATTGGTGGTGCCAATTGATTGCGCTTGGTCGTCTTTCCAGGCAGGGATCCCGTCGTTGGGAAGATGGTCCACATCGGTCCATGTAATGAGGTCTGGGGATGTTGCGTGTCCCCAAGAGATGTTACCTAGTAAGTTCATTTGGTAAGTAATCCATTTGGAGTAGTTCCTTCTGGAAAGAGATCGTACCCCAGTTAACATGGTTAGGGTGGAATTGGTAGTGTAAGTGATAGAGATTCCGCACTGGGTCGTACATCGGTCCACAGGGGTCCTGATCAGCAGTTAGCAGCCATATCTTCTTTGCGATTCCTGTATTTACTCTCCGATCTTCTTGATTGGAACAGGTTCATACATTCATCCACCCCGCAGGGGCAAGGAAATGCGAGGTCGGCCTCCATCGAGTGAAGAGGGTGTTGTTCGACAATTTGTCAATCATATCAACCGTGAGAGATTGTCCCCATGCTTGCGAGGTGCCCGCACCCAGCGCTACCGCCGTAGCAATTGTGTTGGTCTTCATGATTGCTATTTAGCTTCAATGAAAGATTTTGCGAACCTGGGGCTAGTCAAAGTGTCAACACCCTGCCTTATATAGAATTCTGGGGAAAATAGAGTGCCTAGCAACTCCGGATTTTAATCGCCACATTCTCGGGTCTCCATGCATAAAAGCAAACTCAACGAGGCGCAATTTGGCAGGATGCTACCATTTGAACGCTAAATAATCCCTCAACGTGGTAATTTCTGGGGTTGTGACGAGTTAACTGGGGTTAGGTTGCCAAGAATGCAGTGGCTGTCGAATAGAAATGACGCAACCGGCCGAGAATCTCCCCGGAAAACTCCAGCAATTCCCCGAACTTTAATCCATTGACCAGACACCGATGCACGTCGGCATCCCGGTGGATAGTATTATGGGGAACTTGGTTTAAATTCTCCGAGATGACTATGGGGAGCCGAAATTACTCCATGCCCCGACATCTTATGAATTTTGTGGGGATTTTACTGATTCTAGAGGGACGGGAGAAGAAGAGGAGGATGTTTACCCTGCAGGAGAGAATATAGAGAAAGTTCTGTAGCCCCCGGGCCTTCGCAATGGGGAAATGTTTCAATGATGTATGCTTAGTAGAGTTTGACTCAAACATTCTGGAATATTCGCTGCCAATTGCATGTTTAGCTAGTAGCTATATTGCTGGAAACTATAGTCGATGACTCCAGGGCTTTCTTCAGCACATCTTTGTGGAAGCAATGTAGATTTACTAAACCTGGTCAATAATACCAGCAAAGAAGCCAAGGACCACAATTTCCGAAAGTTTGAACTATTGATTGTTTTGCTGAAGCTAAGAGAGATGATTCAGACCCCGAAACTTTCGAGGGACAACTTCTGTCGACTAGGAGACGGGGAGCACTACTCCCCGAGAATAACTCAAGGGAAGTAAATGAGTACCCAGCAGGCTTTTCCTTTAAACTCTTGGCAACGATCATACTAAGGATCATCCTTGGTATCCGAACTCTTCACTATAGTTACCCACCAAATCAACATGAGATCTGCTAAATATTGCTAGAAGTCAGGTCGTAAGGAAAACGTGTTCTTACAGGCCTCATGCATATTTACTTTCAGCAAAATTGAGTACAAGGGACGTGATACACAGAAATGGTTCATAATTCGAAATATTAATCAAAACAAGTCAGCGTCATCTAGCTCCTAGACAGCTGTACGAACAGGGCAGAAATATTTTCATAAGTCATTTTGAAGCCGTAAATCACAGCCATCACTTCCTATGTTCACAGGGTTTGGGCTTTGGTTCCCACTTCATGCGATTCTTGAGGGGCTTCATGACAGTTATGTTCTTGTACGGGCCACCGTACTTCTCCTTCAGGTTGTCCTTGGACGACATGTGCTTATGAATGCACTGGGAACAATCCTTAGGATCCGAGTTGGGCCCGGCAAGGTAGTGGAAGCCCTCAATTTCGGTCAAGGTCTGGAAACCACTTGTCTCCTTCGAATCAATGACGATAATGTGAGGGATGGTGATATCCATATTGACGAAGATACCCTGGCGGGAAATAGCATCATCCAAGGAAGTCGGAGGAAAATGGCTCAGCAGGAGTTTGTCGGGGCTAACACCGGAGAGAGAAGGCCGCAGGTGGTGACCATTCAGTTGGAGGGGAGCAGAACAGGCTGTTGCAGCTTCTGGAGGAGCGACAAACTCGCCAATGGAAAACCCGTAAGAAGGCGAGACCACAGTGCCTCGAAGCCAGCTGCATGCAAAACGCCAAGTGCCACAGAGGATTGTTGTTGAGCGATAGACGGGGAACCAGTTGATACCGTGGCACTGGATCACCATAGGCGGGTCTCTGGGGATGCGATACTCGCGAATATCACCACGGGAGTCGAAGTCGTACCGGAAGTATTTGGCGCGCATAGACGGAGGCATGAAGATGGTGAAGGCGAATACGGCTTCATCCGTGAGACGCACGTTTTCAAGGGTGCCTGCGAACCCGTGCTTTGCGAAGCCCCAGGCTGCCTGGAGGTCGACATTGTAGAGTTTCCAGTTTTTGATATTCTCGAGATCGAGGTCTTGGATAGGCGTTCTGGTGCCGTCACGGTATGGAAGGACAGGGCAGGGGATCGGAGGACAGTCCGGACCACGGGCCGGATCAGGGACAGGATCGGGGATAAGATCAGGGACAGGATTAGGTACCGTAGGAGTAGCTGGACAGGTCATTTTGGACCAGTGAAGACGATACAGAGAGAGCTTGGAGAAGGAGAGTCGGTGATAGAGGGGTAGGATAAACGAGACAAGATGGCTGAAGAGGGATGTGAAGGAGATGAAGATGTGGGTGATGAGAGACCGCGTGTGAAGTTGTGCCATGGTCAATAGCCTGGGTTGTTATGAAGTTGGGACAGATAGCTCAAGAAATCACCCAGGGCCGTGAACGTCAAGCAAACGATATCTACAGACTTCCCCGGGTACACCATCAAACATCCGAAATAGGTAACAGACGAGAGGAGCGCCTCCTACCGCACGAACCATCTGTTTGTAGAGCACTACTACTAAGGTTATACGTGTTGTTAATCTTTCACTCGTAGCCTTCCCAAATTGCTTTGCGCCCTCGTTACATAATGTAATACCCACAGCAAATATATGGTTCTTGTGGGGCGATAAATACCCTTGAAAATAGAACCTTCGGACTATGTTTTAGAGATATACTAATAGTTGGCGTATCTAGAAAGAAATCACGCATTTAAGGTCTTGCCTATGTAAGAATGTTAGATAGATGATACTGGGGAGTTTGATCAATTTAGCATCAAAGTAGCTTAGTGGAGGCGGATAAGAGGATGTTGGCTAGTTAGTTTTTGAATAGTGACTAATTTCAGATGTAAATGAAATATTTTCCACTGATATAATACCTTCTTGGTAAGTCCTAGAGTGTGGCGACCACCGGTCTCTAATACAAACGTGACGCTTGAGGTCTATCAAACCCACTCGGTAGACTAGATATGGTATCTTCTGACTAAAGCCAATGGAGCCTCAAACTGCCGGATTTAGAATAAGAGTCTACTATAGGGAGGGAGCTCTTAAATCATTATAGTGTGCAATTACAGTCTAACGGCTCTTTGCTATCACCCTCCTTTTGTAGGACTGCAATCACTGACGGCTTGTTTCTTTGTCATGGATTTGAATTTGGAGAAAGGCAAGGAAATTGGCGGTCACTCAAACTAGTTCTCAATACAAAGAAGTTCTTTCTCCTGATTGCAAATGACGATCATTCCTCCAGGCACCCCCGCGAGCGTGGTTGGAAGTATACTTTCGAGTCGGGGGTTGGAGAAAGTGTGTCTGCTGCCCCGAACAGCTAATGTCAATGACGGAAGCTAACGCAAGAGTCTCAAAGCTGGGGAACGAGTTAGACCAATTTAAAACCCTTTTCCCGATAATAAGAAACCCACAAGATGCCCCTCGAACACTTGTCATCTTTGATATCCATAAGAAATCCCCGCGCGGAGATGTTTCCGATCTCCGATAGGCGACCCCACACAAGTCTCTGAGAGGCATCGGATTTCTATCGCCGAACAACGTCAATAGCCGACCACGAAGGCAGAGCCCGCGTAACACGGCAATAGCCGCTGCAGAAAATGAGTAAAAATGCATGAGAAGATACTTAATCATTTCAGCTCGCTGATCTTGGGTTCATTCAATTTCCAGGTTGTTCACTTTGAATTCTCGCTATACCCGTCGTTTCACCGTCTTCTCAACTTCATAATCGACTTAAGAAAAGCAAAATGAGCAAACCGATCGTTCTTCAACTGGGTGATGACATCCGCTGGAACCATGAATTGTACGCAAAGTTCAAAGATCAGTTCGAGATCCGTCGCTCGTACAGTATGTCGCGACTGGAGTTTATCCGTGCCTTGAAGGAGAAGAAGTTTGGTGACTTCTCTGCCATGTATCGGCCTTTCTGGAACACGGGTGGTGAGATGGGAAGCTGGGATGAGGATTTGATCTCTCTGCTTCCTGACTCGTGCAAGGTGTTTGCCAGTGCTGGCGCTGGTTTCGATTGGGTTGATACTGCCTGCTTGGCGAAAAAGGGTAAGCTTAAATCCAGTGCACTCTTTATTCTTCACGTACCAGAACAGAATACTGATAAAAGATGTAGGAGTTGTGTACTGCAATGCTGCCGCTGCTTGTACCGAGTCTGTAGCTGATGCAGCTCTCTGGTTGATCATCTCCACATTCCGCTTGTTCTCTTGGTCGTCAATGGCTGCTCGTTCCTTGGACGCTGACCAGTTCGTTGATGCAAACCGCAATCTTGCCCCGGTCTCACTCAACCCCAAGGGCCACACTCTTGGTATCATTGGGTTCGGTCAGATTGGTCGTCGCACAGCGGAGAAGGCCTACCTGGCCCTTAACATGAAGATTCTCTACCATGATATTGTCAAGATGCCACGTGAGCTGGAGCAGGTCTCCCAGGCGACTTTCCACAAGGATATGGACATCCTGCTAGCCGAGTCCGACTGTGTGGTGGTGGCCACGCCTTTCAGCGGCGAGACTCTGCTCAATGCCTCACTGCTCGCGAAGATGAAGCGTGGCTCGCGGCTGGTCAACATCGCCCGTGGTAAGCTCTTGGATGAGGCTGCCCTGATCGATGCCTTGAAGAATGGCCAGCTTTCTAGTGCGGGTCTGGATGTACACTTCAACGAGCCCCATGTCAACCCTGAATTGGGTAAGATGAAGAACGTCGAGATCTTGTCACACAACGCTGGTGCGTCTCTGGACTCCCACATCGGCTTTGAGCGTCTTGGCATGGAGAACATTACTTCTTTCCACGAGAAAGGCAAGGCCGTCACTCCTGTCAATGCACACTTGGTTGCCAAGGCAGCAGCATCCAAGCTGTAATTATAAATAAGAGAGGTCGGGGGTCAAACTGTATATCAAATGAGCATATAATCACGAATCATGAGAGAAAGTCAAAGCCATGAGTCGCCGGAACTGAGACCTCTCTGGCTGACAAGTGTGGTTGCCAGAATCGCAACTGAGAGAAGAAAGTCTGACTCGTTCTCTCACTTGATAACACCTACGCATTCCCAGATTTTGCTTATCACCAGGGCAGCATTCTAACCTGGACTCCTACTCTGGAATAATCTATCACCAGAAACTTCCACTATTCCTAGATTCTGCTTATCACTAGGGCAAGATTCTAAACTTGACTCCTACTCTGGAATATTTTATCACCAGAAACTTCTACAATCTCTCCGAATCCCAATCTCAAGCTTTCCACTGCATCATATATTACACGAAAATCTCTCCTTCACCACCACTACCAAGTATGAAACATGCACGACCCCATGTACTCCGATCTCGATGGAGTCGGTGACTACTCGAGTGATGGAGAGACACCCAGTTACTCTGAAATCTCGGCTACTGATATCGAACCTCTCGACATCTGCGTGGAGGAGCTGTAACTCTTCGGCGAAAAAGCGCTCCAGTACAAAAGCGGCTCTGACGACCTCGCAACCATCTCTCAACATCAACTAAGCTCAGAATTCACCATGCTACCACCTCCTGAAACTCAACAAGCAGTATGTTGCGGAGCCTGAAGGCTTAATCTCCGAGGAACTACACCCTGCCCATTACACCCTACATCGAATCCTCAAAACTCAGCAAGAACCCGAAGTCGTTGCGCTGGAGGATGCATATTGGCGACTTGTCAAACCGCACCAATCAATCCGGCCAACAAACTGGCAGTTCAAGTCACCCAGAAACCAACCACCTGGAATTGGCAAATCAGCTTGCCATGGCCCTCGACTTCTGTGACCACCCCCAGGTTGTTCGAGTATGTCGTTGTCCACAACATCCTGTGCGATATAGTCACGATTTTGTGGAGCATGGAGACGAACGAATATCCCTTTCTAAGAGATGTTGCCAACTTCTTCAAGGGCCGGGATAATGTTGATAGTATGGTGAACGCGTTGACAGATGTGTATATGCGGGAAGTATTTTATGGATTTCAACTACAGGTTCTCAAATTCTAGATGAACCTGGGTCGCGAAGGTCTCATTTATTGAAATTTATGTGCTGTCGGACCCCTCTTTGGGCTGGGAGATAATCAGCATGCACAATATCCATATCTGTTTGCCAGATTTGGCGATTCAAATATCATTTGCAAATACGTCGCCCAATTCGACCAGGCTCTCCAAAGCGTTGATCATTTTGTATCTCAAGAGTGCCGTCAGGTGTGGCGACCTTCATCTCATCGATCGCACGTGTACTGAATTCGTAATCTTGGTTATTATTCACAAAGGCGACAAATTGCTTAATCCACTTGTCCATCAATGTTCTTTCAGCCGCAGTGGGACCATGCATGATTGAAAAGCTGTTCAGGGCATATTGTTAGCTTTCTGCAAACCCTCCAATGCTGTAATGCTACTTACTTCCAAAATGGCTTATCCATGGCTTGTGCCACACTAAATGAGGTAGGGGCTACCTTCTCAGTGATGAATGAAAGCCGATATGCAATTCGGTAGCGCCAGATATCCCGAAGAGCGGCTCCATGGGTGCTGTGGCTGTTTATCAACCACCGAGAGGGAGCTCGAACTTGGCCATCTGAAATAATGTTCCCGAAAAGTGTCATCTATTCGCTGGGATTATCGGTGGAAGGTAGTTTGTATTCTTTAATCACCCGGTCGGCTGTTTCTGGGGCATAATAGTTCGACACTTGTAGCCGGAGCGACTCGAGATTGGGCTCCGAACTGTTATATTTCGCGTACAGAGTTTCTTCATTCAAAACTTGACCAATCAGGATCCGAAGACGCTGCTTCTTGAACTCTTTGGCGAAGGCACCACTGTGATTGTATCGGGTGAATCTCTAGAAGACGAACAAATCGTCGGTAACAGGTCGAAAGGGGTGGTTTTTGAGGTGTCCGAGGGCCGCGACAAGATTTTTATAATCAATTTCGCGCAATTTGTTTACCTTTGCGGGCCCAGAAAGGCCCTCGGGGACCTTGAAGTATTCGCAAAGCTCATCGAATTGAGAATTGACGTCGGAAAGGGCCTTGAGCTGGGGTGGAATCGCATTGGAGTACATATAAAACCGGTGGAAAGGCTGTGAATCCTGTCAGAATTCATAAAGGACTCGAGCATGTGTGCCATAGGCACCAGCACTGCGACCACCGAGGGTGATGTTGTTTAGATCTCCGTTGAAAGACGCGATGTTCTCATTGACCCACTCCATCGCCAGCCGCTGGTCCCACTGGCCAAAATTGCCGGCACTCTCGCCATGACTGTCTTCCAACAAGGCCTCTCCGGCGAGGAACCCAAATACATTGAGTCGATATCCGATTCCGATCACGATGGCGTTCAGCTTACCGGTGGAAATCAGTTCTGTAGGATTCATTCCAACTCCTTGGAACGGATCACCGAGCTGGAACCAGCCATCATGAAGCCACAACACAACGGGCCATTTCTTGTCGGACATTGCTCCGGTTTCCTCGGCCGGTGTCCAGATGTTCAGCCGCAGGCAATCTTCGCTGTATGATTCCTTGCCGACATCCTTTTCTGCTCCTCGGGAGAATTTGGCTTGTGGGCAGACAGGGCGGAAGTAGGACGCGTCGAAAGCAGTGCCGTCTGGCTGGGAATAGCTATGTGTTGCGGGCAATAGGCGGGGCTTGCGCCAACGATGAGCACCAACGAGAGGTAGTGCGTAGTATACTCCGGCGTATCATCGAGCTTTATTGTCATCCTGGATGCCTCTGATCTTCCCCTTGGATCCCAGGTCAATTTCGTGGGGAGTTTCCTTGTACGCGGAAAGAGTGTTGCCCATTATGAAGGTGTGGTCGTGCTTGAATAAAATGCAATTAGACAAGGGAGGGAAAGATTGCGGCATAGACAGACCTTTAGTAGGTGGTAGCTGTTTGAGGAGCTACTTTAATGGGTCTAGTTCGGTGGATCCGTGGGAGCTCCTCCAAGAGATACCGAGAATCAACCTTCGAAGCCGGTTCGGAGTCCAAATTTAGTTCCGGCGGGCGATACGAGAATCTGCATTGATGGCTTGAAACAGTTCACGTAAATTAAACAGCGAACGGAAAGTGGAAGAGAAAATGGGTCACCAAGCAGCTATCTCGGCAAATATTTGACGAAAAAGACAACACAGTGATGGTAATGGAAGTCTCCAGCAACTGTTTGTGACGCTATTGTTTGCTATCGACCAAAAACTCACGGTACACAGATGAGCATAAGGAGGTCTGGATAGCTTGTTTGTCCGCTCAATGGTCCCTAGTCGCTATTGACCTTGTTCACACTCTTTACTTATAATGGATATTCTAAAAACCATTCATGTCTGACTCGGCATTTGAGGCTCCCCTGGTGTTCAGTTTCACTTTGCATCTATGCCAAGCTCAGCAATAAGCTGTGCACTTCTCTTATTTTGACATAGACCTGATGGCGTCTGTCAAGGTATCCTTCCTTTTATTCGAAAGCAGATCTTAGAGTATGCTCTCCATGCGACCGTGATCACAATCTTCAGCACATACATAACGGAGAAGAATGCAATAGTCAGGTAATGAAGAAGGAAAGATTTGATAAATTTCATATCGGGGAATTTTTCAAATGGAGAAAGTCGGGTAGGTTGCGGCCCTACCCGAGGATGCAAACGACGGGAGAGGTCCATTGTAGAGGAAGTCTACAATGAAATGTCGGCCAAATCTAGGTTACTTGCTGGCCTGGAACTTTTGTTCCAGTTCGAGGATTCTCTTTGCGGCATCTCCAAAGGTTGTTTTCTTCGATCGTAGCTTGCCCTCAAGACCCAAAATTCTGTTCCCTTCCGCTACATCAATCCTAGCAAACACAACATTTTCGTCCTCGCCACTCTCAGCGGGCAATCGGCCCTCTAGCTGCGGGATATCAGATTGAGAAAGTTCCGCGAGAGTCTTGACGATGTCTGTGTATGTGAGTTTTTCGCCCCCGAGGAGGAAGCGCCTGTTTGCAGCCTCGGGGTTGGAAAGCGCCCGCAGATGGGCGGCAGCCAGATCGCGTACATCAATGTAGCTCGGGAATGTGGTTGGGGGTACTTCCGAGTAGGTGTTATTCCAAAGGCTGTGGAAAACATTGCTGGAATAGCCCAATCCGTTAATGCCGCGCACCGGCTGGATTGGTGGGCCGAAAATTAGAGCAGGCAGTAAGACCGTCACACTGAAGTGGGGAGAAGAAGAGCTGACAAAGTCCCACACTGCCTTCTCAGCTTCTTTCTTACTGCTGCAATAGGAGCTAAAAGCTAGTTAGCAGTGCGCGCGGGGCATTTTACATGGTTTGTGAGGGACTATGTACTTACAGATAAGCATTCTGCGCTTCACGCGCTTTCTCCGGTGTTATCGGATTCCAAAATTCGTTAACATAAATAGTTGATGCATTTTCTTCCGGGCTGCCCATAGTGAGAGCATTGATGCTGCCACTAATGCGATCGATTTGAGAGTCGGTGCATGCGCCGCCGCTGAACGGAGCAGGGATAGGTTTCTACAAGAAGAAAATTAATCATGCTACTTTGTCGTCTCATATCTCAATGAGATAGTGGCAAAATGACCTACCCTTCCACAGCAGGGTAGAGCCAGTTCTTGTCATAGTCGGTATTGCTTTGGTCATCTACCATGGGTGCTGCGACATGGACAATCTGATATCGCCTAATCAGGTCGTTCTTCATCATGAGGAAATTGGAGTGACTCACATGGTCGAACTTATTTGTCTTGAAAATTTCATCCCAAACACCAGAGTCCGCGTAGTCACTGATGACCACATATTCAAACTTCTCATTCCACTCTGGATGCCACTCGAGGACTTCCTCGCCAGCGGCGGCACGTCGCACACTTCCAGTCACCGAGTGACCGGAAGCAATCAATGCACTGATGATATGTGCTGCAACAAAGGAGTTGGCACCCGTAACAAGAGTATGAGGCATGTTAAGGTGAATAATATTGTGTGATAAGGAGATTCAGGATTAGCCGATCGGGTTGGCGTTATGATATCGCACGCAAAACAAGGGACATGGCTCGCCTTATATAAAAACTGATGATTGTAAAATGGGGACCAGGGTTCACCGTGTACGTCGAGGTATATTCAGTGGTCAGGATGGTGGGATGTCATCATCAGGATAAGAAATCCGCCGCAGGCGCAGCCTATCGTTGGAGGTTGCCAAGAACTGAGCAAGCTGACAGATTGTAAAGTATCAAGCCACAAAGGACGGCTTAACCCCGCATGATATTTCTATGCCCATTTCCTTCCCTAAAGCCGATACGGTTGCTCTGGCAGTTTGCATACCCAAACACTTTCACATATAGATGTGCCCCAGCTATTCTGTAATTCTTAGCGACGCTTGAAGTAAAAGGTGACATTCAGGACGCGACTCTGAGCAGGTTGTCATTTACGCATAATTAATTCATCAACCAGAGCAAAACTTCCCAGGTGTTCTATCGCTGATAATGACCTCGACACCATATCCCCAATCGAGGTTCGCGCGCGTCTGATTTGAGCCCAAAATGGAAAATGGTTGGCGTTCTGGCTTTGTTAAAGCTGCTAAAGGAATCTGGACCAAAACGCAGACTTCCTTGAAATGCGTGAAACGCCGAATTCGAATAAGTTGCAAGACTCTGAGCTGCAGTAAAGTACCGGGCTTATTTTCAGCGAGGAGCGGGGTGGCTATTGCCAACTAGCCAGTTCAGGGTCCCGCGATAGAAGGTGAGTGTGCGATAGATCATAGAATAATACTAGACGGGAGGTGAGGGAAACGGGCGGGTAATAGCTGGGTGAGAGTCGCCCTCTCTGCGCCACCGGCGCACTCAGCCTATCCGCTGAACTCAGGTATGAAATTATTGGTTCGAGGCTAGCTTGACCTTCATGTACTCCGTAAACCTGCATTTATCCGAGGATCAAAACAAGCCTAATGTGGGCTGACTTTGAGATTGTTCTGAATTGACAAATGCGTTGGCCACCTAGGCACATGGCCAGATTGACCGTGATAAACTAACTCTAGTTCACCGAAGGGCCTAGCTTGCTAAGTGCAATAATACAAGTCCTTTCCGAGACATTCATAAATTGAAAAAGAGATTTAGATATAAAATTATACAGAAGGGTGCCTTGAAGATACTGTAGAAACCTTCGAGCCATCATCTTATCAATCGAATCCAAGATCGGGGAACTACCAAAGCTTCCCGAGGTAAATCATCGCAAAATTTCGGTAATGGATTGATATTCCCGATGTAACCTCGCGCCATACCTCGATCGGAAGGGTCTGCTGACCAGACAATATAGCCGAAGACCCATTACTTCTGTAAACCCGTCAAAGTCAGACCGACTCATCATTCATCAGTGAGACCTGTACCTGCGCATGCCGTTGCTTCATTCCTCTTCAGTCTCTGTGTCTCGAAGTTGGATGTCTGTAGTCGAAGAATTCAAAAGCACACAACTTGGCGGCGAGCCTTCTTCATCGTCTCGCCAAAGACCCAGGCTTGGGTACGCTGCCATATGCAGGGCTAAGGTATCCTCGGCCTCCCACTGTTTCCGCATGTATGTCGACTTTTGGTGCAGCCAACTTACTACCGTATCAATTGTGAGTCCAGTGAGCACAATGAGACCACAGAGTACGAGTGTGATAATCAGTCCAAGAATTGAAAAGTTCTCGTAGTCTGCGGTTCTGGGCACGAGTTGGTTGTAACATTGGGAAAGCAGGGTGGTGTTATTCGGCGTGTTGATGTGCCAGCCCGCAGTGGGAAGAATTTTCGGTCCGGTAGCCCACTCGAGGACCGAGGATTGCTCTTTGGCAAGCGACATTGCAAACCAGTTAGCTACTTCGATTTGGCATTGGTTCGATGGACTGAATGTTTGTAGGTTTCCCATGACCATCAACGAAACTAGGTTGAAGAAGATGAGCTGTTAGCTTGGACTTGGGCCTTTTGTGGATCCACGGTAGCTTTTTGGGCTTACCATTGAGAGTGGCGCCTCCTCTTCCAAACACATTGGTCCAGTAACAACCTCCAACGGAATGATGGTCTCGCCCGGGAAGGAGGACTGCAGCTCATCTGTGAGCAGGGCAGTCTTGACCACCCCGGGGCAAATCGTGTTGACGCGAATGCCCTCTGCCCAAAGCTTCGTTCCAATAGACAATTGCATCTAAAAAAAATGTTATAGTCAAGTGTCAAGTTCTAGCCAACAAGTATTTCGTGCACTTACGTTTTGTGGCCGTGTATATTGGGGACAAAACACATGGATACAGTCCACCGATGCTAGAAGTCAGGATCAAACTCCTTTTCCCTTTGCTTGAATCTGGAGACCGCCGGAAGTAATGCATAGCGAGGTAACTGGTGTACAGGATGCCGTCCAAGTTAACATGAACCTGATCAAGGCATGGTTCAGGTGGTATTCCTGTCTCAGAATTTGTTGCAAACAAGTTCATGTTCCCGCTATCCCCGCGTTGGCAAAGACAAAGTCTAAGCGGTCGGTCTTATTATAAATAGTTTCATACATATTAGCCAGCTGCTCGTAGTCGCGGACATCTGCTTGAGTGTATATCGTGTTTGTAAGCGAGGACACTGCTTCTAGGGCCCGTTGTTGATTGCTCCAATAATATTGACCTGCCAGTGACCTGTCTCGCTCAGTCTTTTGGCGACATCTAGTCCCATACCACTGGCTATTTTCAGTTGGCTGGTATGAGTGATCAAGTCCATTATTCGTCTCGATATAGACTTACTGCCCCCTGTTATAAGCGCAGCCTGGCTCATCTCTCTTTCTTCGTGACTGCTATATTCCGATGATTTAAGAATTTTCGAAATGTTGAGTAGCAAAAGAAACCAGGATTCGAGGCTAACAATTTGGGTGAGAAATCAAGATGGCCCTACTTGGTTTCCCGCGTGACAGTATGCATCTGCTTTACAGTAGCGAAGATGGAGATTTTTTCCATGACGTGTGATTGGTTTACTACCCCCCTAAAATTTCCATGCTTGAACGAGTCTCACTAGCTTCCATATTGCGTCCAGTAACTTCATCCCGACGACTCAACTCTCTATGCAGAAAAGGGCTCTTAGACCCGCAGTGGAGACTCCTGCAGCACCTCATCACCCATCACCTCCGCGATTCGCTTGATCGGTGCATGGAGCAGATTCATGAGAAAAGTCAAAGTGCCGATGTAGCAAAGGATGACTGTTCACAGTCTGGGTCCATCTTTCAAGATAAGCCGTTTCATCAAGCTTTCCTGCTGAATTTTCTTGATGAATTTTGGCTCCGAAGAAATCACGAATTCCCAGGGTGCCAACTTGGTTCCAAACCGAGCTGGCTTGATCCAGCAAAGACCTGGAAAAGGGTTGAATTCCAGGCAAAGATCTTTCAACGGGCCAAGGATCGGCCCGAAATCAATATCATACATTTTTATTGGTCTGAGACTGCTTATCAACATTTCGGCAGGAGGTGGAGTTGAGGCCCAGTTGTCACTGGAAACAATGTTTGAGATGACGTTGCGAACATATTGACTGTTGATTGATGCTGCGGAGTTTTGAAGGGAAATGGCAAGGCTCGAAATTTGCTCGATCTCGTGTGGATGGAGATGGCCTACACAGGATGATTTGTTGTCAACTGTGATTTCTGGCGCGATCTCTTGGACACGGGCCGATGTTTCAACACCGAGAAGCGCATTTCCGATATAGGTACTTGGCAAGCGTGGTTCCGTTCTGTCGCGAAGTTCCACTACCGTAAGAATTCTCGAGTCGGTGTTAGTCGGCTTTTCTCCAGCATCCGACCCGTGATATTTGGCTCGTATCCAACAAAACCAAAGCAAAGCAGTGGCAATAGTGTTGCTTGTCAAAGAAGGCTTCGCTGATGTGGCATTTTTCTCAACCAGAAGCTGGCACTGGGCTTTGATTTGTTCGACTTTGCTTGCATCAATAGCAATAGTCTTGCTGATTGGCTCTTCGACATCGGAGCTGGAATCCAGGTCCCACTCGTACTCCCCTAAGTCAATTTCGGCGGGCTGAGTGTTTTTGGCACCAGACCCGATTTCAAGGATGGATTGGCGACTTTGTTGTTCGCGTAGTGGGCTAGTGGGGAGAGATCCAATCTCAGCCTGAGAATCGCGGCAGCAAGTCGCAAGCGCTGTGGCCACATTGAACACGCCAATACCATCAATTGCCATATGGTGGAAAGCAAAGCATAGAATCAACCCATCACTCATAATATTGGCCTGGAACCTGAAGATAGGGCTTTTACTCTCTCCAGCCATATGGGAAGGAAATGGAATAAAACTTTCGTTATTTGATTGGCCTGTTCTCACATATGACCCAGAGGTAGCAAAAGAGGTTGACTGGTCGTGATGTTTGATTTTGAGCATTGGATATTCCCTCAAAAACTCCTGCGTCGGGGGTTGCACTTCCAACACATTCTCCTTTCTCTTCAACTGGGTAGAAGCAGTTATATTTCCGGTAAGGAATGGAAGAAGGTGCATCAGCCGTGAGACCGCGAGGTTTAGAGTAGGAATCGCTGAGGATGGATTTTCAATCTGGAAGACGAAGGCCGGGAAAAGGTGTCCAGCATAGACGCAATGATCGAGCGGAGTGAGAACGTAGGGTTCGAAAGTTGGTAAAGTGGCCATCTTGACAGCAAAGCGATAGCTGGCCCTCTCCTCTGGAATAGACCAAAGGCAAACCTAACTTTGTGGTAGGAGATGATCTGGTTGTAATGACGTCCAGGAAGTTGAATTGACCTACGGTGTTCTAAAAGTCCTTTCAATGGGAGCCTGGATTATATGAAAGGCTGGCATGTAGATCATTAACTTAGTGTGTCACCTGTAGCTCCAGTCTGCATATGCAGGATATCAATAATTGGAAAAAGGAATCTGGAAAAAGGAATCTGGAAACTATCCCAAGGTTTTGATTACTATCATGTCATGTTTCAACTGACGTTCTACTCTCCTATCCGCTTTCAACCCAAAAAGAAATATTATCCCACGATTCAAGTGTGGGTAAAGCCAGTCCTTTTAACTTTCAAAATCAGCGTTCAAAATCAATCATTGTTGTGATGGCTGATCCTTGATCGTCAGTCGGGAGGGTCGAGGCAGGCAGCAAGGCACCAATCTTAAGTTAAGCCCCCGCGTTGCTTTGTGACACTCGTTTTTAGTGACTATTACATCTATTGAGCACCCAAAGTTGATATACTTTGAAATGGAAAAATTGTACCTTGTCTTATCTGCTGGGAAGGATTGAACCTTCAATTCTCGATCATTGTGAGAACAAAGCCTTGGACACCATTGGCGGCCGAAAATTGCACTGGGCCATGTATCTTTCCTCGGACATACTTGAGCTGACTGACTGTGACCCTTTAACCTTACCTGGTACACACCGATACAGATCGCCCGCTGTGTTCGCGTCATGAAGCCCTCTTCCTTGCATATTCCAGGATACTTACTGATGATGGAGTCTGTCACGCTGATTAAACGATACACGATTCTCACAGGAACGATGGTGCACTTGGACATTTCCGCCGGAAGCAAACTAATGCCAGGACACTTGCGCCGCTAAAACATTGATCGTGGCGTTCTCCTGTCTACATGAAAAGAAAATCGTGATAAGATGATAAAAACAACTGTAGCGACCGCCTAGTGGAAACTTAAATTCATAGCCACGAAAAACACATTCTGGAATCCGCCCTGTGTTTGTTTACTGCCTCGAGTATCAAGGCTTCCTAATCTCCGGTCGATCCGTTCGAAGCCGTTATAAGAAGCTAAGTCGGTACAATTCTGAGTAACCCAGCATGAACATCGTATTGTCTGGAGTCACTGTGGGAAAAATTATCTGCTCAGACTGCCTCCCAAGTGGCACAGGCAGCCACAAAGTTCATCCCTATAATGCCGTGTAACATTTTTCATGCAGCTTAGATCGCTAGCTGTACTGCAACAGGAAAAAAAGTCATGCATACCACTAGTCCCAATAAGGTTAGTCAAGTTTAGATCCTTCTGCGGTCATAGAATTTTCCGATCTTCTGTGCATCTGCCAAAATCAAGATCAAGATTCCGATCGATATGTTCCGGGATCGCAGTGTCGCGATTGCTATTCAAGACTCACCAACAGATTTGAATCAATTTTCAGATAGGCCTCGCTTAGAGATGATTCCCTTAATTAATCGCTCAGCGAAAAGCATCAACACGTTAAAGCACAGCTGTCGGCTTTTTTTCCTCTCGGTGCTCCGCCCGAAGCCACTTGAATGGGCTCAGTGGGGCGAACAGCGTGGTTTAGATCCATGATCCCAGCTGGCACGGCAAAGGATCCATCCTCACAGTATTAATGCCAATTAGCGGTGAAAATGATACGAAATCTTCAGTTTCTTCAGCCGAGCCACCAAGGTGGATCTAGTGTGTAGAATTTGGTTAAGTATAAATAGAAACTAGATTGAGATCTGTCGTAGTAGAGCGTCTCGCAAGAAATATATTCAATCAAGCATTCATCATGACTGAACAGATTGTCGACATTCGCCATCAGGCCTTTAGAGGGTCTCTAGAGGGTCAAACAGTCAACATTCCTAGCATGTACAAATTGCTTCCCGAGTGGCGGCCAAATCTTCATGAAGAATATGAGCGAGCGCGTGATGAAACGCTTGATCCTTGGATCTGGAGGTATATTCCCATCGTCGTTTCAAGCCTTCCGAGCTGTTTTCGTTAACCCTCATACTACATAGATGGGTCCCCAATGAGCGTACTGCGCGGTCTCTCTGTGCAGCCGACTTTGGTCGTTTTGCAGCGGTTTGGGTGCCAAAGTCTCAGTCCTACCGAATCCTTTGCACGGCTGCCAAATATTTCGCCTGGGTTCGTTTTTTCCCCCACTTACATATGTCCTATGACTAACGATCTTTCAGTACTTTGTTTATGACGACAGTATAATTTCCCTTCAAGAGGTGGGAAAGACGGCGTCTTCATCATGCTAACAGATTGTCTTGATTTTCTTCTAGTATTCGACTGTGGTTCCTTAAAACACGATCAGCATGCCGCTGAGACTTATAGACAAGCAAGCCTTCAATATTTTGAGTTCACCTTGCTCGGAAAGGGCAGCATGCCAGACCTATCAGAGTTTGACTGCGAGCTTCAGAACGCGCTACACTGTTGGGATGAGGTCGGAGAGCATATCCGTGAAGTTTGTTCCGAAGGTACCTATCGCTATCCTTGAACCTACTAGATTCAAAGGATTGAGCCATGACTGACAGGATCAATAGAGACTTGTGAGGTGCTTTGTGACGAGATGCTTCGATACGTTGGAAGCCTGAACAATGTCGACAGCATTTTCAGAGATAACGAGCTGCCCTCGGTTCAAGAATACTGGGACCGACGTGGGGCCACCGCTGCCGTTTATTGTGTGATTGCCACAGTTCCGTATGTATTCTACTCGAATATAAGTGGGCTTTACTAATGAGTTCCAAGTTTCATTTACGGAGTGGACATTCATCAGTCGGATATCAAAATTTCCGCCATGCAAGATCTATGGAAGCACGCTTCCTATTTCGTTCACATGTGAGTCAACCCATATAGTGGTCTCAAAGCATATCGCTAATAACGGCACAGATCAAACGACATGTTCTCTCTGCGAAAAGAACTGGTAAGAAGTATCACCTCATTCCACATTTGCGACAAAGTTGACACAGAATAGGTGGACGATCAAATCGAGAATTTGATTCCGGTGTTGATGCTGAATGATGGAATCGACTGCAACACTGCAATGCAAAGAAGCTACGAGCTGCTCAGCAATGAAGCAAAGGGTCTCCAACATGCAAAGGAACGCCTACTTGGGGCCCCTGAGGCGGTATCGCCCGAAATCTCGGCGGCGTTCATTCAAGGTTGCTTTGACACAGCAATGGGTCTTGCTCATTGGAGGTAATATTATTTTGTGGTTCACTCTCTGAATAGCGGCTAAGTCTTCATACAGTTACTGTGGTGCTCGATACTTTAAAACCTGGGAACGGGATGACCAAGATGTCATTAAGTTTACGATCCAGGGACAACCCCGTCAAAAAGACGATACCAAACCAGGCGAGCGCTCTCAAGTAGTAGCATGTCTTGCCTCTTGGTATCAATCCTTACCCCTCCGGGTGGTTCTAATTGCTCCAACAATCTACTCACTGGTTGCATTGTTGGCTAAATCGACTGCATTTGGGTGGCTACCTCGTGGCTGGATTGGACATTGGAAAGGGTCTACTCCACATTGAATTCTGGAAAAGATACTGCTAGCGGGTGGGGAATTTTGTGCCTTTTTGAATAAGAGTTAGAATCACCTTCATTGGTCAGGAGCGTTTTTAGAATTGAAATTAGAAGCCAAAGAGTCATGCGTCACCCCTGTCCCACCTATCTCTATAATCTCAAGCCCGTAAACCCCTCGAGAATGGCGTGCGTGTCAAACAAAATCTCCTTGTCGAGTGTATGTATATCCGAGATTTGAGTGCGCGAACTCCCGGTGATTCGATAATTGCTTGAGTCCTAAATCATAGTCCAATCACTTGCCGAAGTCCCGAGGTCAACATTGATTGCCCAGGACAGCAGATCAAAATTCTCATAATCCTCAAGATTGATAGCATCGATTTCCTCATACCCACCGGAGGAGCTGGCGACTTTAGGTGTCAAAATTGACATTGGGCTCACATCAGTGTTTATCGTGATGTCGGGCGTTTCCAGAGAATTAGACGTTGCAAAATTGTCTATGATCTTGTCCAACTTCTCCGTAATGGCCTTTGCAGCCTGCAAGCAGAATACTTGGTTTCTTTCCCGGGGACTGGCCACACTTTCCAACTGCGAAGCCAGCACTGAAATGTTCCGAATGAGCGCCGAGGTCTTGATGCCAGGCGGAAGACTCTTCAAAGGATCTTGTGCGAGATTTTCCAGTGCAGCCAAAAGAGCTGCAGCAGAAGACAAGCCACAAGAGAGAAGCTTCATGATGTCAGCTATATGGAAGGGGGATAGATGGTGAGGTAAAAGTACGTACGATCTCAGGTAAATCGTTAAAGGTGAAAGCACCTTTGCTGCGAGAATTTCCCAGCTGCACAACTGTCTCCAGTATATCTGCAGACACATCAAGCAACTCTGGAATCGGCGAGGAACTATCTTCCCCCAGAACGAGGTATATTTGAAAATGTATTTGGAGATAGGCCAGGTGAACCTTCGCATTCATATAGCAAACGGTAAGAGGTATGTCAGACTTCCAACAAGCCTGGCTATACCGTAGGTGGGGAAGCAAATTATCCCAAGTCTGACGGCACCGCAAAGACAAATCCCTAGTAATTTGTTAGTAGATATTCAATCTATCCAATCGGTCGCTCTACCTCAACTTCGAGGAGTCGGCTGCCTCTGATGCTTGAAATTGATATTCAATAATTTCTTCCCGAAACTGACTCAAGATATAGCGTAGTCGAGCATATGTTGCTGCCCTGTATTTTCCATCTGTATTCCAGCCATCCTCCGTCAATCGACTTTTGAATGCCTCCAATTCCTCGGGGCTCTCAGCAAACAGCTCATCGTCCGATAAATCAAGGGGGAGATTGACATCGACATATTGGGCCGTAATTCGAGGGGGAAGATGAAAAACCAGGCCGAACATTTTCTCGAGATAATATTCAGTGACGAAACATCTTCTTCGGCATTCTGCAAGAAAAAATGGTGTCTTTTTGGGGGAATATGTTTCTTCCCGATTCAAGCCCAGGGCCAATAGATCAGTCGCGAGATCACCTACCAATCGCCACACACCAAGGCCTGAGAAACTTAGTATTCGAATATCATAAATACAGGAGCGGTATAACTTACTCGCATCTCCTTCAAGAAATGATAGCAATTGCACATTTTCATTTGCTAACCATATCATAAGGTCGGTTGACTGAGGAGCAAGGTCCCGAGCCAGTTGTAAGCTCAGCTTGCTATACCAAACCATGTCTTGGACAAATGAGTCATCCTTGTCTTCTTCTCGGTCAACAAAAAAGAGCGACGCGCGTGCAGTCATGGTGTAGAAAAGACCGAGCGTCTCCACCCGAAGGTTTGTGCCACAGAACAAGGAGCAGAAACCGTGCGAATCCAAAGATGGTGGAATGACAACCTCTGTGGAGGAGGAACGAAGCACAGCCTCTGGGACTTCAGATACGTCGCCAAGCTCGATTCGCTCTTCGGTTTCTCCAAGAATGTTGCCTGAAGATACCAAATCGGCTCGGACCGTTTCCAATAGGCGGAGAACGACCGGCTTCGGTACGAGCGCATTTTGCTTGAAACAATAATATTGGTGAATAGACTTTTCAATGACGGGAAGATACTTCAATTGAGCCACAATCTCCTTCATGGTGGCTAAGTGAGCATGGTATGCTTTGCTGCCGTGGGACCCAGGCGTTGGAGTCTGTGGCAGTGCGTCGCTGGAGACGCTCGACATGAACGGCCATGTGTGAAATTTGGGAGCGCCAGCTGCGGACCGGCCAAGACGGCCTTTAGAGCTTTTCCTGCTCCATGGTGGTGCAGCATGGCTTGATCGCGGTAGCGTCGGCACGGTGGGCCTGTGTCCAGTCGGGTTTTTGGTAAGAGGTGCAGGATGATAGTAGCATCGAGAGTCGAGCCCGCGGCGCTGACAGGAAGCACAAACTGGTTTCCTATGATCACATCGAGTTTTTCTCTCTCGGCAAGGCTCACAGGAGGCCGGGGCACGATTGCGTCTGGTTATGGGCGTCGACATATCCAAAATGCAAGGAGGCTTGTGACGTTGCCCGTACCTCCGGGTCACAATAACGACCCACTCGGATGAGAGCTTGGGGCTTCGTTGGGCTCGCTTTCCTGGCCCTCTTTTAGAGCAATTTAGGTGATTCGGTGACAAAATCAATCTTGATCAAGTATCTTCGTCCATTTATTTGGGATATTGAGTCCCAAGGAGCTGCTGAGGAAGAGTCGTCGCTGTCAGAGACCTATCACGTGACTTTAGTCCGTTACAAGACCGGTAAGTTTGTTTGTATCGGACTTGTATCGGCATAACTGGTCATCAGGTGAAATGGTAGGCATACTTCTTCCACTTTCTTGTTGGGCTGGGGTGACGAATTTTTGTATATGTATGGAAATTCAACATTTGAGGTTTGTTGTGTCAAGGATTTTGAGAGTGAAATTAATTAACTTCCAGTGGGGCGACCACTTATAATGTACCTACCACCTACTCGAACTAGTGCCGTTCGCTTCCACTCCTCCCAACCTTGCAACTGCAGTCACCCAAAGTACTCGATTCCTGGCCCCGTAAGATGATTATTCATATGCTATACAGCAAGAACAGACTCACTACATCGCAAATGGCAAGGGTCGCGCCGGCACGGGTTGATCCTCTCAGGCGTTGAGCTTATCGCCGTCCAAAGTCTTCGTAGGAATGGTCGTACAGCTGCGGCTACACCTATCCTATGGAGAAGCCGGGGTGGTGAGGGGGAGGTCAGACACCTTTTCGGTCTTACTACGCACAATCATGGTACCCCGGAATGGTAGCGGTCAAAGATAATCACTAGGCACTGAGTTGGACGCTGACCATCCGGCTCCCTAGACTCAGTATCAATTTGGCGCTAAACTACTTCGGGACCCCGACACCGTTTTTATGCATCATGTATCAAATTTTTCCTCACTGCACCACTAATACAGTATCCGCGATTGAGCCGTGACAGACATTCATAAATTGCGTAGTCTCTTGAAAAATTATCACACTGCTAGCACATGTTTCATCAGTCACCTCTTCCCATCTCTTATCGACTAAAGATCAAAGCAAGATGGCCGCCTTGACTCCCGTTGCTGTGACACTTTCTGAGGACAAAGTACCGACTAAAGAGAATGTACGGGACATTATCGGCACCTTCTTGGCTGAAGAATGGCCATCTGTGGATCCAGAGACCTTAACCATGTTATACCATGCATCGTTTGCCAACGCCCACTGTCCTGTGGAGCGATCGAAGCCTGCTGCTGGTACACCTACTGAGCCCTTGAAGGTGTTCATCAAATTTCATAATGACACCGGGGGCAGCCTCGAAATCTTCAAGCCTCTGGCACCAACAAAGCATGAGGAAGCACTTCTCTGCTATGAGTACGGTAAGACTGGACTAGGACCTAAAGTCTATGGATTCTTCAAGACACGGGATGGCACACTCGGTAGAATCGATGAGTTCCTGGACGCACGTAACATGGAACCAGAGGATGTTGAGAATTCGGCTATTCGAGCGGATGTTGCTAAAGCACTGGCAACGTTTCATGTTTTGCAGACATCACTAGAGAAAAAGGCTGTGAAATCATACTACGAAGCTGTCATCAGCGGACTCAAGAATTACCACATGATGGACAAGTTGAAGGCGCTTGGGAAGGAAGGAGGGGTCACTATCGACAAACTAGTTGAGTATGACTTTGGGAGGCGGCTGAGAAGTGTGGTGGACAAGCTGGAATCCATAGGAGGAAAAACAGGATGGTGTATTCACGACATCCAATTCATGAACGTGATGGTGAAAAATAATCCGAAGGACGGGGAGAGTAAAGTCACCCTGATTGACTTTGAGTTCGTGATGCAGAACTACCGAGCATTTGACATTGGTGGGCACTTCATGCAAAAGATGTTCAAGTGGTTCGACGAGGAGAGCAAGATAGCAGGCTGCAGGAAATATACCGAGGAGGAGAAAAGACACTTTTGTGACGAGTATGCCAGACAGTGGAACAAACTTACAGGTGATGAAGATACCGGGGCTCAAGTATTCCTGGAATCCGAATACGGATATCTGTTGGCCATCACTTTTGACATCCATAACATGCTTTGCTTCATGGATGAACAAGATGACAAGGATCGCTTGAATCTGCTCGGACTAAACAAGCTGTTCGATGAGTTTGTGGATCAGTATGCCAAACTAAATTTAAAAGATTCATAATCAAACGAACGCATGTGCTCTCTTCTATTCTTCTGATTTCTTATGCCTCTTCTTTTGGTCCAAGCGTTGGTGTGCTCCGAATCTCAATGTATTTGGGCGTGAGCGGAATAGTCATGTCAATAATTCCGGTACCAAGGACTCATTCATTCATCTTAAAGTCAATTGTATTCACGCGGATAAATACTCTGTTAGGCATTATTATAGTGTAAAGACAATACCGGTAATTACGCAAAATCTATGCTGCGTTATTATATCATGTGATTAGGGTTTGAAAGAGTATCTCCGTGTTCCTGGACATGGAAGGCAATAACGGTCCGCACTATAATAAGGACCTACCTAGACTTGACCTAAATGGGCCATCTGTATACAGTATAGCCAAGATCCACATCAGGCCTATGAACTGTACTAGGGACAAGGTAGCAGTGAACACGAAGGCAACAGTATGATCCATTTCCGTAAATGGAGTATTTAGAAAGCCAATTCTGAAGAACGCAACGGAGTGCTGAAACTCGAGAACCCAAAATTAGATGGGCCTAACCTTGGTTTCGCGCTCGGGGACAGCCGCGAACCGGCAAGCGGGACCAGAGTGAGTGGAGCCGGCCGGCCACGCTTAATTTTGGAGCGAGAGTCGCAAGATTAAGACATATCCTACTTCCCTGTCCAGCGGTTTTTCAAGGGCAGATGAGACATGAGCTAATGTGCCTCGAAATGGTAAGGGGCTAGTGTAAAGAAGGGCTTAGCTGCTTTAAAAGCAATAACATTAAAACCTTGTTTGTGGTCGCTTGATAGTTCAATAGATCTATGCAGCTGCGCTAATCACGCTAATCCCTGCATGCCAGGGAAGCTACCTTCTTTCCAAACTCCCAGGCCTGGCTTACGTTTACCACCTCCGTAATGCTGCTCAAGGTAGTATCTGTACTCCTGGCACTCCAGGCAGGTGCCGTCCATTCATATGTGATCGGAGACAAAACTTTTGACTATGTCGTTGTGGGTGGTGGCACTAGCGGAAGCGTCATTGCAACTCGTCTTGCCCAGCATTTTTTCACGGTCGCCTTAGTCGAAGCCGGAGGCCTGTACGAGTTCGAGTCTCTCTCAGCTGTCCCTGCAGCCGATGTACTCACAGCAGGATCGGATCCTAACACGAAGTCAGTGGTTGATTGGGGTTTTGTGACGAGCGGTCAACCTGGCGCAAATAGACGCGCGATACATTATGCTCGGGGCAAATGTCTGGGAGGGTCGTGAGTGATCGCTTCACAAGATTATGGATGAGACCCTAGCCTAACCTTTCAATAGGTCTGCGTTGAACTTTATGATTTACCAGCGGTCAGGAATTTACTCGCGATCAGCCTTCGATAGGTCATCCGCTAATTTTCCACTATACAGGCCGACCCGCGGCTCAATGCAAGAATGGGCCGACGCTGTCAACGATGATAGCTACACTTTCGACAACACCCTCCCGTACTACAAACGCAGTGCCCACTTCACGGTTCCGAACACTAAGCTTCGAGCTTGCAATGCGACAACAGGATTCAATGCAGATGCATTCAACTCCAACGGCGGCCCTTTGCAAGTATCATACTCAAATTATGCCCAGCCATTCTCATCTTGGATGAATCTCGGCATGCAGGCGATCGGGATCAACGAGACCCAGGACTTTAACTCGGGCACCTTGATGGGCGGGCAATACTGCTCATCGACAATCGATTCGTCGACTGAGCTTCGCAGCAGCTCGCAGGCATCTTTCTTGGCCTCCATCAAGCCTCCGACCCTAACGACATATTTGAAAACGCTTGCGAAAAAGATTGTGTTCAACGAACAAAAGAAAGCGACTGGTGTGCAGGTGAAGGGCGTATTCGGGAACACATTCACACTTTCAGCCTCAAAAGAGGTTATTCTCTCCGCCGGCGTGTTCCAGTCTCCGCAGCTGTTGATGGTATCAGGCGTCGGCCCAGCAGATGAGCTGAACAAACATGACATCAAAGTCGTTGCCGACCGGCCAGGTGTTGGTCAAAACATGTGGGACCATCCGTTCTTTGCGCCTTCGTATCGTGTACAGGTCGACACTCTTACCAAGATCGCGACAAACCTTATCTATGCAGCTGTTCAGCTCTTGAATGGGGTAGTAGGGAGATCGGGCCCTTTGACGAACCCCGTCGCTGATTACCTAGCCTGGGAGAAGATCCCGCAAGCCTTACGCTCGAAATTCACCCAGAAGTCTCAATCCGCTTTGGCTGAGTTCCCAGTGGACTGGCCCGAGGTTGAATACATCTCCGGTGCAGGCTATATTGGCAATGTCTCCAATCTGCTGTCTGATCAGCCGAAGGATGGATATCAGTACGCCTCTATCCTGGGCGTTCTGGTCGCGCCCTTGTCGCGTGGCAACATTACGCTTAATTCTTCCAAGACTGAGGACCTGCCAATCATCAACCCCAACTGGCTCGATGACCCAACTGACCAAGAAGTCGCGATTGCCACGTTCAAAAGAATGCGCGAAGCATTTCAGAGTGAGGCGATGGCACCCGTGGTCATAGGACAAGAATACTACCCCGGTCTTCAAGTCCAGAGTGACGGTGAGATCCTCGAATACGTCAAAAACAACGTCATGACTCTTTGGCACGCGGCTTGTACGTGCAAGATGGGCAAGTCTGACGATGCGATGGCTGTGGTGGATTCCCAGGCACGAGTTTATGGTGTGCAAGGACTACGTGTTGTGGATGCGAGCGCATTCCCTTTCCTACCGCCGGGTCATCCCCAATCAACCGTTTGTAAGTTCCCTCACTTGAACTATGGTTACCATTATCTCTAACCTCTATGCAGACATGCTTGCTGAGAAGATCTCAGATGCGATTATTCAAAATTCTTAAATCAGAAAAGCTGGCGAATGCAAGATGTATGGATAGGGCGTGCTTGACTAAGTTTTTGTATAGTTGGAATCATTGCCTTGACAGCGGTGCAGCATATTCCTAAATGATCATTTCTAATTATTCTTTCGTAAACTTCCCAATCTTACTTCTTCATTGGGGGACGTATTCCAATCTTAGAGAACCTCAACATAACAAGCACATGCACAAAGAGAATTGCTATTGGGCTACGAAAAGATGGTGCGCGCTGTAAGACCCACTGGAGGCTTTCACATAACTCCTTTGTGTTTCTATCCACTTTCCTGTCGGGCTAGGAAAAAGGCGAATGAACTGATAATCTTTAGGCTTTGACCATTGACGGCACACCCCTCAATGCCACTTTCATGAAAGTATCTCAAGGTAAACTCATCCCTCTACCACTCAGCTCATAAATCAAAAACGAAAGATCAGGAGATGAGGCTAATTTGAAGTTCTCGAACATGCCTTACGATTCTCTAGTGGTACGATTCTGCTAGTTTAGGTCAATATTGTTGACAGAGCCAACAGGGATTCAGCCGGAAGTTATTTGACTGTAAACCTATGTATTCATCTCTTGAAACTTACATGTTAATATTGGCTTTCAGTCCCCCCTGCTTTGAGAGTTATGCATCAACAATTGGTTGTTAATGAGCACCTGATAGAATAAGACAATGCTTGGTCTCTTTATGTGCCTCCATCGTATGTAAAAAGAAATGAGACCGTCTGCAGACCTAGAAGATTCATTCATATCTCATATTGTAGGTAGGACTTTACAATCCAAACTCCCTGAGCTATTTGACTATCCTAAACTGTTTTACAAAACAAGACTGTCTTACCATAGTCAATTCTGCACACATTGAACTAGATTTACATGGCTGGCCTTCAAAAAGACCAGCTCGACTCTGTGATCTCGACGCTTGCAAGGAAGCGGGGCATTTTGAATATCGACTATGCGGTCATGGGCGGTGCTGCAGTCTGTCTACTTGCGAATGATCCAACTAGAATAACCGAAGACGTGGACCTTGTCATTCATGTCGACCATCGCGGGGTCACGGCAGATCGATTAACCTCCTTGCTTATCGACAACTTTCAATCTGATTTCGCTCCTGTTCTCCAGTTCAGACATGGTATCCCAGGATACAAGCTGAGTTTGCCTGGGGGAGATGTTCGGCTTGTGGACGCGGAGGTGTTCGACTATCAGAGTTGGCCCCGGCAGCCGCAGTACAACATTCCATCTTCTACCCGCCGATCGATGATTGTGAATGGGCAAACGGTCAAAACACTTAGTCATGAATGGATCTTTCGAGAAAAGACCTTATCGCAGCACCAGCGAGAAGGCTCGCCGAAAGGGTTGATCGACATCAGGGATATAAACAGAATGATTCCGATGTTAAACCCAGGAAAACCAGAGCTTGATTTTGATCGCGATATTAGGTTGGAAAGCGCGTTACCAAACCTTCTGCAAAAGAGACCACTACTTGGAGCGCGGTTGAAGGATCTTGTGAAAAGTAACATGGTCTTTAGCTAATTAAGGAGCTTCTCTGCTATCAATCACAGATTTTAGTTTCTTATTATCTAGGTCTAGAATGCGAACTCAACCGATGAAGGAGGAAATCCAGCCAGTCATTTCATTTTCTATCAAATAGCCAAGTTGGAGCACCACTTATATCATGAGACATTTCTTTGCCTGATCCAGGTCGTTTTGTGACACGTCGATTAATAGCCCCATGGTTTTCCTCATAAATTCGGCCAAAAGTCGTGCTATACCAGGTCGCAGCGCGTCGATCATCAGAGTTTTCAATGATATCTGTGCCAAGTGCCAGATAACCCACTATCGTTGATATCCACGCTCTTAATAACACGCTCTAGGTCGTAATCCTCCAGAGACTTTCACTGTCTAGGCCCTCCTCGTCTAACACGGACTTGACAAAGCTTTCCACTAATGCCTGCTCCAGCGGATACAAGATATTCCCGTAGATATTGTAATCGGTAGGGTCCACGGTCTCACTTGTTATGGTGCTGGGCAAGTTGGAATGGGAGAACGAATTCGGTATTAAGAAAAGCTGCTCCATCCTCTCAGGAAGTTCCGCCGGATAGTCGAAGGTCCGGGAGGACTGGTCAAGGCATTTGTAGCCACTGTGAATTTCTTCCAGCGCCTTTTCAGGATCAGGGAGTGATTCTAGAATCTCAGGGGCCGGATTGCGATTGGGAGTGGCCGGTTTAAACCCAGAATCTAGAAGCTTTCGTGTGGCAAGCTCGAAATCTTCGTCTCGTACTACCAGAATATGGATCTAGATCAAAAGGAAGAGAGAGCGGGGGAGACATGATCAGCGACCGAGAAACCCCTGATTTAGCATATGAAACCTACTTACCCCAACCAGAATCGGGACACCAAGATGTGCCAGTGCAAGAGGCCCTCACACTACAACTGGGGAGAGGTTCAAGAACACGACAGACTTTCACAGCTGCCGGACTCGGACCAGTTTGGCGCAGGTTTCCGAACATTGCGTGCTATCATTGACGACGAAGTTATCAGGGGAAAAGTGCAGTGGAAGCCAGCTCAACTTTCAGACTGTGGAGTGAGTCGCTTCTTGTCCTTTCTCGCTAACTCTGAGTGTCATGCGATTACTGCAACTTCGCAGGGGATCCGAGAGGAATAAAGACCTTCCTTTGGTTCTGTTAGGGTGTGTAAGTCAGACAGGAGAGAGAAGAAGCTAAGGAGAAAATTAGTATCTGAAATAAATCGAGAGATCGTAGAGTCGACTTATATCAAAACCAAAAAAGAGCTTCGGCACGTGTGGAGTCCCGTCTTCCCAACTTACTGTACTGCCCGGCACATAGTAAAGTTTTAACGAAGTAAAATGCGCGTCTTTTCAGATTTTCTGGTGAGTTCTCTTCAGCCCCTCTAGGAGGAGGTCTTAAAATAAGTTTGATTTCGTTTTAGCTACTGTTTGATGTTCATGCAGTGGCGTAGACAGCTCTTTCACTAGACCGTATCTAAGTTTCTCTTTGTCTGTTGGTTTAGCCATGAAATGTACCTATCGCTGATTTTGATTGAATGCTGCGTGTATGCTAGCTCTAATTTTACAGGACATAACGGAAGGCTTTGTTATCAAGCTCGGTTTGATCCTGCATAAATCATCAGTTGCTTGCCAATGCGAATCAAACATTTAGGCCAATGAGATACTTACCAGCATTCCATTCTCCACACCATCGCCCTCCGACTCTTGACTTTCAACTGCTGCACGATCGCGTCGCTTGTTCTCGAGGTACATGTATAAGTACAGCGCAACAATCGAAACTGTCTTGACCGCGTATCCAGCAAGCATTCTAATAATTAATTAGTCAGATAATTCCGATACTCGTGACCAGACAAATACTATTAGAAAAACTCACGCAATATAAGCGCTGTGGTATCCAGGCGCCTCGCTGTCTTTGAATGTCTGTGGGCCAATGATATTGCCAACGCAGTACCCAGTAAACAGCAACGCGCCGGTAACCTGCTTCTTGGTGTAACCAGCAATATTAGAGCTGACAATTGTCAGACTCATGCTGAAGCCCAGACCCTGGAAATAGCAAAGCCAAAGGGCCACGAGGCGGCCCCATTTATTCGAGTTGGGCAGACCAACCAGCAAGCCGGATCCCAAGATGCAAGTCAAATTGGCGATGATCATGCATGCACTGCGTGAATGAAATCTGTCTGCGTATTTGGTCGCAATCCACCCGCCAGTTATCAGGGTGAGGAAATTGACTGCACCACCAGGGATCTGGAGGTATTGGGTGCCGAGGGTATCGAAGCCGAAGGTGCCGACGATAATCGAGGTGAACTGAAAGAAAATATTAGTGGTGTTTATGGTAAGCAATGTTATGGACCGTATAGTCGGTTAAGAAAATTAAACGTACACTTGTCAAAGCCGAGTTGGGCACCTGGGCACCCACAGCCATGATGAAGAGCAGCCATGTCTTCGGGTCTCTGGCTGCTTGCCAGACTTGATACCACTTGAATTTGGGACTCTTGACACCCTGTCGGTTGATCGCGACGCGGTCGACAGCAATCGCGCGCTCCCGCTCGGACAGGAACTTGGCAGTTGATGGCAGGTCGGGGAGTAGCCACAGGGCGAAAATACCAGTGACGACGGAGAAAGCGCCAAAAATGAGGAAGACATACATCCAGCGAGGCAGACCCGTAGAAATGTGGCCGACAGCATAGCCGATAAGGCTATCATGGTAAATCAGTGTGGGTTCTCAAGCCTGCAATGATATACTCTAGAAAGGAGCTTATACGCACCCGCCAAACATAGTCGCAATACCGTTCGTGCAGTAATACGATTCCAAACGCAAGGGCTGCTCACGAGTAGTGTACCACATACTCATCATGAGGACAAAGCCTGGGTTGACGACGGCTTCGACGAGGCCGAGAAGGAAACGATTAATGGCAATGCCAGCAAAGTTGTGACATGCCGGTGTGGTCATGAGCAGGCCACCCCATACTGTGCTTGAAGGTTAGAATCCTTCCGATAACACCAAAGCTTTGTATTCTTTACTTATCGTCGTGCCTCCGAGAAACTTTCCGACCGGCAGCTTCTGGAAAGCCAGGCCGGCTGGCCACTGGGCAATCAGGTAGCCGAAGTAGAAGATAGAACCTGATAATGTAAGCGACTGTTCCCTCTACATAAGTACAAGCGCAGAAATCTTACTCAGCCACGAATAATCCTGTCCTTTCAGATGAGTCCCTTGCTTGAGACCGTACACGGAGGCGAAGTTGATGCTGTTTTTGTCCAAATACTGCATGAAGTTAGTCTTCGCAAAGTCCAATACACTCCCACTCCACGTCTTCTCCGTACCTGAATCATATAGATAACGAACAAAAGGGGAATCAGTCGTCTATCAATTTTTCTCAGAGTCTTCTTTGCCTCCTCTGGTGTATACTCGAGCCCTCGGTTCTGGCGGTAAAACTCGTAATTTTCATCACGGTCTGATGACGCCGTTGTCGACAGTGCTGGCGAAGTCGCAGCCTCGACTTCTTTCTCGAATTCCACCATCTTCTGAGTTAATCAGAAAATCCGAAGATAAGATAATAGTCGTCTTGCCAGGCTTAAACGTGGCGGACTGTTGATAGATTTTGCACAGACAAGGGGCGGGTGGACTGCATCCAGTTCTTATAAAAAAAAATCAAACATCTTCAGGGCCCCCCAGGCCATGTGGAGAACGAGACATGTACGCCATCGACCCCACAAGCGATATCAGGGGAGATACAACATAAGACGTGGAAGCGAGAAGACGGGTGGGGAGTCGTGTTGACGTCGAGTCTTGAACGGCAGGTGGGCGACATAATTGGATGATGGGCGTTAGCGACCGCGGAGCTGTACGGCTTTCTCTGAGAAATGAGCCTATTAAGACTGACGGAGCTATATTTGCTTTCGGCATTTTGACAGGAGAGATTAAGCCGGTTAAATTGTTGATTAGTGTGGTCCTAGTGGAAGTTTGGCGGTGGTGCGCGTGGTGGAGGTAATCACGACATCGCTGCACCGATTGCGTGGCGAGCAGTCCAGTAGAACCTGTCGGGAGCCACAACAATACGGGATTTTGCCGAAGACTTCGCAAGGTAGAGAATATTTTGCTTCACAGAGGGTCAGGAATTACGCGTTTTTCTTTAAGCTCTCATCGACCTGCTGGATATCTCTTGTTCAGGTTTAATCAACACTTGGCTCGTGCCGGCTTATGCATGTCCATGGAGGGAGGACCTTGGCATCACAGCTTCAAAGAGTCCTATATTTTACGACGCCATCAGCCTAAGAAATTTTGAAAATCAGGACCAGAAAGCTGTAGACTTGACTCCCTTCCTCATGCAGTTTGTACCATATTGCTCGGCCTGGAATTCTGGTGGGTGCATGTTGGCAAGCACCTTTTCGGTGGATTTAGGAAATATAGAGCACATACCTGAGGCTTATAAAGGAGTAAGAGGATCGCCATAGATAAAGCGATAATTAATTACTAAAGAACATAAGAGTCTCTGGTGATATTGAACTGTAACGGTAGTAATTGGAGAGTCCGAAATAAGGCCAAATCTGGGTTTTCCTATACGCTTGGTGAGATGGGGTTTCCTGCTTGCTCGGTATCTAATGTAGGGAACCTGCGGGATGGGTACGGAGCGTAAATGTCAAGATACCGATGGCACTGAAGCTAGCAGAGCCCCTCATCACTGCTGTAAAAAGGTCGAACAATAGTGCAAGATGATGAATATTAGAAAGGGCAAGGTTAATAATGAGTACTTCGTCACTCATTGTTCAACAAGTCAAAGGGCACAATGAAGAGCGATGTAGAACCCGTTGGACCCTCTAAGGAACTCCAAGATTTCAAGGCTTATCCAGGTCGTGATGGACTCCGACTACCCAAACATCGTCTATGCTTTCCAAAGGTTCGGAAGTATAGCTGTCCACATCTAAGATGGACCAATCAGGCCGACATGTTCCATTAGAAAGAACTACGCTCAATGAATGGTGGGGTGAACTCTATCGAGGTAAACTCAAACAGGTGTTTATTTGGAACAGCCCTTTGCAAGCCGTCGAGAGCAAGAAAGCCGTTCTCTTGCCGAAATCCCAACCCAGATAGCTACATCATTCCACAAGCTCGCGGGTCTTGCGAGTTTATGGGCACTCGACAGCAGACGCAGCCAAACATCAAGACCGTATCTCTACCCACTCTCCCGGGCGATCCTTCACGTCTAGAAAGGCCAGTTCCGGCACTATCAATATGTTTTGTGGGACCGGAAATGCAAAGAGAAAGCCGGTGCGGACCACTGGATCCCTGCATGATATTCGCTCGTGCATATTCCTCTCGAGTCGTGACCACAAATAATGAAATGCCGGTGTATCTCTTTGCTCTCAGGATGTGCATGCCTGTAGTGGTCAGAGAAGGCAACCGGGATCGTGAAATGGGTTGCGTTGAGTCCACCGACAGGCTCGAATGCCGGGCGCTCACTAGGCTGAAACACTTCTAGATGGGTAATATGGGTGGGTGAGTTAGGCGGCTGGCAATCGGATCACGATCTGGCCCCCGGGGTTAGCCGTTGAGAACGCCATTCTGGCAGTGATTAAATTAATACATTCAAGTATCTCGGGGAAGTGTTTCCTGCTTCCGGCAGGAAGTACGAGAGGTCGAATTAGATCCACTTTTTGATGCAGAAGTACTGTTTTTAAGATACATAGCGAACTCCAACTTTTCTAGCTGGCCGTTGAGAACGATATGCTGGCAGTGATTACTTAAGTATCCCGGGGAATTGTTTCCTGCTTCCGGCGGGAAGTACAGGATATCAATTTAGATCCTCTTTTGGATGCAGGAGTACGGTTGTCCAAGATAGCGAACTCTAACTTTCCCAGCTTTTGACTTGGCCAACTTGATTGCAGCAAATATTATTTGGAGCATTCTGGGCTCGATTCCGAAGAAAAATGACTCACTCGCTGTCCCAGATTGATCAGACGTGTCAATCAGCTCGCTAAGAAAATGTTGACAAAAGTACCAGAACACAGGCAAACAGAGGACAAAAGGCCGTGCACACCTCTCCAGCTGGGAGAATAGGACTTGAAAAGTACATAGGTCTCGCAACCGGGTTCCCTGAACTTCCGGCTGTAATCTGAAAAGCTAATCAAGGCCGGGACTGGCGCTTCTGTATGCCATTCTATTGACCGTGCAAAAGCAACTACTGTGGAAAGTACCGAGACGATTGCACAAATTTTCGTAGAAAATCTGGTATGTCCCAGATCAATCGTCTAGCTGGGTTCCGTTTTCATTTGCAACAATAGCCCGCACGATCATGCAGAAATCGCTGGCGCTGTCGCTAGCAGGGGTCTCGCCATCCCCTGCTTTCTGTCAAGTGTTATGTGCGGAAACAGAGCTGGGTCATCACTCTTAGGCCATGAAACAGGATATTGATAGCAATCATTGAATTCACCGTCAACCTGAGAGACCCGCTAGTCGAGACGAGCCTAGCTGTCTATTTTTGTCCTTCATAGGATATACTATGACACTTCAATTTCCATCGTCTGTCGATTGGACTATCTGATCATTTGTCGACTCACTTGTCGACGACCCGCTTGTCGATGACGACCCACTTGTCGATGACAACCCACTTGTCGACTCACTTGTCGAGTCGTCTCTCTACAAATCTGCCGAGTTTATTTTCTTTGATCTGATATTGAAATGGATCCGAAAAAATGGAATCCCACAAAACCACTCCATCGGTAAAACGATATAACAGGGAATGAAAAATAGAAAAAATTCTGACGTGTGAAGTACCGTACTTTTGTTCCCCAAGAAAGGCCTGCTAATCTAGTAGTAGCCCTGGACCTGGCTCTCTTACCCCTGACCACCTCACCAACTCACTCATGTTCGTGGTCATCTGGTCAAAACTCCGAACGGTTCCCTGTATAAGGCTATAATGGTTCGACGTGAGCTTAATTGCCCCCGCTTCTACGTCATCTCAGAAACCATTTCCGACTTGCATACCTTCATGTCCCATTAAGTCGCGTTCCTGATTTAAGCGACTTCTTCCGAGCGTGACCCATCATCCCCTATAAGCTGGCATTTGCGTACTCTGAAGATATTTACAGAAATGCATGTCCAAAAATAATAACAATGAAGGACGACTGCCCGGATGACCTTAGGGTTCAGATCCGGCTTAACATGATGATTCCAACATTATGATTGAGCGGAAATGAAGAGTGGGTACTTGGGGTGTGAGGCTCTGTAAAGGGGTAGCCCACAACATAGGACTGTATGTCAGATAGACCCAAAGTAGATTTCTTCGTGGGACTGACTGCACGTTTGGATCCTCTACCTGCGCTTCTCCCATGAGTCTACCAGTAATTCACATAGAAAATAATTTTCGAAGGTCATGGGCCCCGCCCGCAGGGCTATTCCATAAACAATAGTCGCGAATGTGATCTATCAAGTCATCATGCGACCCGGATATCAATTCGTCATCCTCGGGGGCTTCAGTATCCATTGCCGCAATTGAGTGCGAGAAACTACACGCCAGAGCATCCCATCTGACTTTTTTTCGTACTCGGTAAGAATAGATTTGTGCCCTGTTTACCTGTCGGATAACGCCTGCGGACTACAATGGCAAATAGCTAGGGACCCGTAGACCATCCCGACGGGCCGACCCTTCCCCACCATTATTATTTGCTCGAAACGGGGCGCCACGCTGATCGGTCACAGGGAAACAGGATTTACTCAGATAGGACAAGCGACTCAACGCATTCCTCTTGTTTGGGGCGCCTAAAGCAGCGATATACGTTGTGACGCACAGCTCGGTTCGAGGAACCTTGTGGGCACTGACGCAAAGGGAGGGCAGAGGAAGACGATCTTGTTTTAGATTTTATTTGTGTACATTTGAGTTCTCAGGACGACTGTGGCTAACAGGTGTAGCCAAAAAAAAAACGCGACTTTTAGAACGTGGCTAAGTGGGGCGGACGTACCTTAGCCTACCGCTGCTACCATCGCTTTTACCATCCCCTTTACTATCCCCTTTACCATCCCCGTTACCATCCCCTTTACCATCACTTTTACCATCCACCATTACTATTCGTCACCGATCCCTCTGCATAGAATTTTATCAATCCTTCGGCTTTCTGGGATAGGACCTGTGTTTTCTATTCAAACAGGAACATAACCAAGGTCACCAGTTAGCTCCGCCACGTCTCCCTAGTGCAGTGCCGGGGATCTAGTTCGGGAAGTCTATTTCTACGGTCCCTACCAATAGAAAGTACCTTTCTTACTGTATTTAACTCACTAAAAGAAAAGAAAATACGGAGTTTTATGGAAAATAAGACTGCCGATTTGATTCCGGTGGAGGTGTCTCATCTATGCCACCGTATCTAGCACGGAAGCCTCATCTATTGCTCATTCCCTCTCGGGCTTCGCCGGCCTAGGAGGATCCACACCACCACAGCCGCGGGTGGGCACGTCGATCATCCTGTTGGTCAACTGTCGTTTTCCCAATAGCTCCTAAATCCGCCAGGTCTTTGTATAAGCCCGTTACATAAGGATTTTGCCACGCACGGCATTACGCTAATCACTGTTATTACGCTAGACACGGTCGCATCTTCCCGGGCCAAGTTTACAGTAATACCTGCGAGCTAAAACGTCGTACCTGCGCCTCGAAGTGGAAACGTATCGATCCTTGACTATACCCCGTATAACGAACCCTTTTCTCCGAATCCACCTTTGAATAAGCGCAATAAACAATTTCCAACCCAATTCACCTGCTTCTATAAGGAGCTTTCTTTTTTTTCCGTATATCGCCTTCCATCGTAGGTCACGTTTCAAGCGTCCACTATAGAGTTTTAGTGCTGTTGGTCTGAAGCAGTTATCATTTGTCGGAAGCAGTAATTACCATCCGCAATATAGGGTCGCCGTCTTCGAACAAAACATCCCTCGCAGTTCTGGGGGTTTATGTCACCGGGGCTTCCAGTGGCTTGGTAGACTATGGTTGGCCGAGTAGAAGGAGTCAGTCCAGTGGCTCCGGCAGCATAGATATCGTGAACCTAGCAAGTAAATAGTACTCACCTGGAGCCCCACGCCAGTTGATGTCCTCATTGGAGTGATCCACAGAGCCCACGAGCTCTGGGTCAGAGACTAGCCCATAGTCCACTGTTACTTCTCTCGCAATACCACAAGCGTCGAGAAAGGCGGTCCATAGCCAGTTAAACAAACCGACCATTGTACTCAGATTGTCGAGTCCACGGATAACAATGTCCTTGAGAGAAATAAATTTCTGTGGCAAGCAAAGGAGCTCGTGGAGAAACCTTCAGGCTTTTTAAAGCATCCCCGGGCGACGTGGATTCCGTCTGGAAATATGATAGGGACTGAAACTGATCTCCTCCATACAGGTCATCAATATGTGTCATTATTCTTTTCTGTGGAAATAATTAAATAAAAACTGACTGTGCACCCGGAACCATGAACAATCACGTTGACGTGCACTGGCTTGTTACCATTTCTGGATTGCACATTTACGTGCAGTTCCCAATTTGGGATAGCGTATAGATAGAAGACTAACTCGTGCTGGCGACCGGAAGGCCACGAGTGTCCTCCAAGACTAGGTAGACACTTCCACAATAAGTTTTTTCTTACAGTCCACTTTTGGCAGGAGTTGAGATCCTCGGGTGGTTAGTTGTGAGGGAGCATAAACGCTAATCAGTCTTTTCTAATGAACAAGGCCGAGTTTCGAGATCCACTTGAGACATCAAAATCAAGTCGAGTAATATCCCGGGGCGCTTGCAATAGATATCTTTCGCCGACTTTGGGACGATCATTGATATTGCTCGCTGTGGGCGCTCAGGCCCAGGGCGCATAGGCGGGTCCAACCCTAGCCCTAACTTTTGATTCTACCGATTATTTCATTTGTTTTACAAAGAAGGTGGCTTCTTTGTTTCTATCTAGCGTCATTTGACAAGTCATCGGGGGTAAAGTCGGAATTGTCGTTAAGCTTGCTAGCTTGTTGATTGGGAGCCTAGAGGTATCTCAGTTGACAACCCGCTTATACCTATCACGATGGAGCTTATATCACTTTCCCCGGTATAATCAGAATCTTCGGGATTGACTAGTCGTCCGGGAGATTTCCCATTAGTGGAGGCCCTAGCGACCTCCGCCCCAGTCTCTAAGCTGAAGAAGGGACTGACCTCACTCGTGCGCGATTAGTAACTAAATCCAATTTGACACTTTCCTGGCACTGCTGGGTCCTGTCTGTTCTATATAGTACATAACGCTAGCTTCGGCATTCCGCGATCAGTGCCTGAATAGGTAGGTGGTCCTGGCCCTTGGAGAGATGCACTAGGGTGCCACTGATTTGGACTAGCGTAAGAATGATGGAGGGAAATGATGGAGGGAAAAGAAAACAAAATGCGCCCATCCTCACTTCAGGGCAACCCGGCTCCATAGTGAGTACTCTGCAAGGTCGTGAAGGTCGTGAAGATCGTGGAGGCCGTGCTGTGGAGGCTGTGAAGGGTCGGCTGTCGGGTTAATGCGCTCGTTACCTTTTGGCCCCATTCCAGCCTTCGATTCCTTTCTTTCCGATTCGGGGTCCGTGGTCGTTTTTCACGTTCCTCAGGCTCTCTTCCCCTGACTCACGAGTATGTTAGATAGATAAAGGATCACGGACTTCATGTATCCGTTTTTGAGTATCTGCGTTGAAAAATGACACTGGTGGAAAGGTTTTTGGCATATGTCGGGCATATGTATAGATCAACCATCACATGACTGATATTTATCAACATCTGAAAAGAAATTTGCCACGATCACAGGATACTAATCCCCTCGTTACTGGCAAGGAAAATCTTTCTACTACACGTTTACCCCTCGAAGCCTGTAGAAGTTTGGTAATTTGAATTCCGAAATCTAGATCTGTAATGAGACTAATGAAAGGTTCTATCGAAGGTCGACCTCGACCTCCTCCCTCAAACATCGAGACATAAACCGAGTCCAACCTCTCAATCTTAAAATAATGACGTACACCCCAACGCCCCCATTGTTTCCCAGCATGCTAACCATGCTATAACAATGACGCCTTGAGTAAGGGGGAAAACAAGCCGAGATACCGATAATGGCAAAATAATACCCGCTCATTGCATAACGATGCATCACCCCGTGATATTCAAAAAGCAAAATGGGGTATTCTTATTGCTGAGGAGGTCGAGGCGGTTGCTGATGCTGTTGTTGTGGCTGGCTATGTGCGCTATCTGCCATCCGGGGTCGCTTCGGGTCATTCGGGCCAGTAGGTGGAGGTGCGGTGGTGGGATTTGTGCCAGGTGAAGCATTGGCGTTGGTAACATCGCTCAATGGAGGGCGCTTGCCGTTGATATTTTGTGGAGGTACGCTAGCCCCACGGGTGACTGGGCCTGAGTTGGTGGCATTCTTCGGGTCGATATTCGGTCGGGTCAAAGGTTTGAAGGACGAAACAGATGGACCTCGAGATAATGGGCTGCCGAAACCACCTGGCTGACCTGCTGCGCCGCCAACTCGGTGCTGCATGTTCGTTGCAGGATTGACAAAGTCTTGTGAGCGTCCTTTCTCTGGGGCTGGTGAGACGCCATTTCCGGTTCTCACCACCGCGACGGTTTTGGTATGATCGATTCCGGCAGTTTTGCGGATAGATGGACTCTCCGCATGAGGATCGAATTGCGATCCAGGGATCGGTGCGGCGTTGGGGTTATCTCGCAGCTGATCAGCCGCCCGGGCCGAGAAGAACCCCACAGTTTGAGGCGGAGCCTGATTTGAGTTGTCTGGGTTGAATGTGGGTGCGGGCTCTCTTTTGATCGTAGGTTGTGCGTTGGCATTCGGCATTGGCTGAGGTGGGCCATTCGGTCGACCGTTGGGCATGTTATGTGGCGGGCCGGGTGCAGCCATCGGTCGTCTTTGATCAGGTATAGATGGGTTCTGTCGCGCGTTTGGTGGTAATGATTGTCTTGCAGCAGGGTTATTTGCATCGCTCCATCTCTCAGGTTTTGAAGGGGTGACGACATTCGAGTCGAATCGGCCTGGGGGTGGTGCTCTTTGAGGGAATGGGCGGTTCATAGGAGTCGGTGGTTGTTGAGGCTGCTCTGGTTCTATCACAATCTCGTCGGGATTTCCAGTATGTGTCACCACAAAGTCGGCTTCGTCGAAAAGATCACCTATATCTTGTCAGCGAAATCCAAGAGGAATTGGCCAGTGTAGCGTACTGCCAAATTCACCATCGCCGTCGAACGCTGTTGCATGGCTGGGGGCACTGCTTCTTGCAGGCTCAGTTGGACGTGGAAGAGGCAAGTCATCATCTTCCACCATTTTGATATTCGGAACGGGTTCTCTTTTTATTGGTGCAAAGTCCGGATGGCGGTGGAGGTCACTAACATCCCATCTAGCCTGTGGAAAAGGTAAGCAGGGACGCCTTCTTCTGGCCGACGGATAAAACACTCACGGGCCCGGTTTTTATCTTGGTGACCTTGGACAGATAATCTTTGTCATAAACGCAGTTACCCAAGACATTTCCGAAGTTCCTCAGTGCGCGTTTCAAAGCATCTGTTGTCCCTTCTTTCTTGGATTTCTCGAATGCAGCCGCTTTGCCCTTGCAATTCTCGATGTGGCCATAGCCAATGTCCTGCCAATTTATCAGCCGCTATTCTGAAAACCTTCGTGCCTTCGCATAGAAAGAGCATCATTCGTACCTCGTGAAAAGACCCATCCTTAAGCGTAACTCTCACAATAACCGATAGTCCAAGATTGACCTTTCCCGTGGTTTCATTCTCGTCAACCTAATCCACAGATGTTAGTCAAGCATTCACCCAGAAGCAATAACATGGCAACACACAAAATCAATATCAACCCTCTGAATTGAACTCGACCAGCCATTAAACCCAAACACCTCGTTTGCAAGGTTAATGCATTTATCCGCGGAGAGATAATGCACTTTCTGGCCGCCACCACCGGGTCGTGAAGAGATGTATTCGGGTCCAAGTTTCCTATCCAGACGTGCTTGGAGTGTGGCAATTTGCATAGCAGTGTACTCGCTCATCCGGCGTTCGGGTTCCTCGAAAGGGTTTGTAAGGACGGGACCCGGACCATTAGGCATCCTAATGGCCGCGGGGCCACCACGATGTTGGTCGCCGACACTGGAGAATACGCGATCAGTTTATGAGTCCATGAGGATCGCAGATTATGAGATTGGGGGTTTAATTCTCACGCTGGCATATTGTGTGGGTGTTGTTGTGTGTTTGATGATAGTGATGGAAGTGTGTCGAGCGCGTCTTACTTCTCGCGCGAGCAGTCGCGATATCACGTGGTGATAGCCGCTAATAAGCTAGGCAGCCAATTGATCACAACAGAGCCTCAAATGAACTACCTTATTTAGTTAAGGGTTATTTGCTAGTGGAGACTTCAAAATTGTTCCAGAGTCTACCGAAGAAAGCATAGTTTCTCCAACAAGTTTGGACTTGCTTCTAATTGACATCGAATGCCTAATTGATATCAAAGGCTAAAATCAATGAGAACCCAACTCATAACTCATTCTTCACAAGCGACAAGCGATATATGCCCCAAGGTCCCCAGGAGAGCAATGACGGTGCTAAATTATTGAGCTATAAGACTTGCGCTAGGCACGAGGCCAAGATCCTTCAATGACTCTCCGAAAAATTCAGCATCAAAGACCTTCCTCGGGAAGGTCTGAGTGAAGCTTTGAACTTCAAGGCCATCATCTGCCTTGAGGGCAGCAACGACCTCGAACAAAGTCGTAGTGACGGGCAGTGTCTTCAAAATATTGCCCTTCGGGGTCTGGAAGCGCAGACGAGTCTCAGTATACGCGGAAGCAGGCTTGGATGCAACTGGGCCAGGTGCAGCGGGCGTGGGAGCAGCGGCAGGAGCTTGGGGAACAGCCACGCCAGCACGCTCAGCACGTTCGCGCTCGGCCTTACGACGGCGCTCTTCCTTATCGGCCTCAATCTGTGCCTTGACCCGCGCCAGGTGTGCCCTCTCATCTAACTTCTCCTGTCGCTTCTTCGCTTCCTCCTTCGCCCTCTGCTTCTTCTCCAATGCTTCCTTCACGTCCTGGTTCTCTTGGGTATTCTTCCGGCGGATATTCTACCAAAAAGGTCAGTCAAACCCCGCCAACCCTCCTATATACCACTCACCTCATTTTGCTTCTGCTCGATCTTATCCTGCTCTGCTTGTGCTGCCCGCTTAGCCGCGAGTTTCTGCCTCAACTCCTCCAATCTTTCCTTCTTTTGCTCCTCGGTCAACGGCGCAAGTTCTTCGGTGGATTCGGAGAAGTCGGTGTGCTCGGTCTTGGAAGCGTGGAACTCTGCCTGCGCCGTGCTTCGAAATTTCTTGCCACACTCGTTGCAGACCAAGCTGCGCGCTTCCTCGCCGGGCTTGAGAGCTGGTGCATCCTCATCTTCGTCTTCTTGTGATGCTTTGATCTCTTCCAGGGACTTGTCCTGGTTCTCTTCCAGCCACTCGAGCGCCCCTTGCACTGTCCACTTTGTTAGAAGGCACGACACCAGGGTAGCCCACGAGGTATGAGGACTTACGGTTACCAGTCTTTTTGACTGCCAGTTCCGCCCTTTCTTTGTCAAAGCCCATCTCGATGAGCTGGTCTAGGTCGGAAGCCATGGTTGATAGCGCTGGTGACAACGAGGTGGGGGAGGATGGTGTGATTTCGAAAAGCCGTGGCGCTGGAGCTTGAGATATAGCACCAATATGATGATTTCCTAAGAAGGATGATGTCTCTGACGAGAAAAGTGAAGGAGTAGTGTTTAAAGCCGACAATGGTGGATATGAGGCAGCTGGTGGAGTGGGTTGGTAAGAGCTGGACCTTTTGGGTGACGTATCGCAAAGGCGGCGAGCGATAAGTAGTGCGGGCCTGCTCCGCAATCTTCAAGGTTGCTTTAAGGCACCATGGGCAGCCTAGCCCCAGTATATCTAAGAATCCCGTCATCTGTCGGAATTCTTTTGAAATTTTTGGCTATATTCAAGTAAATATGTGTATATATGTATATCCGCTCAAATATATATAATATAGGTCAATCCCTTTGTTCGGCCCTAGGGTAAGCCGGGAATCCAGGAGGGGATATATTTCTTTGAGCAATCTTCACATCCATGGCTATCGACATAGCCCAAGATGCATTGTGTATTGCTTATAGAGACAGTAGATGAGATATACATAGTTACCTAGGTACCTATTAGGAGAAACCCATTATTCACATCAAGCGTGGTGCTAATAAGGTGGATAGGTAGAACCGGGGTATGTACGCAGTAATGCATGCCGGGAGGGAGTGCCTGTCAGCAGCATCCATGTGCATAGCTTAGTGCCCTCGTGCGGATGCATCTCGTGTATAGGGAGCTTTAATTTTAACTGTGGTCAATGCTTGCAGATATTTATGGGATCTTGCTTGAAGATTGTATAGTTTTATAGCGTATTTAAAGTAGATCGGTCTTGTGGGAACTGCATAATAGAGGTAACGAATGTTAATCGCAACGCCCCCACAGGGACAACATCACATGCGGGTATCATGAAGGATTGGCTTTACATCCCGAGGATGGAGAGTTTTGTACACCGAGGCAGTACCACATATGCCAGAGTATGACCAATTTTATATTTCCCCACAAGGAAATGATCGAGACTGTAGATCGAAATCAACGTCTTGTTTGTTAAGATACGGTGACATCACCTGACTGCTGAGTCAGCGATATCCCCGGGCAAACAGGTGGACAATAATCAACTCCTGAGGCGCCGACTCCCTTGACCAGCAAACAAACCTCCCCTCACCTTTCTTGACCGCAATCGCAACATCGTCGCGGCAACCTCACGTTTCGCGGAGTACCCCACGCGATTTTCCCTTTCACTTATTCACATCCCCACAATCACCATGTCCATCGAACTCGATCCCCCCGAGCTTGGCTTCAAGCGTGAGTTCCGGAACTTGGCTACCTAGACCGGCGCAAGACACTGATGGAGAAATACAGGACCTTTCAACCACGAAGTATGCCAGATCCTTCGCCTGCGCAACCCTGGCCAGGAGCCTTTGGTCTTTAAAGTACGTTGGAGAATCCCGTGAGGTACCCCGTTAAGCACAGGCCGCGGCTAACATGAATCTCTTTGGTTGTGCGACAGGTCAAGACCACTGCTCCCAAACAGTATGTCATACTCGCTCCCTCCTCCGCGCATATTCGTGTCCGCTCCGATTACTGACTTTGTGCCAGCTACTGCGTTCGCCCCAACTCCGGCCGTATCGAGCCCGGCAAGCAAGTTGATGTCCAAGGTTCGAGATCCGCCTCCGATAAGCGCCAAGAGCTACGAAACTGACATGATGGAATGTGTAGTCCTGCTGCAGGCCATGAAGGAGGAGCCTGCTACTGACGCGAAGTGCAAGGACAAGTTCCTAGTCCAGTCTGTTGCGGTCACCGGTGGTGATATGGAATATTCGAATGTTACCTCCATCGTACGTCACCTTCGGAACCGGAAATCTCGAGGACTTAACTGACTATTTGGGAAACAACAGTTTGAGAAGGCGTCCAAGTCTGCAGTCATTGAGCGCAAGATTCGTGTGAACTGGCTTCCCGCTGATTCGGATGCCTCCCCGCAACAGAACCCCTCAACTGACGGCGTAAGTTGATATGCAACTAGCACTCCTCGCGCGCTTCTCTAACCCTCCACGTCTAGGCCTTGGAGGAGGAACCCCCTGCGTACACTTCTCCCGGTGGAAACTACGAGACCCCAGCTGTCGGTCTTGCGAAGAAGACCCCCGTCGAGCAACCATCCCCCATCCCCGCCCCCGATTTCACCGAGAAGTCCATCAAAGTCGAGTCCCCCCAGCACAGCGAGTCCAGCTCCTCCTTTGCAAACACCAAGGCCGCCGTGGTCAATACTATCCCATCCGGCGACGACGTGGCGGCCCAGCTTGCCGAGGCCAATGCGCAGATCCAACGGCTCAAGGACCGAATTGCAGATCAGGGCTTGCGGCAGCGCAAGACTGGCGGCGAGGCGCCGGCCGCCCCTGCGACAATCCAGCAATCACACACACAGACCGAGTCTGGAGTCTCTGTTCAAACTGTCGCCGGGCTGTGCCTACTCAGCTTCTTAATTGCCTACTTCTTCTTTTAGACTCGTTGCGTAGATGGACCATGCTGCGCCGTGGTCTCCATTGTGTTTACGAACCCGGTCACGTCTCAACGCCTCCCTTTCCCGCGAACAATTGTCCCGAGCCCTTATCTACTGTCCTTGTGTCTCTCGAAGAGCCTGCCGTTTTGATTCCAGCATCAGCCTCCTTATGTGATTTCCTGCCGCCTTTTCTTTTTCCTTTTCCGCTTTTCCTTTCCACTCGGTATCCATAGCAGGTACCTCGTCCATTTTCTACCCGGTCTTCTGTGGGTCTATCGAGATTCGAAGCTCCTTGGTCCCATTCTGCTCTCAGTCCCCCGCCATCTGGCTTTTCCTTACATTTCCTCTCTTGTCTAATATCTTATGATCAACGGACTAAGTGCTTCGATTCTCTCTTGTGTCATAATGATAGTCGAACCTTGGAAGATAATCCATATAATTGCTTCCATTGTATATTAAGATAGCCTGTTCGTCGTAGATGTAGAATTCTCGACCAATTGGGGAGAAAATCAGGAGCCTATGAAGCCTGGCTTTGGCGTCGTCTGTCACTTCGGCCCAGTTATATGGCATCCGTAGTAGGCACTTGCATATGCGTTTCACAGGCAATCTACTAGAAAGTGAGTGATAGGTGCCACGACAACAGCCTGACAGCCAATACATTGAAAAAAAGCTATAATTTTGGTTAAAATCTACAGTCTACAGGTCATAACGTCGAAGAAAAAGAAAAGCCCAGGAACTACACGTATCCAGTTAACACTGAATCTCGCTCTCCTTCCACCCATCACCCTCCTCACCAGCCGGACCCGCCGACTCAGCCGAGATCCCCTCACCACCACGTCCATTGTACGCCTTCCCAGAACCACCACCACCACCACCGACAACACGTCCACCCTGAGCACGCTTCACCCGGCACCACGGACCAACATCCTTATCCAGGATGAAAGTCCAAATAACCCAAACCCAGCTCCGATGGCAGGGCAGCGGCTCATAAAACTCCCGCGCAATATCATGCAACTTGTGCAATCTCGTCCAGGGGATAGCAGGGAAATCGTGGTGCTCATTGTGCAAGCCGACATTATACGTGAGAATATTCAACGGGCCGTAGTAAGAGTACGTCTCCGGCGGAGCGAGCTCGGCAAGAGGATGCGAAGCATCGATCTTAGCGGCGGGCTTTTGCTTAAGTTGGGCGAGGGACTCTGTGCCGCCTGTTTTCACGTTCGAGAAGAAGTAGTGCTCGGCGATGAAGTGGCCTGCGCAGGGGTGGAGGGATCCGGCTAGAAAGGAGCTTGCGATGAAGTAGTAGAATGGTTGGAGGGAGCCGGTGAATTTGGTGAGGGCGTAGTCGAAAGAGAGTTGGACGATTAGGTTTAGGAGGTGGATTGAGGTGAAGGGGGGCTGTAGATGAACATGGGTCGGACGGCGTAGAAGAGGATCTGGAATGTGCAGAAGAATGTCTTGCCGAGGAGGGAGTTTAGGAAAAAGGCTTCTAGTGCGGTGGGGAGGTCGGTGTCTAGGCCGGTTACACCGAGGGATTTGTGGTGGGTGAGGTGGTAGGGCTGTTGCAGAGTTGTGTGTTAGTTTTCCTGTCAGTCCTGATTGCTCGTAGTACAGGGAATACTCACCCGGAAGGCAGCACTGTATGGCAGTCCGATAGGGATGTTTGCAAAGATGGCCAGGACACGGTTGGCCAAGGGCGACCGGAAGGCCAAATTGTGGGAGATCTCATGAATAGCGAGGAACAAGTTCTGGTTCGCCGTAGCTCCAACCACGTATGCCGTAGCCAGGAAACGCCAGTCAAGGATCGAGGTATTGCGGAGGAGGTACGCGCAGGTCAATTGGATAGACACAACGAGGAGAACAACCCATTTCGTCAGGGGCTCAGGGCCGCAGAGTTTGGTGACCTGAAAGTCAAAATAGGAGTTAGCAATGCGGTTCAGGAACGGTGGCAATGTACCAGGGAACCAATGTTGCTACCTCCGCAACCGCTGGCTGGAAGACTGCCGAGCCAGGGGCAACAGATGCGCAGATGATCCTGGACGGTTCCGACATACCTCTGGATGGGCCTTGATAATTGCCTGTCGCCTGGAACGGTGTGGCTCCTCTGTATACGTCCAAAAGAAATGGTCCTCAACTGAGGAGGTCTCCGGCGGCGAGATTCTGGCGGGGGGAGCTTCTGTAGTCGCAGAGGACGACGACGCGGCCGCCTTGGCTGCGGACATCCGGAGGTGTGGTGAGGCGGTTTCGACGACCGAAGGCATGGTCAACGAGGGCTAACAAGATTGACCGGGAGTGTGAAGCTGGACGAAGAATGTCTGTCGACGAGGAAATGCGCGGGCCTGGAAAAGGCGGAAGAGACACTCCACGTGGGGCGACACGGGAGACTTGGGTGGTCCGAAAGGCTTGGCTTAACTATGGAGACAAGGGGCGAATGACAGGCAACACTTTGCCATCGTAAGACATTCTTCAAATCAGCAAGTAGAGACATTAATCCTTTAAATATTAGGATCTACTTCACTCGGATTAGATTATGCATTAGATTACTAATTGGGAACTAATTTTGCGAATAGGCAAACTACGTCGGGTGGTATTCTCAAGGGCGACTCGGAGTATATACACCCCCATTATGACACTACTTTTAGCTCGTTTTTCCATGAGGAAAATAAGTGCGTTGTTTTCAATTGTCTACTCTTCAACATGATGGTACTTGCATTTTGCCTCCGGTATATCTCTTACTTCCTGAGTAGTCCAATCAAATTAAAGGAACCGAATAAGCAAAGCAAGGTGACATGAGTAAACAGTCCCTTAAATCAATTTGAATTCACCCAGGAGCCAATGTGAAAGAAATGCAAGTAAGATTGCTCATCTCCGATCTAGAAGTACCAAGAAGTCGAAATCGAAGTCGCCGCACTAGTGATTGGATCACCTTCAGCCCCGAAGTATGGGGGTGGGTTGTTCGAGATAGGGTTATCAATCTCTATGGTTTAGAAATGTGGGGAGAATGAGAAATGAAGATGGAGGGGAGGGTTAACCTGAAGAGGAAAACATTATATCTTATTTAAATAGCTCCATAGCCAGCTGGCAATAAAAATACTTAGGGTGGAAGAGAGGGAGAAATGAAGAACGAGAGAAAGAAGATACTGCTTGACATTCACGGTGCAGATAAAGACAAAATGACCTTTTGTCTGCTTTTGCAGCTGGGTGCAATATCCCTGTATGTTGGATCTTATTTTGACCCACTGACAAGTCTTGAGTACGTACTACGAGAGATGGTAGAAGCATAAGAACTCTAGAATATGGCTATAGTAAGAAAAATGTAGAGAGACGCAGGAGACTTGAATCACAGATAACAGGACAGCAGCCAACAAGTTTGTTTGCTTGACGGGTCTTATAAACAGAGGCATGCTATTCCAATCTGTACCTTTCCAAACTGGGAGATCCCGTATCTGGAAGGCGCCGAAGTATTTGAGTCCTAATCCTATCCTCATCTGCCTCTATCTATCCCCGGCGCTATTCCTGACGCTATCCAAACACTACACCACACCTCGCCAACATGGCCACCCTCAACTTGCTCGAGGTAGCCCTCCGACAGGAACCCATCGCAACGGACTCCTTTATCAGACAGTCCCTGACCGACGCAGAATACAGTATTGGCCTCGAAATCTTGATGCGGGAGTCAGGATGGAAGACATATCGAAACTTCATCATCCCTCACCTCACTCACCTGCTGACCCCCTTTTTGAAATCAGATGCCAGTATCTCGATTCTGGATGTTGGACCTGGCCCGAAGAGCGTCCTTGGATACCTACCCAGAGTTCTGAGAAAGAAGATCGGAAAATACACGGCATTTGAACCTCACGAGCTTTTCGCTACACGGTTGCAAGAATGGCTTCGCGCGACCTCTGAGGGGGAATCTCCGCTGCCGGATCTAGAACTTCCGCCTAATATCCATCGAGCGCGTTTCAACGTTGATTCTAAGACCTTGGGAATTACTGGAGACGAGAAATACGACGCCATACTGTTCTGCCACAGCATGTATGGCATGAGCCCCAAGGGCAAGGTCATCGAGCGGACCATTGAAATGCTCGTTGAGCAACCCAAGCACGGGATTGTCGTGATTTTCCATCGCGAAGGATCCCTCCAACTCGATGGACTAGCGTGCTATCGAACAGCTTCTTTCCCCACGGGTACTTTTTGCGTGGCAGATGACGACGAGGAACTGGATCGCTTCACCGGTTTCCTGGCGGGCTTTACACTGCCAGATGTCAAGAAATACAGGGCTCTCCGGATCGCATGGCAGAAGTTGTGCCGTGCCATGGGCCGACGAGATAAAGCCTTCCCAAATCAGCTCGTGTTCAGCGCGCCTGATATCATGATTGCTTTTACCAGGGACGCAACTGCTGTATCGGAGCTAACAGTTCAAGTCCCGGTATTGAAGGAGGATAGGGTTCTTAAAAACCGTGAGGCTTCTTCCCACCGTCCTGCCACTATTGTGAAGCCGACGGAGATTCTACATATTCAGCAGTGCGTTCAGTGGGCTGTGAAGCACCGGGTTGGTTTGACTATCACTGGTGGAGGTCACAGTGGCCACTGTCAAAGGCCTAACGTTGTCTCCGTTGATATGGGTGCTTTCGATAAATTGCACATCCTCCCAGCTGCAGAAAGTGCAGAAGGACCCGTCTCCAATTCTACTTCTGGCCCTTTGATCATCGCTGAGGCTGGTTGTAAGACTGGCGATATTATTAGCAAAGCCATGGCGGAGGGTTTGACAGTGCCCTTGGGGTCCCGGCCAAGTGTAGGCGCAGGCCTCTGGTTACAAGGTGGTATCGGACATCTGTCTAGGCTGTACGGGCTCTCGTGCGATGCCATTGTTGGTGCCGTGATCGTCAGCGTTGAAAATGGCCAAATTTTGTGCATTGGAGAGGTCCCAAAACAACACTGTCCAACCGGTGCCGTTCGCCCGGAAAATGAAGCCGACCTGTTATGGGCGATAAAAGGTGCCGGAACCAATTTTGGCATTGTCGCCAGCGTCGTTTTCAAAGCTTACCCGGCTTCGAAACATTCTGTTCGCAACTGGAGGATCACGCTCAGAGATAGCAACGAAGCAATCATGAAACTCAACTACCTGGACAACCTCGTCGCCAAGGACCTCTCCGACGGGTGCTCTGTGGACGGGTATTTGTACTGGGATAAGGGCCAGTTGCATTTGGGTGTGACCTCGTTCGAGGATCCTGGGGCGGACCTCGCGCTAACTACCGCTTCCCTTGATGACCTTTTTGGAACCGAAAAGTGTTCGAAGACCGTGGATGAGAATGGATTGTTCATGGCCGATATGTACATGTCTGGGATGCATGATGGACATGACAGAGGCAAGACGTCCTCGTTCAAAAGATGCATATTCTTGAAAGACATCGGAAGTTCGCCCACTGTCGATCTTCTGATCAAGGCTATTGAAACTCGCCCAACTCCAGTCTGCTACCTGCACCTTCTCCACGGTGGCGAAGCGGTGCGCTCTTTAGCATCTGATGCCACTGCTTTCGGCTGTCGAGACTGGGAGTTTGCCTGTGTGATCACTGGAGTCTGGCCGCGCGACCAAGAGGGAGCTGGCCTCGCTCGCACGGTTGTTACGTGGGTTTATGATGTCGCCATGGGGTTTCTACCCCAATGCTGTGGAGTGTACAGTGCAGACCTCGGGCCTGACCCCAGGGACACCGCGCTAGTGGCTAAGGCTTTCGGCCGGAACCGTTCACGCCTAGCTCGTCTTAAAGATATCGCTGATCCACACAATGTGCTCGCTTACGCTTGTCCTCTTCGCAGCTTGCCAATCGGACAGAGACTCATCGTCCTCGTCACAGGTGAAAGTGGTGCTGGCAAGGACTATGGCGCTGATATCTGGGCCAATGCATTCAGTACATGTGTCGACAAAAGCCTCACGGCGCGTGTAGTCAGCATCAGCAATGCGACGAAGACGGAATACGCTACAGCAAATCCCGGCGTTGATCTGACTCGGCTGCTTCAAGACCGTGCGTACAAAGAGGAACATCGGACAGCGTTGACGGCCTTTTTCAATGACCAGGTGGGGAGTCGACCTGGACTACTGGAAGAACATTTTCTGGACGTGGTGTACGGCGCCATGGATGTGGATGTTCTGCTCATCACAGGGATGAGAGAAGAAAACCCTCTCGCAGCTTACTCGCATCTAGTTCCAGAGAGCAGACTGCTTGAGGTTCGCGTCGAAGCAAGCAAGCATACCCGACATGCACGTCGAGGCTGTCCCCTGGATGGTGAAGACGATGACAACCAGCCCACCGCATTCGATTCCTGTCCAAGTCTCGTCTTCAAGAACGAGGAAGCCGGAAACGAGGCAGTGAACCACTTTGCCGCATGCTGTCTGCTTCCCTTCTTCGACGAGCCTATCCAGCGACTAGCCAACATGGTGCGCCCCGTACCGGACTTTCCACGACAGAGCATCACCTTCCAACATGTCCTCGACATCGCGCAGCAGCCCGATGGGCTAAGACTGTGTACACGCCTCCTGAGGGAAAATCTCTTTGAAGACTGGGATCGTATCAGTGCTATCGCCTGTTGCGAGACTGGCGGTTACATCTTTGCCGCCTCGTTGGCAGAGCATCTCAACATCCCCTTGGCATTGATTCGCAAAGCTGGCAAACTCCCACCACCAAATATCTCGGGCACCAAATTCACATCACATATCTCGTCTTCAACTTCTAGTGATATCAAGGAGACACAGATCGAAATGAAGCGGTACCTGATCCCTAAAGGCTCTCCAGTGGTTGTTGTGGATGATGTTCTTGCGACGGGCAAGACGCTCTTCGCCGTGCTTCAGCTTTTGGAACTAGCTGGCATCAGTCAGAAGGACATTACTGTTTTGGTCGTTGCTGAGTTCCCTATTCATCGTGGCCGGTCATTGTTGCGTGGTCTGGGATTTGGGGCTGTCCATATTCGAAGTCTTCTGGTTTTTGATGGAGTCTAATGGAAGGGCGTGAGCTTTCCGGCATTCTGTTCTTGTGAATACATCTTGAAGCTTCACGGCTTTCCTTGACGGCTAGTAATTTTCCTGCATATGACAAAAATGGAGCTAAGGATTCGCCTTTCCAATGTACCTGGCTTAGATTGTAATTTACTGCGTCCAAAGACTCAATGGCTTGTAACGCGATAAAGTTGATGATGGTAGTCGTGTCAGCGGGAAGTTATAGCGCAAAGGACGATTTCTAGGTTAAGAATCATTGCTGGCATTTCCTGAAATTGGTCATTTTTGGTTTCTAAACTAGTTCATATATCATTCAAGCCTAGTAGTCGTCTCCGCGACTGATGACTTCCTTAACGTTGGGGCGGAGCACAATGGTCTAAAATTGGGTCAGCAACACATCACTAATCAAGTCAACGGGGATTGAACAATAAAGACATACATGTTCATATTGAGCAGTGTAGGAGCCCTTGATGTCGCAAAGGGGCGGGTAATCCTGCACAATGCCGGAGGAGACCAGGTTGTTCAGCTGTATTTGAGTTAGTCCATGCTTTAGAAGGGGGTTGGCCGAATAGATGAACATACACCGAGGAGGTACTTCTCCTGACCTAATCGGTCAAGATAGCGTCGGCAGAAAGGCAAAGTGCCGAAGTTCTTGTGAATCACATTCAACAAGTTCTTAGCAGACGATAGACGGAGAGGCACGTTGGGTGCATCCGCAGCAAGAGCGTAGTGAGAGCATTCCATCTAATGAGAGGTTAGGATTTAGTTGATCACACCAGGGGGTTGGAAAACTAACATCTTCCCGAACGTAACCCTTGCCGGTACTGCCGAAGGTCTCAATGGCGAAGACTTCACCCTCCTCCATCTTCGTTTGGTCAGAGCCCTTGACAATAGGCACGCTCTTGCCACCGTGAATAACGTGCTGCTCAATGTTGTGACCGTTCAAGTTTCGGATACACTTGACGGGGTACATAGTTCCGTTAAGCTCGACCTCGTAGCTCTCCATGGCTTCCTGGATGGCGGCACCGATATCACTCATACGGACGTCGATTCCAGCTTCCTATACAAAAGTTAGACCGAACCCGCTAACATCATTCTCTTTGAGAGTGAACATACCCGAATACCGGTGTTGGTGGCATCCTTGACAGCTTCCAGAAGCGGATCATACACAGGGTCGAAGCTCATGGTAAAAGCACTGTCCACAATGCGACCGTTGATGTGCGCACCGAAATCAACCTTCATGACATCCCCTTGGTTCAAGATCATCTTGTTGCCGGCGTTGGGAGTGTAGTGTGCCGCGCAGTGGTTGATGCTCAGACCGCAAGGGAAACCCATACCACCTTTGAGGTTATCTCCCTCCTCCAAACCCGAGTGACCCGTCAAGGCACGCACGGAATCCTCAATACCCTCCGCGATCTCCGTCAGAGTCTGGCCGGGCTTGATGTTCTTCTGTGCATACTGGCGGACTTGACGGTGGACCTCGGCACCCTGGCGGTACTCCTGGAGGAAATCATTGTTCATGCGATCGAGGTAGCGCTTCTCCTCGTTGGTTGTGCGGTAGGCATTGTCGTTCTTGTACTCGACAATCTCACCCTCGGGGTATACGTTGTTGGCGAAAAGGTTGGATACGGGGACTCGCGGAGGAGAGCTCTGGACCTTGGCACCGCCCTTCTTCTTCTTCTTGGACTTGCGCTTCTTCTTCTTCTTGGCGGCTGTCGTGCGACACAATCGTCAGCCTCCAGTTTAGAAACCTTGCGGGTGCGGGGTCGGAAAGCGGGGTTCAAGACGGATTGAATGGAAAATAAAATCACATACCTCCAGGTGCACCAGCATCTGCTGCACCCTCTCCATCTTCTTGGTCGTCGTCAGAATCGTCCTCTGCCTCGCCGGGGGCCGCCTGTCCAGCAGCGGGGGCATCGGCCTGGGCGCCGTTCTGGCCGTTCACTAATAGGCAAGCTTGATGAGTACCGACCGGAATGTAGGATTTAGTAGTGTTGAAACTCACGATCCAGCTGCTCCAGCTTCTCGGTCGCCTGGGCTGCCATTGTGTTGTATGGAGGACTTGCAGTGGAGTGAAGCAGGAAGAAGAGGGGAGGCAACTCGGATGTCGGGGAAAGATTTTCGCAGGCGATAGGCGATAAGATACGTCCCGCTTAATGACGGAGCATTCTCCATCAATTACAGTACTCTGTATAGTTATGACCCGACAGGAGAGTTTTTCTCCAATTGTAATTAACCGATAGATTAATCTTTGCTGTTATTGTTTTTGACTACGTAGGAATTAGACAAAATCCCAGATCCAATGTGGTCTTTCAACTGGCGCCTTCAAAACTGTGTACAAGATCCATCATGGAGAGGCACTAAATTCCTTGATCTTGCAAAAGAAGGGCCATGAGGCTTGTGTATTTTGGTGTAGCTATTCTTTAATCTCCAGCAAAGTTTTGTAGCTACTGCTCTTGGGAACTGGTCCTTCTCGTCATTGATCGAGCAAGTTGTAATGCGTCCTCGGAGATCTAGTAGACATCAAATGTATGAAATCCTTATCTATGCATTTATGCCCTTCTTATTTCCAGATTCTGAAAGCATCCGCTAACCTCAAGATTGATCATCCTCCAATTCAAGCTCCGGTGTTACCTCTTCTGGGATGGATGATGGAGGATATACCCTCCGCCAGTACCACCTAGACAGGAGTCTAGCGGAGTGGCGGTGGGTAGTCTTCATGGCTTCCAAACTTAGAGGTTTAATATCATCCAAGGGAAAGCATTCTTCGTCCAAATACTCCAGAAAGATCCGAACAATCCCCAAGTTGCCTTTCATGGCAGCTTTGACCAATGGCTTCTGACCCCGGTTGTTTGTAAAGAACATATTGGCGCCTTTTTGTATGAGGAACCGAGCAGCCCGCTCACGAATCAGAGTTCCCTGAAGGCTCCCTTTTCTCCCTACCATGTATAAGAGTGGTGCCTCATCGGTCAATTGGTTTCGCGCTTCAATATCGGCTCCTTGTTGCAAAAGCCACTCAGATATTGGCTCTGGCTCCGCCCCCTCACGACATGCGGTTAGAACTGTCGTCAAAAGGTTCATGTGACCATATCCTGGTCTTGGGTCGACGGAATTCAGATCGAATCCTGCCTGCAGAAAGAGGAGCAGGATATCAAATTTTCCCGATCTAGCGGCATCAAACATCTCGTTTATGTGTGACATGTTCTCCGGTCGAGGAACGCATCGGAATTAAGCAGCAGGTTCAATGTGTCTGCGCCTCTGGAGAAAGCCCGTGGGAGCAGAGTGTTTTGCTTCCATTCTTTTGTAACATTCCATCGCTCTAGTAGCCGGAATAATTCACGCGGAATCTCACCTCTGCCTTCCGAAAGTGCAGTCGTTAGCCACAACTTCCTGGACGACTCCTCGTCAGTAGAGGTCCACTTGTCTAACATGAATTTGAATATTTCGTATTGATTGGATTTGATGGCGCTCAGTATTGCAGACTCGCGACAAACTGGATCCTCGACGTTTGCTCCATGGTCTAGGAGTAACTTTGAAATGCTGCAATGCCCTTCTTCCGCTGCAAATCGAAGTGCAGAATTCAAGGTCCTGGTCCGGATACTGTTGTTTGATCCTTCTGAAGTTTGTCCTCTGTTTAGGCACTTCTTCACTTGGTCCTCAAATCCACAACGAGCGACGGCTGTGAAGAAACGGCCAAAAGTTGCGTTACACTCACGACTAACTAGATCGTCGACATGAATCATTGATAGAAAAATCTTCGCTACCTTCCACTTCCGCATTCGTGCTGCCTTGAAAAAAGACTCCCGAGCTTTGTACTCATCGGGGGAAATCCCGTATTCAAAAAGATATCGAATACCTGCGACGTTGCCGGCGTGAACAGCAGTCGAGAATGGAAATTCTGTGCTTTTGAAATCCACGCCAGCATTGATGAAGATTGGGAGTAGATCAGTCCCTCGGCCAGCGGCATAATCGAGCGCACCAAAACCGTGATTCTGCTGGATGTACGGATCACACCCCTTCTGAAGAGCTCGAACGATTGGCAAGTTCCTCCGTTGTGCGGCGATTGTCAAAGGCTGGTCGATGCGTATAACTTCTGGTGCAAATTCCAGGTTGACCCCATGTTCGATCAAGAGATAAACAACATCGTCGTGCCCATTCTCAATGGCGAATGTCAGTAAAAGGTAGAGTGAGTACTAGGATATCGGAAACCCCAGGCCTCTTGCGTCAACAAGGAAGTCGACAAGGGTTTAGGTATATAGAAAGATGGATGAGATTGCTTCGGCCCGCTCGCGAATGAGCCATCCCAGCTCGGAAGGTGCTTCATCACTATCTTGAAGCATTCTGTCCCAATAGCGGACTTTTTGACGTGCCAGCTGAATAAGGCATTTCACGTTCTCAGGCGTGAGTTCGGTGAGACGGATGAGGTCAAAGGGGGCACCGAAGTGTAGTATAGGTGTATGGAAAATCGATGATATAAGAAGAGAGTAGCTCCAGGAAAGGCTACTGCTAATAATATAGAGGATATAATGGGAAGTGAGAAAAAAGAAACCCCTGGATTCATTCCCAATGTAACTTTATATAGCTGCTAGTAGCCTAGCCTAGTCCAAAATGAAACCTCAGGAATCCACAATCAAGCAAACTGCACTATCTAATCTGATCATCAGCTCGCTTGGGAGACAGTACGTACTACGTACTGTACTTTTAAAACAATATCAACCAAGGATAATATCAAAAGCCAGGAGAATTCTAGAGTGTCAAACTGAATCATTCGATAAGTTCCAAGATCTATACGACTCTAAAATCCAGAATCGCCCAATTCCCCTTATATAGTGTGGGAATGACCCTCCGCACTCCCCGAATGCCCGATGACGCCACTCCGATCGATCGACCAAACTCCCCATACTCCCTCCACCTCCACCTCCAACTCTACTCCTCACTCCCTCTTTCTCCCTCCATCCACAAATCCAGGCAATGCCTCCCCCTCGCACACCACCAACAACTTTCCTCCTCCAATCACACCACACAACGGGTCTATCCTCGTCCCCGCGCGTTAATAGCTACCACAATCTCACTCGCATATCCACGCGACCAACGCGATCACAATCATACCGACATCACCGACACAAACACAACCTCGGGCCATACCCATTCCTCCTACACCTACACGTGCAATCATTCTCGACAAGTTCTATCCGCCGTAAGGAGTGGGAACAGAATTATTATGAGATTCTTGATGTACCGATAACAGCTTCTGCGGCTGAGATTAAGAAGTACGCCTACACCTACATCTACGACTCTTCTCACCTTACCCTCTCAATCCCAACACATCCCCTCCCTCCACAATTCCCTAAGCTCAAGCTGACTTGCCCCTTCAGAAAATTCTACGCACTCTCCCTCCGCCACCACCCCGACCGCAACCGCACCGACCCAACCGCCAGCCAACGCTTCGCAAAAATCTCCTCCGCCTACTCGGTGCTCTCCAACACACAAAAACGATCTACCTACGATCAGGATCACGGCTTCCACCATGCCCATCACCAACATCATCAATATCCCACCGGCTCACACAGCAGCCACTCCGCGAACCTGCACAAATCCAGCGCTGGAGGGTATGCGGGGTCCAGGCCAGCAAGTGGACTAAGTAATCGCCGCGGAACATTCCGTGGACCACCACCTAGTTTTTACGAGCAGGGTGGTTACGGGGGGACAGGGAGGAGGGGAGATGGATTTGGATTTTCGGCTGGGAAGGCTGGGCCTGGAGCTAGCACTACCGGAAGTTCAACATCCTCTTCGAAAGCGACAGGCGGATCCGGAGCCCATCCCGACTCAGAAGACCCCCTGGCCTTCATCCACCGCAACCCTCTCCACCACTTCAACGCACGGGCGCACTTCCGCACCCAAAAAGCCGAGGATGAAAGGCGACGAGAACGTGTGTCCAAGGCTAGGAGCGCGGCGAGGGAGAAGGCGGATTCGGATTCGGATTCGTTTATTGCGGGTGGGGAGTTTGGGTTGGTGAGGTTTGTGGTGGTTTGTGGGATTTTGGGGATTGCGGGGGGATGACGGGGTTGGTGCAGTGGCCTGTTGTGAGTGGGAATACGAGTACGGGTGAGGATGGGAGTGGGAAGGCGGGGAAGAAGAGGTGAGAACTGATCTAACCTAACCTAGCAATGGTTTTTGGTTCTTCGTGAGGAGTAGAGTTATACTCGGGCGCCTTGAAGTGTTGTACGATACATACGGTTGGCTGTACGATACATATCTATTTTCAATGCATGCCATGCTCTGGTAGCTGGCAAATAATCTACCATTGGGTTACTACTACAAAAGAAACAACATCTTTATCAAACAAAGGAAAAGCTTTAGATTTGATATACAAAGCGCGCTCGCGGTACATAACTACGACGCACAAGATTATCGGGAACAAAGTGTAGATAAACCTTCACTGTAAACACCATTCTGTCCAAAAGTAACTGGAAGAGGATCGGCGCAGCAACGAAGAATTACAAGCTTCCTTAAGAACCCTCTCACTCGAGGATTCTCAAGGACCACCAACTATCAAGGCATTTAAGCCTCGAAGGTGAAGCTGGCGCCAACCTTGTGGGCGGCCTGGTTCAGGTTCTGGGTATCGAAAGAGGCACCCAGGCCGAGGGTGACACCAGGGCGGAGGAGAACGTTGTAAGCCAGAGCGGCGATACCACGGTCGTTGATCTTGGCCTATTAGGAAATTAGGTTAGTTTCATCTGATAACAATCCACTAGGTTTTGAAACGGGATACGCACCTTGGCGAAGGAAGAGGGGTCCAGGCGGTACTTGCTGGCGACCTCAAGGCCGACGGCGTTACCGGAGGTGGAGTCCCAGGAAGCCTTAGCACCGGCCTCAACCTGAGCGTTGACGCGGTGGTAGTAAGAGGCGGAGAAGAGGGACAGGTTGTTGCTGGCAGTGATGGCAGCAGAGTACTGGGGAACGGAGTAACCGACGGCAGCGGAGTACTTGGTGATGGCAGCCTTGTTGACATCGTAACCACCCTCAGCACCGACGAGGAAGCCCTCGTGGCCGAGAACGGCATCCAGGTTGGCGGTAGGGCCGTTCAGGAGGTCGAAGAAGGCACGGGCGTGCAGGTTGGGCTGCTTGAAGTACAGGTTGAGCTTGGCACCCTTGGACTGCTTGGCGGGCTGGTACTGGGTGAGGATCTCAGCCTTGAGGCCCTTGGCGATGTTGTTGTCCAGCTCGAGCTTGGTGTCGAGGGCGTTGGCGGTGGTCCAAGCCTGGGTCAGGGTAAGACCTGAACAGGGACGAAGCATTAGCTTTATTGTATGCGTGGTAGTGTTTGAAAATACAAAAAGGGTCACCCGGCGCGACATGAGGTGGCCGCACGACAGAAAAAACGTCATGGGCCGAGCCTTGGACACGCCGGGTTCGGGTGGTTTGCGCTGGATGGGGCCCTTACCGGTGGGCGCATCAACGTACTTGGCCTCGAGCTGTGGAGGGAAGAGTTGAGTCAGTACAAAAGGGGGTTTTCTTTGTACCGCGACGCGGGATGATAATAAGGAGGGGGTCCTCGAGAAAACTCACCTGGCCAGCAATGGAACCCTCGTGGGAGGACTTGCCCTTGACGGTGAAGGTGACACCGTTGGGGGCCTTGGACTTGACCTCAAGGGACGCTGGAGACAAATTAGCAGAGCTTTAGAGGGGGTAGGGAGTAGCTAGACATACCCGGGCTGGCGTGGTAGAAGTCCTTGTTCAGGAGCTGTCGGGAACCATCAGCTTCGTGAATTCTTTTTCGGCGATGGAATTTGCAGCTTCCAATGTCATAAAGCTATACGTACGTCATTGGCCGCCTTGGCGATGTCGGAGAAAGCAGCAGGAGCAGACATGGTGAATGTGTAGAGAGAGGGAGACTCGTTGGATGAGGAGAAGAAAGAAGGAGAAGGACTGCGATGATGTTGGGGAGAGGTGGGAAGAAGGGGCCACAGCCACGGGCCGTTCAAATGGGTGTGATTGGCTGTTGCTCGGTTGCCGGGAGAGTCCGCCGGTAAAAAGTTCTTAGGTAAGCCCCGATCGGCGAAATCAGGTGAGCAGTCGAGTTTACCCGAGGAATGTTGTCATCGAGTCGGTAGATGGTATAGACCAGGCCCAATAATAGGTTAAGGATACTAGAATGACACTTCTTTTTCTCTCTACAACGAATCCGACGTGGGTATATACACTTCTTGCATTCTTTCCATAGCTCTATCTATGCCCAACGAAAACTTATCTAAGAACAAATGACCTTCCCTTTTTTATATTTCATCTTAACGCAATTTAGGCGGTATCATACTTGGCGTTGTGGATAGCAATGGCACTGCAAATGTATGTTAGCATTGGTTGGTTTAAAAAGAATTGAAGAAGACGACTTACCGGCCACTGGGATCAGACTGCTTGGACCAGGTAGGGGTCCAGCGCTCGACGGTACCGGCACAGGTAGGGGGGAAGTGCTCATCGAACATCAAGCGGTACCAGTAACTGAAAAAAAAGGTCAGTCAAAACAAGATCAAAAACTCAATGTACTAGAAAGTGAAAAACATACGCCTCCTTGGTATCGGGAATATCGGAACCCCACTCAGGCTTGGGGTTCTTCATCTGCTCATCGGTAATCTGCTGCTCGGCGTGCTCCTTCAGGCCATCAATCCAGCTGTAGCCAACACCGTCACTGAACTGCTCCTTCTGGCGCCAGAGGATCTTCTCGGGCAGGTAAGGGGCGGTCTCGGGCTCGTCGGTGGTATCGAAAGCCTTGCGGATGATGTACTTCTCAATGCGCTCCTTGGTGATCATCTTCTCCTGGGGGTCAACAGCCATGGAGACCTCAAGGAACTCCTTGTCCAGGAAGGGCACACGGGCCTCCAGACCCCAGGCGGAAGTGGACTTGTTGGCACGCAGGCAGTCAGCCAGGTGCAGGTTCTTGACACGGCGGACGGTCTCCTTGTGGAACTCCTCCTTGTCGGGGGCGGCGTGGAAGTAGAGGTAGCCGCCGAAGATCTCATCGCTACCCTCACCACTCAGAACCATCTTGACACCCATGGCCTTGATCTTGCGGGACAGCAGGTACATGGGGGTGGAGGCACGGATGGTGGTGACATCGTAGGTCTCGAGGTGGTAGATGACATCGGAGAGGGCGTTCAGACCGTCCTCAACTTCGAAGGTGAAGGCGTGGTGCTTGGTGCCCAGGAACTTGGCGACCTCCTTGGCTGCCTCGGTATCGGGAGCACCGGGCAGACCGATGGAGAAGGAGTGCAGCTGCTGGAAAGTGGTGACAGTGGAAAGGTCGTTCTCCTCGTCAATACCGACGAGCTCGGAGCCATCAACACCAGACTTAGCAGCAGCGCGGGCAGCCTCCTGCATGCGGAGAGTCTCGCGCTGAGCGATGGAAGCAACCAGACTGGAGTCCAGACCACCAGAGAGCAGAACACCGTAGGGGACCTCGGCCATCAGACGCTTGCGGACGGACTTCTCCAAAGAGTGACGGAGCAGCTTGTAGTCAACGGGGGTGGAAGGAATCTTAGCAGCGTCCCACCACTTAGGCTCGTAGTAACGGGTCAGCTTGTCGGTCTTGGAGTCATAAATGTGACCGGGAGGGAAAGCAATGATGTCGTCGCAGACGGGGTGGAGCGACTTAAGCTCAGAGGCGAAGTAGACGGCGCCGGGAGTCTGAGAAGAGCGACCAAGGTAGAAGCTGGTGATACCGATGGGGTCACGGGCAGCAACAACACGGTCCTGCTTCTTGTCCCAGAGGACCCAAGAGAACATGCCGTCCAAGTGTTTGGGAGCATCGAGGCCGTGCTCCATATACTGAGAGTGAGAGAATCAGCGACTGCTCAATCCTGCGCGCATATAACCAATATTTCCATATTCACATACCAAAGGAATGATGACCTCGCAGTCAGAGTGAGTCTTGAAGTTGTACTTGGTCTTCAGGGTTTTCCGCAGGATACGGTGGTTGTAAATCTCGCCGTTGACAGCGAGGGCAAGGGTCTCGTCATCGTTGACAAGGGGCTGGGCACCGGAGTCTGAAGAGAGGACAATGTTTAGCGACTGAAATAAAGGCGCAATTATCTTGTTGTTAAAGCGATTGACATACCGACACCGACAATGCTCAAACGCTCGTGGGCGAGGACTGCAGGGCGACAGGGTTAGTACGAGGACACGCGACAGCCAGGATACCCAATTAAACTCACTAGTAGAATCGCCAATGAAGTTTCCGCCTGTTGCAAAGTAATTTTGTTAACCTCCAAGCTCCCAATTGACTTTATCGCCGCTTGCGCTTCCAGTTGTGACTCACTCCAATCGGGACCACGGTGGCGGATGCTAATCGACGAAGGGTAGGGTTAGCGACAAATTCCATATTACATTCAAAAGCAATTGCGCTCAAGATAGGAAATAACTCACGCCTTAGCCATGCGCAGGGCCGTGGGCTTGAACTTCTGCACATCGGGGTGACTGTCAGGGTCCTGGGGTTAGCATTGAGTCAACCATCCCACCTCCCCTCGCCAAATGTGCCGCGTCCGGGGAACAGCCAGACATGGCGGGGCAGTTAGTGGGAGAGACGAGGGGCTAGGGAGCAACGCACTGGTGACACGCGAAAATTCCACACATGATGGGCGTGAAGGATACTCAACAATGAGTAGAATGGGGAATCAATTGGAGGAGTGAAGATGAAGGAGAGAAGAAGAGAGATTGACTAATCTGGTGGTTCTGGGGGAGGATCCGGGTCCAAGGGCAAAGGGCTTTTTTTTTTCTAGTTGGGCGGGCCGGGGGGCGATGTCGGCTTTCCGGCGAGTCTTTGAGTCACCGATAAGATAAACTACTTGGCAAGTTCAACTTTTTGGTCCGTTATGATTAGTGGGAATTCTTAGTCGCCCTTTTATACCTGAGGATTATAGTCATAGTAGTATACTATAATTAATAGCTTTTACCTCGGTGACTCTTACCTACAGATAAAAAAGCCTACTGCGCCTAAAGCGCATACTCAAAATGAACCTTTTACAATCATGACGCATCCATGCATAGAGCTTAGCTTGTATGAGATTCGCAAATGCCAGCTGTTCGCTCTGAGAAAAACGCCTTCCATTGAGAGTCAAGTAACGCCGCGCTCGTGATCGGTTGCTCAGAAAAGCAAGAGATGCTCGTTCCCTTCGCCGATAAGTGCGAACAAAGTACCATGCAGTCCAGTTCTTCTCTCGCTCACCGAAAGCTCATAACAAATCAATTAATTCATAAAAAAGGAAATCTGGCGCCGTCATCTTCCATGCTTTTGAGATTCGCCTGCTGCGCTTACATCGGGGGATTGTCCCGCACAACCTGTCGCACCCGCCGCTCATATGCAGGGCGATCCTTCTTGAACAGGTTGTAGGCGTCGGCCTGCGCGGGTGACTCGGGGTTGGGGTCATTGAGCAAATCCTGGATACCGAGGAGGATCTGCTTGATGGTGATTGCGGGTCGCCAGGCTTCCTCCTCATTCAAGATTGAGAGGCAGACTGTGCCGGAGGGGTAGACATTAGGGTGGAAGAGCGGCGGGGTAAATTTGCCTGTAAAAAGGAACCATCCTGTCAGTCTAGATTCGTGTCAAGGAATGCGATAATAGTCGAGGTCGTAATCGCAGCCGAGGTCACGCGGGCAAGTAGTCGGAGGCCCCGTAGTAAGAAGAACTGGAGAGGATTCCTTGGTGGCAAGTACTAATACGTACACTTGGGAGGTTTCGTGGGGTATTCTGGAAGCGCAAAGAATCATCAGCTATCAGTATGTAGATCGGCAATCGCAAGGAATGTACAGCATGACCCACCATCCGGAAAGATCAGCTCCAGCTTCAAAACACATCCTTCCCACAGAGTGTCCTTCTTGCCAGGGATGGCACACTCCCAGCGCTTCAAGTCCAGGGTAGCCTGCGGGGTGCGCTGGGGCTTCGCGACGAAGCCGAAGGGGTGGTCACGCCGCCACTGCTTTCTTTATGATCCATCAACCATTAGCGCATATTCTGGAATGACAGAGCAAAAGCACGATCTATTGCTGGAAGGTATAAGGACTTACCGCTCCTCCTGTAGGCGGTTCAAGCAGAGAGTCATATTGGTAATGGCGTGGGATACTGAAGTGGAAATGAGGTTCTAGGAAGGAACGAAGGCGGGGGAAGGGTGGATTTTATTGAAGCCGGGGTGATGAGGAGTATCAAAGGAGAAAAGAACAAGTGGAAAGAGGAAGAAGGTGGTAGAGACGCAAAAAGCGCAACTGCTCGGCGCAGGTGAATCGCATCGATCGATAGATTCCCGACTGGCCGCCCCGCCAATTGAGCTTAGGTAAGCAATCTGTATCTGCAGGGATTATAGTGATAGCTTCGTTTTCACACTATTGCACGTTGAAGGACCTCAAATAAGTCAGATTCCCTATGAGAATTGATACACTAAAAATTAGGCGAGCCGTAATAGTTTCAATGAAAATAATAACATCGGGTGCACACATGGAAGCATGTATATTCTATAGAGAGACTGCTCAATTCTCAGGAAAGAGGCATCAAACATCACACGTAGACCTTATTTTAGTGGATAAAGGTGTAGCTATCGGGAGTCTAACTACCTCCCAAATTCTCTAGCCCTTTGGTTGGTTGAAAAGGTTCTCTGGTAGATTTCATAGTGACAGTGAGCATCACTATTCCCGACGATAATTACGAGTCCGATACCCACCGGAGACGTTCATTCAAGCATCTTCAATTTTTGGAGGGCATAGAAGGGTATACGGTATTATTAGATTTCTCTTGAGACAGACTAGCACCAAGCTTAGATCTCGAAATATCCCCTTTGTCCTACTTCAAAGAGACAAAGCTCTTTATGCTTACGCTCTAGAGCCAAAAATGTACATCTCAGGGTGGAAATGCTTAGGTATAAACCCAACCCCTAAAGGGCTAACAGAAGCCGCGGAGATTTTTCATAAGACACAAGGGCTCTAGACTGCCGGCCTCTAAGATATCCACGGGCTATCTAGGGATTTACTGAGTGCACAATGTGCTACATAATTTGCTGGAACTAAGTCCTCTGCGGGCACGAGGGCGACGTGAACCGTTCGTTTATCCCATGGCCCGAGTGCTATACGATGGTGGGTGACTGCAGTCCTGTCTCAGAATTGATTCTCTTGCCATTAGCCGGAGTATGTCCAGAGTGCGCTGTCGAAATCCGAAGCTGTCGTTCGCGGGAGAATGGGGTGTACAAGCCATAAAATGCTGAACACGAAGGGGAAAAACCGAACGACGAGTCGTCTATCCCGGGGGCCACGTGCGAGAATGGATCGAGTTTTGAGAGTGATGGTCGTGGTAAGGACATGTCGCACAACATTCAGTATTGTGGTTCAATGGAGTAGCTTGATGAAGGATTTCTGGAGCAGTCGCCGACTGAGGAATTTCAAAAAGTGTCTTCGTCAGACTCACTGGCATTGGATTCTCCAGACAAAAGCCGACAGTCCTACTAGACGGTGATTACTTTGCGACAGGGCGAACAGTCTCCATGGACAGATTACAGGGATCATATAGGAAAGCTATCTGGATAGTGCCACTCCCTTATTAGATCGTGTCAGATAAGTCGATTATTTGACATCAAGATTGCCTCCAGATAGGCTGAAGAGGAGTAAGTGAGGCCAAAATGGATATCATTATGTACATTATTCGACGTAAACCCCCTGTTCAAATTTCTCGGGGTCGAAGTACCGAGCTTGGATTGCATTTCCGTTGAAGATTCGCCCTTCGAGTGCATTGACAGCCTAATAAATCCAAGTTAGTAAGAGTCCGCCATATTTTTATAAGGAAACGGGAATATACTCACTCGTAGGGCTGATAGCTCATTTGTAAACTTGACGAAAACCGGAATAGGCGTGTCCGCGTCCCGCGCAATGTACACCCGCTCCACTCGGCCGTACTAGATATCATCAGTATGAACAGCATCGACATCAGGACATTGAACGACGACGTACCTTCTCATTACACTCCTCTCCAATCTCTTGCATCAAGCCACCCCCCTCGCGGTGCAATTCCTCATCCAGATCCATACCGTCTAGCATGCCCCGAAGTATAACCACAGGACTCATCGGGCCAAACTTGCCTGTATCCTCACTCTTCTTCTTGCCGCCAATGATCTTTCCGCGTCCACCAGGTGTAACGAAACCGCCACCTTCGGAGTCGGGTCGTTTCTTCCGCTTCTCAACCTTGACTTGTAGCGGGTTGACGATACCTGAGCCTGTGGCACCAAGTCCAGAGCCCTTAGTCCAGCCGTATTTGGCCAGTTGTCGTTCGGCAAAGCCCTTTTGACCGGGAAGCCGTGAGCGCGGCGCATCTTCGTTATCTTCTGGCGCTGCTTCTTGTTCGTTTGCAAGCATTTCTTCCAATTCGGCTTCGGACTTGGGAATGTCTTCGGGTGGTGGAGGCAGTGTGTAGCGGACTGGGGCGCGGGAGATAGTTGCGGAGCTGGGTTGGAATGCATCGAGGGGTTGTGGTGGTTGTGGGACTGGTGGTTGATTCTGTGTGGCATCCATAGGAGCGGAGGTGTCTTCTGGTGGAGGAGGTGGAGGCTGAGCATAGTTTGATGTGCCCAAATCACTGTTCAGATTTTGACTCATGCGTGCACGGCGCGCAAATGCATCTTCACCTGAGGGATCATCAGGAATATCTGCGGGAGGTGGAGGTGGAATATCATTGAGGTTCGGCGGCGGCGCAAAGCTTCCAGGAGGCGCAAATTGACCTGCAAAGCCCCAGTTAGTATCCGCTTTGACATATTTTCCCAGAAACGCAAATTCAGCATACGATTCATTGGCCGGTCGTAGTCGCTATCCGAGTCTGGTGTTGGCGAGCGCTTCATGCGATGCGCATACAAGCGATCCTTCCATTCGCGCACCTCGAGGATCTTCTCATCGCTATGTCGGTATTCCTCATAGTTGTTCGGACGAGACGGATCATAGATGTCATCCCAGTTCTGCATGACCATCTGCGGCTCTCGGTTCTTCTTGCGCTTCTTCCTCCCGCCTCGTTGGCGCTTTTCGCCCACATAGTAGTCAAAATCATCCTCTTCCGTGGCGGCCCAGTCTGCCAATTTGCTCTTCACAGGCGCTGCAGCTGAAATCGCATGTTGAATCGCACTAGGCGGTAGCCCTGCCTTGGGTAGTGTTGGCTTGGGTTTGGGTTTCTGGTTCAGTTGGGGCCGCTTAGTGGGCTGAAATCGTAAAGAAGCTGTCCGGTGGAGAGTAGGTGAGCCACTATTGCCTCGGTGCAGTTATCAAAGAGATTCAAAAGTACCAGCATTGAGCTGCTGCTTATTCGCAGCGGACTCGTCAGGTTGCGCGTCGGTCTCGAAGCTCTGCTTGAAGACCACGGGGGCGCGGGATATCGTTCCCGGTGTTGACTCGGCTGAAGGATCGAGTAGATTCGCATAAAGCGACATCATTCCCCCGCCTTTGGACTGGGTAGATTCGGGCGCCATGATGAGCTAGTTGAAACGGGTTGCGATGTTGCAAGTTGAGAAACGCCCGGATCGATGATGTTCGCGACGATAAGCAGGGCCGGGTTATGTTTGATTGGTTTGCATGGCTGTCCGTCGGCCTGGAATCCGGGGATAACCGGATTTATTGGAATAGTATCTACAGTATACCCCAGGAAGATAATACAAAAGAGATCAAAGCCAACCGATAGCTTCGATGCATATACAATAAGCCACACATGGTGAAAAAATTCTGGGATTTTCAACTTGAGTAGGTTTAAGACTCGACTGATTAATGAAGGATAGCCGTTGTCAAAGGACGAAATATGTCTCCACTTCTATTTGAGAACCGCCATGAGTATCTCATGAAATCAGGGCAATCAAACAACAACCGCCTCAGCCAATCCATCCTCATCTTCCTAGCCATAATCGACTGCTGAGAACTAGGATTAAGCCCCTCAAACCCATGGTAAGCCCCCGGCCAAACATGCAATTCACACTGAGTCCCGTCCCGCCAAAGATTCTGGGCATACGCAACATACACATCGCGAAGTGTCCTCGTCGACCCAGTATCAATATGCGTAGAGGGAAACCCATAAAGATCCGTTGCACGAGCCGGAGTCGCATAAATGCTAAAATTATCCGTGCCCCTGCGATTCCCCAAGTATGCATTCCACCTAGCCATATTCGCTTTGCAATCCCAGATTCCGACTCTGTCGAATGCGTGCGTGTGCAGAGCCAGAGTCTTTATAGTCATCGATCATGGGTGAAAAATAGCCGCTGGCCTAGTAGAGGTGGAGATTGACTTTTATCGCGACATACTAGGGCGACGCCGGCGGCGAGGCCTGCGCCTGTTGAGAGTCCGGTGATTACAGTCTTGGAGGAATCGATTCCTAGTTTCGCCGCATTTTTGAATGTCCATTGAAGACCAGCGTAGCAGTCGTCGATGATAGCTGTGTCGGGATGAGAGGGGGCTAGTCTGTACTCAATAGCGACACAGATGATATCGAGTTCAAGGACTGATTCTACTATGCCGTTGAGGTTGCAGAAGCGACTGCCCATGATCATGCCTCCTCCATGGATATGACAGATGACCGGCAGTAATTGACCAGAAGGATTGGAGTCTTTTTTGGGAAGATTGAAACAGTTAATTCGTTGTTATCGGGGCCGGCAAAAGTATGTTCTTCACGCGCGACACCGGGGAGGAGGTTGTCTTCAACGCGAACAGGTGTCTACCCTAGGCGGATCAACTCATTGCAGTCAGGGAGTAGGGTTCGAGAGTAGGGTTTCGAGTTCGCGATGGAACGGGAGTCATCGCATAATCGTCATTGCAAAAGGTGGATTAATTTTTGCTGGTCGGTAAGAGGAATGAAAGAAGCGAAGGGGGTGATAGATTGATAGAACTTGGGATATAGGAGAGGTCGAAGCGTATTAATTAGCTAACCTTACCGTTGAATAGCTTATTACCACTCACAATGAGATTTGAAATGAGTCGAGCTTGTTAAGTGTATCACCTCAACCAAAAAATAGCCAGCTTTGTTAGGAGCCTTGTGCAAATTGCACTCTTGTCTACGAATACGCATCTTAACTGTAGAAACCAGAGAATACACTATGCAACCGTGCTTAAGCTGCGCCCGCTCCCTATTTATACTATGTACGGTAGTGGCATTCTAGTTAGATATGTGACAGGATGTATATTTTGTATGCTTGTCCCATACAAAAGGCACATCAAACTCAGCGACCGTTTCTGGAGGTGGAAATGCTGCTCCTTTGTCAACAATGTGGGGTGTAGTAACAGAAAAGAAGCCTGTTAGAAACTCAATTCGGAGACTGTGAATTTTTAGCCTTACATTAGACCCAATTACAGTACTTCTGTTTGCACCTGTCATGATTAACCTACCAGCCTCATCATGAGTGACCATGACTCACGCCTTGGCATCAGCCATCGGATCCACTTTGCAGGCCCACTTAAGGGTTCGGCCCAGTCCGAGCACCAATCTGGTGAGGCTGTTCGATAGGTACTCAATAATATTGAAAACATCCTAACAAGAGAGATATTTTTTCTATTTAAGATGTTGAGGAGTCCCTCGAAAATGCTTTCATTCTCACTATACCACATCTTTTCAGTCCATTTGCCGGCGAATCACCACCGCCATGGCTCTCATGGACTTCCTTTCTCGTCACAAACCAGCGATCAATGAGAAAAGTTCCAACTCCGATCTCGACCATAATTCGACTCAGAATCACAATGTCGGCGAAAAATCCGATACAAAATCAGTGCAAGACTCCAATACACAGGATGACGAGCACCAATATCCCAGCAAATTCAATCTCTTTTTCATCATCCTCAGCCTGAACCTCGCCCTCTTCCTCGTTGGTCTCGACAATACTATCATCTCTAGCGCCATTCCCAAAATAACCGACGAGTTCCATGCTCTCAGCGATGTGGGCTGGTACGCAAGTGCCTATATGCTCACGACATGTTCGTTTCAGTTGATGTGGGGCAAGCTTTTTACGTTCTACATCGTGAAGTGGACCTGGTTGGTGGCCTTGTTCATCTTCGAACTCGGCTCGCTAATCTGCGCTGTCGCCCCTTCATCAACGGTTCTCATCGTTGGTCGTGCCATTGCCGGAGTCGGGACAGGTGGTGTTAGTAACGGTTGCTTCCTTTTGGTCGCCTACTCGGCACCACCACGGCAGCGACCTGCCTTGATTGGTATGATGGGTTCCATGTATGGTCTTGCTGCCATCGCTGGACCTCTTCTAGGCGGTGTTTTTACCAGTAGCTCAAAGCTTACCTGGAGATTCTGCTTCTATATCAATCTTCCATTAGGATTTGTCTGTGCATTGGTTGTCGTCTTTTTCATGTCCTCCTTCTCTGGGGGTAAGGGAGGTACGGTAGGATTGAAAGAACAAGTGAAGCAGATGGATGTTCCTGGCACACTTATCCTTCTTCCTGCCATAATTTGTCTTCTTCTTGCTCTGCAATGGGGTGGAACCAAGTACCCTTGGGACAATGGACGCATAATCGCGCTCCTGGTGCTCGCTGCCATCTTGCAGTCAGTCTTCGTCTTCATCGAGTACCGAAGTGGAGATCGTGCAACGCTCCCCTTCCGCGTACTCAAGAACAGGAATATCTGGGGATCTTCCATTTTTGGATCTAGCGTTGTTGCTAGTTTCTTCACTATGCTCTACTATGTATGTTCACTTCCATTTATTTCTCTCATCTATTTCTTGGGTACTAACAGTTCCTCTTCAGATCCCCATCTGGTTTCAAGCTATTAAGGGAGCCACCCCCATCAAGTCCGGAGTCATGACTCTCCCACTCGTCGTGAGCTATGTCATTTTCTCCTTCGGAACCGGCAGTCTCACTTCAGTCCTCGGCTACTACGTGCAATGGGGTTACCTGACCGTCATCCTCTCGGCAATTGGTACCGGTCTTATGACCGCACTCAAGGTAGACTCTGGTCACGCCGAGTGGATCGGATACCAGGTTCTCTTCGGCGCAGGTATTGGCTGCGGTATGCAGACATCCTTCTCTGCGCCTCAGACTGCGCTGCCTCTTGAGGATATCCCCGTCGGTACTGCAATTGTCATGTTCACAGAGAATCTTGCCAGTGCTATTATGGTCTCTGTGGCACAGAATGTCTTTACCAATCAGCTGAAGACTAATCTCAGCGAGTATGCTCCTGCTGTTGATGCCAGTGCTGTGATTTCTGCTGGTGCCACTGAGGTTCAGCAGCTGGTACCGGAGAAGCTATATCAGGTGGTCCTCTTTGCCTATAACAAGGCTCTGGATCAGACCTTTTATGTTGGTGTTGCTTTATCTTGTCTAGGGATTATTGGTGTTCTTGGTCTGGAATGGATTTCTGTCAAAGGAAAGAAGGGAAAGGACTCGAATGTATAGAAACACTTTCTATTAGAATACCCAAAGTACCTTACTTTGAAACCAATTATAAACTTCTCCTTTCATGATAATAAGATTCACAAAGTAGAAGCTGGCAGAAACGTTCTAATTTAGCCCATGTATAAATCGTGGCTATTCCTCTAATGGAATCTGATAACACGGATCTGATCGAAGGCTTTAGGCAACCATAAACGTAGATCCATTAAATCGCCTAGAAAACACTTACTTTCATTCATCAGTTGCTGCTGCTCCTGGAAGATGCGAGGTAAATATGTGTTGAACTGTCCCCTCCTAGTGTCTATACCCTTCGCATTTGAGAAGCTACTGTTATCAGCCTTAGGAATCCAGATATCTAGTCACCAATGGCAGGAGCTTCACCGCTTGGGTACACAACCATGTCAATCTCGTAATCACGTACTTGCGTGTTTCGTTAGGTAGTCAGTTGGGCATTCTACCATCGACTGTCTTCCCGGCAGGCCATCGAATGGGAAGGTATCCAGCATTCGACTGAGATCGGGCTACTGCAAACATGCATCCGCCAAAACCAAAGGCGCTTAAGAACACTTTCGATTGGATTCAGCGCATCAGCGGGCAGACCAGATTTCTCCCGTCAAGTGCTTGGGCTGAAGGGTGCACGGTCGCGACCACAACACGCGCCGCGGGCCCTGCTCCGGCAATTTTGCCCTCTCTTACGTGTCTGACACTCTCCAAGGCATATCTCCAGATAAGCCCACAACCGACCGCTTTGTCGAATCTGTGGCGGGTTGTTCAGGTCGTGTCAGTCCAGAGTGTGCTATGTGTGAGAGAATATACGAGTGTCAACTGTCAAGTGACACTGAAAAAGCAAAGCACGTGCTTGTCAATAGCCAGTGAGAAGACTGATAAGACTTAAAATTGATTGAGAAAGAGCGGTTAGAGCAATAATCAACAACACTGCGAAATATCAAGAATATCAAGGAAAATATCAAAGAAGAGATACTGAGAGGTCGGAAGTACAAATTAACAATTTCCAGCAAACCATTTCCATGCTCGTTTTTTCAATTGATTTTCCTTTCATTCACCTCTCTTTTTGTTTCGGTCACCCTTATTCGTATTATTAGGGCTTATTGCCGTGGACCACCGTTGGATACGAACCGTTGCTGCCCGAGACTTCTCAAGCAACGCCATTTGCACTGCGCACCATCTTAGCCAAAGTCCTCTGCAGGTCCTTGGCCAGCCGATCTTCCTTCATTAAGCCGTTTACCGTATGATTTTGCCCCCGCATTTTTCCTGCTGCTGGAACCTCCACCTCCCCAAGGAAGGCAGCTTTTTTCGCAGCCAGTGACTTCAGCTTGATGCCCCTGGCTTCGGATGGCGCCACTTGCTGGTATTCATCCAAGTTATTGTGGATGTAGGTGACCGTGTTATACTCAGCCTGAGTAAAGTTGACCTCCAGAGTTGGGCCAAGTTCTTCAACGTCGAGAATCTGACCCTCTACAAAGCTCCCATAGGAGACGTAGAATTTAACCACCGGGAACATGTTGTAGGTAATCCCCGGCGAAACAGGCACGGATGCAACAGGGACCACATTGCCATGCATGTCCTGCCCGCCTAAACCGATAAAGGTATTGTCTGCAGTACTTCAGTATCAAACTGTACTCTCAAGGATACGTAGCGGTCGTGTAATAAGGGATCTTACTCGGGTCAGGCTCAGACCAGCTTCTATCCGCCTGGATAGTAAATCCACCATCGGGGCCAGTTGGAGTTGGCAGTGGCTCGGGGAAGTTGGCCCCGCCTATAGTTGTAAAGTTAAGGGTTGTTCCTGGTTGGTCTTCTGCGCCCAACTGAACACTCTCATAATCACTCGTGGCAATAGCCACATTGGAGCCAAGTGGCTGGACAGAAGTGCCGCAAACGGCGTAATACTGAGTATTTATAGTGAACTTCATTTGGCTCGACCCATCGCTCCGCGAGACAATCGGGGGAGCAGCCATCCAGATGTTTTGAAAAACACTAGGGGAGTTAGACACCTGAGGTGTCTCAGCGAAGAGAAAGTAGGCATGAGAGCTCCCGCTCTCATTAAGGATAGTAATTTCATAAGTAGTCGGGTTGGCCATATCTGGATTTTGTCTGACAAGCGTAGGAGACTTCTGTTTTCACGTTTAGAAGATAACAAGTAAGAACAACAGCTAGGGTCAGGGATGCTTCTTTTATAGCCTGCCGAAGTTAGCTAGTGTAATAGTGAGGTCAGGTATTGCTGGCTAGTTCACCCGATGACAAGGAGAGAATTCATATCATGGTCTAGGATAATGCTTGACTAAGTTTTAGATAACATTAGGTATCACTGTTCTAGGCCTGCGTGTGGCGATTAGATGAGTCGCAGGTAGGGCTAATTGGAACTGATGATACCATCAGTTGTACTCCAGGCATTAGGGTCCAACAGCGGAAGGCCGAAAGACGAGTCTGGAAGGTATAATGATATCAACAATTCCAGTTCTAGACCCTAGTGATATAGTTGAGCTGGACGCAAACAGAAATATCTCAAAGTAGAGCTACGCAAGTCTCGCGGTACAACAATCCAAAGGCTATTTACAAGTATCTGAATCAGACTAATGAATCACTTTTTGTATTCCGGGCGTCACTAAAGAAAACCTTAAGTCTCAAAGACGTGTCTGGAAGCTATAATGATATCAACAATCTCCATTCTAGACCCCGGTGATATAGCGGAGCTGGACGCAAACAGAAATACGTCAAAAGTACAGTTATGCAAGTCTCGCGGTACGACAATCCACAAGTCGTTCAAAGTTACTAATGAAATCAACAATCTCTGTTCCAGACCTCGGTAATATAGCGGAGCTGGACGCAAACAGAAATACGTCAAAAGTACAGTTATGCAAGTCTCGCGGTACGACAATCCACAAGTCGTTCAAAGTTACTAATGAAATCAACAATCTCTGTTCCAGACCTCGGTAATATAGCGGAGCTGGACGCAAACAGGAATATCTCAAAGTAGAGCTACACAAGTCTCGCGGTACAACAATCCAAAGGCTATTTACAAGTATCTGAATCAGACTAATGAATCACTATTTGTATTCCGGGCATCACTAACGAAAACCTTAAGTCTTGAAGACGTGTCTAGAAGCTATAATGATATCAACAATCTCCATTCTAGACCCAGTGATGTAGCTGACTTAGACACAAACAGAAATACCTCAAAGTAGAGCTACGCAAGTCTCGCGGTACGACAATCCATAGGTCGTTCAAGAGAATCCGAACTTCGTCTACTGCCATTCTAGACCTAAGTGGCGTTGCTAAAGAAGCTGCAAGCAGCAAATTCTGCAGAACAGTGGAGAACAGTGGACAGGGAGACCTTTGGTATGTAACCTCCTGCACGAGGGAGTAAGTTGGAGACATTCACGGGTTAGGAACTGACCAGCGTAGCAATGGGCCCCATTTGCCGCAGTGCTTGGACATTAAGGCTTTCCAAAGAATAGTGGTATTAGGAATACTGAGGACCGGTTTATGTATAGGATTCACCGTATAGGCCCTTCTAGGCCATGCTCAAGGTATCATAATCTAATACCGGCTATCAGTAAGACGCTAATAATGTCAGAATATACCGTAACTCATTCTATAATGTCGCAGTTTATAAATTCAGCGCAATTGTGTTGGTCCTGTTGTTAATTTCGTATTGAGCATCAAAGTCTTTAGTTTTCTTTTGGCGCCTTGTATATCCTCTAAACGACCATGGACTTTATATGGACAATCGATGAGATTGTTGTCGGGCAAATCACTCTCCAGGGACCTGTCTTTCCCACAACAAATTCTCGAGCGGCCAAAGTGCCTCCTCCAAACGGAGATGGTATCATTTGGACACCCGGACAAAATTACGCTGATGGTAGCGACGGATCAATTGCTCCAGTGACTTTTCAGCTTCCAAGTGAGCCTGAACCAGACTGGCGACTCCCGATGAGCATTTCTGCGACGATTGCGTTCCCCGAGCAGTGGTACGACCAGGACTGCACGCTTATCGGCTCCTTGAACGGCGTGCAGCTTGTTAAAAATGATGTGTTTCAAGCTACGCCAACCCAAAATTGGACCTTTGATGGATTAAGCTTGCTCTCAACTTTGTCTTATATCAACCCAGCAAATGCCGGATACAGTTTCTTGATCCCGTTCCGAACCGGTGGAGACTGGACTTGGACACTCCAGTTAGTCCAACAACCAGGTAAAGCCTCCTCGTCCCGGTGGCCTTTTGTTTTGTCTTTATTAGGCAAGCTACTTTAACACTATATAACAGAAACAATGGCTCCGTGCCTTAACCCTACAAGGCTTGAGATCGCTTTTGCGGTCTACGCTCTCCCGCCGAATGAGGCCAATCCTAACCCGCTCTGGCCTACAGCGGGTGTTCTCGAATCCCAGCCCGATTTTCGAAGTTCGTACCCAGTTGTAGTGCAGAGATATGCGTTTCCAAATCTCGCACAGCTTGGGACAGCCCAAAACACCCTCCCCCAGGCCCTTCGTTGGTACATTTTTCTCATGGTCGCTACAATATGGAATATAGGTAATGGAAACCCTCGGGTCCCCTTTAACAGCTATAATGGAACATCTGGATACGGCATGGACGACTACGGCGGTGTATTTGATTTGACACAATGGAGCCAGGGCGCTCCCGACGGTATTAACAGCTATGGAGATGCTCCCCACTGTAACAGCCACGACTTAGCGCCAGCGATGCAATTTGGATGTAACAGCTACGACTTAGCGGCAGTGCTGCAGTTAGGATGCTCCGTCGCCCTGTCACCTACCGGATCAGAGCTTTTGCGATCTACCTGGGTCTTCCACGATCCTCATGGCTACGTTGTCCCTGGGGAGCTATTCAGTCAGCCTCGGCACATTAGATGCAACAATCCTTTCTACTTGAACCGTAAGGTTTCTGTCTCTCTGTGAAGTTTCCAACAACTTACGCAAGCAGCGGAGTATACTCGGGATCCGACATGTGAGCCCCAGGATCTACATCGGTCTTGGTTCCCTGATAGTGCCTGGGTCGAAGTGCAATTGGCAGGCCCGCAAAGCTTAGTCTTAGACGTTTCCCATGCGGTTCAGCCAAACCCGCCGAATGCTCCCATCCCAGAAACCGGCACAAATAATAGGGTGCAATATCTTGCTTTGCACCAAGATCCCGCTGGCATCCAGGCGCCAACTCTCAATGGGGATGCTGATAATCGCACAGGGGGCAATCCTGTCGGGAGTTGCTGTATTTCCCACAACTCCTCCGTTGTTCGGGTCGAATTGCTGACGAGAGCACTTAGACCAGAATCCCGACTATCGTCTGCCTCGCATCGGTGTCTTTGGGACCACTATGGATCCACCACCTCCGCCCGTTCCCGGGCCTCTCATTCAAGGAGAACCCACCTCAGATGGCAGAAAATTTATACAAGCGAGAACAAGCCAGCCTACCCAACCACCTCGGTTCACCACCGCCTCGCTCAGACAGCAGATCCTCACTCGTCTTATATCAGACGCTCTTGACAGAGCTGTCACTGTAGTGTACAGCCAGTTGTATCCGAATCTTGAATGTACAGCACGCAATTTCGTATTCAATTCGGCACCCACCGGCCGTGGCTTCTATCTCCAACTGTCTCTCAATATTCAGGTCCATCATACACCGGAAGGGGCAACCACGGCCCTAGCGGATTATCTTTCCTCTTTCTCTGTCAAGCCGCTTGCAAAGCACGTCCAATCCACACCAACACCTCTCGGTGATATCTCGTTGCGTTGCCAGGATACCATCCTTTTAGTGCACGGTAATGTGTACGCTAAATTGCAAGTTATCCGGGATTTGTCACAACTTTCAATTGCACCAAAGTCGTGCGAGGAAAATTTACTCTCGGTAGCGGTTGCTCTGGACGCGCACCTATCCTCGGGTGACACAGATCAAACTAGCATCCCTCGTGGTTCGGTCCCTTTTACTACAAAGCCACCAAAGAAAGTGAGAAAGGGTACATCGTTCACGCTACAGGTTCCCAGCGCCCTCTCTGGGAATGGTGCAATGGAGTCTATTAAGGATGAGAAAGTCATCGCCTTCGTGTCGAACCCGCAAGTGGTCATGTCTTGCGGGCCCGCAGATTCGGGAGGATATCTGACTTTTGCAGCTTTCAATAATTCAGGTACAGTGGAAATAACGGTCATTCGGCCACACGTTGATACACTACTCCCTGTTGTCGCGGCGTTCAAGGTGGAGGTTTCCGATACTGAGGGTTAATCGGCTTTCTCTATGTGGGATTAATGATCGTTCTTATTATTTTTCTTCGCTGTGTTCGTTATCCTTGTCAGTATATCAGACTGTGACAGTGTCTCTCTCTCAGTTAAAACAATGTTGAGTATTAACTATTGCTTTTTACGGACGAATAGGGCTACCTACTGTGCAAGCAGGACTTCTCAATTCATCTAACCATCGTCCTGTAGCGCAATTCAGCACCGCGTACATGCTTATTCCACGGGAAGTCTTGGGCTTTTAGGACATATATTACTCCAGGCTGGGTCCAGTTAGCCAATATTCGCTAATGAAACTAAGAAACTCAGCGCTGGCAAAGGCGGTTTGTGTAAAGTCAGACAGACGAATAAGCTTAATCGCGATATCTCCAGCGTTCTTGAAACACTCCCATAATACTCTATGAATCTAGCTTACAATTCTTCAGAAGCTCTATAAAGCATAGATGAGGCTAATCTCAAGAATCGGCGACACCGACATAGTCCCTAGATACGTCTATAGATTTTGGCTCCTGAGACACAACTGCAAACTCACCTAAACACCATATAGTTAATGGGTCTAAATCCAAATTCTAGCTGCCTTAACATGATTAGGGAGGTTTAATTTGACACTTTGCAACCATCCACGGTCCCAAGGGCCATCATGGTGACCCAGAGCTTGTCCGAGGATTCTGCCGCATTTAGGTCCCTCAAGTATCGAGTGGCGTCACCCTTGAATCCTACGTACGATGGGATGATATTATTCTAATTATTTCCTTTAGAACAGGCTTATTCAATGATACATGATGCCAGGATGATGCAAGGATGATGCCAGGATGATGCCAGGGTGATGGCTGTTATTCAGATTCCCCAGACGTGGTATTACCAGAACACTACATTTCGGTCAAAAATTCAGCAGAAGCTTGATCGAGTCTAGAATCACTGCAGTGATAGACGCATTCGGATGTTTATGATCAGATGTCTTTTCTACGCGTCATCATGGCAGTCCAGAACCGGCTGCTGGAAGAAAGGGAAAGCAAAGCTTGGGGTCCGCATAGAATTGTCCTAGCATAAAAGAATGCACAGTCTCCATCCAGAAGAGTGCTTCTGGGCGCCGTTAATCAAGAGATCAGACGGGACGCTACCTTATTAAAGTACTTGTTGCAAGCAGTTCCACTATGTCCAACTATAATATATATGTTACGAATAACAGCGGATCTGTTCAATCATATTATGTGGTTTGTGATGTTCCCAAGATAACGAATCTTTCCGATACATCGATCAAGCCCTTCGGAGTCATTTATATTGCTAGTGTTCCCATTCAAGGTGATGGCTCGACTTATACATTTACATTCGGGGACGATATATTTGCATGCTGCGGTTACCAACAGCTCCAAGATGGGACGATCGTATCCACCATCGACAACGCCGCCATGGATCTCAACGGTGTTCAGAACAATATTGCCAATATGGTTATCAACAACGGTGGGCCTGGCTTTGCAGTTAGCTCACCAGGTGCTGAGTCTGGCACTTTTGAGATCATTGTGCCAAATTACGACTCGACGAAATATCGTAAGTCACCGAAAAACAACCAATTTCAATTCCGCCTTCAACGGTACCTAAATTAACCATCTCATCCCCTTCAGATGAGGTCTGGTGCGGGCTTGGTATGACTAAACCTCTTTATAGTGCTTTGTCGGATGCAGGTGGTACAGAGAACGCGGTGCCTGGAGTCAGGGCCTGTGCTTGCTGGCAAGCACAATCTGCTGCGAAATATCAGGTCACCCCTATGCCAAGATTCTCCGTGGTCACGGGGGAATTTGAAGTGGAACAAGTGATTGATATAAATGGGGTTGGGGTTGACGTCAAAATTGATTTTTTCAGGCCAGGGTAACAAGGTGTATGCTTCTGTTACCCAGGGAAATGAGGGAACTTTCGGCCCTGTGACTTATTCTGCAAGCCCTCCGGATGTGAGGAAGCCAAAATAAAGCACATATGTGTAAGTATCTGGGGTTGTACAACGTTTATTACCTTAATTTTGTCATGATTTTGTCACACTTCGTGGAGTTTGGGGAAAAGAAGATTGGCCATATCATGATGTTCAATTTGTTCATCCGAACTTGCAGACCGCATGGTAGGAGCTGTTCTTTAGGGTTTAGTGTATTAGGAACGCTCCACAAACAGTGGCTCGTCTCCCGAAAGCGCATCGGAATATAAAAGCATTCTCGGTTACGACTTTGAGGTTGATAATTTCTTCCAAGAGCTAGGAGCTTTAGAGAGTATGGCACCGAGCGTCAAATAAAGAAGCTTAATGGCTTCAGGGCAATAATGAAGGGAGCATAGCCTCTGAGCGCAAAGAATCCCTCGTGATGCCTGCCATATTCTCAACTAGACCCTTGTGTCTAAACAAATATAGCATCCAGGCCAGAGCCCCTAGAAGAAAATCTCCTAGGGCCAACATTGTCTGTTCACAGGGGCATTGACGGCGCCCTTAACCTCTAGGATCTCGCTTTGGTGGATACGATGACCATGGTTTGGTGGGTGATACTTTCCCTTTAGGCTGTGGATGAGCTGTCGGACCTCCTTGGTGGTCACCCGTCCGTTATTGTCTTCGGAACCTGCAAACTCGGGATTCGAGTAAGCAACGGTAGTGGCTTCATCCCTACTGCGAGGGCTTTTTCTCTCTCGAGGCCCCAGTGAAAAGCTGTGTCCCTCTTTGGGTGTTCGTGGGGAAGGGCTCGGACCCAGTGGACTTCATAAGTCAGCGGATCACGGAGGCAAGGCATAAAGTTAATAGCAATATGTTAAGCAAATAAGAGAACAATGCAAATCGAGGAAGAGCCAGTCATATGCGGGAGCATTCAAAAGAGTGCGAATGAAGCCCAAGAACCCTAATGGTGATAACGGCTAAGACAGAGAGAAGAGACTTGGCGGCCAAAATCGACGAATCAGACGGCGAGAATTCGCAAGAATTTGCAGTACAGTACGACGCGAGCCAAGCTTTGCGGGCGGCTCGCGCAGGGTAGTAACTGGTGACGCGCGCTCCACAAGCTCCGCACGCCGATGCCCTGAAACGACAACAAAGAATAGCACCCGATATTGGATCCCGCCACAAGCACCTGATCACAGTCGATTCTCAAGAGATACCCAAGGATGTATGATACGTGTTCTCGCCGATCGTGTCCGCGGCTGTATCGATGGGGGTCGTCAACACAATCTCATCTTTGCGTTCGACGAGGCATTCATCACATGACTCTCCGGACCTGATCCCTTATAAAAGCAGCGGTAGACGAGATAGGAAAGCCCCACCCGCCAGACATTATCCGGTCTATATTGCTGCATACTCCATACAGGGTACCTGGGAAAACGGCCAGTCCGAAGATACTTAGGGATGCCTCGTTCTGGTATTGCTCCACCAAATCATTCAATACTGACGTGACTTCTGTTCCCAGAGTGAGAGAAAGTGACATAGCAGCATCCATTTTGGTGGTTTCGGGCGTATTGCAAGGAAGAAACTATGTTAACAGCCTATAAAACGGTATGGTATCGTGGTTAAGCACTCAGTAGAGCCAGAACCACTGCTGAACAATCTTTTCGAATGTTCAAGGACCTGCAACAAATGTATGTAAGACTTTTAAGGCAAAGCATAATCATGTGAATTTTCTTGAAAGAAATGCGGATATCAATGAGAAAGTCGCAGTTTGGCCAAGGTGGCTATAGGAGTGGCGGTGGTTCGGGCTCAATGAGGTAACACTTACGTCTGTTCTTATGGATAATTTAGTCTCATCAATTCTTCAGAACTCTATATTAGTTGATACTAAACTCTCTAGTCGCCTTTCTCATCGACGTGGAAGAATCGCCGAGCAGCAACCTGAATGATTATCTTGCATTCAATAAATATGCTAAATTCATTGCCCCCGGATTCGCTATTTATAGTGAGTACTTCCAGTGTGATACAGAGTCAACCTTTTGGAAATCAGGTTCTCTCATCTATGCCCAGAGACTCCAGTCCCCACTGCGTCGGTACGCATAGCCCTCCTGTGGTCCCTCAGACTCCGGGAAGTACCCTAGCTCACACGCCGAAAAACTGATATCAGGCTGTGCAGCGTAGAACGCATCGTACTTGGGTTGCAAGGCTTCAGAAAGGCTAGTGACTTTCTTATCCGGATGGAGAACTTGCCAGGGAAGCGTACATTCCGAGCTCTTGCAGCTCTTCAGTACCAGTAGGAGGGCATCTAGTCGGGAGATCACTTGCTTGATATCCCGACCAAGTAGCTTGCCTTTCGTCTTGCTGAAAATATTACGCATTTGGTACGGGTCATTCTGTGATGAGTGTCAGCTTTTGACGGCAAGGAAAGAAGTTGAATTACCGACCGTCATATCGTAAAGCTCATGCTCGTTGGTACACCAGACCGAGTAGAACAGATTATAAGAGTCGCCGATGACCCGCATGGCCTTGTAGGTATTGTTACCATGGACCACTCCTGCTCCAGTGGGTGAAACTCGCCCGATATCACCTTCTTGAAGATTTGTACCCCAGTATTCCACGGAGACATGTTCCCGACGCGGATCGTGCTCGGCATCATGCATCTCTGCGACGGTCAAAGGCATCGGGAGTCCATCGAAATCATCTCTCAAGGGGATGCCAGCTAGATCGAACAGAGTGGCAGCAATATCGGTATGCGATGTGACGAAATCGACTGTCCGGCCCTTAGGCACGCGAGGGCCACGAACCATCATGGGAACATTAATATCTTCTTCGTAAGGACATCCCTTGCCGGGGACCATGCGATGCTGTCCAACATGATATCCGTTGTCAGACGTGTAGAAGATATAAGTATTGTCCAGCAGTCCGTAATCATCAAGCTTGGTCACGACGCTCTCCACCAGCTCATCGACTGCTTGAAGGGACTGAATTCGTTTACGGTAATATTCGTCCAAATAGGCGACCTCGCTAGAGTTTAGCTGGGGGAGATTCAGCACCCAGCTGGCTCCGCTCGGCTGAATTGGTCAGCATTGAATCCCCCTTACAATTATAGAGTAAATCATACCGTGTTAGGGTTAAAGTTCTCTCCTCGAGGAGCCTTTGCATTGGGAAATGTGTTTGCGTGTCGGTTTGCAGGGACAGGGTCGGTGAAGGCTGGAATGGACGAACCCACCACAGCGGCCGTCTTCGCGTGCGGTGCGATGGGAGCAATTCCGATGAAGAATGGGCGGTCGGAACTCTGGGCGTTCTCGATGAAGTTGAGGGCATAATTGGAGATTAGGTCAGTTGAGTATCCGTCCGACACGACAGGGGAATTGTGATTGCTCTGGAAGGTGGAGTTCCAGTAGCTGTAGGTGGACGGATCCATCAAAACTGCAAGCAACAGTCAATCTCAGAGCACCTTTCTTTCATGCAGGATAGAGCAACATACAGTCTGTCCCGTTCCAGCCTTTGGGGTATGGATTGTTGTAGTTGGAAGTCGTATGGGAGTTCAGGAATTTGCCAGTATAGTAAGTGTTGTAGCCCGCATCCTGCAGCCAAATGGGCAAGTAGTTCTCGTTATGACCCTCTGCCACGAACTTGGGATATCCGCCTTGAGGATGTTAGTGATCCCAGTAGATCTATAAGCAAACGGTAATCTCTCGTACCATAGGGAGGGAATACGTCAGTGACATTGGTGTTATGTGCCAGTTTTCCCGTCATCAAACTGACCCGTGACGGACAGCAAACAGCAATCGTACAGAAATGTCGCTCAAAGACAGTACCTTGATCTCCAACCAGACGCTGCAACTTGGGCATATACTCAAGAGAGTTAAGATGCAAATCTTGATCATCTGTCAGGATGAAGACAAAGTTGGGCTTCTTGCTATGCCCAGGAGCATGGGCTGCTCCCCGAGCATCTAAAGCGCTGGCATTGGCCAGAAAAAGACTGGCAGTCAGGAATAGTGATGCTATTAAACGTGGCATCTTGTTAATACACCTATGAGGCCGAGCTCAAGATCAACAGGGGTCCTAACATGCTTTTATCTCTGCGATCCAGTTTCCCCGGAAAACCCCTCCTTGGTGGATCTTCCAGCTTCGGCCATCATCGATGGTATAAGTTCTTTTCCTCAACCCCACAGATTACGCCCCATGGGGAAGCTCGCTTAGAGCGTGTGGACGTTCCGAAGGGTCTGCGGGATGTCCGAGCGAATGCGGAGCTTTCCTCGGGTTTACCGTACACGACTATCGTAGACCCCTTCGCCATCACGTTTGCCGAGCGGCTAATTTACACTCAAACCCCCGAAGCTACTGTCTAGTGGGCTTTGCAGCTGCCTCAAATAACTAATTTGAATAGCCTTTTAGGTGATGGGGCTTTGATTCTCTCCGAGGTTGGACACTCGATGGATGTCATAATTTACTATTATCTAGCTCGTGTGATGGCTAGGGACTCGAGGGACGGCACAGACGGCGGGCAAGAATATGACGTTGAATTCCTTCCTTGTTAAATGAATTTTCAGTGCTAGCTACATTTAACTATAAGCGGAATTGACGGGCTTGGATACCGTCCTTGAAAAAATGTTGACATTTTTTACGCTTCCCTGACTGGCGCTCAGATGTCTAATAAGTTTGCTACGCAATTTTACTCTATCAGAGGCTGCAGTACCTATATTTCTTGCATGCGCCACTTATTCCTGCATTGCCGGTAGCTGCGTTCGGCATTTCACTCTGATCAGACCTCACAGCTCCTTGCGCACGGTTGATCTTAACAGGGTCTAAATTCCATCCCCCGCATCAACGACGAACAATTAGTAACGAAGCAAATTTCTGTCGCATTTTTTTCTTGGGACCCCATTCTTAGCGTATATTCTAGTCCTTGGCGTTTAAATTAACTTCGTCTACCTCATATATCTATGCCATATACGGAATTCCAGCCTTTGGATATTCCGAGTATCTTCGGGATGTGGAGGAAACCTGGATGTTTCCCCTCAAGTATTTGACTACTTCTCTTCGGACCTCTCCGTCACCAATTTTCAATTATTTCACCTTCATAGTAATTCACCAATTACCATTTCACTCATGTTTGTTCAACTCTAATCCACAAAGTTTAACATGGAGCAGCTGTCACCTATGACCCTAATGCTCGTATGGGTAGGTTAGCTACGCCTCTAGTGGGGATATTGAAAGTCTCTTCTCGACTGACAGCGAGTTTTGGATTCACTGAATGAACTAAATTAGTCAGTCCCACGCTCAAAATGAGATTTGTCAGAAAATTCAATCACCCTCCTCGGCACGAAAACCGGGTGCCTCCGAAGCTCTATGCTTCGTGCAACCGAGATATGGTAGGGAATGGTCTAGGGCCGATAGGTTCAAGGTAGAAGATACAAAATCAGAAAGAAAAGGCCACACGAATTGTCTATAATTTAATTGCGTGGTACTTGTCGTAGATATCTCAGCATAAAATCCATCTTCAATTCGGCTTACTCGTGTGGAACCGCTACTACGCCGGTGACCGGAGTATCAAGACCGACACTGGAAGACATGGCCCATCACTCTAAGTCTGCTCTCGGTTTCGCTCGTCACGCATCTGTCGAAAATATCCAATAGGGCCCAGATTAGTCCCCTCGGATACAACCATACTGTGAATAGCACAGTTGCAGAATGGATGTTCACCCTTGAATTCCATTCTGGCGAACTTGGGAAACATTGCGTCTGTTAAATGTTCGTTTATGAGCGCCCGGCGGAATCCCGGAACTAAGGACTCGATATATGCCTCGAATACCTTCGTATCAGGATCTCGCCTTGCTTTTTGCAGTTCCCGCGGATGAAACTTGGGATTCTTGAAGAGTGATGAATAAAAATTCAGTAATTGCCAGCGCTCCCAGGTATTGGTTTCGTGAAATCCGTAGTCAATCTCCGACTCTAAGCAAAGCGAAGGCTCTTCCTTTGAATGAAATTGGCATGAGAAACTGTTGCATGGGCATATTGCACACCCATTCAGGATGTGGGTAACTTCTGACATGAGACGGTAGATTCCAATTGTTTCTGGCGATGGCCGACGAGGGTATATTCCATGAGAGAGAAGAGACGACGTGTCGATGTCTTTGGTCGCCATGAGCTCGAGTAATTCATCTGACTTCCATGCTTCTGCGATCTGATTCAACGATGCGTGGGAGGCAAGCTGGATGTAATGGTGCGCAAGAAGCTCCCTTTGAGATCTGGTTGTGCAGTAACAGAAGCCGAATCTAATCCACTCGGCTTCTCCAGTGTCTGGAATATCGTTGAAATCTCGGAGAAGTACCCGGTAAAGACACACGACGAAGTATTCTGACGCAGACAGATCGGTATCTTCATTGACCGAGAAGATTTTTTGCAGTTCCAGTATTGCCGAGACCTGATGGAAAAACATGCCACCAGAACCAGGGATATTCATGATTCCCGACCGACGCTCATTGAGAAACCACTGAAAGCATCCGCATTCGTGGTTCTGAGATTGTAAAATCTGGATAGTTACCCAATCTTCAATGAAATGACCCAAATTCATCTGCTCTGTGAAATGCTGAAGGTAGTTATTTTGAAATGTACGAGTCAAGTTGGCGTAGATACAGAACAGGTGCACCACTTCTATTTCTTGCGAGCATTGATCAAACCCGAAAGTCTTGCAAAAATGGTCGTCACGGAACAATGCTGTTAGAAACTCAGTGCGGCTGCTCTTGTCTCGTATAGAGATAGTCCATCGTCTGCTGAGGAGTTTCAAGTAGTCCACATCGTTCGGTCGATTCTTGACACAACAGACAAACACATGTTCAATCCAGTCTTTCGATTGACAAATCTTTGAGCAATAGTTCATGCGACAAGCTGAGCACCGAAGATCACATGGCCGACGACAAAACTTGCATTTGTAGACATGCAACGCCCGTATTGGAGGCATTGCTTCCGAGTGTTCAAGCTCGAACATCGAACGGATATCTTTATCTTTAAGGCATTCCACTTCTGTGAGTGTCACTTCCATTTCTTTAAGACCTGTCCGGGCCCCAATAATTGACGCGTATCCAGGCCTATCATGCAATGGTGTGATGAGCAAGCCATCGCCGAATACAGTTGGCATCATCGCCATGCGCCTATCAACGGGTTAGAACACAGTATCACGATTAATACGACCAGTCGACATACTGGAAGGCTCGTTCAGCTGAGTTTTGGTATTCAGGCTTTCGCTCCCCTGTAGCCCCCATCGTGGAAAGCCCATGCGAGGACTGTGCCCTTAAGTCGCGATGAAAGTCACGCAAATTCTTCTTGGGTTTTGTCAATAGTTGTTGAAGATGTGCTTTTAATTTCAAGAATAAGAAGTCGAGAGCATGATCTAGCTGCTTTGACGAACCATCTTCATAAACAAGAGACGAATTTGGCACGTTCCATCTGTAGAGCAGAGTCTCATGCGTTCCTCGCACGCTGAAATACCCGTGGATACAGACCAGTTGATAGCATAGCAGGCAGCAGCGCCTACTACACCCGATATATTTTTGTGACAGTTCTCTATCTTCTGCTGGCATAATGTGCTCAAAGTACGTGATGAGTTGTATCTCTGCGTGATGATAGTCCTGCTTTCGCTTGTTGTCCCAGATTTCGTAAAAGCGCGAGGCATTTTGCTCAAAATAACCTTCCCAGTCTGGATGAAGGTGGATCCCCAGGGCTCGGGCGACAATTATAGGACTTCGGCTATCCTCTTTCACTGCGCTGGATTGCTTTTTTGATTGCCGAATCTTGCCTTTATGACTACCGTTCTGGGTCTGTGGCGATATGGGCACAATTTCAGTGGATCGAAAAGGTCGATAACTCTCTGCAATCTGAACGAAAATATGTGCTGCATATGATATCCTTGCCAGAAACAGTAAGCTATTCCTGTCCTTTTGCCTTAGGAAATATCTTTTCATCGCTGCCTTGAGCATGAACCGAGACCGAGGTTCTCTCCAAAGATCGAATGTGCGAATCATTATATCCCTCTTTAAAGTTAATTCCTCATTGGGTGTAAAATTAGACTCGCATTGCCATCGAAGATCCTCAAAAAGTTTTGAAATTCGGACTTGGATTCCTCGCAGTGTCTCGCCAGTGTGAGCAGTATCTGATTTTGTGTTGTTTAACTTATCCTCAATGTTCACTCGTGATGGCAGGCTGAGTGGTATAGAAAAAAAAGGCCATTGTGGTCCTCCCAATCACGGCTGTCCAAAGCCGTAATAGCCTGAATGTTCTCTGCTTTCAGCGGCAAATTTGGCCCATACTGGGAAATTTTTTGCTGGACAGAGGACTGAAGGGCCTCTTTCAGCGACTTGAAATAGAACTCGATCCGTGGGCGCTGGTGATCTGCAATGATACTGAACATAGAAGATGTATCCTGGTCAGAAGCATGTCCTGGGCCACGTCAATAAAAGTTGCATTCTGGCATGCAAACTCAATCAACTGCTGAAGCGCACCTTTTTTCGCGATATTTTCCATGTGCTGCTTCCATTCACTGAGAAACTTGCGATCTTCATGGTCAAGTCCCTCATTCTTTGCACAAAATATCCTCACACTTTCCTTTGCTTCATGACAGGCCATCATAGCAGCAGCAACATGTTTCGCATCTTTTGAGTTCTTTGCTTTGGGAACTGTTTTGAAACGAGCCAATATCTCTGCAAGTCTGTCGAGAAATTGATTCTTCAACTCTGTGAGGTATTGGTCACCTTTGGAATTGGTGTCTAAAACTGTTGTTTCTTCTATATCATCGTCGGAACTCTCGTCATACAAGTCGGATTCTGACTTGCTATCTAGGTCGCTGGCTTCGGAATCTTCTTGGTTCAACCCCTCAGGGTCCGGTGGTCGGTCGGTTATTGAGGCCAGAAGGCATATTACCTCATCGAGATTATGATGCATGAATGCTAGATATAAGTCACGAAGACACAGTATAGAATATCAAGCTCAAAATTTGAACTTTGCAGAGTTTACAGATTCTTGTGAGGAGGGACTTTGAGGATGCTAAGCGGCGAAGCAAAATCGACAACAACTGATAGCGGGGTCAAACACGTGTGCAGTGGCTATAGGTAATACCTCTGGCAAGTGGCTTTCTAAGACAGAAAACCCTCTAAGCCAACAAATTTACCCGCCTGCCTAGAGCTACTAGAGCGACGACCGAGGCTTAGATTGATTCAGGGCGTTGTAACTTGGACTGACATAGAGAGAGATTAAGAAATGTGAAGAAAGACGTAAAGAAAGAGTTAGGAAAGAGAGGGAAAGCCTAAGAAATGTTAAGGGGTATTCGCAAGCAGCCTGGATTACCTGTCTCGGGCGTGTTAATGCATGGTCTAGAAGTACTAGTAAGGTTAAAAATAGTAAGGCAGGCGATCTCAAAAACGGTATCACAAATGCCGCCTACAAGAGGTAGCACTTATCGGCCACTTCACGTATGATTATCGACGTGCATATTATCTCCAAGGGTGCTAATCAGTATGGCAGCTTGAAGCAAATGCCAGGGGCAAAGAAACGTAGCAAATAAAAGGGAATAAGATTGGGTTGAGGGGAATGGAGCGCAGCCAGGGAAATGCGACGCATGGTCTAGGCAGCATATTGAACTTAATACGTAGTGGAACTTCATTGGTCAAACGATATTTCTTCAAAAAATAAATGCTTTATTACAAGAATTGTAGACTAGCTTCAGTCAACCACCGTCAAGCTTCCTCCTCGGGTATCTTACATATGCTCTCGTGCAAGCCACGAATTGTCACCGCTCTTTGGACCTCAAACTAAGTGTCTCTCAGTCATTGATCTGATGTTGAGTTACTCAGTGAGCTTATCTTAAGATTCATCTGGAAACAAAGATACCAACTGAACTTTTCCGACCCCTACGATCACACACTACCTCGATATTTTTCCTTGGAGATTGGTTATCAGATCAAAGTTTAGTTTAGTTTATTCATACTCAGTCGGATGGGCATCATGCTTCATAAAGGATTAGAAATCTAGCTACCGCTAGGGACTACAGTAGTTAGCCGTTATCAGTGAATACGGGGATAATAATCTTATCTGTTAAAGCTGCGTCTTGATACCTAGGGAGCAACTGTACTGCTCTCTCACCCTCCAGATTTAGTAACGAGTCCCAATCTCTTCCTTCAAACAAAATCCAATCAAGAGCCGCTGAAACTTCCGTAATAAGACTTGTTGTTCCGAATGGCATCAGTCTCTATCTATACTTAATAAATATGCACAATGTTAGTGATCTACTCTCAGATACCGATTTTTCCGGCGTAATGTTTTTATTCTAGAGCCTCAAAGAGTCCAGGGTCATAATAAGCCGAAATATCGCCCCTTGATTAACCTCCACGATATTTTGTTTGCGAATCATCAGAATCGCCGAGCATCTGAACTATCTTACTATATTCCCACAAAGACAAAATTCTCGAGTAATCTATGACTAGCGGGCTATCATGAAATTACTAACTGTAGTTAACCTTTCTGTACTGTATTTGCTCTAATCTGAATCTCACTCTATAGCGGGACCATCCGACGCTAACCGAGCACAGCGCATCCCCGCGTCCGTACCTTACACGTCCCACATCTGGACATCCCACGTCTCCTTCAATCTCCCCGCAAAGGTAAGATACAGAGTTGAGTGCTCAATGTAATCTCGAAAATGAAAATGAAAATGCATCAACGCAATAAAATGAAAACCCAATTTCATCTCATTTCCCTATCCATCTAGAATATATTCTCTCCTCTTTTCTGAAAAGGTCCAATTACAACTCCTTGCGCACAGCAGACTTGAACTACACCCCCACAACAAACAATTAGCACTTATTCAATCATTCAATAAACACCCCCACCCCTGCCCACATCCATCCATCCATCCATCATTCCTTCCTTCCAAAGAACTAGACAGAAATTGCAAAAGCAAAAGAGGTGAAATAACATACCGGAATAATCTTCGCCTTAGCCAAATCCCAAACACCCGAATGCGCATAAATATCATTCTCCAGGATAGCGCGCACTTCAGCCTCGTTCTCAGCCAGGGCGAGCATCATGCTACCCTGGAAAGCGGGGGTTTCGCCTTCGGCGGGGTGGGATTCGAGCATTGCGCCTGTAAGATGGGAACAGGATGTGTTAGTAAGGACTTTAAGGGGTAGTAATAGGAGCAGTAAGCACGGTAGGGATGGAAATAGAGGTAAGACGGGACGGGACGTACCACCAGCAACGATAGTCCCCGCGGCGACGAGGGGCTTTACGCCTTCGAGGTGGGAGCTGGATATAACATGTCAGGTTAGCTACCTGTATCTGCAACCATCTCGTTTCTATCTGCAATCTCCAGCGCATCCGCAGCTTCAATTCAATTGCCCCCCACCTCCATTTTCCCCTCCTCCACATATAATCATCAAGGTACAAGCAGGTATATACTCACGGTCGAACCTCAAGACGCTTAGCCTGCGCACCGGGGAAATCCGGCAAAATGCAAAGGAACTCCTTCTTAGCGGGGGCAGAAGACATGTTGCGGATGTTGACGGTAACGTTAACGTTGGGAGTAAAGGTGAGGGGTAGTAGTTGGCGACGGTAGTGGCAATTGGACAGCACTGGGCTGGGCTTTAAGGTGAGATAAGACTTGGTCTTGGGGATATGAGAGCGAAGAGAAGCGAGCATGTGTATAGAGGAAGAAGGAGAAGAAGAAGAAGAGTAGTGAGAACGAGAAGACGGAAATATTGTGGACGGGCCGCGGAGGAAGTATTGCCGGGCGGGAGTGTGGGGGTAAGAAGCGGGGAGGAAGGACAGATTGAATTTGGGAGGCATTGCAGGCTGACGTGGTACGGTAGAAGGTAGTACAGTAGTGGAGGTGGGGAGGTTGTGATTGAAGTTTGGATTGGAAATAGGCCAATGGTGTGTGGAGAGGAGAAGGGATGTGGTTGAATGATCAAGTCTAGTAGCAGTAACTAGTAAAGGGGTGTGAGTGGTGAGTGGTCAAACATTCTCCGTCCCCCGAAACTCGGGCCAAGGCCGAGATCTCATATGTGGGGTTTTGATACCGTACTTCTAGGTACTTTATGATCTAGTCCGATCAGTGATTTAGCACGGAAAAATTACTGCCCATAAAGAAGGTAGTAGTGAACTATTTGTTATGTACATGAATAGGGGTGAGTACATCGCTAGAAGAGATAATAGTATCTCCGTCTAGGTCTATTGTATAGTATTGTCCAGAGTTTGTACCCAGAAGGAAGGAACTATATCAATCACCGAGTCCTCGTCTTGATCTTCCGAGAGAAAAAGACCAGGGTATGTCGATTCAATAAACCCAAAAAGAAAAGAAAAGGAATGGAATACACAATTTGGACGAATCCGATGTTAGACTCGAGGCAGGATTGGAGAGAAAAAGGAAAAAGGAAAAAGTGAAAATGATTAAAAACAAATGACATGACAATGACAATGACAGTCCGGTTCTCGATCCCTAGAGGAATGTTTGCAAGAAGAAAAAATGACAATGATATGGGGGTTCACTCATGACCAACCCAAGCCAGCCCAAGCCATACCAAAGGGTATAGCATCCCCAAAGAAAAGGAGAGAGCGACAAGAATCAGCCTGGTAAACACCCTGGGTAACAACAAAAATTCAGTATATCAAAAAGAAAGGTCCGAGAACCGGCAAACTTCTATAGACCCTGCAATCCTGCCAAACAACATTTTCCCCCCGTAGCGCCAAGGTAAACAAAGACACAACACATACAGCACACTCCCTAGAACGCGACACGAAGATGGGTGGATTATGAAAAATCATTAGGCTTCCGTCGTGTGAATAAAACATCCCCTCCGAGAATAGATGAAAAGAAGCGGATGATAGTATCTCACAGTCACGGTGGAGATGCCGTGTGTCTGTGGACATGACGACCGGGTATAGACGGGGGACCGCGTGTGGCCTCCGGGCGGTCGATGAGGAAAACGGAAGGGAGGGGGATGATCGTGGGAGCAAAGATCAACTTTGGACCCGAGGAGCGAGGTGGCTCACTGGAACGATGTGAGATGTAACATGCTGGGCATGCTGGGTTTAGTATGCCTTGCGATCTCCCAGGTTGCCGGGCTTCTCGTCCGTGTCGATGTGCCAGACCACATAGTTGGGTAGACCAACGACCTGGTAACCGGCACGCTTGGCCATCTTGGCGAAGCCCTCGGTTTCGGCCTGGTTCTCGAAAGCGTATGCGGGGAAGTTGATACCTGTTGACAGTGGTTAGAAGGTTGTCTATGGAATCCTGAGACAGTCATCACGTACCGGAACGGTGAACATCAGCCTTGACGAGAATGTTGACACCACCAATACCGTCAAGCTCGACCTCCTCATCCTTGTTCTTTCTCCAGTCACCCATGCTGACCAGGTATGTGCGGCCAGTGTCGTACTCCTTGTAGCCTTCAGCCAGAATAGTGTCGGGGTCCAGAGTTTCGCGCAGGCGACGGCCCTTGTCGGATTCGATCCAGGAGTTGTAGTCAACTAAAAAAGATGAAAAAGTTAGTAAAGATGCACAGGGCCAACCCCACTAGGGATTGTGTAACATACAGCGACCTTCAACATCATGGCCGTCACGGTACCGGTGGAACCAAATGTCTGTCAAATACACGTTAGCGCGTTTCCCTCACACTCAGAGAGCACCAAATCCACATACTAGGCACAAGAATATCCTTATCGTGAGCCATAAAGTCCTCCAGAATCCGCTCGGGGCAGTCAGTAATGTCCACGTCACGCCAGTACACCCAGGAGTGATCGGCCTTGAGGGCCGAGTAAAGCAAGTAGTTACGGGCCCGACCGATAGCCTTACGCCGGGGACCTTGAGCAGCAAAGGAGTGGCGCTCCTCCACGGTCATCTCGGTCTCGGCACCAAAGTCCTTCTTGATGACGGTAGCGCTGCGGAAACGGACTTTTTCATCGGCATGGTTCTGGATGCGATCGAGCTCGGAGGCCAGATTGGCCAGGGTGTCATCCTTGGAATCGCCGACGAGGAAGGCCAGGTCAATCAGGTCGTGGGGATAGGTCAACTTGTACAGGAGGTCGAAATAATTGGCGAGGTAGGGGGAGGCGTCGCGGAGAGGGGTCAGAATGAGGACGCGCTCATGGTTGTGGAAGGCCTGGGTAGTGGACTTGATCGGGTTGAGATCGATTTCGGAGATGGAGGTGCTGTTGACTTCGTAGGGTTCGTGGTGGTTGAAGAGGACGGGGGTCTGGGCGTGTGCATTCCACTCGACCATTTCGTTGATGGTCATCTCCATCGGGGATTTGGAGGAGCCGTAGCAGTAGAAACTGGAGACATCAGGAGGCGATTAGTGAAACACTACGCGAGGATGAGGATCGCTTGCATACTTTTGCATTTCAGACGCAGACCTGCTCACACCACGCCACAGCAGGATGACCAGGCCTGTCACGGCCACGGACACCAAAAAGCGAGTCCGCGTCAGGAGAACGAGGATTGCCCTCCATGGTGGCAGGCCAGCCCTGGCGGACTTCCAATTGACTCCGCCCTTTGGCAACAGCATGATTCGGAATGAAACAGGGATTCGAATGAACGAGAGTTGGAAGATAGGCGTTGAGGGTTGAGGATTCGGGTTTCAGGAGCCTTGCGGTTGGGGGAGAAGTTGTTGATGGGAATCACTGAGAGGGGGCACGCCCGTCGAAAGCCCCTTGCCGACCGAACGAATGAGGCCTTGGAGGACGCGCGAAGAGCTGGCTACTCGATGAAAATGGTGATTTGGCGAGAGGCGCGAAAAAGTGGCGGAGATTAGGGAGGTCGATGGAGGGAGAGAGAGAAAAGAGGAGTTGACGGGATCGCCGGGGGAGAATAATTGGCAGTGGACACAGAGGAGAGGCCTTGCCAGCTTTTGCCAAGCGGGAAACGGCTAAAATGAGCGCAACACTCAAGACAGCGGTCCAGAACATCGATTTTCTCCTGACTAAACTAAGAGAGGACTGAAAGTATTAAGTGTCTTATTTGAAGACTCTGATATCTTGGATAAGATGGATATGATACATGCCAACATTTTATCACCCCATACATTCAATACAGTCCCTACTCTAATGATACACTAAAGATGTCATTTTGCTTGCCTTTGATCTCGAACCCTTATGACAGCCACGGAAAGACCCTGACACTTATTTATAGCATAGAGTGTCTTCATTAAAACCACTACATAGCCATCTATCTATGACGAACTCGATGCCATTCAAATACCGTTTCGAACACCCACCAAGTTTATTTTATACCTTGTCATTTCAAGTACCCCTGACACAATCATCACGCAGAATCGTATCTTGGTTCTTCCTTTTGCAACCGGCACTTGCGTGTCACTGACGAATCCCACGCTGCTGATCTCGGCCGGCTGTGGCGTTTTCCCTCCCTTTCTTTTCCACCAACCTAGATCGAGTTCTGAGTTATCACGAATAAATGTAATTGCTATCAAACCGTGGGTAACAAGGCTTCTAACAATGTCATTCAATTAAGAACCCAAATCAGGGCCGAATATTCTCGAGTTCGTGACACGGAACACTGATTTCCGGTAGAGTTATGAGCATATCTGGCCTCGTTAAAGACGTCCAAAATCAGAACTTTCCAAACTCTAAATCTGCATAATATCACGAGCTCATAGGTTGTATTCTAGTTCCAGACTAATTAGCCCTTGTACAGCCAGATCTCTCATCTTGAAGTCTCAACCAAATCTACACATTCTCTATAATTCCGAGGAAAACCGAGCGGTACACTCCTCCTTATAAGCCTCCAACTGTTCCATCTTCATCTGGATAAAAGACTCCATGTCCGCACACGCCATACCGCCAAGCCTCTCAACCTCCTTACCATCACCATCATCATGGAAAGCAGCCCAATAAACCATATCAACATCAAAGCTCTTCCTCGCCGCAAAGTCAAACCAAAACCGCCCACTCCTCCACGACTCACGCATTCGGCTAGACAAGGCCATTCCACCCGCCTTCTGTCTTCCCTCTATTGCCCTTTCTGTCTCCGCTCTCTCCAAAGCACTTAAGAATAGCTCCATCTTGGGCTCATACAAAGCCACAAACTCCTCCATCGCGTCGCGCTCAAGCCATAAATCCGGCCCCGTGAGCAACAGCCACCAGGGCGGGTCATACGTGAATGCCGCCGGCATGGCATTTGTGAACTCGAGATCGAGGATGGCGGTGATTTGGAGTGTTTCTGGGTTAATCAGGATATTCGCGGGTCGTAGGTCGTCGCAGAAGGGTATGCATACCCCGCTGTCTTTGGGGTAGTATTTCGGGATTAGCTGTGCGAAGTGATGGCGGGCGATGAATCGCTTCTGGGCGATTTTTGGATTGTTGGCGAGGTTGCGCTGGGTTTGGAGGTGGAGTATGTGCTCGTTTGCGAGCGATTTCAGATAATCGCTTGCACGGTCAAATGGCCCGGTTGGGAATTGGTCAACGGGGTAGCTGGCGACAGTGGCTAATTCGTTCATGTTGTATGTTAGGGGTCTTCCGGTGACATGCCATGTACTCGTAGCATTGTCCTTTGAGATTGCACCGATCCTCGGGAATGTAAGTTGAGAAAGCTGGAGCATATAACCGGCAATTTGATAATAGATCTTGTCCAACATTCTATTGTCGATATTCGGATTCAAAACCACATCTTCTGTATCAGGTTGTCTCAAAATCGTCGATAAAAGTGTCCCATGAACATAATCCATGATGATAAATGGACCAAGCTGTCGTGGGCTCTCGGCGAGTAATCCCCAGCTGTGAACACGAGGGATAGGACTATTAGGGTTTTGGCGAAGATATTCCATGATCTGCACCTCCTCATTCACGACTTTTTCGTCCCTCAACGCTGTAGCCGTGTGTCCTGGTTTTGGAAACCGAATTGTGACGTCTGGTTTACCATCGTCGAAGCTGAACCGGAAGCTCAAGTTGAAGGATCCCTTGAGGAAGCCAATGTATCTCCTGGTTCCCCTTCCTTCTCGACGGTCAGCGAAGAAAGTCGCCAGTTCAGCCCTGGCATCAAAGGCTCTACTTAACCATACTCTAAATTCATCATCGCCGTTGGTCTCCTCTAGCTCGTCGAAATAAGTCTTGAGTGAGGAGGTCTTTTGCTGAGGCATCTGAGGAGTTGAGTCGGGGGCGGTGGGGAAGGATAAATGGGGAAGGTCATTCGTTGGAAGATTATCTATAGACTATACGAACTTTTGTCCTTTCTACAGTGCGACTAGTTCATCACTCTACCTTGTAACTCCAAGCAATTGATCTACTTAATCTTCTCTAGATATGATGAATGAAAAGAAGGTGAATAAGTGTATTCCATTACACATGTAGTGCAATCCAATAACAATATTGACTGTGATAGTGATAGAACCACCCGCATCCTTCACATACAGACCAGCATCCAGTTACCTCCGATTCACTCATCACCTCTCAAAATTTTGAATCCAATCCACTCTCGTTAGATTCAGACTATGAGCTAAAGCTCAATCTCACAGATAAAAAACACCCAATTTCATATTCCCGGGCAGGTTCACCGACAGATCGCGGTACCATCCACCCTCAGTACTCCAAAACAGATTAGTATCCATCATCTCCCATTTCATTCACTCATCACCCCGCAAAACTCCAAAACAAAAAACCACCCGCATGAAAATTTGAAAATGAAACCACACAACCTAAGACTCCTCTGGGAGAAAGATCAACCGCGTAATCTCATACGCATCTGGCGAATCCGCCAACGGAAGAACGCCATTAAAGGCACTCTCCGTGGCGTCGTCCAGGATTGCATGATAGGCCTCTTTGAGAACACCCAAATTGTCTTCATACGGAGGAACGGTGATCTGGTAAGATGTCTCGGCGATAGGATCCTCGATCCGCAACCAGATCTCAATTTTGTTCAGGTCGTAGACGGGGACATGCAGACCCTCGCTCAGCTCTTTGGCGAAGCGGATGAAATGCAGCGCGGAGCTGTCAACCCAGATGCTTTCGAGGAGCTTCGCGGTTTGGACCATTGGCAGGCCAACCAGATCGCTCAGACGCAATTCGAGGTCTCCGCCGAAGGGGTTGTTGGTCAGGTCCCGGAACCACATGAGTTTGTCGGGAAGCCAGCACTTGGCGTCGTTCTCGGGGGTGGTGGCTTCGATAGATTCGTTGGGGGTTTCGATAGAGGTAGTCATTGATGGGGTCATGGAGACGGTGCCGAGGGTGCTGCTGTCGGTGTTCATATCGGTGTCCAGGCCCATGTTGCTGTCCATGCCCATGTAGGTGTTCATGTTCATGTTGGCGTTCACGCCCGTGTTGCAGCCCATGCCCATGTAGGTGTTCATGTTCATGTTGGAGTTCATGCCCGAGTTGGAGTTCATGTTCATGTTACCGTTCGTGCCCATGTTGTTGTTCATGGCGTTGTAGTTGAAGTAATAGGAAGCCATGGTGAAGGCAGTTGCAGTTGCAGGTGCAGCAACAGTTGCGAATCCGGTAGCATAGGTAGCGTAGGTAGTATTCTGTGTGAAAGTCGGAGCAGGATTTGGCGCGCCATAAGCATAAGCAGAAACAGGACGTGAGACGGAGACAGAGGCAGAGGCAGGTGCAGGTGGTGAGAGGGTAGAAGATGGCGTGCCGCGGGATTTTCTGATTAGTCGTGCAAGGCCATAGAGAGCTTGGATGCAGCTCTCACGATCGTTGGCATACGCAGCCAGGACCGCAGCACACAGTCGAGTCCGAGGCGAGGTGATTTCCCTCATGAGCGTGTTCTTGAAGGTATCTCGAGAATTGTAGCTGTTAAAGGAGTTGACGTTGGACTCGGCCATTAGCGTGCCAACCAGCTCGCGGGTCTGGTGCTGATCTTTGTAGTTGTTGGAGATTCCGAGGATCTCGTGGATATCGGTCTTGCGCATCTGCCTCATCGTGGCGGCGCTACGCGGGCGTGTGATTGGTGGTTGAGGGAATGGATTTTGCCGGGGACGATAGGGGCAATCGTTTAGTCGCTGTTTGTGGTGGTGGATTTTGGCAGAAGTTGGGACGACGGTGGTGATGTTTATCAAATGGGGTTGAACAAACAAGGCAGGTGCGCGAGATGAGATGGGATGGTGGGTATGGGATAACGCAACTCTTGTTTTCAAGCAAACTGTTAATTCCATAATTCAGAAATACAATTATACCCATATTGTCTTGTATCAATCAATATCTTTCTAATTCACAGTGCTACTCAAAAGACGCAGCTCAATGTTAAAGCTCAAAAGTCTGGATTAGGAAATCGCATGCTCGTGGTCACCAATTTGTTGACAGAAACTAAACCCAAATTCACAAGGTTACTGAGAACAGATCAGAGGCAATTATACTCCTCCGTGGGTTTCCATGGTACATACAGGTTAGTTTCCATACTTCCAGTATCAAACCCTTATATCTAGATACACGTGGGATATTATAACCCGAGAAAACACTCCTAAGCAAGCGTTATTCCAGACTCCGCATAACTTCTATTGTCTGGAGTTCACACTTAGTAGATCTCACCCTATCTACTATGACACCCCGTAAAGCCTCTCATAGAGATTAGTTACATGTCCCAAACGCTGACGAAGACATAACTTTGCGAGGTAAAGTGTTATCGAAGACAGTATAGCCTGGGCTGTGGGATATACCAGCAGTTCCGGGGCCTAGTTTGAAGTATCAAAACCTTATATATACATGTGGGATATCATAAACCGAGAAGGTACTCTCAAGCAAGCAGTTCCAGACTCCACATAACATCTATCATCTAAAGTTAAAACTTAGTAGATCTAATCCTACCTAGTATGACATCCCACAAAAACATGTCGTAGAGATTAGTTACATGTAGTCCCCAACTTTGAAGAAAACGTACCTTAAGGTTGCGAGGTAAATTAATACCTAAGACAGTATAGTCTGGACGGTGGTACATACTGGTAGGTAGTTTCTATGATTCTAGTATCAACCCCTTATAGATACACGCGGTAAAACACTCCCAAGCAAGCATATCATTCCAGACTCCCGTCCGCGTAACATCAACCAGATTTAGCTCTGTGTGGATCATCAGCACAACATTCCACAAAAGCATCTCATAGAGGTTAATTACAAGTAGTCACCAACGTTGAAAGCCAACATACCCTTGCGAGGCAAACTAACATCCCGCCCTGACAGTGTGTATCAAGACCACCCTTCCAATTTAGTAAAAAATGTGCCAGCCTTATCAACATTCTATACATACATAGTTAACAGCTTATCAATTCTAGCCTGGAATTCTAGGCAAAAGCCATGTCATGTTATATCGCCCAGAAAAGTATGCTGTACCTCGTTCAACCTTCGACGACAGCTGCAGTGTTGATACATCACACTTACTATCCAAATATGAAACAAACTACTCCCGACCCACAAAATCTGCTGCAGTGTAATACCGCATGAGTGATCCTGTACATGAACTCTGCACACAGCAACACCCCGGAGACTTCCTGTCCCTGGGAAATGTGTACGTGTCAACATCGAGTCCGTACAATGCAGCCCTCGTTTCGAACTTCGAACTACTCGCCCCAGAACACTCAACTGCAACCCATCTAACTCTTTTTCTACAATCTACATTTCAAGAAACAATATTTCCTTTTCGTTCATAAAATCCAATTGGCAATCAACTATAACTATGTCCAAGACACCCACAAAGGAAACAAAATAAAAATAAGTAAAAAGGAAAAATCAACATAGAAGAAAAACGTTCACCAGATCGTATATCCATATCGTCACAGCGCCAAGAATGAAGATAAACAAAAGAAAAAGAGAGAAAGGGGAAGAAAAAATCGAGCCACCCATTTTATGGAGCGAAATAGCTCAAACCGAGGAACAGAAAAGAAAAATAGAAAATGAAGAAAAGAAGAATAGACATGGTCCGCACCAACGAAAAATAGACAGAACAGAAAAGAACAAAACACCGAGCAGGGATGGAGGGAGAAGATGAGATCGGATCTCACCTCGCGATTTTTCTGGGGGATGTGGAGGTGGATGTGAGTGGTTGTAAAGGCAAGAGCCAAGTTCAAATATTGTTACAATGCAGACGCTAACCGGGCGAGAGAAACCCACACAAGGTACAAAGCAAGTCAAGTCAAAGCAAAGCAAGGCACAACAGACATGTGAGACGAGGTGATGATTCGAAGGGAAGATTGAAACGAAGTCAGTCGAGCTCGTCAGCCAAAGTCAAGGTCAAGGCGGCCATGACGCAGGGGAATAAAGTTGGTAGTGGCGTTAATCAACACGCCGCCTGCAAGGGGGTATGTAGATGTATGCGCGGACGGAAAAGAGGTAGAACGGGATAAGATAGTCGAAGAAGAAAAAGTAGTAGGGCGGGAGGTCGTTAGCACATCAGCATCAAGACGTTTTTGGCATTGGTCATTGGCCAGCATGTCATTGACTGGCTTATGGTGAGCCAAGCAGGGACTGTCGGCGCGAAGCAGAAAAGGTGAATGAGGAACTCTGTGATGGAGGGAACGCAGGGGATGAAGGGCCGGTGATGGGTGGCGTTGAACTGAGGTAGGAACTACCGAAAGACTGCGATGTGGCGCTGGGCAGGGCGTCATGATGCTGGTAATGCATCTGCGAAGGGTCACGGGCGATACTAGCGCCGATCTCATCGCAGAAGACGCGCAGGCCCGGGAGGGCCTTCTTCTGGCGCTTGTGTTCAGGGACCTCGATCAGCGACGGGGTGGTGGCTTCAGGCTTGGGCGAGCGGAACATTTGCTCGTAAGATTTGAGTTGGAATTCGAGGGCGCGGTTGCGATCGGCTAGGAGGTCGTTTTCGGCCTTGGCGGCGCGGAGTTGTTGTTGGGTGGTTTGGTTTTGTTGTTGGAGGGAGGTCACTAGTTGCTGCAGTTGCATGCAGCGGACTTGGGGCTGCAGCTTTTCGGAGAGTTGGGGGGAGACTTGTTCCTGGCGGATCAGGTGGACGATGATCGCTAGCATGAAGTCGATCAGGTAGACGGCGCCCTGGACGATGTGTTCCTTGGATTGAGGCAGGCTCTTGGATGGGTTCCAGCCTGCGCGCTCCAGGAAGAAGTCGTGGATACGGCTGTCCAGCTCGCGGTGCAGCTGGCTGAGGTTCTTGCGGCGGTTGCCCTCGGCGATGCGGTGCTTCTCGCGCTGGTCGTCGGGGTCGGGAGAGATGGTACTTCCCTTGCGCTTGCGTCCGCAGAGCTGCTGGAGAGGGGCCTTGCGGTTGATGTTTTGAGGCGCGATCAGCGCCATGATCTCGGGCTGGGAGAGATCGGTGGGCCATTCAGTGGAGGTAGTCTTTTGAGCTGCAAAGGATTCCTGCCAGGAGCTTTCGGCGGAGTTGGCCGGCGAGGGAGGTGCAATGATCTGATCACCAGACCAAGGAGACTTGAATTGGATTGATTCTTGAGCTCCCGGGGTGGTTGGAGCAAAGGTATCCTTGTTGTGGAAAGGATTGAAGGGACCACGGGGCAAAGGATCCATCCGCGGCAGGGGAGGCAGGCGGCGGTCCTCGCCCAAGCTGGCATTGGTCATGGTAGAGGTTGTTGATTTCAAAGAACTGCATAGTACTGTTAGGACGATGCCTTATCCTGTAATCAGGATATAGTGAAACTCACGGAAGCGAGCAGCGTCGCGGAATGTCATCAGTCATAGAACCCATTTCCTCGTACATCGTTGATAGTCGTCAAAAGGCGTGGAAATGTTGATATGTGCAGGTAGCCGGGGATGGTGCGAAAGATCAAAAAGCCACACAAATCTATATACGAAGGGTAACTGGTGTATAGTCGCCCTTCACGAGGTAATTCACAGTCGAAGAACCCGGGATACTTGTGTTGGTGGAGAATGGCGGATAATAGTTGCAGGAGGTCGTCACAAATCAACAATGGCAATGTATGTGCACACAATAACGAGTCGATGAACAAAGAGAGGGGCGAGATGTATGAACAAAGAAATGCGAAGCTAGGATTCAAGATCCACGCGAGAGGGTGAAGGCGAAGACAATGAATGAGACAACCTAGACTGCTGGGACACGGGGCTGGGGTGCATGTTTATATGTCGATGACGAGTAGAGCAAAGCCAAGAGGGGGAAAAGGGAGAGATACAGACGAGATGGTACTTTTGGTTATTCTCAATCAAAAAAAAAAAAAAAAGTCAAAAAAATGCCCAAAAATGCCATGTATCGCATGCACACAGAGCCAAGCTCGGGACTCGTCGTGGCGGGATCCAAGAGAGGGGAACCGTGTACGATCCAGGCCGATCATCAAGCGCGGAAGACCGGGATGTCATACAGACAGATACTGTGCATGGTGCATGGCGCATGGTGCATGGCGCATGGCGCATGGCAGGCTGGAAAAAGGGAAATGAGAAAAAGGGACATCAAGGAACCCAGAGGAGGACCCAATGACCCACGGGTCACTGACGGGGAAGTGAAGCAGACCATCCGGACTACTCTAGACTACTGCCCAGGCGTAGTCCAGGTCTTTTGGGAGAAGCAAGCGTATCTGTCACATCCGGCACAGACGAACGGGGTCGTCACCACATCGACGATTGACGAATCAGAAGTCGACGATGGTGCCCGAGAGGCAGGTTCTCAATGAGGATCCCCGGCCCTTGATTTGTCACCGGCCAGTTGGTGTCGCGATCGTCATGGGGAAACAGAATACTGGAGAAGCCTACACTTTGGTGCCCTTGCATTAAAAGAGTATAATTCATGAATAGTTATTAGTTATTCAGTATTCACGGCGATGCTCGGTCGGTCATTTCGGATCAAAGTTCCAAAGTTAATCAGTATGAACTATGAAAATTCTCTACTCCAGTACTACTACTGTACGGAGTACATACTACCACTACCATCATCTTCCATTCCCTCTAGTCACCCGTGCATCACTAGCCCCAGTCTTGAAAAACCTCCGGTGTCCCATGTGGAGTCTGATTCTTGACAAATGCTTCCACATAGTACGCAGATCATATCTTACTATTAAGTCCTCTTAATCTGTCTCTTCTAGACTCCCCCGGCAGTGAATTAGGACAAAATAATGATTAATTCATTCTGTACCATCCCCATATCCACGTCATAAGGCTCGAAGATACTTTGATGATTTGTTTTAAAAAACAAATTCCAAAAACGTTTTCTGAATATTGACTTGCATACTTCAAGATGGAAAAGAAAAACAAATAAAAAAACTGAAGATAGAAATAGAAATAAAAAGACAAAATTCAAAATTCAAAACAACAAATCTCCATCTCCGATCTCGATACATCATGAACCATCTTGAAACACCCACTGCACCATCATCCATGCGTGCTTAGCGGGAACGAGTTCTCGAGTTGAGTTCCTGAGAGAGAAAATAAACCCTCGATCGCATGCATCGATATTCAGGAGAACCTACCATGGTAGCCAAAAGTGGAAGGTTCATTGCAATCAAAGGTGAAAGGGGCAACCGTTGATCCTTGTTTATTACTCAAGAACACAACATCATTGATCATTGATCATTGCCTCCCCCTACAACAAATTATAATGAAGCAAGGACGATCGGAAAGTATCATCGTGAAACGATGCGAGGAGGTCTCTTGTCACTTGTGCAATAGCATTCATTGACTGTTAGTGAAAGGCACTACCATTTCATGAAAGTACGAGAGTATCAAATGAAAAGGTTCCGGCAAACCAAATCATTCCACCTCATAAGAGAAGATGAACAGAATAACCAGCTAATCAAAAATAATAGATGAATTTACGTCCACCGAACACGGGCGGATGGCGGATCTACAGGGCCAACCCCAGCTAAACCGTAATGATTGTTAGATTATTCAACGACCAAAAAACGTTAGTAAACGGGGAAACACAAACTACAGTAGTCATTATTCCATCATTTTAGTTATGCTATGATGCGCTGCGTCACAGTACTACGGTAAACTACTGTAGGGCCAGTGAATACCCCCCCTCGTTTCTACCCTAGGGTAAATGATCCCGAAGCGAAATGATCGCTCGAGGAAAACCACCGAGTTGGGACAACCCAGGACCCAGCGACCGGGATACGATGCCTGTCAGGTGTCGAATCAGAAGCCGAGAAGTGATTTGGAATTGAACTGGAAAGTGGCACACGGACGTTTGGCGTTCGTTAGTTTAGCGGGTATGGACGAGTCATGGAGCTGGGTGAGATCTATGAGAGTTACAATCTACTGTAGTTAGTTAGTGCTCTATTTGTCTGGGCGGGGGGCCGAGCCCTAAATAGTTGCACGTTCCCCTGATGGACCCCTTTAGATAATTAGCATGGAGGATATGGGGGATGATTGGGGATTTGGAAACCTAATAATATTAATGTAGAATTTCAATTGCAGTAATTCTTCGCCTTATTATCTTCTCTGGCATACTAATTAATCAATCTTCGCTAAAGCAATGGGTGGATCCTGCGATCAGAGACGAGGATCTGAGCTGTCATATTTTGCCTTCCCGCCTGCCCCATCGAAGGGGTACGCACTGCCAATAACCAGCTCATCCCACGTTCTCGCTGGAACTGGAACCTTTGAATGAGATTGTGGAGGGTTCTCAGGATCGCATACTCCGTACTGACCTAGCTGAACGCCTCCATTGCTGACCGGAAAATTGCCAGCATGATCCATGTTAATTAAAGGTTGACAGATAACAGCCCGTTTTGTACGACAGCATAGAATAACCACGTCAGAATAGCCATTCTCTTCTTCCATGTCCTCTTTCTCCTTCTCCTCTCCTCAGTAACACCATCTCCAAAGCCAATTTGACATTCTTGCATACGGCTCCTCTCTCCTAGGTGCCCCGCGCCTGCGCCTAAGACCAGTTTGCAGGAGTAGCTCCCACGCATAAAGCAACATGCAGCAACACTCGAGGGGAAATAATAAAAAAAACTTAACCCAAGGAATAGAAACCTCCAGGCACGAACCAAACCATTAACCATGGACATGGACGTGCCCTTCGTAGAAAACCTCATTTTTCTCCTGCTTCTCTTCCGGACCTTCCCCGGACCCATCCAGATTCCCTAAAAAGCCAACGATCGTCCTCCATTTCTTACTCCCAGCCTACCATTTCGGGTGACTTGCAGCTAGTTTGTAGGCTCCCCCTCCTTTTGGTCCTCTTTGTGCTTTCGAGATACGTTCCGGATAATCCGACAGGCACATCGGTGTTTGTGGGAGGAATTTGAGTTCGATATCAGAGATCAGAAGGTCTGAACCTGATCCCTGGGAACTGGATCGAATGTCTGAGCGCTGGGTTTGGTCTGGGAGATATAACTAATTTCTTTTTTTCTGGGGGGGGTTCTGCTTTGCAGCTTTATGGGGTGGTTTGTTTCTTTTGGGATCCGAGTCCTAGGATAGAATCATGAACGGAGAGATATTCATCGTGCAGTGAAGTGCGTGCTGCTCGAACAATTCCATTTTTAATCCTATACATATGTACTGTAGACCAGACCCTAGATGATATACATCCATCATCCCTCTTTTGTCTTTCCATCGTACTTTGGGTATTATCCCCCCTTTCCCCATTGGGTTGGAACCGTCCGATTCCCAAATGTATCTATCTAAATCTGTTCATCCTCGCACTGCATGCGGCCGGGATCGTGAACCCGTGCGGCTCCAGGTGCAAGGACCAGCCCTGCTCGAGATGAGTTTTGCCTCCACGGGCCAGGGGTATTAGCATTGCCTCCAATTTTGAGAGAATCCTGCAGGAGCCAATCGTTGCCGCGGAAGGGTGTGTTCTCCTCACGCCAATGATTTTCGTCTTCCCAATAGTCTAGTGGCCTGTGGTTGTCGGGGCTGCTGACAGTGACCCGCCTGCGACCTGTCATGTCTCAACCGTTCGAGGTGGCATGGCGGGGGGAGGAAGGGGAGTAATAATCTACTTGGTTACTACATTTGAATTCTCACAGAAGGGAAAGTCTAGTTTTTCGATTTCTGGATGTGAAGTGAATATCAGATCTCTTTCACGACGAGTTCCACTTGTTTTCCCACTACTGTGTGTTGAATATTTACTCCACTAGAATACATACATACATAGGTCCCGGTTTACAAATCCCACACAAGTGTTGCAAAAGTACCTGTTCATGCGTTGTATCCACTATTCCGAGATCTCGCCAGGCCTGCGACTGGGATCCGCCACTGTGGTGTAGATACTTCAACTACCGCACGCTACGGATCGACATGCTCCCCACGCCACCTTCCGATACGGGGTGAATGAAGTATTGTACACTACTGGACTCCCCACTGTAGGGCAGGCCAAAACCAGGATGTGGGTAGCGATCGAGTCATGCAGTCAAACACCGATGTACTCTCAAGGGCAGCTCAGATCCGTGCTTCTCTTTCTTGGCGAGTGGTTTCTACTCTGATTTCGATTTCTCTTGCTTTCTCCCCGATATCCTGTAGAGATAGCGAACTACTGTACGTACTACTAGGTCCTTCTGTGAGCGGAAATCAGATCCACCTCTGATTTCAGTTTAGTAGCAAGCATTGATGCAGATTCTGCAGGCTTTGCAGACTCGTGCTAGGTACGGAGTACAATGGGACGCACGGTTCCTGAAAGAAGGGATGAGTATGCTCGAGGCATGAAATGAGGTGAATAATGTCATCATGTTGTGGTGTTATTGTCAATCCAGGCGACCATATAGAAGAAAACGAACTCAATCATGTTACTATTCCTCCAGAACATGAACAAAACAGACAATAGAACGCACAAATAATCGTATCTCAATACATAGCATCTATCGGCCGAACTGCAGCAAGGGCCGGCAGTCCACAATATGATGATGATCAACAAAGTACATTCAAACTCCATGACATATCATCAAAGACCCACGCAAAGGACGTTCAAAATACCTTCTTCATGGCAAAAAAGCAACGAGCACTACGTACATCACGCTATGTCTGAAGATGAACCGTGGTTCCTGTCCATGCGGGATATCGGGGAGGAGAAAGATATCGAGAGGCATTGATACTTGCCAACAACATCTTCCAAAACAAGTAATCTTAGTGCTAATACTAAATCTAAAATTCAAATCAATTCCCCGACTGGCCCACCGCCACTGCTTCGCTGCAAGGACTTACATATCTATTAGCGCCTGGGCCCTATAGTCGAAGGTCTATTCTGGGAGGTGCTATATTCGGAACTCAAATTCGCCGCATCTGACACGTCTGTCAAGTAGAGAGAGACTTCATTCAAACTGTACCCGGACCAAGTTTGTCTGTCTATAGGTAGCTAACCTTCCCTGACGAGGAACCAAACTTACTTCCAGCCCGTGGAGTTCGCGCAAGATCGTACTGAGAGTTTATGGGTTCCTACATGGTACATGGGTACATTTGCATAGTGCGAGATCCATGCGTTTCAATATCTGTGTACAGTATGAATATGGATTCACTGTATATGTAGGTATGGATGTGCGCTCACGCATCCGTCCCGTCGCTCAGGGATCCCGATCAACTACTGTACTATCCCGGAATCCTAGTTCCTGCTCCTCCTGGGTTTGGTTTCCCCAGTACCTGGATGACCGGTGGCCTCCAATGCAAGGTGAATGTATCTAAATGGGTCCATTGAGAGAGAGTCGTGCATGTGGTAGGCTGGAGGTATGCGTAATCGCTTCACTTTTCCACTCAGGTACACTTTCCCACATACAGTATGCAGCGGGATCGATGGAGAAGCGGAAATGCAAATGCAACTGTTTATGGGAATAGTGGGAAGGAGTCCAGTAGGTTGATGATATGCTGTATCCCTTGCTACTACTGCTAATCACTTTTCTTGACCCTGCGTATCGTGTACTTTGTCCACGGGTGGCCAAGAGTGTTCAATAATCCTCTCCAGTGAGAAGCTACATAGAGAGGGGCACGGGGTTTTTTCGTGCCATTCTGCGGTATCAGAGTGAGAAAACTACTGCAAGAAAGACTTGGTACTGATTCTCTAATCTATAGCCCTCACAAACCCACCAACACACTTATATCCACTTCATACGGAATCCAATGCACGCAATCACAGCTATTTCTCAAGACCCCCCACAGAAACCACTGCTCATGGTACATCGAACCCAAACCAAACCACTTCCCCGCCCCTAAATATTTCAAGAATCGAACTCTCCATCTATTCCGCGATCGGTGATTCTTCTAGCACTGAATACTACTCCAGATGATGATCGAACGCGGTCCCGAGAATCCCGGCCAATCACCTGCCTGGTAACCAGTGAGTTGACAGGGCAAAGCACCATCAAAGTTTAATCGGTTCCCCGCGCGGCGGAGACGAGGCTGGACCCTAGATTGGCAAGGATGGTGTCCCGAGAGAAAGGATGGAAGCTCAGATATGACGATGAATGTAGAAGGGAGATCGTCCTCCCTTTTCTTGTTTTATTTCATTGGTTGAGGGCGATAAATTAATTGATAATGCCTTAGAACCTCTTCGCCATGACCTAGTGGACCGTGCCTGCAAACTTCGGGGAGGGATATGCTTGAACACAATACGACCGTCAACCTAAATCAGTCAATCCCAACATCAACCTTGAGGGAAAGGTACGAACGACAATAAGCGCATATTCGATCTGTCGCTAACCTTGAAACCAGGTTCCAGGTTCGTCCCTGACATTGTGTTTGACTCGTGCAGGGAGGAGCCACGCACTACGCACTCTACGTGGGTTCTCGGGCAGAGAAGAGGACCATGCGCTATTGCACTTATTCTTGTGCTGGATAGATCTCGTTCGGGCCACGCTGATTGAGTTAGTCAAGTTAACTTTAGCTGCTTGGGCGAACTACATACTGAGCTACTACCAGTTGGGCACTCTGTACTTTGTCTTTTGTTTCCAGTGCGCTATGCCCCTCAAAGAGCCAAGACCAAGCCCCCCAAAAGCCCCCGATCTGACTGATGTCTCTCCTCCCCCACTCACGAATTCCACCATCCATCGAAGCTGCAAAGGCCACGGTGCCTTGATTTTGTTGCCTGTTCCTGCTTTTCGCACATGGAATATGCAACATGCAAGATAAGATCATTTGCGATCGCGCATTCTCTGTCCGTTCATATCGTCATCATGTACCTTGTTGCTCCAATTTGCCTCATCAATGCTACAATCAAAACCTCCAAACTTACGCCAGCTCTTGGGATTTGGTGTTCGACTTTTGTCTTTCCACAGTTTTAAGTAAATCCCAGCCACAACAGATCATCTCCGAGAAGGAAATCCACCACGATCGCAAATGCCCACCGACTAAAAACTACAAACTCCGATTTCCCAATTCAATGTTTCTCATTGGATCTTTCTTCTAGGAAAACATGCACCTTAAGCCAATCTTTGCCCGTGTAGCCACATCACCAGCCTCCCCGGCCCCCCGCCATGCTACTATAGGAACAAATGCCCCCGATCAGCAATCATTCACTAGTTACTACAGGATATCTACTCCATAGTAGCGCCTCTCTCTGCAATCAAGTAGTGATTAGCTTAGTTAGCATCATCATCCAAACAATCTAGTTACGTAGTTATCTTATTATCCCAGTACTCACTTCGTACCAAAGTACCAACCGACCAAATCCACCCTGATCAACCCCCCAATCACCAATCACCAATCACCAATCACTCCTTCCCATCTGATCCTCGAATCAGAGCACCATCGCCCCCGCTAACGCAAAATCCCATCCCAACCACCCACTCAATACAACTCGATACATCGACTTGGAGAAAAACTGCAGGGTGGGAAATCGAAGTTCGAACGGGGCCACGCGATCTTGAGTTTTTTCCTCGTTTTTCTTTTCTTTTTCTCGTTTCATCGCTGCAAGACAATAGATTCTGAGACGCACATGGCTGGAAACGAACTCATCCTGAGCGGGGAAGGTTTATACATCCAGAGTTTAGAGATTTTCGGACTTTTTTCGCTGTTTGAAAGTTTTGGTTTTGCTTGCTCCGCTACGTTCTTTTGCTTTAGTTTGCCTTTGCCCGGTAGTTAGTTACACTACTTACGAGCTTGACTGCTACGGCAGTCAGCACTGAGTATAGTTAGGTTGGTTAGGCCATGACTACAGTGGAATAAGATCTTCCCACCACGCCACTGCACATGGTTCTAACTTCTATGGGTTCTATCGTCTCCATCTTCGTCCTACACTGCTACTGTATACTACTGCAATCTCCATCCGGACATCTCCCAAACTTTCATCATTGTGCCCGCTTGAACCCTGACGCCGATTCCACTTCCACTTTCACATCCAACTCCGATTCTAATCCCGAACCTTACTCTAACTCTAGCTCTGACTTTTCCTCCCTGAGTGCTGGCTTTCATCTCCCGATGAACCCGTCCGTGCCTCTACTCCACTCTCTCTACACTGTTTAGTTTGCCGATTAACTTTCGGGACTTGTGTCTGTGCCCACCCGTTCGTTTGTTGCCAAAGTCTTTTTTTCTCTCTGATTCTTGGGTATTGAGATCTCGGGATACAGACATCGGGGTCTAGATTAGTTGAGTGTGTAGAATTTTGTAGACTAGCTCGTATCGACGGTCTATCTATGACGAGTTTTATCTCTCATTATAATAGGGATTAGTGTGGTGATAGTGGTGTTTCGGGTTTAACTCGGGATTTGCTACGAAACACATCCTACTTTTCGACTTACCTCTCCTTTCTATCTAGTCCCATTCATAAACACACTGTAGTAACTACAGCACGGTATTTGGTCATGCTGTATAGTACTTCTGCTATTCTGCGTCAGCGAGTAGGTCCCTGGAGCTGCAGAAGTGGATTCAGTTCTCTTCGTGTTCGTTCATGTCCATCCATGTTCTAGATCAGATCCAACTCCAGTTCAAGATCAACCTACCCACTTAGTCTTACTTACCCCTCTCCATCTCTCCATCTGCATCATCTGGCTTTGCAAACACGCTTCGTGGCTTCTGTCAAGATCCCGAATACCTGGATACGATGAATCGGTGAATCGGAGCTGTGGCGTTTTTAGTTTTTGGTGCTTTTGTCTGTGAGATCCGAGTGAGACTGCGAGTGGATGGATGGATGTGGCGGGTGCCTTAGTGCCGAGGTGCGGTGAGGTAGGAATGGGATTTTTGTTAGCTTGCGCCGGTGAGATATTACCTATTCGGACTCTTAGATATGATACCAGGGCTATATTTCTAGATAGTGATGGTTTTATGATAATTTGTCGGATTTGGTGTTGGTGGAAAGCAAGTCTTGAAGATGTTGTTCCCGTGAGGCCGTGGATATATACTCAGTGCTCATCAATTGGCATAACATAATGTAACAACGCCCATATAGATGGACCGAGGTAGGTTGTGTAGATTCACCCTCGATCAATCGAATGTAATGATCCGAAGATACAGGAAATATAACACATGAAGCTGGAAACATATGTTTCTTCCAGACAAAGGTCTGCCTGTAGACAGTTGCCCGTGTAAATCCCCATTCGGATGACTTCACTCTATTCAAACTCGCCAGAGTTAATCAGATGCATGCATGCACGAAGAATCGCACGACATCCGTTCTTAACATAGAGTACTATTAATGAACTTCCTAGATTCAAGAATATCTACATGAGAACACCCCACCAGCCCGTAAGAACAACAATCTCAACACCAGCACCCTTGACCAGAGATTCAGAACAACAACGCCAACCCAAGGACAGGCAGAGAATGCAAAGCGATGCAAATTCCGCTACTCCAGTTATCCGAGGAATGAATACCTATCTTCCAGGCAAAGCGCAAACCAGGGCAGAACATACAAGGGAGACCACCCCTCCATACCTCCCTCTCCTCGAACATACATACCAAATCTACAAGTATACAATCCTACAACTACAAATTTACAATCACATCCATACCAAGAAAAAGTACAAACTGACAAACCGAATACATTAGCACAATCGTGCTCGGGGATAAAACACATATCGAGACAAGTTAAGGACACGTCGGGGCGAGTGGGTAATAAAATAAGCGGTAAAAAAAAGAGAAACTCCTTTCCGATGAGACGGCGTCGAGGATGTCTTCCGAGGACAGAATCCAGATTTGGGAAATTTCCTCATAAAGAAGACAGAATTATTATCATGAGAACAGCAGTGTAAGACGAAAAAATGAAACCGTTGCTTGGTGGGACTCTCTGCATCTACAATCTTTCCAACAGAAAACAAAAAAAACAGCACACTTTCTTTCCCTCCACAGACACTAATCAACCCCTTTACAGGAGCTGAGCAACGGCGTAGAAGAAGGCGGCAACACCAGTGACGGCCATGCTGGCACCGTTGGCAACGGCGGCACCGGAGCTGGTGGCAGAGGAGGTGCTGCTGGAGCCGGAGGAAGTGCCGGACTTGCCGTTGGAGGTGGTGGGGTTGGTGGTGTTGGCATCGCAGTGGTAGGTACCCTTGATGACAGTCTTGCGGATGGACTGGAAGTGGGTGCAGTTGAAGGTACCGTCAGTGCTCTGGAGGTTGAAGCCACCCTCGACATCGGTCAGACCGTCAAGGTCAACACTGGATAAACAAATTAGCGCGTGTCGGGCGTTACAGCAGGGCGAGTGCGTCAATTGAAAGATCTGCTACTTACGTGTTGAACTTGCCGCTGAAGTCAATGGCACCAGTAACCTTCTCCAACTTGGGCAGATCAATGGTCTGCAGCTTGTCGTTACGGGCAATGGTGAATCCACCGTCAACCTTGGTCAGAACGGGCATGGAGATGTTGGAGAGCTTGGAGTTGTCGTTGAACACCAGGTCACCGGTGGAGGTCAAGTTGGGAGCAGAGAAAGTGGTGAACTCAGTACCCCAGAAGCCGAGCTGACCGGTGAGCTTCTCCAGAGAGGGAACGGAGATGCTGGAGATGTTGCGGAAGGTCATGTTGGTGCCAGTGCCGAGGTTGGGGAGCTCAATCTCGAGAGCATCGAAGTTACCGGAGAAGTTAATCAGGTCGGTAGCGTTCTGCAGGTTGTTGATGTTGATCTTCTGGAGATCACGGTTGTTCTCAATCTCGAACTGGTTGACAGTCTTCAGGGAGATACCGTCCAGGGAGGTCAGACCGGTGTTCTGGATGATAACGTCACCAGCCTCGGTGACACCCTTGTCGAAGTTCAAGGACTGGAGCTTGGGGAGAGCGTTCCACTTGATGGAGCCGACGGAGGTCAGCTCGGCGAAAGCAAGCTGGGTCAGGCGGGTAAGACCCTCCAGGTTGAAGGCGTCGCCAACGGAAGTCAGGGAGGCGGCAGTGATGTCGGTAACATTCTCACCACCGTTGCAGATGATGGAACCAGAGATGGTCTTAACACCGGCGAGGGAGAGGGAGCCGGAGTAGGACTTGGCGATGGTAATATCACCATTCAGCTTGGAGCAGGAAGCGATACCATCGGCATCGGACTGGTTTTCGATGGTGGTGTCACCGCCTGGAGAGTGGAGGGATTGGATGTCAGTTCTTCACGCTCGTATTCGATCTGATTTTCTTGGCAAATGGAGATGAGGAAGTTTATTGACTTACAGCTAGCGGCGAAAGCCACCTGGCTGGCAGCCAGCGCGGGCAGGAGGTACTTGGCGAAAGACATTGCGAATCTTTTATTCTGTTGGTTGCGCGTGAGATGGTTAATAATTGATCGTATTCGTAGGTTGTTGATGGATTTGGGGTCCAGGGGAAGAGCAGCAGGAGGTGTGGCAGATAAGAGTTTTGTGTCGCGTCGGAAGAGTCAGGAGAGAGGATTGTTGTGAACGTACCAGGGGGAATTAGAAGGTAGAGGGACAACGAGTGGAAACAAGATGGAAAAAGGGCTCCTCAGTGAAGGGGAGGGTAAGAAGCAGTAACAAGGGAAAGAACGAGTGGACGGGTTTGGGAGGGAGGAGGAGGGGAGGAAAGAGAAGAAGGAATAAGAAGTTTGGGGGAGCAGGAAAGGAGGCGCTGTGGGTGGAGATTTCCCGTTGCTGTTTTGGTTATTTTGGTTATTTGGTGTGTATTTGGGACGGTCGTCACTATAAATACTAAATTACAAGGGGGTCTTGACGGGGGCCGAGTACACACAGTACCGAATGCGGCCCTGCCTGGGAATAGCGTACCTGGCTGGTATTTAATAGTAAATCATGGTAAATTATGCTTATCCAACCGGAACCTCGCAAGTATCCTACGGTATCTGGCATGTACTAAAAAGCAGTCGTCAACTTGATTTCTGGTTTCAACCCAATTCCTGCTTTTTGGCTGCCCCCAGCACCGACACCCGGTTTAGTGCCTGTTTCCGTACCACTCAGTACATTCATCCAATAACCGATTCGCCCATGCGGCGCCCCTTTCTCCATTTTGTGTATTTTGTGTTTCCCCCAAGTGGAGCAAACTGGTATCATATTTTCATTAATCATTTCCTTCCACACGTGTTGGCTCCTGCTGATGTCTTTCCATGGCTCCTCCCCGTCGTTAGAAAATTTTCTGATTGGTCAAGGACCGGTCTAAGGATTATTTTTGGCTGCGAGCTAGAATGACTACTCGTCATTGATTTAGCCTCTGGTATCAATGCATAAGGATTCTAGAATTTGCTGTGCTCTGTTCTTTGTTCTCGGTGTTGGTCAGGCTTAAATGGAAGCTTCTGGCACTGTGTGACTTGGTAACAAGCAAATATAGTGAAGCTGTAGCATAGTTGCCAGGGCCTGCAGACACGTCGTTGCATACGATTGCTATGAGTTATGTAAAGTATGCATCAATAGCTTTGTACAACTCATACTCAACTGCTTTTCCCATACATAGAACCTAACCATGGTACGGCATACAATATGGATTTTGATTTGGTGAATCAGAGCCAATTATTCAGCGTTTTTGCTCTATCAAAACTCCACTGCCTTGGAATCGAACATACAATGGCCTTGTACTCGCAATACCTTCCCACAGCAGTAGTGAGTACAATCTCTGTGTATAATTGTATACATCACCGTACATTATTAGTGCACTTTCTGTATGCACATACACTACTGTCTGTACGGAGTTACGACGAGTCAAGTTACCCAAACGATTCATCAGCAACGGCCCTCCACGTATCTTTCACGGATCTATCAACCAGTTGTCGTCATCCATGGCCCCAACGTCGAGATGATTAAGACCATCCTATCATCTTGCATCTCAGTAACTATGCTGTTCATTACCCCTGATCACCACAATTCCCCTTAACAACACTAGCCTCGTGAGGTTGAATGATGAATCCACACTCGCGTCTTCAATAAAAAGCCGATCGGGAACCCGCTCTCTCCCTATATCACCCACTTGGCCCGGTCGCACCCCCCCGAAAGGGCTCAAAACAGGATCATTTCCCATCATCAACGAATTCAAGCCTTTTCACGGGACCCGCTCGCCCCCCTGCCGCTATCAGTATCGTGACTATCGTCGACCGGGCCCCGGTATGCCCGGCCTCTGATTGGCACGCTGGAATGATTCTCCCTAGATTTATGTACATTTTCGCGCGGTGTTTCCGTCATGCTATCGTTTCATGATTTATTTGAGGCGTAACGATATCCTCCTCCACAATTGAGCCACTACAGTCAGGTACAAGAGAATAGTGAACTGTGGTGATGTGGCGGACGTGGATGGGAGATAATACAGTATGGATAAGACCTCCTGATGATACATATCCCCTGAGCAACGACCACGACACTAGCTACGTGCTAGTTTGTTCGCTGCACGGGGGATCAGAACGATAGTGTGAGGTGGCAAAGTGCGATCGTCGAGATGCGCTTTATACATACTGTAGTAGTAATACTTGATGCGAACACTTGTTTTGGACTGCTTGGAAGCTGCCCGGATGGAAGGATTATTATTATGGCTGGCTTGGCCCCCCGATAATAACAGACAGTGACGGTGCCGACCGAATTATGAATCATACGTTGTATGTGACTCTCCAATCCTTGCAACTATTTAAATTGAGCTCAGAGCTCAGATCCGCCGGGCGCTCCTGTCACTTGAATAATTGCGACGATCGTTCGTCTAGAGCTTCGAAGGCGCTGATCCGTATCCCGTTCATTACGTTTCCTCTGGTATAATTTCATCCGGTCGGGGCTGAAAGAGTTTACAATGACATTAGCCATTCTGCGACCGATGAATATTGTTTCTTACCACGGATCTCTCCTATAAAATGCTGATTTATCATCCTTGTGCTTTGACTGCTTCTCTTCCTTCCTTACACAGTAGGTATGAATCAATTGGCCATGTTCAACTCGGCTGGAGTCTGTGGTAACATCGCGCATTTCCAAAATTACAGTGGAAAAACGAAATAATTCTGTAATTCTGTACGTAACGGTAAACTTGTTTCAGATCAACTGGGCGGAGCCCGACTTGCTCCGCTTTGGCTGGTCTCCGGCCTGGCGCATCAACTCCACTCTGTCAGTCCACAATAACTCCACCGGTCGCTAGTGCAGCTTGGAAGAGCCGTCGAGGATACTGTATATAAGATCTATGGAGGCAATTACCACCGATTGCCTTGGAATTCTTAATCATTGTGCGAACCAGCACAAGAAGTACGTGTCCCTCCAAAACGGCCATACCGAGATAACTGCTCCAGAACTTTGGCCACCAAGCTATGTACTACCCTCCTCGGTCGCCGGCCTGCCCTGTTGCTTTGAACGCCACAAATATGGGTCAATATGGGTACCGCGCGGCCTGCAAAAGCCAAGTTCCAGTCTAGCCCAGGCGAGCTCTGAAGCTCGTTTACACAATGCAGTACTTACTGTACTCGTTTACAGTCAAATCCTGTAGAAGAGTTGTAAACCTGTGATCACTAGCCACCGCATGGCATTTGACTAACATTCCAAACAATCTCTCGGTTGGGGCCGTTCGATTTTCGTCGCTAGGAATGCCCGAGCAGCTGGTTCATGACAACTTGACTAGCTATGGAATCGGGAACGTATGTAATTGAGTAAACAAGGGAGAGGGGAGGCTGGTAGCATTCTTGGGGGCACGAGACCACTTCCAGACTTAGGACTCCTCTTGATTTTGTATTTTTGTAGGCATGGGAATTGGAGAGTTGCTTGTATGAGAGATTTTCATGTTGTTTGCTATGGGGAACTGAACGGGTTTGGAATAGCGGATAACCTCCTGATCGAGAATCTAATTAATTAAGCTCGAGAACGAAAGTTAATGCGAAGCTTTGTCCATTGAGTCAATCATTGTGCAAGTAGTCCTCCGCCCTTCAAGGCTTGTGCCAAGTCGCACGAGCAAAGACTAAAAGACTCTTGTCTTGCATACCTCATTCTATGGTTCGAATGCGAACTCGGTGGATGCACAACGTCTCTATCAGGATCGAGTATCTATGTACCCAGCCCTCAGTTCAATTCGATTCAATTCCCCAGTCACGAATATGATACCTCCTTCTAACTGGCGGATCAACAAAGACCATGCCTTGGAAAGTTGGAAGATTCACTTTCTACCCCACTCGGCGATGATTTTTTTTTCTCGGGGAACTTGGTCAGTGCCGGGCGAGCTGTTGATTTGGCGTAGGCCGATGACGCAAGCTCGTCTAGCGTCGGCGGGTTTGGGATTTTGTCGTATGTACGTACATGCGCACTAGACTGGCTTGATTGTAGTAATACATATTGAGATGGAAATGGTTCGGACGAGTTGGTTACAGACTGCTGCTCTCTTTGTTCTCAAGTTTAATCGGAAGTACAGTAGTGGGCAGAGTGTTCGGTTCTAGCGCTAGGTTTTGTGGGTTACCGTGGATCCGATTGTATCTCGCGTTACTTGGGGCAGAACCTTGGTTCAATGAGATAGCGGAGTAGATATGGGCCAATCGCGATAAATACCGTGAATGGATATTGGTTGGATCAGGTTGAATCGTAACCAGATGAAAGAAGATGGTGGTCTTGGGACACTGTTCCTGGATCTTATAGTGAATGGTGTTGGCTCAACTCAGTGACTTGGCCAGTTACTTTGGACAGCAATTTTGTTGAGTAATCGATAGGGTTTGTATAGGAGGTTCTGATGTTCTGTTTACAGTATTGCCCATGTGGGATCAAGGTTTCTGCTAGATTTCTCACGGTGGGTGTGATATCCGCCACTGAAGCATGTTCTCCCATCAAGCGATCGCACGTAATTCATTCAGGTTTAGCTGGCTATATTTCTAGTCTATTATTTGAACTGGTGCAATCATATGGCCAGATTGCTAGTGGTTGAGTTCATCGAAGCTGGTCATACGTAGCCAATATCACTTGAAGCATCCAGAACCTTGAAGATACTGGGAATTGGCTGACCGGAGTTGAGTCTTCCCCTAACGTTGGCTCCCAATCGGGGATCAAATTGCCAAAAGAGTATGAAGGCACTTCTTTGATGCCCAGACTATTCATGGCCTTCCGAACGTCCACTCTTAGCGGTGCCGCGTCCGTTGAGTTTGTCTTTTCCTTTTTGAACATGTACTATGTCCGGCGTTCCTTCGAGAAATTCGTCGCTGTCTTCTTAATGCCAAAAACACGAAGTGTCCCAAATGTCTCCTTGACTGCACCTTGACTACAATGATCATGGCGTCAATTTGTAATTCCAGTCACACGTGTGAGGGCATGTGGTAACGGTGTTAAAACAATTCAACATAACTATGACAAGGAATTTAAGAGAATTTCCTCTCGAATTGGTTTGAAGTTGCAGCGGGGTGCCGGATCATAATCGGTCACTGAGTCAGTATGTCGTGGTTTATCATCTGCATCTGGGCATCAGGAGCAGCAGTGGATTGCGCAGACGAATTTATGACCTATAATCCAGATCTTCATTCAATGTAGAGATGTTCGGGACTCACTTGATAGGCTATCAATGTAAGGACTCCTTGACCTGTTCAACTTTAATGCTATGTATTTCCCTTGATAATTCATATGTGACAGGAATAGAGAAACCATGATGATTGAAAATCTCTAAACGAGCATGCTACAAATACCCCAATTGATTGAGCGGAATCCCGCTCGCATAGGAGTCAAGTCGTCAACATCTTCAAAGTCACAAAAGCTACCTATACCCGACCTGGTCAAACTCAAATAGCATGTGCCTTCAAATAAACAAGGCTCCTTGATTTCGGCAATGATAGATGACTGCATTAAATCAAAGTCATTCAAAGCCTCGGCATCTGTAAAGAGGGGGCTCTTCATCTCGCTTAATAGACCCCCGGCCGGTTCCCCAGATATAACAGGATATCTGCAGTAATTCTCGTAAAACTGAGAATAGTCCAGGGACTCTTCGGATACTCCGGCATGGCTGAGCGTCGGTAAAACATCGGCAACCTTGTTTATTCGTATCCATCCGCCCTGTGGGCTTCTGTGGTTATGCTAATTTGCTACGTGCGGGGAACCATCATCCAGGAAGTCCCGCGCATACACTAGATCGGACTAGAACCCTTATTTGAGAAGCTCGAGGAGCTGATCCCTCGGGTATCCCCCAGTGATCCCTCTCGAGTTACGCCTTAGATTAGATTAGATGATGAGACTATGCCGAAGTTGCCTGACGTTGCAATCTGTGATGCGGGGGAACCTGAAGTGGAGATAATCTGCAGAGAGTCCGCTGCAGTACCTACCTATAAAGGCATGAGGTCGCGTGCCTATGTTATGGGGGTTTGGAAATCAGGGTCCTTTTCTGGCATTTCCTATCACTTTCTGCCCTTGCGTCCGCATCCCTGGTCTTGATCCTACAACGCGACCGCTTTGATTACTGATCTTTTGAACATTTCTGCTTCCTCCTCTTCTCTTGGACCATTCCAGCCTTCAAAAATGAGTTCTATTGGGCAGCTTTGTGGGCTCCTAGGCCTGGCCGCTCTCGCCACTGCCTCCTACAGCAACAGACCCGACTACGCCAGGCGCTTCCCCTACGCTGCGCCATACGACCAGTCCTTTCTTGGCGGCTACTCTATCCTAAAACATGTCGGAGGCCTGGGACCCTACAGCAACCGCATGTCCTACGGTATCGGCCGAGATCCGCCCGATGGCTGCGTCGTCGATCAAGTCATCATGATCAAGCGCCATGGTGAGCGGTACCCCCAGGGCAGCGACGGGGTGAAGATAGAGGCTGCCCTTGATAAGCTCTACAGCTCTAAGATCACGGAGTGGAAAGGTGATCTCACTTTCTTGAACTCGTGGGAGTATTATGTGGATAGTGAAGGTCTCTACGGATTGGAGACTGATACTGGTCCCTATAATGGGTTGTTGACGACGTACAAGCACGGCGCTGAATATCGTGTGCGGTATGGTCATTTGTGGGATCAGAATTCTAATAAAACTGTTCCAATGTGGACGGCTGAATTCGAGCGGGTTGTGCAGACAGCTCGTAAATTTGGTATGTGAAGAGTCCCTGTACTTGGAAGGGTAACCTTTCTAATTTATTTCTTGCTCAAACCAGGCGAGGGCTTCTTCGGGTGGAACTATACCGACTCTGTCGCTTTGAATGTCATTTCTGAGAGTGCGGACATGGGCGCTAATAGCCTCACGCCCGTGTGTCCGGATGACCATCTCACTCAAACATGCAAGAGCCTCAGTCAGGACTTACCTGCTTTCCGCGTTGCTGCCGATCGCCTGAATAGACAGAATCCGGGGCTTGATCTCAATTCGACAGATATCTACCAGTTAATGTGTATGCCATGAGGACGACCCTGCTGATAATTCGCTTTGCTAAAACTGGTCTTTTACAGTCATGTCTGTCTTTGAGCTCAATGTTCGCGGGTACTCTGACTGGACAGATGCTTTCACCATGGATGAGTGGAAATGGTTTGGGTATACGCAAGATCTACTATTCTATCACTGTGCTGGGTAAGTACCACGAGTTCAGCTTCTGTGTCTGATTGAAAGCTAAAGTCTGACTTGTTGTCCAAAGCCCCGGTAGTCAGTTTGCCAAAGCCGTGGGGGCTGTATACGCCAACGCATCATTGAAATTGTTAACTCAAGGGCCTGAGAAAGCGGGTACTATGTTTTTCAACTTGTGAGTAGAAAAAATTCCATATATCTCGATGAGTTCACGGTAGTGATACTATGGCAGTGCCCACGACACCAACATCACACCCATCCTGGCAGCACTTGGTATCTCATCACCTGCTGAGGATCTCCCTGTCGACAAAATTCCTTTCCCATCCACATACGAGATCGGGGATATCATGCCGATGGGTGGACATCTAACACTCGAAAGAATGAGCTGCAATGCTACAGTAGCTACCGAGAAGGGGGTCTACGTACGCGTTGTACTAAACGAGGCAGTGGTTCCATTTACTTCCTGCCAGGAAGGACCCGGCTTCTCATGCTCGCTGGCTAACTACACTGCCATGATGAACCAGATCCTTCCTGATTTTGTTTCGGAGTGCAAGATCAACAGCACTTTGCCGCAGCATCTTTCTTTTTGGTGGGACTATAATACGACGTCTACGTACAATCACCAGACTGCGAGGTATATCCCGTTCCAGGGGTCTACTTTTGTATAAAGTGAAATCGAGAGGTCTAGAGTGAGAATATGATATCGTCAAGACAAGTATTGTTCATATCACGAGTTCATAGGTAGCCATGTAGGGCTTTGTCACGATCCTCTACGAGTAAAAAAAGGGCAACAAGAAGTCCAGGATGAAGGATCACCGATTCGGGCCCAGTTTCACTAAACCTGTCCCGCTGTAGTGGCAGATGAAGCAGCATATTGGAGACCTCCTGTGCCGCCCAGTCGCGCTCTCCGACCAGACGGTTCAGGAGCTTATTCACTGCAGACTGTAGAGGATGACCGGATGAGAGATTGGCAAGGAGTGTTTGCATAAGCTGTCGATAGGATTGCGTGCCCTCCTCTGGCTTGGAGGCGTACTTTGCGATATACTCCAGGAGGGATTTGCGCCCGGTACAGAGGTGGTGTCGGTATTCGCGAGCCAGGCCATGCTATTGAACGGGTTGTACGCATTGAGATTTGGGTGATTGCGGGTGTGATAGAACCGGTAATACGACGGCTTCTCGAGCGTGGGCTGCGTCTGCATAGACCTCTCTCCCCGCCATCAAGTGTTTTCAGCACCGAGCAACCGACAGTCCTCGACATCCTCATCCTCTCCACGTCGCATCAATGCAGTTCCTAACCCCGAAGATACTGGATTTCCTGCCATCGAAAGCTCAGCCAGCTTGTCAATCATTCGTTCCGTGGCTTGGTGGGCACAGAGTGCCTGGTTATCACAGTTAGCAATATCCTGGGGTCGCTGATGGTTATGCTCTGCTATATGCGCCCGGGGCTTGTGGAGAGTCTTGTGTGAGTGAGCGTTCCGCAGCATTGCATAAGGCGTTCGTAAGTCATTTCGCCCAAGATGCTCTCTGTATACGCAAAATGACCAGATCTTGTGGTTATCACCGTGCACGATGATTATCGTCTTCGAATCGACGAAGCTCCGAATTCCGCTTTTCGAATCATGGCCATTCGGTGTGAGACCTTCCTTTTTTCCTTCTGCGTTGACTGTACTGGCAGAGACACACAATAGATCTTTTCGGTGAGGGATTCGTAGCGGTAGTCGAAATCCGAAATTGGGGTTCTTTTTGCATTGGTCGTTGCTCCAAGGCCCATGGACCACGCCTTCACAGGTACTCACAGCCGCATGATGCAGCCATGTCTACCACTATACACCACCGGAAGCTCAGTCGTGGCCAGAAACTATCATTCACAAGGCCCCTGGGTGAGTCTCGTTTGGGCAAAACTTCCACAAGTGTCGTTGTATGCATTATGGCGGTGGAGCCTGGCCTCAAGGAAGGATCTGAGTCACAAACAATGACATTCCCATATTGGCACCAAAGACGGTGACAGTTTTGCGCAAGGTCTGAAATCTGAAAGCGCGAATAGCATAACGATTATTCGCCGCCGGTGTGGCGAACAAGACTGACACCCGCAGCGGGAAAGGTTTTTTCGGAAGCATTTGCGGAAGAGTTCTCTCTCCAGATCCATGAAGTATTGGTGGATGGTTGAAGGAGCAAGCAAAAGTTGTGGTTCCCTGTATCCCTCCGCTTCGAACCATTCTCTCAAGTATACAAGTCGAATTTGCATGATGCCCATGAAAGGAACATGGTATATAGTGAGATGCCAAGTTTTTGAATCTTCTTCGCAACACGCTTTGCATCAAGGGTCCCGTGTTCAGACGGTTGCGGGTTGAGTTTCCCCTCATTCGACTGTCGGTCTCTCTGGTGCAAAGAGGTTCGAAGAGGACGGCTTGATGGCAGCCTTGCTGTAACCCGTGAGGCAATCCAGTAACAGAGCCACATAGGGGAGATTTGTGGAGGTGCTATGTACCAAGCAAGCCTTTGGCCAGAAGAGGTTGCCCGAACCATCGCCAAGTCAATCAGCACGACAACCGACTTAAAGTTTAAGTACACCGAGCACTGGGAAACACAGTACGGTGTCTTCAGAGCGACATCTGCAGGGTCCATGGTAACACGCAGCCAACGGAGAAGAAGGGATGGTAAAAGCCGTCTTGACCCTTCTGAAGCCAGACATGTCAGTATGAGGTGAGTTGGCCTCACACAGTAGCAGGATACGTGAGACATACCTTGCTAGAGCGGTACTCGTAGATTTGTTGGCCCAGTTCCGAGTGTATAAATATATAAATTGGTCAAATATGAAATGAGTCTGGTGAGTCCGCATGCAGAAGTATCCGCGAAGCACGGTTGTCGACATTCTCAGCTTCATAGCCTCAGGTACCCATGAGATCTCCAAGCGATCGTTTGAAGAACTTGGATCCGAGAAACGCGTCAGGAAAACCACGGAGGATTTGTAGGAAGGGACCCAGGTAGGAGCGAGTCGAATCTCGAGACTCAGCGGAAGCAAGTCATCCTGGCTGTGAGAGAAACTAGCAAAGACCATATGAGTTTGATGAGAGAAAGAGAAAGAGCCCTTGCAATGATGTGAGATATCCAGCAACTGCGACAGCGAGCGCAAGCACGAAATTTCATGCTCGCCTCTGTAGCCGAAGAGTGAGGAAGCGATGGTGCCCGCACTCTTCTCCTGGCATCGACATTGATCATTCGAGACAACTGAGGCAAAGGGCAAGAACAAGATCATCTCCTCTGGACCTGAGGAGGACAGAAGATACATTTCAGGGCCAAATCAGTCAAACAAGAGATGTCCTTCCCCCAATCGTCATCTTTGCGCCCATACCCACGGTGATTCAAACCTCAGAATCTGACCAAGCTTCTTGAGAGAAGAGTATAGCTCTGCTGCTTTCGCATTGTGGTGGTACTGAGATCGTATGTGCATAAACAATATAGAGTGGAGTGGTGATAAATAGTTTGGGTGTCCAAGGGAAGAAGCTGAAGAGAGAGTTAGAGAAGAACGAGGAAGAAAAGGGACAGGTAGAGAACTTATATAGCTGAGGAAGATGGCAGACGCTTAGCTCACAGGGATGGCTAGGTAGGTAGTACGTGATTGCCAGGGATACATGCCAGTTTCCGGTTCATACCGGCTAAGCCATTGTATAAGTATATTGTCCCTATTGAAAGGTCATAGTCCATATTGTTAGTAGACGCATGCGTATGGAAATTCCCATTGTATCTATCCGAGCTAGATGCTACAGGCTCTGCGACAGTATTTGTACGTCTTGTTTTCTCTTCCAGCCTATTTCACCATCAAAAAATTGTACATTAAACGAGTAGAGAATGAGATGCATCGTGCTGTTGTGTTCTCTCGATGCCAAGCCTGGCATACTCAGGGCCCGCAAACCCACTCCTCGGAGTCCGCAGAGCCGCCAAGGGGAGTTACTCCGCATCCAGGCCACTGGACATGATTACAAACCCTCCATAAACATTCCCGACCCCAGGATACCAAACTGCACAAAGCTCTACCATCCCAAGACTAACCATGTCTCTACGACGCTCTGCCCGACTAGGCACCCTCCCAACAGTCCAACCCCTCCTCCCAACTCAAGCCCCAAAAGTCCCTCGAGTCCAACACAGCGGAGTCGCAAAGCAACCACGCAAAACCACCAAGACCAAAAAGCCAGTCCCAGAGAAGACAACAACCAATTCAACATCTTCCTACTGGTCCCCGGAACCCTCCGAAGTCGAAAACCACCCTCCTACTAACAACAGACCCCTCACACCACCCCCCTCAACCGCCCCGTCGATCCACACCGAACAAACGCAACCCTCCTCACACCCCACGGCTCCAAAGTAAACGCATACCCGATCAACCTACAAGATGCCTCGCCCTCAAAGACAGGTCTGCCCCGACCAACCGCTACAACGGGAACACTTCTCGAAAAGGCCATTGCGCATCTGATCGCGGCGGATCCGCGTCTTCAACCCGTTATCGAACAGCATCCGTGTCCGTTATTCTCGCCCGCGGGCCTCGCAGAGCAAATCGATCCGTTCAATAGTCTTGTTAGCAGTATTATCGGACAACAAGTGTCTGGTGCGGCGGCTAAGTCTATTCGGAATAAGTTTTTGACCTTGTTCAAGTTGACGAATGGCGCTGGTGCTGGCGAGGGGTCGCATTCGAAGTTCCCGACGCCTGAGGAGGTTGCGAAGTGTGATATTCCGACGCTGCGGACGGCGGGTCTGTCTCAACGGAAGGCGGAGTATATACAGGGGTTGGCGGAGAAGTTCGCCAATGGAGAGTTGAGTGCGCAGATGTTGGCGAGGGCGAGTGATGAGGAGTTGGTGGAGAAACTTACTGCTGTGAGGGGGTTGGGGAGGTGGTCTGTTGAGATGTTCGCTTGTTTTGCGCTTAAGCGGATTGATGTTTTTTCGACGGGGGATTTGGGTGTACAGTAAGTGTTTCCCATCTAGAGTGTTGCTGGGCATGCTGCTCTATGTCCGGTGATGCGAGGGTTTGATATGGGGCTGACATACTATTAATAGGCGAGGATGTGCAACCTTTGTTGGTCGTGATGTAACTAAATTGAAGGGTAAAGGGGGCGGTAAGTTCAAGTATATGTCGGAAAAGGATATGTTAGAGTTGGCCGCCAAGTTTGCGCCGTACAGGTATGTTTGGTTTTGATCCGATTTCCTTGTTGAACTATTTTGGCTGACTGTGGATGTGCAGGAGTCTTTTCATGTGGTATATGTGGCGGATTGAAGATGTTGATATTGCTGTTCTCACTGGATGAACGAGTGTATATCAACAACTTATACCTACCGACTCATCATGAGAGGTGACCGGGTGGGAAATAGTTAATAGGGATTGAAATGTATCTATGGGAAATACAAACTACGACTGTGGTGAAAATGTCGAGGCGACATTGGTGGTGTATACATGGATCCATTCTCAGTTCGAGGGAACAGATGCCGTACTGAGGTACAGTGCTGCAGTAGTGCCAGTACAATCCCTCAGAAGCACTCGTAGCACACGTCTTGCAAAATAACCAAGTCGTACTTGAGTAGACAATATCAGATATCAAGTGGAACAAAGAAGAATCGATTTGTACAGTATCAGTACACACGCATTGGATTAACCATACACCCCCATCAATGGCGGATGCGTATCCATCGCCAAAGAAAACCCGACGTCTATTTCATGCAGACAGCCCTTTCACCATGAAAATTTGATTTGTTTTGCGCGTAGTCAATTACAAGTCACTGCCCGGAAGCATTTACTTGCGGACAACGAGGTTGTCGAGCTCCGCACGCTCCTTGACCTCCTTCTCGATCTCGCGGATAATAGGGCTAAGGTACTCGACGTCCTAGAAAGTTCATATGATCAGTGTTATGTTGCTTGGACGGTGTATATATGTGTTCATCGTCGAGGGTCCAAAGTGACAAATCCTGGCAACGGGATTGGCTGATACGGGATGATTGCGGGGAGAGTGATTTTGGGAGAAGGGAACTCACCTCCTCGGGCTTGGTCTGCTCATTAGGGGGGAGGAGAGTGTGAGAGATAGAGCACTGCAATTGAGACGAATGTTAGCGGTTTGATGGCCGGAAACTGGGAAGGGAGAGGAAGGCGGGTCGGTCGAACCTGGACAGCACGGCGGAGACGGAAGACACGGTCGTAGGCCTCCTTGGAAGACAGACGCTTGATCGCCTTCTGGACGGTCTCGGACTCCTCGGGGATCAAATCATCGAACCTATAGTGACCCGGTTAGTGACTGTAGTCGGACGGGTATGAACGAGGAGAATTCCGGGGTGACCGCGGCGGGCGATTGCGACAGGACGCCAATGGCAATGGTGGGAGTAGACAATGCCTTGGAATCGCACACAAAGCAGGCACACTGGCAGTCGTTGATCCCTCGCGGTGGACAGGAATTGGCGGCATCGAGGGGAGGGCGATAATTACTTCAGTCCGAGGCGTCTGTAGCCGGCGGCGTCGGTGTACCACTGGGCGATGGGGGTCATCCAGCGCTTGAGCCATGGGCGCTTGACAATGTAGTTGGCGATCGAAGGAGCAGACATTTTGAATCCCGGGTGTCCGATTGACAAGAGGAAGTTCTGGTCGGGGGGGGGAGAGGAAAGGGCGGTCCGGCTGAACACGAGATGACCCGATGTTGCGAGGTTGTGCAAAACGGAGCTTGCGGCGCTAGTCTTAAACCGGCATATTGATGCCTTGCCGCCTTACTGCCTGTGGCTGAACATCTCCTCACCAACACCACGTGATGGTTCCGAAGCCTGCCTCAGGCCGTGGGAGGGAATCATAATCGCCGACTCCACCTCGCACCACTCCCGATAATTCCCCATGTCATAATCGAACCTCATTTCCCACCCGTCTTCCTCCTTCCAAAGCCTTCCTTTGGATATTCTGGAATATGTGGCTTGGTGCTCTTGGAGGCGCCATTTGATCCCTGTACGTAACAGGGGAGCTTTGCTCGTCCGGAAAACGACCCCCACTCCGTCCGCAGTCCGTGCTGCACAGATAGGACCTTCTCCATCGCATTCAACTCAGACTGGTTCGGCAACAATCGGCTCTGAGAAAAGACCCCTCGCTCCAACCTCTCTTTACTCAGTTACCTTTCTCCTATATTTCTTTCGCCTCAATACTCTGATCCGACGCTTCACTTTCCTCTTTTCCAGGATTTGAATTCGGGTTCTTGGGTTGCGGATCGACCACACGATATGCTCGGGTCCCGGAGCCCTCGGTGAACAAGACGGAAGACAAGCGTGAGCGCCTGCCAACCCAACAATGCGCTCCAACGGCACCGGCAGCAATGGAGCTGCCAGTGCTACCGCCGAGCAGCCTCAAGGCTTTCATCTAGACGCTGCCCCGTCCATTTCCCACATGCCCGTCGCCGATGCGCCGAATTCCGATTTCACCACTCGTCTACAGATTCTCTCGACCAAGATACCCAGCTGGTACATCGCTCCATTTTGTGGAGCGAGTGCAGGTGTTGCCTCTGGAATTGTGACCTGCCCACTCGATGTCATCAAGACCAAGCTACAGGCTCAGGGTGGCTTTGCCCGGCGGGGAGGACAAGCCGTGGAGACCAAGACACTGTACCGGGGGATGCTAGGTACAGGTAAAACGATCTTTCGTGAGGATGGTATTCGTGGACTGTATCAGGGACTTGGTCCTATGTTGCTAGGCTATCTTCCTACTTGGGCGGTTTATCTAGCGGTGTATGACCGCTCCCGCGAATATTTCTATGAACATACCGGTTCGTGATATCTTGAGCTTTATGAAGTGATGGGATTCTTGCTAACTATTACAACAGACAGCTGGTTGCTATCCCGCGCTTATGCCTCGATCGCTGCCGGAGCCTGCTCAACGATTGCCACCAACCCCATCTGGGTCATCAAGACGAGACTCATGTCGCAAAGCCTCAAGCAAAATAGCGAAGGCTTCCGAGCCCCGTGGCAATACTCTAGCACATGGGATGCCGCCCGCAAGATGTACCAGATTGAGGGCATTCGTTCTTTCTACTCCGGCCTCACCCCAGCTCTTTTGGGATTGACCCATGTTGCCATTCAATTCCCTCTCTACGAATATTTGAAGATGGCAATCACTGGTTACGGGATCGGAGAACATCCTGACACTGGCAGCTCTCACTGGCTGGGCATTTCCCTTGCCACATTCCTAAGCAAGATCTGTGCGAGCACCGTCACCTATCCCCACGAGGTCCTACGGACACGACTACAAACACAGCAGCGCACAGCACCTGCGCCATCACCCGAAGAGATCGCCTTCCGAGGCGGTCTGAAACATCCCCATGACCGCGGTCGGCCACCCAGTGTCTCCTCATCAGACGGAATGCCCAATCGTCCCCGTTACAATGGAGTCATCCGCACATGCCAGACCATTCTCCGGGAAGAAGGCTGGCGTGCATTCTACTCCGGAATTGGCACCAACCTGTTCCGGGCCGTCCCGTCCGCCATGACGACTATGCTTACCTACGAGTACCTTCGCAAGCTGATTCACGATTATCAGCATGAAGGCCATTTGAAGCTCAAGCAAGCAGAAGCTCAGGCCGAGGGTGAACCGATATGATTTGACGACCACGAAACCCGTCACAATTTTTCTAGACAGATACCCCCCAGACTCTTCCTTACTCAACACTCATACCCACTCTCGCACTTGGACATCCATGGTGCCTCTCCATCTCCGCCCCATTCAAACACCCTTTCTTGTTTCTCACCGGCTTGTATAGACCTGGACGCATGCTGCAATGCTGCAATGCATCTAGTTGGTGGCTTTCTTCAGCGAATGGGCTTCGTTTTCCCCATAGCATTTTCCATTTTCCAAAAATCTTTCCTCTTTTTTTGGTCTTTGTCTTTGGTCTGAGGGTTTCTCAGCACTCATTAGATGGCAGTCAGTCTTTCCTCTTCCTTTGGAAGGCCTTTGCATGTGAAGTCTCTGCAGCGGATACCTCGAATCACATGCCAGCGATATTTGCGTACTTTTGTTCAAACCTGAATCAAGACGTACACTATGATAATCTCTGTAAATGTTCAGCGTGTCTTTTTTTTTGAACCTCATTTTCTTTCATCGAGCATGGTTGTCGCATGTCCTTGTCTTTTTGTACATACATCATCCGATCACGCTGCTTTTGTTCTTTTATTTTCTCTGTATGAATCTATGCTTGGTGGACAAGTAACTCTCTTCTCTTGATCTTGCGTTTGAATTCTCGAGGTCAAGGCTCCGATCATGGAGTTAGTTCAGAAGAGGCCATAGACCACCGGATTTGCATAGGATTAGGGGAGCTGTACACCTTTAGTCCCTAAGGTGCATAAAGGTCGATAATTCTGAAAAATCTTCCTGGGCTTAATTCATACTCTGAGAAGAACTAATCATTGAAAATTCCATTTTTTTCCTTCCGTACTCTCGTTTTTTGAACTGCTCATCTACTGTATATGATAGTCAGACCCGCCATGCTCTCGACTCTCGCCTCCGCGCCCCACAACAACACAGGTTCCAATCACGTGACCTGTGCCTCATCCACAATTTTCTTCGCTCGACTTTTTCTCTTCTCCTTCTTACATCCCCCATCACCTCAACGCAACGCGAGATCCTTAATGTTTGGATTCCGATTATGTGTTGTTGATGTTGACATTATACGCAACCATCATACTATGCTGTGCTTATTCTTCGAATGAGGAAGCAGAGAAACCCAGCTACTAACTAACCAACCACTCCTTACACCACCGGCCATTGGCTTTGAATACCCTATGTTCACCAGTTCTTACATACCCCATTGCCTATGTCTCCGCTGTGGCTTATGTTTTCAAACACTCCTTCCATCTCATTATCTATATGATGATCTTTTCTTTGATTGAACCAGGTTGTTAATACACTTGAACTCCTGGGTATGATCCTTCATACACTGAAAATTCTGATTGATGATGAAATTGAAGCTCTTCTTTTCTTGATACCCCTACGTCTTTGTTATAGTTGAAGTTGGTTGCTGCTTTTGACTGAGAGTGTCCATGCTCTTTCAGAGAGGGAGACTTTACTCTTCCTCTTTTCCAATTCATTGGCTATTGATATTAAACACAATTGAATTCAATGCCAGCATACACAAAGCAAAACTCTATAATGTACAAATCCCCCTTGAAACCGTCTTGCCAGCGTAATCTTTTCATACCAAAGACCCCCCCCCTAACTTAACCTCATTTCCCTGCCTTACTTTCTTCAAGCGCCTCCTGAATCCACGATGAATCTTTCTTTTCCCGTTGAGATACCCGCTGTTGTGCGCTAGGTACGACCGGTGAATCTTGGGCTTCGCGTCTGGCTGTTCGGATGGAACTGAAGCAGTAGGTGCATAGCAGGACGGCCATGGTGAACGCTGCGATTGGTGCGTTGATGGACTGGAAAGAATTAGCTGAATAAAGTAATATCTTAATGCAGGCGCATAGAGTAGAAGGTGGAGATATTTAGTCCAATGTGATGTGGTGTGTGTGGTCTTGAGCATGGCTTGTGTTGGGAGAAGAGTGGACGTACCCCAGCAGATCGACCTAGTGTGTTTTGAGGGGCCATCTTGAATCAAGGACTTGGCTGGAAGAACTAGAAATTGAATTAGTATTTAGCATGAATGTCCCACGATAGATAGCTCTTCGTTCAGGGCAGAGGTGATAGGAAGTCAGAAACCTACTTGTGTTAAATGTCCGTGGACCTTGGGTTGGCCGTACCAAGATTTTGGCCAGGGCTGCCAGCACCGACCTTGACCTCAGGCTGACCTAATCTGATCGTGAAAAAGAAGCTTTGACATAGGAGCCTCCTACAGGTCCTGCCTATGACTTGAAGTGTAGCCAAACGTCAGAAAGAGGAAGAGGAAATGATGCCAAGACTTGATGGCCTGATCCCGTCCGTAATCTGGGGGTTTGTCATCAAGTCGACTAGGTTAAGTTCCAGACCGTCAAGAGAACAATAAGTAGAGAAAAGCTTCCCCAATCTTTCATAAGAGTAAGCACATGATGGATGGAATTGAATGTGACGGTTGAAGTTTCTTTCGACCTCATTCTCATGATTCTACTAGCTTTCGAGTGCCCGCCGAGGAACGTTCTCTAATTACGGCATAAGCTTGTCAGCAATCAGCATAGAGCAGTCGATCAAGCGGGGTATTCATAGCCCCGGTCTGACATTGAATAAGCTTATCGTGACCCTCAACACCACGACATGAGGGTCCGTTTTGTGAGAGGTGGCTAATTGCATAGGTGATCTGTTGTTACAAGGGCAATATCTCTCATTCCAAGCTCATTGTCACAGCTTTCTGGGAGTACGTGCCCTACCCCGCGACCGGCATACGTCTATGTGACCTATACAAACTCCTCTAACCTCGAGTATATTCACCAATCAATTCCCCACACAGCCGGTCATTTGATCGGCCCCCGGACAAAATGCCCCGACAAAACGATCTCGGGGGTTGCTTGATTGAATTTGCCGAATACGTATACTATCTCCGAACTCTCTCGGAACGGAGATGTGGAAGCACGGAGGATACTAGATATGAGCGATGAGCTATTGTTCGGCCTATTATTTAGATGGTAGTACATCTTGATCAGGTCCATATGAGATTTATTAATATGAAATCATAGGCCCCGTTGAAATGCTTATCACTTCCATGAACGTAATATCCATAGTTTCATATCATCGGCATTTAATTGGCCCACGATCGTTCTTCGGGAAACGTCTTGTTGAGTCGGCGGAGACGTTCGCGGATATCCTCTATAGCCCCGGTGAAGGTCACCACCATAGCTTTGTAGACAGCAAGATCACAGATTCCAGCGAATTAATAGCATTAGAGAATGCTATTAAATATCAGCGAGGTAACTCTCATTTATCAATCTGTAACCTCAAAGGTCTGGGCTTGTCGTAATGAATAAGCTCCGATACCCGCCGGTTGATCCGAGGTCGCAACCGGGATTACGTAAGAATCAGATTATTTAGCAATGCATTCATCACCTCCCTCGTTTTCCCATATCAGATCTGCTTTTCGCCATCCACCACACTTTCACCGTCTCCCATCAACCATCACCACAACACTCAAAAACCATCATCAAATCATACACATACCAACCACAACCTCAAATCCATCACCATCACAATGTTCAAGCGTCTCGTCACCGTCGCCCCCCGCGTCGGCGTTGCGGCGCCCCGTGCCTTCGCTCCCCTCGCAGGCCTGCAGTCCGTCCAGCCTACTATCCAGCGTCAGACCCCCGCCCCGACCCAGCGGAGGAGCTACCACGAGAAGGTCTTGGATCACTACAACAACCCCCGCAATGTCGGATCCATGAAGAAGGGTGACCAGGACGTTGGTACCGGTCTCGTTGGAGCCCCCGCTTGTGGCGATGTCATGAAGCTCCAGATTCGTGTGAACAAGGAATCAGGTCGCATCGATGACGTTGTCTTTAAGACTTTCGGGTGTGGTAGCGCTATTGCTTCGTCGTCTTATCTGACTGAGCTCGTCCGCGGTATGACCCTGGAGGAGGCGGGTAAGGTTAAGAATACCGATGTGGCGAAGGAGCTTTGCTTGCCTCCTGTTAAGTGTATGTGGATGCCCCAACCCTTGTGTTTCGTGTTGCTAACTGTGTTGTTTCAGTGCACTGCTCCATGCTCGCTGAGGACGCCATCAAGTCCGCCATCTCCGACTACTACACCAAGAACCCCAAGGCCCGATCCACCGATCTCTCCGGGACGGGCGCCTCCATGGCTGACATCCCTACCGCCGGCAGCCCTGCCGCTTCCCTGTAAAGCGGAGCGGAGCGGACATGTCTGTCGAACAATACATTCTTTTTACAACCACATCCCATTCCCCTTCGAGAATATTGTCACCCAGCACAATCGTTTGATCGAGGATATTCCCGTTAGTAGTGTGCACTTGCACATGCATACTCCCCATTCCGAAATGCAGAGCAGGCAAAAGGTCAGGATGGAGACTTAGTGAGTTAGTTGGTTTTGATCATCGGACGACCGGACGGACAGACTTATACCCAAGAGAGCTGAAGCCTGGTCCTGGTCTGGTCTTGTCATGGATGATTTTTTCAAACAAATTGGTATATTTGTTTGCTGTACAGAATTTCCCTTTTTTCATGTTCTGCGGTTCTTTCATGGCTTTTTCAGATCACCTTTTATATTTTTTAGTTTTTTCTGTGGCGGCTTGGTACCTGGGATCCTCGATCGATATTCTCTATTCTGAAAAGCGTGGGCCGTGATAGTTTCTAATGAAACGATGATATCAGGATTTCTTTTGATTCTTGTAAATTGTAGCTGTATCTTGTGAGGCTATTCGCTTGTAAGAGCAGGTAGTTCTGGAATAATCGTTGAAAAAGATGTAATCGTCTATATCTTTTGAGTGTCTATGAACAAATGTATCTATACAAATAGTCCGTTACTCGTAGTCCATGAAAGACCAACGACATATCAGGACAGGACAGTAGACCGAACAGAACAAAATCAAGAGAGGCGATCCTTGAACGAGAAACATCTCGACAAGAACCGAAGAAACGGAATAACGCCATCGCTGATGCACAGATAGACCGGCCAAGACAATCCGTGCCCGTGAAACAAAAAAGGGAAACCAGGGAATACATATTTACATCAACAATTCTCTCCACATTATCCACAACACGACACCACAGACTAAGTCTAAAAGCCAGTCTGCAGTCCAAAGCGACTCTTCAACGATAACACAGTCTCATAGACAGATAGTCTCACTTCGACGCGGAGGAAGCCAGCCCACGCGGACAGGAACTGGAAGAAGTTCATGAAGACACCGCCCGATTCACGGATGGATTCCATTTGTTCTTCAAAGACGGTGCGGGTGGCGTATCGCGCTAGGATGAGGAATGTGCGCATGGGGCCTTGGCGGGTGTGGAGGTTTTCGTCGAGACTGCGGGCTGAAAGGGAGGGAAAGGGTTGTTAGTACATACAGTAATTTCAGGGTATATGTCGTATCACGATTGAAAGGGGGAGGCATACTCAAATCATTCGTTTTCAAAATCAACAAAATAATACGCGGTACCTGGCCGAGCAACACGACAAGCTGCTGCAACATGCCCTCGCCCAGAGCACTCGTGACCTCCTTCTTTTCCTCAGCCGTCCGCGCAGAAGCAACGTTCTTCTTCGTCAACACGCTATAATCACGACCGGTAATAGCGCTAGCAAAGAGTGGGAACTGCTCGTCTGTGACACCGGCCACCTTGTAGGCATACTCGCGCATCCGGGGTACATCGGCGTCAATCACAGCAAGCCACAGCTTGGCGTAGTTGCGGCGCAGATCGCGGTCGATGTTGCGGTATAGACCGTGGTCGTACAGGATGATGTCGAAGTTGGGATGGCTGCGGGTAGGGTTGGGACGAATGGCGATGTTGCCGCCATGAGGGTCGCAGTGTAGCGGGGCTTCGTCGCCGAAGATCATTTCGTTGAAGATGTGGGCGAATGCGGCGGAGACTTCGTCGCGGTCGATGTTGTTGGCGTCGAGGAAGGCGAGGTCGTCGGGGCGGCGGCCGGCGATGAATTCCATGACGAGAATGCGCTTTTGCGACCACATCACTAAATAGTGGTTAGTATTGGTAATTCAAGTCCGTGGAATCAATGACTGTGTTTACCTTCGGGAATAACCAATGGCGCGTCAGAGTGCTTCTTGAAATACTCGCTGGCAGCGGTAGCATTCTGAGCCTCCATACGGAAATCCAATTCAACAGGCAGAGACAAATCCATCTCTCGCGACAACCACTCAAGGTCATATTCCGGGAAGAAGCGCTTGAGCATCGAGAACGTAAACCGAGTCAACGAAAGATCCAGCGGCACCCACTCCGCAAGAGCAGGATGCTGCACCTTGACAGCAACTTTCTGACCAGTCTCTTTCAGCGTGGCGATATGAACTTGAGCAAGAGAGGCTGCACCTATAGGCGTGGGCTCGAACGAACTGAATAGCTCGTCGATTGTCTGGCCAGTGTCGGTAACGAACATCTGTTCGATTGACTCGATAGATGAGACGGGGCATTTGTCCTGAAGCGGGATGAAAGTCGAGGTCCATTCGATAGGGAGGAGGTAGCCCATGCTGCTAAGATGCTGGCCAAGCTTGATGAAGATTGACCCGTTCTTCTCCAATACGCGCAGGGTGCGCTCTGCACAGCGCTTGTGGCATGCGCGGATTAGAGCGTCGTAGTCTTCGGGGGATGCGACGGCGGCTTGATTGAGGGTAACGCGGTAGCTAACAGGTGAAATCGAATTAGTATATCTTCGTTCCTTGGCCATATGCGCAGTGTATGTTTCCAGTCCACTTACTCATTGATACAAACGGCTAGAGTACCAACCACACGCCCACTTCTCTGCGCCGCACCATAAATATGCTGGACATTATCTGAGAACGCAAATGCTCCAGCACCAAGCAGACCCAGTATCACCAAATATTTGGCATAATTCCTCAGCGCGGGGCTTGACTTGACCTCCGCGGCATTACTCTTCAAACTCGAAGCCTCTGCGGAAAGCAGCGACGAAGTCCTACTGGCAAAAGACCGTTTCGCAGTCGCCGAGATCGAGTTTGTGCAATTCTGTGGAGGACCCCATGACTTCACAGTATTTGCGCACGTTACTGGCGACGTGTGCAGAGCAGATTTCGAGTGTGTATGGAACGATGCGCCGGCGGGAATGGAAATCGAAGTCGAAATCGAGGGTTTGAACGATTGTCCGATAACCGTGGCGGGATTGGCGCAGGCCCGCAGCGGTACGCGAAGCGCAGCGCTCATTCCAGCGATTGCAATCCTAAAGCGACAGAAATATGGCGCAAATTCTAGGGACAGGTGTGTATAGTCTGTGCTTCACTCCATCGTTAGGGAACGGACTTGGGAGAGTCGATGTGTTGATCCAGGAGATTTTTTTGAAGCGGCCTCGCCACCAATCGGCTGTTGCTTGCCCGGTCTCGGGCCGCATGGGATGCACGTGATCCCGAGATGTATACAATCGACGTCATCGCCACGAGATTCAGGAACACAACCCGGGCATCTGGGTGGCGATGGCAGAAAAAATGTGTTGATGTGAAAATTTATATCTGGAGTTCTATGTTCAGAAGAATAGACCATGTGTATAACAGCGAGTAATTATGTGTCATTGAAAAGTTTATGTAGGCTCTTATGTGCAGCAGCCAGTGCTTCAACATAGGCAGCGGAAAAGGAAACTGTTTAAACAAAAGAAAAAGAAAATTATCCCTTTAACCCAGTCCCCATCTTTTTTTCTCGACGCCGCCTGGTTTTCACCAACAAACAAACAAAACAAAACAAAATCACAAAGAGTGCAAAACTTGCTTGACTAAGTTCAGTTCGCACACCCAGGATGTTCATGTCCACTCGGAATCAGCAATGGTAGGACGTCGACGACGGGGAATGATAGAGGCTCGCCGACTGAGCGAATTTGGGGCTTTATCATCATCCTGGAGGAGTTCAACCTGTGAGAGGCGGTTGGAAATGCCTCGAGGCATTCGAGGTCGAGCAGCCGCAGCGCTGCCATTAAGGGCAGAGCCTAGAGAGGAGGTACTGCCATCACGGCTACCCGGCCGGAGAGCGAGAGAGGAGCCGCTGAGGGCATTTCGGGGGTGACGGGGTGTTTCACGGCCTTCGAGGAAGGCACGGGATTGACTGGAACGATTGGCGGAGGGAGTGGAAGGTGTAGAGCCGGCGAAAGGGTTGGGGCTGGAGGTGGAGGTACTCTTGCGGCGGCTAGTAGGTCTGCGCATGAGACCGAGGGAATTATTGCCCCGTTCGCTAGATTGGACTAGTTTTCCTGCCATGTCTCGCACCAGGATGGCGGGATCGTGTTCGAGTTCCCGAATCGCATCCAGCAGGCCATACGTAGCAAGTAAGCCGCCCTGTTGCTCGCTGGAATCACAGATGCTGGAGATAATACGTAGGAGGTTGAGTCGGATGGCGGCTTTGTTGTGGTGAAGCTTCTGTCCCAGTCTGGTGAACAGGTCGGCCCGAGCCAGAGTTGATGCTACGGGGGGACTCAATCGTAAAAGCTTTTGCAGGGGCTCAAGCAGATTTTCAAAAGCATTGGCCTTGGAAAGCGTCAAGCATCGCACGATAGCATCCGTGAAAGACATCTTGTCATGTCGGTTTTCCAAAAGGTGCTCTTCGACCTTGGCAGTTTCTTCTTGAAGCCTGTAAACCGTTAGTTTGAAATATAGAGCCACAATTATATCTTTCCAAAACCTACCAAGTGAAAATCGCATCCAAAGCTGTAACCTGCCAGTACGGATCCGCAAGTAGAGAGATATAGAATGCGAGACCCTTGTTGCGCCACAACTCTCGGCGACCGACCTTACCCGACTGGGCCATGTCGCAGAGAATGGGTAGAGCAAACTCTTTCAAGGGCCGTTCCGTCTTGACAATCTTCTGGAGCAAGGGTACGATGCCATTGAGCGCGGCATCCTCCTGTCGGGTCTTGTTGAGACGGCACATGTTGTAAATGGTGTTGAGGATTTGGTTCGAGACTTCGCGGAAGTGGCTACGCTTCATGGTAGACTGGAGGAGTTCAGTGAGCACATCGATAGCGTTGGAATTCTGAAGCGAGTCCAAGGTGGTCGACAGCATGGAGAGATTCTTGATGAATTTCAACATCGTGACCTGGTGGACAGGCGACATTCGTCGAAGTTCTTTGAGGACCCCTATCAAACATTGTTAGTACATCTCCTGAATCTCGGGTGGACACTCAAATCTCTTACGGTGCAGAACAGTTCGCTCTGCCACCATCTCCTTCACATGATTCTCGGCCTGCGAGAAAATGAAGAAGATGTTGGCGATGCGACCTTCAATGACCTCAGCCAGCTCTCCTTCCTCGTCCAAGACTCGACTCAAAACGAGGGAAAGAGGATCTAGTACGGAATTGCGGGACAAAATCCTGCAAAAGTCGTTCTTCGGCGTGGAGCCCTAAAAAACGGCCGTCAGTGCCAATGTATCAATAACTCCGTCCGATCGAGAGCCACTTACTTGTAGTTCAAAGACACTCCAGATACCGTTCACTCCAATCAACACCAGGTCACGCTCATCTTCATAGTCATCCTCCAAAAACTCAACCAAGACATTGAGACCACCGGCACTGACAAACATTTGAAGCGTGAGAGTGGATGTCTGGTACATTTGCTGCACAAAGGCGGCAGCTTCCAGACGAATCTCGCGGGGATATTTCTTCGATGCAAACTCATTGACAATAGGGATGCCGCCGACGAAGCATAGGTTCTCTTGAATCTCGTAGTCATTGTAGATGATCGCGTTGACCACTCTCAGCAGACAAAAGACGATGTCCCGGCGGCGTGAGGTGTCGAGAATCTCTAGAATAGGGAGCATGCCATGAGCGCTGATGATGATGTTCTTTGTCTCTGGAAGATCACAAAATATCGTGAGAAGCTGTTCGGAGATCTCCGCTAGAACATCCTCGTCCTGAGATGTCTTAAGAGATCCCACCAGCCCTTCGACTTGATTCCGGAGACGGGCATACTTGTCGCGAGCAATGTTGGCTTCCAGATCCATTTCGTCAAAGCCTTCCTCCAATTGCGCGAAAGGGTCGTCGTCATCGTCCTGATCACCGAGCCAGGAATTGTTAGACAACTTGGAGTTCAGCATGAGGGTACTTTGATCGGAGCCATCGTCACTCTCCGGTTTATCCAGAGCCACTTGATCGGCTCCAAGGATGTCAGAGAAATCCTCATCACTCTCATTCTCTGCAAATTTCTGGATCTCGATAGTGGAGCGATCACGCTTCACAGAGAGCTGTTTCCGCAACTGTGGATGATGACCAGTCAACTCATCGTCAAAATGCCAATCTTTGTCATGAGTTGGAGAGGCGGGGTCATCGTCGAATTCCTGAAATATTGGTCAGTAAAGTTGACAGTCAATAGTTTTTGTTGAATGTGCAGTAGCATACCTGGAACACCCCTAACTTTCGATCTAGGACATCCTCGTTGGCCATGATGAGGTCCGTGTAATCCTCGACGGAGTTTTCCTTGTACAGAGCGGCTGGACGAGGTCGTCTCACCGGGGGTGCAGGGGTTTGAGTCAGGATAGGACCATTTTGCAAGGCTGACGCCTGTTGCACCTTACTCGGTTGGCGCCTTGTCGAGCTGCGAGACTTGGACGGCTCCGCTGATGGTGTCTTGGCTGGGTATGGGCGGATTGTCTGGAGGGGATCATTCTCCGCTTGAATGGACCCGCGGGAGTTCTCTTCAAATTCCTCAAAGCTGTCCTCTGATCTAAGCATAGTTCCGTCAAGGGACGCAAACGCTTTGAGCTTCTCAGAGGAAAGCTTCCCACCGAAGTTGTCATGAGGCCTCAAATGAGGCAGCTGCAGAGCACTTGGGGAGATAGCGGTGACAAAGTCATCGTCCCAATTATCATCCTCATTAGAGGATGGAGATCGGAAACGATCGGCGGTCTTGATGGATGTTGGGGATGGCAGCGTATCCACAAGGGAGCTGCTACGGGCAGCAGGCAATGGCCCGGCATTTGGGTCGAATTTGTTCGACTTTCTCGAAGTACCAGCACCGGGAGATCGCAAAGCTTCGTTCCATTCCTGCACACTCTTGACGGCTTCTTCATACTCTGTGGACTTCTTCGGGACGACCGAATCAGTCCGGCGAGCATTGACAATCCACGGGTGCTTGAGGAGCTTCCTCGCGGATACTCGAAGATTGGGGTCCTTCTGGAAGCATTGCATCAAGAAGTCTTTCACAGCCTATGTGCACTTTTAGTAAGATGAGCAACGGTTTCCCCTGAGTGTTTACATACCGGCGAGGCGCCTTGGGGAAGAGGAGGGTGATCATCATTGACAATCCGGAACAGAGCAGGCATGGGCTGAAGGTTGTGATACGGAGGCTTGCCCTCAAGCAGCTCAATCACAGTACATCCCAAGCTCCAAATATCTGATGCCGTCGTTGCTCCCGATAGCTCGATGACCTCCGGGGCCATCCAGTATGGAGTTCCGACCACGCTTGACTCGCTCAACCCCGTAGTCCGGCTGGCCACACCGAAATCAGCTAGTTTGACAAGGCCCTCTTTTGTGGTTAAAATATTGGCACCCTTAATATCCCGATGGATAACACCTTGTTCGTGCAGATACAACAGTCCATGAAGGACCTGGGACATGTACAGACCGACCAAGTTCTCGGGAAACCGGCCAAAGTTCTTCGCGATAGAGTGCAACGAGCCATTCTCACAGTATCTGTAATTCCAAGTTAGCGGTCCTGTGTCATAAGCCATGTTCGTTACCATTCAGGTACATACTCTAGGATAATGTTTAAGGTTTCCACGGATTTGACAAATCCATGGTACTTGACAATGTTCGGATGCTGTTGTTTGGGTCAGCGGATGTTCCTTGCGAGGCGCGCGGGATGTCTTACATCGAGGTTTTTGAGCAGATCAATTTCCAACTAAGACAACTCGTATTAGCAGTGAGACCCGTATGAGAGATTGAAGGGCTTCAGTACCATGATCACACGCAATTCAGTCTTGGGAAGGTCCGTCAACTTGATTTGCTTCACCGCAACAGTCTCCCCGGTGTTCCAGTTCAATGCTCGATAGACCGATCCGAAGGCGCCTTTCCCCAGGCAATCACCCAATTGCTATCGAAGAGAAACACATTTGTTAGCGATTCCTCCAATATGCGGGCACGCGACGAGAGGCGACATCCGGGGCCAAACATACGTAGTCCTTGAGCTCCGCCACATCCATGGCCGACGACTTCAGCACTTTATTATCTTCCTTCGGTTTCTCGTCTCGCTTGGTCGGGCTGGTGCTGATTCGGGCCAATCGCGGTTTCATGGGTGTGCCGGGCGTCCTGGAGGGGGTGAGGGGGCGCTGCCCCTCACTGGTTTCGCTGGAGCGGGAAACCATCACAGCAGGTCGTCAAAACGAGCTGAAGTCCCAGTATGATGTTGATCCGAGTGCCGGTCTCAGAATGCGGTCTCAGGTGGACGGGGGTGGGGTGGAAGCTAAAAGCTAGGGAAGAAGGCAGGAGCCAAGGGCAATAGTCTCAAAGATCATGTCCGCCAGGTCTAAATAGTCGAGATTGTTAGTCAATCTCAAAGCGATCGGATTGCAAACGACCCGAGGGGCCTGGCATGCGAGGCTGCTGGTCGTATGCGAGTGTTGGGGGAAGGAGGGATCGCGGGTCTCACCAAGCGAGCATTACAGGAGGGACTTCGCTGCCATTCCCCAGCGAGCGGATGTTGACGAACAGACAATGCGCATTCGAGGAGGACAGGTGATTTTGGGATTCTCCGGTGCAACTAGACCAGACCAACGTATATCGGACCAGGGACTGGTGTGAAGAGCGTTGGGGGTGCAAATGGTGGTTGTTTTGAACTTTCCCTTCTCCACACACAGCCCGCCGCATGATGCTGCGGCTGTGCTGAACGCCGCCGATCAGCCCTACAGCCCCTGCTTACGGGATTGAATCGTCAACAGCCCTTGACCCCTCCCTGGCTATTGGGATTGTGCGAAGAGAAACAATCATGAAGAGAATTATATACGACTATGAGGTCCTAGGTTTAACCAAATAGTCATTCCTCTAATGCAGGTTTGTTTTCATGCCCAAGCCCCACTTCAGGTAGAACGATAGCCGATGCTCAAATCACAAAGACTGAATGTTCAAATTACGCGTGTGTTAGATCGATAAATATATAATTATGAAATCTTTTGAAGCAAAACGAGTGATAAAGTAGAACAGGCTAATAGGCCATAGGATTGTTTTTTTCAAGCCACTTCAATGGCCCACTCGATCACAATCGAAACTCCACTCGCCCCATTCCAGCGATCGAGGGCACAGTATAGTCAGGGCTTGTTCCGTGGAAATGGTTGCTTTCAACCGTAGAAAAATCAATCCACAAAATGCCATCCAAATGTTATATCGACTGCACAGGAGAAAAGCCCTGGACTTGCCCCGTCGAGGTTCTCATGCTTCAGTATAGGTGGGCAGTTTCCATAGTCACATGGCCGGTTCTCAATTCAGGTTCGATTGACCCAGCACGGGTTGATTCCGAGGCTAGGATAACCAATCCGATCAGGCGTTGTGCAGATATGTCACTACCGGCTCGAAGGTATAACGGGATCTCGGCACATCGAAGGAGGGGTTTCAGGGTCGCCAGAGCGCGGGGTTAGAGCATCTTCGCGGGTCTGGTCAAATACCAAAAGAGCATGCGCGCGGTACCGTGGGAGGCTGAAATGCAAAACGGCCTTGTAGTAAGATAATGGGGTCGGGATCAAGCATGATTCGAACTTGTACTGTCATCCTATTCAGGTCAGTTCTCTGGTTAGTGTAGCAGCTGCTTGCTGAACGAGAGATGAATTGATCTTTTCCAAAGGCATTATCGGGCAATCGTATAGGCGATCCGTGAATCAAGTAAGCCATCAAATTCAGGCATAACAACTTAGTATTTTCACAGCCAATGTGTCATGGTAGCAGAGCTGGAAGAGAGTCTGTCTGTTGATTGGGGAGTGGGCTAGCGGAGAGATGCCAGCAACCCCTTCAGGTCAGTGTCACGTGAGCCGTTTCCCAGCCGCCAGGTTTCTAGCCTCAGGCAGATTCCCCGTCCTTTTGACTTTGGCCAGGAAATCCCGAACTCTCCCAATCTCCTCTTCCGATCGGACTCCATTCCCCCATCCCCACTACTACGTCGATTGCCCGGGGTCGCGTCTAATCATTTATCTGTCTTTTCTCTCATTTTTTTCCCCATTCTTTTAATCTGTCCTTTTTTCCATTTTCAAAAATGGGTATTCCGTACGTGCCTGTCTCCTTTGTTTGGCTGCTTGTTTCTGTCGCATGCGCCACCTCGTCGCCGCGTTGACTAACATGATCTCAGGATGTGGCGCGAGCCTTCCGAGGCCGATACTCTCAAGTCTGCGCTGGAAAAAGACCACACAGCCGCAGCGAGATCCTCCATTCGCCGTACAAACGCGACCCGTCGCCCGTCGTCGCACACTACCTCCCGCGCGCGCCGGTTGATGTCCGCATTCCATTCCCAAGTTCTCGACGAGATTCAACGCGGTGTGGGTGAGCCTCAACTCGGTCTTCGCTCACCTGTGCTGAATCTGGGTGTCAGTGAGGACGGGTTAGATTTGGATACCAGTCGGCGCGAAGCGTTGAGTCGTGGTGCCACGCGTTCAGAATCGCAACGCATCATCGACCTCGTGGACGAACGCCACCGTCAACGCATGGGCGAGCACCTGGGCGAACGCTCCCGTCGCGAATTGTCGGAGTACCTGGCTGCTCGCGCTGGCGCTTCATCGCGCGATACCGTCCGTCCTCATTTGACACCAGGCTTTGCTCCGGCAGTGGCCTACCGCACTTCTACTTCTCCCCGTCCACCGACGGAGAGCGTGCAACTGCCTCCTTTTCCCCTTCCTTCCATGCGCCTTTCTGAGTCCCGCCCTCACAGCATTCCTCCCCGTACACTACAAGACTATCGTGCCGGCAACGTGCCAAGCCGGCCATCCCGTGATTTCACCATCGATGGTCTCGGAGATCGCCAGCGGAGTCCGAGTCCTGATGTGGAGCGCGAAAATGATGCATGGGAAACTTTGCTGTCTACTATCACTCCGGATGCGAACACACCTTCCAACGACACAACTTGGGCGTCAATGGTAGCGGCTCAGACTAGACGCTTTAATGAGTCCAGACGCGACTTAGCTTCGGCGATGCTTCCACCAGATAATTCGCGCGTCATGCATCTGATGCTTGATCCGTACCCGAGTACCCTTCATCCCTGTGACTTGTCTTCTTCCGATGAGGATGACGATGATACCCCTGTTAACTATCATCGCTACGTTGTCCCGCCCTCGGTGCGCCCCTCCCCGGGCGTGAATTCCACCATGAGCAGCCACCCTCCTATTCCTACAATCTCTTTCTCCTTCCCCGAACCGGGCGACCCAGATCTCCAACAGATGCAGGCCATTCTGGACCGACTGGCTCGTCGAGAGGATATTCCTGATGACTGGTGGGCCGGGGCTGGTCTCTCGCGCACCATTGGCCGTGGGCTGAATGCCAGTGCCGAGCGCAATGAAAATGAAGGCACCGAGTAAAATCGTCGGTGCTTTTCGAAACAACATACACTTTTAATGACGGCGTGTTTAGTTTTTTTTTTCAAATCTTTCGGCAATCGGGGCCATCTATGGGGCGTTTTCTTCAATGGGCTATTTCTGATCATCGGCGTTGAGAGGATAGTGGGATGTATGTTCCAGGTCATCTTGGCTTCATCTGAACACATTTATCCGAGGGTGTCCTTTTCTCTTTACATGACTCGTGGGGATGATTGTTCCATCAAGGCTGCACTGGTTTGCAGTCTGAACTTTGATTGTTTGACTGGGCAGGTCACTTAACTCGGACATGTTCATCTTTATGTATTCATATCTGATCAGAGCTTGATTTATCTCAAGTTATCTCATCTTTAATAAAAGTACATGCTTGCAATCGGAACTGTGGCAGGCGGATGATGTCATCTTCAGTATCAGATAAGCTTACTTCTAGCGCAAAATTATCCTGGAAGATAGATCTCCCAAGTTCAATCATATTTGTTGCTTGATATGCCCCTCGTAAGTGAATTTACCCTATCATCAGCATCGCAATTTGACCAATTTAACCCCGGTGGGCCCAGCGGCCTATTTTTTCCAATCCTTTGTGACGTATGAACAGCCTCGGAGCACAGCAGTCCCCACCGGAACTCACTCATGGAGGAACCCCGCCAAATCCGTTATCGCGCGCGCAATTCAGACCCATTTCCCCTCATAAACCAACCCCTACCCCTCGAGAATTGACCGCAACTGTTCCTCCTCGCTGTCTATACCCCCGCGCTATACCCGGCTCCCAATTGCGTTTGCTTTTGTTGAATTTGCTGTGAGGGCCGACACCGGAGAGCTTGTATTACCTCCGCACGCGACGACTTGCGTATCCCACAGTCTTTGCGTCTTTGCCGGTTGGCTTTTGCCCACGGTGTCTTGTATCGATACGCATATTGGAGCGGGGCCTGTTGTTGCTGGCTCGGAGGGCACGTCTGCCATTATGGATGAGCAGGTTGATCGTTTGGTCAAGAAGACCTGGGGTATGTGGATTGAAATGAACCTCCTCCTAATCAACACTCCCGCGCGCCCCTTGGGATTGACTGGCTGGTATCAAGCCAATGCCAACACAAAGACACATTCCTACCTTCTACCTTTCCTCATGAATCACCGGCTAACCATCTCATCTCCTCCCTCCAGCCAAATACTGTTCCACCCCCTCCAACGCCCGCCTCATGATAGCCGTAAGCGGCATCCCAGGCTCCGGCAAAACCGAACTAGCCAGCACAATGTCCCACCGCATCAACCAACTCCACGCCTCCGAAAACCCTTCCTCTTCCACCTCATGCAGAACTCCAATCGCCACATCCCTCCCCATGGACGGCTACCATCTAACCCGCGCCCAACTCTCCGCCCTCCCTAACCCAACACAAGCCTTCGCCCGCCGCGGCGCAGCATTCACCTTCGACCCTTACAAATTCCTCCATCTCGTCCGCGCCCTCCGCGAACCCCTCACACCCTCCACAAAACCCATCTACGCGCCCAGCTTTGACCATGCGGTTAAAGATCCCGTCGAGGATGATATTGCCATTGACCCAGGTGTAAGGGTGATTTTTTTCGAGGGCAATTATTTGAGTTTGAATAAGGAGCCTTGGGATGAGGTTGCGAGCTTGATGGATGAGTTGTGGTTTGTGGATGTTGATTTTGAGGTTGCGAGGAAGAGGTTGGTTAGGAGGCATGTTAAGGCGGGGATTGCGGGGGATGAGGTGCAGGCGGATATTAGGGCGAGGGAGAATGATTTGGTTAATGGGAGGGAGATTGTTGAGTTTAGGTTGCCGGTGCAGGAGGTTGTTTCTAGTATTCATGATCCGGCTTGGGAGAGGTTGTAAGGAAGGATAGTAAGGAAGTCTACCTTGGGTTGGAGGTGGATGGGTGATGGAGAGCATGTGCTAGCGTTATAGAATTTGATATTATGTTTTATCATTGCATATTCCTGCATTTTGTGCTGGGGGTATAGATTTAGAAAGTGAATTGGATCTTTTTGTCTTATCTATACATCGGATCTATATGTGTAGCAGTGTAGAGAGACTGGGTTGGCTGGATGGAGTCAAGTCTGATAGCGCAGGAATGGCGAGGAACAGCGAGAAGTTCGAAGGGACAATACTCATTCCAACGCTGCATGAATTTCACTACATAAACTGTCGCTACCTGCTTCTTACAAACTCGTCATACTACCACGATAGAGAAGCGTGTCTACCAAAGGCATATTCGTCCAAAATACATGCTTGACTTGGTAACGTAGTTCCGATAATATTACCTAGCATTCAACAAAACATCTAGCCCGATCCCAATGGAAAGGCCTCGCTGCAAGGTAGATCTTTCTCCGCTCTCTCGAATGGTCCATGACACACTGCCTATATCCATTGTAGAATATCCCAAGCGTGTAGTGGAGTTTCTTATCGATCTTTGCTATCAATTGCACCAAATCGTGACGCAGACCCATTTGATAAGATTTTCCAAGACCCTGGTCAGAACCTTCCAGCAGTCCATGGATGATGCAGTCTGACTATCTTTTGGATGGGTATAGATAGACTTCTGGCTTGGCTTTTACTAGCTCGCCGAGTCCATTTTTGGAGACGGAAGCCGATGATAGAGTTGAGCCACTAGCGGTCAGCCCTGCCTCACCCGCCATCGTAACTTTAGTCGATACTAACACTAGGCAATTACTGAAGTATTATGGGGGTGAAGAGGTGATATAGATTGTTGACTATTAACATAATATGCACTCACTGGTATCAATGACATTGATTCCTTCAGAAGGGTTCAGGGTCCCTGACGCTAGTCCTAATTTGGTGACGGACATGGGGTAAGATAATACTGGCGTATGCTCTATTACACAGTATTGTGATATCTGTAAAGTAGTATTAGTGAGTATGCTCCATATGATCGATACTTCACTTCCCGCCTTTTGTATTATTCATACCACCTCCATACAAGCAGCGCCACAGCGGAGCCATCCATCGCAGCTCACCCATTGGACACAAGCCCAACTGCAACGGGGGCCAAAACCCACACTTTTCCCCTTTCGACGGACCCTGTTTCTTTCCCACCCTGAAGGAGAACCGCTTCGAGATTCGACTCCATCTTTCCCTTCGTCACTCTTTGTCTTCTACTTTCAACTTTTGCGCACCCTCGTTTACGTCGCAAGTTCAGTCGCTCTTTAGCAATAAACCACGGTCCTTAACCTTCCAACTACTTATCACCACCACCAATCCCTTCAGATTCGCTGTGCGATCCTATCTCTGTCAATCCAACTCTCGTCAACCCTCTCAGTTTCACCATGTTCTTCAACAAGTCTATCCTCGCTGTGGCCTTTGTCGCCCTCGCCAACCTCGTCTCTGCTGGCCAGACTCCTGCCTGTCTCCTGTCGGTTATTGGGTGAGTAGTCCCTGGTCGATATCGGCGTGATTGCACAGTCAACCGTCCTAGCCCCTCGACTCACATTCCGATCGCGATCTGGAGAACGCTGACATTGACATTTTGATCCACTTAGTAACTCGGACAACCCCGCCGACCTGACTTCCCTGTGCGGTTCCGACATGAAGAAGATTGAATCTCAGATCGCGGACAAGTGCGGTGACAAGACCCAGTCGGCCCTGAAGTTCTACGCCAACACCTGTAACGCGGCTGGCCACCAAGTTGGTAAGGATATCATCACCTACCGCCGCCAACACGACGAAGATCCTTCATATACATACGTATAACAAGATCGTTGCTGGCGGCTTCCTTATGGGTATCAAAAAGTACTTTTAGCTGATCAATTCTCCACAGACATCTCCAGTGTCACTGCTAGCTCCTCGGGCTTCGTTACTGCCACCGCGACCTCTGGTTCGGCCACTGGTACCGGTGCTTTTGCTACCTCTACTGGTTCACGTACTAGCGGTGGTGCCTCCTCCTCTGCTTCTGGCAGCGCAGCTCCCACGGCCACCAAGAACGCTGCTGTCGGTCTCCAGTTCCAGGGCACTGCTCTTGCTGCTGCTGTCTTCGCCGGTGCCGCCGCGCTGTTGTAAGACAAATCTCAGACTTATCGCTTGAATCTTTGCAATGTGCTTTGGGATATATTGTTAGATATTTGGCTTCTCGATATGCCATGTTTTGATCGTTCGACACACGTGTCTTATCAATCGTCTTGTCCTTGGAGAAGCCGATTTGAACACTTTTCACATTGTTCGAATTGCGTTGCTGCACATGTTTTCCGCTTCTAGGCCCCACCGCCTGTCATTTTAGAAAGGCAAAATTGATTGCTATGGTGCTTCTTGATACATCCCTTGACCCCTTAATAATTGACTGCGCATGGAGGATGCATGGTTGCCTGGGCTGTCAGTAAGGGGAAACCAGTGACTCATGATAAACCTGTCAATAGACCGTTATAGACCAGGAGAAATGTCCACGTACATAGTACATCGTAACCCGAGTGACATCGGGTTGTCTGAGCCCGGAATGCGGGCGTCCGCCCGGTACCATCACTGCCGATACCATGCGGCTTCAACAATAGTGGACTCCCATCGCGTGTTCACGTGACGAGCGCGATCCAATTAATAATATTACTCAGCGCGGTAATCCAGCGGTAAGCAAAGGGAGCCGAATCAGGCCAAACGCGAAAATTCACGAGCAAAAACGCGTCTGCCCTGGCGACATCAAATATCCTCGCCCCTCCGCTACTCTTCTCTCTCCTTCCCATCCCACCTCTCTACACAACACTCCCTCCTCACTTATCCTCCCCTCCCATTCTATCATTCCCTTCAATCCTCACGTCTAATACATCCTCTATTCTCTTCTCAATTCTTTATACCCCTTTGCTCTAATCTATTCTCCCCACTCCTCCCTTCCTCACAATTCCCAAGATGTTCGTTTACAAGCGAGGTAAGCGTCTTCAATTCTGCAAGCCCACGTTTCGTGTCACTAGCCGCGGGGCAGACGCGTTGGACTGCAATCCTGCATGGTGGCAGGCCTTGCCACCGACGTCAAGATAAATACTAACGCGGTTTTCTCGTAGACGGACGCAAAGAACGCGTGCAGTTCGACAAGATCACCGCCCGTGTGTCGAGGCTTTGTTATGGCCTCGACCCGGATCACGTCGATGCTGCTGCCATCACGCAAAAGGTCATCTCTGGTGTGTACCAGGGTGTTAACACCATCGAGCTGGACAACTTGGTAAGTGACAATGCCGCCGCCACCACTATAACACGGGGTGAAAACTCGAGAACTTGTGGAAGAAGCTAACGATTTGCTCTTCAACAATAGGCTGCCGAGACTGCGGCGTACATGACCGTCACACACCCCGACTACGCCATCCTGGCCGCCCGTATCGCTGTTTCCAACCTCCACAAGCAGACCCGGAAGCAATTCTCCATGGTCATTGAGGACCTCTACAACTATGTCAACCCTAAGAACAACAAGCCCGCTCCTATGATCTCCACGGAGATTTACGAGATTGTGCAAAAGCACGCAGAGGAGCTTAACTCTGCTATCGTCTATGACCGTGATTTCAACTACAACTACTTCGGCTTCAAGACCCTGGAGCGCTCATATCTCCTCCGCATCAACGGCAGCATTGCCGAGCGTCCTCAGCACCTGCTGATGCGTGTTGCTGTGGGTATTCACGGTAATGATATTGAAAAGGCCATCGAGACCTACAACTTGATGTCTCAAAAGTATTTCACCCACGCTTCCCCTACTCTGTTCAACGCCGCCACCCCGCAGCCCCAGCTGGCCTCTTGCTTCCTGGTTGATATGAAGGAGGACAGCATTGAGGGTATCTATGACACTCTCAAGACTTGTGCCATGATCTCCAAGACTGCTGGTGGTATCGGTCTGAACGTCCACCGTATTCGTGCCACCAATTCCTACATTGCTGGAACCAACGGCTCCTCCAACGGTATCGTTCCCATGCTTCGGGTCTACAACAACACCGCCCGCTACGTTGACCAGGGTGGTAACAAGCGTCCCGGTGCTTTTGCCATCTACCTGGAGCCCTGGCACGCGGATGTCTTCGAGTTCCTTGATCTCCGCAAGAACCACGGTAAGGAGGAAGTCCGTGCCCGTGATCTGTTCTATGCCCTGTGGACTCCCGATCTCTTCATGAAGCGTGTCGAGGCCAACGGTGACTGGACCCTGTTCTGCCCTCACGAGGCCCCTGGTCTTGCCGATGTCTACGGTGATGAGTTTGACGCTCTGTATGAGCGCTACGAGAAGGAGGGCCGTGGCCGTAAGACCATCAAGGCTCAGAAGCTGTGGTATGCCATTCTCGAGGCTCAGACCGAGACTGGCAACCCCTTCATGTTGTACAAGGATGCTTGCAACAAGAAGAGCAACCAGAAGAACCTGGGTACCATCCGCAGCTCCAACCTGTGCACTGAGATTGTCGAGTACAGCGCCCCTGATGAGGTTGCCGTCTGCAACTTGGCTTCTCTTGCTCTCCCCACCTTCGTTGATGCTGCTCGTGGCGAGTATGACTTTGGCAAGCTGCACGAGGTTGTTCAGGTTCTGGTTCGCAACTTGAACAAGATTATCGACATCAACTACTACCCTGTCCCCGAGGCCAAGAAGTCCAACTTCCGTCACCGCCCCATTGCCCTCGGTGTCAATGGTCTGGCTGATGCTTTCCTCGCTCTGCGTCTGCCTTTCGACTCCCCCGAGGCCAAGCAGCTCAACATTCAGATCTTCGAGACCATCTACCACGGTGCTCTCACTGCTTCCGCTGAGATCGCTGCCAAGCTCGGCCCCTACGAGACCTACCCTGGCTCTCCCGTGTCCCAGGGTATCCTGCAGTACGACATGTGGGACCGCACTCCCACTGACCTCTGGGACTGGGCTTCTTTGAAGGCTCGCATTGCCGAGGTCGGTGTTCGCAACAGTCTGCTGGTGGCTCCCATGCCCACTGCCAGTACCTCCCAGATCCTGGGCTTCAACGAGTGCTTCGAGCCCTACACCTCCAACATCTACTCCCGCCGTGTCCTGGCTGGTGAGTTCCAGGTGGTCAACCCCTGGCTGCTGAAGGACCTGGTCGACCTCGGCCTGTGGTCCGACAACATGAAGAACCGCATCATCGCCGACGGCGGTTCCGTCCAGAACATCCCCAACATCCCCGCCGACATCAAGGCCTTGTACAAGACTGTCTGGGAAATCTCCCAGCGCTCCATCCTGCAGATGGCCGCCGACCGTGGTGCCTTCATCGACCAGTCTCAGTCTCTCAACATCCACATGAAGGAGCCCACCATGGGCAAGATCACCTCCATGCACTTTGCTGGCTGGAAGATGGGTCTCAAGACCGGCATGTACTACCTGCGTACCATGGCCGCCTCCGCTCCTATCCAGTTCACCGTCGACCAGGAGCAGCTCAAGGTCGAGGACACCAACGTTGCCCGCGCCAACGCTGCGTATAAGAAGCGTGCCGTTGGTGCTGCGGGTTCCGCCTACTCTGCTGTCCCTCGTTCCAGCAGTTCCGAGGACGCTATTCCGACCCCCAGCGCAGAGAGCCCTCGCACTCCTGCGCCTACTGCTCCTATTGTCGTCCCCATCGTTCAGTCCGAGGAGTCCACCGAGCCTGAGACTGAGGGTAAGTCTGAAGAGGATATCTTCTCGGACAAGGTTCTCCAGTGCAGCATTGAGAACAAGGAGGCTTGCGTTATGTGCCAGGGTTAAATTGGTGACTGATTAAAATGCTTCTGTCTTTTGTTTTTGGATTTCTTTACACGATTGTCATGTTTGATCCCCCTTTTTCATGTTTCTTTTCCTTTCCTCTCCCCCTTGTGTCTTTGACCTCCTGTTCGCACCGGTTTTGTGTGATTTATGTATCTATATCATGAGATTGATGCTGGTTTTTGTTTTAAGATTTCTTTTGTCTTCGTTGATTGTGGTGGTAAACATTGGGCGCGAAATTGATTTCGTTCTTCATTTAGTTGTTTCAATGATGTTTCATTAGAATTGGTTTCGACCTTGTCGTAGTGCCTGAATACTTATGCTCTGTAGATGTAGTCTTACCATTATCATCGATGAAGGTCAGAGGTAAGTTAGCCATGGCCGGTCGTTGTTCTTCTGATTCATTAAAAATACATATTGAAATGGATGTGGAATGCCCATCAATACTAAATTGACTTAAGTAGTTTGTGGTTTTCCTGAGCCTTTAAAGTAGAATGCAAGATATATCCTCGGGCCATCCATACCTAGCACTGTAGCAAGCACACCGTCACCCCCAGGCATGGCTTTGTCTCTGGCTTATACGTTATTTTCTATCTCGTCGATCTACCTGCGAGGAGGGTAGAGACGTTCGGTACCTAGGAGTATGAAACTACGTAGTATTTTTTCCAAGGTTGGGATTCAAAGGCCCTCAACATGACCAGGTAGAAGGAACGATGGCCTAAATCTGGCGCATTGTCAATTTCGGATATCTAGTTAAGCTGTAATTGCTCTTGTTTCTAGTTTAATTAATCAAAGTATTACTTCCTGAGGTATACTGGAATAGGTTGGGACGAATAGGCATGAGACTGGGTAGGTGTCTTCGTGTTCTTGTTAACGCTTGACCCGAGGATGGAGTCGAGTTAAGACATCGCACTCGTTGACGATTGATACTAGCCGGTGGATATTTCATTCTATGATATTGTGTGCCTAGGTAGCGGATGAATGATATCTTAAAACCACGATTTTGGACTTGCTTGGGACATGGGTGATCAATATCTGAACTTTTATACTCGGGCCTTTGTCTCTTACAACTAGGTATACTATTCAACGATTTACATCAATTAAAGAAAAACTGCAAGTATCAAGGAACATACTATTTACCATAACCAAGTCTTAAATTCCATTCTAAATCTCTTGATTGAGTCCATTATACGGAGTACGATCCAACCCAATATCATCCACACCCATCTCCGACCACCATCCATCTCAAACCCCCCTAACCTCCAGTCACCAAACCAACAACCACTCACCACCCCCCAAAGACATTCATTCCTTCCAATCCTTACCAATTATTTGCCTCCCCTCCCTACACAACCAGTCTACCCACCCTCTTCTTCCACTCAACGAACCCCGCCCCCCTCCCTCGCCGCACACCCGAACAAAAGGACTCCACCCTTCCAATTCCGGCGATGACACACCAGCACAAAAAACTCTACTATCTACAAGAACGGTTCTAATGGGGCCATTTCTTCTAGAACTCAACTTTATTTGATGGACTCCACGCCACATTACGACGGGGATCCAGGTTTTGGCGCGGCTTTGTGAAGGAGGGGGTGGATGGACGACTCCATCCGTATGATGCCGACCCCCGAGTGATGGATGGCTCTTTCTTCTTCTGAGATGGACTTGCCACATGGAGATATTCTTCCATCTGGTTCTCTCTTTTCTTTGGGATTTCCTTTTGCGGCGCGGTGGGAGAGTGAGTAAAGGTTCGGGATACTCTTTTTGTGAGGGTGTTCTATGGGTGAGTATCCTATGGGTGAGATGAGTGGTTTTTGTGGTTTGCGTGTCGTGGAGGCTGAGTTCTTTGTCAGAGGCGAGAGGCCAGAGGCGAAATCGGAGTTTTTTTTGTGACTCGGGATAGGATGCGGGTGTTGGAGTTGGTGTTGGAGGTGATGGGAGTGTAGGTGGGGTTGGTGATGAATGAAGCATTCATTGTTCCTGTATACTCTACTGGGAGTATGTAGTTCTTAGTGTGGAGCTTAGTGTGTTTGAGAATTGTCGGAGACAATGGCACTACAGTATAGAGTACTTTATGTAGTTAGTACTTGAAACGAACGGCGGGGAATGTGGCCTGCCACGCGAGCATTCCTCATCGCGAGTACATCCCAGGAGATCGATGCGCTCTCACATTCTGACAGGCGTCTCGCCCGATATCAAGAATGAGGGGGAATAATCTCCATCGAGTGAGAGAATCACTTGGCACATTCTTGTGCCGATGACGCCGTTCTCTCGAATACAGATGCCTACCTTGACCACCACCACCATATTTGCCCCCTCACGACGCTTCTCCTCACAACCTTACGTCTCTCAGCATCAAGCACTTCCCCGACTCCCACCACAGCCGAAATACAGTTCCCTCCTTTGATTGCCGACCGTTGAACCCGTGGTTGTCCGGTCTCCTTCTGGGGTGATCGTCCGGTGGAGCGGAGCGACCACGACTGGACAGTGGATAAGAAAAAAATGCCAGAAAAGAAGAGCCCAACCAGATATCCGGATGGACCCGTTCCAAGCGTGAAGCTGGGGCAATCAAAGTCATTGGCGTAGGCTGTTTTACAGTAGTAGGGTCAAGGGTCACCCTGGTTGAACCTTTTCGTCTGGTCGGGTCTAGAATGTGGTCTGTTGGAGATCGGGATGGGTTCTATCTGGCTGTCACCGATCTGGGATAGGACGAGACTGAGAGAGGGGAAAACCCCGCGGAGACGTGATTTGAATCGAGTCAATTGACTGTCTTGAGCGACGTCAAATGGTTGGCGACCACGATAGACTGCAGATATGTCCTTGTTTGATATTACTGCCTGCTTCAAGGGCACTGGCAGAGACTGCATACCCGACCGGGAACGAACGGTGCGCATATGTACAGTAGTAATAATGTACGGCGCCCTCCGTACCTGTGCTAGCCGTTTCATCAAAGACGATCGCCACCAGTCAAACAACGACCCGACTGGCTCTTGGTCTTAAGCCCCACTGCACCAAAATCGGCTCGGTGAAAGCGAGATTCGACCAGGCCTCGGGTGGGCCAGCGGGCCCAGAACGTTGGCAGGAGGAGGACCCCTCCATTTCACGTCACTGGGAAGATGCGACTCGTTACAGAGTTACCAGTAGTACAGTAGGGCAGCGCTGGATACAGCGCAGATGTAATCCGCACCCCCCAAAACTCCACCATGACCTGTCAGCCCATCGTATCTGTGGCCTGTGTCATCTAGGCTCAGGCTTAGGCTTATACATAATTCACCAGGCCTCCCTATGTACCCAGTGAGATGCCCGCTGCGGTGTAAAATATCAATTTGTTGCATGGGCGCTGCCAATCGAATAAACTGGCTTGGACCCGCCTAACGCAGACTGGGAGGACTGCAGCGTAGGACGTGTCAAAGCAAGGCCCACGGTTTGCAAGGCGACCGATTGAAATTGGACGTGGCATAGGTATAGGGCATAGGGCCAGGCATCATTGGAATAATGACGCCGAGCGGCGAAGAAGCGCAAAGAAAATCCAGCGCTCAGAAATTTTCTGCTCTGTTCTCTGTGATCTCATATCTTCCTCCGGAAATGGTAAGTTCCAAGAAGTTCGGGGAGAATTGAGATTTGCCTTTCGCCTTCTCGGTGGAGCGGAATAGGCTTTGGCACTGCTGCGGCCTGCCAGGTCCCGCGTTTCTGGGCTCTCGGTCGATTCCCAGGGCCTGTTGCGGGCTTGCCAGGGGCAGGCCGGATAGCGGCGAGCGGACGTGTCTGGATGTGTTTGGATTGGGTAGGGGGTGTATGTTAGTACAGTACTCCGTACTCCGTACACCCCCCGAGACCCCGACTTAGGGCCGATTATGGGGTAAATTCATTGGCTGAGGCCACATCGGCTGAGGGAGCCGCCAGGCCCAAGTCTGCCTAACGCCCGTCGAGACGAGTCGCGCTGAGTGGCACACGCCCCTGCGCCAGCGCAAGATGGCGCAAATTAGTCGTTCCAATCAGTGGGGGGAATGGCGCTTTCCGAGGGGGTCCGAAGTTCAGGTACCAGACAGGCTGACAGGGACGGAAGGTGATTCGGAGCTGGATCTGTACTGGTTCCTGGAGGTTCCTAGATTCGGTGTTGGAATATTCAAGGTGGCTCTGCCGAAATGACATTCCGATGACAGAAGTTCGGGAAGGAATGGAAAAAGAAAAAGAATAATTCGCGAAATTCCCAAAATTCGGTAAATCTTAAAAAGAATCCATCCAAAGTCGAAAGTGGCGTGAATCATCCATGGTTCGTAGAGAAAAAAACGTGGTGGGTCCAGAAGCCCAGGGTGATTCCCCGTTCTTTCAGGCCAATTCAGGCAGACTCAGGCACGCTGCCTAGTAGCCCCAGGCCCAGACACTCTGATCGCCCGTGTGGCTCGGCTTATTATTTAAAACCTCTCAGTCCCCCCCCTGGTCTCTCCCTTCTTCTCCATCCAACTCCACCCACAACGGTCATTCCTTTACCGTCCTTCTCTCTCTTTCGTTTACACTCGCGCTCTTTTTCGAGTGTTCACTGTCATTCTCTACTGCTGTGCAGTTGATCAGTCCCGTTTTTCGCTTTACGCCAAAACTTGCGACTATCACCCACCGTCTTTTCAGACAAACCAATCTTTTTCAAAATGGCCCCAATCACCAAGACTCTCGCCCTCGCTGGCGCTTTCTTCGCCATCTCTGGCTTCGCTGCCCCCGTCAACAAGCGCGCTGTTGTGTGGGAGACCGTCACTGATGTCGTCTGGGAGACCGTCGATGTGACCACCACCATCTACCCCGGTCACGGCCAGGCGGCTCAGACCACCGTCGTGCCTGTCGTCACCACCACCGCCGCGGAGACCACCCCCACCGTCCAGGCCGCCGCCGCTGCTCAGACCCTCAATGAGGAGGAGGCCACCACCTCCACCATCGTTGCTGCCCCAACCACCACTGCCCAGCCCACAACCACTGCCGCCCCCGTTGTTCAGGCCGCCGCCGAGTCCAGCAGCTCGACCTCGTCTGCTGCTCCCTCGTCTACTTCCTCTGCTAGCTCCAGCTCCAGCTCTTCCACCAGCTCTGGCTACACCGGCTCCTGCAGCGAGGGCTCCCCCTGCACTGGTGACATTACTTACTACGACACTGCCACCACTTCCTCCAACCCCAGCTCTTGCGGCACCACCAACGACGGTACCACCGAACTTGTCCTTGCTCTGCCCCACGGTATCATGACCGACGGTGACTGCGGCAAGTCCGTCACCATCACCCACAACGGTGTTTCCAAGACCGGTACCGTCGTCGACAAGTGCATGGGCTGTGACAACAACTCCGTCGACCTGTCTCGCGCTTTCTTCGAGGCCCTGGCTGGCTCTCTCGATGCTGGTCGCATCGCCGGTGTTGAGTGGTACATCAACTAAGCGTAGCAGCTGCGTCGATCGCATGCGTGCGCGAGAATTCTCTTGTCTTGCCTTTGGGATGACCAATTAAAAGTTTCTTTTCCCGCTGTGGAGGAGAGATTCGAAAAAATCTCTGGTAGATTGATCCAAGGCGTCTTTCGTTCTTCCGCGAGTCTCGATGGCTCCATCTATCTTGTTTTCCTTTTTTATCTTTCTTTCCTGATTGCGATTCACCCTTGTCTTCGTCAATACCCAATTGACGGTGTGTGTGGTGTTACGATCAGGCCCCCCCTATTTTGCCATTCTTCCGGTCTTTTACGCAATAACCCCCGTTTTCTCATGTGGCGCGCCCCTAGTGGTGTTGCGCTTTTTATGACTTTTATCCCCCTCCCCCTTCATGTTGATAGAATTATGCCTTTCTCTCCGGAGAGTCTTGTGTCAATACTACCTTGCGATGGAATCATTATCCAAAATTTCTTAGAACTAGAACTTCTTCCGTAAAAGTATGCCTCGGCGACTGAAGTGAGAAATGATTGCCGGATCGTAGATATCGATCCATTCACACAGTCCGTCGTGTATCTGGTGCGACTACTCCGATCTTGAGACATCTGGGAATTCTTTACCAGTCCCTACTAATAATGGTTCTTGAACCGAGTTCATTCACCTTGCACCTGCGACTGTGTCTTACCTTACCATTTACTACGTCTTGTTCTTCTTTTCGCACCGATTCCCGAGACATACAAAACCATCGCGTGTTCCAGCTGCCTAATCCCAGCCAGCTCCAGCCACCAAAAACAAAAATAAACCCTCGCGTCTTCGCTCGAATCCTCCAGGAGCCAGGATAGTTCGTGTCTATGTAAAGCCACTTGGTGGCTGATCCCGGTGGTGTACCAGCACTTGGCTGCTCTACATTCCGTACAGTACATGGTTCATTGACGTCGCATCCAAACTCCAAAAAGGGGAAACCAAGACAAGACATAAGCCACCACTCCCCTGAAACATATTAGCTGTTGTCCAATCATGGGAGATTGTGGGCAACTACTATTCCCCGGAGTTGAAACTAGTGACTAGTGGGTTGATCTACACGAGAGCTCGGTAGCAGAGCCTTGAATACGGAGAGGATAATGAGGATGAACCCCTATTTTTGAGGAAACGTTGTCGTGAAAAGATACACCGGGTTGGGGATTAACGTGAGTGAGCTACACCTTGTTATTCGTTATTCGTGAAGATACTTAGGTCTGTCAAGAAAACTCGAGGATTTGCTACGAGTCAATTGTGACACATTGTAAGGTGAGCTCGGAGAGGAAGGAATTGAGTTTTTACTCCCGTTGAAGCTATTGCTGATCTTTTCCGGATACTCTCCATGGGATTCGCGGTGGCTTAACTTGCAGCTTTTATGGTGTGCGTCAGCTAGGATGATCCTTCGATGTGAAAACTTGATTCATGACATGAGGTGGCATTATGCTAATTTTCACGAAATATAGCGTATCATTCGCAGTCTATGAATTTCCAATGCAACCTGTAACCTCGGTGCGATGATGGCTGCACTCGTGGCCTCGAAAATCTCCCAGTGTATAGACGTACGTCTATGCACATATATCCTCAATGGCGAGTCTTCACTCCTCGGCAAAAATAACATTGTTCCGCAGAGTTCCAATGCCCGAGATCGACACATCCATCTGCGTCCCCGGCACAAGATACTTGGGCGGATTTATACCAGCGCCGACACCTGTAAACAACAATTAGCATCATCTCCCCAAGATTGAGCCTTCACAATAAGCCAAGACTATACTCACCACCAGGCGTCCCTGTCATAATAACACTCCCCTTCTGCAACGTCGTCCCCTGCGACAAATAACTAACCAAATAAGCACAATCAAACAACAAATCACTAACCCCCTCCTCCTGCCTAACCTCCCCATCAACAACAGTCTTCAACAACAACTCCCTCGGATCAGCAATCTCGCTCCCCGCAACCAAACACGGCCCCAGCGGTGCAAACGTATCAAATCCCTTCGAGAACCCCCATTGCGGCACTCGGCCAGCGAACGCCGGATCGCGCTGCAATTTTCGGCTGGAAATGTCATTGCCGACAGTGTAGGCGCCGATGTAAGAGAGGGCGTTGTCGATAGAGACATTTTTTGCGTCCCGGCCGAGGATCAGGCAGAGTTCGCCTTCGTAGTCGGCTTGGGAGTCTTGGGCGATTTGTGGGATTGTTACGGGGACGTTGTGGTCGTGGATTGTTGTGGTGGGTTTGAAGAATATGAAGGGGAACGGGGGCGGGGTGCGGCCTGCTTCTTTGACTGGGAGGGTGTTAGTGAAAGGATCGAAGGATGATGGGTTTATACTTGGATTTGGTTATAGAGGGAGATATCTTACTGTGCTTCGCATAATTCAACCCCACGCATCGAAGTATGGGCACATCTGCCTGTGCCAATGGGCCTAGCATAGTTTTTACAGTGACAACTTCATCCGTCACACGTGTTGCGCCGGTAGTATCGTAGATGTCAGTGCCCTCGATAACCCGTGCTTGCAACTTATCTGCCTCGGTGATGAAGCCCAGATCAGTGTCGGGGGTGGGGAGGATGGGTTCGCCGCGGAGGGTGCGGCCGTCCGTGGCGATGAAACGGATTAGGCGTTTCCAGGGGAGAGACATTACGGGTAATTTTGGAAGGCTAAATTTGTAGAGGAGATTAAGATGGTGGAAAAGTTCTAGAATTTCTTTCTTATATTATTTTGTGAGAGGGATGAGGGTTGTTGGTGTGGTGGTGCTGGCCGGGGATAGATCGGGTAGGTGGGTATGCCTTCCGAATGTTGTCTCCGCACTTTGAGATCGGGGTTGAGTGAGATTAGGTGGCTCGGAAATGGGGAAATACCACGGGAGAAGATATAGCCGGGTCCATACTGGCACCCGTTAGTGCTAAAGCGATCAAGTGGCTCAATTATTCCCAAGCGGCTGTGACAAGCTGCCATCTCCTCTAATCTACTATGTATCATGCCCAGGACGATAGAGTAAGTGGTAGTACTGTATCATTATTCAAGCTCTCACGAGAGACGCATTTCGAAATTATCTCTGGATATTCATTTGCTTTCCTTTTTCATCGTAGAGCGTAAAGTACTCCGACTCTCTTCCAGCGCTGGTTGTCCCCAGCGTCTCATCCACTCTGGGTGCAATACCTCTTGACCAGTCGCTCTATCCTTCGGCCGAAAAGCCAGCATCGACCGAATCATCACCTCAAACGCCCTCCTCTCATCTTCCCACACAACCACCAATCCCGCCTCCGCCCCGAGGCTTCTGTACACAATACTCAAACCTCATATCCAAAGTCCTGCGAGTACCATCATGAACCCGAGACGTTTATGATTCATCCAATTCGCCCTCCTCATTGAACCATTCCGATCTGATGGATCACTTTGTCCACCACTCTGGAGGCAAGATACCCAGAGCTTCGACTTGCTCCGTGGCAACGCGATCTGCCGTTGCCCAGAAAACTTCGAAAAACGGTCTTTGACCATAGACCTCCCAGATGGTACAGGCAAGTGTCCATATATCTGAGGGGAATGAAAGGGGTTTGTCTGAGAAGCGGGTTTCCGGTGGTTGGAGATGTGGAAGGGTCTTTGAAGAGAATATGGACGTTGTATGCGGGTTGAAAGACTGTCCGAAGTCGCCGAGGATGATATGGTCTTTGCCGAGGGGGAGGTCGTTGCTGCGGATGCCATACCAGCCGGGAATGTATACCTGTGCTGGGACGCCATCTGAGAATGGCATGTAATCGACACGGATTACTGTTTCTGACCGTGGCTCGCCAAATTTGTTGTACGGTTCTGGCGTGGAGTAATTATTGATCGATTCTGGAAACTGGACTAGATGTTGCCTAGATGGAGGTCTGAGAAAAGATGAAGTTAGCCATGTAGTCCAAACGCTTGCATCGCGTTGTATGACGTACCTCTGTGGACTATGTTCTCACTGTGAAATAATGCGACCCCATGAACAAATTGAGCGATTATTGACTGCGCGAGTTTAGGTTGGAAGAGACCAAAAACCGAAGCCTCTTTAGCATCGAACAAACTCATCCGTGCTGGTGAAGTGACGAGACATTTGTGTCTTCCATTGGGGCCGGCAACCCAGAATTCATCGATGAGAACCGGAACAACCTCTTGGCCCGGACGAGACGGCGAGCTTGAATAGACCGCATGATTTTGGCCTCAGTGGTGTGAGCACTAGAATAAGCAGTAAGGACCTTCACTGTCACGTATCTGGCCCTCCGAAGGTCACGAGCAAGCCATATTGTTGAATACCCTCCGTATCCGAGCTTGTCAACTATTCGATATCGTCCCTCATCCAAGTCGTCTCCAACTTTCAAGGGATGGTATCCTCCGGGACAGTATCCGCCCAGATCCTCGACATCCTCGATCAGCTGGTACCGGAATCTACTTGATCCTGGGGTCGAGGGTTGAAACTCATTGGGTGTATCTGCCTGTCCACTCCTCTTATTGGTGTTAAGAGAGTTGCGGGTGGATCTGTCCATCTATCACATCAACTTCCCGTGACCTGTGACACGGTAAGGTTATCGATGGAGCTTACCGGGGCCAGCACTCGATCTCTGCGGTTCGAAGTCCGTCTCGTGCTAGGAGCAGAGTCGAAAGAAAGCAAGCGTATATGTCTGGCATGAGCAGTTCGCATTTTGAACTGGATACCCTTCTATCTCGTGGGAAGAAGGATAAGTATATCGATACGATCACTTGTTCTTCCAGGGTGACCACTTACTTTGCCCCTCTGTCTTGTGAGGAGTAGAAATAGCGAGAAGTATAATAAGCGCAGTGATAGCAACGATGACATCCGCCTTCCGAGCGGTCACGTCTCCTCATTGCTTTCGATAGGAACATGCCGAAGTTGATTGGTTGAGGATATGGCTCAGACACAGCGAAGATGTATCCGATACCTTCGCCAGTCCCACAATCCGAATCATGGCCGGTTTCAAATTGGCATGCCTCTCGGTGAACATTCGGTACAAGTTATTTGGTTCAATTTGCTTTTTGTGGGAAACCATAACCATGAGCTCGCGACGGGAGATGAGTCCGTCTTGAGCTCGAAGAAACGGGTGTGCTCGACAGTATATGACACAGCGAAGATTGAAATTCTCAGCGGTGTATTCGACAGTATATGAAAGATGATTTGCAACGGGCGTAGATAGACAGAGGAAGTGAGGAAGCAAAGCAGGAGCTTTGGGCGAAGGCAACCCGTGTATACTAGATCTATTGAGCGATATAGCGTTCCGAGAGAATATGAAAAGTTTTCCCGAGAAGAGAATCTAGAGGCCTCTTTTAGATTGGAAGGCCAACAAACACACACACAAAGAAGAACAATCTAGGTAAAAGTGCCAAGCTGAAGCGGAAATCTCCAGCAATGACAATGCACAACCCAATCGCAGCAACACCACATCTCAACCTCCATCCTTTACTTCACTCATCCCCATCAAAGCTGACTCCTAACACTCCCCCTTTCCTTACCCTCCTGGGTCTCCTCCTTCCAAACCCTCTCAACCTCCCCCTCCGCATCATACCCATAAGCCCACATCTGCGTCGCCGGATCACTCCACTGATTCGGACTATGAGCAAAAGTCTCACCCACCGTCTCAGGTCTCATGGCCTTATCACGAGCCTGCTGCAAAGGCCCATCGGGGAAATGCCACAACTTGCCATTCAGTAGACTGGCTTCTTGCATCTTTGTTGCGCGTGGGATGCGCACCTTTTCGAAGATTTGGAGTGCGTGGGGGAGGTTGCTGAGGTGCGTTAGTTTTGAGAGGGTACGGGAGAGGGCGAGGCCGTCTTCTACGGCCATTGCGGCGCCTTTGAGGAGGGTGTTAGCATGGTTGTTCCGAGAATGGAAGGGATATTTGGGTGGGGGAGGAGGAGTGAATGGTGTGGGTGAGGTGCTTACCTTGGGACATGTAGGGAAGCATGGCGTGCGCTGCGTCGCCGAGGATAACTAGACGGCCGGTTGTCCAGCGTGGTAGAGGGGTTCCGCTGACTAGGGGCCATTTGATGGTTGTTTCAATCATAGTGATGATTTTTTCGAGTCTGGACGTTGTCAGTACTAGTTTCTCTTTCATTGATTGAGATTGATATGCGTATACGCACCTTGGATCCCACCCTTGGAATTCGCGCTTCATATCACTCAAAGCGGTGGACTGATCCCAGGTCGATGGATCCGTGTTATCAGGATGCGAGAGAACCATGTTGAACGACTTGCCTGCACCGATGGTGTAAGTCATGACGTGTCGTTGGTTTCCGATCCTGGAATGGAGTCAGTCTCAAGCTTCAATTTCAGAGATGAATCTTGCAGGGGTTAGTGATATCTACCAGATATTCAGGCTCGGTCTGTCCAGTAGCCATGAGATCTCGGGATCGGCTTTCATTTTATGAACATCCACAGTAGCACGGTATGCTGCGAAACCCGTCCGCTCGAAGGGCGGACGATCTGAGCCATCGACTTCGCGGCGCGCGATAGATTTGACTCCTGCCACATTATCAGCATCGAATTCAGACAGGCAACCACTTCGGGGGCAAGAACATACCATCAGCAGCGACAATCAAATCCGCCGACGCAGACGTCCCATCCGCAAGAGTAATACTCCCACCCTGGGAATCATATTTAACCACTCTCGCCGCAAGCCTAACACTGACACCAAGATCCAACGCTCGCTCATGCAGCGCAGAATGAAAATTCGCCCGGTGAATAACATAGTACGGCGCACCGAAAGTTTCCCGGAAATTAGGGATTAGTTTAGTTAAGCCGATGATGTCTCCGGATTCCCAGCGACGGAATGAGATTGTTTCGGGCTCGGTGACGTATTTTTCTAGATAGGGATCTAGACCGAGTCTGCTTAGGAGGCGGGTTGAGTTGGAGGGGATTTGGATGCCGGCGCCGACCTTTGAGGAAGTTAGGGGGATGGACTGTGAGAATTGGATGTGCGAATGTGGTGGGGGTGGGTAAGAAGTACCTCTCCAAGCTCGGCGGCTTGTTCGTAGATGGTGACTGTGTGTCCGGTGCTGGCGAGGGCGATGGCAGTTGCTAAGCCGCCTAGTCCGGCGCCGACGATGATTATGTTCAAACGGACGTGAGCTGTCTGGCTAGGTTGGACTGTGGGTGGAGAGTTCAAGAAGGCGAGACAGTTGCTGGGATAACTCGGCGTCTGTAGATAATAGTGAGTACATACTTCTCGCCGACTCCGATGTCTACGAAAAACTAACCTTCAGAGAACACCCCGACAGACCCTCCTCAGACTGGCTAGTTGACCCCATTCTCCAATATCAGATGTGAATGAAGACAACACGGAATTTGAAATATGAATTGTCCGTTGGTCTATCCCGCACCTGCATAACTTATAACCCGAATACAGTGCTTCCCTTCCCCGCGATCCCGGTCTGCTCCCGGGGATGCGCTTCCGGTGTATCCCCGGTGCCTGTACATCGCACCCGATGGCTCAATGATCTCGGGATATAATATTTGGCCATCGCTGCCATCGCTGCCAGAGAGAAATACAAATTCAAGCACAGCAATTCCAATTTAAGTTTATTAGAAATTGCAATCGATCATGTCAATTACAGAAGTTGCAACCGCAGTGGACTCGGAGGAGCAGCTGTTGGCCGATCTGGAGAGCAGCAAGACACTGCCACTATGGAAACAGATGGCACGATTGAACCCCCCAGCACCGAATCCAACTACTGTGCCTCATCTTTGGAAATACAAGTCTATTCGACCGAATTTGGAGCGTGCAGGAAAACTTGTTCCTGAATCGCAGGCTGAGCGTCGGGTTTTGATGCTCGTTAATCCTGCTCGAGGTGCGTATACTCGTTACTTCAAAGCATCTACACCTATCATCCATAGAAAAGAGCTCTATACTAACTGTGTCTGTATGATGTAGATGCTCCCTATACAACAGACACCCTCTACGCGGGCCTCCAACTAGTCATGCCCAACGAAATCGCCCGCGCCCACCGGCACACAGCCTTCGCCATGCGGTTCATCATCGAAGGAACAGGCGGTTTCACGGCCGTCCATGGCCGACGCATTAGCATGCAACGCGGCGATGTCATCCTCACCCCGACATGGAACTATCATGACCATGGTAAAGACCGTTCCGGCCCTATGGTCTGGCTGGATGGACTGGATCTGCCTACCTTCCGACACTTTCCCGTGCATTTTGTCGAGCATTTTGATCAACCAAGATACCCGGCGGTGGATGTTGATAGTAAGACTTCGCCGCTGGTATTTCCCTGGGTGGAGATGAAGGCCAGACTTGATGGTGTGGAGGGGGAGTGGGCGGCTTTGAGGTATCTGAAGGAGGATGGACGAGAGGGTATGTAATTCCTTTCCTCCGTCCTTTCCCTTGTTTCCTTCCCCCTTTTTCTCTTTCCACGTTTGTGTTTGCGTTGCAATCACACAGTGATAGTGATATATATTACCCCAATTTCCCCCATCCCCAATCCACGGTCCAAACGCCCCAGCTAATCTCGACGTAAATGAACAGTGAGCCGTGTGCTAGGCGGTAGCGCCGAGCGTATTGTGGCCGGTGCGTCTTCGCCGGCTCGTCGCGAGACGACCTCGGCCGTTTATCATGTTATTAGTGGTCGGGGTCGGTCGGTGATTGGGGAGGAGGAATTTGTGTGGGAGCAGGGTGATACTTTTTGTGTTCCTTCGTGGTACAGGTATCAGCATTTTGCGGGTGATGGGGAGGGGGTTTATTTGTATCGGTTTGATGATCGGCCTATGCTTGATGCTTTGGGGTTTTATCGGGCGGAGGGGGTTGATGTGGAAAGCTTGGTGTCGGATTAGATTAGGGGGGTAGATATAGTGGGTTAATAGTATGAGGGTGGAATTGGGAGTGTTTGTTCTTGCTTGATATGTACATATAGTAGTCACAAATGGTTGTACTACGGTACGTCCTGTTGATTACTGTGTTCTAGGTAAAGCGTCATCTGTTTGCAGTATATCTGATTTTGCATACAATGTCAAAAGGTCTAAAATATGATCTAGAATTAGGGGATGCTTGTACTACAGCCTCATTTTCCATGTGCTACTCCGTAGTTATTCTGGTGGTACTGTACGCTCGGGCGTTCGGTGGAGGTTTACCTTTTTGTCTCTCGTTTCAGAATCGCCCCACACTCACCGTTGAACCAAAGAAGGAGAAAACTAGAAAGTCAAGCCGAGAACGATATTACTGTACTCGACTATCACACAAAGAAAGTGTTTCTTTCTTTTGCCGGGCTGTGATAAATCATTTCCAGTATTCCTATCATGATTGGTAGAATAGCCTCAAAGAAGCGAAAGAGAGAACGAAAGAATAAAGAAAAAATCCCGCCCGCGGTTATGCGCCACTGCAATCACGATAGATTAACAGAGTACTAAGTCAAAGGGTGGGAGACTAGCAAAACGGAATATACTGTGATGGTGAATTTGTGACCGGGTTGCATACGCGCTCGATCTCCGTGTTACCTTACATCTCTGGAATACGGAGCATCTGCAGGAGTGCCATTCCATGCAGGATGATTTCTTCGGATGCGACATACCGAAGGGCGGTTAGGCAAGATGGACTTTGGGGGCTTGATTATGGATCTGTCTTGAGACTTTGAGACTTTAGGCTAGATGACGACATACTACTATGTACGGTAAGAAATGATATGGCTGGTGTGAATCGAGGTCTCACATTTCACGAGTCCAGCCTGCGATAGGGATGGTGGTGCTGGGAGAGGTCTCAGCTGGAAGTAGAGTACTCCGTACAGCTGGTGTCCTCGGTAAGGTATACCAAGGATACAAAGCACACTAAAAAGGTGGCTAAGGACATACGATAAAGTGGAAATGGCTGTGCTATGTATCGAATGATTGATCATTGCCGATGAATTAATTGATACCCTACAATACTCACTATCGTACTCCATGAGCCCTGGCAAAGGGACTGACCCACAGTAAACCGCCACCCTCATCACGAATCTGCGGCTTGTCCACGTCTCCAGCCGTAATTTGTACCTGTCAATCCGACGTGGTCACATCCAATTTTATTATACGAGAAGCGGCTCAGAGAAAATTACCCCAGTAATTAAATCTCTAATATCGTATCACACAAAGAAATATTAATCCCCGAAGAACAAAAAAAAACCACTCAAGGGCCATCACCGACACCCCGCCACTCGGGAGTCTCATTGGGCAGTGCCTTTACTAGGCACAGCTGAAGGCTGAGCGGAGATGCCCGTCCCGCACCCAATGATCATCTTCGCCTTCGCCATCACCGACTGTTCAGTGGGCCAACTCCCATGCAAGGCAGTTCAATGTTCCCCGCCCACTCGGGTTACGCTTAGGGTTTCTTTGGTCCCTTCTCCCTTTGAACCAAACGCCTGAAACTAGCGACCGACCCCCGCTCATCGCTGCCCCTCATAGCAAACTCGAAAGCCCCGTTCCCTCCCAAGTGGAGATGGCCGTGTTTCAGCCTCTGCAACGCAAGGAACCCGCACAATTATCATTGGCCACTTACGCGGTCCTTGTCCAGCAGTTCCTGAGGATCTTGACTATCTGGGACAGGATGAGAGGTCGGAGTCCCTGATTATCGCCGCATTATGGAGTTGGGTCACCCGTATCCAGCTAGGGTGCTGTACGAAGTCCATACTGGGCTGGGACAGAAGGAGAATTAATCCGATGAGAATACTCCGTACATTACAGCCTTCTGTACAGTTACTAGGGTCTCCACATCTCCTAGAGTTTATCCTGCAGGCGGACGGAGTTGCTGAAGATGGGATGAGGCCAGGGTACATATACCCATTTGTGTGCTGCTCACCTTTTTCTTTCTTTCTCTCTTTTCCTTTCTCAGCAGCAAGCAAGTCTTCTCTCTTTCACTCTCTTTTTTCTGTTTCTGTTATTCGTGCTGGGCACTCCTTTTTCAGTCACGATGTACTTCACTCTTCCACTCCTTCTGGCTGCTGGCAGCCTCCCCCTCATTTCTGGGGCTCCAGTCGCATACTCTCACTCTCGCGCCTCTGCAGGTGTAGTTCAAGTCGACCAAGCCACGTCCTCTCACTCCCTCAGTGGACGTAGCAGCAACCTCTACGCCGCCGTCTTCGGTGGCTCCGGCCTCGTCTCCGACGGATGGCCCGCCATTTCCAACTGGGTCTCCAGCTTTGACGATATGTTTGACGCCAACAAGGAGATCATGGGATCTTCTTGCTCCCAGTGGGGTGTTCCCGATACCACCGAGGCCGAGATGGCCACCATGAAGACCGCTATCAACAAAATCGCCGGCGAGTCCGGCGTCGACGCCCGCTTCATCTTGGCTATCATCATGCAGGAGAGCAACGGCTGTGTCCGTGTCCACACCACCAACAACGGCGTCGTCAACCCGGGTCTCATGCAGTCTCATAACGGCAAGGGCAGCTGCAACACTGGTATCAGCTCCCCCGAGAACGTCCAGAACCCCTGCCCCGAGTCCGAGATCGAGCAGATGATCCGTGATGGTACCATGGGTACCACCGAGGGTGACGGTCTGCAGCAGCTCATCGAGGCGAACGGCGGCACTGGCGATGTCACTGCTTACTACAAGGCTGCCCGCTGCTACAACTCTGGCTCTATCGCGTCCGGTGGTAACCTCGGCGCTGGTATCGCTACTCACTGCTACGCTTCTGATATCGCCAACCGTCTGCTCGGCTGGGCCTCTGGTACTAGCAGCTGCAACGACGGCACTATCAGTACTCTCACTGGCTCGAACTGGAGTGGTAGCTCCTCTTCTGGCAGCTCTAGCAGCTCCAGCAGCCCTACCACCACGTCCTCCGCCAACCCCACTGGCGTGACCACCATTCTGCCTGAGCCCGCGGCGCCCACCACCACTGCCACCTCTACCACTTCCAGCACCGTCGTCCCTACCACCACCCCTGTCGCAGCTATCCAGACCCCGGCTGCCACCGCCGCTACCCCTACTTCCGGCGCCGAGCTGTACCCCTACACCATCTCCCCTTGCCAGGAGTACTACACCATCGTCGAGGGTGACTACTGCCGCAAGGTGGAAGTGCAATTCGGTATCACCGCTGCTCAATTGCAAGCCTGGAACACCGGTCTGGACGATAGCTGCACGAATCTCTGGAAGGGATACCAATATTGTGTGAAGGCTTGATGTCTTCCCACAACCTGTCATTCATGGGACTTGATCTTGATTTGATCTTTGTGCTTTTTATCTTTGGTCATTTTTCACTTCGTCTCCGGTGCACAATGTCTCTCTCACTGACTCATGTCCGGAACCCCATCTTTTCGTGCCTTTTTTTATCTTCTTCTTATCAAGGGCTGAGCCCTTGATCCCATTTTTTTCTATTTTCTTTTAGAGGGCTTGCATCTCTGAGGAGATTATCTCACAAAAAAGATCTCTTTGAACCAAACAGTCGGCGTGTACTTGGCAATAACTATTTTTTTCAGCGGGAGTTTTTAGAAGGAGAGGTCGGAGCTTGGTTTGGTGTGATATGGATGGACTGGTTCTTATCCTTTTCACACAACTTTGCTGCGCTTGGAAAATTCCTTTCTTTTCTCGCTTGATTTGGTTTTTGTTGTGGTGCTGCCGACACGAATGATGATAGCATTTTTTTTTCGCGTTGAAAGGTCTTATCTGTTATGAGGCTTGACTTGATCTTGATACCAACTGCTATCTGCGTGGCGGCAAATACATTTCACTTTCTTTTTACCTCTGTGCTTAGGATGTAGTCAGTAGTCAGTATTCAGGTCAGTGGTTTGAGTTCGAGATCTTCAAGGTAGAGTTTGGGCTTGCAGTAGGAGGGAGGCGTCAATCTGGTTGATGGCGATGGCGTCGGCGCTTAGCTATGTAGATCTCATGTGCCCCATCGTGTTGGAGGACAAGTACATACTACATACAATGGCATTGTATCCATGTACGCTGTCTGCACTCTTCATACCCACGATGATTCTAACCTGGCGCTTAACCCCTCTATCGGAATGCCCTTCCTACAGCCTCCGTCATGCAATGCGGTACTACCCATCCTCCCCGCAGACCCTGCATCATCCACCGCATGATAATGTCCCCGCACCTATCGACCCGTAAATGTAGTGTAGTGCAGTTTACCTCGTTGGATAAAGATAATTTCTCCGGGCGCGTAAGTTGCTGGATATATTTAGATTATGTATAACCCATGATCAATGATGTAATATCTTTTTTTTACAGATGCATTCTGCAAGTAAGCTGAATAATGCCCTGTAAGGCTGTACGATGCGCTGCCGCTGTGCTCGGGTTGGGCGGTTAGGTGGGATTTGTGATTCGTGTTGGGTGAGCAGCGGAATGGATGGAAGGTTACCTCCCTAAGGTAGGCGTGTGTTTGTGCGGATGCGGGTTGAGACTCTATTGTTAGGGGCCAAATTAATATAGACATCCACGATGATTTTCGGGTTGTTGGTGCTAGTAATATGTAGGTGTTGTCGGGAGAGTATGTGACTTTAGAATTCCCCAGGAATAGGTGTTTGCCCGTAGGTTGATTCACTACTTGATCATGCAATAACCACGTCTTCCTGTTATGGCTTGTGGGTACCTTAATCACATTCTAGGTTCGATATATATGGCACACATAGCATTTATCCTGTATACAGCCTATTACACGTTAAGTATATATAGGCTACCAAGAATACACAGGCGGTAGAGTAATATGTACGCAATATATTTTTCAATACTAGTAGAAAAAATTAACTGTCCTTGCTTTAGTTATGACTTGTAGTTAACTAGAAACACTGTCATGCTGAGGACGTAAGCATAGTAGATGAAGTGGAATAAACTCATATAGACAAAAATTCAAATTCTAAGCATCGGTGCCCGGGTGGTCTAGTGGGTAAGAAACATTGAATTGCCCCAGCATCACCAACCATATCACTAACATAATCTTAGTATGATTCGCGCTTAGGGTTCACCCAAAGCATTGACTGCGCGAGGTCCCCGGTTCGATCCCGGGCTCGGGCCTATATTTTTTTTTTCGCTTTTTCCTCTCGCAGAACTATCGTCTAATCATGTAAGCAGGTTCTGATTCGTAGAACATCAATCGCCCGGGTGGTCTAGTGGGTAAGAAAAATCGACTCTACCAACATCACCGAACAAATCATTAACATGACTCCTAGTATGATTCGCGCTTAGGGTTAACCCAAAGCATTGACTGCGCGAGGTCCCCGGTTCGATCCCGGGCTCGGGCCTATATTTTTTCCCTCTTATTTTGTAGGTACTTCTAGAATTGAAATTAGATTTTTCTTCTTCTATTTAGTTGTGATGTGTTACAGTTCCCTCATAGGCCAGCTATACAGTTTGGCCTAAGTTCCAACCTAGCAGTAACGGGCGTAGTCATTACGGTTATGGATAGTCTTGTATATCACGCTCAGTCACAGAGAGGGGGTCTAATAGAAATAGAGAAAAGGAAGGATCCTTGAGGGTTAAACATTGCTGATGAAGCTAAGTCCTATCAAGGTTAGAGTCTCTAGACTGATAGGGCCGATAGAGTCATATGACCGCTATCTGTCTGTCAAGCAGGATAAACAACCAATTTAGTAGCACTTCAAGAAACAATTGAAGCATACGGAGGAAAAGAAGGAAGGAGTAAGATGATGAGGAAGCCATGTAAATAGCATAAAGGTGCCTGAAGGGCTAGCCAGACATCAATATGAATCGTATATTGATAGACCCTAGTGTTACGGACCTCAAAGAGGCGCGAGGACAGCAGCTATTTGAGGGGCATGTTACGATATACCTGACATGAGGTTATCCACAAATGCCGGTGCCTCGGGCTACCAGGACCCTGGTAAGCCGCCAAGCTTTCGGTGGAGGTTCACTGAGGCTTCGCTGCCAGTACTTGTACGAATTCCTGCAAGGAAAGCCCTTGTAGAGGTTACCGTTGGAGAGGTTTTACATTCCCCAAGAGACAGTCTTTGACCTTTCGGAGCAATTGACTTGGTTCCTTTCTCCTACCTGATTGACAGGCCTCCATCGTGATTTATAGAGTAGCCTTACAGGAAAGATCGGAGTTCGATCTTTTTAGCCGGGGAACGGTCGGAAGAGGGGTTCTGTTGGGAGAGCACATGAGTGTGTAGTCTACCTAGAGTAGAGCAGATTATAGATTGGTTACGACTTGGAGACTGAATCATATCTATTGACCAGGGGATAAATAGATTGAGAGCAATAGTAGGCATACTATTATTTCCCTAACCATCCGTGGAAGGATTGTTATGTATGGAAATTGCTAAAACGACACCCCAAAATTGCTAAAAGGACTTAGTACCAAAACAGGCTAAGCGCTGTATAGCCCTTGCTATCCTCTTGTAATACCCTGCCTTTAATAAGATCTGAAATCTGTCTCCTTCTTCTATGAATAGACGATTGAAGACGTCGAAAAGGAGACTTTTCTATTAGTATATAAGAGGATTTAGCCCTGGCTAGCATAATGTGAACGCTTAGATTATTAGAATTATTATTCCAACCACTATTCAAAATCAACTTATCACAGCCGCGAGACGCTTTTGCGAAGCCCTCCACCAAAGCTGCGGATTCGAGATCGGTATAGATTTTGCGTGCGGCTACCCCCTACGACCAATTGTTCCCATTTGAGGCGTGATCGTGTTATAAACTCTTGATTCTCTCCTAGACTAGGTTCCGAGCTAAGCTAAATAAAGTAGTGCGCTCGCTAGTCACGTGGACCATGTAGTCACGCGAAGCGCTCTTCGGCGTAACAGTGCCCGTCGTAAAAAAAAAGACAGCGACCACGCTGTCAACATGACACAAAACGCGTAAACTCCCTGCGCTAAGTCATCATGAAAACAGAATCGCGTTAACTCACGAAAAGGGAAGAAACACGTGAGGTATAACTTGCGCTAAGGCATCATAAAAGGAAGGCAACGTAGGGGAAGAAAACGACGTGGGAACCGCAAGAGTACGTGTGCGAGGGCATCAGCGAAACTCCGGCGGCTCGGGGCTGTCCTCCTTCGCATCATCGATGTCGTCATTCTCGCCGTCCTTGCTCGCAGCCTTGTCTTTCTTCAATGGGATCGCGAAGTTTCTGTCACTGCGCGTGAGAAAGGCTTCTATGTCGGCAATCGCGGGAGAACGAATCTCTGTTCTCAACGCAATAGTGGAGTACTGGAGATTGGCGAGCACGTAGTTAGCCAAGGCAGCGCCGCGCCAATTCTTGCGCGCGCGTTGGTCGATTGCAGCTTGGCAGTCGTTCGAGGCGTTCACGAAATTGAGCGCGAGCTTGTTGAAGTCCTTGTCGGTAGTGCATAAGCCAAAGGCTTCCTCCTGGGTAAGGTTGCGTGCCTTACAGTAGGCGTTAATTTCACCTGCACATTGGGAGACCTTGTCTAGCTTGCCCGCGAGAGTGCCCGTAGTGGATGATGTGAGCTCACGAAACAGCGCAGCCATCATTGGATCCGGCGACCACACTGCGCAGGGAAGCGCACGCTTTGTGCCCATCTTCTCGGCGACGACGTCGTAGATTGACTCCTTGGAATCCGTGTCGAGGCGCTGGCGCTTGTGCTCGCGGGTGGTCTTGTCGGTGCGCTGCTCTTGGGGAGTGAGCGGGGTGTTAGGCTGCGCGTCCTTCGGCTTCTCCTTGGTCTTCGGCTTCTCCTTCGCAACTCGGGGTGCCATCGGGTCGTGCGGGCGCCAGGGATGCAGCAATGCGTTCTCCGGGCGCAGGCTCTCATCTTCGATCTCCATGTTAGGGCCGCCCGTAGCAGGATTGGCGCAATGCTTCCGGAATCCGGGCACGTCCTGGAACTTCATGATGGCGTGCTCACCAGTAAGCGAAGGAACGATCACCTTGTGGTCTAGGTCCAAGTCCATATGTATAATGATCTTGGATGCCTGCATAGCCTTGAGATAAAGGCCACGCTTGTGGTCGTTGATCGCAGGAGGACACGGGAGCTCGTTGACTATGTTCGGTTTCGCAACAACATGATAGTCAGTTCCTTCGACCCATCCCTGCGGGATAGTCACTTTGCCAATGGAGATCACAGGAGGGGAACCTTTCGGACGCTCGGTGCGTGTGAGATACGGGAACTTCGCGAGGTTGGTACCGGTCAGGAGCGTGCGACCACACATCTCCGGAATCCAACGGATGCCAAAGGCCTCAATGGCGACGCCTTTACCGCGTGGTGGGCGCTTCCCGCGCAGCATGCCATTGCTTTCGAAGTCGGTCGCGCTCACCTTGCAATTAGTGCGCGCGCGCGAGGTAAGCAGGGCATATGCGGTCATATCATCGACGGCCTTGGTGGTTATTGGCAGAGACATGATCTCTTCGGGCGCACTCTTTACACAATTGGCAGCATCAATCTGCGCAGTGACCACCGGTTCGTCACGCGCAGTGCGGAAGGCGTCGCATTTGTCCTGGAGCAGTTTGAGGTCGGCGTGAATGTCGTTATCGTCGCGGGAAATGTCGAGCAGAAGGCCCACGGGGCGGTCCTTCGCGGGTGGCATCGTGGTGGAGAGTGAAGAGAGTGAAAGGTGAGAGGTAGATGTCGGAAGTGAGAGTTGAGTAAGGCGGTGTTGGGCGGGTGACGGACAAGGTGGTATAGAATAATGTATGTAGAGTTGTCTCGGGATCGTCGCTGGACTTCTCGCTGTTGAGTGAGAAGTGTGGAAGAATGATAGTGGTTGGGTAGATGAAGAAGGAAGAAATGAAATGGCTGGCAAGAGAGTTCAAATAGTGGGCGGTTGTGAGTGACTGTGCTGAGACTGCAAACCGATAATGTTGTGGTGGTGCTTATGCGGCAGCAAATAACGTAAGAATACTGAAAATATCATGCGTTTAAGAGGCGAAGGCCTCCAGCAAGTCTGGGCGATGGAGCAAGACTTGCGTTTCTTGGTGCCATTCGTCCTATACGGGGCCCATTCCACGACGGCGCAGCAAGCATCGAGTGCGTTTGCCTTTAGGTGTTGTGTGTTTGTTGATGATGCACTCGAACGCGGCCTAGTGGTTGGCGTTGTCGGTCTGTTCCGGTGGCTCGAACGCTGTGTCGCGGTTGAAAGGATCCTGCTCACGAGGGTGAGGCTGCAAGTGTTCGATGGAGATAACTGGATGGATCCTCCAGCGCGTGGGGAGGGCGAGGCGACACACGTTGGGGTAGGTCTCGATAACCTTGAACGGTCCGGTTCGTTGCGCGCCAAAATTTGGACCGGGGTCAAATCCTGGGGCGGCTGCAGGCCATTCTCTGACCAAGACGGAGTTTTGAAAAGACGATTCGCGGGCCGCTGAGTCGCTGGTCCCGCAGCTGGTTCGCGCTGGGCAGCAAGAGGTTCGCGTACTGGTGGCTCTCGCGGGGCGTTCTGGGCCACTTGTGGCGCCAACTCATGCCGTTCTTCAGGGTCCTGCGAAGGTGGACGAACTCTGGGCTCAGCCTTGTCTGGTAGGCTTGCGAATCGAAATGAAAGTGGTCGGGGATGTGCGGTATGGTTTACCTGGCGGCGTGTCTGCGGCTGGAGGGTGTCGTGTGGCGTCGCAGGAGTGTCCGAAGAAAGGGCTGTAGACAGATGTAGACGAAGCCTGACGCGCTAACGAGGACACGGCCAGCTGCGTGGGTGGAGATACAGTAGATCGATAAGGTTGGGTGGGGCGAGTGGCGCTGCGAGGGCGTTAGGCAGGGGTGCAAACCAACGAATCGCCGCGTTGAACGAAGGAATAATGAAACGCAGGAACAAGAGAACAAGAAAAAAAACGTAGAGAAGAGCTCGCCGGGCTACCCGTAGGTGACTTATATATGCCTTCTAATCTGATAACATACGCTTTCCGATCTGATAACCCACGCTGTCTGATCTGATAACTCGCACCTTCCGATCTCATAGCTCGCCCTGCTATAGTAACCCTCCCTCCCGCCATGTAGTTTTGTTTTGAGTCCGCCTCCTTCTCTTCGCACTGCTCTTCGCATTGCGAGTCTCCAAAGCTGCACGAAAGTGCGAATATATACCCTCAGCATGTCCGAAGACTGGACGCACGTCGTGTTTGTCGCCCGGTCATCAGCCGGCAAAAAAGATCAAACTGAACCGTTCTTGCGGTCCAGCCTCGAGCACACGAAAAGATGTTATGAGCGCACATACGGTCAGCTCAATGGCGAAGTCGGCTTCCTGACATTTATCCAACGCTCGAACCTACCTCTGCCGAGTTCAGGGCATGTCATTCGCACGCTCGACGAAGCGATTGCGAAGGTGAAGGCCGGCGGAGGAAAACTCTTGGTTGTGATAAACGGCTGGGATGGGTTGACGACGAACGTGGGCTCGTTCAACCGACTCTTTAATGCGGATTCTGCGCAGATCGCAATTCGCGTCTTCGCCGAGGTCCCTCGACAATTCTTCCATGTCAATGTCGCGCAGGTGATCGATATCTTCATGGGGAAGATTGTTATTGACCCGAGCCTTGAGCCCACGGATGAAGACAATGAAGACGATGAAAACAACGCTGTTGATGTGGGACTGCGAGATGAGCTCAACGCCGAGGAACAACGCCTTGAGTCTTCCACTGCGCAGTTTTATCGGATGTTCATGTCCGTGTTTGCGTCCAAGGCAGATCTGTCCGCCGCGAAGGTGCGGCTCGATGCGCAGTCCGGGCATCGCAATACCGACCCGGCTGTTCAACAAATGAGGTATACTTGCCCGGTGCCTGGTTGCAGAAGAGCGTTCCCTCTCCAGAAACTTCTACATGCGCATAGCCGGCAGCATAACCCGGAGCAGGTTGAGCAGCGTACCTGCCCTCACTGCAGAAAGACCTTCACGAGGAAGGATTCTCTAACACGACACCTAGAAACGTGCGGGAATCGGCCAGGTGTACTTAAAGAGCAGCGCCGCAAGAAGCCTTTCGCAAAGCGCGGTACATTAGAAATCCAAGTACCTCAAGGCTTACCTGCGCTATCCGATCTCGCTCCGCCTACCTATATGGAGCTCACCCCGGCTCAAGTACGGCAGCTCCCACGAATCGAGATCAATTCAGCTGTCCTGGAAGCGCGTTCCGCACTCGCGAACAAAACGTGCGATGTCATCTACCGTGGCGAGCTATACTGCCGCTACCTAGAGTGCGAGAACACACGAAGATTCGCAAAGCCGGGCAAATTGCGCAGACACTATGAAGACTCGCACAAATATACCTTTCCCGCATGGAGCACGATCTTGCCTACAAGTGCGCAGAAAGAGCATACAGCGGGCATTCTGTGGTTGACAAAGTGGGCGCTTGGGGAGAAGGAGAACGCCGGCCAACAGCCTTTCCCACTCCTTCGATAGGAGATGAAGTTGTTCTTATATCATACACTTTTAAAGATTTAGTGATAGTCGATTGATAGATATTATATACAGCAAGATTAATGTGTCGAGGTCTGAAATGATATTCATGCGCGATTCGAACTATCTTCCTTCATGAACTTTGCGAAGTACGCGACGCACCTTTCTTATTGTGTGATCTCGTCATCGATTTTGTATCATTCTCAAGCAAAAGCGAGCGCCCGCTGTCTAAATATCCCACACTCACAACAGCGCGCTCGCTCGTTACAATCTGGATGAGTTCGAAGAAATATCAAAACACTTTGCGCTAAGGCAGGACACAAAGTCAACCAGGAAGCTCGAAAGGAAACCATGAAGCTCAAACGTATTCGGGATCGTCGTATCCGCCATTCTCGGCAGATGAATCAGGGTCGAGGATTTTCAAGTCTTAATCGCTGACACGAGCGCGGTTCTCTTCAGCCTCGAGTAGTAGGTCTTCGCGATTCTTGCCAGCAGCGTCGAAATCCGCATCGCTCATGTCCAGGAAACCGTCAGTGTCCACAATCGCCACACTGCGCACTCGTGGGTTGGCTGCTAAGCAGGGGCATTGTAGTTGCACCGACAACGAATCAGTAAGCGCGGCTCCGTCCCAATTTTCTGAACTCCGAATCGCATCAACACAGTCGTGAGTGCGGTCCGAGAATGCGACGACACGGGCTCGGGAAGATCGTTGCTGAAGTCGGACCGCGGAGTAGGTGATGGGTATTGCTCGGAGGCAGCGGGCTTGAAACTGGATAAGATCCTGATAACACGCCGGATCCCGAAGAATCCTGAGGGAATGGCGATGACTCGAGAGGTTGCAGAGCGTGCGCAGACAGAATCCAACTGTGTAGAAGAGGACTCTGGGATTGGGGAGTCGGTAATTGGGACTGCGGGCAGGGTAAGGCGATGACTGCGCAAGCAGTGTGGAACAGAAGGTAGGACCCAAGTATGCCGACTTTGGGAACGTACTAGGGCAGGCGGACACTTTGTAGGAGGGTTTTGTGCCGAAGTTGAAGGTAGCGCTGAAGTGGAAGGTTGCCTCGAGCCTGATCATGAGGCCGCGGAGCAAAATCGCATGAGATCATTGCAATCATGGCTGCCCAATGCAGGTCGCGAAGCTCGCGCCACGGACCATGTTACAGGTCCTTATGTCTGCGCAGCTTCAGTGCAAGAGGGGCTTTCTGTCAATGAAAGGGTGGGTTGGTGATGAAAAGGTGGGGCACCTATACGTGGAAGCGGATAGGTACGCTGGAAGGCACGGATAGTATTAATTTTGTCTTGAAATAACCTGCGGGAGATAGTAATACTATTACCACGCTAAATCATTTTCAAATAGCGTGTGTTAAACTAGCAATTACGCGTGTCGTTTTAGCAATTCTCAACGGACTTCATTCTATTTTCCACGGTAGATACTTCGATGAGGGAGGGAGGAAAGGAAAAAAAAAGATATAGGCCTGAGCCAGGGATCGACGGGGACCCCGCGCAGTTAATACTTTAGGTTAACTCCCTAAGCGCGAATCATACTAAAATTCATGTTAGTGATATATTTAGTAAAGTTTGTAGATTTCGGATTCCTTACATACTAGAAAACCCGGGCGGTGATATTCAGAGAAAGCTAGACTGCTTATAGAAGGGAATGGTATTCATATAGAGGGGAAAAGAAAAAAAAATAGGTAATGCTACTCCCTGAGAGCTCCGGCCACATCCCCTAGGCCCTTAATTTCTGCATGATTCTTTGAAAACCCACTAAGCCTGTTATAACCGGCCCCTTACAAATATTTCAGAGCGAGAGTCCGCCGCCTCAACGATGCTACCCACCTCATTGATATCGTCAGTTTACATACTAATTGGCCGATTTTAACACGACTAGATCACCCGCAGATAAGCATTTCAATGGTTAATTAGTAACTAAAATGATAGGGAGTCTTAGTGCTTTTACTAACTGATATAGAATCATTATAATTCTTCCTAATTGTAATACTCTTTGCTCTATGTATAGGCATTTATACCACGATTATCACCCTTTGAGTCATGGGGGGCAACCTTCCTTCTCAGCCACCAGGTGGACGAAGACTTATGAAACACCACTGTACAGGGTATTTTGAATGGGATAATATGTACTGTTATGACGGGCTTAGCGGGATTTCGAGACAATTAGGCAGGAATTAAGGCCCCAGGAAATACGGCCAGATTTCTTGGGGGTGTGGTAGCGACAGCTTTGCCTGATAATACAAAAAGAAATGTAGGCTTGAGCCCGGGATCGAACCGGGGACCTCGCACAGTCAATGCTTTGGGTTCATATTTTTTTGCCTCCTAATGCTTTTTGGTAGGTACTTTTAGAATGAAGATTTGTACGTCCGACGGACGACCTATCTAATTTCCAATTTTTTTATCCTTTCTTTTCTTTTCCTTCTTCTTTTTCGCCAGGGTGTGTTATAGCCACATTGGCAAGCTATACAGTTTGGCCCAAGTCCAACCTGGCAGTAGCGGGCGTAGTCATTAGGATTATGACATAGTGGACTGCGAGTGGTCCTAATGTGAGGATGTTCAGTTCAAGATTTTGTTCTACCCACTGAGCGCGAGGAGGTACTCCTCAACGGAATCCCGGGATTTTCCTTTCTTTCTCGAAACTGAAAAAGAAGCTATCAAACGGATCTAATTCAAATACCCAATCCAATTGATGCATCTCTGCTCCGAGAATGGCGCAAGTGTCACAAAATATCCGAGGCGCTTCACATCAGCTATCACCAGGACCGTTGATATCCGCCCCTACGCTGGTGATAATGGCTGCGCCCTCACAAAGGGCAATACGAGATTACATGGATGAGCGGAAAGGAATTCAGGAACCGTTGACGCTTGAAACTCTCCACCCAATGACTCGCCTTCGGCTTACATGCAGAGCATTTGCGAGAGACGAAGATATCTCTCTCTTGAAAGAAAAAGGGGGTGGAAATCTTAGCAATGCAATTCTTGTCCTGCTTCACGTGGGCCCACGTCATCCAAAACGCCCACACAACGTCTAGCATGAGCTCGATCCGCCGATCAGAAATTCGCCATGTCCCAGATTTTAAGATTGACAAAGTGCAACTCGAAGCCGTTCGGGACTTTTGTGACAAATTGAGTGAGAAGCTTTCGGTTGATTTTGATCCTCCGAGTGGTAGTCAAATACAAGGTGCCAACAACAGGGAAGAAAGATTGGGAGATGACGTTGGCCAGGCTGATGTCCAGGAAAGAGAAGACCTGGAAACTTCTGGAATATATGTTGATGACAACGGAGCATTCGCAATTGCCATTGAGACCCCAGCTATTCCATGGGAAAAGAAAAATCCCCGTTCTCGTGCCGGTGATCGGGGCTCCACCATTGGAGATAAAACTGGAGAACAACTCTTGCGAGGACGCAAATATCTCGGGAGTCCGCCCAAAGGCAAGGGATTATTTGTTGTGACAGTTCATTCATGCACTGAGCTTTCTCTTCCCATTGAGGAGCCTTTAAGTGAAGCTATTGTTAAAGCCGATATCAAGCCACCCGGTCACCGACATCCACACGTACGGGCTCGAGAAATGCTCCTGACAGATTCTGGATCCCGGTTAGCTTTTTGCATCACGTACACAAGGGGTGGCATGAAAAAGTCATCATATGTGACTTCGAAATTGACCAGAGCTGCCTACAGGGCAAACTCGTTCGTTCACTGGATGGAGGGGGAAGATGTTGCGGAATTATCACAAGGCCCAGACAGTTTGTTGTTGTGAGCTCATTGACCAAAACCCTTCCTCGGGGTATCCCACACACAGGCTCTTTCTACACGGATGACCACACTACCCTGATTCTTGCCAACGAATTTAACCCGGTCCAAGATCACAAAGCGGATGCAGTATGAGCAATTGTCACTCTTCTTGACCGCTCGAAGCAGTGTGATGCGACATGATCCGCAATTCGGAAAAGGACAGGCTCCACGGGCTAGAATCGTTAGGTCGGGGTGGGGAAACCCCTTAGGGTAGAAGCAGAATCTTGTTAATTGGGTTTGATCGATCTGGTGATGACAATGTACCAGTTAGATACTACAAGATCTCCAAAGAGCCCCTGTCGGGATCCGAGAACCTAATACAGGTTAGCTTGAATCTACGATGGGAATTCAAATCTTCCTCAAGAGCTACCGTACACTAGAAGCGCGCATATAAAGTAGAGGCGGGAAAGCATGAAGCTTGGCAATGTATCTCTAGAGATTTTAAGAGTCAAGCTTTTATCTAGATATGAAGGGAATAGTGGCGAAGAAGCAGTTTAAGATATTAGTTAGCATTGAATTCTGCTTATTAGGTAAGGGAGAGGCTTTATGCCAACAATAAAGTCATGATTAGTATTAATAGTAGACCAGAGGCCAGGTACCTAACCGGGTAGTGAAGATGATGTACAGTAGGTAGGTGGAGGAGAAAAGTTTTCCATTATATAGGCAAAACCTAAGGCCTCTCACATCAACGCCCGGGTGGTCTAGTGGGTAAGAAAAATCGACTCTACCAACATCACCGAACAAATCATTAACATAACTCCTAGTATGATTCGCGCTTAGGGTTCACCCAAAGCATTGACTGCGCGAGGTCCCCGGTTCGATCCCGGGCTCGGGCCTATTCTTTTTTGAGAAAGCCTGGCGGCACCACCCCAGAAATCCGGCGGCACCACCTGGGGCCTGATTTCCGCCAAGCCCGTCATACTTTTTAAATACCAATTTAACCACCCCCTCCCTTCTTATATACACATATCCTTTTCTTCTGTCTTCTACTACTACTAGTAAAGTCATATAACCCACACACACTAATTCAATTTAACCTCTCTCTTCTAGTGCTAGGCCCCCTACTACTAACTATAGATTTTTCACAGTCTATTTTACTACCTACACTACTAGTACTAACACTCATTTAATATACCCTAATTAAACTTGAATACAATTCGATTTCAAAAACTTTCTAAAGATAAGTAGTAGTATTAACATAATCTGCCTGTAAGAACTAAAACATGGTGTAAAAATGCATTATTAGATAGCTGCATAAAGATGAGGAGACTACTAAAATAGGAAGAATCTTCGAAAGTTATGCATTTGCGGTTAACTATTGGTTAACCGCACTGTGGTTTTAGTTAACCGCAAATTTGCGGGTTTGGTTGCGGTTTTCACCTTGCTAACCGCAACCAAAACCGTGCCGCAGTCTATCCATGAGCTTGACGATAATATGATACCACATCCAACAGCGCGTACGATGAGTCAAGAAAATCAGGCTACAATAAATGCTGTGATCCCCACTGCAAATGCGCCCACCAATTTTGTAAGATTCGAGACCTTTTCCAAGTCAAAAATTGTATACTGCTTCTCAATACTGTAACCTCCAGTGGCTCAATTCCCGAAGGGACAGAGCTCTTAACAAGTCGCTAGGGAGCAAAATCGAGGACACTAGCTTGAGTCAGGCATGCAAAAATTGTATGGTCCGACAGGGGTGGAGTAACCAGCTGCGCCTTGCTGATTAATCCAGAGAACGGAAAATTTCATGGAGCCAACTTCGAATCATCCCCGAAACCCGTGACGGTAACAACCATAAATGACTTGAGACATCCCGTGCGCCAAATCGCCATATTTGTAGAATTGCGTCATTTCCCCAGTCTTGGCAGGATGTTTTATATGTAACTGTGGAACCATAATAACTCTCTTGAAGAGCGAGACTAAACCCCGCAAAATCCTTTGGGAAATTGATCCACCTACTTGACTATTTTGGATATTTACCGGCGGGTTTGAAGTCCCGCAAACTACCCGGGCCATTCAAGAATTGACCGAAGTGAATTTTCATCAATTGCCTTCAGGACTATACAACAGCGGATTTTGAGAAGATGGTATAAAACGAACTAACTCGCACAAGAAGTCTGCTACTTCTCCTCATCCGAACATCTCAAACAATCAATCCGCTCAATAAGACAACCCAAAATGAAAGGGTTCGCCTACCTCTCTACTGCCTTACTAGCCTCTCTGCCTGCCTTTGCTATCCCAACGGAATCAACCCTACAGAAAAAAGCACCACCAAGCAATGTCGGTTACCTGGCCGTCACCTGGAAGACTGCGGACAACAGCGTGTATTTTGCCCTCAGCGGCAATGATGACGCTCTAGATTTTAAGCCTATCAATGGCGACAAACCGATTGTGAAGCCTACGCTTGGGACAAAGGCCGTTCGGGATACATCTATCATTGTCGGACAAGGTGACAATGTTGGAAAGTACTATATTCTAGGTACTGATCTGAATATTGCTACGGTACGTTCTTATCCTGCTATGGTATAAGAAATATTCGCGTAAAGGTATTAATTGAACATAGACCAATTGGGCAGCTAGTGTGCGTACCGGATCCCGTGGAATATTCGTTTGGGAGAGCACAGACTTGGTCACTTGGACGAATGAGCGGCTGGTGACAGTTGAGGATAAAACGGCTGGCATGGCCTGGGCTCCCGATGCGTTCTGGGACGCCTCAAAGGGACAATACTTTGTTCACTGGGCTGCGCAATTAGTAAGTCGAAATCTTTCTTCTAGTCTTACGCCGCTAAAAAAGACTAGTACGCTGAAGGTGACACCCACCACACCGGTGCTCCTACCCTAAACACTAGTATGCGGTATGCCTACACCAGCGACTTCAAGACTTTTACTGCACCGAAGACATATCTGTCACTGGGCGACGCCCCTGTAATTGATATGTCCCTCCTCCAGGATGGTAAGGCGCTCAAGCGATTCTATGTTACAGGAGGTGGCCCAGTAGAACAGACCAGCACCAACGGACTTTTCGGGAATTGGAAGACCGACGGAGCAATTGCGGGTAGCAATGGCTTTGAAGCGCCGTATGCCTTCTGGGATAACGTGGATATTCACCGATCGTATCTTCTCTGTGACAAGGTAGGCGGTGGCGCTGGAATTCACGCGTGGACGTCGACCGATGGGCATGCGGATTCATTTGCCGTGAATAATACCCACAACTTAGCCTTCATGCGGCATCTGTCAGTCCTGTCAGTGAACCAGAAGCAGTTTGACGCCTTGTCGGCGTTATAAAGGTGAAGTGTGAAAGAAGTGGTTTCAAGAATCTCGTTTATTGAGGATACTCTCGGCTAGCTGCTAGGCTTCTGCGGAGAAATTGTTTTCAGTTTTGGCTTTGGATGGCGAGGACTCAGAACAAGGTTTAAGATTTGGCTAAGTGGTGTATATATCCATGGCAAGAAGTTCGCACACACTCCTGTTTGATTACATAACCTTCTGCCGCAAAAAATCCATTTTTAAATTGTATGATTGGCTGTAGATCCATATATGTGGCTGAAATAGTAGGCGGTAGCTAGCCGGTGAGTTTGGGGTGTGTAAACTTCTTACCTGGCACTGCACTAGCGCCGCTAAGCGAACAGCCACACCTAAACGTGTCCGCACGTGGGAGATGGCCTACTAACCTACAATGGAACATGAGTCTGGTGGAAGTAACTTAAGCTCAGGACCGCATCGACCTATGAGAATGAACAGTGACGAACGAAGTTCAGCAGTGTAGATATCAGATCGATATATATGCTGCCTCTACACTACATGCTATAGGTACAATCTAGAATCAAGAAGCCTCTTCATGTTCCTGTGATGATCGAAAAAGTCTAAAGAACATCGAGACTAATCGCAGTGTATTGCTCACGAACAAACATCTTATGTCGTGCCTCTAGCGCCCGTCAATATATCGCTTCCGCCTGTGCAGATTTCCCTTGGCTGTCAAGCACTGAGCCAATATTACTGGCATTGGTGAGCGAGTCAGGATGCTCGCTTCCAAGCACCCTTTCACTCCCTCTTAACGCCCGTCAATACATCGCTTCTGCCTCTTCATATTTTCCTTGCTAATAAAGCACATTCCCTAGGTTACTGACACTGCAAGAGTGTCGGTATGCTCGCGGCTAAGAGTCATCTCTCTACCTCTAATGCCCGTCGATGCATCGTTTCCGCTTCCTGGTGCTTTCCTCGGTTATCAAGCACTAGGCTGAGATTATTGACACTGGCCAGAACTTCGGGATGCTTACGTCTAAGAACCTTCCCTCGTGCCTCCAATGCCCGTCGATGCATCGCTTCCGCCTCTTTATATTTGGCTTGCCTGAACAGCACCGAGCCAAGATTACTAACGCTAGTGAGCGTGTTAGTATGATCGTATCCAAGTAGATTTTCTCGTGTGCCTAATGCCTATCGATGCATCCCTTCTGCCTCTGTATATGCGCCCCGAAGCAGTAAATACTATCCGCTTTTAGAGGAGATCGTGGCAATATGCAGTCGATCATCTTTATGATTAGCAGATATCGTTTTTATCACTTCTTTTGTATGCAGAAACAGCCTCTGATATTCAGCCCAGCTCTCGTATTCTCTATTGGGAGTATGTCGGGTTTACACCATCGGCATAAACCCTGGGGGGTGTGCTTAGAGGCGCACACAGGTCGATCGAATACCACCATTATGGAAGAGAGACGAAGGTGCAATAGAGGTGGGTCGGCAGCGAACAGGTTGTACAGTGGAGGGTCAACACAGTTTAACAGAATTGCCTTGAGCTCTATTCGTGAGTGAAAAGGATGTCAAACTTGTTCAATTTAACTAGGGAAACAGGCAGTATTTATAACTTTGGGTATATAGCAGAATGTCACAGGAAAGGAATGATAAAAAATCTGAAATAACATTGTGGCATACGAGAGTGTTAGGAAACTCGTTCTTTCCATCCGATGCTATAGTTGACAATCAACATCGTATATCATGAAGCGGTGTATCGGGGATATAGAATTAGGCATCCGATTGCATTAGCGCGCATACGCATGCATGCGCTCGCTTATTGCAGGGATATGCACACATATATGTTGACAACATCTCTGTAATGATGGCTCGCGATTTCTCTTGCCACCGTGCAGCTCGAGGTGGATCTCTAGCTATTTTCGGACCGATAACTGTACGAGTCGATGTATATCAAATGACGCTGTTTCAAGTTTAACCTAACAAGAGAATAACTGATTAATGGTGTAACTGCATCTTCAAACTGGAGTCTATCACTATCGCCACGGACGAGGCCTTCTGTGATCCCCTGCCGGTCAAACATGCTTATTAGCGCTAGTAAATCCGTCGCCGCAGGCCGGTCGTGACGGATTTGACTAAATGATAGCTGCTATATCGTAATGACCGTATGCCGAATACTGGGGTCCCGCGGGAGGTCTTTCGCGTCCTTATGCTGAAGGAGATGTGCCTGGTTCGCCTTGCTTTCACGGAACTGAAGGTACCGGGAGACCGTTACCCGAGATAATCGATTTGTAATATAGGACCTAGCCCGAGTGATTGCTAGCGGTATGTATTTAAGTGTCTGAACCAATTCCTTCTCGTCTTCTGCAGACTCTCCAGATTCGGGGGCCGGAATCCTTGCCCGTAACAGGCGAGGGACTCTTCCTCATTCGTTGGCTGAACCGCTATCACATGACTACTGCTCCCTACCTGTCGGAAATACTGCTTAGTAAATCATACTGCGCACCAATCGGATATCAACAAGTCTGAATTGCTATAAAGCCTCTAACTGGCAATTTATGTGGGCATAATAATGACTAATACATGCGGTCCTAACTAACTAGGTAGTTAGTTAATTAGACGTGAAAGCATTTAAGTGGTGAGCAAGCACTAAGTGATCACTGAGCAATCCTGATTGGTCACTAAGTGGTCGCTATATTATCACGTGACTCTCCTGGTTTGATCACTGAGCCTGAGCCCGTGCTGATATTTACTCACTAAGCCTGAGCCTGAGCGCCATCATAAAAGCTGAGGCAGCCGAGATAGGAAAGCCCTACCCGCCAGACATTATCCGGTCTATATAAGCGCATACTCATACGAAGCCGTGACACAATTACAGTTGCCATTGTGGGAGTATCAGCTGCTCTTAACAATGTAATAGGCATAAATCGATGCATTCATCATACCTTTTCTACCATTTTATGTCATTAGTCTCTCATCTTTATTGAGTGCTTAGACACCAGTATCAAGTGTAATTCGTACAAGAATCCAACTTTCTACGTCTCTTTCTACGTCTCTTTCTATACCTCTTTGAACATCTCATTCTGAGTGCTTTCTTCACTAATAGAAATCTGAAAAATCCCGTCTATTCGCATAATCATTTCACCTAGCCACTATTCCAAAAGAAACAGCGAGGCAAAAATACATTTACTTCTAATATAAAAAAGCTTTTATAGAACCGGAGGTTCGCATATAAACCGATTTTCAATCTTATTAGTACCTCACGTATATATCGTGCAGCGTACGGAGTACACGATCAGAAAAAGAAAGAAAGAAATAAAAAAAGTATAGGCCCGAGCCCGGGATCGAACCGGGGACCTCGCGCAGTCAATGCTTTGGGTGAACCCTAAGCGCGAATCATACTAGGAGTTATGTTAATGATTTGTTCGGTGATGTTGGTGGAGTCGATTTTTCTTACCCACTAGACCACCCGGGCGGTTAATGTCTAAGATCATAGACTTGCCTATATAATGAAGTCATCTCTCCGCCTAGTTTCTTTTACGTACTACCATATTGGTTACTAAATTCTGCTTTTCTAACTTTTTGCATTTCTGTTCACAGGTGATGAGCCCGGGTAACTTCCTTCAATTTACTTTACTACTGACAACAGCCTCTCGACTATCTGGGCTCCGCTTCTAGTAAGGCAATCTTTCTTTTTTTGAGCCTAACAGAATCTTCTCGAAGACTCGCAATCCCGCAAATAAATTTTGTGGGAGAAACGCTGTAACTCTTAGTTCTTCTCGTTTCCGATTAAGTGAGGTCTTAGTGTCGTGACCTTTCGTGGTCTAGTATATTTGTATCTAATCCTCATGGAAGGCTGCGAAGATCTTATCCCTGATATTATGTCTGACAGCGTTCTTGTTAGCGACTCGGCGCTTTTGCTAAATTTGTTACTGTCAAGAGCCTATACGGTGCCAGGGTAAGCCTAAAATCTCACTTCTTAGTCGTAATGATGTAATCTAGAGTCGAGGCACGCACTAGCATTAAATTTACGATTCTACAAGCTCGGCGTACAGTGCATTATCGCGAGGCTAGTACTGAATTTGCTCTACGATCTATAACCAACTGACTGCTGCGGGTAGCTTAAGCTCGGTAATAATTAATATATAGGATTCGCGGCTGGTGATGACTTCTATGATACGACCTAATTCCGCTGATAGAGCTATTTACGCTAGCGCTATCGCGCACTACTGAAGCGCTCCAACGAAGAATTCGAAACATAACCGGGACAACAAGGCGCTAGTACGCGGCGAAGTATAGATTATAGATCTTAGATAATACTAGAGATAAATGGTATAAACTCAGATTAGACGCGATCAAGAACCCTACATCACTTAAGTTTCTCGAGCATACAAACAATTTTTTAGCAAAAGGGAGCTGAACTAACGAGTTTAGCTGCGCCGATTACGGTTAGCTATGATGCTATATGCGCAGGATAGTACTATTTAAAGTAGTTTCTAGGGCTGTAAGACTGGGCAGCTATTTGCATATAAGCTATATATACAAATCAGTAGATACGTAATTAAGCTAAATCATGGACTAATATTAAAACTTAAGTTGCTTAACTAATTTACCACTCTTTTACAAAGCAAGCGCCAACTATAGATCTTAAAGACATAGGTTTCTGCTTCTGTCTTAACACACACTGCGTAGCCTAGTCCAGGAGTAAATCGGATTATGTCTTTTAAGTACAAGACAGCTACTTATTATCTAAAAGCAAGCAATTACCGTCCGCTCATTAAGACGGAGCTTGATTATCTAGTAGCTTTCAGACAAAACATAGCGAGTTGTAGGCAGGGGTAGCGGTGTTGAGCATTTGTAGCTCAAGTGTTCAAAGGCTAAAGTCAAGCATGATAGCTACTAAGTTTTTGAACTTGTATGAAAGGCCTTTCGAGTAAGCCCTGAGACATAATTCCTCGAATTATCATAAGCTATACGTATGCTTAAAGGACTTATCTCTACATTGAGATAAATCAATGGACTATCACCCGTAGAGATAGAGAGGTCACTTTCATAATTAAATAATATTTCTTGCTTATTATTTACTGTTAACCCTATTGCATAGGGATCTCTTTACCTTAGCCTGCATGTAGCTTAGGAATAAACATCAACTTCCTATCCTCCTGACCAGCCACACTTATGAAAATCAAAATTTTCTTCGGACTTTTAGACAATAATTAGTATTTAACCAGCTCACAAAGTATTAAATCTGTTACGGGAACGAATTCTGCAATTAATACGTAGGTTATATGTTAGTAATATTGTAAGTTAATGAAAGATAACACAGGGGACCTCACGTAGTTAATGCTTTAGGGAAGCTCTAGAAGGTAGGTAATGTTAGTAAACCGAATTAAAAATTCCATAGCTAGAAGGTTAGGAATACTTATTCAATATCCTGCAAGCCAGTTCCTCTAATAGCCGTGACCTGGCATGTTGCTGACTCCGCTACTAGAGTAGCGAGAGACTTTCTGCTGAAGAGGTGAGTATTTTTTTCTTGTCAAAATCGAAATCTTTATGGGGAAGATGGTTATTGACCGGAGCCTCGCGCCGACGGACGAAGATAACGAAGATAACGCAGTCGATTCGGGACTGCGAGCCAAGCTTAACGCCCAGGAGCAACGCCTCGAGTGTTCAGCTACGCATTTCTATCTGATATTCATGTCTGTATTTGCGTCAAAGGCAGATCTATCCGCTGCGAAGGTGCGGCTTAATGCGCAGTGCGGGCATCGTAATACAGACTCGGCAACGCAACTAAACAAATATTTATACCTAGCGCCTAGTTACGGGAGAGAATTTTCTCTTTAAAACTTCTACACGCGTATAGCCGGCAGTATAACCTAGAGCAGGTCTAGTGGCGTACCTACCCTCACTGCAAAAAGACCTTCACGAGGAAGGATTCTATAGTGCGACACCTAGAAATATACAGGAAACGGTTAGGTGTGCTTAGAGAACAGCCAGTTCCTTAAGGCTTGCCTGTACCATCCGATTAGCCGGGAGGATGGATCTAGATCTACCAAATGACTAGAATTTGACCGGAAGAGGCGCCCTACTGTTGACAACGGAGTACGTTGGTAGTCAAAAAGGCTGGATCTAGAGACCAAAGACACAATCCAACCAGACATGCTTCAATCACTCCTATCAAGAAGATCTTTTAAGAGGTCTTTCTAAAGGTCTTTTTTGATGGCAAAGACACTATTTTTGTGGTACATCGTTCAACTCGTGACCGTTAACATGATTTTGAAAGTCTTTCGGGGCTTCAAACTTGTGGGACGACATCCCTCTCTTTTCACTATACAAGGTCCTCCGCGAGTGGTTTCACAACAAGACCTTTGATCCAACCGGAAGAAATGAGAAAGGCGACAGTCTGCTTACCTTGGCTGCGATGGCTAATTGCGTACCTTTGTGCGCAGACCTCATCTCACGAGGAGTGCCCGTCAATCAGAGCTCTGTCAGCAAAAGTTATGGCATTTGTCTTGCCGCCGCCGCTTATGCTGGTAGTCTTGAAACGACGAGATACCTTGTGAAGAAAGCTCAGGCAGGGGTGAACCTTTGACTCGAGATAGGACAGTATGGGAGTGCGCTTGCTGCTGCCGCCTACTAGGGAAAGTTACCTATAGTGAGATACCTCGTGGAGGATGCCCAGGCAGACCTGAACCTTCTGCTTGGGACTGGCTGTGGCAGTGTGCTCGCCAATTCTGTCAAAGCAGAGAACATGGAAGTAGTTCGGTACCTGGTGGAGGAGGGAATGGCAGATGTCAACCTTCAACTTCCGGGTAAGCAGTATAGCAGTGCATTTGACATGGCATTTTCCAAGGCGGATCAATCCATAGCTCAATATTTAATTGGCAAGGGGGCAGTTACGTATGAGGTTAGCAATGAATAAGAAGGAAATTCATAAGAATGGAACATACTTCCTAATGTCCATGACTAAAATGGCAAATAGTGGTGCCCTTTGTCATAGATAGGGGAGAACATACCGTCCATGGAAGATATATACTAATAGGGTAACCTAGTCGCTTGTATGCAGGATTATGAGTTTCCAGATATATTCGCATTGAATGAGTTCCTACTTACTATGCATAGAACGCAACGAAAACTTCTGCACGGAACCACTTTAATTGTTATATTCGGGATCCATCTAGACGTCGCATTACTTCGACCAATAGTTAGGAAAGTATCAAAATGCCTACAATTGCTTTTGACCTATTCATATTGCAGTCGACCGATATGATTTACTCTCTAAATAATAGCCAACTCTTGATCTACTCCATTTTAGGTAGGCTGCACACTCACGTGTTTTCTCCGCATAACCCCTCTCCCGACCGTTCCCCGACCCAAAATATCGAACTCCGATCTTTCCCCGCACATCAACGTACCCCGATCTCCGTCACAGCCCCGGATTCCTATTGACTTTACCCACAGTTCAAATGGCCCCATCAGAAGAAGCAGATAACGATGTATCTCAAGCACCCGCGTCTAAACGGCGTCGCGTCGCGGTCGCCTGCGATGCATGCCGAACGCGCAAGTCCCGTTGTGACGGGGTGAGACCGCGATGCTCGCTATGTCGAGATCTGGGATTTGAATGTGTATATACGCCACCGCCGACTGCGACAAATGTTATTGTACAGAAGGATTATCTGCGTGGGCTTGAGGAGAGGGTGAAAAGGTTGGAAGAAGGGATGGTCGGGGTTAGAGGGGACATTGATGGCCTAGTTGGGAGGGTTGATGGTGCGCAGGGCCAGAGTGTTGCCACTGGAGACGGAAGCTCGAGTACCAGCTTGCAAACTGCGAGGAGAGTTGAGGATGATGGACAGAGATTGGCCGTGGTGCCTGTGCCAAATTTGATTGGGACGGAGGATTCGGTCGATGCGATGGGTGCAGTGACTTTTGCTGATGAGGAGGATTCGGGATTCTTCGGTTTGACCAACCCCAAGTCTTATACTGATCGTGCAATGGCTGATAACTGCTGGGCAGGGCCTTCATCTAATATTGCATTTTTGAGACACCTCTCCAGAGCAGTCGTGCAGCAAGGCTATCTTTTATCACCCGGCGCAGCGGAAGGAGGGTTCGTCAATGCATCACGACCACCTTCTCCACCACGCCAAACGCCTCATGATCAACGATCAAAAGTCAACATATTTGCACTGCCTCCCCAGTCGGAGACATTGGCGCTGATACAGCGGTACTTTTCTGAAACGGGGTTGCTATTCCCTTACATATACCCGCCCACCTTTTTGGAGACGTATCACCAAATGACACGAGAGAATTTTACAAAAGTACGGAGAACGTGGCTTGGCTTGTTGAACATGGTTCTGGCTATGGCGACCATCACTGCTATGCCTGGTGGCGCGAGAGCTGATGCCAGGATCTCCGAGTCGGATGTCTTCTATCAACGTGGTCTGGGGTTGTGTGGGAGCGAGATCTTACGAGGGACGACTCTAGAAGTTGGTAAGAGTGGCCCTCAAGAATGAATCCCAAGAAAGCAGATGCTTGATTCGCTAAATAATGCTAGTGCAATTCCTTCTCCTCATGGGTCAATATCTGCAAGGCACGCAAAAGTCAGTCCAGGCTTGGACTGTTCATGGATTAGCAGTCAAAGCTGCCCTACAGCTTGGATTGCAGTCAAGAAATGCCTCCAAGTCTTTTCCACCACTCGAACAGGAGACACGCAAGCGAATTTGGTACGGTTGCGTAGTGCTTGATAGGTAAGAACGAAGACTTTGGGTACGGTATGGCATCGATGTTGACTGTTGATATTCTAGGACTCTGAGTATGACCTTCGGAAGACCTAGCTCCATTCCAGATTATTACGTGAGACTCGAGCTACCATCAAAACGAGATTTCGAAAGGTCATCTGCCTTTGTGGATGACGAGACCTCCTATCTGAGCGTGTCCTTTTTCAACTCAACCATGTGAGTTCCAACACCTACCCCAACTATGTATGACATGGTCACTAAATTCCATCTCTAGCACCTTATACAAACAACTCTGGAACATCCTCGACCTCCTCTACGGTCAAAACATAGGCTGTGATACCCCTCTCTCCGTCAGCGAAACAGTCGCCCACATCTTCAGCATGGAACAACACCTCTTCACCTGGGAACGCTCCCTGCATCCATCCCTCCAACTCGTATCCACAACAATCCTAAACGGAATGCCCCTGGATCAAACATCCCCCAGCCCTCAATACTTCTCCTGGAAATTCCGCGTCATTCTTACTCTCCGATATCTTAATCTGCGGGTTCTCTTGCATAGACCTGTGTTGGTGAAATTCATCGCTGCGAGTCGATATCCCGATCGTGATCAGCAGGATTTGAAAATTCTGCAGCAGATTGGGATGAATAGTATGCAGATTGTCACGGAGTCGGCGATGGAGATTATTGATATTGTTTCGAGGGTTGTTTTGGAGCCGGGGTGGAAGCAGAGTTTGTTGGGGGCTTGGTGGTTTTCGTTATATTATAGTAAGGACACTTTGCTTGGCTGAGACTGATTGATGAACATACTTACTAACACGACTCCTCTAGCATTCAATGCGGCGGTTGTGCTTATCGGAGCTGTTTGGGTTTATCGGGATACAGCCCTTTGCAACGCTTCGATGACCGCCCAAGCCAAGAAAGTGCAGCAGTACCCAGCCCGGGCAGTGATGGCCCTATCAAAGCTGGACGATGGAAATCGATTGATCGACCGGTGTCGCTATTCCCTGGAGCAATTCAATAAGATACTGGTTGACCCTGGTAAGTTCTCTTCTCGCTGTTGTTTTTCATATCCATTTGCAATTCGCTCATATCTTGTTTAGAAGCAGATCTTGAAGGCTTGATGCCTACATTGCCAGCTCTGGCGAGTGCTCGAGGCTCCAATCCGGCCGCTGATTTTAGCCTTTCACCGATTGGAATGGAGCTTGGGGAATTTATGATGGATGATGATCTTGTTGCGATGATTGATAAGCATGGTCTTTTACCACATGATGCAGGATCAGCTTATCCTTTATGATTTCACAAATGGAAGATGAACCATTCAAAGCTAGCAGAGGATTGTCATTCCTCAGAAATGGCTGCTCGTATTATTGTGAGATATCACTATTAAAAACATCCGAATTCCCTCTTTTCCTCAACCATCAACTATAATGCCTACCCATCTCACTCCCCATTCATCTTCGCAATACTAGCCTTATGCGCAATCTTCGCCAACAACGGCGCCATACCAGCATGATTACACTCCGGCTGGAACCTCTTACTCAACAATGGCGAATTCTCCAAATCCACCTCTACTTCCTCACCATCATCCCGCTTCGAGAAACTAAATCCCGGCGTCCGCTGCACACAACTATACTGCGCATCGGCACCACGCAAAGCACATACCTCATTCTTCACGCAATCACCCGTACAAGCGGGGACACTGTATCCGCGCGTGCGTCGAGCCCAGAAGTCATTGAAGACGGAAGAATCCTTCTCCATGGCGACGGTGACGTTGTGCCAGAATGCGGGGGTGAGTTCGGCAGTACTCGGTGTTGGAGGGGTGAGTTTGCCGCCGTAGTCTTTCTTTGCGGAGTAGTACGGTATCCAATCTGGTTTTGTTTGGAAGGATGCTTCGCTGATGTTGGCGATATATTGGGTGAAATCCATTACTGCGAAGGTTTCTGGATCGATATCGTAGACGCGGAAAGAGGGTGGTCCGGATGTTGGGGTCATTGATGGTGCGACGTAGCCCATTGCCGTGGCGGTGTCCCAGTTCCGATTTTTGTAATCGGAGTATGCGATTTGGAATTCATCGGTGTGCGTGTGTCCGAAGAAGAGCCCCGCGATTGTAGCTTCATATCGCTGGATAATTTGATCGAAGTAGTGCGAGTGGTCTCGGAAATGGTCTACGTTTCCGGATGGGATGTGCGAGATTAGCCAGACGCGTTGGTCGGCGTTTTCGGCAGCTTGCAGCTCTTCGATTAGCCAGGTGAGTTGGCCGTTCGGGTCGTATTCCATTGGTTCGGTGTAGGAGAAGAAGTTGTATTTGTAGTAGAAGATGCTGTTGTAGGAGATTATGCGGAGTTTACTGTTTGGGTGGATGGCTGAGTAGGAGCCGTATTCGTTTGCATTTTGGACGCTTTCGATTCCGGTTAGGGTCATCCAGTTTGCTGTGAGTGCTTCGTAGGCCCATTGGGGGTTGTATTTGCTGGGGATATTTTTGGATGGGAAGAGGTTTAGCGGTGCGGCGTCGTGATTACCCAACGCGGCGTAGACAAGGCCGAGGTGGTTCTCCATCGCGCCGTATGTCGAGTTGAAGTCTTGTAGGACTTCTTCCTTGTTTACGAGCCATACGTCGTGTGCGACGACGTCGCCGGTGTAGATTGAGAAAGCCGGGTTGAGGTCTGCGATGGCGGTCATCATGGAGTCTTGGAGGCTCTCGGGAGGATCGCATTTGGTATTGCCGAATGGTCCGCATGGCTTCTCTGTTTTTCCGGGGGCGTCTTCGTCCGAGTATACGCGGCAGCAGATGGGCTTGGAACAGTCATAGTTTGAGCCGGTCTCGTAGGATAGATCGACGTGGGTATCGCTGAAGTGGACCACGTTGATGGGAGGTTTACCGCTTGGTGGAGGACGACTCTTTGCTGGCTTGGGCGAGGGGAAGGGTATGTCGAATGGACGGACGTCCGGGAAGTCGCAGAGACCGACCAAAGCCGAGCAGAGGGTCTTGGCTGTGTGGGAGCCAACGTGCATGTTCTTGAGGGCGTAGTGCAAGGCTGGGACCTCGCTGGCGATGACGCCAGCACAGACATCGCGATCCTCCGCCTGTGAGATATAATGAGTGGGTGTATTTGACGTGATGTGAGTGCTTCTAATAACTTACACCGCTGATATCACAGACGCCAGTCAATACATCCTCCAGGAAACCTTCACCAAAGTCGGCCACGAGCTTGAGGCTACCCAAGAGAACCTGGTAATGGACCAGAAGGTTAGAAATATGACTTGACGAGAATATTTACAAGAGGGACATGTGCCTGGCAGCTTCCACAGTCCACAGCTTCCTTGAACTCATTCCAAATATTGGTGATCCAGCTTTCTGCAGCTCCAGTCCGGGCCTGGACTCCTGGCAGTGCTGCCAAAGGCGCAAGGGCTGCAAGTAGAACCGCGGCCTTCATCCTGACGATCTGGGAGGGTGAAAGTTCCGAGCACTGACGAGCACGTAAACAGAGGCAAGAGAACGTGGTTACCCAGCTGACTTTTATCCCCCTCTCCTGACGATACCAAGACCGCGGAGACGGCCAAGGCGTCTATTATACACCTCGATCCACCGACCCCATCTATTCTGCACGTACATTTGCCCAGCTAAACGATCCTACCATACGCTTAGGACGGGATAACGTTTCTGCATGACAATTCTAAGCGAAGCGATCATCAAGGCCACCTTCCAACCAGATATCCCCACACTAAAGATGGTCTGCAGCGGTGCGACGATGATTGGCCAGCGATTGTCGATCGCAAGTGACAGCCATCGCAAGCACACCTGTTCATGGAAAAGCTCCAGAAGGACTAGTTTGAACATGGCCAGTCGGAATGGTTATCGACCGCTATGTCCCGTCGGAGTTTAATGGAGACCGATCGGGCGACCGAGAGGGGCTTGCAAGCGAAGAGTTACTACAACATTGTTGACTTAGTGATGCAGCCAAGCAGCTAACGGGTGGGCGTTGCAACTCTGCACGGTGCGGGAGAGTACAACTATTAAATTCAGCTGTTCTCGGGGATTGATTGTCGGCCGTGGTTAAGGGGAGGTATGTCTTGGCTGAGGATCATGATGGAGTCGGTCGCATTCATTCGGTTTTCACATGAAGATTATGACAAACTTAGGTTACCCCTGACAAGAGTTAGGTAGAGGCAGCCTCACGATCTATTAGGTTTCCAGGTTCTAAGCTACATTGCTCGCAGTCAGCGCTAGCAGGGGAGCTTCTGCGGGGTCATCCAGGGTGGTTATGGGCTGGAAGACCTGGAAGGTACATACATAGATTAAGACGGACGTATGCACTAGGCCGTTTCAATTGGAGCCGCAAGATAACCTTGATTAATCTAGCACGTAGGTGGATCAGGGCGGATGATGCGGCCTTCCGATAGAAGAGCCAAGATCAATAAAGCTGCAGGAAAGTGTGGATATGAAGGATACCAAAGTCCAGGTGGTTCCAATGGGGGTTCAATTGGAAAGCGGAAGTATTCCATCCATTCAGGCCAAAGCTCATGTTGGTTGTCCATAACTCCATAGGCCCGATGGGAGGGGAGACCTATGTATATATATCTATGCAGCGGAACACTTCTTCTCTCAGGCTATATATTAAGAGACACGGGTGGGCTAGAGCTCCCAGCTTGGCAGGCTAGATGTGAATTGGAATGAGGGGGAAATAACTAGCTGGTTATTCACCTACAATCCGTGTATATCTTGGGTATGGTCAGAAACCACAACTTAAACCCACCACTTAAACAGTAGTCTAGGGCCAGCCCTGCTATTTACCATAACCGAGAATCAGGCCGCGAGAAACAGATCTGCTCACTAGCAGGACCAGGCACACGAGCACCAACAAGCACTAGAGAACAAAAGGCTAAGCGTCATGGTCCCCGACGCCATGGATGCCAGCCACATACGCGCTTTAATTCAGACGAACGGAGGCCGACCGAGCAGTCGAGAGACTCTTCTTTTTAACTATGAATGAATACTCCTCATTGAGGGAATTTACCCGAATAGCAGCACCCATAATCCTGGTAGCAGGGGCGCGTGTATGATCCTCGTGAGACTGGAGTGTTTGCCCGTTAATATTGGAAGGTTTAAGATGTGGATCGAGTGGCGCTGGGCCTCGTCCCAAGAACCACACGGGGCAGGACTATCCAGGTGGTCATTGGTGAGCCAGTGGATGAGCGTGGAGGTGATTGGGGGTCATTGAGGGGTTGCTGGTACGAATAGCATCCTCTTTCCTCTCTGATTGAGCGTTGAGAGGAGAGTTGTGTATGACGTAGCTCTATACATCGAGAACTGACGGATTGTCTGTGTATAATTAGTTCGACAATGGCCGTTATTAGAGAGACTCACGATGGAAATCTGAGACAGGAGGAAGAGACATACATACGGGGCACTTCAATTAGGTTTAACCGTTTTCCCAGCGGTCGTGACTGACTGATAATAGCGCATCAGCGGAGTTTCGGTTCCGATCGCGGCGGGGAAACGAAAAAAAATTCACTTTTTGGAGGGGGAATAAGGGACCAATTGGGAGCCAATAAGAAAGAATCTCACGATGATCACGCTTTTGGCTCTCCCACTCGCTTTTTCCCCCTCACAGGATCAATGCTGCGCTGATCGACCCTATTCGAGTCTGGATGTGCACTCCTATGTCAAGTCTCGTTGGTTTCTGCGCCTGTTAAACCTCTTGTATCCCACGCTTCTCCTCCTCGCCTCCCTTGAGCGGGTCTGGGTCTTCCTCCCCAGCCTTGTTTTACCCCGGATTCGTCGGACAAACTTCCAAGTTCCAACTCAACCACACCTAACGGTCTCTCCCCTAGAGACCATGGAGCCGAAGCTGGCCCTATACGCAAATCCTCCCTCCTCCGATCGCGAATATGCATTGAGGCACGTCTGCCTTTCAATCGATACCCGACTAGGGGCTTTGTGAGTGTGGAAAGCTGTCCGCGCCTGCGGTGCGCGGTGCCGTCATCATGGAAACTCGTCGACCGGCTACGCTGGGTGTCTCGATCACCTTCTTTGTGATCGCGAGTATCTTTGTGGCTTTGCGGTTTGTCTCGCGCATCTTTGTTGTGCGTAGGGTCGGGTTACAAGATTATTTGATGCTGCTCGCGTGGGTACGTTGTTGTTCCCAAGGGTCCCTGCATGCGCCCGGGATGGTTGCGCTTGAATGGGCGCATCCCTGTTCTGAATCGAAGGCGCGGATATATGGTGCTCTGGTGATGTCTATATGGTAGTTTCATTGCTAATCCTAGCTTTAGCTGATCGATTTTGGTTTCTCATTCTCGCTGTTCTACGCGACTCAGCACGGATTCGGCCTACACTCAAGCGACATCCCAGACGACAATAAAGAGGCGCTAAATAGAGCCAACTACGCATTTACGGTGCTATATGTGAGTTCAGTCTCTGTTCGTAGTGTTCAGACATTAATCGTGCTAATATATTGGTCTCTTAGAATCCGGCACTCATGGCTGTCAAAACCTCCATCCTCGTGTTTTACCTGACCTTGACAAAAAACCAAAAAGTCTTCCGATGGGCAAATTATGCTACACTCGCCGTAGTCAACTGTGCAGGCTTTGCCTTGACAATGGTCAATGTATTCCAATGTCGCCCTGTATCCGCTGCGTTCTACTCGACAGTTCCCCCCCGCGCAAAGTGTACCGACATCGTCACGCTCTACCTTTCCTCGTCCCCCGTCAATATCATCACCGACCTGGCCATTTTATTCCTCCCGATACCAATCCTGACGCAGATGCGTCTTCCATATAAACAAAAGGTCATTTTGGTGATTACATTCAGCTTTGGCTTCTTCGTGGCGGTGGTCGATGTCATTCGAATCGCGTTCCTGCAACAAGCCGCAATCTCGCGATCACTGGCCGTGAAATCGATTCATTTGCAGGGTAACACCACTACTGACTTTAGCTGTAAGCTGCCAGTCCCTTTCAAGTCATTTGATTCGGAGAATTGCGCTAACAGAATCTTGTCTGTCTAGGGTACGCCTCGCTCTCGTTCATGTGGTCCGTCGTCGAAGTCAACGTCTCGGTCATTTGCGGCTGTGTACCAAGTCTCAAACCACTTGTCGCTCGCCTGGTGCCGAAATTGATCAGAGATACCGACGACCCTTATACGAGTCCCCGGAACAACTACGCAACAGGTGAAAATCAGGTTGCGGTCCCATCTCCTGCGGTGATACAGGGCTCCCTCAACGCATCTCCCGCGGTATCACCATCCGTCAGTGATGGAAGCAAGCGCTCCCAAACAAGAAGTGGCAGCATTGCCGCTCGTAGGCAGAGCTCTAATGCGCCAATGGGCATTCTCGATTTTCTGGGCGAGCCTGGGAACGCTCCTACCGATACTGAAGCGAATACTCATACAAGCGCGTCCTACCCGCCTGATATTACATTTTTCGATTTCGTCAATATGAAGAATCCACAAAGCATGCTCAAGTTGAACAACCGAGAGTCAATTGCCCCCATCGCATTGACGACCCTTTTGTTCTTCCTATGGGGCTTCGCGTACGGCTTGCTTGATATACTGAATGCGCAGTTTCAGACCATCGTTCAGCTGGATACGTGGCACTCGCTGGGCCTTCATGGCGCCTATTTCGGTGGGTATGTCGTTGGCCCGTTGCTGGTCGGACGTCCAGTTCTGAAGACCTGGGGGTTCAAGTCCACCTTCATCACTGGACTATACATATATGCCTGCGGTACCCTCATATTCTGGCCATCTGCAGTTCTCGCATCTACCGCTGCATTCACCCTCTCCAATTTCATCGTCGGATTCGGCCTTGCGGTCTTGGAAACCGCAGCCAACCCCTTCATCGCGCTTTGTGGTCCTCTGGAGAACTCAGAAATCCGATTGAACATCTCACAGGGTGTTCAAGCCATCGGCAGTGTGGTATCTCCCCTTCTAGCCAAAAAGGTCCTTTTCAAGGACGTCCAAGACGCCGCATCTCTCGTCGACGTGCAATGGACATACCTCGGAATCGCCCTCTTCGACGTCCTCCTCGCAGTCGCCTTCTACTACCTCCCCATCCCCGAAGCCTCAGACGAAGACCTCGAAGAACTCGCCAACCGCCGCAGAGAAGACAACATGACCAAAGTCATCGGCATCCCAGTCGTCTGGCTCACCCTCGGCCTTGGCATCTGGTCCCAATTCTTCTACGTAGCCGGCCAAGAAGTCCTCTCCACCTCATTGGAACGTTTCGTCCAAAACGCCAACCCCACAACCTCCCTCGGCCCCTTCGAGTTCCTCACAATCGGCCACAGCGTCTTCGCGGTAGGCAGATTCATCGCCGCTTTCGCGCAGTGGTTCCTCAAACCCCGCTGGATCTTAATGGTCTCCTACCTCGGTATGATCGTTTTCACAGTGCTATCTATGAAAACATCAGGATCCGCGGCTATCATAATGACCATGTTCATCTACCTGTTCGAAAGCGGCGCGTTCAGTATTATTTTCGCTCTCTCCCTCCGCGGCACGGCTCAACATACAAAAACAGCCGCCGTATTCATGACAATGGCTATCAGCGGTGGAACTTTCTTCCCCTTCGCCGAATACGCCGCCTACCTCTCCCACGGCCAGCCATATTCTTTCTCCGTGCTAGTCGCCCTCTTCGCAGCCGGCGCTATTTTCCCGGTATATCTCAACTTCGTCCCCGCCGTGAAAAAACAGGTTGACCCCGTACCGAACGAGTATCTACGTCGACACCACCGTCGAAGAAGTAAAGCCCCCGGCGGTGGCGGCGTGAAGCGCGAAAAACAGAATCATTCTGTTGGGGGTGTGCTGTCGCGGCCGCGCAGTCTGGTCTCTGATCCGGATTTGTTGCCTGATTTGCCGATGCCGGGGGAGACGCATCAGAGTCCGCGGATGAGGAGTGTACGGAGTGGGAGTGGGAGTATGAGTGTCAGGGGGTCGAAGGGGAGTTCGAATGAGAGTTCGCGGGTTGAGTCGCAGTCTTCGGGGCATGAGGGTGTTAAGAGGGTGAGGATTGCGGGGGAATTGTGATGAATGCACATTTCTCTTTTTCGGCTTTTTTTGTTGCTGATTTCGAAGATACCCCGTCTCTGTGGCGCCGATTGGTGGCGTTGCTCAGGGCATTTGAAAACTTGGGTAATACTCGCAGTATTACTTGTTGTATATACCTTCGCGGGCTGCTTCTGGCTCTTTCGGATCTAATACTTGCATTTTAGCGATGGCGTTTGGAGGGATCATTGATAGGTGGTTGTTGCTACTCGTGGCTTTGTATAGTGCTTCAATCTACCACCTATCTCAACAAACTTGGAAACCGGTCGCATAAAAACGTCTAGGTGGGCTTTGACTAGCAGACATCGTGCTGGCCGATATCTGTGTACACGACAAGCGGTTCCGTTCGATGAAGTGGTCTCAGGTGCCCGATATCTAACTACTGTATTTCCCGAATTTGAAGCACACACCCAAACGTAAACTCTGTACCTTATCTCTCGACTCTTCATATAATAGTTAGGATAGGAAGATACCCATAGAGCTTAGGCCTGAGGTCCCTGCGGGGGCGCAGCGTAAGTGCGTAGCTGACGTTTCACTTAGTCTGCTCTGCTGCCATTCATCCTTCCGATCGCTTTTCTCACACGCGCTAGACGAGTCATGTCAGCGCGTACTAAGACTCGTTCACATGAAGGCATATATAGATGGGGTTTCAATAGGCAAGTCAAAACCGGACATGATTTGTTAATAGTCAAAATCGGACATGATTTGTTAATACCATCATCTCCCTCATACGTCACTGTAAGAAGCTTCGCGTTCGTTCTTACAGCAGGGATTACCACAAATAGGAGGCGCAGATTATGCGCCGCATTCTCCGTTTGCCAGCATACCTAGCGTCCAGTGATGAACAAATCAATGCTTGCCACTTCAGCTTTTTATTATGGCCTAATGAGGCTGAGAACTGTGACCCCGCATCTCTTCTATTTAAGGTCACCTAGGACGGAAGCCCACAGACTTGAGAAGCTAGGCAATCCTCACGTTACCCACAGGGACTATTGCATCTAGTCATCATGAGTCCACCACCATCCCCAAAACTACTGAAAAGTTATCTGCTAAAATCAGAGAACGACCGTATGAGATTACTTTTCTCAAGGGATTCATATGTTTCACATGAATCACCCCCGGATATCTTTATGGGCTCGGGGCGACGCAGCCGTAGGCCATCTCGCTATGTGAAATGGAGAACGGAGCCTGAACTACAGGGCGAAACCATCAGAACTGAGACTGCAGGGAGACTAGACAAGTTTGAGGACCCCTTGCATACCGGGCCAAACGTTGAAGATCCTGGCTCCTTATCTCGCCCGCAGGATCGTGCGAAACACCGTTTGCCCCAGCATGGAACGGCGCAGCCAGACGAAAGGCAATCTAGCACAAGCTATGCTGATGTAAGAATAGAATCAACCCAGAGGCGGCATCGCTCCCTTCAAAACCCGCTTCCTGATGGTGAATCCGTTGATCGTTCGAAAAGGCTATCGCCCCGACATGGAACAGATCAGTTTGAATAGACTCCACGCTATGCAAGAGAAACAGTAGCATCACGCCAGAGGCGGCGTCGCTCCCTTCAGGACCCGCTTCATGACGGCGATTTCTGTGTGCATGAGAAAGGCAATCTACCCGAGGCTACGCTCAAGAAAGAAAGGGCCACTTCAGAGCCGGCTTCTCTCCTTTGAAAACCCGCCTCCCGATGCTGGATTCAATGATGTTGATTTCCTCTCAGTGAGAGACTTCCATTCAAATGCAATGCAACACCCGATATTACAGGAATACTGACATGTCAATCCAAATCTCGTTCGAAAGCCTTTCGAAGGAATGCATCTAGCCATTTGCCTGGATGACATCAACGTTGTGAAAAGGAAGATCAACCAAGGCTTCAACATCAACCAACAAGACACTCAAGGAAGTCCTCTTTGTATTGCTGCGCAGCGTGAAAACGTGGAAATGTTGAAAACTTTGTTGGATCTAGGCGCCGAGGTAAATCTTCCGGTGACAAGCGGAGAGCACGGAAGCGCCCTCGTCGCTGCTTGTCGAGGGAGCAAAGTTTCCAGCTTGAAGGCACTTCTCCTACATGGAGCTGATGTTGACATGCAACTGGCCCATGGAGAATACGGCAGCGCACTTACAGCAGCCTCCGGGGAAGGGACCGTTGCAACATCTTCCAGTCTACTTGATGCCGGAGCTTCGATCAATATGGTAGTCACTTCAGGTCACTACGGCAGTGCTCTAGCTGCAGCTTCCTATATGAATGAGCCTGATGTGGTCAAACTACTCATTCAACGTGGGGCAGAGGTTGGCCTGGAGTTGGAAAATGGGAAGTTTCCTTATGCCCTTGCCGCTGCTATTTCTTCCAAAAAGTTGGAGAGTGTCGCAGCATTACTAGAGGCTGGTGTTGATCCCAATACGCCATTTTCAAGAGGTGACTATGGGGATGCCATCTCCATGGCCATACAGCTCAAGAATCGGCCTTTAACTCGGTTATTGATCAAGCACGGCGCTGCTTTACATCCTCTAGCAGCCGACTAGATTGATAGAGAAAATCTGCACAGCCCGCTGTCAACCGAAGATCAGACAAATCCCCAACTACCCTTTGTCCTTTCAACCAACAAGCCCCAGGTCACTGAGTTTCACTGCGAATTACCTGATATGGCCAAGAATCGTGAAGACTTGCAATCTTGGCTGTTCAGTATGGCAGTGCTGGTCCGGCAAAAAGATACGGTTGAATTTTCGACGATTTATGATTTTCTCTTGAAAGCATACGGCGATTCGGGCGTTAGATTTCTGAAAGGAATTGTTAGAGCACTGATCAGCAGTGATGGGGTATATTGTGAGCTTTACCTGAGTCCCTTCTTTTACTGAGTACTCATGCGGAAATTAGTCGACTGATACATGACTATCAAGGTTTTTCCAAAACGACTTGTTCTGGAAAACAGTCTTCTTAACAAGGAGATACAAAGCATGTTTAGGTGGATTTTCCTCACTATCTGAAAGCAAGTTCCAGATTCGATTGGTCTGTCAACGATGTATCAATTGCGTAGCAGACCTAATCACTTCTCACTAAGCAACATGAAGCTCTATCCTAAGTCAGAAGGCTTAGGCAATTGCTGGAAAAGACTCTTCAAATCTGCAGTGATCACTATCGAGCCTAAAAAACACAATCAAGAAGCATGCCGAGGCCTAGAGCTAGACTGCGATATTATGATTCGATTTGCAGCCGTGGAGTATCCAGTCCTCATTGATACTTCCCCTGACAATCCTTTAGAGCCTGGCCTTGTGTTCTTGGGCTACTCAAACGCTCTCATTCCAGTAAGAGAAATCTCTGATGAAATGATCTTATGGCATTTGGAGACCTCAAATGATGATAGCCAAATAAAGGTTTCTGACCTCGAAGCAATACGGTCGGATTGACTTCCAACTACAAATTTGCAATACCTGCGTTCCAAAAAAGCGCTCTTGGGATGGTGCTCGCAGGCAGACCTTAGATTGGGTGCCAGTACCGACAATCTCAATGTGACATGGTCTGGTGCAAAAAGGAAACCCTTTTCATGGGAGCTCGCAAACATTAACCTTCAAACTCTTGCGCAGTCTGCATCACCAGCTCACTTCGGCATTCGAGTCGGCGCGTCCTTAAATTTGGTGAACAATACGATCAAGCTTTCTCCATCTGATGAGTACCTGAATTGCTTGAACAGCAGTAGGTTGAAGCAGATTGTTCTCTATGATGTCGCCACCATGCGGGCTTGGTTAGTCCCTTTGATCTCGGTGTTTCATCACATGTTGTTGGTGTATTGGAAAAGGATTCCGGAGAAATTTCGAGGAGAGGATGTTCCTGTTACTTCTACTGCCTCTCTGCACCCGGACGCATCTTATGACGCTTTGGTAGACAAAGGAGAAATGGTGATTCAAGAGACAGACGAAGGGCGATACACGTTGACGGTTGAGAAACTCATCATTGGATTTTCGATCAATCTGGGCAGAATTCTGCACCAAAACCCAAAGGAAAGGAAATATACGGGTACGAGTTCATGGACATTGTGTGCGAACCTCAGACGACCACTTTGAAGAAGACAAGACTTAAGAAAGATAGCCTAGCATGGCTATCTCTCTTGAATGAGATCGATTGTCTCTTCTGCTCGGATCTCGGAGATGTAATCGTTGCCCAACGTACACCAGATTCCTCTTCACCTTGCAACATGTTGCCTCATTATCATGACCTCCTCGCTGCACTGATCCAGAGTATTAAGCACTTGTCGGAGACGAACGGTGGCTCTTCTGAGCAAGATGTCCGACGCTTGTTGAATGATGGTGGCTGGCAACTGACCGGTTCACCGTTCCGGGCATGTCAGCACGACGATCACGGGTCATGCTGGAATCAGCCTGAGTACTTACAACAAATTACGCCAATTCGATCCAACAGGAATAATGAAAGTTCGTCTCTTCATGATCATGTCAACAGTGCTGTTGTGTTTGGTGGACCATTGAAAGATCCATGGTTTTCATTATTCAGTCCAGTCTCGGGGCAGTATCAAAATGGTCAGGACACAATCTCTGTGTAGATCAAGCAGGAACAGGCGGAGAATGCCACACAGGTGCTCGTACAGTCAAATTAAGAGATCTTGGCCCTTCAATGATACAGCTCTTATGAGGTCTCTTTCGGTGCTTTCAGCGTCTCCATATCATTATGACGATTTATCTGATAGGCCCTGCTGCCCACTGTTCAGATAAATAACGAGATTGTACAACGGAGCCCCATGTCTTCTTCTCTCGTTTTCCTTATGAAATAAACATTGTTTTCAAACCAAATTTCCATGAATGCAGGCATATGAAAAACGGCAACATTACTTAGGACCTCCACATCCCGAGCCCACAAGCCGAACCACGGAACCCGAACGCAATGAGCCCACCGAGCTTTTCACCGAGGCCCAGGGCCCTGGAGACACATACTGAATACTAGGTATAGCAGTACGATAAGAAAGGCAGCCAAGCCGACCAAAAACCCCCACTTAGGGCTATAGCCGTTACCGAACCACCTCTGGGCAGGACTTGCAAGTTGAGCGCAAGGCGGGCTCTGAATGGAGCCGGATGGAGAACAGAATCCAAGATTTCAATTTGTGACGAAGAGAGGAGCACTCAGGTATTGGGTCACGATCCACTTAGCAGAAACAGTTTGCGCGGCGTTCACCTTTTCGGCTGACAGATACCGGCGTACCATGAATTGATGAGTAGATCTGTGGAGGGAGCTGTTGGTGGGTGTCGAAGGGCATGACTCGAGAGATACCATACTCTACGTCAAAAATTGCAGTAGATAATCGTACCACTATTGCCATTGGTGGCTGCTCCTGATCGGGCGCGCTTCTTTCTGCATGATCGATCGTGATCGAATCGATCCTGTGGCGACGCTAGGGTTTCACAAGTAGGTAAAATTGAAGTTTTATCTTCCGTGCTTCGTACAATTACCCCAAAATAGTACCATTCATGATTTTCATCTTTGTCAGGCTTTGGATCTCGCTGTAGTGCGAGATCTCCCGAGAAATAACCTCAGAAACTCAATGTCCAAACCGTCTAGAGAACAAACATAGGGGCTTTACTCCTCTCTGCACTTAATTAGCGGAAATGCACTTCCGCTCTCCAGAACCACTAACCAAACAAAATCCCTATCCCCTACCTCCCCTCCTATCCACCCATCCCCTGACTGAGGCCTCGAACAATCGACGACGATCGTGCCCGAATACCCAATATCCAATATTCAATATTCTAAAGCTCACGTCCAGACATCGTATTCCGGAACTTTAAGCCAGGATGATCTCGGAGAATTTCTGATAGACACCAATAGCGATTCGTCAATCGAGTCTTTGTACTCCGCAGGGCCCCTGTTAGTGGCAGGCTAAGAGTGAGCTAGGCCCCCATTTCAGCCACGCCACATACACCCTCGACTCCTCGAGCGCGGCACGGATGCTGGGAGGACAAGAACAGGTATTATTATTCAGGCTTTGAAGAAATATATTGCGCTTTGGATTTGGTGAGGCTGTAGCTTGGGGGCGGTGATTGGATGCTGAGGTTTCTTAGTTTTGAGGATTTCCTGGATCTTGGATGTCCGAGCTGGGTACATATGTCATGGTTGGGATTTGATTTGCAGGTCTATCCCGAACGAACGGGATTCGGGATTTCAACACAGCCTCGTGAGATACTTGTAAGCTCCAATGTATTTCATATTCAGATTCTAACTCTGCCCGATAATCCAGCCATGTATAATAGCCCCTACACCGAATGATTCATGTCAAAAGACACATGCCAAGCGACACGGACCGGTCGGAAAGTGAATCGTTGAACCACGGATACCTCGATTCTGGTTCGAAACGCATCCCGATGCCACGAACCGTTTAACAGCGGATTGTACCCGACAGTTCCTCAAAATATACTCTCCAAGATGAACAAAGAAAAGATCCAAAAAAAATACCAAGCTCCGCTGTATCGAAGCCTTCCAAGGGACTGACGCCTCTGGTCAAGACCGGGATTGGATCTGGGGTGTCCACAGCGGAAAAGCGCAAACTAGTGGGGTTGAAATGGAAGAGAGACTCAGTACATTGACAGTGAGAGAGAAAAGAGGAGAAAAAAGTTGCTTTGGCTATCGTGATTCATGGTTCATGGTTTCGATCGCATTCATTCCCCTATTCAACATCCGCGGTCCCCCTTCGCACAAAATAATAATAATGATAGGAGAAAACAAATTGGAAGCCAGAATACCTGGTTCTGGTTCAGGTCCTAGCACGGTTCACTGTCTGGCAGGGGCAATGATTGTCCAACATCCACCCGCATTGGGCCTGACCCTCTTTCTTTATATGGACTGTACTCCACCCTTTCCCCTAAAGCCGAGTCAAGTGCGAAGTCGAAGGGCTTTGGGCCTGGTGACATGAGTCTTCCAGCCGAAATGACATTTGCCACGGGCACGGGTTAGGCTATGATATTCAGCTTCGGTTTCCTTTCTCATTTCTTCTTTTGCTTTTCTTGAGCTGAGCGGCCCCCCTTCCGATCCGATGCGTTGGTGTGGCAGGTACGGTGTGCAGTAATTTTGGTTTGAGTTGTGCTCCTTCTTTCTAAATTTGTGCCTTTTGAATTCAATTCATTTGAGATCGACTTGAGGTTATCGCTTGAAGCCGTCCTATACATAGGAAGTGGTGCTGGTACAGTTTTTAGGTAGAGAGCTTGGGAGAAGACCATAGCACTGGGTAATGTACTGTTGTGATTTATTCCATGCTTGGGAATGTATGCATAGTCATATCCAACAATTCTAGCTTGGGAGATGCAGGGCCTAGCTGCGAGAACACTCGCAGCCCCTCTGTTCTGTAGAATGCAAGGGAGTCGGGAAAGGGTAGTCAGTGTCCGACCAGACACAGAACCCTGATGTAATGCTGTATCAAATGACGCTTTGAAAGAGCCCATAGAAAGAAAAGGTACAAGATCGCTAGACAATTCCAATGGGCGCGGAGGACCCAATGGATGCCATGTCGCCAATCCAACGCGGGATGTGATGTCCGACAGAACAATATAGACACGACACAAGGTGACAGGGGGAGTAAAAGTAGATGATGAACACATGTCATAGAAAGAAAATAGTACCGGAAAGAGGAGATGGAAAAAGTGTCGGTCAATCAGCGAGAACTCCTTGGCCGCGAATTCTGTGAAGAAGAGTCGTGAAGAATATCTGGCGCACGGGGACCAACCATCCAGTCCTCCATGGCAAGCCACTCGCTCCAACTGCGCTCCGCGGCCTCAATCTCCGCGTCCAAGGAACCCTGCAGCGGGCGCAGGAATGGAATCGTTTCCAGCGGGGGGATATCGTAATCTTTCTTCACGGATGCCCAGCCGCCGCTCTTCGCAGCGAATAGATAATTGCGACGTTCTTGCTCGTGCAAAGGGCCAACGCCCGTGCCCCAGTCGTCGCCGAAGAATCCATGCAGTACTCCTGGGAAATCCATGCCCGTGGCGACCAGACGGCGGATGTACGGTATCAAAGAGACGGCGGGCGGACCTGATGGTGTTGGGCCTGGTGGTGCCGCTCCTGCTGGAGATGGTGCGGACACGGGAATTGAATTCATGATCGGGTTTGGTTGTCGTTGGAAGGGTAATTTGATGTTCAAAAAGGCAGATAGTGCCTGGACGGGCACGCTGTGTTGTGCATGATCGAGGAAATAGCGTTGGCAGCTTTGATACCGTGGATACCATTCGAAAATGTCAAAGTTGTCTTCTGTTCTCCCGGGTGAGACTCCGACCAGCCCGATCATGGCGGCCGGATCGAATTGCGATTGTGAGTTCATGCGGGATGATGATGCTGATCTGGGCGGCTCTACAGAGTATCTGTGGGCGAGTCTTGGTTTTAGCCGTGTTCTTTGTCCTTTGTTCTTTGTTTGTTTCTCGAAATCTTGTCATTGGGTCTTGTCTGACAGTTCTCCTTCGTGTTGGGGTTGGCTTAGCGGGGCATTTGGATTCGCCTTGCCCCAACAGCGTCTGAACGTGAAAGATTGGGGGTGGAACCACAACGATAGAAAGCCAGAATCAAAGCAGCAACTGGATAGGGGGGAATGGTTACTTGTTTGAAAAGAGATCCCTACCTCGACGAACCAGGAGGGAGACTCGGCGCCGGGGGGAAGGGGAGGATGAAGAAGAGGAAGGCGGGGGAGCAGAGCGGAACAGATCTCTGATGGCCCCGAGTCCTCGGCCAGATTGGGGCTTATTCATGGACATCTGTTAGAGGGAGGGCCATCTAGGGAGACAGTTCATGGCCCGAATTGTCCGATTGGGGATAGTAAAAGGATTTTGTAGAGTCGAGAATCGAGGAAATGGAAAATCCCTTGTGGGGGATGAATTATGAGGTAAAAGAATCGCGAACATACATGGCTGAGGGGGGGGAAATCAACGGCCGCAGCGAGAAGGAAAAAATAGCAAATAAAAGGGATTAAATAGGAAGAAGAAAAGAAGTGGAAGAAAGAGTAGAGAAAAAAAAAGTAAGGAACTAACGGAATCACAGTCTAAGATAAGAATCAGATTCAAAAGAAAATCGGGGGTTTTATTCTGGAACGTTCATAGAAACAGAGCCCAGGAGGGAGAAGAAATCTTGCGGAGAGGAATATTAGTGGATTCCTAAGTATACGGAGCATTTTTTGGAGTAATTTTTTGGTTTGAAATCGGATCCATCAGAACGGGTCTATCCGGTTAGGCCAATTATGGTCACCAAGGCCCTTGCCCCTCAGATCTTGCTGTCCACGGCTCATGGGTGGATACTGGATCGATCTAGATGAGGAGGATGGTGGTGGACGAAGGAGAAATTGAGGATTCTCGGGATTATTAGACAGTGAGTTCGCTGGGCCGGTTATTGGACCACTGGATGGCTATACAAAAGTGTAGTTTGATTACATTCCCTAGAACCGTGACGATTAGTTGATTCTAGGGTAGGACAAAATTGATGCGTTCAAATAATTGATAGCAAAATAATATACTGTAGTTATAATAATACTAGATAGTAGAGTAACCCCCAACTTGGCAAGAGCAAGGTATGGTTCACTTGTTAGATCCAATGGATTCTTTCCACTCTCGAGTGGCCCCTCTTTTGCCTCCCCATAGCGGCAAGTCATTCAAAACGAGGAACATCCGCCGGTTCTGAACTTCTCTTCCCACGGTCGTGTTCGGCTAGGTTGATGGGAGGCTTCCGATATCCGATTCAGACCCAGTAACTAACTATTAGTAGTAGTACTAAAATGTAGTGTCTTTTGGAAAATGTCAATTATCTTCGCAATTATTTTCCTATGTTATTCTTAGTTGACCATTCCCGCTTCCTGATTTGCCCGCGGTTTTTAGCCTGCCGCAGCGCCGCAGCCCCCCCCCTCCCCCCCGGTATCTGGATCATCCATTGAGGTAAGGCTGCGTCCTTGCGCCGGGTAACTCTGCATGTATTACGGAGTCGAGAGATCTCATCGTTCACTTATTCATTCCTATTGGCTAGCGCAATCGAGACGGCGTCGATTCTAATAACTATTCTGGTCCACTGTCTTTCCTCCTTTTGTCTAACTTTTACCAACTGCTTGGATGCCCATTCTCCGTTCCCTGTCCCCCTTTTTGTTAATGATTAATGGCTTTTATTATTTACGGAGTACTTTCTTTCAATTCTTTCTTTCTCGTCAAACGAGAAACAGATACTAGGAAAAAAGGGGCAGACTTGCTTTACCTCGAAAACCGGATCCTAACTTCTCGGCTCGATGACTGCGCTAATAATCTACTGCAAGGCGCCTAGTCATGATTGAAATCAGTTGTCCACGAGGACACTCGAGGTTTACCTGTGCATTCAGCAATTCTCTTACACCGCAAAGATGACTGGTCAAAACGCGGCCATTGCATCCAATATACACATGTACATTTGTTCGTGCCTAGTCCTGCACATCAATATATCATGCCGCATACTTGACAGTGGCTGGCGGAGAGCCAACGAATTAATTTTCGATATAGAACGGATCCTTCCCGACCGACGGGTAGTTTTACTCTGATACCTGCCCAAATCAACCTATCCACCCCTGAATCAACAAAAGGGGGAGGCTGTCAAGAGGACGGCATGTCGACAGGACTCTAACGCAAACCGAGGCGTCTGGCTGGAATACCCCATAAGCCAAGAGTTTAGTTTGCGATCGTGGTGCACCGAGAGAAGCCGGCGTGCTCGGGTATACGACGAGCGGACTAAAGGATTGAACTTCCACAAATAATCGAGTCGTTTACAGTACCTGAGAGAACAAAGAAGTCGAAAAACAAAGATCACGCTCGCAAGGACAAACTAGGCTCAAAACAAGGATAGTTAGCCTTTAGCTAACCAAGCTGGTTAGGCACTGCGCCGACTCAAGCCCCCGTCACCAGCTATTGCCCCCCCGGCAAGATCTCAAATGAACTACTTAGAAGTCTGGAAACAATAATTATCCACAGCTTTAAGCAAGTCGATGCTAAAAATGTTTAAATATGGCGTCACTAAACCTAAGCAAGAAGCTCAAGCCAGGGCAGTGGGAACTGGGCACACGATCTAGGATCTTCGGGCGCGAAAAGCCCAAGGCGCCCAAAAGCAGGGACCACCCCTCGAGCTGTGTGTGCCTTTCTTACTTCCCTTCTTTGCCCCCGTTTCTCTCCTTGACGACTCCGGCCTGCCGCCTGATCTCCGTAAGCTACGGCCCAATGGTGGTGGCTTCTAGACGAGGAAGGTATTTTGCTGATCAATTGGACGCGTTTCAACCTGGGTTGTTGTTGGAATTGTGGAAGCCTCGGTTGACAAGTAGCTGACCCGTCACGGCGTCACCACGGCTAGCTAAGTTAACTGCCATGGTCGATGGGATCAGCTCGGGACTGATGATGGGGCCCCCTTTTCTGGTGACAAAGAACAGGCGGGTCCCTTGTTAGCTGCACGAAATTCAAAGACAAACCAGGGGGAAAGTTGACGTGATTATTGAGTCTCGTTTGTTCTTTGAGGCGCTCTTTGCGCATGGGACAATGATAAAAGATTAATGTGTATAGGCACGCTATCTTGATCAGTTTTTTAATTGCGTTTGGTACTACGAACCTCATCCTCCATTCCTCTCTCCTCTTTGAATCACTGCTTGTGTGCGAAGGTCTCAGAAGATATCCACTCCATTTCCACATGACAGATTGGAAGTAGCGTCCAGCTTCGTGCCTGACTTGCTCAAATGGCTCAGCTTTCAGAAGACTAGAAGCTAAGACAGAAGAGAAGCCCGCCCGAATGGCTCTCGGTCCCATATGCAATGTCGTTGCGGTCGGACAAAGCTATTTGTCATTCTGACCTCAATCTGAATCTGGGAATTTCGACAACGTGGCAATGCCATTCCCTGAATTGTGGGCTCAAGATCAAGGTCCACAACAGCGATACGCTTTGCATGTATTCCTGTGCCCCGTGTTCCAGGATATGCATGAAGGCCCCTCAAGGTTTGCGGCGGATCTTTTGGCGCCAGACGCGCAAGGGGTCAACTTGTATGTAGCCGTACAGCCGTACTTTGTCAGAGCCGGTCCACGAGGCATGACCAAGTAGTAGTGAGTACAAAGTGCTTGACGTCTCGATATTCTGGTCAGAGAAAGGCAGGTCCTTGTTCTCATGTCATTGGGTCGCAAGTTGGGGCTGATCAGGCTTGAAGACTTTGTGACCGCCATTTTGGCGTGGTTTGGACGTCAGAATGCACTGAGATCTACTTCGTAAAGAATTCAGGTTTCACAGTCTAGTTTGCAGGTTTGGGTCGAACCCGGGTTGAGGCTTAACGATGTCGGCCTCGTTCAGCTCTCTGTCTGGGGATGGGTATTCTGTGGCGCAGGCGTCTTGCATCTGGAACGAAGATAGACGAAGCTGAACAGGATCATGTCGAGCTGAAGAGACATACCGAACACCGAACAAATGCAAGAGCGACATGGCGAGCTCGAGATCTATCACAGCGGTTAGCAAAGGTATTCCAGGAATTCCCTACCTCTCTGTCTTCCTGCTCGTATCCCACGCCACTCCCCTGGTGATTTCTCAAATACCTCAACCAGGATATGCAGTCTGCAGATGCAGGGAATCATCCAGCGCGTAATATACAATCTGAATCACCCGCCTATCAGCACACGTGCATGTGGTTCTAGCGGTATATAAAAAGTGACCTATCACTTCGCGACACCGCCTCCCACGCGCTGCGCAATCAGCGCCCGTAGAATCTTCGCAAAATTGTAAGCCAGTATAGCTAGTTAGTACCTTTGTATAAACTCTCACCACTGCGGTGATGCACTCGTGCAATGCTGCCTTAATCATCTCAACCAAGAGTCGTGGTGCATCAAGTCCACATGGAGTAAAAGAACAAAAACCCAATGATCTCAACCATCAGCCCTGGTAGTACCACTCGGCCGAACAAACTAGAGGCGCGGAGCTAGATGAAGATCTCGAGTAAAAACAATGCGTAATAACCCATGACGCCGACAGAACCTTTCCCTTTCAGGAATGATAGGGAAACCGGGGTTGTGAGGGTTTCTTTCCTATTCTTATTCGCAGGGTGCGGAGTCCGCCGATGCCCATCCCGCAGTGCGGCACGAGCACTGTTTTGGCGGGTGCGGGGTGGGATGGATATTACCACGTAGATGGGGGAATGAGATACTAGTGTTTTGAAGTCAGTTATGCAGGAGTGGATAGACGGATTGTTTGGTCGTGCTGGAATCTGGGGTATGTGGTGATGGTGATGGCGGGAGTGGATTCTGCGAGGCTGCGGGCGCTAGAGGGGAATGTCCTGGCTGTGGGGTTGGATATCCAGGGTTGAACTTCTAAATTCCGGTTTGGTTATTGTGTCAACAAGCTGGAGAGAAGGTTTGTTTGTTTTCTAGTCCTCTGGTGAAGACAACATGCTAGAACTTTAAATGATCGACTCACTCGATAGGACCTGTGTTTTGAGTCGAGTCGACTTATAATGTAATAGCGCTCTGCACAAGAAAGAGAATGAGGCCTACTTTGGGATCTACGAACTGAATAGATAGACACAAGAGATGTAGTTGACAATCTTACTTTTCAACACTAGTAGACTGTCCTCCAGTATATAGATTGACCGGTGTGAATCTATTGGAAACTCATATTGCTATGAGACTTGGTACAGGAAGGGTGAACCAAACTAAGATAGTCATCAAAAGCGAAATTGAAAGTTATGCAACCCATACAGAGGATAGGTAATCAACAAGAGCTCTCAAACTTAGTGTAATAGGCGGCTTTCGAAGAAGCAGAGTCAAGATTTACCTTGCCAATGACAACATTCCTGCAACATTAAAGGCTCCTAGTACGTCATACCTCTACATCTAGTACCTATGCTTGATATTCCTTCATACAAGTTAAATCAATCGTGACCGAAGCTCGAAAATGCAGTTCCCACATCAGAGATTGATAAGACCGGCCAGCATCCGCTAATATCTATGGGAAAACCTACTAGTCACGAATCGCCAACTAAAGGTTCCGACTGCTCCATCGCCCCAGTCAGACAGGAAACCTAAAGTTTCGACGGACTCGAAGCGGGCGTAATTTATCATGCAGGATCTATTCTACTGGGCGCGCCTAGTCTTCAATTTTAAACTTAGTTTGGAGACTATGTGGACTGCAGATGCAATGCGCCCCACGGATATCTCCATCCCCAGATATCTAAGAGATCAGATAGTGAATTTAAATGGTGGATTGAAAACACGATTGCACGCTATTATAAGTCAGGATCTGACTGGGGTGGGCTATGATAGATGAAGTGTACAGAGCAGTCAGCGCAAGCCCCAGAATGGCGGCGTTTACGTGAAGGTAAATGTCAAAATTCCCACATCCCGGCAGAGTACCCCCAATTAACCTCATGCTTAGTGCACTACTAATCGGCTCATGTGGGGGACACACGAGATTCAGCCCGGTCAACAGGAAAGTTGCATATAAAGTCGATCATCCTGCCGTACATCCTGTAGTGGCAAAATGTAGCAAAAAGAAAATCAAAAAGTGCCCCGTTAAAACGCGATTACCGCCCGTAATCAATAATACCTCATACCATCATGGCTAAGGAAGGATTCCAATATTTGAATCCGGGCGCAACATCATATTAGGCATCCCATTTATCGCTCTACACTTGTACTGTTATAAAAACATGACCGGGGAGATGGATCCATCTCCATCTCTTCACCGGGGAAGTGCCGTGAATCGGAGCCCCAGCGAATCCGCAAATAGGGTTGAGTCTTGGCACCAAGCTTGAGCTTGGGACTCGGGAGTACAGTACCTAGCTTTCCGAGCCTCAGAGCCCGAGCACACTTGTTCTAGCATGTGAGAGGGTATAACACCTGCATGGAAGCTAGAAAAGCTCGAATAAATTATTTAGTTACATATTAGCTGTTGTCATGCCACTAGTTAGTGACGGGGGTGTATGTAGTGGCGCCCAGCCACCAGGTCATACATACAGGAAAGTATTAACTAGGGTGGGATGAAAATTCAATTTGACTGTATGCAGAGAGGGAGAGGGATTTGAAGGAGAGGTAGTTAAGAAGAAACAGATATGATTGAATGAGGGACATTACGAGTCATGTATAGACAGCAGCTTTCATCGTCTTCAATTCTAACAGCATGATAGAATCCTTATTGTACTGTTCTGCCGATCGGTTCGGGTCAGACCATATCCCACTTTAACCCCTCCAAGTTCCAACAACCAACCCCTCCATGAGTCCACCTCCATTTACCCGCCCCTCACTATTTTAGTATGTATGTACCACTGTGACGTGGAGGCAACATCGGAGATGACATGGCCAGAAAGGAGGAGAAGGTCAAGGTGGTCAGTGCCTGAATGCCGAGTCTGGGGGCCCGGTGAAGAGCAGAAGCCGAAAAGAATACGTGGGGGGTGTTGGTAACTGTAGGTTATACGGAGCGACGGAGAATCTGCTCCGTAGGTTGCTTTTTGGCAATTGGCAAAGAGTGCACTCCACTGTGATAAAGTAGGGAGCCAGTCATGGACAGAGGAGGGGGTTTCTCATGAGTCAAGGGGATTGAAAAATAAAATTGGGCGATCAGATAAGGTGGTGGGGCGTCCCCGGAACTACTACAGTCAGTAGCGCTTGGACATGGATGGAAATTGGATATTGCTAGTAAGCTAATTGGACATTGGATGTTTTATGGACTGTATTCCATTATTCAGGGCTTTATGTACTTAGGTACGGGTTGTGTAGATGGAGTACTGGAAATGCTTAAGGACAGACGGAGGGTGGTGATTCATCTGGAATGGGTTTAAGGTGTGTAGAGGAGTATCTGACTAGGGAGTGCATTTAAAATAAGTAGTATTCTACTGGAGTACTACTTTAGAATAATGAATTTGATGTGAATTGTAGAAATCATTGAATGATACTACTGTACAGGATCCGACTCGAACTGCCGCTTGCGGGGCTCACGTGACCTCTTCCGAAAGTGGCAGCTGGTGGCGGATTTCCACATTTCGGGGGAATTAAGAAGTAGAAAGATTCACTAAAGGGTAGATTCTAATGTGCATAGACCAGACTGTGTACTGTGTGACAGAGTAAATTATGAGACTAGTAGACTAGTCAAGTGGAATTGAATATAGAATAGAAGATCCTGGACATTAAACCATCTCATAATTTTACACGCGACTATTGTCTACCTCTCCGCATTTTACACCACTCCTTGACTGTAGAGTAGGTTACATTACTGCCCGTTCGGGCAGTGTTGACCACTGCATCGGAGAGGACCGATCCGATGGGGCCAGAAGGGAAACGAGAAAAGGGAAAGGAAGAACAAGCGCATCCACCAATGAACAGGCCAGAAAGACCACCGCAGCACCCGATCAAATATTCGAGTCACGAATATAACACGGAACAGAGGGTTAGAGCCTTACTCTTTGAATTACATTAGCAGTTTGGTAGACACCTGGAGTGACTGAGTGACTACCCCCGCCACCGTAGATAAGCAATCTGTGACCTTAAAGGATAAGATAAAATGGGCCCGTTTGGCCTGAGTGGATCCCCGAACTTCGGCCCTTGTTCCCACGGAAGAGTTGGAACTCTACAGAGTGACAGGTTAACCATCCACTCTATGCTCTACTCTATACTGTAGTGTAGTACTACTCTAACTACTGTACTCCGTAGTCTCTGTTTCCTTTTTCCCCGTCCACCTTGTCCGGTCGGGCTTCTCGTCCGACTCCGGCATTCATCCATTCATCCATTTCCCTCCCTCCCCCCGCTGTATATAACATTCCCCCCATACCCCTCGACCAACGTCCTTCTTTTACTTCTCTCTTTCATCTCTCCAAGCTCTCATCTGGTCTTCAGTCTTACCTTCAACCTTAATTCCTCTATACCCCAGGCTGAACCTAAGAGCATCCACCATCTAAACCCGCCACAATGACCGCCCAGAACCTCCCCTCCGAGCCCGAGTTCGAGCAGGCCTACAAGGGTACGTGCAATATTGTCGATTCTTGAATTTATTCACACTCAATCCTTTCTCTCCATCTCTGTACTATGTACAAGTCAATGGACAAGATCACAATTTGCCCCTCACTACCCCTCCATCTCTTCCCCCAAATCTTTTTTTTTGGCATCGGCATCCTCGGCATGTGGTCCTTCGGGAAACGGCTCAGCTAATCATTTTCAATCCCGAACAGAGCTTGCTTCCACCCTCGAGAACTCCACTCTCTTCCAGAAGAAGCCCGAGTACCGCAAGGCTCTCCAGGTTGTCTCCGTTCCCGAGCGCGTTATTCAGTTCCGCGTTGTCTGGGAGGATGACAAGGGTCAGGTAAGAATTGCCTCAATTTCGACAGCCAAGATAAACCATCGACTAACATTGCTTTTTCCTCTCTACAGGTCCAGATCAACCGCGGTTTCCGCGTCCAGTTCAACTCCGCCCTCGGCCCCTACAAGGGTGGTCTCCGTTTCCACCCTTCCGTCAACTTGTCCATCCTCAAGTTCCTCGGCTTCGAGCAGATCTTCAAGAATGCCCTCACCGGCCTGAACATGGGTGGTGGTAAGGGTGGTTCCGACTTCGACCCCAAGGGCAAGTCCGACAACGAGATCCGCCGCTTCTGCGTCGCCTTCATGACCGAGCTGTGCAAGCACATCGGTGCCGACACCGACGTCCCCGCCGGTGACATTGGTGTCACCGGTCGCGAGATCGGCTTCATGTTCGGCCAGTACAAGAAGATCCGCAACCAGTGGGAGGGTGTTCTCACCGGTAAGGGCGGCAGCTGGGGTGGTTCGCTCATCCGTCCCGAGGCCACCGGTTACGGTGTCGTCTACTACACCGAGCACATGATCAAGTACGCCTCCGGTGGTAAGGATTCCTTCGCCGGCAAGCGCGTCGCCATCTCCGGCTCCGGTAACGTCGCCCAGTACGCCGCCCTCAAGGTCATCGAGCTCGGCGGTTCCGTCATCTCCCTCTCCGACTCCCAGGGTGCTCTCGTCCTCAACGGCGAGGAGGGCTCTTTCACCCCCGAGGAGATCAATGCTATCGCCGCTATCAAGGTCGAGCGCAAGCAGATCTCCGAGCTCGCTTCCACCGAGGCCTTCGCTTCCAAGTTCAAGTACATCCCCGGCGCCCGCCCCTGGACCAACATCACCGGCCGCATCGACGTCGCCCTCCCCTCCGCCACCCAGAACGAGGTCTCCGGCGACGAGGCCAAGGCCCTGATCGAGGCTGGCTGCAAGTTCATCGCCGAGGGCTCCAACATGGGTTCCACCCAGGACGCTATCGATGTCTTCGAGGCTCACCGTGAGGCTAACGCCGGCGCTGCTGCTATCTGGTACGCCCCCGGTAAGGCCGCCAACGCCGGTGGTGTCGCCGTTTCTGGTCTCGAGATGGCCCAGAACTCTTCCCGCGTTAGCTGGACCTCTGAGGAGGTTGACAACCGTCTTAAGGGTATCATGGAGGACTGCTTCAAGAACGGTCTCAGCACTGCTCAGGAGTACGTCACCCCCAAGGAGGGCACCCTGCCTTCCCTGGTCGCTGGTTCCAACATTGCCGGTTTCACCAAGGTCGCTGAGGCTATGAAGGACCACGGTGACTGGTGGTAAATCAGTTCACCTTGATCTTCTTTTTTCACTACCCCATATTTGAATGGGGTATAAAAAAGACTGCATCGTCATTGTCAGGGCAGGCTTGGCTTGACTTGTAGTTATGCATTCCCCCCACGTTTTTACTTATTTCCCTTTTTGATGTCGAGCGGGTAACCCTTATGGATAGAGGCGCTGGTTTTTTCTTCTTTTCTTTTCTACTTCCCTGATATTCCCACTTGAGCAGCGCTGTTTTGGGATCGTCATGATGATAATGAAATTCAATGATCTATTAAAAGCATTCTCTTCTTCTACAAAGTAAGTTAAGTAATTTGAGTATGTACACCAGTAGAGAGATTCTATGGAGATCGTCGGCTAAGTGCTTTTCCCGGGGCTAAGCGGAGAACACCCTTCAGCCTCGGAACGACGTCTTGAGGATTTCTAGTGGCCACTTATCTTGCCTGCGGCTTGCTTTGTTTGCTAGACTGATGTATGTAGCTCAAAATCTTTACAGAAGCATTGCCCCCAAATATTGCAGTACACCCTGTGCTGGGGTCCATATCCCTGGATCCCACCTGAAGCGAGAACACGTTCCTTTCACTCTTCAGCTTCGAGGCGAGGTCGGAGAACTTCCAATGGCCACTTAACTTGCCTGCAGCTTGTTTTGCTTGCAACACTAGTTCATGTAGTTCAGAATCTTTCCAGAAATACTGGTCCCAAACATTGCAGCACACCCCTGCTGGGGTCTATATCCCTGGATCCACCTGAAGCCAGAACACGTTCGTTTCGCTCTTCAGCTTCGGGACGACGTCTGAGAATGTCTAGTGACTACCCACTCAGCTGGCTGGCAGCTTGCTTTTCTCGCAATACTGGTTGTATAACTCGAAATCTTTCCAGAAATATCGTCTTCGTAGATGGCGGTATCTGTACCTTGACTGACCACCCACACGCTTTTGCTGAAAGCAGTGGGTGGTCAGAAAATGAAAATACCATAGATACAACTTGTGTTGGGGTCCCTATCCCTGGACCCGCTGAAGCGACGCCATCCGCCAGCCCTTTTTTCACTGTCATGATGGAGTCGACGATATTCAAATTCCAAGACCCGAAATATCGGATACAGGGCTGATGGATGTCCTCAAAGTGACCGTTGTCGTCTATCAGGATGGCTGTGGTTCGTCCTGTTGCGTCTTCCGTACGGGGGTTCTGAAGTCTCGTATATTCACTACCCCCTTTAAAGATGTGGATTGGAAATGGCGCCTCGAAAAAGTGCTTTTTCGTGTATCAAGAAGGGGAAACAGAAAGCAGAGAGAAAGGTTGTCATAGGTGGCCTTGGAATCAAGCAGACAGCCTTAACAAGCCGCAATGTAGTCTCGCAGTCGCACGATGTTCCCAGCTCGTAGTTGTTAAGAGCTACTTCCTCAGGGTATGCTGTTGAGTCAGTGAACCGCGTCTACTCCTCAGATGTAAGGTCGAGAAATTGCCAAATTCTCAAAGGCTGGTTGTGATAGAAGTATCCTTAGGCGGGGAGGTCTCTGTAGTTCCATCTGGGTCAGTCCCATGAGGTAGGGGAGGCGAAAAAGCACACTGAGAAGACACTGAAAGGAATTTGAAGCCAAGGGAAGCGAAAGCAGGTACGCAAGCAGCGTAGGTCACTTTCCAGATCGCGACGATCAGGGGTGGGCCGGTAGGTCATTCCGGTGCGCGTCACGTATGGAGAAATTGATGAGGTTGGTACCTACACCTCCGAGCTCAGAAGATACTCGTGTTCGACTCTTCGATATCTTCCGAGCTGGCAATCTTAGTCTCGGCGTGCAGACTGCTCTCTGCGTTGATCGGCAGGGTCGACAAAAAGACGATTGGTCGTTTGGATTGATGAGAGAAGAAGGAACAAGATTTTTCGGGGTGCTATGCAACAAGCACGAGCATAAACTGTTCGGAGTAGCTCATGGTATATCGTATCCTGGGTGAAATATTAGGGTAGGTTCACGGTTGTGGATGTTGTTCATTCTGAGAGCAGTATTTAGAGACTCCACTCCATTGACACGACAGGTCTGCCCTTGTTTATGGATCTTCAAAAGCGAGGTTCCAAGAAAACGCGAGTCATCGTGGAATCTTTGAATACGGGGTATCGCATGAAATACCAGGCCACCGGCAACGCCATGGGCTGAACGACTCGCGTCGTAGAAGGATGCCACAGTGAATGGCTATTTTCTGCATACATAAGTGCAAACGGTCAGCGAGATACGAAGCAGTAATTTGGGACATGGGTGTCATACGGAGACCCGTGATAAGATCTTCGGGCCACGGGTTCAGTATCCGGTGATAGGCCATGTTGAAGAAAAGCCCACGTTCGATATCCGCAGGAGATTCGGCAAGTTTCTTCTCCAAGGTCTTACGCCAGGAGAATGGTATATAGGAAGAGTAACAGCTCTAGCACCTGGTGATAAACTCAGACAGTGGAAGTCGAAGACTTCTGGGCCCGGAAAGGTTCTCCGAGAAGATGAAGAAGTAGAGTGAGGAACCCGTCATCTGGCTGTTGGAGATGTTGATGGGGAATGACTGGAGAAGATGAAGAAGTATGGATTGAGAGATGTGTAGAAAGCCACGTCTATTGAGGGTCTGGGGGATCAAATAGGCCTGGGTCATGTAATTATTGGGCAATATAGCTGATAAGGCAAACAGGAGAGATATACAGAGAGGAAGGAGACGGGGGAAGTACTGAGCTGTTTATATCTTTGTTTGCAAGGAACATATGACCGCATTGTGCAATCACCATACTCTGACTGAATGAAAAATGCCGCCTTAGGCTGTCCTGGAAGAGTTTGTCACACTTCAACGGCTGGTGCTGGATCCTGATCTCAAAGCGCAGTTAATACAGTATTTTATTCTCTACCATATCACCAGGCACTTTCAGTGGTGAGTCTGTGAACTGGCGAAAGTCTGGCTTTTTGGCCTGAGGCACCAACAGCAAACTGATTTTGGCCCAGGTCATCCTTGCCGCAGTCAGAATCATTGCATGGTTTACATTAATGAACCTCCGCTTTTATGGAAACCTGACAAGAAGGACATATGTCCAGGCCACAATCACAAAGTGTGAGTCGGTTGAGGTTCTTTGGTTCGTGGCCGCTGCCTATGGCAGTCACCCACGTGACCCACCCAACAATGGCCGCCACGTGACCCCGGCCAAACAGACCCGATCATCCCTCCACCCAATTGGGGATGGACTGCATTCACATCAAGGCAGCATTGCACGGAATGGCTACATGATTGGAATCTCCAACTATATGACCTGAGCTTCGGGTTCTCATCCTTGTTATGCCCATTGACTCTTCAAAATGTTGTCAGATACGGCATCCCCTGATCAGTGGAGAACCTTCGTCCAGCGATGTCTGGCACATCGCGTAGACGTGGATGAGTTCAAGGATCTATCAAAATTGATGCAGAACCGATCACCATTGAAAGAAAATGACCTCCTTGATCTACTCCTCGAGGCCCGTGCCGCATCCAGCATCGCCTGGGACCCGCTCCTGCCAGTCTACGTCGATGGGCTATGCAAGGTCGGCCAGGTGAAGGCGGCGTCAGCATTGAGAAGACTGTTGGCGCATTCATCTATTCGCCAGAAATCGCATTCCAAGCCAAACATGTCGACTCTTATGACGGACATCAAGGTCATCCAGGATGTCATGCTCTCCATCTCAACTGGAGCAATCCCAAGGCGAATTGCAGAGGCGGCAGAGCTTTATGATGCGACAGTGGACTGGATTGTGGCCTTTGTTGAATGGCACAATCACGGTCTCTCGCAGCAAACTGGCGGCCTGATGAGCTCCCCTGACGCTGTCTCCTTGTTTGAGTCGCTTGGTATCTTGCTTGCGGCTTTGTCCGGCACATCGAAGGGTCTGGAAACACTATCCAGCGACTATCAGCAAGGTATGCCGCCCTCATTCATATAACAGTTTGAAGTGCAATTTCGTCGGTGCTGACAGCTCTGATAGAACTTAAAACCAAGCTGGGTCAGGCTCTCATCTCATACCTACCTTTGTGTGTCGACGTGTCCCTGCCTCTTCGGCATAGGCTGGACACGCTGCAGAAGGAGTTCAATCTGTATGGAGAGCAACCCTCCAAGCAGTTGGACCATCCGACCATCGAGGGTATGAATGTGAATGCCCTCCAGTTTGAGGCTTCGGTGATGGATGGACCGGTGATCAACACTAGAGCTGGTCTCTATGTGTACCTCAATTCCATGGTATGATATGTTGACCCCATGTGTCGACCTTGATACTGATTCACTCTCAGCTTGTTGGACGTCCGTTGATTGATGACTCGATGTTGATCAATTACCTCACTAACCGCTATGAGGTGAGTCTTTTACTCCCCTCTTTCCCCTCAGTCTATTCTCGTCAAGGAATATACCCCGTCCTAACCCATCTTCCTTCAGGGCCACCAAGAAGTCCTTGTGGTGGAGATCACAACGGCCGCCTTTGACGTCCTATCCAATGGCGTCCACCGCAACGAGTCCAGCCGGACCATGTTCCTGTTCCGGACGTTCTTGGTCAACAAGCTTCCGGCGTTCTTCGCCGCGATGACGGCAGCATCCATGGTGCCGATTCCCATGGAGATGTACATCACCCAGGCACTCAACCGGCTTGACCCAAACTCTTTCCCCTCTTTCTCTCAAATGTTCTCCATGCAGGGGAGTAGCATTCTCTCCGATGCCCGACAGGAGTTCCTATTCGCTTGTGCATCTCACAGACTCATCCAGGAGTCTAGCATCGAGCGCCTGCTAGGGGAAAACCCTATGCAGACCGTACCGGTGGGCGGTCCTTACCAGAAGGACGATCTTGTCTCGCAAATCAACAGCCGCCCCGAGCGTGCCGAGCAGTTGATTGGTGAGATCGAGTCAATGGAGGGCAATGCAGGTGCCATTGTCGGTGCTATCACTGAGGTTTGTTCCTTTTACTTTACTTTCCCGTCATTTCCCGGCTAATTGGCCTTTTTAGGTCATGTTCAATCTCTGCAATCAAAAAGAGACGATGACTCTGAAGAACATCTGCAATTCCCTTTCTCGACGTCCCCAAACCCTGGATGTCATCCTTATGTTCCGGACCGCAAAGCAGGTTCTGCAGCCTCTTTGCGCTTTGCTGGATTCCTGGCGATGGGACGAAGACCAAGGCGAGAACCAGCCCGTCTACGATGAATTCGGCAGTATCCTTCTACTGGTACTTGTGTTCAAGTACCGGTATGACCTGAGCCCCGCCGACATGGGGATCACGAGCAATGACTCGTTTTTGTTGAAACTGCTAGACCGGGGCTCTTGCAGTCAGAAGCTTACCGAGCTGAGTGAGAAACAGAACAAGGATCTTGGCTCGTGGATCGGGGCTTTGTTCATTGCCGAGGGTATCAATGAAGAGACCATGTCGACGTGTAGCCCACAGGAGTTCTATATGCTTGTCGCGACTTTGTTTGATCAGAGTCTTGGAGCCTGTGAATCAGGAAAGATGGACTTTGAGACGCTCAAAGGTGGATTTGAATGTGAGTTGAGTACCTGACTCCTTTCTACACCATTACTTCTAACACACAACTAGATCTGCTTGAGCCCTTTTTGCTCCCGTCTCTCGTTGTGGCGCTTACTTGGCTCGGCAACCACATCTGGCAGTCCGAAACCGAGCCCGAAATTCCTCTAAAGACTCTTTACTCCCTCATCAAGCCCAGTTCCATATCCGGCGAAGCACAAGCCATTCACAAAACCGTCCTGCACATCACTGCTCGCCCATTAGAGGAACAACTGAAAGACGTCCGGACAAGACACCAAGCTCGGCAGAACATTGATAAGATCTCTGACATCAAACCAATTCTCGATGCCCTAGATCCATACCTCTCCTTCCGACGCGTTGGTAGTTGCCTTCGCTCCGAACTCGAAGTTTGGGCCGCCCCTGCAGCCGGTGGTTTCCTGGGCAGTATCCGCGGGACTCTCCAGTCTCTCACGTTGTGGAGTGCAAGCTCGGGAATCTCCCTTCAACCGCAGTCCTACACCCATCGCCAGCTGCTCGCCGGAATCCGCATTCTCGGCTCTGCACGCGTGCTGGGTGCTCTGATCGACGAACTAAAACAGCAGACCGAAGCCGGCAGCGGTGATCTTGCCTTGGACATCGCGGCGACTATGATTTGCGCCCCGATGCCTGAATCTTTCGCTGTCGACCAAAACAGCTGCCACCCCGTCGATCAGAGCAAAGAATCCCTGCCACGCTGTGCCATACTAACCCTCCGCGATGCCCTCTCACTCCAACACCAGAATGTGCCCAAAATCTCCGAGAAGGAACCCCTTCGTGCCGAGGTTATTGTCCGCCTCTGGCGCCGCGTCAGCCTCCTCGCTGCCCCGCCATCGCGGGTCTCCAATATCGACGTCAGCAATATCATTCAGAATATGGAGCTCGGCGTCGGTGGCCAGGATCGCATGAACCTTGACGCGACGGGCGTCAGCGGTACTGGCGTTGGTCATGACGACCCTGCAAACATCGACCAAATGCTTGATAAGGCTACTGCAGCTGCGGCGGCAGGTATGGATGGTGTTGTTGGCCAGGATATTGGACTTGATTCTAGTGTCACGGGAATGGATGCGATTGATGATGTGCTTAACGCCGCGGATATGGCGGTGGGTAATCCGGAGTTCCTGGATCTGGATATGGAGGGTATGTTTTAGCGATGGGTACTTTGTGTTTTATTATTATTCGAGGGGTGAGAGCATAATGCAATTCTGATTGTTTACGAAAAGACCTTCGTTCAGCTCGCCATTTGTGTCATCTTGTATGATATATGCTCGCATTAACGCCAAGTGTCAAGGCAACTCAATAAATTAGTCTCAGCTAGTGGTCCCGCCTTCCAAAGGGGGTTTGGCCGCAAGGCTCGCCGGGGTATATAGCGCAAATCAACTCACCATTGAAGTCTCAAGCAGATAGTCCAACAACTACCATCAACTCTCAAAACAAATAACAGAAAGTACAAGAGTTCCAAGCTCGATCAATACAGTGCAGCAATAACAGAGCCATGTCGCCAGCAAAACCTCTTCGATTAGGGCTCGTCAAGGAAGGTATGCAGCTCAAGATTCCCGCCCCCAAGAAGGATGCTTATTATTTTGTTTCTTACTCTTCACATAAAACCTTACTTGGCTTAGCAGTGACGACTCTTGCTGGGGCATTTGCCAATGATCCGGTCAATTCCTGGTTTCGTCCTCTTACATCAACGGCCGAGAAAAATGGTCCAGCCGTCCGCCGGTTTTATTCTCGTTATATCCAGTGGCATAAGGTATCCGGAGTCGTCCTGGAGTCTCAGCCGCCATATAAAAAGTCTCACATTCTTGGAGAGACTGAAGGAGATGATTTCCCCGCTGCTGTAATTTTTCTCACGCCACCCAAATCCAAACAACGATGGACAATCGTTGGCCTTTGGAGGACACTGAAGTTATACATAGATGAGCTTTGGCATCCGATGGACCTCCAACTCCCTGAAAGCGTACGTTCACATGTGATGATTATGTTGAAAGGCCCAACTGATTCCTTTTAGAGAATTAAAGAATTTCACAGGTGCCAAAAGGTCGGTATTCATCGCCTTCTAAAAGAAAATCCCGAAGCTTGGCATCTCGAAATGGTTGCAGTTCATCCGTCACTACAGGGGAAGGGAATTGGAAAGCTCGCTATGAAAGCCGTCTTTGATTATGTTGACCAGGCACCAATTCTTATTGAGTGTTCCAGTGAGAAAAACCTTCCGTTTTACAGGAGTCTCAACTTTACTACTTTGGAGGAGGTCGAGATGGTGGATGCTCCTCAATTCGATGGAGACACCGGACGAGTCAAGCAATGGTTGATGATACGCGAATTCAAATGCTACGAAAGAAGGTAGAGCGAAATAATCTAGTTTCTGAGAGTCATTTTGATAGGTCGTTGTCATTAAATTCCATTTGAAACGTCATGATGCGAACCGTAATGACACTAGAGTCCAGATGCTATATATTTTTCTTCTGGCCATTCGGCTGATCAAAGAAAAGTCGGTAGACAGTGAGTCCACATTTGGACCTGGACATCCCTTGTTCCTTGCTTCTTTCATCATCTCCTTGTGGTATTCTGTTAAAACGCTGGTTAGCTATACCGTTCAAACTTTTGCGTTCCATGGGATACGTACAGATATGCAATTCCTTCTCAAGTTTCCCGGCAAGCCTTGGAATACCTGAGTGAGGATACATCATCTCAATCAAATCCATTGGCTTGGGAATCATTCCTCGGCGCGATTCAGTCGGTACAGGGGCCGCGACGACGATTGAGGAGAGAGAAATTGCGGCGAGGATGGCGGTCAGCTTCATCTTGAATGTGTTTGTGTTTTCTGTGGGTTGTTGCGCTACGCGTCAGTAAAGAGGTATTCTGCAAATGTGGTATTAACAGGGAGAACCTACCGTTGATATATGGCTTGCCTCAATGAAAGGTGTAGATTTTCTTGCTTGTGCGAGTGCGATGTTGCGGTAGCGTGTCGCGGCGTATATAGAACAAACGCGTGTTTGAAGGCAATCCAATTCACGTTATTAAAAAGATTTTCTTCCCATTCCAGTGGGAGTAGGTCTCGAGATTAGCTCCTGGCATGAGGAATTTGACAGACGCGACGCGTCGAGGGAGGGGTATGCCATGGCAAGGCACACGATATCATTATCATAAGAGATCTAGTATTGGATTAAAGGGCCCCAACTCAAAATGAGTCATTTGTTCTTCAAAGATCCCAGGTAAGTAATGTATTTATTGGGTACGGTTAATCGTCTTGGTGGTCGCTGTATTTTGTGGGAGTTTGATGCTGTTATACAGTATGGTCCCCGCAAGGGATGGGGGTTTATAACATCAACAGCAGATATCGGGGTATAAACGTTCAGATCTTCGATCGTTCCTCTGAGTATACATTTAACTATCCGAACCCCCAATTAGATCTTACAAAAAAAAAAAGAGGTCTATAATTGCACCGTTATATGTTGACTGTGCATCACGCCTATCATCACACTGTCCGCGGCGTTTTCATTCATTCTACAAGCATGTACTCCTAGACCTCACCCATCAGCGGGGGAAGCAGACTTCTCATTATTCCTCGTTCCAAACCGGCGATAAATTGATTATGCTTGAAACGTTGGAACGTGATTATTTTGGTCGTATCTCCGAGTCCATATTCAACTATCCCGAAAACCATGCATTTTCCCCTAACTGGCGAGGGGGGCGTATAAAGGACTTGGGTGCAATACAAGAGGACCATTAGGCCAAACATGCTTCATGGGCGATGTTATCGGTCTATATGGTCTTAGTGGAGTCTCTCAGCGAAACCACGAAAACATCGAAGTCGCGACTTGCAAAACGTACACTATGGTTGTCTGGATTGATGTTCGACAGACCAGAATCACGAGTGAGCTTTATTATCGAAGTGGGCGACTCGTGATATATACTCCATAGCTACCTAGATTAATAGTCAGAAAGACTAGAATCACGCGTGAGCTTTGATTGGAGTCGCGACTCGCGATACATGTGCCATGATTGTCTGAATGGACAGCACGTCCATTATTGCAATCACAGTTGATCCTGTTTATTTCAATTCTCTATTCCCTTGATAGAATCTATGCTTAATCGATAATCTGAGGACCCTCTTAGTCTTACCTAGCGAGGATGCCACAAAGTAACCAATCAACATTAAGATTGAAGTACAAAAGTATGCAGCACTCGGGAGGTATGGAATACGCTGTGCTTTACGATAGTTGTCACCAACACGAACGGGGCATTCCAACAGTCTAACCACGATGTCATTACCAGTATCTAGTAGCATGACTACCATACGAGGTGGAACTTGACACAGACACGTGCTAAGACGGGCTGAATATACATCTTCGCGAAGTCAAGGGGTAACATGAAGAGAAAAAACAAACACTCGACCTTTCCGATCGAGCGAACTAGACCCTTTGTTAAGCAAAAAAATCCATCAAGCCACAGTGGTTCAAAGCGATTGGCGACGGGAGATACTTCCCGCTCCTTTTCCTCGTACATACTCGACGACTCCCTCCGAAGAACAGAACAGATCTACAACCCAAACCAAGTCACTGGAAAGATGCGATGATGCATTTTCATGGGGAAATTCGCTCAAATCTGAACTCAGTATGTATGCGCATTGCGTACTAGTTCGCGATGGCGCCTTACCAATTGCTTTTTCGAGAGTTTCTGTGACAGCCACCCTTGTTCATCTTCATTCCGATGCGAACCCGACAGACTGGAGCCTCCTGCAATACTATATTAGTACGGAGGTCCATTTCAAAAGAAATGAGCAGCGCATTGACCACTATTATTTTACCACTAGTCTTTTACCAGGCGAATACACACACACACACACACATACACACACATCTCCCCTACCCTTCTATTTCTGCTTCTTCTACTACTCCTACTACATGAGCACGGTAACATGGCAAAGCAGTCTACAATTGCTAGGCGCGCAACGGTAGTTGCTTTGAAGGCCTATACGCCTAAATCTGCTGCCGAGATCGCTGCTCTTACCAATCTATCTGTTCCTTCTGTGAATCGAATCTATGCAGAAGCAATTAAGCGAGGATTCGATCCGCATCGTACGATGGTTGATAACCAGTATGTCGAAGATAAGCCTCGTTCTGGTAGGCCTACCAAGCAAGATCCTTCTACAGTCGATATTATCCTATCAAAGGTGCGCCTAGATCGATACGGCCGGGAAAAGACCTGCGCTGATATCGCTGGTGATCTTAGCAAGCTAGGAATCAATATCTCCGGTACAACGATCTATCGTGTGCTAAAGAACGCTGGCTTTCGGAAGACGAAGCCAACGAGGAAGCCTGGATTGACGAAGAAGATGCGTGCTGAGCGTCTTGCTTGGTGTCTTGCGCACGAATCCTGGACTTTAGAAGATTGGAAAAACGTTATTTTCTCTGACGAAACGTCAGTGATTCTTCTACACCGACGTGGAGGTTATCGAATCTGGCGAACTAAAGATGAGCGTTTCTTACGATCTTGTATTCGCGAACGATGGAAAGGCGCTTCTGAATTTATGTTTTGGGGATGCTTTTCTTATGATAAGAAAGGGCCCTATCACTGTTGGCTTCCAGAGACTGCGCAAGAAAAACGTGATGCTGAGAAGGAAATTGAACGTTTAAACAACGAGATTGAACCTACTCTACGTACTGCGTGGGAGATTGAGACTGGCGTACGCCGTCTAAATCTTCGTCAAAACCCTAGTGGCAGGAAGCCTACATGGAAGTTTACTGCAAAGAATGGTAAATTAGGCCGTGGAAAAAGAGGTGGAATCGATTGGTATCGATATCAACGACTTATCTTACTACCAAAATTGCTTCTATTCGCGCAAGAATGTGCTATTGAAAGACCGGGAACGCTTGTTCAAGAAGATAAAGCACCAGCGCATAATCATCATATCCAACAGCGTGTTTTTGATGCAGCACAGGTACAAAGATTACTCTGGTGCCCTAATTCGCCTGATCTTAATGCAATTGAGCCTGCGTGGCCTTGGATGAAGCGAAGAACAACACGTAAGGGAGCACCGAAGACCCGGCAGGAAGCGTTTAGTGCATGGAAGGCAGCTTGGCAAGAACTACCGCAGGAGAGGATTCAGCAGTGGATTGAGCGTATTCCTTGGCATATAAAGCAGATTATAGAGCTAGAAGGAGGAAACGAATATAAAGAGGGCAGGGAGAAGAAGCAGCAGGGTGATTGGGAAGATGTTTAGGGTATAGTAGGAAACGATGTTCATACAGTATTTTAAACAAGTGGTGGTCAATGCGCTGCTCATTTCTTTTGAAATGGACCTCCGTAGATGGAGCCCGCTTGTCAGGTACGTCAGTAGTTTGGAACCCAAATTTTCCCGCCGGGGCCGCGAGAAAAAATTGGGGTGTGTGTTTCGACTTTCGAGGGGAAGGATCATGTCGGCCGTGTTCCACTCATCGATAGTCTGTTCTGCACGAGGGTGGGAACCCGGTCCCGCCCTGAAGGGTCTTTCTCTCTGCAGGATTTGACATTTAGACAGCGGAAACCATAAGCTTTGGGCGTGGTGAGGCCTTGGAAATATCCCGCTATCAAATCGTAGCAAGTCCGCAGTATTCCGTACTGTGCAAGGCCAAAGGGTGTTCACTCTAAGTTACTGAGATTGCGGGTTTATGTGTGCGCTCGGGCGCAATGCTGCAGGAACACGGGTGATGCGCAGCTTTTCCCACGGGCGCCGGGAATAATACCCTTGATCTCGGAAGTGGTTTCCTGAGCTGGAGTCTGAGATTGGTTGTGACATGTTTTTCGTCACGAATGTCAGCTCATTCTGTTGGGGCTTGGGTTTGTGATCGGCCTTGGGACTATCTTTGGTAAGATTCAATTCCCTATCGAGTAAATCAATCAGCCCTCTGCTGTGGAGGTGGTGATGGGACCCGCATCGAATTCCCGACGTGTAGAAAATCGGGCCTTAAACCTTCCCAGGAACTTGTTCGGGGAATTCTGCATCCGACCCTGCATTTTGATGCCGACTGCCGGTGGTTGATTTCAAATTCTGGCATCACGATTTGCCTACGGAAAACTTCTCCTCCTAGCCCTATCTGTACGTGTTGGATTTCTGTCACTTTGTCACTGTCGAGAGTAACCGGTGAGAAAGGGTCAAGGAAATGAAAACACGCGATGTCCCAGCATAGAAGTGATCAACAATGGACCACGTTCTGTTGGTTGTCAGAGGGGGCACGATCAAGCCAAGCCCCGCCGTCATCTCTTCTGTGACTGGCGTAAGTGATGGGTTTGAAGCTCGGCGCCCACTTGATCGTCGATGCAGTAGCCCCACACTCGAGTGAACTCCTGGTTCGGGATGCCATCACGCACCCACTTGAGTCCAAGTGTTGATGGTTGCTCGAACAACAGACTCGATTGGGGAGGAGCATGAGCGGGAGGGAAAAGAGGGTCGAGGAGGGGTCGTGTTGATGGAGCTCGGTTGCGATAAGATAGTGCGGTTGAAAGCGAAGTGTAAACGAAGTGTTGGATGGAGCACGAAGTACAACAAAGGACGCATTCATGCAATTGTTCTGTGTCTCGACAATCCCCGGCAGTGCTACGTATACTTTTCTGTACTGCAGTTCGCAAGGCAAATCGGCAGTATTGAATGCGCAGAAATCTCCACCATTGACGCAGGTAAGAGATAGATCGACTCGCCACTCAACATGATCGTCCCGATTGTCTGGAGGTGGCGACAAACTAAAGAGAGCAGGCGAATCCGTGGTGGAGGTGGTGCGATCGGGAGGATGGCGTGGAGACTGAGAGTGATGATATCGTGCGATGCCATCAACTGTACAGACGGAATCGTAAGAAATGGTAAGAAATGGTAACGAGTGTAACAACTGTAAAGACGGAAAGACAAGGGCGTATGGTAATGTATGGTAATTGGTATTTCACGTGGTCCTCTTCAGCAACTTGCCCCCTTCAACTCCAGTAAACTACTGGTTGTTCAGTTCTCCATGTTATCAACGCCCTGAACGGTGGCGTAGATGATGGACCATGGCTCTTTGAACCAAAGGAATTAACCATACGAACTAACAATTCCAGGAACCAACGCGATCGCACCCTTCTATCACGTCGTTAATCAAATCCATGGGCACGAGGCGACGATCCCCTTTCTCTCCAATGTCCCGTCCCACACAAGTGCACAATTCTCAAGCACTACTCCGTACTGAACTTCACCTTGACGGTGATAAGAAATGGGCCAAGACCTATCATGTTGCGCCTCCCATCCCGTCCCAAAGACCGTGCAGCGGAGACGGTGGGGGGGCGTTTCCGGGGGCTTATGCCGGGGAGTTGGAACTATCGAATTCGCAGCGACCAGGAGTTCGTTCTCTCCATGATATGACAGCAGCGGCAGCCTTTTCGCATCATCGCTCTCGAGCTGTGTCGTTCATCTTGCGCTTGATGAACGCGATTTTCAGTGGACTACATTGAGTTCCCCGAGGAGCCCGATCATTCATTTTTTTTCTCTTCCTTCTACCGTCTTTTTCCGATAGGCCCGGTCCACTCCCCACACCACGCCATTTCAGTTCAGGGGCACAACAGGGAAGAGCTTGAAAGGCCAGGTTCATACCGTAGTCCCGCAGCCTGTGGTGAACACGTGCTAGGAAAAGGCAGCAAACTGGTCGCAGGACTCCAATCGATGCCTGTTGCCCCTCAGCTCCCCCCCCTGCCCCTGATGAACCGGGAACGATCATCGAATGATTTCGAGTGTTCTGGACTCAATGGTATTATAGCGGCACAGTGGCACCCCGCTTCTCTTCGGTAACCGCACAAGGCCGGACGTTGGAACTATTGATTGCCAATAATGCCCTAAGCAGGCCGTTCTACTTTAGTTGTGATGTGCCGGAGTCACAACTCCCGATTGCCTAAAAGGGGCAACAACCCTCCGGATGCGAACAATAATGAATGTCAATGGGCACGTTGGCTGCCAGAATTCAGGTGCAGTATGGGAGGTAGATCTCCTCGAGGTGTCAAACGGCCAAGTTGACAGAGCTTATTCTAAAAGTCACTCAATTTGCTTAACTATTCGACCACGGGCAAATAGTCTGGAGAACGGAGTCCCTACATATTATTGACAGCTCCTAAAGCACCTGCACCAAACAACTTCCCTGGGTCTGCGTCTGGGCCGTCCCTTTGACAGGACCAACGTCCCAAGTTCCAACAGCAATCCACAACTCAGACATCAGATCCCGATTCTTTGTCACTGGAATCCCGGAAGCTCTTCCGCCTACGCCCTAAAAAAGAACGTCCCCATTTTTGACGCCAAAAAAACGCCCCGCCGGATCCAATTTTGGGACTGGTAGCCTCCGCTCGTTCCCCCTCTTCGAGGGCAAGGCCAAAGGCAAAAGTGGCGATCTTGGATCCCGAACAAAGAATGAATCCGCGCGTGGCGCTGTTCCCCGGTCGGGATTCGGCGAGGAAGTTCAAGGAGGAATCTCGCCCATCTCCCTAATTTGTTTAGTACCATATGTAGCTGGCTAGCTCTCCCCCGGAAAGTTTGGGCGAGGGAGACGTCGCCGAGGGCCAATTTATCCGTACGCCTCACTGGCTTAGTGGTTCCCACGGACATGGATTAGGGACAGGGGGGTTTATTGCTTGAGTTTTGCATTTGAGATGTCGCGATTCCTTCGCGTCACAGCTCGCGGCTGAACCGTTGCGCGGGATCGTGCTAGTCGATGCTAGTTTTTTTGCTATGCGTCCCGCTCTTCTTGGGTTTTGTCTGCCGCGCTGTGGCTTTCTTGGACGTCTCGCGGATGACTTCCCGGATGATGGTCTGAAGGAATTGTGGAGCTTGAAGGGTGGAGTTGATGCTGACGGTGTTGCACTCGTAGATGTTCCCTTTCTTTGGGTTCTTGGCCCTTTATGTGGTGTAAGTATTCGACTACAGTATTATTCGTGGGTCGTCAGCGGGTTTGCATTGGAGGGAGGTAAGTAGATATTTGCCTCAGGAAGGCTTCTCGCTCCAGTATTCGATGCTAGTATCGAGAGGCATGTTGTTATACACGTGAAGCTACTCAGTACACTCCTTGCATAACCAGACGATCAGTATCCATCCCATGGACCACATACCTGGGTCGACTAGTCAAGTCTACTGTACGCTTGAAGTCTGTCGGAGCAAAGTGGACATTGCGATGGGGTACTTGGATGATGTATCGAATGCATGTCAGGTACTTTAGTGGTGTCCATAGTGTAAACTTGACGAGTTGAGGGGACTTTACGCCCCAATCGTGATGACTGGTTCGTTTGTGGTGGCGACGGGCGCTTGTGTTCCGGACGATCATCCATCCTGGATCCATGGGAATAAGCTGCGTCGAGCTCTCTGTCCAATGACATTTTAGCTGGAGTGAGATTCCAAGACGGTTAATATTTTGATGCTTTGTTTCGAGTATTGGCGGCTTATGCACAAGTCAATAGTAGCGGTTTGGCGTCCCAGCTGGAGGAATCTGACATCGTAGCAGTAGTCTTGTATATTTGAGGCATGGTATGTTGAGTTCCGTGATTGTTTAGTCCTATCGATGGGTTAATATTTCGTATCTGACGTTTTGTAACTGAACTCTGCAAATTTATACCAGGTTATATGACTGGATTGATCACCATGCTTTGTGTGACACACAAAAAGCGTGGCGTAGCTGGACCTCGTGGGGAAGAGAACGAGGGGAAGCAGACTGTCAAATAAAAACGGATAACAGACATCAAACATAAATCTCCAAGAATTTCGAGCGAGATAGACAAATCAACCCCTTCCTTCTCGTTACACATGTCTAATATATCAATTTCATTGCATATCGAACCGGATATCCCAGGCTGCGGCGCAAAAATGCAGGTACAATCCGTGTGCATCGCGGACTGGCCTGGGAATATGTATGCATACTCTCAGCCTCCGTCTGACCGCCATTGCAGAGCATGCTCCTCCAATGGTATAAAGTGCCACGAGGCTACACAGCATAAAATAGCAGCGGGGGTTACGGGAGAGGTACGAGGCAACGAGGGGCGATAGGGGTGTGAAAATTCTTGTTTCTTTGGTTTGGGGATTAAGGCTGGGGTCTGGGGTTGAGATTGGAATATACCTATGGAGGAGTAGACTCGCGGTGTGCTTGTTATATTGACGTGATTTTGCATGGAACAGATCGATTAATCGTGATGGGGCTTTGGACTGCTTAGCTTTAACTCAGAAGCTCGTGCATTGCCGAATATTTGTCCATTCATCTCGTGCATGAGTTGGAGCTCAAATTTTCAATTGTATATTTCCTGGGTAGCTACTCCAGCAATTCGTTTTCGTAGCCACAATAGTCTTCCCAATGACACAATTCACATGCTGAATACAACCATCTCGTGAAACAAGCCGATCCAAAAGAACAGACCATCTCTTGATGTCACCCGCAGCCAATAACTAACACCTCCACGAAACATGGATGAGATGACTCTTTTTTGGGCCAGCCCCCAAACTTGAACCAGCTTTCCTCGTCACATTTCCCCTGAATCCCGGGTATGTACTTCATGTACGGCTGTTTGTACGAAGCTGATCGCGTGAAATTCAGGCTATAGACTCGGATCTCGAGTTTGTCCGTGAGTGATTTTCTGAGTTCTGATGATCTGGACCCGCAGGAGTTAGAGATGTTCCTGGTGCGACATTTTAGTCTCCGCGATCGGCCCTGAATCAGCGCACCTCGCGGTTCAGTTCATCTGCGTCCTTATTGATGACCCGAAATAGCAGGAGACTCTATTATATCGGATGAGATACATTTAAGATGTTTTTAATTGTTTACGTAGACACAGATATAGGCCATGGATGTATTGAATCACGCAGAAGCCACCGAATATGCCCGTTGCAGATTCTGCTCGTGATTCTATATTTACATCCGAATACTCCATAACAGCAGACATTACTGGCTAAAAACATGCATACATACATCGATGGCCTCGATCCTTCATGCAGAACAATCCACAAACAAGGCAATGTGAAAGTCGACCGCCCCTTCTGTTAGAATCTCGGCGTGGGAAAAATGTCAATTCATCACGTACATACAGTTCCCTCACGGTGGGCGACGCGATCCCTACTCGATTACGAGACTTACCCACTCCGTAACGCACTTCTGCACGGATAAGATCCGTTGCTCGCCCCACATCTTTGGGCATCAGGGCATCGGTCTCGTGTGATTTTGCCGGGAATAATGGGTGCCTTCGCGTCCACACATTGCAGAAGGAGTCAGCCTGCCAGCCTTGAAGGATGGAGCAAACCTCTATGCAATGTCCGGTCAGCACTACTGTAGGCACTGGTAAGAATGGAGAGAAGTTTTTTTTTGTCCAGGAGTAGAATTGGCTTGAGTTGTAAATTGATGAGGCGCGAAGAGCGCCATGAGACAAGACTGACTGGCAAACGGAGTTTTTGAGACATATTATTTGGATGCACCGGTATACATTTTCGGATTTCACGGTTTGGCCCATGGACCGTCTCGTTGTGTATGGTATCATGAGGTATGGAGTCGGGAGTGTATGTTTCATTTACTACTGATAGCTACAGCTACTGCTATCGCCGTCTGGTGCCATATATCCTTATCTCGATCAGCAAGGCTGGTTAAACCCCATAATTACGAAAAGTTCATAGAACTCCGCGGGAGTCAAGATTAAAGCCCAGCAAAGATAGCTCTATCAGGATCGTCGCCATCTATCGCAAGCCCAGTAACTTTGTAGATTATCTGATTCTCCCAGGACTCCTGTAGCCTGTAGGAGCTTTGATAAAACCTGGCCCGAGCACCACCCCCCCAACACCCGCAATCCGTCCCACGGTTTAATCCCGACCGGAGCACAGAGATGCCTCCCAATTCAAGGCAACGACCGTAGATCACATTATCAGGGGTAAACGGAGGGGCAGAAGGATCTCCTGGCCCCATCCTCATACCGAGCATATCCTACCAGCTCAGGCCCTGAGGCGCCTAATTGTGATAATGTGGAGGGGGCTTGCATTGACTACCTTCCGGCTTCCCGTGCCTATTGGGCCCGCCTTAATAACGGTGTCCGTCCTGTCGGAGGATTTCTTGAATCTTTGTGCTGACAGCTTGGTGGACATGTGACTGGCGGGGAATGCGTTGCTAATAAGGGAGTGAGTTGCGTGAGAAGATTGGAAATTGGACTGGCAACTGCAGTATCACCGTGTTTTTGCAGCTTTGGGTGGTGGTTGGTTGATAGGGTGGAGGGTGGTTTGGTGATAGTGATACGGATTGAGCTACTGTTGTCGATTTACTGTACGATTGCAATCAATAGTAACGGCAGGAAATGGTTCTTACAAAACGAAGTAATTTGATTGATTTCGAGGACTCTGTATATTTCGTATGCATGTCTATGAACGACGGAATTAATTAAGTGGTAAACTGGTAGTGTACGAGGCTCCCGAGGTCTTTCTTTGTCCTCGAATCTCTAGCGCCGAGTTTGCCCATCAAGTCTAGACCGTTGACAGGACGAAGCGCTCTCCCTCACTCTATTTGTCCTCGTCGCAATTTTTGGACCTGGATTCACCCGGAGGAACTGGAGCAATTGGAGTCATTGGACCAAAGATGGAAGGGAGGGAGCTTTATTTCCCCATCTGTTCACTATCCAAGCTCGAGTTCCTCCGCGGGACGTTTTTGCGCTCTGGTCACTTGGCGACCCAAGTATTGAGCCCATCAACCTCCCGTAACCAACGGAGAAATTCCTGCTCGATACTACGCACTATATTTTGGGGCGACTTCAACCAGAAACAAAAGTACCGTACTAAATCACCATTAGTAACTACGGAAGTTCCAGTTCCTACGAGTCACACAAATTTTCACCGGAGAGTCCAGGCCCCGAAATAGAGATGCGACCGACCAGGCCAGACCAGACCCTGGACCATTCCTTACCGTAGTTAGCAATTGATCCTTTCCCATCCGTGTGCATCCATTATTGCCCTCGGTACTGTTCGAATACTCCGTCCATGAAAGACCGTCTCAGGTCTTAGACATGGGGTCCACGTCCACGTCCAAACAGAAGAGATTCCTTTGAGCGAGTCCAGACCACCCAGGCAATGACATCAGCACCGACAACAGCACCGGCTACATTGACTATTGACGACGGAGTAAACTAAGTTGCTACATACTGTATGTAGTATGGACAGTATGCACCATGCACGGCGCGGGTATCTCTACAATAATGGAGCCGTGACTGTGACGTTTGACCATTCCGTGTCTGATGGGCCTTGCCTTGCGATAGCTCGAATCTCCCAGACGACGCGTTTGTGGATCCCGCGTCTGCCAACGCGAACTTGCGTTAGTTTGTTGGTGGTTTTTTAGGGGCCTGTCGCAATACTAATTCCATGGGCCGTAGGCCATTCCTTGGGAGTCACTGGATGTGCCGCCCAGCCCCACGCGGGACGAGGTAGGGAGGGGCAAGTTGGAGAGGGAAACAAAGAATGATGGGTTCCACGGGGCGGGCTAAAAAACTGGAGGACTCGAATCCTCGATGCACTTGTGGCGATTGGGGGGCAGTGGCGGATGGGGAGTTCATTAACAGCTCTAAATTAGTGTCGTGGCTAAAGCCCGTTACAGTAGATAGTAATGGACGAGGAGTGTAACTTGGTCAGTGTAATAACTAGATGATCGGGGCCCGAAAGGAGAAGTGCGAACTACGGTACCGAGTTGCTCGGTCGACAATGCTTCTGTGGTCTGTAGTTGATATATTACATTTCTCTCTCTGGGACCGTGGACCTAACGGCGTGATAAATTAATTGAAGGGGAGGAGGAGGAGGAGGAGGAGGAGGAGGAGGAGGAGGAGGAGGCAAAAGCACTAAAAGAGACTTTTTTTGGCTGCTGTCACTTGGGGGACGGTCGCTGCGCTGTCGATCCCCGGAGGAATAGGATAAGTTGACAGGCAACGTGAGAGAGCCAAGGAGAGACTAGCTTAGTAGCTGGGAGTCGCCACTGTCAAAAAAGAGACTTAGGGTCATGTACGAAGTGGAAACTAGCAATCTAGAAATAAGAAAAAAAAAAAAGAGCACTACAGCTAGTACTGCACGAAGTACTCTGTGTACAGACCTTCGTAATCTCTGGTACGAAAAAGGTGACTGATCGAGCCCGCCCGTGTTTGGCTCCTGGCTGCAGGCTCCAGCACACGGCCAGTGCAAATTTAAGACAGGACCGGGTTTCCTCCCCCACAGAATTGATTTTGGACGGGATTTTTGATTCGTGCGGCATCGCGGGTGGCTTAGTGGTTTTTTGGAGTGGACCAATTAGGGGGTTGCTTTAATATGGGCTTTGGAGTTAGTTAGGTCTGGACCGGGAAACGTTCGGCAGATGCAAGGTGGATTATTGGGGGGGGAGGGAAAAGGAGAAAGAAGGATTTACTGAGTGTATGGGACAGTGTGTAATACATGATATATGGAGGGCATAACACGAATACGGATTGGGTTTGTACAATATACTGTACATAGCCAGGCAATAATGTACTTCTGCGCTTCTGTAGGGAAATTGCTATTCGTGTTTATCATATGGAGCATTGTATCTCTGGAGTAAACATACCCTGGAAGAAAAAGAAGCAACTACAATAATATTCATACAATTCTTCTGTCAGGGACCCAGCGCACAAGGTAGACAACGCCCACGGGGCGAGGTTTCCATTCTTTTGCCTCCGTACTACTCTATTCTCCTGGTACGTGGGTGATAGAGTCTCAATGATAGGCACCCAATTTGCTTATTTCCTGCTTGGGTTTCCAGAAGCAATATGGGCTTTCCCGCCGTGGGGAAAGGATAGGAGATTATTGTGCCATTGGGGTATATGAAGGCGACGAGATAGACGAGATAGGCGAAAAGAAGACAATTGCTCTTGGGTACCAACCTAGCATATGAATGAAGAAGTAGTAGTATGATAATATAATAATGTATCCAGGCCGATCGGTCAAAGTGGCGTGTTGGTACTGTACAGAGACTCCAAAAGTACGGAGTACATGTGCTCTTTATACTTTGTATACATTGTATCTTTTCGTACTTTGAAAAGAAACACTAGCGTAATGTATTTTGTTCCTCCATAAAGTTGGCATCAATTTACGTCCATTACGGGGCCAATACCGGCCAGTGGAGCTGTGCATGGGATCGTCCCGATCGAGTCCCAGAAGAATCAACTGGGTCCGACTCCAGAGAAGCTCTTATTATTATTATTCCCTCCTCGCCTCCCTTTTCTCTCAATTCCCTTTTGCTTCAGTCCTTCTTTTTGAACCCTTTCGACATTTGTCCCAGGAAGAGATTATTGTTAGAGATCTTAACTGATTTCTGATTTCAATTGCAAAACCCCCGCGGGTGGCAATTATAACCTTTCATCCGGACTGTATTTTCATCCCTTTACTCCCCTCCGCCCTTGCGTAGGAGGTTCCAAGCAAATTAAGGGATTCCCAGCTTCGTCATCTGCTACCACTGCGAGTCAGTTTGGCTTCTTGTCCTTGCTGCGATCTTCGTCATTTAGGGCTCCATCACAAATTTGCGGCTCTCCCTTTTAGTAGTGGTATTTTGGGGTGCAATACTCCCAACCTCGCTCGGCCACTCTCTTCAAAGTGGGCTATTATTCGGCAATCTATCGATTTGCGCCGCGACGTGACTTGTCCAACGACCACCCCACCCCTTCGATTATTGAAGTCCTTCAACGTTCCGCCGGTTCAGGACAGTCTGTTACTGTTTATAGTTTGATCTACCAATTTGTTATTATTGTTCCAAAGGGTGGGTGTTTTTGCCAATTCCAATCCCTGAAACCTTTCTACTGTGCCTTGCCCTACGCTCCGCTCCTTCAACCCCCCCCCAGCATTCCTTTACCTTCTCTTCCTCTCCTGGACTCGCGACATTCCACCTTCCCTATTCTGGGAATAAACACTTGCGATCCCCGAGAGTCATCTGTTGCACCCCCCATTTCGATCATTTGTCCGCCCTGTCTCCTAGCGCCCCTCCAATTGACCTTGATGTGTAGGGTTATCCCCAGCCATCTGGCGATCCGAACCCCTCTGCGGTCAAACCTGATTTCACGACTCGCCACTTGTTCTTTGCGTGTTTGCCTTTTCATCTGCTAAGGTATAGAGCCCTTGAAGGATGTCAATTGCACCAACTATCGCATAAACGCCCCGGTCAGTGACCATCCCGGCTTTTCCGCTACCACCGATTCGATCTATACAAATTTCCCGAACTGGGCAGGAGATGGAATCAATGAAGCCAAATATCCCACCGTTGAAGATCGCAAAGACGAATCCGAATATCACTGTGTCGACCACATTGTCGAATCAGTACGACACAAACCATACGGGGGCTCGTTTCTATTCGAATACCCTCGGCCAGTCCGAGATGACGCCGCCATTGACACCCCAAGGAATTATTCAATCTGAACACAATATGGAACAACCCGAGGCCCCGAGAGCCGTCTTTCACAACTACCTGCGCGCCTTCTATCCTTTCCACCCGGCCGGAGATGTCTCTCCATCGACGGTCACCCTTCCGCTGGACCAGGGCGATATCATCCTGGTTCACTCCGTTCACACCAATGGCTGGGCCGACGGTACCTTGTTAGATTCTGGGAATCGAGGCTGGCTCCCTACCAATTACTGTGAAGCTTATGACCAACTACCCATGCGTCCGTTGTTGAAAGCACTGACAGACTTTTGGGATATCATTCGAGGAGGATGTGGTTCATCACTAAAGGATTTCGGTAACCAAGACCTGATGCGAGGTCCCATTGCTGGCGTTCGATTCCTGCTCGAAAAGTCCGAGTGCTTGACTCGGGAATCACCGCTTGTCAAGAACTACGATGGGCTACGCAGGATCCGCAAGGCTTTGCTGTCTGATCTTTCGTCTCTTGTAAAGGTTGCCAAACGGTTCCAGGATGTCGCCAATGGTGCCCCGACTGAGGATGAGGTCGAGTCTATTCTTGATGAGATGCTTCTCAAGGCGTTCAAGATTGTCACTCGTGGTGTTCGCTTCTTGGATGTCTGGAATGAGGAAGTTGGTTTGACTAGGACGATTGCCGAGATGGAGACTTCCCGGAATCAATACGACATGCCCCTAACACCAGCATCCGCGACCTTCTCCCTGGCCGATACTGCCCCGATTTCCGATACTTGCACCGAGCGAAATGAGTCCCGACAGATGAGTCACAGCCGCATGGATTTCAGCCGAGCGTCGATGCGGAATGAGATCCTGGATCACCAGTCCAGACCCATGTCTGTGTCGACCAAGCGTATTTCAGTATCCCACCGTGTCTCCTACTCCGGTCCCTCGTCAGCTATTCGTGCGCAGAACCTTGCGTCGGAGCGACTAGGTACCTCGTATGATGCCTTCCTCGGCGTGCTGGGATCTTTCATCGGCCTTCACATGCAGTCACGTTCGTCAACCGAGCTGGTCACCACCACTCAGCAAGCCGTGCAGTCTTGCCGGGCTTTGTTGACCGTGGTGGAGGCTGTCTGCGAACATGATGCCCAGCGGAGTGTCCTTCTCGATGAGGCACGCGAGTCCATGTGCGAGAAGCTGGCGGAGCTGGTTCAAGCTGCGCGCGACGTGTTCCGCCCTGCCAATGCCCATGACGACGACTTGGTCTTCATGCCAGACGAGGGTAAGCGACTGGTCGATGCTGCAACGGATTGCGTCCGCGCCGCTGGGAATTGCCTGGCCAAAGCTCGCATGGTGCTGGAGCAGATTGGCGACATCGAGTTGGATCCCATTGAGGAGCAAAGATCCATCGACCAGGACGTGCCAGGCATTGTCACCTCACAGGCTTCGCCTGATGTCCCCGCCGACCAGGAAAAACCACAAGAGCTCTCACTTCGTCTTCCCCCGCCTCCTCTCACGATTCCAAACTCGACCTACACGCCCTCCACCCCTGGCCTCACCGACTCGACCACACCATCTTCTTTCCAATCGCACCTCACTTCTTCCAGCAGTCCCGTCCACCCCTCTGCCTCATCTTCTCTTCCTAACTCCGCCATCCTCCCCACTCTCTCTGAACAAGCCTCCTCTTTTTCTTCCTACGACAGCGGCTTCCGCGAAAGCCACCCCAAGTCCGACGTGAGCGAATCCTTTGGCCGTGGTGTCACAAGCACGGGTAGCACCTTCACGTACCACAGCCACACCCGCGACTCCGAGATGAGTGGTCTATCCCAGACCTCCACTCGGGCCACCTCCCCCGACATTGGAGGAAGCATCTATGGCAGCTTCCAGGTGCCTTCTCTCAAGGAGAGTATCAGCCATTCCACCTTGGCCGAGGAGACTGAGACGGAAGCTCACCTGCTGGAGAAGACCTACGCTCATGAGCTGGTCTACAAGGATGGCTCAGTTATGGGCGGCAGTCTGCGTGCTCTTATTGAGAAGCTCACTGCTCACCAGTCTACCCCGGACGCCTTGTTCGTCTCTACCTTTTACCTCACCTTCCGTCTCTTCGCCACCCCTCTCGAGTTTGCCGAGGCCCTCGCTGAGAGATTCGAGTACATCGGGGATACCCCCCACGCAGCTGGCCCCGTCCGCCTGCGTGTTTACAATGTGTTCAAGGGCTGGCTCGAGTCGCACTGGCGCCATGATCGTGACAACGATGCTCTCGAGTTCATCATCACCTTTGCAAAGACTCACTTGACTGCTGATCTCCCCTCTGCTGGCAAGCGTCTCCTTGACCTAGCTGACAAGGTTTCTGCTGTCCACGGGCCCGTCGTGCCTCGCTTGGTTTCGTCTATGGGCAAGACCAATACCGCCATTGCTCAATACGTTCACCCCGACACTCCTCTCCCGCCTCCTATTCTGGGTAAGAAGGAGACCAACCTGCTCAAGCAGTGGAAGAACGGCGAGGCCTCAATATCCATCCTGGATTTCGACCCATTGGAGTTGGCTCGCCAGCTGACTATCAAGGAGTCGCGTATCTTCTGCTCTATCCTTCCCGAGGAACTTCTCGACACTGAGTGGACCCGCAAATCTGGATCGCTCGCGGTCAATGTTCGCGCCATGTCGACCCTGTCTACGGATCTGGCTCACTTGGTTGCCGACTCTATCCTCTGCCTGGAGGAGCCCAAGAAGCGGGCTGCCACCATCAAGCACTGGGTCAAGATTGCCAACAAGTGCCTGGAGCTGAACAATTATGACTCCCTCATGGCCATCATCTGCTCCCTGAACTCCTCCATGATCTCTCGCCTGAGACGCACATGGGACGTTGTCTCGCAGAAGACCAAGGCCACTCTGGAGCAGCTTCGCACCATCGTCGATGTTTCCCGTAACTACGCCGTGCTGCGTCAGCGTCTGCAAGGCCATGTCCCCCCCTGCTTGCCTTTCGTCGGTACCTACCTGACCGATCTCACTTTTGTTGACCACGGCAACCAGTCTCTCCGCTGCCTACCCACGGACGACGGTGAGATGGCCGTGATCAACTTTGACAAGCATATGAAGACAGCGCGGATCATCAGCGAGCTTCAGCGTTTCCAGATTCCTTACCGTCTTACTGAGGTCCCCGAGCTACAGACCTGGATGCAGAATGAGTTGGTGCGTGTGCGCTCCAACGGCGAGGCTACCCTACAAACCTTTTACCGCCGGTCGCTAGTCCTCGAGCCCAGAGAGGCCTCGCGCAGCGGTGTCAACCTCCACGCCCAGGCTCAAGCTGCTCAAGCTCAGGCCCAAGCCCAAGCCCAGACCCAATCTCAATCCGAATCATCACCACCCAACCAATCCATCCTTGAAAACGCCAAGGACAAATTCGATTTCTTGTCATGGACAAACCCTTCCAAACCCAAGTCCGTCGCGACTAATGGCTAAGGCTTATCATCTTCTCTTCATATCATACCCCAATACCCCCATCTTATACCATTTACGACTGATGACATCTACTGCTTTGTTTTTTCTGGTTCTTTACTGTTTTATCCCAATTTTTTTTCCCGACCAGCAATTTCCCATGCTGGCTGCATTATGTGTCATTTCTTTTCATTTACTCCGTTCTTGTCGACCAAGGTTTCTGTGAATATCCCCATCTTACTCTTTCATTCTTTATTTTCTCCGGGCGGCGCTCGTGTCCTTTGTTTCATCGTTCCTGCGGGGACCACTGGCATCAGAAAAGCGATTGGAATTGGAATTGGAATTCGGTCCGGGTTGGAAAAATGGAGTCGTCAGGGCCTTTTCGTCCATTTTTCTTTTTCTGCTTTTCTTTTCTTTTTTATTGAATTTCAGCTTGAAATGGGTCATGGTGTTGCTTTGAGGGGGGTATGAAATGGGTTTAGCTACTTTTTTTTCTTGTTTGTCATTGTCCGTTGGGATTGATCATCTATCATCCTTGGTTGTTAACTTTGTGAGGATGAAAGCCGAATGGCTTCTGTACAAGTGCTATGCTTCTAGCTATTTGAAATGCAAACATGCTTTTGCTGACTATTTTGGTTTCTATTTTATTGTAGATTGTAGATTGTAGATTGTAAACTAAACAGTGAAGATTGTAGTCTAGAAGGTCCTCGTAGTTGTTCCTATGATCTGGACTTGTAGGTATCCACTGGTAGTTGAAGTCTGAATCTATCCACGAGTCGAGGGGACCGGCCTAGCCTGATAACCAACCTTACGTTTATAGGATCCCCCGACGTACTCAAACCCCAAGACCCATTGGATGCTATACTTGCTCATATAGCCCTTCTTAATACCTAATTTCTTTCTTTTTGGTGAATTATCGACTGGATTTGCAAAGTCATTATAACCATGAAGCGCGATGAATAGTTACCTCATTGATACTCCATGTAGTGTCGGACTTCCACTTTTGGAAGGTTTGCCTATATCAAGTTTAGTGCTCTATCAAAGGGGCATAGATACATTTTTGAACCATTCCCTTCTGAAATAGCTACTTTTACCCTATGTACCCTATGTACCCTATGCAGTGTCGGACGTCCATTTTTGAAAGGATTGTCTATATCAGGTTTAGTACTATATCAAACGGGCAAGAACTAGTCCGTTCTTGTACACTTACTGAGTAATAGCATGATAGCAGTGGGTACACAGGCTTCTAAAATTCCTTCCCTTGTCCTTTACTCTTTGCTTCTACATCCTCACTCTCCCTCGCTATTTGCTACCTTCTGCTCCTTCGCTTCTCTTTTCTTACTCCCTCTTTCTAGTGTCTCTGACACCCTATCACCTCTTACTTCTCTGTTCTCTCTCTTGGTGATTGTTTCACTCTCTTAGCAGTCTTTACCTCTCTTTCGTTACACATACAGTAAACCCGTACCAGAGGGTACCTCTTTATGGGATTATCCCCAAACAAGATCCTCTCCACGTCCCCGCTACAAAAATCCATCCAGCAACGGGGATTCACTGTCGTCATGCAGCGACTTAGGAAGCAACACGAACCCACCTGGGTATGGCGCTATAAGCACCATACCGAGGTCCTCCAAAACATCCGGACCCACCTTACCCTCTTACTCAACGAGTCTATCCCCGACTCTTTCGTCCGGATGCTCAACGTCAAGCTCCATCCTCTGCACTTCTCCACCGGGAAGACTTTTACCGACCCCGCCGCTTCTTTTGATTATTTCTTCATTCCCACCGACAAGCGGGTCTCTTGGAACAACAAGAACGAACCTATTGAGCGCACGATTGAGTTCCCCGAGAGCCTTGGCAAGCCTCATAAGCCCTCCTCCTGGCCAACCGACGAAGATATTCAGCTTCAGAAGGATCTGGAAGAGGAGCTTCAGAAATTCTGTCGTCTTGCCGACTCCAACCAATTATCGAAACGGATGACCCCCATTCCGTAAGCCTCAATTTCCCAATCCAGCTGTTCTATCGTCCGCATGAACTAACCAATCTTTCAGCCGGCCCAAAAATATGGACAAAGAGAACGTTCGCACTTTGGCCGGCTCTGTCAATTTCCACGTTTCTCGAGCCGTGGAGCACAGGCACGGTGCCCGAGTCATTACCCTTGTGCCAGAGGCATACCCCAACCCTGCCCGGCCCTCGTCGACTGAGATCCAAGTTCTCATTACCGTCATCACCCAGGGCCTGCGCCAGCAGAGCATCGAATTTGGTTTGTCCGACCCTAGGGCTAGAACCAAGCTGCATTTGGATTCCGTCAACTATGTCATCCCAGTAAGTAACAGTGTCCATCCGGACGAGAAGAAGTGTTGAGCAGTCTGACTAACATTTGTTCACATAGACCCTTATTATCTCCGTCTACCCCGGTGCTCATGTCCGGGTTTTGTACGGCTATATGGTCAACAATGAGCTCCACCTTCATTTCACCGAGCTCCAACAATTCAACAATGACAATTTCCCGTCCATGATGGAGGAGACTCTTCGCTGGGCTTTCCCTATTGCCCGAGGCCAAGCCGCCAAGCTGATTACTCTCCCTGATCTTATGGAGATAGATGAAGAAGATGATGTTGAAGTGGAAGTCTGGGAAGATGTTGAAGATTGTACTGTGCACCTCTACACCACTCACGAAGAGGTTGATGATCATGTACAGGGGACGAATCAGGAGTGTATGATGAATTTTTCCTCAACCACCTCGACTTTCACCACCACCACCACAAGGAAGATTAAGGGCAAGAAGAACTCCAAGAAGAAGGGTTGAAGCGCACCCATTGAAAGATGTATGAGGGAATGGAACCTGGAATCCACCAGGAGGAATATTTTCAAAATTTGTGGAGGAAAAGTCTTCAACACATCCAGCACTGTGAAAGGTACCCATATTCACCGTGCGACTATCTGTCTGTTCGTGGACTCATGACCCATGAATGGATGGGAGGAAAGAGCACAATGTACGCCCGTCATCTGACTGACTACCTTTCTGTGGACTCATGACCCATGGATGGGTGGAAGGGAGGATTCGAGCAGGAAGAAGATATATTTGAACATGATCAGAAATACATTGGTACTCAGTGGAGGAAACACAATGAAAACCTAGTTGTGGGGGTTGTCCACGACTCGCACCCTTCCGTGGTGTTTGACAGTGAAATTAAACAAAACATATTTCACTCACCGTCGCATCCAATGAGGAAACGTAAAAGATTCTAGGAAATGGGCGCGATCAAATCCTATGAAGAACTTACGCGCGTATGAATGAGAAATGATAGACCTTGTAGGCTTTGATGACGCCGCGTTTTTCTGAGGATCGGCAGGTCCGCGGACAGTCCGGACTAGGAAGTCTACTCCGCGGCTTTAGAAAAGAGGGTATATAAGGCTCCCAAATGATCGAAATCATCATCAACTTTATCATTTATCATTATACGCAGCCTCAAAAATACTCTTCAAGTCCCGGTTATCGCTCACACAAGACATCAAACTCTATAACACCATGTCCAACGAATCTCTTCAAGAAACCAACAACAAAACCCTCGGTACAACTGCCGGCACATTCCCGATAGTAACACTCCCAGATGGTCGCAAAGTACCAACTGGAACTGTGGGAGCATTGCTAGTTAATATCAAATCCTACGACGAGGGGAATTCAGAGCGACGTGCCGAACTGGAACCTGCCATACACTCTGCTATCCCGATATTGGTTAAGGTCGGCATGTTTGACCTGTTTGCTCCGGACGAGTGGACATCAGAGAGTAGTCCGGGTCGGACTTTGGTTGGGAAATTGGCGAGAGATTATCTTGAGTAAGTGGTTTTGGTGTAGTCTTTGAGGGAAAGGGTACTAAATTGTCAATGTGAAGTTCTAGTCCATGAGTTAGAAGGGAGTCAAGGTTTGGTGGGCTTGAAATTTTGATGCCATTCATTAGATATAAAATTCTGGTATCGCAGAGCTGAATAGTTCTAGCCTAGTAACATATACGTCTTGCGGCGTACGTCTATGTTATTACAATGTCAGGTCCTCATTACATACCGGATCCTTCAAGTTCAAATCTCTATAACCTAAGCACTAGTTGTTTTCGTGCAAAGCAACAAAACGAAACTACGGTAAAATTCCATGTACCTAATAGAACCCGTGTGAAACCTTTGACAGCTTGTCATAACGCCTCACAATGAGGGGTTCAAATGATCTATCTGAATCTCTATCCCCAAACCCCCAAAACCATCGTCCTTGCATAAGGCTCCCACGCCACCATCCACAAAAAGTCTGTGCCACGCCTAGAAGCGGATATTGTGTATAGCGCATGATAATCGCCAAATGCAAGGGATACGTCAAAAAACCCGAAACTCTGGACGCAGGGCCAGAGTGGAGTTATTGTGAGGCCGGATGCGTGAACTAGAAGACAATACGGATACCTAGATCTGCGAGGTGCGTCTGGAAGGCGATCATTTGGTAATGGGCATGTGCGTGGGTGATCCGTAAAGTGACAGGTTGCATGTTGAGTATGGTTTATGCTAGTTCATGCAGCATGTGGGCGAAAGAGCCGCTAATGTGGCTGTACGCTTGCCTGACCGGTTCTCCGGGAGAGGGCGTTACGATGGATACCAGAATACACGGAATGTACTTCTGTTCTCTCCCGGAAGGTAGGTTGGGTAATTGGTATTAGTGTTGCTTCGCGGCAAGTTCTGGAGGTGCTTTTGCTTTGGCGGGCGTTTTGCCTAGATTAATGTGATATATCAAATGTTGCTACGGACAACGCCGAGTGGTGTGCGGGGCAAGATCGAAAGGGCACGGTAAGAGCTTCGATGGAAAGACTGCTTGTATGATCATTGAGTATTTTCGCGTAATTTTGTGGAAATGGAGGAACTGAGGGTTCAGGTAATTATGACTACTTGTCTAATGTACATATTGTGCCCTAAAAGCTTCTAAGAAATCTAGCTCAGCTTGATGTTCATCGAACTCCGAACCCATGGTGCCAGAATGTGAATTCAGAGGATCAGTACCAGGTTGTGGCCGCAAGTCGAGAATTGGAATCATGGACGGTCGGCCATGAGCACATTGAAATGGGAACGCACACCGCGAGAGCCGTGTGACTAGTGCTTTGCACTCCTGTATATCCAACGGGTCATTGAACATGATAGCACCACGACATGCCCGAGAATTAAGTACATCCAGAATGCTTTGCGGACAACCACTCATCTTCTGTACCCATGGATGCGCGGCGACCTCTCCTGTTTTGTCCGTGAAGAAGTCTTCGCCATCATCGCCGTAGCCCATTGAAAATTTCCTCGTCGATCTTTTTGATCCCGGCGGCTTTCCGTTCTCCTCCTCAGAGTTCCATATTTCACGGCGAAGGAGATCCACAATGAGGTTGGGCTCCAGTCGACAGCGCTCGGCGATGAGAGTTGGTAGTGCATAGACCTGAACGGTTGCTTCAGAGCCTGCTTTGGCATTGATGCTGTAGGCAATACCCCAATTCCGAAAGAAATCCAGGTACTTTCTGAAGAGGAGGGCTTCCGTAGCAGATATGTCGAACGAGATTGGATCAATCTCAACTGTCTGTATCTGATCGTTCCGATCTAAAGATCTCGGAGAAATGAACATATCTTCAAACAACTTTTCAACTCGGCATCGCTCGTCGGCGGCATGTTGATCGATCAAGACTAGAACACCATTCGAGTCAGGATCAACCGTGGCATGGGGTTGTGTCGTGTCAAACTTGGCGAGGATGAATTTCTGGTCGACTTGTGCGATAATGGTGGCCGTAGCCAGACTTTGACGTTGTAACTTTCCTCTGAACTTGGTGACTTGCGTTCCAAACAATGTTTCAATGTCCTCGTGGCAATGATGCGAACGAGCTTGGTTTTGTAGGTGGTCTACCTCGGTATCAAGATTTGGAACTGGCGCCTCTGTTCTGGCAAATGTAGGGTTGTCCCATGCATCAAGCAGATTATTCACCCAGACGCTGGACGAAGAGGCAGGATCTGGTCTGCGTGATCGGCCTAGGCTTTGCAAAGTACCAAGGAAGCTGTTGGACCTGGACCCAGCACTGATTGCTTGGAGGTTGACAGTCTGTCCCGTTTGTGAGTTGATTTGGTGTGTTTTCCCAGTATGCGGGTCATCCCAAGAGATCAACTTGTCAACAGGCGTCTCCGATGACTCGTGCTCGGGCTCATTTTGCTGAGCGCCTCCAATGCTGCGGAAGGCTGGTATTGCATTATCGTGTGGTATTGTTGGCTGATCAGAAGGAGAGAAATATTGGCTCCGGTTCAACTGATTCCGTCGCCGCTCGAGCAAAGACGTTAGCCGTGCCTCCTGAGAAGGACGGTCGTATTCACAAACAAGGTCGGTGCCAACGACGCCAGTCCCCAAAGTTGAATCTTCGCGTTTCTTTGCGGCTTTAACACGGGACCAATTGCTGAACTGCGGCCCTGTATTGGCGGACTTTGATCTTTGCAACGAGGGTAGTTTCAATCCACGGTCGAAACCCTCCTTCATGCTCGAGTTCCGCCTGCTTTGGGCGAGACTGTCAGATCGCGCAGAACTCGTGCGTGTAGTGTTGATCGTTCCGTGAGACCGGTCGGGAAGCCTTCCTTGTCGTCTCGCTCGAGGTCGCATATTCTGCTGTTTCAAGAACTCTAAAATCATTGCCTCGAGGACATCCAAGATCCATTGTAGTGACTTCTCCGCTGCAGGAGACGGTTCATCAGTATCTTCCAAATGCTGAAGACTTTCAGTCTCAATGCGTATATAGAACATCGGCCACTTGTTGACCGGCCTTGCCGAATTTCTGCTGGTCATGCTATTGAAGGACTCAGATCTCCCAGTCACTGGAGCTGAACGTATTGAAGTTGCAATGTCAGATGCACTTCTAGTGTTTCCAAAGTCAGACATGGACATCAGCCGATTGACTTCATTGAACAAGACGTTGGAAGAATTCCGTGACAGCATTGGGTCCTTGCCCAAGGAGATGAATTGGATCTTCTTCGAAGGACTTGGTACTGTCGAGATTGCAGCGTGTATCGTCAGACGTGGAATAGAGGCAGATATGACACGCCATGATTCCATATTCCGCGAATCTAGCATTCCGGATTGCGAGAGAATAGACCCTATGCGTCCGAGATCCATTTCAAGTGCAAAATGGTTCAAAGAAGCACCTCGTGGAGGGTCATCAGGACGAATTGTGATTCGCTTCTCCCTTGCCACGTCGGAAGCCACAAGCTTCGAGAGTTGGGCATTTGCAAGCACGAGAGAGACCAGCATATATTTGAGATAGTCCCACTCCCTTTCTAGCTCTTCGGGCTTCTCGAGAGCCAAGGCCCGGCTCTTGACACGCACTGGCATGTTTCCAAAAAGGTCATTCACAGCAACACAAGTCCCATGCTCGCCAAGCCGGGGACCCTGATGGGCCGGAGCAGGGGTCAATCGTGCTACAGGCCTGGCGTGGTGAAAGATGACGGAGTTTGTGCTCCCATGTTGAACACGACGAGACGTCACAGTGAGCAGCGACAATGAGGCCAAAGAAGCTAGGAATAAACCTCGATGTCCATAGGCTCCTGGAGTTCGGTATTTGGACGTATCTGAGACAGGATTCTTAGTATGGCAAGATGACCGAAGATAGGAGAATAGTGACATACGGTGTGCTTTTCCAAGCCCGCCGGTAGGCTCAAATTCGGCCGGTCGTATCCCCTCACCATCATCTTCCACTATGCAGCTTCCACGTTTGAAATCCACAGAAACGAGGATTGTCTGTGCGCCCGCATCCAGCGAGTTCTTGACCAAATCTACCACCACTCCATGTAGATGGGTGATCGAAGTTGAAGATTTGATCTTGGCCGCCACATCCAAAGGTAGTTCTTGAATTGTTGGTCCATGCGAAGACATGACAGATTGACGTCGATATAAGAGAGTTGTTGTGGATGTTTCAGTCAAGGTATGCAAGGTATCCTTTCCATTGCATCATCAACGGGATTCCAAAGTCGGCAGGAACGTTGCCACTCTTTCATAATTGTCACATTTGAAAGAAACTTGAGATAGAACTGGAAATACCCAAGTTGCAAAGCAATATGAAATGGTGAAACCCAGTAAATAACGAAGTGAGTTAATCGAAGGCGAACGATTGACATCAAGGGCGGGCACATGACTTGGGCGGATAAACAGTCGACCCGCTCTCTCCCCAATTGCCTCGGCGCTGCTTGACCTCTCCATTGCTTCACTCTGGTCATCCTCCCGAGCAAGCGAACTGTGTCGGGAGGCATTTCGACTACTCAATACACATATTCACCATGGCTACAGCTGAAGGGCCCGCGAGGGTGCATGGTAAGTTCCCCTGTTGGACACCTGTCCTGTATGAAATAGCCTTCTCATTAACAGGGTATACACATAGATCGCAACGGTCGGCGCCGCCCTTTCTCGAGTTGGATGAAGCGGCTCGCAAGCCTCAAGAGCTCTTCTGACTCTGGCCCACATCGCTGGTCCAACAGGCGACACACAAGCTCCAAGGGGAAGAAGAATGGAGGGCAAGGCAACAACCCGTATCCACTGTCGGGCATGCTCAACCGCCCAAACCATAGCGACTCATACTCCGAAGTCGACGAGCACGATAGACATGAGTCTCGATCACGAAGTGACCCTTCCTTGGTGTATTCGGGTTACGAAAATCATGTCCCCGCGACAAGCGCCAAGTCCACCGCCCCTACTGTGTCGACCAATGGCGACACCGCGATCTCGGATGCAGGCTACTCCAAGTCAGGGACAATGGCTACAGGGGGCGGGGGATTGAGCTCGCATGGTGGAGGTGAAGGAAGCACCTTCTCGTCGCCCGCGCATTCGGTTCGCTCGATGACTACCACTTTGACAACTGTGCAGTCGGCGGCCCCATCTACCCAGTTGTACCCCTCGCCGAACACACACCATGGACACACCCATGGAAGTTCAACACAGAGTTCTGGGAACCATCAGGTCCAGTTCTCGCATCAATTCCCTACCTCCTCCTCCTCGCCTGCTACCGCCGTACCCCCACACCTCATCCCTCACAGCCAGTCGATGACCTATAGCACTGCCACGGCAAACAATGCCCTGAACGATAACGCCTCTATCCTTACATTGGCGAGCTCGTCCAAGCGTCGTCGCCGGAACTCCTTGGACACAAATGCCTCTGTGCGTGCTTTGGCGCCCTCATCGGTCTTTGGTGGAAGCCGCGAGAGCTTGCCACTGAGTCTGCTCAGCGGCAGTGTGGTTGAGCCGTCAAACACTTCAGCCTTCAATGCTCAAGGGGTGCTGGCCCGACCGAGCATTGTTGGGCTTGCGAGCGCTGAGCGCATCAGTGTGTACTCCTCGTCTGGCACGACACCTTTGGGCAACGGTGGTGAACGAGGCAGTTTCCACCCCGCAAAGCAGAGCCAAGCTGGAGGTGACGGAGCAAGCATTCGCAGTGGTGCACCGTCACATTCTCGAAATGATAGCACAGCTGCTAGCATCACTGGAGGCGTGGGTAGCCCGCTTGCCATGGCCTCTGGCCGTGTCAGCCGCAGGAGCTCCGGCTGGGGCGAAATCACTGACGAAGGCCACGAGGGGAAGACCGGCGACGCAATGGATGAGAATTCGGCATTCAAACCAGAGGTCTCTTTCAATGAAGAGCCACATGAAACCTGATCTGTTGTTTCTATGTCATTCTCGGAACGAACACCAAAAAGCACTCGAATGACTTGACGCAAGAACCCTATCGAGGGTCAAACATACTGCGGACGAAGATACCTTTTTTCTCTTAACGATTGACGCATGGGATTGGGCAGGAGGTGGATAGGATTGCGGTGTTCAAGCTTCGGGCGTTACTTGTATCTTTCACTTTTCTTTCAGGACAGGAACTTTGATACCCTTTGCGGTATGTCTGGGGGTTTTCTCTTTCTACTTCAGCTGCATACATTCTTCTGCAAATTGGCCTCGTGTATTCATAACAGTCAAAACATAATTACCACTCTTCTTTGGCACACTGCTTCTCTCAGATTGACCACGCGCAGGGTAGTATAGATTTCTATCCACGACGCTTGATGATCATGGGCATATCATACTGGTAAACAAACCAAGCGTCACGATACTTCCACTCGTGCTTCGGATCAACCAGTTGAATCTGTATGAAAGGTTAGTTTTCGAGAAGTCAATATCTACATCCCAGAAAGACTCACGTCAAACAGACTGTAAAGCGTCGCGATCAGCTTCTTGATCTCCAGCATGGCCAAATAACGACCCATGCAGATACGACCACCACCACCGAAGACAAAGTCAACGGTATCCTTCATACGCCGCGAACGAGCCTCAAATTGCTCATCACTTTCGTTCTTGCCCTGAAGCCAGCGATCGGGGTTGAATTCATCCGCATCCTCTCCAAAGACACCACTGTCCCGGTTGGTCACGAAGGGGTTACATCCAACCTTCGTACCAGCGGGGATATAACGGCCATCAGGCAAAGTGAATCCACCCTCTGGAACTACGCGCTCAAAGATCATTGCAATGCCGGGATTCACGCGCATCGATTCGCGGATAACTGCATCCAGATAAGGCAGGTCTCGGATGGATTTCCAAGGCGCCGGGGTGGGGAGAGAGGCAGCTTGCAGTTCGGCAGCGAGCTTCGATGATGCCGAGGGAGACTTGGCCAGATAGTACAGGATAGCACGCATTGTGGCAGAGCTGGTATCGCCACCGGCTAGGATGCTCAGCATTAGCCAATTCACGATCTGCTGGTCGTTGACCATGTCGGGGTAAGACTCCTTGAGTTGAACGTATTTGTCCAAGGTGTGGTCTACCGAGCCGGCGGTGACCTTCTTGTCAGCGAGCTGGGCTTGATACTCAGCGACGACCTTGAAGGCATAGAGGACCCCAGTGAGAGTAGGCTTGGGTCCGATTCGCTTGATTGGGTTCTTGTCGAGCAAGTTGTCAATCCAGGGAATTTGGGAGACCTAAATTATTTGGTTCGGCATGAGCATGTTCAAGTTGTTTATAGACTGATTAGGGCTTATTACCGGAGCAAAATAGATTAAACCAGCAGTAGAGTCGGTGATCAGATTGTCCACATCTTTCTCCTGGTCAATAAAGCCATAGTGACGACCGAAGCTGAAGTTCGCGGTGACATCCCAGGCGACTAAGTTGTAAGTTAGTAACAGCTTTGAGTTACATAGACTTCAATGCTTACAGTATCCGATCCATTCGTCCGCTGGGCAGACAGTACCAGCGTTCTTGCCATCCACAAACTTCTCCGCAAGCTTGTTCACAAACTTGGTGAGTGTCTCGTCAATAAGAGGCTCATATTCCAAGACCTTGGTCATACTCCAGAGACTACGAATAGGCCGAATATTCTGATTATGCCATTCCTCATCCTGGGAGTTAAACAGGTTACTAAGACGATGACCTTCGATGAGCACATCGTTAGGTCGGTACATATCACTCTATTCATTTTCGCTATCAGCAATGGCACCCTGTGGTAAACGGAACACGGGCCGGAACCCTACCTTCTTCCATGGATTACGTGTGGAGTAGATCGTCCGAATAAGGCTCGGATCAGAAATGCTCACGCAATTAGGACCAATTGCAACTGCAGTTCCATACTTGCGGTGGAGTTCAAGATGTTTCAAATCGACACGGCCACCATGCGTGTGAAGAGCCCGCCAGGCATCGGTGATCTTGGCTAGAATTGGGCCGGGAATGGCCCTCAAGGGCGAAAAGAAAATATCCCAGGCAAGCTTTGTCAAGAGCAGCAGGCCAAGCGCGGCAAAAGCTTGGGCCCACACGCTGGTGGCAAGTGAAGACATGACAGCCATTGTTTCGGGCTGCACTGAGCTAGGTAGATCAGGCGAAGGTACGGAGTAAGCACTGAGAGAAAAGCAAGTCACTGCTCAGCTGGAGAAAGCAAGTCTGCTCAAGGTTTTGGGGATTGCGAGAACACATGGTCAATAATCGCAGCTGATTTTGAAGTGCCGGAGCTTCTAGCCCCCCTAGACCTTAGCGTTCAGGGGATTGAAGACAAAAACCGATCTACCCAATAGTCGCAGACTCCGGGGATTCAGAACAGTAGGTCTTTGCGGAAGACCGCGCAGCTCCGGCATTATGGTCATTGTGTTTTCCGGTGTTTGAGACACGCCACTAGTCATCCACGACTATAGCTTAGCTTGGGTGACGGGCACGGTAGAAGGGCGGGTTGTGGAGTCCGGAATTGCAATGCAATGCCGCATTGACTGGCCAATTTAGGGACGAACTGCCCAAATAGGCCTTAGGCGCATTTATTTTGACAGCGGCGCGGGCCTAGATGTCGCTTAGGACGAATCCTTTGTGAATTCTGCAGATTGTAGCGTCGGGGGATGGCAGACAAAAAAGCCTTCCCCGCAGCGAGACTGGGCTTCGTAGGCTAATGGAGAGCGGAAGTAGAATGGCTTGTTAGTCAAGAACTCCCTAGTGCGGGAAGGCGCTGCGAACCAAAGTCGAGTCTGATCCCAGGACGAGGATAGACCCACAGGCGGAGTTGAATGATTTCAGCCACTAAATAACAAAATAACATTGTTATGCAGTGCTCGAAACTGGAAAGTGTAATAAACAGTGGCGTCTCAGAGGTTTGAAATGCGAACAAAAATTCAAAATATCAGAAATGGTTGAGCCACGCAGGAAGCCGATTTAAAATCCCCTTGGAATGATCTTGCAGAAGAGAGATATCCCAAGAATAACTAGCTGGCCAGGCTTATTCCCCGGTCTCCCGATTCCAATGTTAAAAATTAGAACTGCACATGCATATCGGATACCTTCTCCGGATGTCGGCCCCTGCTCGATACGAAAAAGATATCCCCACAGAACGTGCGAAATGACCCATCAGGAATTAAAGGCAAGAAATTACCCCTGTGTGTTTTATTCTCAAAGCCGTTAGGTCAAGTAGGCAGTTACCGGCCCAGTGGTGACGGGTGATGTTTAAATGTCTTCTGACTCCCGCGGCCAGTGGCGTGGCCGCTGCTTCTGAGGCGTCTGGTTTTCCGCAGGTCCATTCTGAGATTGTGACTGTGGAATCTAGGGTCCGCTCAAGATGGAGTCAGAAGCATACAGGCAGGCGAGCAGAGCTCCGCTTCTGCAGGGTGTGATGTGGACAATGGCTATTGTGCCCTTGGTGTTCGTTCTGATGCGATTATACGTTCGAGTTGTGATGAAGCGGGTTTTTGGTTGGGATGATTTTATTATCATTGTCGCAACAGTGAGTTTTCCGTCGTCTTCTACTACTTTCAGTGCATGGCCTCATAAGGCTTATATTGTTATTCTAATAGGGCTGCTTGATCGCTTATGCTGCTGTCTGTCATGTTGCCGCTACGATAGGCCTTGGAAGGCATCTTACCGTCGTCCTCGAGGAAAACCCAAATCATGTCATCGATGTAGCGCTGCTATGCGATATTGGTGAAGCTTTGGCCATCATGGCCTGCACGTTGGGTAAAACTTCATTTGCGGTGACTCTACTTCGCATCGTTGTTCACAGATGGATGATAATCGTGCTCTGGTTTGTTATTGTCACCATGAACTTGGTCAACGTCTTGGCAGCCTTGTTCATCTTTGTACAATGCAAGGATCCAAGGCACCTCTGGAACTCTGCCATTCCATCAGAATGCTGGCCCGCAGATGTCTTTACACACTTCTCGCTGTTCGTGGGTGGTAAGTTGCGCCGAGATCCCATCTTGACTTTAGGCTTGCTAACATTTGGCTTTGTGCTTATAGCTTATTCCGGGGCGCAAGATTTTGTGCTAGCTCTACTGCCCTGGACACTTGTTTGGAATCTCCAAATGAAAAAGAAAGAGAAGACTGGTATTGCTTTCGCTATGAGTCTGGGCGTGTTGTGAGTCTACCACTTGAGTACACCCATATCTTGCACTCTGACTGACTTTGTATCTCTGAAGCGCTGGCGCGGCCTCGATCGTCAAGACAACGTACTTGGTAGCACTGTCCGAGAAGGCAGACTTTACTTGTAAGTCTTCCAGCAGCTCATCTCTGGACTATAACTTATCATATATTTTCCTTCAGGGGAACTTGCTCCGCTGCTCTATTGGGCAGCTGTCGAAGATGGATTGGCCATCACTGCGGCCGCTATCTCTACCCTGAAGCCTCTGCTTGCCAGAGTTTTCCCAGGATCGTCCATCAACAATAACTACAACATGATTTCTTATTCTACGGCACCGAATCGCAAAGTCTTCGATAACTCACAAGGCGAAACGCGTACCGACATCGGGCATTCAAGTATTCATGAGAGAGGAAGTCAGACTGCTATCTTGGCGCCCCTTTCTCCAAAAAGGGATGAGACTATCAACTTGACAACAGAAGTTTCTGTCACTTACAATCGCCCTTCATGAAGCTATTTTCATGGTTGTATAAAATGACAGACCCTATGAGGAATGGAACGGGTGATGTACCTTGGAACCGAAAAGTGTGATTATCCACCAAGTTTTTCTTAGGGCCGTCTCTGACGATGTAATGATCCGAATATTATCCTTTGTCGCCCCACTCTCAAATTCATACTCAACAGAGTGACCGAAAAACATCCATGCCTTCTACGTCTATTTGAGTGAGATATTGGTAGTAAGTAGGTTCTGGAAAATTGCCTATCCTCCTTTTTCAACTCTTGTAAGCTTACCAGGTGATTTTCCTTTCTCTAAATTTGACCGTTATCATGATGAATACGATTACTGACTTGAGCAGTACCACTATATTGAATAGAAGAAGCTGGATTAGCCTCTTAAGATGATTGATAGCCATCAAGGGCCTGAAGGCAAACAGCATGTCATCTTTCCAAGAACCCAAGGCACGAAACTTCCCGAGGTCAGTCAAGTCTCGCTTCCTGGCATCAAAAAGCTAGAAAAGGGCAAAAGGATCAATATTTGGTCGTGGAAAAGAAGTGTCCACAGCACCCTTATACAACTCAAGCTGGAAGATGTCATTGATACCAAGATCCCATGCCCATTTGAGAATGATCCCAACTACGAACGCTGGAGAGCTTGGTCTACGGTCGTCAGATGCTGGTTGTTAAACCAATTGGATCCCGACGTGATCGAGGATGTTGAACAATTTGGCAGACATGCCGAAGCAGAAGTTGACTTGGAAGACCGGCTTCCACGCTACGCAGACAATCTTTACACTCTCATCAGCAAAGCATTCATGGCTGGCGAGGAGTATGCGAGGTCCAATGCTGCAATCGCCATTCGTAGAATTCGCCGAGAGAAATTTGACTCCGTAGAGGAGTACATCGAGGAATGGAGAAAAGCGATTATCAAACTACGAGAGCAGGCCATTTCTATCCACGCCTATGTTGCGATCAAGTTGATGTTCCTTGACCTGCAAGATGAGATGCCGATGACTATCAACATGCTGGAGGATAAAATTGACCCCGAGAGCTCTGTTACCCATGATCGCTTCGTTGGGATTTGCAATGAGATCATTGCAAAGTCTAAGAAGTCACTGGACGAAAATACCCCAGTGTGTAGTTTAGCTTGATCCATCGCCTTTGCTAATCGGGTGAATACTTGTTGCCTTGGGAATATGGGTGTTCCTCGTGGGGCCCTCTCGGTGGGTTGACGTCTTGGCATCTGCAAGATAATCGCAGCTTGGAAGAAGCAGCTTTGCTAGTTTGAGGATATTGCTCATGATACGAGAATTGTCTCCTGGCTACAATGAAAGTTGACATGGCTGACTGCCCCTTTGTCTCTGATTCTCAGGCACTCAAATGATTACGACCTCGTTCTCGCTTGGAGATTATCTTTCTTTTTTTATCCGTAGAAACCGATCGATGGCATGACAAATGGACCAGCATCTAGATCAACGGACTAAATGGATCGATTTGGTAGTTCCACCGGCTTACTGTGAAACACGCTGATTGGTCAAGTGTATACGACAGGCACACGCCGCCAACCTCGGAACCTGCATTGTAAGCTTATGGCCTGTGTGGTGGCTATGTCGGATACGCTGAGAGCAATAATACGGCAATGGAAAATGAGGGAATTCTTAATGAAGTTCTTGAATCGCTGCAATTAGGCTCCAGGTGGTCTAGGAGTTGAAGCGAGAAACTTGGCAAAGGAATTAAGATTGTCTCCAACGATGTCATTGTGCAGTGCACACGGGCATAAAATGGATAATGACTAATCCTCTGCATAACCTAATAACCTAAATTAACGAGGGTACCTGAGCGATTCAACAAACCTGCTAGCGGTGGGTATGCAGATGCAGGGACCTTTAAAATATGACCAACATAGCAATAGAAATGGCTAACAAGCTTGATATACATAAGTAAGAAACCGGAAATCAAACAGGGTCTATACGATCGCCATGGGAAATGATTAAAGTGGCCAGTGACGTGAGTGATGCGTGATGTCGCCGATCGATCGCGATTGGACTGGAGACTGGAACGAGAACGGGAAGGTTGAGGAAGCACCTGCAGTACATAAGTCGTACTAATAGTAGCTGGTACCAGTTGGTAACTTGGTTACCCATGTGCTGTGCCCCAACAGCCAAGGGATTTTGCTTTGTACCCGCAACCCGCAAACCCAGTTTTCTTGCGCGGAGTGTGCCATACCGCCACATTTGTTTTTTCACCTCCTATTTCCCATCGGCCTGGATAAGCAGTGTTGAGAGGGGCTTCATGTCTCATCTTTAGCGCCTGTAAATAATTATTTCAAGCTTCAACTTCGCAAGGCTCCCGTCGGTGGATCTAGGTCGCCATTATGGAGAAAACCCATCCGTCACACACAAAGACGGTCGCGGTCGTGGGCACGGGCATGGCTGGTCTAGCCACTGCCCATTTGTTGCACCAGGACCCTCAAAAGCGGTATCAGGTTACTCTGATTGAGAAGGTCGGTCTATTTTGCGACTTCATGTCACCCAACTCCAAGTGCGATGCAATACCAGGAATGAGGACGTGATGCTGACCGACTAAACAGAGAGACGAAATATCGCTAAGCGCGGAATCAGTTCAGATTCCATCGCAAGACCCCAACGGTCCATCTGTATGGGCGGATGTGCCTATGCGCGCCTTTGCTGGCGGCTTCTATCGGAATCTGGTCCGAATGTATGATTACTTGGGAGTCAAGTACCATGAGCAACCATTTCTCTTCAGCTTCACGAAATTGCCGAAACGACAGCAATCTTCGTCGACCACCTCTTGCATTCCAGGTCCGCAGATGGTTTATGCTTCGAATTTTCACCAAATCCCCCCGATTCCACGCACGTCAGACCTAATTCATTGGTGCGTGGAAGCTGTTTACGCAGTTCTGTGCTACCTGTGGTTTACCTTCTGCTGTTTCTTCATCGCTCCCTATGCCGAGAATCTCCAGACTGGCCAACTGAGCGAGACATTCGACCATTATCTACGGCGCGTCTGGGTACCACAGCACTACGTGGCTAATTACCTTCTTCCTCTGATTTCGAGTGTCTGTACCTGTTCGCACCAAGAGCTGTTGAATTTCCCTGCCTCGGATGTTCTAGAATATAAGCGCCGCACGCATCGCCAGCAGCACTTTGTGGTGAGTGCGGGTGTCCAATGTGTTCAGCCGAAGCTTCTGGAAGGCGTCGAATTGCGTCTTGGCGTGAATTTGACGCATGTGATCCCGCGACATAATGGAGTCCAGATTAAGTACTCGACCGAGGACGGGAAACACTCCTCAGAGTACTTTGATTTGGTTGTTTTGGCCGTTTCACCCGACGTTGCTGCATCATTGTTCCCCGCTGTGAATTCACAGCTATCTGCCATTCCGACGACCACTGTTGAGACGGTCGCACATACGGATGAGTCGACTATTCGACCGATGCTGAGTGCGACAGCGAATCCGACCTCGATCAAATGCTCAAAAGAGCTGCGAGGCTCTTACAACCTTGGCACCCAACGTATTCACTTGCTTTCAAACGGTACTATTACTGAAGCCGTCCATGAGCAATCAAATTCTATTCTTGTCACGACCAACCCTCTTTTCCCGTTGGACAAATCGAAGATTATTCGCTCGGCAAGCTTTATTCGTGTCTTGCGAAGCCCGCTCAGCCGTCTTCTCGTCAACTCGATCTTCCAAGACCGCGGTGAACCAAAGAAATTATCAGAGTCGACTTCTGCGGTAAATTCGTGGCGAAATGGAGACAACGGTGTCTACTTGGCAGGTGGATGGTGCTGGGATGGCATGGTCCTACTTGAAGGCTGCATCGTCTCTGCTATGAGAGTTGCCACAGATCTCGGTGTGGCAGTGCCTTGGGATGATATGTCGTCATGATTGATTCAGGTCTGGGGATGGCTATTCGTGTCTAGCCCGGGAGGATGGGTCTCGACCGTATAGTAATTCTTACTTTTTGGGCCTACTCTATGACTCCTCTGGAGATGATCATGGCTCACTTGAGCATGGGCCGTTGTATGCATAATATAGCGCTACATAATATATTCCATTTACGACACCTGGACAATTTATTGCAGTACACATATAAACTATCAGCTACAAGTTACTTGAGCCATAACCTGCTTTCAACTAATCGGCCCATTCCACGGAGTTTGATACGAGCCAGTTTAGACGCTCGGACAGAGATGCGTCATTGGATCACAAGGTTGCGGGCACTATACGATCAGGATCAGTTGATTAAGGCTTCGAGCACAGGTGTATTGTCCAGAATGTAGAAGAATCAACACTTACGCAAACAATGGGACCGCTGGGCTGAGATGCAGCCGGACAGAGTTCAGGGTTGTTGCAGCATCCTGGGCTAAGACCACCGTTGATACATGTGTGGCCGGCCGGGCACTACAGGAATTGTCAGTATCATCTCGATGTTTGTAAAGGGTGAAGCACTTACGCAATCTCCAGTCGCAGCACAGAACGGATTCGGAGCTGGACAGTTACATTTGCCGTTGAAGCAATTTCCGGAACACTATCAATTCTGGTTAGTGATGGCTTGCCTGTAGATTAAGGAGTGCCAGAGATCTTGAGAGAAGAAGTGACTAATCAAATAACATCTAGTACAAGGACAAGGCAAAAAAGGAAATAATGTCCGTTGAGGACGACTTGGAAGACGTCGAGTTGCCGATAAAAAAGATGATATGAGACCTACATTCTGGCCACATTTTCCACAGTTGGTTGAACTAATATTGAGGTTCACACATGTTCCGCCACAACATGTCGGGGTTGCCGAATGGCACTAACCAAAGTCAGTCCTGAAATCTCGATCAAGTAGACAGGTAGATTGGAGGCTCACCTTGTTTCCGCAAGTGCCACAGTTGTTTGAGTCTGTAGCGAGACTCGTACATACTCCGCCACAACAGTCGGGGCTTGCTGCAGCAGTACACTAGATAGTGTTAGTACAATCTCATAGGTGAAGTAATGGGAGAGGGGAGACTCACGCTCTTTGCACATGATCCACAGTTCTTCGGGTCAGTACCTAAATTGGTGCACGTGTCGCTGCAGCACGCTGCATTCGCCCCTGTACAGGCAGTTCCAGGGCAGCCTCCGCAGTGGACTAGATCAGAAGTAGTGTCGGTACAAACGCCGAGACAGCAAGTATTTTTCGGTGCCGTGCACTCCCCAAACCCTTAGTATAATCAAATTCAGAGCACATCGTCAGGAAGCGCAACTTACTTTTGTGTTACAGGTTCCACAATGTGAAGCACTGCCACTCAGGTCAGCACACTGCCCAGAGCAGCATGCTGGGGTGACTCCTTGACAAGGAATAGTAAGACAGGCTCCACAATGATTGACATCAATCGCAAGATCATGACAAGTGCCCATGCAACAGGCTGGCTGGGCTCCAGTACACTAAGGAGATGGGATATTAGCAAAATGGAGCACTCTTTCGGTGCAAGATGCTTACCTTAGTGCTGCAATTTCCACAGTTATTGACGTCCAAAGCAAGATCGGTACATTCTCCAGAGCAGCATTGAGGAACAATTCCCATGCAAACTGTGCCAGTGCCATTTCCGAGGCCAAAGCCAGTGCAGGCGCCGCAGTTGGTAATATCCGAGCTCAAGTTCGTACATTTACCACCGCAACAGGTTGGGTTAGGCGCAGTGCACTAATAAGTATTAGTCTCAAAGTGCGGAATGATCTCATCGATAGGATAAGGGAAGCCCACGGTTGTTGTACACGTTCCGCAGTGCTGCTCGTCGGTAGCAAAGTCAAAACAAGATCCTGAGCAGCACCCAGGAATTTGTCCGGGGCACTAGATATAGATATCAATAAGTGATAATACCTAGTGAGATGGAGATTAAATTGACTTACGGCATGAGAGCAAGTTCCACAGTTCTGTGGGTTGGATTGCAAGTTTGCACAAAAGTTATTGCAACATGTTTCAGTTCCCGGGCACTATGGAGCATGTTTTATTGAGCACATGTAAAGCAATGGGTTGAGATGCTGTCAAGTCGATCGTCGAACTTACAGGAAATGGGAACCAAGGTGCGCAAAACTGGCCCTGTTCAGGGACAAAAGTGGATGATGAGAGCGCGCTGGATGCCGTCACAGTTACGCTGACTCTCGCGGAGGAGGTTTGGAGCTTTGCCTGCGCATAGCTAAATGAAGATATTCCAAGTGCTAATATCAAGTCAGGATCCCGCGATAATGTCGACGGTGGGGATAATGCCTAGTAGTCAGAATCTGAGTTTGTCTTACCGAGAGAAAGAAGATGAAAAGGGCATATCCGGACCATGTTGGGAAAACCTTCTTAAAATATGATGCTAGAAAGCTTCTAAATGAGCAATCCTCGTCAATATTGACTAGATCATGAACTTTGAACAACCTCAAAGTTAGCTAATTGGCAAGAGGATCGCCGGTCTTATGTGTAGTGTCTCGAAAGCGTGATTCTAGTTCCACATGACGATGTATAAATTCAAGCAATTCGTTCTAGCTCCGGCTCCGGGTGGGACGCTCCTGCATGCGCCCGAGCTTGCAGTGAAACAGGCTCGAGGAAGCTAGTTTCAAGGTTTTCTAGGTTTTCTCAAGTACCTTCCAGCAAGCTTAGTTTATTTGGTGGGGTAACTCGATAAGCCTCACTGAACGGACTTCTACAATGTTGGGTTCCTGCTTCGCTGGTTACACCACTACCAGATCATGACAGAAGTCCAGGGGAAAGTAAGTGTTCGGATGTGCGTAGTACAAAATGATTCATTGTGGTCATTGTTACTAATGGCTTTGATCGCGACTTGTGGGGAACTTGTTTGCAAGGCCCATTGCAAGGAGTCTGTCCCTCTTTTGCCGAGTATGCTACCTTGCCCGTCACGTCACAGTAGCTAGAGCTAGGCGATGTTGTGTCACTTCATGAGCTACAGAAATGAAGTGTTGGGTATCACATATGTAGTTGACACTGGGTAGTTCGCTTCATGGTCGTTCGATTGCCAGTGTGCATCTACTGATAACCAGGAAGGTCAATTGTGGAAGCTCGGCTGCAGAAACATTCCTCGGACAAGAAATTTAATGTTGAATGCTATAACTGGGGTCAATCCTCACCAACACGAGTTCAATTTTCGAAAGTTCTTCTAACCAACTCGCATACATCATTTCATGGTGTAGGTAATGCCGGAGGTAGCCTATGCGTGATAACAGTGCAACTTGAACTTGTATCCATAGAGTAAACCCGTATGTAGTTCGTCCTCCAGATCATTAAACGCCGCTCGGGGGATATATATCCAGTGTACCAGCATTAAAAAAAAATACACCCTCAAGGCTTCGATATCCAGCAACACGAAGGGCTGCTGCTACACAGGCCAGGAATCCGGCTAGGCATCCACGCGGTGATTTAGATTGAACAGTGCGGGCAGGGCAGAAATATATACTGTGGCAGAACAACTTTCAAGTAATCACAAAATAGGCTAATGAAAGTGGTAACATAGCCAAAGGTATTTTGGTGTTTTTTTGTCTGCTTGATAAACGAAATAGAAACCGGACATGAACCTTCCAGAGATGTAGATTGTTCAGTAACGAATACATAACCTTAATCCAAGAGACCCAAGTTTGTGAGGAAGGCTTGGCTTGGCATTGGCGGGCCCTGCCCGCTAACGCGTGTTCCTCCCCGACAATCCTCACGGCAACTTCCCTGCAACGTCATCGGTCATCGCAGGGCCTTGACTTTAACCGGCTCTCTTGATCCTCCTAAGCAATCAGATACAGCCTGATCAATAGCAAAAATGCTAGGGTTCCTCAAGAAGGCCCTGGAGAGCAAGGTATATGGGCTGGACCATGCAGTACTCAACGTGCAGCTGCCGCCTCCAACCATGTGGATGAACATGGGATTCTGGAAGGTAGTTCACACCCTTCTAAGATAATCCTGACTCTTTATTGACGTTTCCAGGATACTCAACACTTTCCAGCGGCCTGTCAAGCATTAATTGACCAGGTATTACAAGCCGGTCTCGCTACTGACAAGGGTCGTTCTGTGAGAATCTTGGATGTTGGCTGCGGGTGCGGTGACCAATCGGTTCATATTTCATCACTGAAAAAAGACGCATTTTCTTCTACTACCACTGCGACATCTCAATCTGGGTCCAGCGCTTCTGCCGAGGCTTCCGAGTCTACCCTACGACGACAGGGCAGTAGCAACGAGTCGTCCAAGCCTCTTGTCGATACATACATAGGCATTACAATACAGCCTTCTCAGGCACAGTTTGCCCAGCAGCGCATCCGCTTGTATCAGGAGCAAAATAAAGATGGAGATATCCGTACCTCCGCGGATGTGTTCTGCGCCGATGGAGCCGACCCCTCGAGTTGGACTGGAGAACTGCCTGATTCCATTTCCAACTTGGTTGATACCTCGCTTGACCCAGATACATCAACATGGCTTCTTGCTCTTGATACGATGTACCACTTCAAACCCTCGCGTCTTCCCATCCTTTACTATGCACAAAATAGTCTTCATGCATCCTTTATGGCCTTTGATCTCCTTCTCGCGGATAATACATCCTGGTGGCAACGTCTCAAAATGCGGCTAGTGTGCTGGGTGACCGGTTCGCCGTTCACGAATTTCCTCACTCGGGAGGAGTATATGCGTCTCTTGGTGGCGGCCGGCTATGATCGTTCTCGAATTCAGATCAAGGACATATCTCGACATGTCTTTCCTGGAATAACGGAGTTTATGGGTCGAAGGATACAGGAGGGGCAGCCATATGGGATCAAGTTGGGCAAGTACCGTGGAGCAAAAACTGTATTCGGCTGGTGGGCTAAAAGCGGTATCGTCAGGGGAGTGGTGGTAGTTGCAAGGAGTTGATACTGCGGAGTTCTTACACAGTTGACCCGACGAGTTCATCATGAATTATTTGTTAGATTATATTATATACGTGTGAATATTTACACCCTCAGACCGCCGCATAGCATGTCGTCCGTTTTTTTAATTTGCAGGAGACGGACTCTGCGGATTGCGGAACACATTCTTAGGATCGATTTCCTCCTTGATCTGCTGCAGTCGAGCAAGATTGGAGCCCCAGTATGCCTCGGGGCCATTTGCCATCAGAGGGTCAACATAGCCCGGGTAGGCCGAATAAGGAGCTTTATCATTGGTGACAAGTGTATTGAGCTGGTCCAGGAAGTTGATCTGGGTTTGTGTGACAGAACCCAGCAAGTTGATGCTGTATGATTGCAGCCAGACCAGAACGTCACGGTGCACATACGCGGTCGCATCCGTTGGGATATCGTTCGTGTAACCGCCTTGAAAATCGAATAGGACGAACCAAGCCAAAGTCCCCTTGTCTGCGCTGTCGATATATTCAAACATCCTGTCGATTGTGCCGGAATCCATCAGATTGCTAGGCGTCCAAGCCGTGGATTTGGAGTAGAAGTTCGAGGGAACGCCTCCTCCAAGCTGCAAGACAGCCTCTTCAGCCCAGTTACCGACAAGACCGAGCCAGTCCTGGAAGACGATAGCACTTCCATTAACACCAGGCCATTGACTGCCTATGTCAAGTGCATTGTATTCCTCCTCGGTGCCGAAGAAAGTACCCGTGATGACCATGCTATCATCCAGCAGAGTCAATGTGGAAGCCAACTTTCGTGTCAGGTTGGGGTCAGACACGTAGGCTTGCCATTTTTTGAAAAGACTGGCTCGCTCTTCTGTGCTTCCAACTTTGAGGGTATACTCGTACTTAACAGCCATGCCAGGTTCGGGTTCGGTGCGAACCTTGAATTCGGTGACAATACCAAATCCAGACGCAGCACCCTTGATAGCGAAGAAGATATCCTGGTTTTGCGTGTCCGAGGCTGTCACGATGCTCGAGTTGGCGAGCACAACTTCTGCCTCCACGATGTGGTCCAGTGCGGCACCAAATTGTCGAGAAGTTGGACCGAGGCCACCAATGGTGAAATGGCCACCAGAGCCAACTTGCGGGCATGTTCCGTGCGACATGACTCGTCCTCCAGCATTGTGAAGACGCTGTGTCACGTCTCCCAGCAAAGTGCCAGACCCAATTGTTGCGACCCAGGTTGTGCTATCCATGGAGAACTGTTGGAGGTGCTTCAGATCAACGACGACAGCTCCATCGGTTCCACCCAGACCTGATCATCTCATATATATTAGTCTCATTACCCTCGAAAATCAAATTTGACTTGATCACGATATTCTGACGATCACACACCATAGTTTCCATAGCTATGCCCACCACTCTTCGCTTGAACGGGATAACCATTATCGGCGGCACATTTCACGACCGCAGCGACCTGTTGCGATGAAGTCGGAAACGTGACGGCAGCTGGAGTGACGTGGATGTTGAGATTATACCGATTCACATCCACGGCCTGATAAAAGAGATCGCCAGGGAAAGCGACACTGCCGATATCTGGCAGGGCATACTTAAGACACGACTTCAAGGTACCACCGCTACTGGCGACGGCAACTGACGCGACACTCGCTGTGAGAAGGAAATTCCTGATAGCAGCCATACTCGTTCCGCGAGGTGAAATCTCCAAACTCCTCCAAAAAGGCCTCAGGTCAGCTGCGAAGGGCCAGAGCTCTATATGAACATCATGGTGGAGTCGCTGGGCGAGTCGAACATGTGCTAGCCTACCACTATGACAAGGGTTTAAGACAAATCTGAGCCCAAACCAACCGAATAACTCCGGTCGCCCTTTAGCTACAGGGGGAAAAGGGCCACCCGAGAGCAGCTGGCAATGCTGCCCAGTAACAAGCATCGAGACCAAAGTACCTGCTCCATTGCGGGAATTTAGTGTTCGGCTAGGCCAGCCCGAAAAACGCCCAGTTCATGGGTTACGGTGCTTTTTCAGTCAACAGACTTTGACGTTGACGAACAGCTGCGCTCGGATCTTCGCACGTTGTGGGGAATACGATGCCGGAAAATCTCAAATGTCGATTGGAGTGTCGATCAGCGGCCCACGGAGACATTTCTTTCAGCCTTTCAGGGGCAGATCCTGCGTGCGGTTGTGATTGAGATGACAGCTTCCTACAAGGGTGAACGCTGGGGAGATTAGATCGACAAAGCACATTATTCTCATTCAGCGGTCTAAGCCGATGCGTGTATTCTATGCAGAAACGTCCGGTGCGCAGGGTCGTATGTCATGTTTGACAGGAGGACATCAGTTGATTCATCAACCCATTGTTGCAGTCGAGTCGCTTTGCAGCGATTCGTCTAATGAAAGATCTGGATGATGCAGGGTATCCGAATCTGGTCTTTACAGCCTTGCCCCTGGTTTCTCATCCACCTGGAAAATCTGATATATCAGCCAACGGACCCTCTCCGTAGACTCCACAACAATACATAGGCTAATATACGTACGTACCATTTTTCCTATGCCGGGACCTGCTAATTCTACAGTGCTGCGAGACTAGCCCGTCTATCTTTCAATCAGAGCGCCGTGGGTGCCGTTGTAGCTGGCCAATTCGATTAAATAAGTAGCATTTAGGAGGGTTCCCGTAGGCCGACTCAAATGATTCACCCGATTTTCCTAGGCAATCTACATATGCTCGTCCAGCTAGAGAATCTTAATCAATACAGACTCTATAGCCTCGTAATCTAATAGAGAAAGATCCGCCTAGATTCTTAGCTACGCTAGACCGAGGTCCAGCTCTGTTCCTCGCCCTCTTGAGCTTCCGGTACTATCTCCTCGTCGTCCTGCCCGCTGATATACTGTATGTTACTGTCGTCGCCGTCTACGTCGAGAACACCGCGGAAGTCCGTGATCCAGGGCGCGCGACTTAATACTCGTCGCTACGAGTCCCTACGGCGGTCGGAAATCGTGGCGAGAGGCGTCGTCTAGAATCTTGTCCCTCAAGACGCCCTATCCGGGATCGAAGATTACCGCTTATCTCTTGGTACTTGCTGGTGAGATCTGGGTCGTAGCATGTGGGCAGCCAGATAGTCTAGAGAAGAAGAGTAGGAGAAAGGGTGGAATATCAGGGCATGCAACGCTAATTTAGTCTCCGCCGAGATGCCAATGCCCAACGCCTCGCAAGCCTGCAAGGACCGGTCGAGAGTCCCAAGTAGATGTGTTTGTCGATTATGAAAAACGTCCAGGATCTTCGTCATGTAAGGGTGTTCTGGTATGTAGATGAATTATAAGACGAGATATTCCATGTGTCTCTACCTCTAAGATGTCTTTGGAAAGTTCCACTAATTTCCCGCGGAGCAGCTGTTAGAGAAGCATGACTCTATCTTCGCCACGTCATCTTTGAAAGTAGAAAGGTGATGTCTTACCGTGCTTCGCCATACGGCGAGGGCTCATCAAGCCAGCTTTCTTGGAGTCAAGCATGAAGCGATATAGTTTTATGTTATTACCCTTAACCTAAAGTAGAAACTATAACATTGAGCCATAATACCATGGATTATAATCAGGCTTCTTTACTACCCGGTAGCTCTCTATGGTTCATCATAATTTACAATTCAGACACAAAACCATATCATAGTATGTAGATTGTAGCCTAGACATCCATCTCCTCATCACTTCTATCCATGGTTCCCCAATACCAGGCACCCGCATAGTTACCATATTTGGCAACGGATACACACTCTATTAATACTTTTCCATCATATACCAAGCCTAATGTGTATACTTGGTCATCACAATGATCTCACAAATTTCCAACTCACAACATTTCAGCTGCTGAAGTCCTACTCTACTTCCTACACAACTCACATTCTCTTCCAATCTCACACTTACTCCCTCCCACTATACTTCTTTCATCTCCTACAACCACCTCCTCATCCTCATCCCCTTTCTCCTTATTACGACATCGCAATCGCCCACCTCCCCCCACAAACCCCCATAATCCCCTTCACAACCAAAGATGAAGCCACATCCCGCGCCGAAATCCACGCCGACGCCCTTGCAGACGGCCACCTAAAAAACCAATACCTAGTCTTCACAAACGTCCCCCAATCCGCCATGGACTACTGGTGCTGCTCCGACAAAGGCGTCCTCCACTCCGGCCGCTTCAACTACTCAAAGGCCAGTCAGATCATGGTGCTGAAAATAACGAAGCCGGATATACCTCACGAAGTCCTCTGCGCTTGGGATCATGTCTGGCATCTCAAAGAGTATGATATCGGACTGTACGAGAAGGAGAATCGGGATGAGTATTATATTTTCTATGGCTATCTTTCGCAATTGATATTCGTCGATATGATTAAGCAGACGGATCGGTATTATCGTACTGGTCCGTTGAGAGGGGGAGGGTGTACTGTTGTTATTGAGGCGGGGTTGCCTTGTGCGGAGGCGAGATTGGATTTTGATGCGAGACGATGGTTGGAGGCCGAGGGGGGCAATGTTAGTATGGCGGTTGCGGTTGTTGTTTGGGAGGTGTTGGAGAGGATTGTTGTTAAGACTTGGGAGTATGTGGGGACTGAGACTGGTGAGGAAGAGAAGGGGAAGGGGGAGATAGCGTGTACGCAGGAGGTTGTTATTCGGAGACGGAATGGGAAGACGGTTAGTACTGGGGGTTTGAGGTTTCCGTTTAAGACGATCTTTGGGAGGGAGCCGGATCCGAACAAGCCTGTTGAAAGGGATATTGTTCTTGAGGAGAGTGATCTGGTGAGGGTAGGGAAGAGAGCGTGGAGGGAGATATTTGGGAAGGATGTCGAGGATTGATATTGCGAGGATGGGTTGATGTCTTAGCTGGAGGAGATGTTGATGTCGATGTTATATTCATCTTGCTCAAATCAAACCTACATCTTGCTGATTATCGTGATAGGAGAATCAAATGAAGGAGTAACGTGTGTCTATTGAAACAAACTGCACTGTAGGGATCATCACTCATAGTCTTCTGCCACCCTCATCTGCAGATGCCATCTAAGATACAGATAGCATACCACAAAAGAATAAAGAAGCAAACAAAAACCGCTCATAAGATATTGACAAGAAACAAAAGACATAGGGTGGGTGGGAAAGTTATCAGCTCCCCCATAATATTTCCCATTGTCGAAAGGAGCAGGGGGACAGAGCAACAGTGCATGAATCAGACTGCGGGGAACAATTCGTTTTTTTTTTCTTTTTTTCGTATATATTTTTTTCGTTTTTCTTAACTGCTTACGCAGTAGTTCCAACTCCGCGCTTGGACTCGGAAAGACTTGAGTCGGACTTGCGCGAGGCCATGAACTGCTTGAACATGTCCGAGATGGCCTTCTCAGAGGCCTCGTTGCGCTCCTCCGTGCCGTTCTTTTCCATGATCAGACCACGGAGCCAGTGGTTCTCCAACTCGAGCTGGGAGACGCGAGCCTCGAGGGCATCGTTCTTGTCGTTGGTCTCCTTGAGGCTGCGCTCCAGAGCCTGCTCACGCATCTTCTTCTTCACACGGAAACGAGCGCTGGCAGCAGTATTGCGGCGACGCTTGTCCTCCTCGGCCATAATCCGGGCAGCCTCCTCGGCACTAGTGGTATTCGCCTTGGCGCTGTTCTTCCGCTTGGGGGCAGCAACCGATGTGGCGGGCGAGGCAGCACTCTGAACAGGTGTGGACGCCACACTCGGAGTAGCAGTGATAGGCACATTTGGAGCGGGGACCGAGTTAGCCGCCATGGGACCGTGAGACACGGAGGGGACCGCCGAGTAAGGCGCGCTTTGCACGGGGATGGACGCCTTCAAGCCATTCAGCTCCTGCTGATACGCGGTCATGTTGCCCAAACCATCTATTGAATTTAACGTTAGCATCCACTATTCATTTCAAAAAAGCATCCACTTGGTTCGCGCGCTCGGTGAACTCGAATTGGTTGGACAGTTTCCCTTGGATGGCTTGGAGTGCTCGTTTTCCGATCACGTGGAATGGCGTAATAGCGGAGAAGATTCACGTCTGCACGAGGCCAATTGCTCGGCACCGATCGCAGGCACGAGAAAGAATCTGCACACGCCACTCGACATGGATGTCCTGCAGCCCTAAGGGGAGAACACCAATGACTCGCGTCGGCAGGGTCCAAAAGAAGGGTATGGTTGTGCCTGGGGTGGAAATGGGCACATCCAGCATGTTGAAGACGACATCCAGCCAAGACATGAGTTGTGCGACTAGAATGAACCTCGAGTGGGCGAGTCATGCAGCCAGTGCAGTAGTCACAAGCCATCATGCATGATTCTGATGGAACGATGCCCATCAACCAGGCCATTCGAGATGGTGTGACCCAGACGGAAAGCCGTGCCTTTGTGTCTTCTCAAGGGAAAATGTCCAACCATCGAGCGCGACCAATAGAATCCAACGTAGTATACTCTCAAAGACTTACCATTCAGAAACTCCAAGAACTTCATATCGGCATTTTGTGTAGCCTGGTCCGCGATGGACTCGACGGGCGAAGACTTCTGATCGACGGCATCGAAGTTAGGCAGACCGAGGTCGGTGAACTTTTCGAAATCGAAGAACTCGGTGTTGGTGAAAAGAGCCAGTTCCTCATCGAGGTTGAAAGTATTCTCCTGCTGGCGCTGCTGCACAGCCTGGTCGTAAGGCGACGGGATAGCGTTCAAGTCATCGAGGTATTGCGCGAAGTTGGGGGCGCGGCGCCCGTTGAAGTTGGCCATTTTGACGGGTTATCAACGACGATATAAAGCGTTCGAGTCGCGGGTTAACGGATTCCGATGGAATCGTCAGTCGTTAAACGACGTGTTGCGCGAGCGCGGTTGGTGGATGGTGTCTTCGGGCAAGCCGGGTGCGGCTCTAGGCCGTTGCGATTGAGACTGGTCAACCTAGGTGAAAGGTGACTCGAATGAGACGGTCGCGGATGTATATGGGATGGATTCCAAAGGCGCGTCGCGATGGAATCAAGGGCGATGAAGTTGGTGGAGAGAGAGATGGAGAAGGAGAGAGAGGGTTAGAGAGGGTCGAGTTCAATTGTGGGCTCTTTCGGGGAGGGCCAAAGTGGGTTTTTTTCTCGATGGAGTTTGAATGACTGGGTGGTCATCGAAGGACGAGTGGGGGGAACTCGGATGGAGGGGGTGGATGAGTAATCCTCCCTCTTCGCCGCCGGCGGTTACGCAGAATCGACAGCCACTTCGTATTAGACTTTGGGATTGCGAGAACTAATGAATAACCTAATAGAGGAATCTAGTCTGGATGTTTATTAAAGATGATACTGCTCTTCTGTTGGCATATCTTGTTCTTCTACAATATTCTCAAAACTCGTTACACTGTCCGACCCTGATCGCGGAAGTGGCCGAAGATCGGAGGACTACTGTACTTTAAGTACTGTACAGCGGTACACTAAATGATCTAAATCCACTTCAGAATCCACTTGGCCGGAACGAGTTCCCCAACCGGGGAGATTCTTTCTAATCAACGGTGGATTCCCTCGTTTCTTTTCGATTTCCACTGATCCGCACAGATGACAAGAGACAAGAGAAGAATAATCAATCATTTTAAAATATAACAATACTTTCTATTATAGCAGACCTCAATATTCTCGTTCACAAAGTATCACAGTACAATTTGAATTATAGCGACAAGCGCGGCTGTTGACTCAAGATGAAATATGCACGCCCTTCGCCGGCTCCTCCTGCACTTCTCATTGGCGGACGTGAAGGGCCAGATTGGTCAGCCCGGGTTCGGAGCTGTGAAGTCATTCGGCGCTCATCGGGGCGATCGTCGATTCGTTGCTGTTGTCCTGATTGTCCCGATTGTTGCTCACGACAATTATTAATCAGATCCGGACAATATATCCTAAAGAAGGATATTGGATCGTGGAATAGTGGTGCAGTACAGTACCTCTACTAAGAACTGATCGACTCAAGTCGCAAAATTGGGAATACTTGCAGATATGCCTTGATTATGGATGTAAGTATTATTGCCAGGGTAGAGATGCAAGACATCTCATAGTTCATACTACACTACTAACTCATAGTTGAAGGCGTAAAGCACGGACGGCCTCCGCTTTGGTGGAACTAATCAGCAGTGACCAGGTATGTAGCTTAGGGTCCAAGCAATGGTCAATCCTGGCATTATTGCAGTCTATTATTAAATCTACAGAAGAAAACATAGAGAAAGCCTGCGGGGAAAGATATAATCATCATTTCCCAAGATGCTTTCCGAAGATGCCGAAGCTACTGTATGCATCGAATACAAAGCGATCTGAAGATGCTCATCGGCATCGAGGACGCATTGTCATTCAGGTAGTCCTATACAAATGGACCTGGCGGATTCGAAGGGTCTGTAATAAGAAAATTAGAGGGTTGAGCCCCCTGAAGAGCAACGAGTATAGGATGCCATCGGCCATTCCTCCGCATACTGTACCTCCGTAGAGATGCACGTGAAAGATCTTCACGTGACCCACTTTGTTTGGGCTTATCACCACGTGACATCTGTTGTTGATACTCCGGCCTCATCGCGTGGAATCCAACTAGACCAAAAACAAGCTCAAAGCTACCCTTCAGTTCGATATCATGCAATTTGACAAATAGTCCATGCTTAATTGCATTTTATACTCCAGCACACACCGAATATCATCCCACCAGCCCACCATGGCGCGCGCCAAAACACTCCGCGCCCCGACAACAGCCAGTCTACCAAACAACCTTCGCATCCCCTCAACAACCCCCTCGCTCGCCAAATCCCTCGGCAAACACTCCAGACAAGCACTCCTCGATCTAGCCCTTCTCTGGCTGGACGACCGCAATATCACATTTTTCCCGCCATATCTCCAATCCAACGCCCGGAATGACACCAACGATGAAGAAACCCTCCCATACCCCGCGGCCGAAACCATCGAGGATATTCGACAAGCATACATAGACCTGCAAGATCGCAAAGGTGCGAAGCGCGAGGTACTCGAGCGGATATTGGAGGGTGATTGGCGTCATGGGATTACGTTGCGACAACTCGCAATGGCAGATCTGCGCTATATGGACGATCACCCCTCGAGTTTGCGATGGACAGCCCTGGAGCTCAGTCGCATCGATGCTAGACAGAAGAAGTCGATCGACACTCCCATGCCTGATTGGTCGACTAGTATCCCACGCGCACAAGCTGCGACGTTCGTCAGAGCCCTCCAACAAGAAATCTCCCCCCTCGTCAAGGCTCATTTCCATCTCTCCCGCTCATCAACCCTCCCCCTAACATTCCTCCGCATTTTCATCCTCGACACGCCCTACCAAACACCCCGACAAACACCCGAAGTCTTCGCCGACTCCTCGCGCGTGATTTACGTCGCGTTTCCGGATAGCTGTCCGTTCATATACACCTCCGTCTCTACGTCAACGGGCTCCAAAGCCGCACCCTCGACGAGCTCGGTGGCCACCGATCCACGCAGTTTGCAGCGGTTAGTGCGCGATGCGGTTCCAAAGGCTCTTTCGCGTCCGCATGAGCGGTATACACTTAAAGCTACGGCTCTGGCGGCGAAGAGTCTACCTACGTTACTTGCGCTGCGTGGTCCGGGACGGACGACGGCGGCAAATGGTGCTTTTAGCATCTTTGCTGATGCGGCTGTTGAGGGGAGTCCGTTGGATCCGCGTCCGTCGAATACGGTCTCGGCGGAGGAGCATATGCGTGTTGATTCGAAGGTTGTGTCGACGGAAGATGATAAAGAGAATGAGGACGCTATCAATGGCTGGGGTACTGCATCAAAGCGACAAAAGACCGGTGGTGACGGCACTGGTGATGGCCATCTTTCTCCAACGTCCAAAAAAGACGACTTGCGACATACTCGCGATTCGGCACAACCGGAGGTTCACACGTCCCTGCACCTCTCGACCGCCTCGACATCCGACTTTTAGATGCGCCGTCTAGCGATGGCGGCGATGCTGCTACTGCTGCTCTACCAACAATCTCACTGACATTCACGGGCTCGGACGTTATCGGGGGAATTCGCAAACTCGCCGAGCTAGGTGTCATTGACCCTGAGCGCATGCCATCCTGGATGACGGGTGAAGAAGCTGTTAGCATGGCGGTTGTACGTGGCGGGAAGCGGATGAAGAGTTCTGCTTGATACGTTTGAAGTTGAAGTGCTTGACTATTCTTGTTTTTTTTGTCTTGGTTCTGGGCATGGGGAGTATATTGCATATGGCGTTGGGGTTTATAGGATGGGATGGGGTGGGATTAAATGATGGAGTAGTTGGAACTCGGTACTGTTTTGCTGTGATGATACCCATATTTAGCAAGTTTGCATGGATGGGAGTAGGAATTTAAGTAACTCTTCGGTTTGACATTCGCGTCTCTTTGAATCAAACCGTTTCTTTAGATTGGCCACTTCGGTTTCGGGCAATATGGCGTCCTGCTTGTCATCCGCAACTCGATTAGTGAACACGAATCGGGTCGGGTATTTTTGTCCCTTTTGCAGGCAAGTGGAAATTTCTTTCAGGTGGTCATTCTGTCTTTTTGTGATATGTCATGATCTAGCTAGGATGCTAACCACGTAAAGCATCCCAAGGAACCTGGACTCAAGCGAAAATTATGCTCAAGCATGGCATGGCATAGCCAGGGATGGGATCGAATAATGGGAAATGGGCCAAGGCCCTTCAATCCGACTAGCTTTCCAGATTGGACTACAACTGCCCGTGTGATATACGAGAAGAGAAGCGACCTTACGGGTAAAATTGTGTGGATTGAGACGAAGCGGCTCACGAAGTAATCATACAAAAAATCATTCAATTTGGGTATCATACAGAATAAAAAGATGCTTGTCAATAGTCCACCCTTTGTTTGTCGGAACTCCTGCCCTTTGAACACCATAACCGATCATAGTTCATGTTGTATCAGCCGCACCAGACCAAGCATGCTGCGAAATAACGGCGACGACCAGTCTCCAACAGCATCGCCGTCAAGCTGCCCAGAGCAGCACGATCATGGGGCAGTTAAGGAAGAGGAGGACTTCGAAGAGCCTGTCAGCATAGCAGTGGATGTTAGCAACCCTTAGTCAACTTGAAATCCCCTTACCAGCAGAATGATCGAGGGGAAAGTACAGAGAAAAGTCCGTACCAGGTTTTGGCGACAGGCCAAACTGCTCTGCGACGTTGATGTAGCCTTCCCGTCCGATGGTGCCGTTCTTTCGAAGATCCTCCACGTTCGGATTGTTGGATCCAGGGGATGGCCAACTTGTGCGGCTGTGACGAGATGGGGTTAGTTGGCTGGCATGGTAGAAGAAAGTATATGGAGTGAAGAAGTGAAACCCACCAGTAAACACAGCGGATGGATCCTTGGCTGGTGAGTGACGTGCGAGCCCACTGTTTGAAGCAGACCTCGTGAACATTGTTTCCACACCCAGTCTGGCACCAAACCGTTTTGTCCTTGGGCGCGAAATCCATGAAGCAGATGGGACAAGCACCGTCCAGAGGCTTGCGCTTGCCATCGTGGTCGTGATCCGCGGCGCCGTTGTCCTCGAACATACTCATGAGGGAGCCTTCATACATCTCGCGCAGCTCCTGCTCACAAGGTCAGATGATCCGGCATAATAACAATGAAGTGTGAGATTGAATTCCTACTTACCGACGGCACGAAGGAGATCTGATACTGGAGCTCAGGGCGGGCGTTGAGAGCCTTGAGGAGAACTTGGCAAACTCAATCAGTAAGAATGATCATAATAATAAGATGCGATGAGAATCATCAGGGCGAAAAACTGGGAAGGTGAGAAAACTGAGGACATACCGTAGATGATATGTTTACACTCTCCGCGGCAGCGCATCTTGCCATCTGGGCAGTCGCAGGAGGGCAGCTTCCCAATCTTGACTTTGTAGATGTTGCCGGTGGACCCGACAACATCAAAGTAGAATTCGGGGACCTTGTCATTGTTCTCCCGAACTTGTTGGCCCACAATGAACATGCTGGAAGCCAGCAATGGTCAGTCATCAAAGTCAAGAAATCACGGATTACAACATACCGAGAGCGATTAATACGGCCCACTCGCTCAAGATACGAGTCTGGCGGAGAATCTCGCCATGGACGGGCACGACGTTCTGTGCCCTGATATTTGGCCACCACGACATCGGCCCGCCGGGCACGTTTGCTCGGGGAACCCTCAGCAGGCGCGGGAGGTGGAGGTTTGGGAGCACCCCCAGGCCCGTGAAAGTACGGGTCGTAGTCCTCAGGCCGGGGAGCCTCTTCTATCTTCCTTTTCGGGCTCTTCTTCGAGGTTGTTGGGCTGGTTTTGGTAAGAGCCTGTTTCTTGACAGGAGCAACAGTTGTTCTTGCTGGAGCCGTCATCTTGGCAGGTGCAGCCCGGGCTGAGGAGCGATTTGATCTTTTGGCGGCCGCGGTTGGTGGGATCACCGTAGATGGAGATCCGGGGTTGCTCACAGCATTCTGCTCCACGGGGTCCATCGTTGTAAGAAGATCCGGGAAGCGAGCCGTGACAATGTTGAAGAAGGTGACAATGTTGAGGAAGAAGAAGGGTTGAAGAGGCAAGATAAAAAGGATTTGAGGGAGGAGAGATGTAGAGAAGACGTGGATTGGAAGCGGAGTGAAGACAAACTGTCACTTTCAAATACGTTGGAGGTATGTGTTTCAGTCTTTCAGCCTTCTGTTCGTTACCAGGTGACAGTGTGACGTGAGGTGTTTCGGGAACAAACAACGAGCTCAAATGACAATTGCCGCCTGTCTAGAGAACAGATAGAGGAAGAACGAAGCTTCAAATTTGCCTCTTGGAAAGACCTGAGGAGGAAAGAAGTTGATACGGCCAAAAACGGCAGGTGCCCATAGGCAATGTTTGCAGTGTTTGTTTTGCCACCCCGCTTATATACAGTATACAGAAATAAGAATAACTATGGACAGTATGAGGAATCGTTCATTAAAGTGTCTTCGGAGATAGAGAAAGGTCAATGCCGTCTTTCATTTTGATTATAAAGAACTGTTGGTTTCTAATGAATTATGTACCGATACAAAAAATGTATCCAATAGCCTTATCTATGTTGGAGGGAACTGAGTATTTCCAATTAACCAGCATAGGTATATCGCCTACCGTAGCCCTCCTTCTGCTATGATAACACTATTTCTAACCGAAGGCCGTCAATATCAAGATAGACATAGTCTAAGTCAATGTTGATGAGCCGGTGTTTCCTCACTAGCCGAGACATGTCTGGGTTTTCGGGCGTTCTCCTGTACATCTTGGCTTTGATATTGACCGCCAGTTCGCTACATTGGTCGATCCCTGCCATGGCCAGCCCTTTGTTTCACACAATATGTGTATGACTAGGTCAATCCCGGTATTTCCATTTGATTCTGATCAGAACCGGTCTGAGTCTATAAATCGACGCAGAGAGTAAACAATTGAAATTTTTTACATATCATTTTTTTTCGTCCTTAGAATCCTAGCTCCTCCCATCTCGACACTATGTCAGACCAACCGACTATCACTGGAAGCTGTCTCTGCCAGCAGATCCGATATGAACTCACCGGAGACCCTCAAATAAGACTTCTCTGTCACTGCGATAATTGTCGCAAAGCCACTGGATCCAGCTTCATGGCGAACGCCGTCTACCAGAAAAACGTATGTTCCGCGCTTTTCAAAGTCACCAATTTCATAGAGCCGAGACTAACTGTTTTACAGCAATTCCGTATCGTCTCAGGAGAAGAGTTGTTGAAGACCTACCAGGATAACAACAACTCGTCGGGAAATGTCTTGTCTCGGGCATTCTGCTCAAACTGCAGCTCTTCCCTGTTTATTACCAACTCGCTGAATAAGGGTATGCTGGTTGTCACTTCGGGCACAATGGATCTGGGGCAAGCAGAGTGGGTGCCTCAGGTTGAGGTTTTTTGCAAGAGTCGGAGGGAGTGGCTTCCGCCTGTGGAGGGGACCACGACGTGTAATGAGGTTGAAATCTTCAGATAAGAATGGGCGGAAGCGATGAATCAAACTATTCAGGGTGCATCTAGTGTCAACATAGAGACTTGCAACGAAAGAAATGGCATTTTGTCTCATCATCCCATACTAGTAAAATTGGTTCATTGAATGGAGAAACCAGGAAAGACCCAGACTATGAAGCAGCTTTACCAGGCTCTCAACTAGTAAGGTTGTGTTTATACATTAAATCCACGACTGTAAGCCTGAGGACTGGCGCAATGACGGATGTTTGCACTGTTTGTCCGAGGGAGCTCCATCGTTGGCACTACCTATCGATGGATCGTTATCGGGCCGCCCGCGCCTATAACTGCCTAGCTCACAGCTCACAGCTCACCAGAATGCCTCGCTGAGAAGACCGCAATGCACGTTAAGACAACAGTACAAGATCTTGAAGTTCAATCAGCCTCCACCCTTCTCAGAGTCTATGGCGCGCCCACGAGCCGCGTCGGGCGCTGATGTCCCAAAGGAACCACATGCTGTTTCCCTGAAAGGTACGCAAATCGCCCGGGGTATGGGATTGGAGTCTGAGGATGCTAACGATCATGATGTGGGATAGTCCTCCGGTATGGCACTTATCTTCGAGGCTACCTGGTTAGTCTTCACTACTTACATGACACATACTAGACTCTCCCGACCGTCCTTGTCTTATCAGTCCCCCCTCCCCGCAGCCACGACCAAGATCTCTCCTAAAGCCTCTTTAAGCTATCCATCCGCCGACTCTGACGATCAATTCATTCTTACGCCGATTGTTAGTTAATGCGATACCCTACACTTGTTGTGCTAGCTGCCTACTAACATTATACAGCTCACCCTCCCTCCAGCATTCGGATCAGTCTACGTCGGCGAAACCTTTGCCTGCACCCTTAGCGCCAACAATGAGATATCCGCAGACGAAACGGGTCGAGTCGTGACCTCCGTGCGCATCGTTGCCGAAATGCAAACCCCTTCCTCGGTCGCAGCCCTCGAACTCGATCCTGCTAGCGACACGGCTCAATCGGGTCTCGACATCGGCGAGTCCCTACAGAAAATCGTACGATATGATCTAAAGGAGGAAGGGAACCATATTCTAGCCGTTAGTGTGAGCTATACCGAGAATCGGATTAGCGAGAGTGCTCAGGCGGCGAGCGGTCGTGTTCGCACGTTCCGAAAGCTATATCAGTTCGTTGCGCAGCCGTGCTTGAGCGTGCGCACCAAGGCGTCGGAATTGCCGCCTTTGGAAGTGGACAATAAATCGCTCGGTCCATACGGAAAGACTCGGTTGCTTCGGTTTGCCTTGGAAGCTCAATTGGAGAATGTGGGCGATGGCGCCGTCGTTATAAAAGTAAGTCAGCACACGAATAGACAAGAAAACACCACCAGCTAATTCCCTCCCTAGCAAACCCGACTCAACCCAAAAGCACCCTTCAAATGCCAATCCCTTAACTCGGATGCAACAACCTCCGACCCCTTTGCAGCAGCAGCACTACCAACCCTTAACCCCCGCGACGTCCTACAAGTCGCCTTCCTTATTGAACAAGAAGAAGGTCGCACAGAAGGCCTCGAAGCCTTACAAAAAGATCTCCGCCACGACGGCCGCGCTACACTAGGCCAGTTATCTATCGAGTGGCGCGGCGCTATGGGTGATAAGGGCTTCCTCACGACCGGTAACCTGATGAGCCGGAAACGCTCTTGAAACATGGTGTGAGGGTCGGCGGGTGCTGGCGCTGGTCGCGTCGTCTACGACATATCCACGGCATATCCTTCCGAGTCTCCAGATGCATATAGCCGCGTTGAGTGCAGGGCACAAGTGCGCTTGGTGTAAGGAGTAGTAATCTCGGTGTGGTTTGGAGATGTGGTGGGTCGTGGAACTGGTATGATGAATTCAAAGTACATAATATGCGATTCTATTTTTTGCATCTTCTATTTGGATATATTCTACGGCGTATGGTGTTGCAATGCATTTGAATACTTCAACATATCCTGTTCCGGCTAGAGTAGACTAGCCTCGCCTACCTGGCAGAAGTACAGTAACCTTTTCCCAGCCTTAGTCTAACAACCCCTGCCACATCCGCAATCTATTTTGCTTATCTGGTAACTACCGAGACACCAATGTCACAACCCTACCAGGATCACTGGCTCCTAGCATGGGGCTCGGCTGGCGGCTTTTGCCATGCAGCTGTGGGCTTCGGGTTTCGATGGGTGTAGTGTGACACTGCAGGTCGTTGGGGGCGCGGGAGTGGATCTCCGGGGCTGGGATAGGCTGGTTTCGTAACTGGTTGAATTCTTTGATGAGGATGTTATACTTGGGTATAGACCTACAGTATTAGTTAGCTGGGAAGCTATGTTAATATCCAAGGACGGGTTGAGAATTGGACCTTGGTCTGAATGCCTAAGTTGGTATGAACAAAATACAGGAATAAATTGTGGGTGTTATTCTCCACATCAAACGGCCTCCTTGATTGTCCACTAGGTAATATATGGCTTCGGCATAGGACATGTATACAGGACATCGGCCCGTGGTAGACGGTCAACGGTGGACATGGAGTACTACTATTCATGGACGAGTCTAGACCCGCGTCACTGTTAACCGGATCCGTGAGCCGAGTCTATCAGTTCCAGACCGATGGTCTGTGAGGAGAGATGGACAGTATTTACTAAATGTACTTTTCTAGTGAGATAAGTGATTGCATACATGCCTGTTCATTAAAGCCTACAGTATCCAATGGTTCTCCATGAATGAAGTTTCTATATGGTGACGCGGTCCCGCTCCATCAGTATATTAGTACCAGTGTCCACAATTAACCAAGTAAAAAGAACAAAATCACTCAAATACCCAATTACCCAATTACTCAGTAGATTAAAACGAATAGATTAAAGAAACTCGATTCCCACCCACCACTTATCCCACATTCACCAACCTCCATTACACTCCATCGCAGCAGTAGTGATGCAGGTTAGGATAACCTTACCATAGCCCATCCTCGACTACATCCAAACAACCACTGAAAAGGACTACCGGTGCACCACCACTGCCACACAGTGGAATACTGTACTGCAGAGAGAGGCTCAGGCATACACGTAAGGCCCCGCTGCAGGCCAGGTTGGAGGTTACACCGTGGCGGGCTGAGGGCGTTATGAGGGAGGGTTATTGGTCCAATCGTAGGGCGTAGCGAGGATGTCCTGCATATAGGAGATGCGGTTGACGGTATCTGGATAAGTAAGGGGGATATACGTAGAGAGAGAGAAGAACGGGTTTAACTGTTGTATTATTCATCTACATATGTAGATTCTGGGTCGTATGTATCGTGGGGCTTGATCGGAATCCGGTTCGAAGGTTGGAGATGCTCGGTCTTCCCGTTAGTACGTAGGATTAGTTTCCACATAGTAGTTGTATGGATGTGCACTCAATGCTTCAGCATAACTAATTTATTTTGCATATTCTCTTCTGTACACATATGTACATTCGAAAGCAGCGTGCGCAACCACAATTATGATTGACCAATTCACACCCCCCATTTCTCCACCGTCAACCGCGTTGGGCATAGATCGACCTGTCCCAGAGGCACAGGCCCTCCACTTTTCGCTCCTGACTCAAGCTCCGACAAGGGTATATTCCTCCTGAAGTGTGCTGTGCGATGAGATAGAATTGACATGTGAGTATTACTGAACAAAGTAGGAGTGTGATGGGATTATAGTTGACTATCGGATCTGTTGGGGGTATGTGGCGTGTTTGGCTCGAGCCAGGTGTTGTGGCTTGAGGCATGACCGATGACTAATCTAGTTACTAGCATATCTTACGCAGCCATTAGATAGTAATTTCATCATCTTTCTGCCTCCATCTTATTCCGTAACACCAAGTTATGATGGTTATAGCAATACTTAAGAGACTGGGTTGGTGGGTTGGTTGTTCGTTATCTAATTACGGCCCGCTTGGGCTTGGGGTTTCGGTTCGGCAGCCGCCGAGCTTTTTCCTTTCTGGTGTGAAACCTGAAAATTTGGGTTACATAGAGCACTGAAGATCGGTGGTTCGGAAGTGAGTTGCCTGATAGCGCGAGATTTTAGAATCAGGAGTGTAAACTCAATGCGAGAGTAGTACATAGTAGATCTGTGTGTTCATTCTATACTCTTATTATATTCAGGAGTTGCGCTATATTCATCTTCTCCTTGATGCTTCCCCAGAGCTGCCTCGGTATTTTGTTTCTAATATTATACCTCTTAGCAGTAACTATGAGCATGAATACCCCGTACTATCTATTAATACCCCGGCTCCTATCCCCCCTAAGTTTCTAAACCATGTTACCATAGCAGCGGATCAGCGACTCGAGCAAACGCCATGTCTCACCATGAAGAAAAGTATAGAACACTGCGATCGTCCCTTGAATTAACAATTCCGCCCCCACGAAACCAAGACGGCGATAACATAACTAATTCATGACAAACCTACTTGGTACAATGTATGTTGGAACTGGGGCAGACACTCTCCAACGAGAGGCTTTTTGCGGGTCGCCCGACGATTGTGGAGGAATTGGTCACTAAACCATGGGACGTAAGCTGAGTCCTCTCCATCGGTGACGGCTTGATAAAAATTGGCTGGATGGATTCTATCGATCAGGCAAGTTGTGAGCCAAGCATGGATGTGCGATGCGCTCCACCAAACCGATCATCGTGCGGTTCGAATCGTTGGTTGTTTTATGGTGCTCGGTGGAGACGTATCGCGGAGGTTTGTACTGCTGGAGAAGACGGGAGGAAATGACTACTACTACTACTACTACAGTACTCCGTACAGTAAGTCTTAAACTTGAGATATCAAAACCCCATTCCACTATAATATATCCAGTCGCTGGTCGGAATAGCAGTCTATAACCAGTTAGGCACTGTCCACCATCCTAAAAGCTGAAACGGCCCTATAGAAATTACTTGGTGACCACTTTGGGGACAGTCAGGGCCTGGATTGTGTCGAAGGTCTCGAAACCGGCCAGTAAGGGTGCATTTGGCTGCAGGTCGGGCCCGTGTCAGATTCTTGTGCATCAATGGGGCTTTTGGGCGCAGGCGCTGAGTGGCGGATAGTCTCGTTCTTGACTGGTCAGTGCACCAAGGGGTTCGAGAGATGAATTGTTCCTGAGTTTGCCATTTGATGGGATTGGGGCTGGACTGGATTGTAGTTTGTTCGAACGCCACTGGGGGGAGAAAGGAGGAGAGAGGTGGATAGGAGATCCGGAGTGGTTCTTCAGGGAGACATACATAAGAAAGTTAAGAGATATAGTTTAGGAAGTGAAACCATAGTTACTTTGTTTGAATATATTATACGGAATAGTTAGGGTAGAAGAATTAATTTCTTAAGAGCCCATCCCGTCCATGAACAAGTGAACAACTAGTAAGTTGGAAGTGGTAAACGCATTACGAGGGCCTACGCAACCATCCGGTCTCCTGTCCAACGCGACGACAAGAAAAAAGCACTGAAGCTGGGGCAAAGCATCAAAAGGAAAGAAAAGAAAAACCTTCTAGAGTCCCACAAAAAATATTCTCGTGATATTTAAACTCTCTCTGTCACTCTGTCTTCGTGTTAGTTATAAAAATGAAAATATAGTTAGTAAACTAAAACATCGCAAAAGGAGAGAACTGGTGGTGTTGCAATACCAATACGATCCCAAGACGGGCATCAAAATTCCCCCCCCCCCCCCAACTGATCTTCACTCCTAAACCCCTCGCCCCTCCCGAATTTCCCCTACTCCTACTCCTCCTCTTCTCTTCGGTCTTGAGTTCTTATTCTTCCAATAGATCTTCCCCTTCTTCTGGATTTATTATTCTCCCCTTCTCATCCTCACTCAACGGTACAATCCCAGATCATTCATAACCAATTCCCCACTCTCCTGGAACCTCTTCCCCGTGCTCGCCAAATTCGCATGCTCCCGCGGTCCCGTCGCTCTGTTCCCCGCCTCGACTCCTGACATCGCCCACACACACCTTCCGCCCCCTAATCGAAAGATTGAATGCGGTTCGAGATCCTGCAATTCATGCGGTGACAAGGGAAAGCAGGGTGGAACAAGTTGAACCAGTCCAGCGTGTGAATTGGTCTATGCGACGGTCGCCACACAATTCCAATGCCTTCAGCCGGCTCTCCAGAGGGCGCTCCCCTGGCCGATTACTTTTGGATTGCGGGTGTGGATGGCACTGAGATTCTGGATACCTTCAAGCGACTGGGTGAGGACTATCGCATCAATGGGGCTGCGTCTCCGGGCCCCGCGCTCTCAGATGCTATTCAAGAAGACGCGGACGCTGAGGAGGAACACCTTCCGGATGGTACTTCCCGCCCCAATTCGACTCTCTATGCCGGATCCAGCACCCGGCGCACCTCTAACCAGCGGCTGTCAACCCTGTCGCGCAGCGATTCTGACCAGCCCAGTGGAGCTGGCAGCAACCGCAGCAGTGTGACAGTCAAAGGCGCTTCCTCTCCGTTACGGGCCTCGGCCATGTTCTCCGAGGACTTTGATTTCGATCAGGCGTTGCTGAAGTTTACTTCGGAGCGAGATACCTTCTTGACTGATTTGAGCTTGAGCGCGGGCGCTATTACTCCGAACACGCGCCCGCGCTCCCGTGTTCGTACGCAAAAGATTGTCTCGGAGGATTCGCCGTCTCAGGGTGGGAATCTGCTCAGATCGAGCATTGGAAGTGTGCGCCGGCATATGTCGTTCCGCGATATGAATAGTATGAAGAGACAGCCATCGACGATTGCGCGACAAGGTGAGTGTAGCATACTCCGAATGAGGTGACAAGATTTGCTATGAGGATCCATCACTAACGGCAGATCTTGCTTCGTACAGCATCCGTACGCACATCTCGACGACTCAGTAACTACAATTCGGTGATTCCAGTGCCGCAGCCCCTCGAAATCTCTCCGACAATGCACCCACTGAAGCGACGCTTCGAGCCCGTTCTGCTCGATCGATACCCCACACGAGGCATGGCCGACGAGATGAAGCAGCGAGGCAACTTTCCGGACTACGTACCCATGTTCGCCTTTCCGAATGATGTCAATATCGTTGCCTCGGATCAGCGGCCGCGGTCGACCTGGCACGGGTTTGCCATGACAACAGACAATGGCTCGAAGTTGCACGCAATTTGTGTGATCATCTGGATTCCGTTGAACCCCAAGGCTGCGGATGAGCTGGAGAAGCGTTGTGAGGAATGGCGGAAAGATAACATGACGGATGAGGAGCGTGAGCTGGCAGCGAGTTTGGGCGAGCGGCTTGCATCAGAGCGGGCGAAGCTGTCCAGGCTTCTGGCACAGCTGCCGAATGTACCCTCCGGGTCTGATTCTCGTGAACAGCTGGAGGATGAGATTAGCGCGGTCGAAGAGAAGATCGGACTCATGACGGATCTGCTGCGCCCGGTGCGACACGCTGCGTCTTCCAAGATCGAGGGTCTTACCGATGGTGACACGGGCTTCTGGATTCCCCGCGCATACGGTATTTTGGGTCGCGAAGCGAATATGACCAGCTTCTGGAAGGAGTGGTTGAAAGCTATTGTCGTGCCAATGACCGAGGGTGGTGTACAGCGTGTCCCATCCAGTTCGCCACGAATGGGGGTCTGGCAACCGCTAGAGCGTTATGTCATGAATCTCTGCACGGAAGCATTCTGCCCAGTCTCATCCAAGACCCAAGTCGAGCTGGCAATCCGCGAATTGCGGCTATTTGCCCGCCAGGAAGCTTCCAACGAACTTCCCGGCTCTCGCAATACGGACCTGTATGCCTTGTTCCGAACGTTATCCGTTCCGAACATCATCATTCTCTTTGAGTATGCGTTGACAGAGTCTCGTATCATTTTCTTGTCCTCCCACACCTCTATGCTCTACCTCGCCACCAGGGCTCTGGTTGACCTGCTCTTCCCGATCCAGTGGACGGGAGTTCTGATTCCCGTTCTTCCCGCTCGTCTAGTCCAGGCAATCGAAGCTCCTTGCCCGTACATCGTGGGTATCGAACGCCGCTATGAAAAGGTGGAGTTGCCCACTGACGACTTTGTTCTGGTGGATCTGGATAACGATATGATCGAGAGTACCCTTCGCCCAACTCCTCTTCCCCGTCATCAGCGCAGGAAGCTTCTTTCGCTCCTGCAGATGGCTGCTCCTCACCACAGCCGGTGCGGGGTCCCAACTGGTCCCCCAGCATATGCAATCGAGACGTACCCATGGGACACCTTCCTGTCAGAAAGCGCAGCCACGTACGCGGCGAAAGCTCCGCCAACTAACCTTGCCAAATACGTTGGCCTCAATTCCAGCGCCTTTGGCTCGACTGCCGTTTCTCCCGGAATCTTCCAGCCTCCGATCTTCAACGCATTCCTCCATGCTCGTAATGAGCAGTCCTCCTCGCGCGGGTATTCCTCCAAGAGCTATGACAGGCCAGGAACTAGTTCCACAGCCAGGGCTAGTGCGTCTCCGCCATCGCCGAGAGAAAGCTCCCCTACTTCTGGCCACTTCCCTCCACCTCCGCCAACACCTTCATCTCGAAATGACTCTGGCATGGCATTGCAAGCGTCGCTGCGCGAGAAGCGATCTGGCCACTTCGATGCCGCATCTCGGAGGAGCTCGTCCTTTGGCATGACGAGACGGCCTAGTGCGCCTTTCCTTGGTCACACCTCCAATCTGTCCGTCACCACACTCAACACGGACTACGGGCCTGGCTCAACCTATGCCCCGTCGGTGTACGCTCAGTCCACTATTGCCGCCTCGACGATTGTCCCAACGGCTGCTGTGCAGCCTATTGATAATGCTGCGGGCACCGCCTGGGTTGAGGGCCACTATTTCCAGACTCAGCCGTGGGACGAGAAGCTAGTATGTGCCATCTGTGACGACCGCGCAGAAGAAGGCATGTACAAATGCTCGCAGTGCAAGTTGACTGTTCACAACCGCTGTGCATCCCAGGTCTGTCTGGTTTGCGAGGCTGCGTTCCACCCTGATCAGATCCGCGCGGCCTTTGTCAGGTGCTTCGCCAGCTTGTTTTATACCTATAAGAAGTTCCTTGTACCGGCTAGCTCTGAGAAGAAGAAATCCGGAATGTACTACCAGTTCAATATGGATGCTTTTATGAAGAGCCTTCCCCATGAGCATGCCGAGTACATTGCTGTCCTGCAACAGACACAAGGTAAGAATCTGCACTCCATCTTGACAGCATGATGAGATCTAACACTCCCAATCTTCAGGTTTCAATGAGTTTATCAGTGAGCGCGAACGAACCAATCCCAAGTCCAAGGACTCAAAGATGGCTCTCTTCGACGAGATCGTCCTGTCCAAGCGCAACCGAGGTCGCAGCTCTATCTTCTCCGGTCGATCCACCACTGATTTCCTGTCCGACACATCCAACCATTTATGGCGGACAGCCAGTGCCACATTCTTCGCCCCAAGCAGCCGTAGCCAACCAAACCTATCCGGTGATTACAGCAGAGTTGTTCAAAAAGGTAAGTTCTGATCCTTATCCCACGCTCTTGGCAGGTCCCCCATCTAACCTTACCTGTCACATCACAGCCCCGGCCAAGCTTGACACGAGTCTCATGAAAGAACCCCGCATGATCCATGGTGCTCCGCGGGTGTCCAAGACGGCAAATACTGCGCGGAGAAAGCCGTTGCCTAAGCTCATGAATGGTCTGGCGATATCTCCTCCGAGTTAATTGGTGTGATTTCTCTAGAGATCGTCCGATTATCATTCCGTCTCTACTGGTGCGGCTGCGTGGGGCTTGATTTGCCTGCGCCTGCATCTGCAGCTGCATCTATGTCCGTTTTTGACATGGCCATCCGATTTCTGAAACACTCAACCCAAGGCATTGGGCTTGTCTTTTTCTTGATGATGGCTATCCTCGCCCGTGTTTGCTTGCTTCAATGGCAATACTGGCAATACTGGCAGTACTTGGATGACGCCCGGTCGTCGTTACCATGAACAGGATGGTTGTGCTTAACACCAGGTCTGGCTGGGTCGTGCGTTGTTTTGTTCCTACGCCGTCTCAGTATTCTAGACCATGTTCACCTTGACTCTCCCTCCCCTCCCCCCCCCCTCTCCTCCTCTTTCTTCGGTGCCTTCCTGACTCGCCTCTCGCATGTCGATCTGCAGCAAGCAGGTCTACTGCAAGAATGTGATATCTGGTGGCATGTTATGGTTTTGGCCCAATTGCGAGCATATCGCCAGATAACCGTGTCATAGACCTTCCACCATTGTCCCGAGAGCAGATCTTTCTCCGAGTGTCTGTGGTCTCGTGTCGCCCTCCCGCTTGGTTTAAGCTTGCGTTGCTATGCAGCATCACGCTATCGAGCCTCGGGATTTCTATCTGGCGATTTGGCAACCTGTTGACGAATCTCCTCATTTCGTTCTACCCTCTTCTCGTACATAGTAATTCCCCCGGCTTGACGCCGTGTGGAGTGAACAAAGCAACCCCCAAAAGCGCAAGACTGACTTGATCTGTCGAAATTTACCCTGATACACCGTTTGATTTATTTCTCTGTCCTGATCTGATCATTTACCTGTTGGCGATTGTTCCAGTTCGTCTTTCTTGTACCTCGTGTCCGTTTTTCTGCTTAAAATACCCCCTTGATTTGGTTGGTATGTTTCTCTCGTTTTTTTTTTCTAGTACTGATCTTTGATCTTTGATCTTATTGGTGTCGGGGTTTGACTTGACTTGCCTCAATGATTTGATTTGATTATCTGATTGAGTATATATTACGGTTGTCATGTAGACTCGTTTCACATGTCATGTCGTGTCATGTCGTCGTCTATCTCGATCTGCTGACATCGTTTGGAGATAATCCTCTTTATTTTTTTCGCCTTAATTATTGGATGGGTGATTGTATGAAAGAACGATGGAAGGAATAGTGGATGGATGGATGGATGCTTCGACGATGTGCTTGATCTTGTGACCCTAATAGAATATGGAACTATAAGACTTCTCTGAAGGTTTCCGCCCCCGCTTGATGTTTACCTGTTATATTATGTAGTCGAAGATGACATAGTCCTACTCCTTGCGTAGGTATCTACCGTAGATACCTTCGGCACTAAAAACCAAGGATACTACCGTGCCCGAGCTTGTAGACTTGATAATTGGCCACCACGCATTCCTTTTCCGAAACCCCCGTATCAATTCTTCCATTCTCCAACCTTAGCCAAGTCTTGCGTGGGATGGATGACGGTAGTAGACGGCATAACTTTTTTACACTTGCCTGTCGTATGTCTGGTCTTGGTGGATAACTTGGTCCGTGGTTATTGGTTATTGGTTCTTGACTAGCCGTGTCTCTTTGGTTAGGGCGGAGATTTTCCCCGTATCAAATCGTGGAAATTGGGTAGGTGACCCTGGCCCTGACCCTGGTGGATGTGTGGGATGAATGAGGCTGTGTGACCTTTTGATGGTACGGTATTATAGAAGGATTGGATTGGGTGGGGGTTAATAGGGTTGTCTATAGGCTATAGAGGGAGTGGTTTGCCAAGAGGGGACTACTTGAAGTATACAAATTGCTTGGAGTTGGATAAATAGTATAGGATGAATTGGATGAGGAGTGAGCTGGATGGGTACTTTCTATTGTTCTTCATCTCTTTTCTTCTTTATTATATTCTTCCTTGATGCAAGAATAACCGGATCAAAATCCCCCTTATTTTCAACCAGTATCAATAAGAATACTTACCCTATAACTAATTAAATAAGTCAATCTCCCCCCCCCCAATCTTCTCTCATATTTCCCCAATATCCGATCCCCACCCAACTCGCCCCCTGATTGGCGGAATATTCCAACCCCGTGTCTTCTTTCCCCCGCGCCCCTCCCCGGAATGGATCCTGTTCGGATTTCCTCCTTCTGCACCTTCATTCGCAGGACTCCTGCCATCAAGTTATTCCACCTCCAATTGCTGCTCCCTTTTGACCAGCTTTCCCTGTCCTGGCCCGGTCAATTAAAAAAAATAATAACCATCTTCAATCACCAACTCTCACGGTCTCACCACCTGCGCTATAGCCGCCATCCCCCGTATTAAACTCTATCCGACCACTGCGACATTCCCCAATCCCCGTCGGGTTGTTTCTCTGGTCGCTTTCTTCCTGTGCGCAACTGCATTTTATCCGGTTAAACCCGTCTGGAAAGAGAAAGTACAGTAGTCGGGTCGCTGACTGCCACTCTCGCTTTCTGGCTCTCTCGTTCTCGCCTCCTCGGTCAAACGCCGGTCTATGCCGTTGCGGATACTACTTGCTTCTTGCCGTGGACGAGCCGGACGCTGATATTACAATTTTTCCATCACACACCACTCTCTTTCTCTTCCTTTTCTCTCTTCTCTCTTTCTCTTTCCTCTCTCTTCCCCCCCCCCTTTTCCTTCTTGAACTTGTCTTATCTCTGGCAAATTTATCCGACTGCATTTGAACTCGACCTTGTTCTCGTCTCTTCTTTGCGTGGCCGGGGCCCTTTCGTGTGACAGTTGAGACGGGTGAACGGTGACCGAGATCCGCGATCTAAAGATTTAGGAACTCTGCGAACACCTGGCCGGGTTTAATTCAAGCAACTATCATATCTTGCCCAAGTATGAAACTGTCTAGATCTGCTATGCGACCATGATGCCAACTGCCCTTCAGCCCATGGCCACGCCGCTCCTTGACGAGACTGCCACCGTTTCCACGGCCCTGAAGAACCCCGGTCTTCATATGGCTTCGACGAATAATCCTCCTACCTCTGCATCTACCTCCTCGGCCGGTTCAGCCTTGAATATCGCCGCAATTGTCTCGAATAATGCGCGTGCCGTCTCGTCCCCGCAGAATCATGTCGCTCCGTCTGTCGTACCTCCGCCGGAAACCCCGTCTGGAACAATAGTCATTGTGTTTGGCGCGGGCATGGAAAGCATTGTACACATGGTCGCGGAGGTGCTTGGAAAACCATGGACTACGGAAACTTCGCTTGCGACGCTGGCTAGAGCTACGGATGTGGTCGTCGCTGGAGTGCTGGCGCATGATCTGGATCGGAGTCTGGAGGGATGCGACAGGTCGTCGATTATCCTGATTAACACGCATTGCGTGGAGGATGGATCGGCCCCCGAGGATGCAATTACTGAGGCTTGCGATTACGAGTTCTTGTACTCGCGCAGTCCGTTTTTGCGCCGTGATTTGACGCGCTTTTTGTCGCTGATCCTCGGTCAGACGAGGCCACATGAAGACCTGCGCACCAAGAGGCGGACGAATTTCATTTCGACTACTTTCCCCGACGTTCATGCCGCGCTGCCCAATCTGGATATTTTGTCGGTGGGATCGGATGCGGTTGAAATCCGTGTGGACTTGCTGGTCGAGCCTACGGCGGATGGAACTGCAGCAGGCTCGGTACCGAGTTTGAAGTACGTGGGCCAGCAATTGATGATACTCCGGCAACATACCGAATTGCCTATTATATTCACGGCAAGATGTACCAAGGAGAATGGAAAATTCCCCATGGACGATCCCATGCTGTTCTACAAGTACTTGCGACGGGCGATCCAATGGGGTGTTGAATATGTCGACGTGGAACTGTGGCTGCCCGAAGAGATTCGCCGGCGGTTATCAGAAGTCAAGGGTCATAGTATCATCATGTCTGCGTTCCACGATTTCTCCGGGACGTGGAAGTGGACGGCTCCCGAGGCGCAGCGTGTTTTTGCCGAGAGCGCCAAGTACGGTGACATTGTCAAGATGATTGCGATGGTCTCGACGATCGAGGAGAACTATGAACTGGAATACTTCCGCTCTACCATCAAAAGCCGGGGACCAGGCCCTCTCCTCTCCGCCGTCAACATGGGCCAAATGGGTCAACTGTCGCGTGCCTTGAACACCGTCTTCTCGCCAATCACCCACCCTCTCCTCCCCATGATCGCCGCACCAGGCCAATTGACCGCAGCCGAGATTAACGAGGCCCTGCACATCATGGGCCAACTGCCGAAACGCGATCTCTACGTTATCGGCTCGTTCCGCGCCACCCCCCACTCCATGTTCATGGAAAAGTGTCTCAACGAGCTCGGCCTCCCACACACCTTCACCTCCATCGACCGCGGGCCCAAGGGCTCCATGGAGTCCGTCCTCACCCAGCCACAATTCGGCGGTGCGTGCCTCAACCCACCTATCCCCAGCTCCACCACCTACATACCCGCCATCAGCGACGCAGCCCGCGCCATCGGCCTCGTCGACACCATCGCCCTCGCTGCACCAGCCGAATCCGGCAGCGCGCGGTTCATCGGCGAAAACGCCGCGTGGAAGGGTATCCGCGCCACACTCACGCGCGAGTACGTACCCTCCGCGTACCGCGGCCGCGCTGCAATCATCCTCGCCGGGTCCGAGAGCGACGCTTCAGCTGCGATCTTTGCCCTGCGCTCTCTAGGCGTGGGCTCGATCTACACGGTCGGCTTTAAGGCTAGTGGACCCCTTGCTGCGGGCTTGGAACCGTTTACCTCTATTCAGTCGGTCAAATTGGTCGAGCAGCCCTTTGTTATTGTCTCGGCGTTGCCGCCGGAGAAATCCCTGCTTGTGCAGCCGTTGTTGCGGCATTATCGGACTAATGGTCGTTCGTCGCCGCCTTCTACGAGGGGGAAGGTTTATTTAGATTTGACTAGTGGGCCCAGGAAGGGTGATCCGCTTGGTGTGGCTAGTAGTGCCGGTTGGACGGCGTATGGGAGTGAGGATGTTAGTGCTTGGACGACCGTGGAGACGTTAAGGTTGTTAGTTGGACAGAATGTGCCGTTTGATTTTGTGAGGATGGCGTCTGGACGGCCGTTGTTCTAGGATCTAGTGGCTGTCTGTCTCCCTAGCATGTCGTCTCTCGTATCAAGTTTGGACCTTTCGGTGGATTGTATGTCTGTATGTGCTTGTGCTTGTGCATGTCCTTGCGCTACGCTTGGCCCGGACGATGCAATAGATCTGAAGATGCTCGTCGAGGGTTCTGGGATTGGAGTTTGTTGGAGCTTTGGTTTGGATCTTGGGTTTATTATCATGATCATTCTATATCATTTTTCTTCTCTTTTGGTTCCTTTTACTTTCTGTAGTGGCGATTGGCCTTTTCTGCTGTTGATTGCTGTGCATTTAGATGTGCAAGGTTGATGACTTCCAATGAGAATATGGTATTACAGTTCTACTGTTCATGGATATATTTACCTCGGTTCATTTGGGCTTCGAGGGGTGTTCCTTTTTACTTATCATGTCCTATCTATCTAGGTGATTACTTCTGGGTTGTTTCGAGAGTGTCTATATCGTATATCGTGCATCGTGTATATCTTGATCCCTAATGTGAACATACCTTAACTCCCGATCAGAGTATCCGATCAATCGTATCGGCAACGGAAATCCGGGGTACCCCTCATTTCCACTTCCATTTCCACTCTCACTTTAGGTTTAGTACCTTTTCCTTTTCCTTCTCTCTAACCCTTCCATCCACAAATTATCGGATATACACCTACCACCCACTACATTCATTTACATCCCTGCATACAGAGCAAGTTCCTTCGGTACTCCTGGTCCTGGATACAGTACCTAAATATGCATCTCCGCCCCGACCACACAGTCCGCGATCTCCCAACTTTACACTCTTTTATCCGCGCCCATCCTCTCGGTGTGCTCACTACTTCATTGCCGTCAGAGAACTTTCCTACTTTGCAATGTAGTCATATACCCTGGGTATTGGATGTGGAAACAGAGACGGGGACTGAAACGTGTGAAACGCCTGAAGCCTTCAATGGCAATGACAGCACTACTGCGTCCTCCCTGGGTATCCTTCGGGGCCATATTGCCCGCGCAAATCCCCAAACAGCCGCTATGATCGAAGCCGTCACGGACGCCCGTCCCGCTAACACTAGCACTGGAGAATCCAACCCCAATCCCAACTTAGTCGGGTCTGCAGATCAAACCCAAGCCCAGCACCAAAACAGGGAGTACGTTCTTCCGGGTGAAGTCCTGATTATCTTCGCCAGCCCTGTCGATCATTATATCTCGCCGCATTTTTACACAGCGGCGAAATCTGCTGCTGCTGCTGCTTCTGCGGGGAAAGCTAAAATCGCGCCGACGTGGAATTACGCTGCTGTACAGGTTTATGGGCGTATGAGGGTTTATTATGATTCCAAGGATGAAAGTACGGGCATGTTTTTGCAGAGACAGTTATCTGATTTGGCGGTTTTGGGGGGAGGAGGGTGTTATGGGTTTCTCCAATGCCAATGCCGGTGCCAATGGAGGTGGTGGTGAGAGTGAGGGTGGCGGGCAGAGTCCCTGGAAACTTTCCGATGCCCCTGAAAACTACATCACTCTTTTAAAGAAGAATATCGTTGGTATACAGGTGGAGATCACCCGTGTGGAGGGTCGATTCAAGGTTAGTCAGGAGAAGGGTGTTGGTGATCGGGGTGGAGTTGTGGATGGATTGGAGAAAATTGGTGGGGGGAGGGCGAGAAGGATGGCGGAGTTTGTGAGGAAGGGGCGTGTTGTATAGTACCTATTGTACATTATAGTATATCTACTGTAGTTCTAGAGTAGGTGTGAGAGTTACCTGGATAGATAGATGGTTGGAGTGTGAGATCAGATCGCAGGGCATATTGTACATACATGTCTGGATGGTTAGGTAACATCCCCGGGGTATCCGAAGCCGAAGATGGGGGAACTACTTGCATATATCCATGAATGGATAGACATACATATTCTGAGTACCTATACGTTAATGGAAATGGTCAGCAGTTGACTCGGAGGTCCCGACCTGGGCTGCGGCAGGTTTCTGCAGGACTACAGGCCTCGGTTGGATAAATGCTTGATCGGCGAGGTATGTAGTATGTATAATATCTATCAACCTGGTCACTGGTCAGTCCGTATGTCCTGCATATATCATTTTTTTATTTTTTTCTTTTCTTGACTTGCATTTCAATTCTGCAGGAAGAAAAAGCCGAAGTTTTGCGGGGGTGAGTCTGGGGGAGGGTCCGGAATAGCCGACTGGAGCAGCCTAGGGTCTATTATTTTCTTGTTTATTAGTGAGATACTATAGTATCTGTCCTGTGGCTATGGATATGGACTGTGTATTCTGCGCTGATGTGCCTGCAGTGCTGAATACCTGTATCTTCTCCACATTCCCCCGACAAATGCAGTACCACTCGAAACGAAATCTCCCTCGTGTCCAATTCTTCCCCGTCTCTAAAGGAGTAGCCACATGGCCGATCCAGGGATAGGGGCATAGTGCAGGGTGCAGGGTTTAGTTAACGGGGAGGTAGTGTGGGAGAGAGGGGAAAGATGAAAGAGGCAACGAGATGCTAGGATTACGGGTACGAGCGGAATACGTACGGAGGGGAATCGAGCCGACTAGGGACTACATAGGTGATAGCCCACCCTGCCGGCGCTTAGGTGTTCCGTTCATTTTTTTTTCTGGGGGAAGTGGATTGTTTCGGGTTTTCTGGATGGAGTCAGGGTGATGATCTAGGATCCCTCGATCTGGGTATTCAGCGAAGAATGCCGGGGGTGTTGGATCCGGGGTTGGTACAGTAGCTAGTACTAGGAGGTACAGTAGTTGGTCTAGTTGAGCCAGGTTTGGTTCTGCACGGGAACCAGTTCCAGAAGATGCAGGGTAAACTTCGGGGATGGACTGGGTCGGTTGGAATGGAGTTGTCCGGAATTCTTCAAGAGCATTTTGGGTTTGGCGAGGGGGGGCTAGTGTTGTAAGTACTGTACATAGTGCCTAGTTCTTGGGGTGGAGGTTTTATGTGAGACATGAATGACTATGAAGTAGAATAGTAGAATAGTAGAATAATAGAATTGTATCACATTATTATGTACTTACTGAACTTAGTGTATGGCAGGGATTTGTTAGACCTGGGTCCACGCGGCATTGGACCCCGTGATGAACCGGGAGAAGGAGAGGCGGAGACAGGGGATGGGAACAACCATAGAGATACAAGTAATAGACATAGTAATAAGAGTGGAAGGATGTATTTTATGATTATAGTACGGAGTATGTATCTCCTAATAGATCGCCTCGGAAGTCCAGACAAGCCCTAACGGGCGGAGGATGCAGGAGAAAACAGTAAATGCTCCGAACGGGCGCCTGGCGTGCGTCCGGAGTAGATTAATTGGGTGGAGAGTGGAGTTGAGTCGTTAGTAATCAGTTTGGATAGTATGTTCCAGTCAAACCAATATTTATTATGTACTGGAATGATTTATCTATTGATTATAATAGAGTCCATTGTTATAAGGTATGGGAATAGTGGTTAACCACGATCGGGTCCAGTATAGAGAGAAAAGAAGCAGTAGTGGGAATAATAATTCCTCTCCTATGAGTCCATACTCCTTCCAATCTTAGTCTCTTAGTATCTAGGGACTACTCAACTAAGCCATAGTTAGTCCCTCTCCGTAAAGTGTTAAGCACTCCCCCAACTGGAACCGAGCCAGTCAATCAGCCCCCCCAGACCAGACTAAGAAACACTAAGAGTTGGAGGCGAAGGCGTCAGAAGTAAAAGGACTGACTAGGATTAAGATACTAACTTGTTTAGAATAAATACTAAAATAACTAAACCAGACCAACCATTCATGATTCAACCAGAGTTTAAACCAAAAAACCCTCGAACACTCGAAGAGAAACTCCGGCGGCACTTCTGGTTCTTCTCCGCATTTTGTTTCTCTCCACAAATCGCCTCCCCCTCTTTTTTCTCTTCTTTTGTTAGTCTTTTTTAGTCTTCTACACTACTTGGCACTGCTTCTTCGGTCGGTTTCGTCGGTTTCTCGGGTTAACGATCGCCTCATCGTATTCCTCACCTTTTTCTCTCTTCCTCTTCCATTCCCATTCCTTTTTTCCCCTTCTCGACTCTTTCTTTCTCTCTCCTCCCCTAATCTCATTATTCGATCATTCCCTCTATGCCTCTCTCCCGTCTAACTCAATGAGCGATGTCGCGCCCGCAGGTCAGTATCGACCGCCTGACGCCGCGCCGCGCGACGGTTGAACCGCGCGAGGCCATGAACTGCAAGTCTTGTCGCAAACGAAAGGTGAATACTACCCACCCCCACGCTTCAATACTACCAGTAACTATCTAAATCAATCCGGAAATACTCATCGCTTTTTTTCCAGATCAAATGCAATCGTCTCCGTCCCAGTTGCGAAGCCTGTAAGGTCTTCCAATGTCCCTGCGTTTATGGTGAGTGCGCACTGCGCATCCCGAGGATACTCCGCTCCCTGGGCTGGGGCCGATTCCGGATTCCTCCCCATTGCATGATCTCCCAACTTAGCTAACCTCCCACGTCCTACGCTAGATGCGATTCCCAAAAAGCGCGGCCCGAAAACAGACGTCCTCGAGGCCCTTCTCAAACGTGTCGATGGTCTGGAAAAAAGACTCCAGGATGAGAAAAATCCCATCTCTCCGACCTCCCCGGATAAGCAACAACCCGACGATCTCCCGCTCGGACAGGCGCAGGGCGCCCGTCGCAACACCGTCGATGCATCCGCGTTTAACCCGTATTCTGCGACCGACTCGCGACCGGCGCTGTCTTCTACCTTGTCGCAAAATTCAGACTCGTTTCCCAGGTTGACGGCACATGATCCCTCGCCGGCCTTGCCCCCGCAATCGGCACCCCAGAATGGCGCGCTCTCCGAGGTTTTGCTCGATGCGTATTTCGCGCGACTACATGGGAAACCGTTCTTTGTTTTGGATGAAGCGGGGACTCGACAGCGACATCAGTTGAATCAATTACCGGTACATTTGGCGATGGCGATATCGGCCATGACACTAAGGTGAGTCCTAAGCTGGAGACGGCGACCCTGCGATCGACTGTCTAACGCGTTGTAGGTACACTCATGTTGGACAACCGGAGCAGTCCTTGCGTATCGGTCTGGATGCGGCGTTGCAAGCGCGCCGGATGATCGATGTGGATAATCCCACGATAGACGGGCTACAGTCCTTGCTGTTACTCTCCCAAGCCTTTTTTGCCTACGGATTGGGCAAGAAGGCTTATATGACTTTCTGTATGGCACTTCCCAGTAAAATATTTGATTTTCTTGACTGACTTTTTCTAGCAAACTGCGCAGCCATGGCGGTGGCTCTGGACTTGCTGCGTGAAATGCCATCTAAAGCCAATCTCTCCGCGGCTGAGCGTGAGACGCGACGCCGATTATTCTGGTCCGTCTACCTGATGGACCGATTCATTACATGCGGATCCCGACGGCCATGTCTCATCGCCGACCACTCTATCGTCCTGCGGCTCCCCTCGTGGTCCCCCCATGCAGCCGGTCTCAACATGGAAGGCGAGCTGTTCCATGTTGGTCCCAATATCCAATATTCGGCTGATTCCCGCCGAAAAGCACCTAGTGCAGCATCATTATTGATCGATATCACCCGTATCCTGGGAGTCACCAACCGATATCTAGCGGCCGGTGGTGTCAAGGGAGACTCGCACTTCCCATGGCATGCACTCTCGAATCTGTCCAAAATCCGACAAGAACTGGATATTTGGGCGGCAGGGACACAGGATGTTTTTGCTTCGATAGAGGCACTATTTGGGCATCCGGAGAGCACAACGCTACTTTTGAGTAAACTGATCTATCATCTGGTGCATTGTCTGATATACCGCCCCTTCCTGCCTATCGATCTGGTGGAGCTGCGAGGCACAGGCCAGCATCAATCCTGGCAGATCGAGGCAACTAATCTCTGCTTCTCCCATTCCAATGCGATTGCAGAACTCGTCGAGCTGGGCCGGAATTCCCCGCTGGTGGAGTGGCCTGCTTTTGTGGGGTATTGTGTATGCACGGCGGGTACTGTGCATGTCCACGGTGTGCACTACAAGGGCCGTGAAGGCGAGGTCTTCTCGTCGAGTGCTGAATTCCTCACCCGCGAGATGCACCAGCTGGCCTGGTTGCGGAATTCCTGGGCTGGTGTCCAGCATCAGCGGGAATTGCTTCAAACGATATATACCTGTCATGCGGAGCTGGTGCGGAATCTGGCGAGTAGCTCGATGCGCTTTTCGCCTGTTTTCCATTTGGAGGATTTCTTGGACCGATATCCCGGTCTGACGGTGGATGGTGCCCATGTGCGGTTGGTTGATACTGGGGATGAACTGGTCGCAAGGTGAGAAGCCCTTCTCGAATGTAATGCCTGCAATATCTAACATGAATATCTCAGTCCTCCCGGCTACGTCGATCAACAAACCCAATTCTACCGTCCAATGGCACCACCCTCCTACCAACAATCCCACTTCTATACCAACCTCCGTCCCACACCATCCCCCCTTCCATCCTCCCATACCCCCGACTCCGACCGTCGCAACTCCCACTCCCACTCTCAACACCCAAAACAACATCAACACCAATCAACCAACCCCCTCTCCCCATCCCTCCACTTCCATCAACACCCTCAACCCTCCCCTTCCCTCTCCTCCATCTTCCCCATCCAATCCGCCTCCGACCACCTCTCCCACTCAACATCCTTCTCCCCCAGCGCCTTCGGCCTCTCCCCACCCGCTTTCCTAACAGACCCCTCCCTTGCCATCGGCCCCACACCCCCGTCAAACCCGCAATACGCCACCTTCCCCTTCGACACAGCGACTACCCAGTCTGCTGCGGCGCTCACTCCTGGCGCGCAGTCGCAGACGAGCGGCTCGCATACGGCGAGTAGTGAGACGGGGAATCTAGAGAAAGATCCGTTTTTGAGTCTGTTGGAGCAGTTGGCGGAGAATGAGCATTCGCAGGGGGGTCCGAGTGAATTGGATTTCTTTTTGACCGGGGCCGTGGATGGAGAGGGGGATGTTGGTGTTAAGGTTGGTGGTGTTGGGGAGGATGGGAGGAGCGGGACGGAGATGTAAATATCAAAAAGGATTGGATTGGATTGGTTAAACTTGGTTGTGCTGAATCTGGGGTATTATCTGCGGTGGAACCTTGTACATATTGTTTCGTGAATGGATATGCCGTCAGCAACGTCGCTGTCTCAGGCTGGTTTGGTTTGGTGTTGTTGAACAATAGGTGGTTTCTACTCAGCACTCAGGTAGTCAAGTCTGAGCTATTCAACACAATAACTATGGATAGATGGAATAGGTAGTCTCTCAGGACTCAATACCCATTTGAAAATGATTGTCATCCTTATCGAGCTTCCTTTCAAGTTCCACGTATCTAAATCTTAGTTTAATTCTTGAATTTCCTCTCTTCCTTCCTCTTATCTCGTATTGCGATCTACTTTACCCATCCATTTCACTCGGAATACGAGTTTTCCTCCTCGCCAAGTCGAAATCTGCCTTAGACTTGTAGCCTCGGCACATATACGAACTAGGCAGGGCAGGGCAGGGCAGGGCAGGGCAGGGCAACGAATCACGCCCGATGAGTCTATTCTTCACTAGATAAGTGTAGATAGAAATTGTTATTAACATTGAGAGATGATTTCTAGGCACGTAAGTAGCAGATTTGGGATTTTGGTCTACCTAGCCTAAATCGGAAACGTCAAGCGATAGTTCAAGGCTGAATAGTTAGTAGATGGGTCCTAGGATCTTAATTCGATGGTATAATTCATGCATTAATCTGCAGATCAACCTATCACGGCAAACATAGCGCCTAGTCTACATGTGCTGCCTTGCCTATTGGAGTGCATATGGTGTCTATTTCTTTTCTTCCTTTTCCCCAGCCACTCTTATCTCTCCATCAGTATTAGGCTTCTTCCATCTGTGAAATGGAAACAAGATGGTGGTAATTGATTGGAGTGTGCTGGTAGTGGGGTCGATCTTGGACAGGGCTGTGCGGGTGCCCTGCGTCTCCACATAGATGCCATAGCCACTGTCACGGCTTAGAATACACCACTTACGTAGAGTGTTGAACACGTGGAGTAAATAGGAGTGTGAGTCAGTTGATAGAGAAAACTTATTAGTTTTCCATAGTTGGTGATTTGTGGTTAGTGATTAGTTGTTCGTTGTGAGGGCAGGAGGTAGAGAGTGTAAACCTGGTGGGTCTCTTCTATACGTGGTGCCGAGGTGAGGCTCACTTTTGTCTCGGTAGGGAGTAGATGGAACAGGATGAGCTATCTATGGATTTGATCATGTGTATATATTTGTGATCTGGTCTTGGACTGTCGAGGAGAGGTATATAAAGAGCTTGCCCTTCTCTCGATATTCTACCATCTCAACAACTATTCAAATCCATCTGATCTTGTCTACATCGACAACCACCTACTTTCAGCTCCCCTTGAGCTTGCATATCCAATCCAAACACATATCTCATATCCATCCCATCCATCTACTCTTTTCTATCAAAATGTGGGAATTCCTCAAATCCCCCTCCCGCCGCCGCCGCGAAGCCCGTCAACGCGCCGACGAAGAATTCCACAAAGAACAAGCCCGCCTGAAAGCACTACGCGAGCAGAGCCCGCAACAGCAAGCAGCTGCAACGCTGAAAATCACGCCCGCTACGCCTACCACCCCGGCATATAAACCATACTATCCCCCGTCGAGCACGACTTCTGCATCGCGGTCGCGCGGCTCGGGATATTCGAGCGGAGGGGGCTCTTATGGGGGGAGGGTCGGGTTTCTCTGGAGATTCGGGGTGTTCTTCGGGGGGTGATGGGGGTGGTGGTGGTGGTGATGGGGGTTGCTGAATGTTTTATTGAATGCGTTAAGATATATGGTTTTATTGAGATTACTCGCTTGCAAGACGTAGGTTTATGACTTTATGCTTTGAGTTACTTATCTGAGAAATTGATGCATTTACGAAGAAAGGCTTGATGTATTGGAAAAAGAAATAGTAGCACTTATTATAGATCATAACTTCTGGAACTGCAATGATAGTCCAGCAACCTCAAACAACGTCTTCCTTCCCTCTGCTTTCAATAACCGCAACATGCCCCGTCTGATAAGGATCGACCTTAGTATGCTTGAACCGACGAGCAGGAATCTTTTGCTCAAACAGAATATCAAGTTCACTATAACTTCTCCCCTTCGGCTCAGGCAATCGGAAAAAAGTCCAAACAAAACACAAAAAGCACGTTCCAAGCCAAAAGAAGCCCGCCTTTGCACCCCAGTCCCACGCTGTAGGAGTCAACTGATAATTGATCAGCACATTCGTCACAAGTCCGGCGATATTATAAAAGTTCCGCGCAATCACAATCGTCTTCGCTCGTAGCCTTGTCGACGACATCTCCGCGACGAGAGAGTAGCATACAGGACCAACGGTAGAGTCATATACAAAGGCGAAAACGAGAATCATGGAACCGACAGCCCATGAAACAGATTTGTTACTCTTCGGTGCAATGCCAAGCATACCGACAATGAAGAGAATCACACACATTGTCGCTGTTCCGACGAGGTAGATCCTTCGTCGGCCCACGAATGTCATCACCCACCATGACAAAAGAGTTCCAACGGCTGCGATGGCGTAAAGACCCATCGACATGTCGAATGCGTCCACGATAGGAAGACCGGCTTGTTCGTAGAATGTCGTTGAGTAACCAATAAATGTTGATCCACAGATACTCTGCGCTACCCAAGCAGCAGTGCAGATCTCAGTTCGACGGAGATCCACGCCCTTGAAGCAGTCCAGGTAGCTCGATCCCGAAGAAATCTCCTGTTCGAGTTGATTGGTGTGTTCCATCATAGCAATGGTTTTGTCGGCGTCAAAGTCTGGGTCGGTTGTCGTTGTGAGTCTCAGCAATGACTTTTTCGCTTCTTCGATTCGACCCTTGCGGACTAGCCACCATGGAGACTCAGGTGCGAAATAGACGCCGACAATTAGGAGTGGTGGCCACATCCACTGGATTCCGAAGGGAATGCGGTAGGCGTCGGATGTGGTATTGTTGACCATTCCGCGGAGTACTCCAGAAGCGATGAAGTGACCGATTACCCAGCACAGGTTGTTGTATGTTGTAAGGTATGCACGAAGACCAACGGGGCACACCTCTGAAGCATACGCAGTCGTGATGGTTTGGAACACGCCCCACGGTAAACCACAAAGAATCTCGCCAACCAGAAGCATCTTGATATCCACGGCGAAGAAAGTGATAAAGATGAATCCGGTGATCATAACCAGAGCCCCAAGAATAGTCTTTCGATAACCGATACGCTCCGAAATAAGACCAGTCAAGAACAGACCAATGATTTCACCGACAGCTGCACCATCGGATAAACCAGATCGCCAAGGCGCTGAGATATTGTATTTCCCAGTCTTCGGGTTGAGTTCGCCATATTTCTTGCTGAATGTTGGCAGTGCGTAGAAATTGGCCAACAGAAGAGTGTCGTATCCCTCCATCACGAGAGCGGTTGATAGAACGATAGACCATAATGCAGCTTTGGGGTATAGTTTCAAAGCTCGGCCGAGTGACATTTGTTTTTCCAGCTCGGCACCTTCCTTTGCCTCATTGATGAACTCGGACTTTTGGGCATTGGAGTGGTGAATGATGGGCTCCTCATGATGTTGGAGTTCACCTCCCTCTTGCTTGATAGTGTCCGACATGGCGTTGGTCACTGATTGAGAGATACTCGTTGATGCAAAATCTAAGTAGTAATGCTCTCTCAACACAGACAAAAGCCATGTCCGCAGTCATACTTGCGGTATTCTTAGTTATATAGGCCCATATCTGAAGCCCTGATATTTATCAGTTTCAGAAAACATGTATATTCGGACAAATTCTCGGAGAATTCAGTGTAAGCCACCTGATGCTCATACTGACATTGAAATGGCGACATCACATGGCAGTTGGCGAATCACAGCATCTTCAACGATTTCCACGGGGCGTTGTCAAATAAGCGTGTTAACATGACTTAGCGTAGACTAGGAACCCACTTAGAACTCTGGAATCGCTCGACTCATGAATGTGATGGTCTGTGCGTAACGGGGCAGTCTTAGCAAGGCTTAGCTTCAACTAAGCTTGAATTCTGGCTTGCGCCATGGCTGTGGCTGATTGCGAATCGACTTTCCACTGTTTAGATATCTTGTCAGACCATTGGCGAAGCTTAGCTTTGAATTTAGTTTCGGCGATAGTTCCTGACAGGGCACCCTAGTGGGAATCATCCAACTAGGTAGCAGTATTCTTTGTAGCCACCTTGTACGCTAACACCACATAAGATGTAACAATTGGAAGCTTCAGCCATGTGAATGTACCCTGCAGCGCTTGGCGACTTAGTTGTGGATCTTTTTCTCGAAGCTGAGAATAGATTCGCGGCAAAGTCCACGCTGGCTTTGTTAGAATCTCACCAAGCACACCATCCTGAGGGTAAATGTCATGAGAGGCGATGAGCCGACGGGTTCCCCGGTTATAAATCCTTTGCCCTGATGACTGTAACACGGAGAAAATCTCGGCTTCGATGAAGAAATCACAGAGTTTCTTCGGTCGGTACCTTGACCGGCTTAAGTGAGTCTAGAAAAAACGTGGAAATTGCGGATCGCTAACATCTAACTGCCCATCTTATACTTTATATTCCCCGCATTTTGCAGTATATCACTACTGTAGCTTGCACATTGACTCGGGGAAGGTCGGGGTTAGGTTGAATTTAAATCCTCCACTTGTCTGAATATACCCTGAAACTATCTGTTGGTATGGTAGAAAAACGTTTTCTTAGAGCAATTTATGTGAGTCTGGTCAGCAGGTCTCTTATGGGGAAATTCGGATTTCGATGGTTGATGCCATTGATAGAGCAAATACCAGCTTTGGCAGAGTGTCGGCTATCAATAAAAATTCAATTCTGTAGCTACTTTGGCATGGCATGATGAGTAAACTCATGTTCAGTCGGCATTATCAGTGGATCAGCAGTGGATACATACATGTAGTGGAGACAGAATAAGAAAATGACGCCATAGCTTGCTTTTATTGCGAATCAAAGCCGCGTATCCCATAGGCGCCTTACTGATGTTATAGATAGACATTGTAGTCGAATTATTTTGCTAGCAATTTTTTCGTGATCAGAGCTTACTCTGCAATTACTGTTATACTAGAGCTCGGCTATCCAACCTTCAACATGGTTGCCCCAATCCTTCAAACAACATCCTCATCGACCATAAAAGGCGGCAATCCTGCGGCACAATCACGACTATCAAGCCCGCTTCAATACTCGGGTTCATTGAACAGTTTCTCCCATTCGGATCTCACACCTGTCATTGGTAGAGAATATACCGGGATACAGATTACGGATATCTTAAAGTCGGAGAATTCGGATCAAATTATTCAGGACTTTGCTGTTACTGGTGAGTAATCCTTTTTGAGCGTTTACTTGAGGATTGCGCTTTGAAAAGGCGCGTCATGTGAACTGTGTTCTAACTATCTCCAAGTCTCCCAACGGGGCGTGGTTTTCCTACGAAATCAAGATGTGACACCTCAGCAGATGCGTGATTTCGGAGAGCGCCTTTCTCATCTATCTGGATGTGTAAGTAAAACCAAAAGCTTGAATCAAAGCCCCATTTACTAACCACCATAGATGCAGCCCTCATCCTCAACTCTCCACATCCACCCTCTAACAGAAGAATCCTCCGAACTAGGTGACCAAATCAGCGTAATCTCCAGCACCAAACAAAAAAAGGCGGCGGTCTCACACACCAACTCAGCGACACCAGTCGTTTCGCCTCAGTAGGCTGGCACTCAGATATCAGCTTCGAGCCCGTTCCGTCCGATTACGCCATGTTGAAAATTCACGAGTTACCTTCTACGGGCGGGGATACGCTTTGGGCTTCTGGGTATGAAGTGTATGATCGGCTTTCGCCGGCTTTTGCGATTTTTTTGGAGGGTTTGACTGCTACGCATGATGGCGGGTTTTTTCATGATGAGGCTAGACGGTTGGGGAATCCGCTTAGGGAGGGGGAAAGGGGGAGTCCGTTGAATTTCGGGGGCGAGTTGAAGGCTGTTCATCCTGTTGTTAGGACGAATCGTGAGTGAACTTTTTGTTGAGATTGATTCTTTGGTTTCTAGGGTATGGACTAATTTTGATGAACAGCTGTGACTGGTTGGAAATCCGTCTACGTTAACCGTGGTTTTACTCGCCGTATCAACGGAGTGACAAAAGATGAGTCGGACGTGATCCTGCAATATCTATTCAACGTAAGTCACCCAGCACAACCTTCATCTCAAACCTCCCAATCACAGGTACAATCTCTAACAAACCCAATATCAGCTCGTCACCCAAAACCACGACGCCCAAGTCCGTTTCAAGTGGAACAAGAATGATATCGCGATCTGGGATAATCGGTCTACATGGCATACGGCCACTTACGACTATACCGAAACACGTACTGGGGATCGGGTGTGCAGTTTGGGCGAGGCGCCTTATTTTGACAGTCTGTCGAAATCGAGGAGGCAGGCTTTGGGGGAAGGTGCTTAGGGTTGAATGCTAAATTGACTACCATTCCAGTGGTTTGGGTAATCAATGTTGGATAGAAGGTCAAGCTCCATCTCTGGCATAGGAACTTTACAGCCCCGGCCTATGTCCTTTGCCCACGGGACATACATTTAGCTACTGTTATTCCTGGTGATTAACACTTCAATGGATCTATTTGTACTATGCCTCAAGGCTCTAGATAGCCATGATGCTTGCTCACTCTGCGTGACCTTTTTCCAAAGCCAATCTATAAGACGCAATGAGCCTCTCCTCACATTCTTTCATACAATGGAGTAATATATTTTATCAGTTATATCACAAAAGCCCAGTGTATGAATCTTTCGAGTAGACGTTAATCATGTCTCATTCATTTCAATACCTAGAAACATCACAGATAAACATTCACCACCCATATACAGGCACAACAGTAAAAGAAACACTCGTTCATCATTCAAAAAATAAATTTTGTAATCAACCCCACCGCCATCCAGGGGTTCTTTGTACTCCGTACACCTCAAAAGAAATATGTGTCATAAGAATGGGAAAAAAAGGGCCTAAACCGGCCGAACAACAGCAAACTCAGTGGGAAATCACGTTAGGCGCGAGAAAGAAGAAAAAAAACATAGGGCAACACGCTCATAGAAAGGAGAAGGTAAGGTATCATCTAGGAAGTTTAGATTTGCAAGTCCTCCACGCTGCTGGATCGCTTTGCGGAGCCGACGGCGGCGTCGCCGAGGGAGAGGGAGGAGATGGTGCGGCCGTTCTTGGGGCGGTCGATGTCTTCGGTCTTGGTGCAGATCCATGTTGAGGCGTACATGTTGACACTAGAGGATGTTAGAGAATTTTTAATCAAAGAACCGGGTTTGGAGGCTTACCGGTCAATACATGTGCCGGGGAAGCGGGCTCCCACTCGGCGGGCCGAGAAGCCGTTCTCTTCAAAGTGCTTGATGTACCAGGGCTCGATGCTGGCAGAGCGGAGGAGAATGCGGCCACCCTTCTTCAGGGCAGTGTTGAAGCGGCGGGCTTGGGCGGGAGCGGCATCTCCCTCGGGGTCGAACCAGTCCATAGAGTCCATGACCTTGAAAAACGATAAGTTATAATGTTGATGAATGTGTTGGGGCTGGGTTACTTACCACGGCGATGGTCAATGTACCGGGGGTGATGCGGTTGATCACCTCGTTGATCTCATCGGTGTGAATGCGGAGGCCATCAAAGGCACCGGGGGTGGAGAGCTTGACATGTGCTTGCGGGGAGAGATAGGTGGGGTGGCAGCTGTAATTTGTTAGCGGAATGATCCAGATCTCAAACATTCGGGTTTCAACATACCGGCGTGAGAACTTGCCCTGCATACACAGGTAGTAGAAGTAGTTGTCGTTGCTGATCAGAGTATCGTTGACAACAGGGTCCAGGGTGTTCACAACGTATTCCCAGATGGACTGGCCACTGATATCCTTGCCCTGCTTCATATCTGTCGTCAAACCGTTACGGAGGAAATAATCGTCAACAATCATGTTGCGCTGGTTGCGAGGCACACCAGCCGCCTTCCAGGCGAACCACTCGGTACTGACAATGGCCCAGTTCAAGGGCTTGCTGAGCAGGACCCGACGAATGCGAGGCCAGATCTCCCGCTGCTCAGCCAGAGTCTGTGCTGAGCACATCTTCTCCACCTCACCCTGAAGTCCGAACATGTTGAACAGGTAGCGCACCATGCGGATCGCGTGGCGGGAGCCACCAGTCTCATACAGACCACGACCGGACTTGGAGGTGAAAACGTGAGTGTGCTCCGCCCAGTACTGGAAGGCCTGGCTAGACAAGTGAGGGCTGAGCTTGGAGATGAGGAGCTCGCGGAACTCTGCGTGCTTGCCCTCGCCGAAAATCTTCCACATGTCACGGTAGCCCAGGGCGATGTAGCTGGCCACCTTGAGCTCCAGAAGGTGGTTCTGGTTGGGGTTCAGATCGACGGCGTGAACGCGACGGGGGTTCTTTTGCAGGTAATCCAGGATGTTGTCACCAGCGCTGGTAATAGCCAGAATCACATCATCAGGACCGATGTTCAAAAGGCGGTGATCGACACGAGGATCCTCCCAGGTAAAGGCGTAGATGTATTCATTCTGGAACTGGGTGTGCTTGGGCAGCATGTCATTGTAGTGGATGCGGTAGTGGTGGTTCTGGTAGAAGGAGGATGGAAGGGGCAGGTTGGCGCTCAAGTTGATCACAGCCGACTCATATGCCTTGGAACGGATCTCGGTCGTGCTTTTCTCCACGGCCTTGTCCATTTCCTTCTGGTGGTTGGCGGGAAGCAGGTAGGGAGACTCGGTGAAGGATGCATCCAGCTTCTCAATGGCGGCGTGGCTTGAAGGGGTGGAAGCAATCTCCTTGGGGCAACCCACGAAGATGTAGTATGGGATACCACCGAGAGCATAGTTGCGCTCACTGGCCGAGATCACGGTACCAAACTTGTATTCGAGGTAGTCACGACGAGCGGCTTCCAAGCTCACGCGGTCAAAGTCGAACCACGCACGCCAGAAGACACGACCGAGCCAGTTGACGTGGCGGTTGAAGGCACCACCGGTGTAGTTGCGGCAGGAGACATCAACGATGCTTTGGACTGTACATGGTGTGAGTATCTGTGTTCCTTTACCCCGTGGTTCAAAGCTTACCGTAGAAGTCGCAAACACCCAGCAAACCGGTAGCCTTGAGGCGGGAGGTCAACGAGTCGACAACGCTGTAGTAATCTGGCAGAAAAAAAGTCAGAATGGTCACCCGCAAGTACCTCCCAGGTCTTTTACTGTTGAGTCCACCTACCGGGAATCATAGACAAGCTGTAGCTCATGGTGATCAGGTCCGCACAATCGGTTGTCGCACCATCAGCCGCCTTGGGGTCAATCTGCTTCTCGGGGAGACGGAACGACCGAGCATCCTGGCACAGAACGGTAACATTCTTCCAGCCGAGGCGCTCAAAGCGCTGACGGGCAACATCACAGAGAGAGGGCGAGAGATCGACGAGGTAGACTTGATCGAAGAACTTTTCCACAGGGAGGAAAGCGGACATGGCCTCGATGTTATATCTGCCAGCAGGTCAGTCTAATGTTCCAAAATATACGGTTTAGATGCGTGTCTGCTGCATACCCCGTGCCACCACCGACCTGTAAAGAGCGATTGTCAGTTCTTGTGTGTCTTTCAAAGCTTCGAATCTTTTGATTCATCACTTACATCAACCCAGACTGCCTTGCCCGCCTTGATCTCCTTGTTCTCGACCTTGTACTTCAATTGCGCCGCAACCAGACCGAGCATGTCCTCACGACCATGGAGGAGACGACGGCGGGTAGCATCGTAAACAGTCGCCTAGTAGTCTCAATGTCAGCTCTCTGCGATGGTGATTTTCGGAGCTTGTTGTCACTCGGATCTCGCAAGCTGGCTTCCACATACTTGAGTCTTGTAGAAGCTCTCCAGCGCACCCTGCTGGCCCTCAACACTCTTGTCATGGGGCTTGATGAAACTGGCCCAAATAAACTTGACATATGTGAGAGGACCATGATCCATATCAAACTTGAACTGCTGAAAAGAAACGAGGAGAACGAGCCCAACGAGGGTAAAGACCGAAAAGGCCGCGCCGGCGATGTAGACGTGCAGCCAATCCATAACGAGCCTATGTGTGAGAGAGGGAGAGTGAGGGGGAAGAGAGGAAGAGGAATTAGGAATTAAGGAAGCGCGAGCGGGGAGAGGAGAGAGCACGAGGGGAGCAATTCATATAGTACGGGAGCATGACAAAGGTGAATGGCACACGCCCCATCGCGAGGGGCAGGGAGCATCACGGACATCGAATCACCACGACACATGGGTGGGGAGAATTGATAAGGCCGGAATCGGAGGGGCAGGGCAGAAGGAGGAAAGAGGAGAGATGAATTACTGCAGGGGAAGGTACTCGTACAGGTACTCGGTACAAAGGGAAGATGGAGGGACTAGGGTTTGGGAGTGGAGTGATGGGCATGGGAAGGAAGTAGCGGGTACTTTGGGAGGGAAGCAAGCTACTGCAGTTTACTCGAGGAGAACGCGAGCTCCTAGAATAGTATGGTCTTACTTATTTACTATTACTATTGACTAGTTACATCTGTACTCAGTTACTACTACTAATTACTACTAGGTATCTTTCAATGGATCGCCCTTGCCCCTCAAAGGAGATCGACAGCATCCCGAATTCCTCCACCTCTTTTGCCTCCATCAATCAGTGGGTAATACTGTAGGGTATGGTAGTACTCCGTACCGACTCTGTTGAGATATCCACATCTCTCCACTATGAATGGAGCATCCCGGCGGACATCGGGGCCGTGCTAGCGTGGTCAGTTATCCAGCATACATACTCTAGTACTGTAGTTTCTTGAGTATATGTGTGATTACCGAACCCAGCACAGACGGGACCAACTTTAAGAGAATTTAGCTTCGACCTGCGTTAGTTCCGATGGCCGAGCCAGTCACAGTTCGGCCCGTCGGCATGTGCTGACCATGTCGGGAGTTGATTCGGGTTGATTCGATGAAACCAGTTGATCCCTCGTGGAGAGGACGTGGAGTCGTTCCTGGCCGTAGATGCCCGCCCGTGGGGGTCCTTGTGGCTGCTGATTGGCTGAACCAGGCAGCAAGCTTCTGGGGCCGACGGGCGCCAATCAGATGGTCGATCGCCGGCACATTGGGGGTTCCCCGGATTTAATGGGACATTCTACTTACTACAGATTACAGTAATCACTCAATTAAATTGACCAGATCTTATTATCTACACCGTTTCCTCGATGATAGTAGTAGTAGTAGTAGTAGTCTATTAGAGTATTGAGTATGCGTGTGGCTGGATAATCATCTTCCGAGAATCTTCCTATCAGTGATTTCACTGAATTAAAATCGATGAGAGGTTCGACCCATTTTATTGACATCCTGCAGTCCCATTCTGCGTGGCAACATCGATGATCATTTCTACTCTGTGCATTCATCTCCCAACCAAAGATACGGAATAAAGAGGAATGATCCGAGATACCCTCGTGCATCTCTCGACATCAGTACATTCACTACATATGTATGTTCCTGCACTCCAGGGTAAACTCGTGGGATATCGCCGAATTTGGGCTCGCCTGGCCCGGCTATAAGCAATGACATTCCACTGCCTCTGATTGGTTGAGTTTGATCTCAGGCAATGCCTCCTGCACGCTTAGGGACTGGGTGAATCACTAGCAAACTAGGACAACAATGTTTGGTTGAGTTCAGCAGAATTGACTTACAATCCGACTTGGACACTCAGGCAACTACAGCACTGTCTGTACATCCGCTGCCTTTTCTTACCTACTGCTCTCTGCTCTACCTCATGATTTTCCGAGTAACTGTAATACTCATTGAACCCAATTGAGCCTAAGCAGCGGGCGGGCTCTTGCAATTTAGAAATACTACATCAGCCCCAGGAATTGTCTCAGCCAAGAGATATACAAGTCAAGAATCCAACGACGATCTTGAATTTGAAAATAGCGTTCTCGGCTAAGCACATGCTCTGTCTATTTACTCTGCGTCTGTATTTCAAGCTGTTCCTAGATCTAATCAGTGGTTCACAAGTTCTGCAGGACCTTGCAATTGTAACGCAGCACGCGAATTTCAAGTTCTTGATTCTGATTACGTGTGCGGGGGATTCTTTGACGGGGAAGCTCCTCCTGTGTGGGCTCAGGCACCGGGTTCCTGCACCCTAAGGTACTCACCCCTTGTCGATCAGAATGGCGAGGTCAAAAGAACCGCAACTGGTTTATCTATTTCTCTCCTTCAAGGATCAGGCTTTGGCTAAATTTAACATGTGTGGATTGATCTGTCTGCTCTCTTCTTCTGCTCTATCCTCTCGTCCGCGTGGCTGCTCAGCAAGAGCAATATGCGTTGCATTCTTCGTCTGAGAGGCAAAGAGGGGCTTTCTCAAACTCTTCGAAGCTGGCTGACAAGCCGTTGAACCATCGTCTGAAAGTGTGGCGGTCAAAAATCGTATGTGGAAGGACGGGTCGTCGTATGCCACATAATCTGAACCCCTTCCCTTTCCTCCTCTTTCATCCCGCCATTAATTTAATACGCATTGCTCCCAAGTTCACATAGGAGCCGCAATCCATTGTTCGGAATTGGTTACTAAGACTTCGGAAATGCTAACTTTTTTTTTGATAAATTTCGGACAAGAGGCCGTTAAAAACATATCCCAACAAATTTGGGCAAAATACCGCTAGACCAAAAATGCTCCATGGGCTACATTCTTAGTCTATACGGTTATTTATTGCTTTGACAAAACATTTCGAGTGTAGTAAACTCCAATAGCTTGTTGTTTAATCCGGCGGACAAGGAGCTCTAGTGCCAACCTCCGATCCTCAAGTATGTGGCTCTTCTTGTTTAGTTCAATGCTAGCCATTGCTATATCATTTTCTCGTGCAGAAAGTGCACTTTCCGTCATATTTGTGAACAATCTACAAGATCTGATCAGAGGTTGAGACCTAATCAGCATGAGCACATCTCGAGCATATTGAACATCACTTACAAGGTTTCGTTCTCAATCGTTTCATAGACCATGGGCACCCATATAGATAAACGCTCAATTAGTTGCCCTGCTTGCGACTCGAAGATAATATCGGGACTGTTCTCAACAGACCCGTGCATGAAGTAATTGTCGGAGCATGATTTCAAGTTTGTCAAAGTCCGAGTTAAGTCAAAACATGCGTCTCTGTGATTTCCGAGGGCAAGACAGAGAAATTCATGCACCTCATGACCATGCTTAAAAGATGAGAGTATTGGGGGTTCCAGTCTTAGTATGAAACTCTGTAGGATGTTTTTTACAGCAGACAATTGATCATATAATTCTGCCAAGAGCTCCTCATAGTTGAGTCGAGAAATTTTGAGAGATCCGAGAAGTAGTTGAACGCTGTACTGTGCGAATTTACAGACCTGAGCGGTAAGATCGTTGGCGTTGAACCACCTCCATTAATAATAGGCAGCAGTGGCATTATGCCTTGGTCAGAGCGAAGCTCTCGGGAACCCAGAATAATATTTTATCTGAACAGACTATTTCCATTGGCTTAACCACCCCGCACATACGATGACAACCCGAGGGATTCCTGGGAGCACACTGACGCACCCAGGAGCAATTGTTTGGACATATGCGAATAGCAGACCTTACGGTCCTGTTTGTATCCATCCACTCAGTATTGCGAAAATGGCAGGACACCAAAACCACAAAAGATCTGTTGCCTAGACCTCCATAGTGGGAGCAAGAGACTTCCATAGCATACAGTTCTGTGTTTGGCTGTCCTCGATGTCTACCATTGCAGTGGCATTGGTCTGCAACCGAATCTGACGACCAAAGCCATCGCCCCAGGGTTCCCATGTCGGTGCATCGTCTGCTTTGTAGGTGTTCGGGTTCAGGTCCCGTACAAAGCTCACCCAATAGCCCATGGTAACGGGAACAATAGCTGCGTTGGTATTGTATAAGGACCAGACAGTCCATCCTGTTTGTCCTGGTCCAAAAACGGCCTGTACCTCAAAGGTATGGAAGACTCCAACTCCAGCGGCGGTATTTCCAGCATCGATTACGTTAAACCAGTAGCCCCATGCCCGCTTCGGGTCCAAGAACCGCGCCACCGAGCTAACAAGCATACTTGATGGGCAGGTAAAGGTAGCATCACCATACGCGGCCGAAGCACTGGGGAAGTATGGGTTATGCATGGGCAGGGTGTCCATTTTCGGGTAAAACTGATTGATGGTGTCTAGTTGAGAGCTTGTGAGATGTGGGTAATTGCTGCGGAGGAAGGCTGAGACTTCGTCAGCGGTTGAGGCGTTATTCGCAAACCATGAGCCCTCATTTGTGGTATGACCGGCGATTAGTGGCACATCAGCGAAGCGGCCCTGTTCGAAGAGGTTATAGAGCTGATCGGGGACGAAGCCGCCGTCAATGACAGGGAGCCAGTAGAAAAGTGGATTTGGGTCCGTGGGTTGCGTCCCAGGAAACGTAGTTCCGTAGCTTTGTGCCTGGAGAGCGGAAGCGGTCAAGTTTCGGAGACAGCTTAGGGACGAACAGTTCGTCATGTTCAGGAGCCTAGTGTATTGCCATTCCATCTCTTCCACAGTTCGTAGAGTAGGCCAGAATGGACTTTCAAGTACCGCTCCAATAAAGTGCCGATGATGGTCTTTGCCTCCATACGCTGTGAGATGATGAGATACGGATCCTCCACCTGCTGATGAACCACTGATAACAACATGTTCCGGGTCACCACCAAACTATGAGTACGGAGAATGGTTAGTTGCCTGTAAACTGCATGCTCGGAAGGTCGTTCGGAATACATACCTTGCTAATATGTTGCTTCACCCAGCTAAGTAGGAACCGTTGGTCCAAGAGACCAACGTTCAACTCACCATCCTTCCTGACCTCGTCACTGGCAAGGAATCCGAGCGCGCCGACGCGGTAGTTGAAGTTGACCTGGACAATATTGCCACCCGAATAGCTAACGACCTCTGTGCCGTTGTAGTTGGGGTTTCCCATAGCTGCATATCCACCGCCCTGGATATACACCCACACTGGGAGCTTGGATTGCGCCGTCGCATTGGAGGGCTTGTACACGTTGACAAATAGACAATCTTCATCCATGCCTGCACCTACTTGCTGGCCTGTGCCGACACACAGTGCGCCAAACTAGAGGTGACAAACATAGTATTAGTCTCAGTTTTCATGATATAGGTTTTGAATTGAAACCCACTTGGGACGCGTCTTGCACTCCAGTTACTGAATCGGGCTTCTGTGGGGCTCTAAACCTGAGATCTCCAACTGGAGCCTTGGCATATCGCATGCCCAAGAACTCATCAACTCCAGCTGGGAGTCGAGTTCCACGATATGATGCATACCCGAGGTTAACTGTTGGCTTCGTATCTCTTTTCACAGCCACACCGCTGGCTGCCATTGCCAGACAGAGAAGCTGCGTGACGGACTTTAGAAACGGCATTGCGGCTTCTTAAAGGAGCGAAGTAACAGTCGAGGTATCAGTCAATTGCTGTCAAGGTAGTCATCGCCGAGGTCCCCATCTACCCTGGGTATTTATATCGGCGGGACCACCATTGAAGGCTTTAGGTCAACACGACCGAATCTTCCCCGCGCTATGATATGTTTAGACAGTGGTCTCCATTCCCCCGGCTAAAATAAAGAGTTTGTACTATTTTCAATTTATAGTTAAGTAATGAAATAGGAAAAGCTAATACCGGTAGTCCGTGCGTACCGGATATGACTCTGTTTCACTGTTTCACTCACTGTTGCTTTTGGCATAGAGAAAGCTCTGAGCTTATTGACGAAAGTTTAAATCTTCAGGAGCGACAAGCCCGAGCCTCGTGACTCTTGTGAGCTTGAGATTTCCATATGCCCGATCCATTTCTCCGGATACTCCCCGCAATTTGTATCCCGGTGTCCAATTCCTCATCTCGCGATTACGGTACCTATTAGGCAAGTCACATCAATCTGGCTAAATTGCCCCGGCGGGAGAGGGGGGGGGAAGGGGGGAAAGGGGACCCCGCCGGTACTCGTATTTTTTACCATACCCTTTCCTGTGAGGCTGTTGTTGTATTATATGCCGATGGGTATTTCTTGGCCCTAGGAGATTAAACTTAGGGTAGGAATGTTACATCTATGGTGCACAGAAGGGAACGGCGGACCGGCTGCTGATCGGCTTTGAATCGTTTAAATGCCGTAAAGGAATGTATAGCTGTGATGATGATTGCCCAATAATCCATTCTCAACGGATATTAGGAAGATTTGTTGGCTTTATTCAGTAATAGAGACGAAGATCTGCACAGTGAAGTTATCGAATGTACGTAGTCCATTGGCCACAGGCTGTGTGGAAGTGTAGACGTAAAGACGACACAGAAAAACGTCTGTCTATAAATACCGTCGTTCCTACCATCACAGTCAAGGCTACCAGTCACGATGCAGTACAAATTCCCTTTTGCCCTGTGCTCCTTTATTTTCTTGTGCCTCGGTACCCCGGTTTATTCTCAATCCAGCACGTACTACTGGAAGCACTTTTCGACCTCAGGCACCATCTCTCCATGGTATTAGAATGATAATTCTGGGGGAGTGACCGCCCCCGAAGGCACTGGCTTTGTTGTTATGGTCACTGGAGAAGACTGGGGACCATGGTCCCCAGTTCACACTTTGCCGAAGCAACTGAAAGATGTCAGTCAGACTCACAACACCTGGATCTCACAGAAAGCCCACCCAGAACCAGGTTATGGATATGATGCCTGGTAAGATCGTACCCCGTGGCAATCGATTGAATCCTGCGACTAATAATTTGTGTTAGCTACGATATCTTTATCGATCCGATTTATGCACCTACCGATCGTAATTCTATCAATCTATCAATGAGATCATGATTTGGTTCGGCTATCAGGCTCCAAACAAGCCTCTATCTGACCATTATGATGCAAATGGCAATTCCATTCCGTGGCACACTAATGTGAGTCTAGGAGACAAAGCATGGGATGTATATTTACACACGTGAGTCTCAACCAGGGACCCATCCTTTCATTAACTCCCCTCAAGCTGAGCCTAAGTTAATAAAATGCTCTGGATGTAGGTGGCCCAGCGGTGGCCATACCATGACCTACCTCGACCGGCAGAACTCGGGCTGGTTTTCCGGGAGTCTCTGGCCTTTCTTTAACCACGGAATTAGCAACGGCTGGTACACCAGTGAACAGTATTTAAATACCATTATGGGTGGCTGGAAATTCGGAAGAGGCAATTATACGGCAGTATCCTGGGGCGCGGTAGGCTTTTGAATCTTTGCCATTGTGAGAAAATTCGGAGAGTCTCAGCGATGAAGTGTCTCATCGTTCGATGAACGAAGACGAACGAGCAACACCCAAAGGGGAAATCAAACTTTGTGTCTTCTAACTAAACTATCTGATCTATTCCCACAATACCGTACCACGTATGACGGCAAATTCTGTCCGATTCGAGAGTAGACCTCAACCTGTAGCGAGTACAAACTATTATAGAGTGCTCGGAAGAGTTGGCTATGATGCGGGGCATAATGAGAGAGCCTGATTGGATGATAGGCAGCGTACCTGGTCTACTACGTAGACTGGATCGAAGCGGAGCCACAGAGAGGGGGCGGCGTGGATCGAAACGGCGGCATTTACTTTACGTGGTTGGCTGGACGCATTGAATGCCGGGGCATAGGGGATTTGGCCGTACTCTATTGGCTGAGCATATTGAATGCCGACGCAACGGGATTCGGCTGTGTTCTATTGGCTGCACATATCGAATCCCGTGCTATGGGCGGCCAATCACCGCCAAACGCAAGCTTGTTTAGGGTTGAGAATCTCTTGACTTCTGGAGTAGTTCAGAAGACGGTAGCCCATGCTGTATTCTCACATCCCGCACCATCCTGAACCCGGGGTAATTGCCGTCGTTAACTTGTTCTGGTCTCTTCTAAGCTCGCTTGGTTTAGTCGAACACAGATCTGATTGATTTTCCGCAGGACCGAAGCTAGTAGTTAGTACACGGAAGGAAGGAAACCGAAATTGATTCCTGGAATGCTGTGTAAATTCTTATGAACGTTTAGGTTACAGTAAAATAACAGGGAATATCTTCCATGCTATCCTTATTCTTAAACATCCAAACCCTCTTTCATTTCATTGTGGTCATATGCTCCTGCGCATATTGTGAAAGGGATAGGCCGAACCTACGCATCTGCAGTTGAAGATTGAATTCCACAGACGATGCTAGAAATACACTGCCAGTACCACTAGTACGGCAGACCGCAGTGATTTCCATAATACGTTTTTTATCGTAAGCCGTATAAGTTACGGTATACGACATGTGGAGGACTGGATATATAAGGACGCCCTTTTACCATCGTGTGTTTAGTTCTTCATAGCTCTTTGACATTAATAACTTGAATACAACAGTGAGAGTCAGCAAGGCATTCTAACTCGTACGGGCACCAGGCTGTACGAGGGATCTCTTCTATCTTAGTTACGTTTAAGACTTCCAAGACATCGATCAACCTATTGTTACTTTGTTCACTCAAGTTACCTATCACGGACGACTCAAGGAACCTGTGCGAGGTTTAACCAAGCCTAATGTATCTCGACGCACCGCTGTTATAACTAAGGTGGATCCAGGTCCGTGACACTTGCACTACATTATGTATGACAGCTTATGCGAGATAATTCATTCCTAGAGAGACACACAGAATACAATACAATACGCGTCCCACTCCGACTTTCATCACGTTCCTCCGTAAGATATACTTCGTATGTTATCCCACTTCTATGTTTTTCAGTATGTCTTTGATCACGTGATTTCCCTAGTCCAATCATTTCGTCTTTCGAATGGGTTGTTGTTTTGTTGTCCTCCAATCATTCTTCCCGATCTGTTTCTTATATCGCGTAGCGCATGCAGGTCTTTTACTATGTACTCTGTAGTTCGTAACAACAAGACTGTTGGCGCTAATATAGTAAAGGGGATTCTTGGCAGATCCTTATAACGAGGAGCGATAGATATCCAATGAGAGCACGCGAGTGGATTTATGCGCTGCAATCGCCGTCTCCAAGATAGCTGCAAAGCAATCCTGTAAGGATCTGATCCTTTTCGGGATTCAAATATCCCAGATGAGTCGTCTTAAAGTGGGGACCTAGTTCACTACCTACCCTCGTATTCATCTTACTCGAAAGGCATCGGAAACATCTTACGGAGGTGGGAGTCAAAAGTAAAGGGAATGCTAAGATTGGCTAAAATGGCACTAGAAATGTATGTCATAATTATTTACAGATTAAAAGCTCTCTTATTCTCTTATAGCTCTAGCATTTAACTATTTTCTGTTTAGTTATAGGAAAAGAAACCATCAAAATATTCGTAATGGGACTGGCGTATGGGCTGATATTTGGCGTATTCCCATCACTTTTGACTCCCACCTCCGTACAAGACTGCGGGTTAAACCCAGCCATTTCTCTCCAAAAATGCTCCTAGTGGTTGGTGCTGTAAGCTTAAATTGCAAGGGGTTAGAGAATACGGAATCCCCGCCATGTCGAGGAGCTCATACCCCCTAGGGAGCTTTTTAATACCTATCAAGGTCATCATTATAAGCTTCCTTAGGAAACGTCGATCATATATACAACGCGAGATTTACACCACCGGGTTCACTAGCTCTAGTTCGTTACACTTTCACGAGAGGAGATATTCCTCCCGTTCAAAGTTTCGTCTTCCCAGCAAATAATGTAGCACCTTCTAAGACTCATAACTTGAAACTTTTCCTTTATTAAACCATACAAAGCGCCCTTTGTCCCCAATATTTGCCGGCTATACCCGCTCTGAGCCGTTCGCGGAATGCCTTGCCCGGTAGGAGAAAATAGCCTATTAGAGTATTATTTCTAACATGTTGGTTCTAATTGTTTTCACCTTTTTCTAAAACAGATTGGATATCCACCCCTCGGACAAAATAATATACAGTGGGAAAAGAAATTGAACAATTTTTTCTCTACTACGCAGTATTTGTCTATTGAGCCTGGAGGGATTTTTCCTGTGATCACCAATTTGAGAGTCATGAAGGTAGCTCTCAGGATTGTGATAAGTGTGGAGAAGGACCGGATGAACCGCTGAGAAAATACTATTTTCTTGAAGAGTCTCGCAATCGCTAACTGAGTGAATTTCTGGCCTCCGTGATTGGCGGGGGACATTTGGATGGAGTAGATGGAGATTCGAAGGCTCGCCGTCGTGAGAAGATTCGGCGCAGCTAGTGCTATAATTTGCGGGTCAGATTATTGCTCTGATTTGATTTACTATGACTAGTTCTTTGATATCTTAGCTACGAGTGGCTATCATGGTCTTTTCTCAAAATCAGTAATTGTGCGATCAGATATTAGCATGTTGATTACGCTTGACCCCGGTTTGTAAGACACAGTTAGAGAGAGAATCGAGAATCATCGAAGATTTATGGGAGGGAAGAGCTGGTAACTGTAAGCAGGAGACCGTTCCATGCACCCTTTGCGCATGGTTCAATTGTCCCGATTTTGACATCAGCTTTTCCCCGTGGGCATTCACAAAGAGTCGTCCTTGTGGAAGTATTGAGTTGGCCTGAAAGTTACCACGGAGACGGCGCTAATGCTATCTGATGGAAAGTCCTCTAATCCCTCCAGAATTCATACTACCCAGCCCCGAAGCTAGCAGTGGATCGAGATCTTGAGGTAGTTTGACGCGCATACAGTACTCGGGGATGTTCTATAAGGATCAAGCGATTTGATGATAATGAAACTAAGTGGACCCCCGGTCATTCTAACTGGGAGAGCTTCCAACTCTGGTATCTACGTCCTTGATGATCTGGAACATCAAATACTGGATCTAAGTATCCTATAGGACCCATTGTATTTCCATCACTCAGCAATCTACGCATCATCGCCACGTTGATGATCCTGTTCTGATGTCATACACCACCCACAACTTGCTCTGTCTTGATTCATATAAATTATTTACCCCAGCAATACTAGTATTAGTTGTAGTATACATTGGCATGATTAGCCGCAGGCTGAATCTGACTCCTTTTTCCGAATGCTTCCCTCAGGGCCATCCGGGGCCTGGCTGAGTATACCGAAACGCACATGACTTCACTAGCGTGGTGCTGCCCGGAGGATGGTTGGCTCTCGGTTGCCCCTCAACCCGTTGCGGCCCTCAGGTACTTGAGGTCAGTAACACTTAGTTAACTGGGTATTACGTTAACTAACAAAAACCTGTAGTGTCCCTAACAATTCCCATTTGTCTGGCATGGCTGACATAATCAAATCGATCGGAAGATGCTTAACTAACTAAAGCGCATCCAGATTTTAATCTTGCTTGCCATGTCTACCCAGCAACAAGATTACAAAAATGGCCTTGTTATTCCCCATTATCTGCATCCAACATATTCCATCTAGAGTAATAGAAGCCCTTCTTCTGGCATCCTATATTCTTATCTCATTTATATCATAGATACTTTCCCATATTATCTTCACGGCCTACCGGAGAAGTTTCTCCCAACCAGAGAGCCTCACTATCCTCGATGACTCAAACACTGAAGAATATGCAAGCCCCGCCGCTCACTTCTCTGACTCCGAGACATCTGTATTTCACGGACAACATATTGGCCATGTTATTGGTACTCTTCGAGAAGGCGTTACCGGAAATGTAGTAGCAGCAAACTTGTTCTATATTGCGGACGACCAGACGATCAGAGATTACACCTTGCTCATAGTTCAAGTTCAACTTCAAGAGAATGATACATGGGTGTTTCATGTGCGACTCGCACCTGAATCTGTGAATGGAATACCGATATCGATATATGAATCCAATATATCAATCCAAGATGTTCGGAAAGACGTCGATGAGGTTGGCGTGTTTCGGGGCGGGAGTGGTACCCCATACTCATATGTTGGGGCGCGGAGTCACTATTTGGATTATCCGGAGACGTCAGGGCATCGCAATTAGATGCAATCCCAATATAGTAATGAGCAGACCCCGTATAAGTCCGCTGAGATTAGCAAGAAAATGATCAGGAGTTGAAGAGGGCCAAGATGACACCGCGCAGGACCAACTAGCCAGCACTCTGGACCAACCGGCTCCTGTACATAACGTGTCGAATGTGTCGACACAACAAAGGCGGAACCGGAGGCGGTCAGCAGCGGTGAGCAGAATCCTTTGGCCCTTTGATGATTTCCGCAGAAATCGAGAGCGGTTACGAGACATCCGTTTACTCCTAGTATAACTGAATCAATTCTGCTACAGCCCTTCACACGCAGCGAATGAGAGGGAACGCCAGAACACTCGATCAAAGCGTAGGTAGCATGTGAAGGGGACCTCTCGGTTGAAGAGGGTCTACAACTCGATCAGTAGCAAAATCAGCTGGCCGAACCTGACTGGCTAGCGCAGGGCGATTTGCCAGTCAGCGTGATCAACCGGCTAAAAAGGCTCCGCCAAGGTGTAGTGGATGTGGGGAAATTGTCCACAGCATAAATTCATGTAAGAATCGCTCTGTTTTAAATTAATTGAGGCTTTTGGCTGAGATATCCTGATTCAAAACTTTGTACTCCGTACGGAGTAATGGGTTTGAGTGAGTGGATTAAAAGGGTTAAACCCACCGTCAGGAGCCGGCAAAATTTCGGGAAAACCCTGCCGGGAGATCCTCGGAGAAACAAGGTGCCAAGTCACCCCGAACCAGGATGCTGTGCATATACACACAATCGCCGTCAGGAGGCACTAGAAATGTGTCAAAGGTGCCAAAGCTAATAGCCAGTCAGTTATTGACACATATTCGATCCATATTTGATGAAAATCTATGAATTCAGGGGGTTTCGAACCTTGGCAGGGCGGGTGCGTGGGTGGTGAGAACACTGGGAAGGGAATGTTGGAAGAAGGAAAGTTTCCGGTGGGGCTTTTGGCAAGGTAATTCTCTCTGGTTCCGGCTTAGCGCTACACTAAACTCAATTAGGAAGGCACAACTCCCAATAATCGATGGTGGGTAGGTCAACAGTACTTCGTACATTAGAACTTCCGGCAATTATCACCCATGCAGGAACTGCTTGCTGCGATATCTGTGTACAAGAGATACGGCTCGCTTCATTATCTCTCTCTAAACTAAGAAATTTAGTACCTATTAAATTTGCTCGAAATAACCAAACTATATATCCTCGAAGGCCTCAGATTTTAATAGGTAGCTCTCGGGGTTGATAAGTATTATATAACCTCAAAAGTGCGAGGCTGTGTATTAAGAACTTTTGGAATCTGACTGTATGTACCGCTGTCGACTGGTTTATGAATATACCCCGTTTCTTCCCTGTAATGGGCCTGCTTGTGGGTCCTGCTCCCTCCCATTATCTCCTCCAGAGTCTCCTCCGAGAGGTTTGAGCTCTATTGAGTTCTCTTCACCGAAGCTGCGTCGTTCATGGCGCACTGTGAATTCTTCCGTTTTCAAGACGCCGCCCTGGTTCGGAGACGACCTCGTGCCACTGCTTAGAGTGCTTTCCAGACCCTTCAGGGCTTCTTGAGATTCCTGCCATCCCGTAGTCGACATAATGACCACGGAGTTCCGACCATATTTCGAATTGGGGCCGTAACGCTTCGACTTCCTGTCTGTGCCTTGAGTGTAGTTTCCAGTTCGGGGGTCACGCGTATTTGTGCCTGTTCTATTTTGAGAATAGCTCTTATGGCTTGATCTGAGCTCTCGATATAATGTCCTCCTTCTTCGTATTAGTGATATGGCTGTAGTACAATGAGGGGAAAGACTTACAGAATAGGAATTGAGATTGCCATGATTGAGGCTGCGGGCTCCGTCAGGGTCCAGATAGTTAGATCAACACGGTCGTATGTAATGTCAGTGCTGGTCATGTTGACCACGAGCACCGACTTCACAATACCCGTCACTCCAGCACTGGGGAAGTGTTAGCTGAGGCTTTGTGCGGTTCAGGGGGTTCGTACATTGCACCCAAGCTCATTGCCACTGCGACTCCAAGCCTCTCGCGGCGCAGCATCGACATGCCCATAATGATCTGCCAAGGCAGGAATGCAAGCACGAAATCTAGAATCGCAGAGTAATCTGCGAGGAACTGTTAGTCTATCGAATGACTGAATTCGCCTTCTCAATCTTACAGGCAGCAAACAGTTGAAATTTGACTAGTTTGCTCGGATCCCAGCATGTTCCAGGCACGGCCTTATCCCACACCCTCTTCAACGGCGTGCATTTGGCGAAGCCGAAAATCCAGACTAAGTTCATCGAGATATTTATCGACACGATGATGAAAATGAGGAAGTATTTCATCCACGCATTCGTGGCGATTCGGTACAGCGTGATTGCAAACGAGGTCTTGCTCGTTGTCGTTGCGATGATGCCGAACGTCGCAACAAGGATTGTGTAGAGGCTGATTGCCTTACGGTTCCCTTCGCTAATTGTCCAGATGTGACGGCCGAACCCAAGGGAAACGAGATAAGTATTGATTGACACCGCGATCGCCAGTGATACCTAAAAAGCAGGACGCATGAATTTGCAGAATACCTGGGGCAACGAGATATGGCAGAGATGCAATGCAGACCTAACATACCCATGAGATGATCAACAAGTGGTCGTCCCACCACAGACCGCGTCCTCGCCATATCTTACAGTATACACGCATGGCCAGAAAGATGGCAGCCGCAGCTGTCAGTGACCAACAAGAGGCGACAAGCCGTGGGCCTCTGTCGTCGGCCATTGTGAACTCCCTGCAAGCGCAAAGTAGAAGTGAGATCGGGGGGAGCGATTATCCAAAAAGTCGGGGATGGAGAGCAGTGCAGCACGAACCACTGGGTTTGAGGGGAATCCCACCCACATCCCCGACTTCATTGACCCCCTCTTGGCATTTCCGGAGTAGTCATCCTTTCAATGAAGGGTTCTGACCAGGAAGCCACCGGAACCAAAAATTTCCAGCGCTGACTTTTAAGTTATTCCTAATCAGATTTAGCGCCTAACTCTATACGAACCGTGGACCCACGTGGTTTTATCATCCTGGTCAGCAATCTGACTCCTTCCATACCATCCGCCCGGCGCCTGCCCCTATCACTAGTCACCACAAGGAGGTCTTCACTGCCCCTTTCTAACGCTCACTCAGCCCGGCGTTAGCTCGGCGTTCTCCCGTGCCAGCTCCTTGGATAGATCTAATGGTGAATATTTTAAGAGGCACTATGCACTTTTTTTCTGGTGGTTGCGTGATTGATTTTAATTTTCACCAGAAATGGTCTCGTATATACAAGATATACTCCGTACCGTGCTTAATTTTCAAATTACGCTAGCCCGCTTTCGTCACCTCGTCTTCAAGTGGACATGGATAACATGAGACAATTTCTCAAAACCAACGTCTTGATTGGGCCCAGTAGAATAAGAAGAAATGTTACAGTCAATTTGGCCGAGGGGGAGCAACGTGCTCGTTCCTCTTTCCAAACCTTCCTTCTAAAGTTTCCTTCTCTCGAAGTGACAGACTTGCCCCGGAACGCTGAAAAACTCGAGATGCGTTCATTCCCACGAAATCTCCTCCTGGTTGTCCTGTCGGGTTTGACGCTGGTCGAGTCCTTGAATTGTGACCCTCCCGCCGTCAACCTTGACAATGGAACCTACCTAGGCTTGTATAACCAGGAGTATGACCAAGACTTCTTTCTCGGTATTCCTTATGCGCAGCCTCCAGTTGGTCCTCTGCGCTTCGCGGCACCTCAGCCGCTGAGAGAGTCATTCGGTGACCCTCGAAACGCTACTGAGTATGGCTGGATGTGTATCGGATACGGCTCGGATACTGCGAACCTGGGTAACCCTGTTGATGAGGACTGCTTGACTCTTAACGTCGTCCGTCCAGCAGGTGTGAAACCCGGAGATGATCTCCCAGTTGGTGTCTGGGTACATGGCGGTGTGAGTTCTCAGCTCCTGAAAAGTTGATTTTCCGTCAGTGCTGACTTTGAAACAGAGCTACGTTAATGGGGGCTCACGCGACCCGCGGTATAACCTGAGCTATATCGTCGAGCAGTCCGTGGCTGAGAAGAAGCCGATCGTCGGAGTGTCCATCAACTACCGTCTCTCGTACTGGGGCTTCCTGTTTAGCATGGAAATGGAAGCCGCTGGTGCCGGTAACATTGCCTTCAGGGATCAGCGTATGGCCCTGCAATGGCTTCATGACAACATCGCCGCCTTCGGTGGTAGCCCCGAAAAGCTCACGATCTGGGGAGAGTCCGCTGGTGCTCGATCATTGGGAATGCAGCTCGTCGCATATGATGGAAAGCACAACGGTCTGTTCCGCAGTGCCATCCTCGAGAGTGGCAGCCCTGTCGCCAAGTTCACCAATGCTACGGGTTGGCAACCATACTTTGACGCTCTCGTTGAGAAGACGGGATGCGCTAATGCTACTAATCAGTTGGACTGTCTCAGGGAGCTTCCCTGGCAGACTCTCAGTGCTATCTTTAACGGCACGAGCCCTTTGAACGTCCCAGCGCCCACGCTAAGCGCTGTCGTCGACGGCGACTTCATAACCGCCCAAGGATCTGTTCTATTGAAGCAGGGCAAGTTTGCCAAAGTCGCGCTCTTGACTGGCAACAACTTCGATGAGGGTACCGCATACGCGAAGCAGGGCATCAGCACCGACGCCGAGTTCGAGGCGTGGCTCACTCTCCAGGGCCTTGACAGCGACGAGATTGACTCTATTTTGGAGCTGTACCCCAGTGATCCTCTCCTGGGCATTCCCGCCTCTTTCATTGGCACGCCTCCCGCGGTGCCCTATGGCCTTCAGTTTAAGCGAGTGGCGGCCTTCGCTGGGGATTACCAACAGCACTCTGGCCGAAGACTTCTCGTCGAGTCCTATGCTTCTGCTGGACTGTCTGTGTACTCCTACCTATGGAATGTCATTGTTAACGGCCTTCCCGCACCCATATACGGAGCCACGCATTTCCAGGAGGTTGCATTCGTTTTTAACAACATTGAGGGCGTTGGATATGCGGCCAACCCGTTTACGAACAAGCCTCTGTCATACATCAAGTTGGCGGATCTGATGAGCAAGATGTGGGTTCACTTCATGCACAACACCAACCCCAACCTGAGAAATGCTTCTATCGCATGGCCAAAATATACACCTGGACGGCCCAATAATCTCGTATTCGACACTGATTACGATAAGCTTGGCTACGTTGCGGAGGACAATTACAGGAAGGAGGCGATCTCGTACCTCCAGAACCATGTCTTCGTGTAATCCTAAATTCTTCTTATGAGAAGAATCATGATCTTTTACCTGTTCAAAAACTGAAAGGTCCCCTTTACATACTTTTGGCTCTTTTCTGTTAACTGACCTATGCCTTATAAGATCTCAATTTTATAATGCTTTTCCCGCACAGTAAAGGGTGATGGTGATGACGATGAATTCATACACTCATAGGTCAAAAATCTGTTGACACCCCCGATTACATAATTCAATCATCTCCCCAGGTAATTGCTACAGACACCACACCATTTCACTAACTTATGACCTGGGGGTGTATTAATACTCGAATGTCTTTCTTGGATTAGAGTTCTGGATTGGAGATCCCATACATACTACAATGTGGTGCTTGCCTCTGTAGCTAGCTCGTCATCTATCGAGAAGTGAACACCTATTTTTATGAACAAGGATGGTTGATTGAAGGAAGAAACACTTCATAGATTTCTCCTGTAGCCGGCTTGTCACCCCGTGTTGCCAATGATACCCGAAACTTATACAAGTGATGACTCGATCCCTTTGACCTCGAGGGTTTGCAGGGGTTTGTCGTCTTCTTTGGCCCTGCATGAAGCAGGCCGGTGATTTCCTGCCAGGTCTAGGCCTGTTCCTTTCCTTTGTGCTTCAGGGCCTTATAGACCCTGTTCTGTTCCCTTCTGCTTCTCCTTCTTCTTTTCCGAGTCGTCTTCGTCTTCCTGTTCCTAGATAGACCAATTTGACTCAGTCTCCCTTCTCTCTTCGCTTCCTGTGCCAGCAGTGCCGTGGGCACTGTCAACAAGGTACACTTTCAACCAGCACGAGAGTCAACAACGGAGGCTTTGGCATATAGTGGTAACACCCGCTTGCTTAACTATCACTTTTGAATGGAACCCGACCTAGGTGTTGTCTTCCTGACCTCCATGTTATGACCTGAATGCTATTTTGGATGCTGGCAGGGCATGGTAAAGAGTCCCCCTACAGCTTAAGCGGCAGGAATGACCAGAGAAAATTCGGCACCCGATTCACCTGCCTCTGGATCTTTGTTTCCCCAAACAATTAATCAAATTAACTACAGATTATATCGACAGAATCTAGAATACGAATAGTCGCTAGTGTAGTCTATTCATTATAGAAGATACACTTACTTCGCCCATATTGAAATATATTTCTTGAAGTTCAGACCCCATAGTTCTTCCGACCATCCAAACACCACCATAATAAGTAATATTATTCAATTTTAGAAGTAACTAACTAATATCAGACTGCTCCAATTTGAATCATGTAAATATTGACCCTAATTGCATCTAGTTTAGACAAGGAAGACTTGTTAATGAGAGTTAGAACCAGAACGGCGAAAATTACAGTATTTTATTTTGATGATTCAGCAGTTCTATAAACGCCAAGGTCTCGATTTTATGCAAAAATGGGCTTCTATGGGCCCCCAATGGACGCCCACCGTGGATTGGGTTATCGGCCCTGATAAGCCTATTCACAGATCTGGCTCTATACAGCACTAAAACCCGGTATATGCGGTGACTACAAGAGGCATAAGCGCACGGTTATAACTATTTTTGAAAACTACTACGGTATGGGCTTGCAAAGTGTTCCACTAGTAACATACCACCCTTTTTTTAAGATTTTGAAAGGAGAACAATATGGTTTCAGAATATGGTGTATGTGAGCTTTCTAATAGCATTACTTCCCTATTGTTTTGTGGTATTTTAGCTGCTAGCCGTACTTTGCCTAATAGGCTCTACGCAAAATAGTGATTGAGCCGAGTCTTACTCCCCTCTCCTGCGAGAGGTATAAAGAATAACCTAGGAAGGAGTGTTGACGTAATGCGGGGATTTTTATGGGGTATCATCTGATCTAGGGCGGGTTCCAGCTTAGCGGGTGCCCGATGCAGGGCTCGGGCGACGGCCGCTGGGGGCGGGAGCACGCACGGGGAACGAATCGGGGGCGGGGAAGACAAAACGGACCTCAATTCTAGCTCTGCAAAGAGGATAGGTAGGACGTTTTTACGTGAGGAATTTGCGGGACTAGACTGTGGACGCTGGGGTTTGGCTATCGTTGGACTTGGCTAGGATCTAAACCTAACTAATTTACTTCTCCTGTAACCGACAATATCGTGGAACAGGCTTTGAGGACCAGCTTTTCCCCGAGCGTGGTTAAGTGGCCCAAAGTTAAAACGACGAGAAATCTTCAGGTTAACTTGGAACCTTGCCACTATAGGGAGTTATGGTACACCCTACTGAAATAAAGGAAAGCTGACCACAATCACTCACAGGTCAATTTAGACTCTGCCGTCGACCTTTTCCTTTATCGCATCCTGCCTCCCACTTATCTCACATACTTTGCCACCGGTATGAATATATCCCAGAGACACTATATCCGTAACAGCAAGGTCACGCTTGCTAGCGTGGAACATGAATAGTTCCCTGCAGAACCCGATATCGCCGTGGGGCGCGGGGAGCGGCAAGGTGCATCACAGCGCTCTCGATATCAGCATCATCATTTTCATGACCATTGCCCTATACAACGCCATCGAACTAGCGGTCCTTATCCTACTATGCTTTCGCCGCTACCGCAGCCTATACTTCTGGTCTCTGTTGACATCGGCCGTCTTTGGTGTGCCCCCATACACTATAGGGGTGGTTCTGCAATTCTTTAACTTGGAGCCGTTATGGCTGAGTGTGGTCATGCAGAATATCGCATGGATCTTGATGGTGCCGAACCAGTCTGTGGTGCTTTACTCGCGGCTGCACCTGGTGTCGCAAAGCACGGCAATCTTAGGTTTCGTGCGGGTGTTGATCATTCTGAGCCTTCTTGTGATCGTTTTGCCGACCATCGTGTTAAATGCGGGTTGGACCTTTATACCATCGTCTCCCGCGTGGGTGAATGGATACGCCACTATGGAACGCATCGAAGTGACTTGGTTTATGACACAAGAGAGTTATATTTCGGGAGTGTATATCTGGGAAGCTATCCGGCTGATTCGGATTATTCCTAGCGACGATAAGCGGCGACACCGAATCCTATATGAATTGCTAGCCATCAACATAATGGCTATTGCCATGGACCTGGTGGTGGTAATCCTCCAGTACCTCAACTATTATTTTTTGCAGGTAATTTTTAAAGGGATGGTATATAGTGTCAAGTTGAAGCTAGAGTTTGCGGTGCTGAGCATGCTAGTCTCTGTCGTACATTCGCGAGGCTCAGGAAGGACGTTCTTGGGGAATAATCATATGATGTCGAATATCCCCAACACAGGGTCTACTGAGGGAGAAACTATTGGATAAGAAATATTTACCTGTATATAATCGGACGACAAAATAAAATACTATTTGACAGTGCTCACGGCACTGCTGGCACAGGAAGCGAAGAGGGAAGGGAGACTGAGTCAATTGGTCTATCTAGAGCAGGAAGACGAAGACGACTAGGAAAAAGGAAGAAGAAGCAGAGGGGAACAGAACAGGGTCTATAAGGCCCTGAAGCACAAAGGAAAGGAACAAGGCCTGGTCCTGACAGGAAAACCCCGGCCTGCTTCATGCAGGGCCAAAGAAGACGACAAACCCTGCAAACCCTATCGAGGTCAAAGGGATCGAGTCATCAGGGCTCGAAGGAGACACGGTATATGTATATAAGGACCTGTATTGGTAGATCAGTTTTAGTTGCCCTTTCGGCTTAGCTGCCGGGCGTTAATGAATTTTGTGTGTGTGTGTGTGTGTGTGTGTGTGTGTGTGTGTGAGAGAGAAGAATTAGTGGAACCGCTCTTTGCACACATCGCCCCTTTGCCCCTTCCGCCACTCTTTCCGCCCTTCTCTTATTCATGCCTGGCCCAAATTGCTCTAGAGAGCGAGTTTTGTTCTCCTGGGAGTCTCTGTGCTTTACACGCATCCCGAATGCCCACTTTACTATACAAAGCTAGCGTGTCTCAGGGACGCCGGAGACCTCGGAAACACAGAGGAGTGGATCATACGGGTGCACCAATGAGATCGATAGCAGGTCTGAATTGCTAAAATGGAATTTGAAAGGGCTCTAATACATGACTAATCTTGGCGGGGAGTATCTGCCTCCGGGTATCCAGCTATCCTGCTGCGTTTCGACAGAAGCTCTCGGTCAAATGATATCCATCAAGGAAGCCCCAGCGATATTGAAGACTGCTGAAAACTCAACAAATTCAGCAGTCCTTAATACCGCTGAAGCCTTACTAGATAGTTGATTGCCTTCCTTGATGCACACTAGCCTTATACGGTAACGTGGCCTTCGGGCAGTGTGAATAGTTGCATTCCCGCTCAGGGGTTCAATTAGTTCAAGACATTGTCAGTGTGACTGAGCAAGTGGTTGAGCCGTTCTTCGTATTGCCATATATATCTATCCATACTATACTTCAATATCTCATTTGTCCATCGACTCTATCCCCACAACTGCAGCGGATACTCAGTCGACTCAATCTGAGCCGGATACTCCAACCCACCCTGCCGTCTCACCTCATCCATAACCTCCATAATAGCAATACTCTCCTCCCACGGCATCCCCTCACTCTCCACCTTCCCATCTCTCAAACACCTCGCTACCTCATCCGCCTCCCACGCCATCCCATGCCCCCCATCCGGAAACGGACACTCTACCTCCCGCACCTCCCCCGCGCCCTTAACAGGGATAACGCGATACCGCGTCGGCCTGAACGGATACCCAAACACTTGGATCTCGCCCTTGGTGCCCTGGATGCGGATGGTGGGGCCCGAAGTGCCCTGTCCGTCGGGGTCGCTCGAGACCCGGATATTGGTTAGGGCGATACCATGCGAGCAGCGAGGTAGGGCGGTGTTGCTGGGCGTGCTGGTGGAGAAGGTGAGGATTATACTGGTGGATTCGTCGGCACCTGTGAGGTGGTAGCGGGTCATTTGGGAAGTGACTGATGGTGGTTTGCGTTGGTCCTTTGGGAGGGTGTGGTAGAGAGTTTGGAAGACCCAGGTGAGGGAGTATATGCCCACTGGGAGATAGGAAGAAAGGAAGTTAGTTTAGTATATATAATCTCGATCTTGATCTCGATAGCATCCCGAGTACAGGTAGCGGAGCGCACTTACATTCCAACAACGCACCACCCGCCAAATCAGGATTCACCATCCGATGCGTCGTTGCCCACTTCTCCTCAACAGCCTCCCCAAAGCTCGTATCCGCTACCGTGCGAAGCACCTCCCCAATCACCCCGCTGCGAATAATCTGGCGCACCTGCACACTCAACGGGAAATACCGAGTCCAAACCGCCTCCATCAGGAACAGATTTTTCTGACGGGCCGTCTCGTACAGGATCTTCGCCTGGGCCGCATTAACCGTAAACGCCTTTTTCGCAGAGCACGTTCTTGCCGGCGCTCAGGGCTAGCATAACGTTCTGGAAATGATGGGAGTGCGGGGTAGCCACGTAGATTACGTCGACGTCGGAGTCGGTGACGAGGTCTTCATAGTTACCGTAGGCGGTGCAGGGCCCTGGGATACCTAGGGAAGAGATGAGTTGGGTCGCTTTGGCTTTAGCGGAGGATGAGGCGACGGCGATGACTCGGTGGGCGACGTCGGAGGCGTCGCGGGCTTTCGGGTCTTTGAGAAGATCGCGGACGAAAGCTGTGGATTGGTCAGAGTGATGATTGTTTGGTTTCATTGAGGGCTCAGAGTTGAAAAGGGTGAGAATCATAACGTACTAGTTGCGATCCAGCCAGTGGCTATTGAAATAAATTAGTTAGGCTGTATTATTGTAGTAAACAGGATGAGAACATACCCATGATACCCCACCGGATTGTGTGCGCCATGATGAGATGCTGATATTGAGAAACAGTGAATGATAAGTAGGGGAGGGGCGACTTCGTATTTAAATTCAAGGACAAGACAAAGTCCATTCCCTGAAGCTCTCCTTTCAGACCCACGGAGATTCATCCACCCACTGAGCACCGCTCGACGCGGTTCACGTATTTTAGCATCAAGATTTTGGTTATTGCACTCGTGATCCCTATTAACATCCGTACGTCGGGTCTTATTGGGCATTAGGCGTTCCATACGGCTCTAGGCTACCCGTTCCTCAGAATAATCACGATGGCGAATAGCACTTTTGCTGACGATCCCTATCAATCCCAGATCTGCCAGACTAGTCTAAAGCCGTTATCTGATGCATGCCGTAGGTAACAAGTCACAAGCTAAGTATACGATGGCTAGAAACATTCATACCGTATCTTCTCGCAAGAAATGGAAAGGGAAAACACCTCAGTAGTTCAAGGTGGCCAAGATCGACCATCGATAATTATGACTCATTGGAATACGAGCATCACCAACCGTTTAACTCTCTCTCATCGCCGCCGCCTTCTCGCGCATGAAATTGAATCTCCTAAATGATTTGCAATAACATTATGGAACCGAAAAAGATTATCCCAGCATCAGCTTCACTAGAAGCCCAACGTCACTTCATGACGTCTTATCCTGGACTAGCCCCCTATTCGCCGACTTATCCCTACTCCCTATCCAATCAACTTATCAACATCCTTGGCCTAGGATGAGCTCCCGCTTTATAGCAGATACGCTCCGCTCGACAGATTCAATTCGCCACCTCCAGTCCTTTTTCAAGCATAATTCTAATATTACTCCGGCAAATGTGCACGAACTTGACCCTCTAACGGGAGAAGTCTGGACTCTCTACTCCCTTGGGCGTGGCATCGAAGGACATGAACGTATTTCCCATGCAGATTTGTCGCTGCACTACTTGACCAGCAAACTGGGTCAGCCGTGATTTTTAATCCTGGGTTTGAGAGCCCCAAAACTGCAAAAGTTACGGTGCAATATCTTCGTCCGCTAAGAACTCCGTCAGCGGTGCTTTGCAGAGGTTGGGTTGAGAGGGTCGATGGGAGGAAGATATGGGCGAAAGCTGTCGTTCAGGTAGAAGATAGGGAACCAGTTGCTAAGGGGGAAGCGCTGTATAACGAATTCACGGCTGACCGGGTCACCCCAAAACACCATATTAAAGTGAAAACAGGTAAGTACCCCCAGTCTAGTAACTAGTCTCGTTATGTAAAGCAAACGCTGATCCTGCGGGAACTGAGAATGAGTTCGAGGATCTATGGGCCTCTAATATGTGGCTAACTTGAAACCCCCTTTACTTTGCGATGGGAAGCAAAGGAAATATGATCAAGTTCTGATCAGCGCCTATACCACATCCTAGTGACTTGCGTCCTCCGCATTTTCTTTTTGAGGAGGAAAATCCCCTGCAAAAGAGCCTCTGCCGTTGGTGGACATCCCGGCACATAGATATCGACGGGCACAATGCGGTCCACGCCTCGTACAACACTGTAGCTGTAGTGGTAATATCCTCCTCCGTTGGCGCAACTGCCCATACTGATCACCCACCGAGGCTCAGGCATCTGGTCGTATAGTTGCCTTAAAGCCGGTGCCATTTTATTAACGACTGTACCTGCCACGATCATAACATCTGCCTGCCGGGGCGAGGCACGGAAGATGATGCCCAGTCGGTCCTGGTCGTAACGAGGCATAGACGTATGCATCATTTCAACTCCACAGCAGGCAAGGCCGAATGATAACGGCCAGAGGGATCCTTGTCTTCCGAAGTTGATTAATTCGTCTGCCTTTGTACTGGGTAGCACAAGAACGTCAGAACGAACCAGTTGGATTTTAGTTACTGTTGTGATCCGGGGTTAAACGTACAGAAGATAGCCAGTGGCCCCAGATTTCTGACTTTCTGGTGATACGTGTGCAGATAAAGAGCTGCTATATTTTGAAGATCCACGGACGTATCGTGTCGCTGCAACCGTGGGTGAAGAAGAACATAGTGACCAATATCTTGGACTTGAGTGATAGAGGACTCTCCGGGAGGGTAGGTTCAAAAGCATGTTCAACAGCCAGCATAGAGAATCTGGTCTAGCAGGAAAGATTGAATGTAAAACCTGAATTAGCTACATCTTCCTTCATTGGGGAAATTCAACGTTTAAGTCATTTCCGGATAACTACTAAGTTAATGGGCGCGAGTAGTCATTCCGCCTTCCATCCAATCAGATGCGTCCGAATTCGGCGACTTGAATACGAGTTCACCAACTTCGCCGAGATGAGGACGCCGAACTTACGAAAATATTATCTACCTTTCACAGATACTAAATGCGTCGCCGCAGTCCATCAGTGAAAGTCGCCTGCCGTGTGTGTCATGACCGGCGCGTCAAATGCGACCGCAGTGAAGGCGTCGCATGCTCCAACTGCCGAAATGCCCGACGCGATTGTCAGCCGATTATTTCTCGTCGTGGACGGTAAGCCTCGAAAGACGAAAATCTCATATTATTAATATTAATGCCAGTTCTAGGAGACGAAAACTGCCTCTCCTGCCTACTGGAGCAGGCCCAAACAGCAGTCTTTCAGGTGTCACTCAAAAGGTGCTGGATGGTCGACTGACCCAGACGACTTCAACACCAGTTTCATCCACTCAGTATGCCCAAAGCAACAGGGAAAAGCAGCAGCAAGATCCATGCTTTCCAGCTATCGGGATGAACGGTAGAACTCCATATGTTGGAGATTCCTCTAACCTCAACTATTTAATCCAACAATTTGGAAACCCCTTTGGGGGTGCCACAGATGCTCGCCAACTCCAAGACCATCTTCAAGGCGCAATGCTGGCCAGACTAGGCAAGTCGACGACACAAGAGATAGAAAGTCTTCACGTGTCTACTCGTGAATACTTACAGAAGCAAGGAATATTCGATCTGCCGTCACAAAAGACAAGCCAGGCCCTTCTCGACGCTTACTTCCACCATTCACATGCTGCCCTACCCATTCTTGATACGTCGAGATTCCTCGTCACTCTCGAAGAGAGCTCATTCTCACACTTACTCTTGAATGCAATTTATCTCGTCGCTACCACCTATTGTTCGGATTCGGTCATTTCAGAAGCCGGCTTTGTATCCCGATACGCCGCAAGCCATACCTTCTATCAGAGAGCCAAAGCGGTTTATGATGCTGGATATGAAACAGATGCGATCGCGACAATTCAAGCTACTTTCCTTATCTGTCACTGGTGGAGTGGCCTCCTAGAGCAGAAAGACCCTTGGCACTGGCTGGGTATTTCCGCCGGATTGGCACAGGCTTTGGGGATGCACCAAGCGTGGGTCTTCTCATTCCTCTCACCCAGAATAAGAGTACTAAGACAATTATAGGAGGTCGTACATCCACCTCGATGAGAACGATCGGAAAACATGGCGAAGGTTGTGGTGGATAGTATATGTCAATCAATACCCCAAAAGCCCCAAGGTCAATAATTCTCTAACCTCCCGTACCAGGCCATGGACATCAATCTGTCTATGCTTCTTGATCGTCCACCTCGCGTACAAGGAAGACTGTGCAATGTTCCGCCTTTGTCGGAAGCAGATTTTGAACAAGTCAATGGTCTTCAAGCAGCAGAGACCATTTGTAGAAATCTCAATGAGGCAAATATCTTCGTGATTAATTCTGTGCAACTAGCTCAGACAGGTATGACACTTATTATACTGCTTTCTGACCTGCTCATTTTCTAACACCTCTTGTAGTGGATCGATTTTTCTCTATCAAATATGACGAAGACAGTACTCACTTGCAAGACGTCTGCTTAGAGCAGATTTCGTTGTGGTCGTCATCACTCCCCTCGGACTGCAAGTCTTTGTCAACGACGAGCAGCATATGGGATATATTGAGTCAGATCCTATACCAGTAAGTTGTATTTCGAATAGCGCCTGTTAAGCTCTGCAATCTAAGTGTATAGGGAATACCGGCTGGTCTTGCATCGGAGCAACCCTAGGTTTTCTACCGACACAGGCCCCGGCAGCCAGGCGTTCGAAATATGTACAGAGATCTCTCACATGCTTGAAATACTCATAGCAAAGGATCTGGTCTATGCTACCGCGGGAAACATGTATGTTTCTTCAATAATTAATGTTTCAGAGCTGTGTGGCTCTAGGTGCTAAAGCTTCCTCTCAGAATCGCTCCCGTGCTGTCTGTGCTGTCGATTCATATTGTCAACATCCGCACAGGTGACACTGGTCTGCGAATAATTTCCGAAAATCGTGCCCATCTGTGCATGGGTATACTTAATAAATTGCAAGATCGGATGCCGATAGTTGCAACATTCTACCCAATCTATGAGTCCCTGCTCAATCGATACTCTGTTGGTGTGCCAAAACGGGATGGCACAGGAGTACACGAACATCCGCCAAGAATACTTTCGACGCAAGAAGCACCTCTTCAACTTGATATTGGAAGTAGACATGCTAGTATGGAACCTTCCGAGAGTTTGTTCGACCAAGCCCTGCATGACAGCATGAGTACAACCTTGCCTTTTTCGTTTCCATTCGGCAGTTTCTTTGAAGAGTTCTTTCTGAGCCCGAGTTCTCAGCCTATAGTCGGGTACTGCGAGAACGAGGTCTCGTCTGCTCAGTGATTTTCCTATCTTTGACATATCTTTCTTTACAAATGACTGAACAGCTTTACCGGCCATGGGTAAGTGTACTTCGACTCGTATAGGCTGTCTGGTAGATGGCTATCGTAGATGGTGCAGATTGGGTCGGGGTTGGACTGTGCGGAGACAAGAGTCGTGGAGGATAGGATCTCCGAGAAAGCGCTGAAGATGGTGCAAATCTTCATTAGTGGGATGGTTCCTGGACAATTGAGACAAGGGAAGTTCTCTGAGCGTCTGTTTCTTGCAGGTGGGAGAGCGCGGGTGATCTCTATCAAACGAGACCGAGGCAGAGATGCTTGTTCTTTTAGCCCTCTGCGCGATGCGATCCTATATGTACCCAGCTTGGCTAGCTAGGCCCACTAGAGCTCTCTTCGATATCACCTTTACACCATTTGGCCCTAGCAAAAGTGTCTTGAAATTAATCAGATAGTCGCTATTCAACAAGGATGACCTGATCCAGCATCAACCAGGTCGTCTACCTCTTCATTGATTGCTTCTTATATGGAAACATCACACAATGTAGATCAATAGTCGCTTGGAGCGATTATTGTTGTTTTGGCTGTCCGGCTGTAACGAGCTCTTGTCCGGGTTCAGAATACCAATCTGGTTTGAGTGTAAAATGAAATGACCCTTGTGGCCCACCCAAGCCAAGGGAAAATAGATTAACTTAATGACGTTAGTAACTATCGTATTGCTGACAACCTAGGCCAACTACGATATGCCGTTCCTTGCATGCTTCGGACGCCGGCCACTGATAGGGAATTTGGTTGACAAGCCAATGCAACTTCACTAGAATATACCCGGCGTAGTTCTTCGCTTACAATGTATTTCCTCACTAGCTAAGTACCGCAGCGGCGCAGCAGCCGCCAACCTCTAAACCTCCGTTTGTTGACAAGGGTCTTGAATTCAGATGAGATTCTTACAGCGTGGAAAGATAGCAGTCATAGGTGTGTAACTCGCAATGCGCTTTACGATTTACTCGGTTTTTTAACAATTTAATAGTCTGCGCTGGTCCAGATACCAGTGGCGCCGTTCGAAATGCAGTTCAATTGCACTTTCAGAGATCTGCACGGATTTTTGATCTAGACCTGGGTTCAACCATAGCTGGTCGAAGGAAGGACATTCTGGGAGAAGCAAGTCGTCGGTTCATCGTCATGAAGGGTCTGCTGGATCAAAGTTGGAAGTGGCGTATGGCTGGAGGAAGGCAAGTCATTGTTCTCGAAAGTTCGACATCATCCTTTCTATTTCTATCCGAATTACTTCATTACGTGAAGTTCGGATATACTCTGCTTTATGTATTTGTTGACGAAGTCTCCAATTAAGTTAAATTTTGCAACTATAAATCTTCTCGTATTGTGATGTGTGTAATAATCAAGTCGATTTTGAAATAGCTGGCCATTCTTTGGCCGCACGAAATGGCTTAAAACTACATGAAAGCTGCAGTTCCTCGGAGAATTTAGCTAGAACTAGTCAAGTCGGATAGAAGAATAATACGTATCTAAATGACGTATTCGTTAACAGGTGACATTCGAAGAAAATCTTTAATATAACATTGACAAATATAGATAAGTCAGGATAATCTCTCGTTTTCACCCTTTTTGGGCCTCCTCCTAAATTAAGCTTATTCATTATTACGCTGTAGTGGAAATCACTGTCTCTCGACCAGTATCTGGAGCACTGAGTCTGCTTTGGCTAGGAAAGTTGTTGCTCAAGACAGTCGCGACGCCACTTCGTCGAACACCACCCTCGAATATGAAACGAGACTGAACACGAGAATCAAATGCATGATATTATAACTTCGGTTCGAGTTTGAAGTGGCGATGATTCTCTCGAAAGGTTCCAAGACGTAGGCAGCAGCGTCCACTTTGTTACTGAGCGTGAGTATTCGCAAAGAGGTTATGGAGTTAGGACTGTGTAAGCTTATTGTCCCAGATAAATTCCGGGAGAACTCTAGTCAATCATGGTGGACCTGTAATTGACCTCTACGAACGACTTAAGTTTCTAGGAGCAGTAGTGTTCCTAGTGCTGGGCGATATGTTCCTGCAGTCGATGAGGCTGTGAACGAACTGCTTACAGAAAAAATGAGCACAAAATGATTGAGGAATCAACTATCTCAGAGACACTCCATTCAATTCCCGGAGAACCTATACTGCACATGAATTTCACTGAATTACTCAAAAATACTACATATTTTATGCACGCCGTAAGTTAGCACTGTTTGTACTGTTTGGAACCGCGGGTGAATCTCCAGAACCGCAAAGCGGTTCTGCCCCTAGAGGAACCAACCCGCTGGAGGGTCGCGGTTCCAGCTCACAGAGCTGTGAACCGCCAAGACCGTAGGTTCTTGCAGTTCACCCGCGGTTCCTGGAGAGGCCTATAGAGAAGACCCGGTCACTAAAATTATATTATTTAGCTAGTAATCTACCCGTAATTGTTACAGCCACAGGAAAGTCGGAACAATCCTGTGCATTTAACGAAGGTATCAAGTCTAGAGAATAGAAAGAAGAAGAGATTCTATCTAGTGGGTGTACATATAGCAAAAAGTAAAGGAAGTCCGTGCACAGCCATATCAGGTTGAATGGGCCACGGTGTCCTCTGCTATCAAGAGATGGCAGGGAGTCGAGATCGTTGATCTTTCTTCCATCTGCACGTATGTCAATCCACGAATAACCTTACTCTGTTAGTTTATGTTCCGGTCCTCGTAATTCCAAGGGGTGCTTGGTAATTTGTTTGTAGAACTAACTAACTAGTTACCTGTATCAACTACTCAGCATTAAGGTCTAGACCCAAATGCCCAAGCAGTGCTTGGTAATCGGTCTGCAGAATTAACGTTAACTAAGTTAATTAGTTAATCGTATCAATTACTCAGCATTATTAAAGTCGAAGCCTAAATTTCCAAACAGGGCCTTCGGTAGCGCACGCAGCTTAACAGTACAATTGTGAAATATAAATTGCACGTAGTGCACCACACAAAAGAGCGGATAAAACCAGCGATAACTAGACTTTGCAAATCATTTACAACATTTCAAAATGCCCCTTAATAACTCAGACCTAATATTCTTTACGGGGGTGTTGCTAGTCCCAACCCTTCCAAAGTCGCCATCATCTTGGAAGAACTCGGTATTCCTTTTCATCGCGAAGAAGTTCCCTTGACCGAAGTAGAGAAGCCAGTATATGAAGGAATCTGCCCTAACGGCCGTCTTCCAGCTATCAAAGACCCGAACAGCGGCATCACCGTCTGGGAGACCGGTGCAATTATCGAGTACCTCATTCTCGAGTATGACCCAGGCCACAAACTCAATTTGCCAGGTCGAACTCCTGAAGCATATGCGGCAGGGTTTAGTTATCGTTCCGACTCGTTCATAGAGGTTGATAATCTCATCGCGAGAGAGTGATGATGGGCCGATCCAAACCACAGGCTTGACCTTTTGTCAGTCTCAAGGTCAGAAAGGAACGCGAGTTGGGTTAGCGCAGCCCAGCTATCTCTTCCTTTGCTAACGGGGAGCTTTCATAGAATCCGAAGCTAGCTGCTCGCTCTAGTTCTAGCTTCAACCTATTCCGTAAGTTACAATTTCCGGCACCTAGAACTCCATAAAGGCCGGTGATCACCTCATTTCGCCAAGATACGTCAACGTTCTCGTGGCCTCATAAAGGGACAGATGCATAATTAGGGAAACCCGACATAACATGTTTTTCTTATGAAACCCCTAGTAGTAGGAGCCTAATGACTACCATCATAGGAATTAGAATCAATGATAATGTTTTATTGGCCCAGCCTCAAGAGGGAAAGTGATTACTTCTCTATTCTCCCTATTTACAAAACTCCGTGGTAATTGCTCATCAATAAATGGACAAGTATCTATTAGGCGACACGTAGTTCACAGGAATAACCCTAAGTATTATAAGAGTAGGATCAGAAGTCTTAAAAGCAGAGAGTGATACTTATAGTATCTATAATATCACTATTCTGCTATATCATATTAACTATACTTGAAAATACTACCTAAACATAACCTCTTTAAATGTCTCTATAAATTCATTCATTTAGGCTAATTCTCGCTTTGGCTAGATCAGAGATTAGCCACCAACGAATGAAGTATATCCCATAACCAAAAGTAGAGACGTTCCCAAAACCAACTATACACACTATCCGTAATTAACCTACTCCCACGCCCCGCCTCTGCAACCCTATCTCCCCCAACATTAGCGTAGGGAACGTTACATAAAATTTACGAACTCGTAATCTGCCACCCTTCTTCAATAAATCTCTACTATACACTATGTATAAGACATACTTAACACAAGAAGTTGGCATAAATTATTCCTTTTTCGTATCGATAAGGATAAGATAGATATCTTCATTCTCCGTGTAATGTACCCTAAAGGCCAGACAAGTGCAGAGACACAGAATAACCGTTAGCTAGATACAAATACCTAGAAAGGGAAGAAGCGGTTCTGTGTAAGGATATACTCTATAAGTCAGGATAGAGGCCTGTCAATCAGGTAGGAGAAAGGGACTAAGTCAATTGTTCAGAAAGGTCAAAGACTGTTTCTTGAGGAATGTAAAACCTCTCCAACATAGATCAATTGATATACAGTCATATCGCTGAAAACAGGAAGGAGATATATCCTTGGTAGGGGAATAGGAGCGGGGTGAAACACAAGGCTTGTGTAACCTCTACAAGGGCCTTCCTTGCAGGAGTCGTATACGTACTGGTAGCGAAGCCCCAGCGAACCTCTACCGAAAGCTTGGCGGCTTACCAGGGTCCTTGTAGCCTGAGGCACCGGTATTTGTGGATAATCTCATGTCAGATATCGTAATATTCTGGGGCAGCTTATATATCTAGACACTAGGAATAGGCGTATCTGTAGTTATTTGTAAGGATATACTCTATAAGTCAGGATAGAGGCCTGTCAATCAGGTAGGAGAAATGGAGCCAAGTCAATAGTGTAGAAAGGTCAAGAACTGTTTCTTGAGGATC